ATCGGGCGGCGGGGTTCTTTACGTATGCGGTGATAAACATTCCGGTGATGGTCAAAGTATGGTGAACAATCAAGACAGGACCTCGGACCTTGAGTTTGTCGGAGATCAAACTGGACAAGAAGGTGAGCAGGGCCGCACAGGCAAATGGCGGAGCTGTTAAGAGCTGGCTTTGCGTCACGGTATAGCCCATGCCTTGTCTCAGGATCAACGGAGTGTAAAAGTTGTAAGAGAAGCCCGGAACCACGGCCGACATGATCAGAAAGCTCCAGCAGTAGAGCTTCCAGTCCTTCAGGTGTTCCAAGATCCTCTTTCCGGTGATCTCATCGGTTTCCGCATCTCCTCTGTCGGCATTGATGCGTTCGATTATGAACTGTTGCTCTGCTGGCTTCAAAAACCCATCCGCCTTGTCGGGAAAATTGACGATGAGCAAGTAGCCAATCAGGCAGATTGCGCAACTAATGCAGCCTTCTATAATCATGATCCCTGGAACACACAAAGCATTAGTCAAGTTACTTTCCCTCAGAAACCTCTACACGTACACCTCCAGCCGGCGATGCCTTGAATTCCGTCCATTCTTGTCAAGCCGTAAGCTAGAATGCCCGCGAATCCATTGGCCAACACCGACAACATCCAGAAAGCTGCCAATCGTTTTCCGACTTCATAGCGAGTATACCATACCGAGATAAGAAACGTGCAGCCTGTGTCGACAGTTAGAGCGCAGCTTTTGATAGTCCGGGCAACTTTTTGGGAGGTTTTACCAGGGAGGAATCCCGCTTCGGTTATTCCGAGCAGAATGCGGCACACCAAGAACTGCTCCCAAGTCTGAGTGAAGCCCATACCAATCGAAACCACACCGAAACAGACGCCCAGAAACGTCAGCCAGATGCGAGGTCCAACTTTGGTAAGTACCAGGTTCTAAGATCCAGAAAGTGAGACACCATCTCCCCACAAAACGTTCTGCCATCAGTTACAACTTACGCTGGGAAGTTCGAAGACGCTAGGCAGTAGTGTTAGACCAAGCCGGGTGCCAGTATTGACAAATGAGAGGCTCTTACATGTAGAAGGCAAAGAAGACCATGACAAGAATACTGTAACGGTTTCCAATGTCGAGGCGCAAGTCCTCCATCATCCCTGCCACCAGAGCAAGTGACATATTGCCACGATCAATCAAAGATATCGAGTACATGCACCCAAGGATTGGGAGAAGACGAAAATCGATTTTACGACTGCCCGGAATCCATCAGCTTGGTTGATCAGGATCACCAAAGAGTAAGCCAATCCCGCGTGGCATGATACAACGTGGCCCATTACTTACATAAGTCTCTTTTGCTGCTTGGGAGTCAAGCCGGCTCCAATGGCGTCTAGATGCATGATTTCAACATTTTGCTTCAAGTTGACGTCGTCCATGGCGGCGATAGGGTCAATATCTTTTGCGGCGGTCATGGTGTAGAAAAGTGGTTCTTTGACTCTGGGGCAAGAGAAAAGGTCGCGTTCAGTCCAACTTCGCTACTTTATTAACTAATAATTGTGGAGAGGTGGTTCCTCCTGAGCTTGGGGAAAATATGGCCACGACAGACTCCGTTGATATGGTCAGCCCTTCCACCCACAATTAAAAACTTGCAGTGCTTTTAGCAAATACACAGCGGACTCCGCGCCTATATCAAACTACAACCAATCAACATCGAATCCGGGGCCCCATGGAGAAGATTCCTGAGCCCCGCAATGTACTCCGTAGTGCACTCTGGAACATGTTAACCTGGCGGGTCCAAATCGGAGAGCAAGGAGGTTGCAGGTACGAGTAGGCTTTCACAGTGTACAATTCCGATTTTACAACTTCGGCGAGAATAGGCCAAGCGTTGAAGGCCTGGAAGGCGTGGAAGGTTTCCAAGTGGCCTCGGAGTAGGTGTGTTTGGTCGTTATAAGAACAACTGCCTTATTCTGATTGGCCTGTAGTCTGTCTGCTATAGAATTGAGCTCGCCAACCGAATAAAATTCTGGGAGCTCGTTACCATAACCAATGATATCGTGAGCTCTGTCTGCAGCTGCTTAGCCGACAGTACGAGCATGGCGCGCTCCTCAGACTTTCACAAAACTCGACTCAAATGCTTTAGCACGGCGAAGGTTAGAACCATCTGCGAGAGTTCTGAAATTATATGATATGTCCGTTGGCCTCTACTTTGATGTCCAGCGGCGTTATGCCGTTCACGCTCTTGGTCATGGTGACCCATTCTGCCCATCGAATCTTTCGCGTCATCCACCAGAAACGGGGATAGGTGAAAGGCATTGTGTACGTGTTCCAGCCAGCATCGTTCTTATAGTAGGTCACACTAATGACGACAAATCAGCAAAAGGTAACTCCAAGCGATCAGTAGAAAGATGCCGTGTTAAGAACTCACCAGTCACTCCGAGCCCAAACAAGACTTTGTGTTTGTTGTCTCTGGACCTCGTTATTGTATCGCTGTTCGCAGCGACGCTCAGGATACATAGCAAGCTTTGTGCCTTGCCTTTCCTGTCGGATGATCTCCCGAATAGCTTTAGAAGCAAATCGAGCCTGAGCTTCCCACAGATCTTGCTGGGAGGACCAAACGGTTGCGGAATTGGGACCAAAGCAAAAGAACATGTTTGGAAAACCCGATGTCGCCAGGCCATATAGAGCTTCAGGATGATCCCGCCATTTCTGTTGGAGGTCAATCCCTCCGCTACCGGTAACCTTCTCATGGTCCAGGAAATTGGCGACGTTGAAGCCAGTGCCATATATAATCACATCGAACTTGGTTTCCTTTTCTATCCCCGACGACCCGTCGGCAGATATAATTCCTTCTTCGGTATACCGAACGAGCCTGTCCCTGGTGACAGTACAGTTGCTCTTGGCCAGCGAGGTGTAGAAGTTGTCTAACCGAAGCGGCCGCTTGCAGTAATCTGGTACCGTCACGTTAGCCAACCTCCAAGTTCAGACTATGGAGGAGCACTGTAACCTACACTTAGAATTTGGTCGAACAATCTCTCTCAGTTTAGAATCCTTCACTTGAGACTCCATGAAATTGATGGCGGTCCGGGTCATAAGGTCATTTTGAGGAGAGTTATCCGTGGCTGCCTTCTTACCGAACATCATCATTCGAAGGTTCATACGCTGTCGAACGAGATAGGCAAAGCCCGGAATCCATTTCACGGCCCATCGGAAGATTCTGATAAGGACATGGTCAGCTCCAATCACTCAAATGATATGTACTAGATACAATCTCACCTGCCGTACGCGAAGTCTGAACGTGGAACACAGATGGGTGGAGTTCTCATATAGATCTACGCGTGTGTCAATCATAGGGCTCTAGATTTGGAGGGTGAATATTGTTTCTTTTACCGTGAGATGGCCGACTTTATCGACGATTTCCGGGATGATTTGTGCGGCACTAGGGCCGCATCCAACAATACCGACCCTGAGTCCCGTGAGATCAAAGTCGTGGCGCCAGTGAGCAGTATGCCATGCAGTTCCTTTGAAATTCTCTCGCCCAGGGGTGTTGCCAAACTTCGGCCGATCGAGGCTGCCCACACATTGCGAAACGACATCGGCGAGCCAGTGCTCGATGTGCCCAGCTTTATCTTCAACCAGGACATGCCAGACAAACAATTGATCGTCCCAGAAGCAGGCTTTGACAAAGGCATTAAAACGAGTGCAGCGTTCGAGTTGGTAATCATGCGCAAACTGTGTGTAGTATGATTTGATCTGTGGTTGCGTAGCATAGAAATGCGTCCAGTCTGAAGCAAGTCAACATTAGTATCAACGTGACAGCCCGGAGAGAAAGCAAGGGTAGGGGTATAAGATCTGAAGGAAGACTCACACTTCCAAACGTAATATCCAGTCGTGTAGATCATGGCAGGAACGTCACATGCACAGCCCGGATAGGTGTTCTTTTCCCAGACGCCACCGTAGCTTTCAAGAGCATCGAAGATTTGCATGTCTTCATGCTTTAACACTCGTTCTTTCAACAGGACTGACGCCTGTTGAATTCCTGACACTCCAGCACCAACGATAATGACTTTCCTCCATCGCTCAGGTGGCACAGCATATGCGTTTGCAAACAACTCTGCTTTGTCACTCTCCGAGAAGTGTGTTTGTGCAAATCCAGAAATGGCGGCGTAGTCATTGCCATCGATGGTACCAGCGTCAAATGTCTTCACAGGCTGAGGCGCAAGAGCTGGTCGCGAGATCAAAGGCTCTGTCTCGCTGTCTAGAACCATGATGTTAAAACAAGATGAGCGTTATGTAGAGAGTGCTCGGGAATCAAGATCAACGAAGGAGTAAACAATAAGTAATTCCTCTCAATTGCAACGTCTGTTCGATTAGAAGGTGGTTATCAAGTACTTCGACCTCGCGAAAATAATCTCATGATGTTTGAGATTCTCGAAAGTCTTAGGTGACCGTGGGAGACGCGATTTCCTCCTTGGTAGAGTCGTATGATAATCGGATAATCAATCCCTCCCACTATACTCTCATCTACCCTCACACCCGAGTCCGATCAATACCAATAGAACGCTCGTGAGGTCTTCCGGACGTTGTTTGCAAACGGTCTAACATCCGGACCTCGGCGTGGGAGGGTGGAGTTAAATTGGAGGGTTCGGAAAAAATGCACCCGCATTCTTTCTCACCCGCAACCAGACGTCCTGGTGGCGTATTTTGATGCAGTGAGAGAGTCTTGCGGACGGGTACTCTGTAAACCCCGATGTGTCTAGATGAATTCTGTTGCTCCGTTAGATCCTAAGCCTCGAACTCGAAATCAATGTCCAACATTGCTCCGTCTCATCTCGGTGTACGTTGCCCTTCGATGGCTACCTATTGTAAATCTGTCGGATTGAATGTGTTGCACCCTCAGGAACCGAAGGGCCAGTTTTTATTCTTGTCTCAAATACACATACCTCACTAAGCGCGCACTGCGGTCTCGACATGCCCCTTTTGCCTCTTTCTTCTACTTGCTGTCTAATTCAAGTCTCGTTGGCCCGACCAGATGAGTGGCACCTCCAATTCCGGCCCTGTCCGCTCTGTAGGAGTACGTGAAATTCCCGAAACCCTCACCCCTGTGACGCCAGCCACGCAAGGCTCGCGGCTGCATCATGCTATGCTCAGGATTAGCGATCCAGAGAGATCGCTACACTTCTATACCGACTTCTTGGGCATGTCACTGATCTTTAAACTCGACACCGGTCCATTCACAGTCTATTATCTAGGCTATCCAGACCCCGATGACCAGACACCAGCAGATCTCGCCAAAGGGATGGCATCCCGCACCGGATTTTTGGAACTCGTCTACGTTCATCTCCAATCGTCGAAGCAAGAAGTCCCGCCTATCATTCCTGCTACGGTTGGTTTTGGACATCTAGGCTGGTACGTTGCCGATGTGGAAGAAACACTGAAGCGAGCCCAAGAAAACGGCTATATTGTGGTGAAGGATAAAAGCAACCTTTCCATAACGACAATGGACTTGCCTAAAGGTGTAGCCGCAACTCCCTGTTGTGCACCATTCCTGGCAAGTTTCGCCCAGATCGGCTTCATTCGGGATCCCGATGGGTAAGTTCCGTCCATTACTAGAGTAGACGCTATACAGCCATTAATACCGGGGTGCAGTAATAGCATTGAGCTCTTGCCCTTGCAGTGGAAGCGTTAGACCTACAGATACGGCAGGCAAACATGATTTGAGTTGAATTTTCCCAAATCTTGTCTCTGTCGTGACATTGGGAAGCATACAAAAGGATTGTAGACACATCGATTGAAGCATCATCTGGACACCCTTGAAAGCCTTGGGTAACATGTACGAATATCGAGATTGAGAGGCCCATAGGAAGGTTCGTCGAACTATTGATAGAACAAAGCACATATCTCTCTTGGGTAAAATTTGAGTGCAATGCAACTATCTGTTTTCACTCTGATTCGCCATCACCACCACTATTGACTGCTCTTCTTGACGTTCAATCTACATAAGTCCTCTTCTGTACCGCCGATTCAATCTTGCTCAACCAAGGCAATCGATGCGTGATGTTGATTTCCTGAACGGGAGTCGTCTCCAAGGGACCAATATCATCCAAGGTACCCACTTGAATGACCACAATAGCTGGCTGAGGGCCTTCCTTGGGATGTGGCAGACCGTAAATCGGGCTCCCGCAATCGCCGCAAAAAGCTATTGAGAATTCGAAACCTTCGTCGATATGCTTGGTGCGAACTGTTTTGAGGTCTCCTTGCGTCAGATTAAAGGTGTTGTTGGGCACTACCAAATTCAGAGATCCGGTGGCGCCAGAAATCTTACGACAAGGTCGACAGTGGCAGACTGATGTCTATATCTCACAAGAGGACGGGTTAGCTACTGGAGGATAACTAGCATTACGACTCTTGCTTCCGAGACTGGCATGATACCATTGCGTACCTTCTTCCACGCATCCTCGTCCACAGTCAATTCATATTTGATTGCGCCGCATAAGCAGCTTCCGTTCAGTGGCTTGGCCATCACGAATTATCCCGTCGAATTTAGTGCCTTGTCCTAAACAACTTCAGAGATAATGATATGGTATCTATTACAACTGTGGCCAGTCTAGACGGCATGGAGATAGAAGTATCATAAGAGACCAAGGGTTCACCGCGTGAGCGGATTAGTAATAGGAAGCGTAATGAAGTTTCGGAGTAATCAATGATGTGTTCAAAGATTCTTGTGCCATGCTTATGCCCTTCTGCATAATTTCAGCTCTCGGGCACGGATGTGGTTGTGGTTGTTGTTTCTTCCTGTTGCTAATTCAATTTTCTATCGATGATCGGCAACTAAATGTGGGCATAGGTGAGGTGAGGTGCACGCATTTCGACTATAGTATGGTCCCGCTAGCCCTGCCTGACGAGAGGACGGCAAGATGTATTCCAACCTAATCCGCTTCCGTCTTCATATTCTCTATCTAGAGTATAACCACGTTCTGCTTAGTCGATTGCAGAAGCTTGTCGGATACCCATCAAAGTGCTGTCTATGATGATTCAACTTTGTCGTACCAGCTATCCAATTTACCTTCGTGCAGTTTTTCACTCCACTCCTTCAGTAACAGCCTTTCCATAGCCTCGCTTCTGACCTTGAATCGAGCACGATACGGCATTGGTGCAGCGATGAGTTGATCGGTAATGGCATCGATATCAGGCATGACCGGATTGTTCTTTTCGTCCAAGGCGGGTAGAATGTCGAACGTGTGTAGCATGCGGGATGTCATTGCGAAAAGTGACCGCTCCGCAAGGTGAATTCCAGGACAGATGCGTTTGCCGCCACTGTACGAAAAGTGATCCCGCGCCGCCACATCTCCGCTGTTGGCGTATGCCGATGCGCTGAGTGAGTGGTCTAGGAATCGTTCTGGGTGGAATCGATCGGGGTCTGGATATCGTTCTGGATCGCGATGGATACCCCTGAGAAAATCTGAGCATAAAACCAATAAATTTCTTGGAACATGTCCTCACCATGTATTGATTCGAATGACAGTGTTCTTGGGAATACGATAACCGTTTAAAACATCCTCTTGATTGGTGTAGTGGGAGAAAGCTGTGGAGTCCACGTCAGTTTAAAGTCGGGATCACGGTAGCAAGTCTCCTAAGACGGCTTGGGATGCAACTGCACACGACACCACCTGCGTGACTTACCCAGAGGCGCAATGGAGCGCCATCGCTGCTGCTCTTTGATGATGGCCCTTATATAGGGTAAGTTTTCCTCGTCCTCCCACGTGGGGAATCGTTCTTGGCCAATGACTCTGTCAAGTTCTTCGTGCGCCTTTTCTAGCACTTCAGGGTGATGTACCAGCGCCATGATTGTTACCAGGAGCGAATTGTAGGTAGTCTCTGTGCCAGTACTCAAGATCTCAGTGCAGACCACTGCCGAGTGTAATTCGCTATCCTCTTCATACGTGGAGGCATTTTCTTTCAGGTCCCTGACCACCGTCGCTCGTTCCGGATGCTTGTCCAGTGTCGCCAGAGTCTCGCGGTAGTTTCCCAGGCTGAAGTTGTCTTCGAATTGACGGAACTTCTCGAAGATTGGGAGCCAAGGCTGCATGAAGCGCGGGAGGCGAAGCATCCAGGGCATCGACTCCACGATCCACTTCCCTGGTGCCATTGCTGTGACAAAATTCTCCGCCACATTAGCAAGGTTGACCATCAACTCGTCATTGTATCGTATTACACGTCGGCCATAAGCGATGCTCCGTGTGACGCTGAGGGTGTAGCGATAGATGTTTTCCCGGAAGAGCTCGGGGTTGTCCTTGATCTCCTTCAACGCTACCACAGCCTCATCCTGCATGATCCAGTTATACCCATTGCACCTAGTGGAATTGAGAATCTGTGCAAAGGCCTTGCGGCTCCTCTGAAAGAAGTTTAGTGTGTGAAAGTTGAAGTCAGGGTAACATCGACATATCTAGACTCACCCGCCATCGCACGCCATACGGCATCAAGACTAGACGCAATCCATGACTGAGAAACTCTCCTGCAACAGATGGTGGCCGGTGGGAATAAATGGCCGATCTTCACCCACCAGTTAGTTACACTCAGCTCCTATTAAACAGCCCTCGTAGCATGATACCTTTTATCCAGGATTTCTCGTGCGAGCTGCCCATCATGTACATATACAATGTGTTGAAGCCCGACGCGCATGTGAACTAGCGGACCGTAGATCCTGTTGTTCATCAGCATGTGTACGTACTGCCAACTATAAACTTCCACCCCTACTTGGACCATTCTCGAACTCGTTCCCACTAGTAAATAGTTAGTAATTCGGATCCTCCCAGACAGTAAGAGCAGGCCTTAATTCAACCCAAGTGAAGGTTCTAGCAGCCTTCGAGCAACGTGGCACAAGTAACTCACCAGATGATGCTTCGGCACGTCAAAAGTCATTCCCAGGAGAGGGTAACGTCCCTTCGGCCCTGGGGGAAGGGGTGGCCGTCGAGATTGTAGAGTGGCATAGTAGGCAATGATGCCGACAACAAAGAATCCCGAGATGGTTGCAAAGAGATTCGCCTTGTTCTTGATCTCTAGGAGAAAGGACGTCGGCCCAGATGCGAGATCTGCCATGATGATACCCGTGGAATTAAGATGGGACTTCCGTTTATAAGCAGGTGTCTTGTCGTGTTGTAACTTGTATTTATCCTGTCCTACATGATATCTCCAAATCCTTTCGCTAGGGCTTGGTCGTGTGGGATGCAGCGTATGCTGGGGACCAGTTGCTCCCGCCCCATACTTTCCACAAAGTACTCCGATGATGACAATTATATGCACTCCTTGCCTTAATCAAGGCCGACCAGTTTCAGAATCGCCTCAATGCACAGGCAGAAACTCTCAAGGTCAAGCCTGTGCCGCTAAGTCACCACATATTCTACAGGGAATTTGGCGAGGGTGTGAGAGGGATCCATGGAGATTCTTAGCTTGACACGGTCCGCATCTGGGTGAATGATGCATTGATGCTTTTACTACAGCGTACACTCTATTGGTGTGCCCCGAAAAAATCCACTGTTCGAGAGAAGGCCAAATTGTACTGATCCCTCTCCACCAGATCTTTAGCTTGTGGTCGGGCAGCAAAGCCATGCTTCATGCCCGGATACGTCTCGATCTGAAGATTGACACTGTGTCTCAAAGACCAATTTTTCAAGTCTTGAGGTAGACTTTCCGGAACCATCTGGTCCTTTTCCGCCAGCCCAGCATATGTAGGAACCTTGACCCCCTCAAAATCGGCCTCTGTCACAAAACTCTATCTATGGTGTCAGAGAAATACGTGTAATAGGGGGGAACTCCAAAAAGGTGCTTACAGGATGAAAAGCAACAGCCACTCTCAACGTAGATTTGGCTAGCTTGTAGACGTACTTTCCACCAAAACAATAGCCCACCCCAAGAAAGGAGCCAGACAGGTTCTGGGCCCTGAGTGATTCGATCACTGAGGCGAGAAGCTCTTCAATCCGCGACTCCGGGTGCTTTTTCAACCATTCAGGAATGTTGAGACTCTTCAACTTCTCTTTATCTTCCTCGGGCCAGTCATGCTCGTCAATGGAAAGCTTCGGATTCCGTTGTAGTAGCAGAACAGGCAGTGCGTCCCCTGGGCCATGAATGAATGGTCAGTCACAAACCGACAATAACACATTTCAGTGAACTTACCTTCAAAATAATCCGGTATCAGGGTACGATAGCCACTTTTTGCGAAACGATCAGCTAGTATGTAGTTGTGCTTCGAATGTCCAAACCCATCCGGTAAGAGTAACACAGTCGCATGTTGTAACTCGGTGCCGGCAGGCGGCTGAGAGTCATAGACCAATACCTCATTGAATTTAACGACTTCTCCCTGTGGTTGATAGTCCCCTGTGTAATGATGATCAGTCTCAGGCACAAAGAATATGCTATGGTGTCGCTTCTATCATACCGGCTCCTGGAGCCCCAGAAGAACAACATCCCACCAAATCACGCATAATGAAATAACCTCTAGTCAGTTTCTTGAATTGTTTCAACTGCGGATTAGACAGGAGGCATTTCTAGTTATGTTTGCATTGTTCTATATACACACATCTGCCCTGACCCGGGGTTGACCCGGTTGGAGTATTCAACGGACAGCTCCTTCGGACTTGGGTGGGGAGAGTCCAAGTCCGAAGGTGTGAGAAGACATAAATATTAGCTTGGGACAGATATGGATTTCTAGTGCACCCCACAAAATCACCTATACATGTGAGTACCCTTGCAGTTTACTGCTCACAGCTTGTTTTGCAAAGACGTAGTTTGAATAACGCCCGCAATTCTACCCAACCTGTGGAATAAATGATCATTGTATACAAATCCTTTGTAACTGTCCAAAGGTTCTAAGATGATTCTGGCTTGACAAGATGATGATCCCATGCCACCGTTTTCCCTCTAATCTCTTCGGGAATGCCTTCGGTGGCGAGCTTGACAAAAGAGGCCGCTGGCTGTTCTGATTGAAGCATTTTGCCTCGCTTGTGCAAGTCCATAAGCCAATCGTACGTTCCAGGGTCGAGTGTCTCTTTATCTGTATCATCGAAATCAGCAGCTGAATCCCCAAAAATGCCCCATCAACGACCGAGAAATAATGTACTGCATCTAACTTACGTGTTTCACGCACGGTCTTTTGGATACTGGTGTCGACCACGCCTGGCGTAACTGCTACAACAGAGGTTGAAGGCTCTTCAAAGGCCAGAATGGAGCACAGCTGGTTCATTGCTGCCTTGGCGCAAGAATAAGCCCCCCAAGACTTGGTTGGTCTGAGGGAGACGCCTGACGACGTGAGGATAATTCGGCCGCTGTTCTTGCTGAGGTATGGGAAGGCCGTTTGTATCTGGCACGTATGTCTTAGTCAAGATGCCATGATTGTTCGTTTGCAGGAGCGACATACTCCGTGGAGAAGGGAGAAGAAATTGATATTGAAGAGATCTTTCCATTTGTCGATGTCTCCGTCAATTACCGGACTTATTGGTCCCAGTATGCCGGCGTTTAAGATGATGGCATCTAGGCGGCCGGTCTGGCTGATTGCTGCCTGAACAGCCTCTTCACTTGTTGTCCGTTTCGACACATCCCCTTGCACGATCCGCAGCCTGGAGCCTGCCTGTGGCACTAATCCATCCAGTTGTTGAGTTTGAATGTCGACAGCAACAACCAATGTGACGTTGGATGTTTTCAGAAGCAGATTAACGATGCTCAGGCCAATTCCACTGCCAGCCCCGGTGACGATGCTAGACAGTTATAAGAGACCAAGTCCAATAAACATGGCTGGCCAAAGTCAAGACTCACATTGATTGCGCTGCCATCTCTGCACGATACCAATCCAGCCAGAAGCCTTTCCGTTTGATTCTGCGTCTCCTTGACAGTCTAACCGTGAGGAGCCTAACAGAGCGGGAACGCTATGAGGAACGTTGCGCGTGCCTTGGTGATTCTTTCGGGAATATGAGTGGGCTATTTGCAAACTATGGCAGAGAACATCAATCAACTTTAGGCCTCGGAGTCGATCGAGTATTACTTGAGAAACCCAAGTCTTGAGGCCCTTGCAGTGCGAGTTTGAGACGTTGACCTTGAACTCCGCCCCGGTCCGTGGTTCGCTTTATGATCCACGATCCACCCGATCTCCGAAATCTCTAGGTTTCAGTCAGTCCTTCGAACGCCGAAGCTCCTCGGAGAAAGGTGTGTAGGCGGAGAGGCTTCCATCTCACCGTTTCCGACACTAAGTACTTCTGGTGAACTAGGAGATGGTTCATGGTTTCACCATTCGGGAACGGGGAGATTCAAGACCCCAAATGGCCTTGGAGGGGTAAGCTTCAGGGAAAGCGATTCGCGAGTATGTCCTTCTTTGAATTTCATCTCCCCCTTCCACGAGGCTGAAGCGATGATCATATGGTATAAGCAATGGTTGAGCAAACGACGCTATGTCTAGAATGGTGCTGCGGCCGGAATTTCAACATTTGATCTGCACTATAGAGTCCCCGGTAGCTCTTTTCATTGTACATAAAAGCTAACTCGAAGAAGTCAAGAACCAATAAACCCATCAAGACGTTCCATTCTGACCGATTTTCGTCGTCTTCCAGCTGGGAATGGGGTCGAAATCGGGGTTTTTGGCAGCTGTCCATTGGGGCAGATGGTATCCTGGTGGATGCGCCCCAAGAGGAAAGCTGGTTGAGGTCTTGGTCAATGAAAAGGGTGCTTTGACAACTTCCACATCATCCCAGCCCCAAGGCGCACCGTCAATGACTTGGTAATTCTCCTTTCGAATGGCTTTCTCAAATCCCCGGTCTGCGATGACACCGCGGACAACGTGTCGGTTGGCTTGGTGTGAGACGATCTCGTCATAGTGTCGCATGTGGCCGATCAACTCGGGATTGCGAGCCTTGAGCTTCTCAAGTTGTGCCTCGGTGTATTTCCCATAGGACAGCAACTGAAGATTGGATGTTGTTAGAGCGCACTGAACTGTGTATGAACCGCCGACTTTCGATCTTTGGAGGATGGCATGTAGCACTCCGCACGCTCCCGCGTGACCCGTTCTGTTCTCAGTTAGCGATGAATGGCCTCAGATGTACAGTCGAGTCGTTTGCAATATCGCGAAAGGCAAGTGAGGCTTACAGATAGTCCGCGTTGGGGCCAGGGAAAATGTGAGCTTCGTCAAACCCGTTGAAACGACCAACAGCCAACCCGATGCCCGTCAACTGTAACAATAATTAGAAATCGACCTTCTCCAAGAATTAGAATGCTGGTTTTCAAAGTCAGCACTTACCGTGTCGGCAATTTGCGCCCAACCAGGGCGGATCGTCCATGGACCTTTCCAGCCATAACAATTCTCCTGACAGTAGATGATACCTCTATCGCGGTCCGCCACGAGACCAAGCACGGCGTCTCTTCCGAAGCCTAGATGTTCCATCACAGAAGGTCGGTAGCCGTCTATGAACACGTCGGCCTCTTTGATCAGTTCTAGTAACTTCTTGCGACCCTCGAACGTCTTAAGGTTGATATCAACGCTGATTTTTCCAATACAGCCGTCGAGTAGTGTGATCGGTAGTTCGGTGTTGGTGGCACTACTGACTCGAATTACAGTTGCGCCTAGAGCAGCACAGATACGACCAATAGTGGGTGCGGCGATGGCTCTCGCCAACTCTAACACCTTGAAGCCAGATAATGGACGCTTGTCTGTCTGTGGCGAAGGAACGCTGTCCCAAGTCACAGGAGCTTGCTTCGCGTAAGGATCCTTGATCAGGTTGTAGTATGGTTCGTCCTTGACAGCTTGCCCCTGTAACGATGATCAGTCATAGACAATCGCAATGGTCCCACAGTACTTACGTGAGCAGTAACCAGGAACTCATTCTCTTCGTAGCAGATTGTGCCCGGCACTCGATAAATATTATTACTCCAGTCATCAAGAGTCCTCGAATCATGCTGGGCCACGATGTCCATGTACATTTGCAAGATTTCTGGCCATGAGAGGTTCTTTTCGTTGTGTTGAGGTACATTGAGCATGTTGAGCAAGGGAGTTGGGTCCATGTTCCCATGCAAAGAGTACCACCGTCCGTCTTTCGTCTTGTAAATGTTAGTTGCCACTTGACGGTAGAGCTCTCGCGTGCGACCGTGGTCCCAGCGTCCAACAGCTGCCTTCATCTGATCGGTGCCAGCAAGCCATGCGCCATTGCTTCGCACAAATAATGCTCCGAGGCCGCAGACCATAGCATGAGCCCTATCAAGAAAATTAGCCATTCTCAGCCTGACGGGGAAAACCAATCATGCATACACATCGACTTCGACCTCCTGTTCAATTCCATATCGAGCCTTTGAGATGGCACTGGCGAACAGTCCAAGATAGCCGCATAATGCGGCCTGAGCCTCTGCTGCTTTAAACGGGGCCGGGTAAAACGGTTGCGTCTCCTCGCCCACAAAGCGGACAGTTGATGCCAATTTTTTGACCTCCAAGGGAGCGTTCAGTCGCCCATCATTCAGAATCAAATTGAAGATGCGGGCCGCCTCGGCCTGAATACTGTACTTCTGTTCGTCGGTGCATCCATTGAAAGCCGTAGGTGCAGGGCCAACTTTGGGGTCGTGACTGATAGCCATACTGCTTCAGGCGTTTTTCTAAGACCGAAGTCATTTGTACAAGTCGGATGATTCAATCGGCGAGATGGATGAAAGCATTTATGGCAGTATTCAGTAGGTTCAACCATCGGTTCAGACGGCACCAGTTCTCAAATGCAGGCGTGCGGTGCACTGCACAAGTGTCTAGGGTAGGTATCCTGCCTAGGGAGTAGGATCGGAGCTGAGTGAGGTTGTCTCCACCCTTCCACAACTGTTTCCGGGCTTGGGCAAGGGTGTAGCGAGAGACGGACCAAATGTGTTAGCGCAAGTTGAACGGTTGCATTGAGCCCGGGAGTAATAACTAGATGCCTGGTCCCGAAGCCATCAACCCCATTATTACTTTGAGAAAGTTTTGAGACATATTCCAGCACGTCATGCGTCTCAACAATACAGCCGTCTGTTCAAGGACGTGCTCCTTGCCAGCGTCAGATGCCAGATTAGGGACGCCGAATAGGGTGACATGTGTATGTGAGCCGAGATTAACCCATTCTTTCAACACAAGAGCCTCTTTCTCGCAAGTTGGAATCTTGTCGATACGCAACGCAACGCTGTTCACTTCAGGCTTAGGACGCGGCAAAAGCTGTGCCACGCACCATAGCGCCGCTCCTACATGGAAAGCACTAAACGGCTCGAGCGGGTAGTTGGCTTGATAGTGCCTCAGGATGGACAACACTTGTGAACTATGGTAAGCGACCTCACGGACACGCATGTCATCCTGTGCGGCCCATTGAGTCATGCGTAGCCGAGCGCTTTCGGAGGTCGGATCTCTCAGCAGCATATAAAGCCAGTCCATAAGATCTCCCGCTCCGTGCAGGTGAGACATGTGCACCATTTGAGCCTCTCGGTATGCATCAGCGAGCTCCGTCTGAGTTAAGGGAGTGGCTACCTTGAGAGAGATGCGTATGTGAAGGAAACGATCCACGATGCTTTGTAAATGTTTCGTGCCATCGTTCAAGTGCGATGCAACCCCGCCAAGGCTCACCATCGGTGAGGCATTAATCTCTTTCATGCTCCATATCATACGTATGAGAGTCAGAATGAAATAGCGGTGATGCTCTGGATTGATTTTCCTGATCGAGTTGTCCGTATCATCCAGGAGGCTTCTGCACAAAGCTCGGAATCTGGGAACGGGAGGAGTGTGCTTCGACCACGGGTGAAGAGCAGCCCAAGCGTGCGCTGACTCCGCCTGCCAATGTTCAGTGGAGGAAGGCATCTCCAAGTCGAGATCGGAAACGCTCAGATATGGGCGACTGTTGTGAAGGTAGCTGACGGAAGAGTCAATCAACTACATCAAAGGGTCAATATTCGGCATCATTTCAGGGGTTGGCCCAATGTGGGCTACTGACATAAACGGCCCATCCAAGACGTCGATATCGCTCCTGGGTAATCCACTGGTGCCAGCGTTCTTCCACGCTGAGGTTTTCAGGAATAGGAGGAGCATTATAGCAGAAAAGACCCATACTTTTAGCATTGTGGACAAGTGAGCTTCGTGACGATTCACTCAGCTCGAACAGCCGACGGCTGGCACCACAATAGCCTTGCACGCTTTGAAATAGCTTGGCTGCCAGATACTGGTCTGACCGAAGAAAGCGTGGATCATGTTCAGCCTTGCGATTCAAGGTCAGGAAGACAGTGGTTGTAGTTGAATGTCACCGACGACTTACCATAAACGCAAGCAAACGGCGAACGAGTTCAGATAATGAATTCGAGAAAACATGCGCCCCTTCAAACCTTGTATAATTGGCTCCGACACTAGCCATCGACAATGTGAGCACAGGAAATTTAGTAGGGTCAAAGGTCGGACGATGAACAACAGTGAACGTCTGTGCAGAGCTCGTCAGTGGGTGGGCCAACGACATCATGGGTTGTCAACCAGGGAGACTAAGACTCACGCGGTCAAAGTGTCTGAAGAACATATCAAGACAATGATCTAGCTTTTCTTTTGATGGAAAATTGGCAAGTGAAACAGTCTGCCATGGGACACGCTCGAGAGGGAGGCGCATGCTGTTGAGAAGTCTGTTCCTCGTATCCTCACTTATATGCGTGAGGTGGTAGAAGGACCCCAAGGTGCTATCGTAGTCCTCTGGATGTAGCCCCAGCATTGGGAGTGTAAGTCGTTGGTTGGAAGCCGCGTGCCACTCCATCGGCCACACATCATCAGGACTGCAGCGGTCAAGTGGCGTCGGTTGTGGTAGATCGTCCAGTTCCTCTGACAGGACGCCGCTGAGCTGACCGTCAGCTGGAACCGAATTTCGAGGCTGTTCTTCATCTCTCCGCTGGATCGTGGATTCCAGGTTCACTCCAAGAAGGTCCAGTCTTGGTGACGGCGCCATTGACGGGAACACATCATCTACACCGTCGTCAAATATCCAGCCAAAACTATCAGCGTAGGTTTGAGAGTCGTCTGCGAACAGACCTAGAGGACCCCAAGCATGAGATGGCGTGGGAAAGTGGAAGGCCAGATTATGATCGGTAGGATCATCGTATCCACCATTCGCAGCAGCATCAGTCAAAGTGATTGCTGCTGGGAGTGTCGATATACCTGCGGGGTGGAAGGTGGGAGGCGGAGCACCGTGGCCCTGGATTGTTGCATGGGCCTCCACCGTGCTTTCAGGCACACGGGCCGATGCTGGTGGTTCCGGCGACCTTGCTACCACCTCATATACGCAGACCTGGTGTCGCTTTATGCAGGATGAGCAGCTGGGTTGTTCAGCAAGACACCGGATCTTGGATCTACAACATGTGAAGCGGCGTTAGTCCTACTAGAACAGCAGCAGGAGACCGCGCCAATGCATACCTGATACACTGTATACAAGCCTTCTTCCGAGATTTTGGGCGTTTGCGATTCCTATCATGAATTTGTAGATGACGAGTCAAGGCATCCCTATCCCTAGCTTGGTTAGATCGAAGCAATTTGTAGGTGTCTCAATGAGAGTAGTACCGTCGACGAAAATCTCTAGCACAGATCGGACACGTATGCCTGTCTTCTCGGTCGCCCACCGACTCGGTTGGCTGTCCACTGTGATTTGTGCGACATGAGCCTGCTGCCGCCGGTGACGATGATGGAGCTGACCTTTGCAACGATGGGTCATGCTCCATCGTCGTGATCGACTGTTCCCCAGGATAGTTTGAGGCCGACGATACCTCTGTGAAGAGTACTGTAAGTTTGTAACGAGACTAGACATCAACTCGACATCAGGTGATAGGGTGTACGCCTTGGGACGATACCCCAGATTCTAAAGTGGCGGGCACAATCTGGTTGTGGAGGAGACGTCGAACTCGGGGAAGCGGAGTCTGGGGAGACGGCGGAAGTCCGAACAATGCCAAGATGAACCTGGACTTGCCACAACCACATCCGAGTCCGAGAAGTAATAGGGCCAAGCAGAACGCATTGCTTGTATTAGCTGCCATCACGTTTCCGGTGCACATTAGATAAGTGTCGGTCAGGTAGTTGAGGCATGAGGCGAAAATAAGAGGTATCGCTGTGCTCAGGAAGGCGCCGGCGACGGTTGGAACTATCCAGTGTACACTATTATACAACGCTCTCCAGGCGAACCATTACATGGTAATGAGAAAGATAACACCGCCACCTATCAAGGAAACGAGGGCCCATATGTGCCAGCAGATATGACCCGTTTCTCGGAGAGGTGGTGTGCGAAGCGTCTAAACATCAAACGGATTAGCAGTGCACCAGTCGCCACATCCCACTCCGGACGGCAGAGAATATCTTGATGCCCGTGTAAACTCCGCACGACAGTTGACAGCGAGGCCATCGAAAATGAGACATATGCTTCGTTTGTGTATCAGGACTCCTTACACAAATTTCCCCATCTTCTTCCCAAATCGCGACATCATGGTTGAACAGTCTTTGGCAGGCAGAGTTGCTCTTGTGAGTGGCTCGGCGTGGAGCATCGGTGCGGCCGTATGCGTTGAGTTGGCTTCTAAGTAAATGAAATCCCTCTGTGCCTTTGGACAGACTTTGATCTTTATTTTACAACAGGGGCGCGTTAATCGTGTGCAATTATCCCTGGGAGTCTCAGAAAAAGGATGCGGAAACTGTCCTTGAGCAATGCCGTGCAACCAAAGGCGCGTCAGCTGAAGAATCTTTCGCTGTCGAGGCGGATTTATCGACGCTCGAAGGACCTCAGAAACTTGTCGACGAGACCATCGCTCGCCTCGATGGCCGCAAGATCGATATTCTCATCAACAATGCCGGTATTGCGATCATGAGGCCTCTCGTTGAAGTGACGCTCGATCAGTGGGATAAGCAAATCAACCTGAACTGCAGGGGCATGATGCTCTTGACGCAAGCCGTGCTGCCTCACCTTTCCAAGAAAAACTGCCGCATCGTCAATTCAAGCAGCGTTGGTGCACGTCTCGGGATGCGGGGATCGACAATTTACAATGGCACCAAGGCCATGGTGGAAGCATTCACGAGATGTTGGGCAGTGTACGCAGACACAGTGGACCCCTGTCCCTTGCGCTCAGCGGCTTATTTGCTAATGCTTGTTATGATAGTGAGTTTGGGCGTGAGTACGACTGTACTGTCAACGCCATCTGCCCCGGGCCGACCAATACCCACGGGTTCAACCACGCGGGCGAAAAGTTCCTTGCAAGTCTTCAACCGGTACTGGATGCAACTCCCAAAGCCGCTCGAGTGGCAGAGCCGTCAGAAATTGCAGGGGCTGTCGGCCTCTTGTGCGAAGAAAAGGCGGGATGGGTCACTGGAGTGTGTCTGGGTGTGAATGGCGGTTTCCACATGCCTTAGGCGCTTCAGCGTCTACCCTAGTTGCCCTCAAATGGTATTCACCATAACTAAACGTAGACAATAGAAAAGCCTCAGACAAGTTGTGCTGTTTATCGGCCTGTTATTCCTCTGACCAGGTACCCAGTGTGTCGCATTAGCAGTAGGCGATCTGCCCAGCGAGGCTAACCCCCCTACCCCTAGCCCGAAAACGAGGCGTATGGGCGCCGCTTTAGAGAAACCTTTCTATGTCATTTGAGCCTTGGGTGAGTACAGGGCGGCGTCACCCTAGGCTCGAAGTAGGGTGAGTCCACTAGTCGTATGATGTCTAGATCAAGAACTCATTTTATATGCCTGCGGAACTACGAGCAACGGCACTTTTCAATTCAGACTGGTGCCGCCACCGCATGACTGACTGATGGAGGGTATATTTACCTGCGTGAGGTGCACGAGGACCCTCACAGCACTAGGACGACAACGCGCAAGTTCTCGATTCCCACGGTCCTCACCCAGCAGTCGATGGTTTTCACAGAGCTCGGCTGTCTACCATCCACCCAAGAAAGCAACCAACAACCTCCGCCCAGCAGTGGCCGAGAGCTCCAAATATTCTCTACGAGCATCGTCGACCTCTTCAGCGCCTCTAACAGAACCAGACAACTTTGAACGTCACAACATCCCTCCCACCGATTATGGCGAATGGCGCGCCCATGGACGAACTCTTCTCCAACCAGACAATCTCTTCCACCGTTTCTCTGAATCTCCAATCCCCGAAATCAGACAAAGAGCTCGTTATATGAAACAACATGCCCTGTGCCCACACCCTGCACATCAGCAGACTCGAGTCCCCGTGTCACCGCATGATCCGGAGGGTCGAAAAGTTGCTGGAAAGAGCACACAGCCACCTGCCCATGTCAACTTTGAATGTCCCGATTGCGGTATTGCCACATACTGCTGTGAAGAGCATTGGGCCGATGACTTTGAAGCACATCTCGAAATCTGTGATACTTTGAGACAGATCAATGAGGATGACCATGACTTGAGGTCTGGAAGATGGTTCCCTGAATTCGAATACCCCGGTCCGCAGCTGGATGAGATCTTGGTCAATATGACTAGTTGGGATACCTTTCTGTACACTCGGCAATTCGAGGCCATCAACGCAGACCGCAGCATGCGACAGGCCACGAGACTATTGACCTACCCCTTGACGATCGGTAGTGTTCTTCACGAGCTGAGTCCATATAATATTCGACGAGGTGGAAGATTGACACCAGAAGGGTTGAAGAGTTTCAGCGGTAAGATTTCTTCTCAGTAGCTGTATCAAGGGTATTAATACTGACTATCACAGCTCTACGATATACACTTCATCCTCCACGACAAGGTCAAGGCATTGATGTCGCTGGTCTTCGTTTGGCTTCCCCTCCAGTGCGAATATTCATCCTCGGAGCTCGTGCCGAGTCTTCCTTACCACGTGAAGTCTGGACTCAACTCAATCACATCTTTCCTCGATCACTTATCCACTTAATTTTCATTGGACCTGAATCCATGGCCAACCGGGACGGCGAGTTTCCACTGCCAGAGAGGACACCGACAAATCCATTCGGAGCAATTGTCGAAGATCGTATTTCGGAAAAGATGAAGATCACGACGTATGTCGAGTATTTCCACACCTTGCATGAAGCCAACCAATTCTATCCGTACGACCCATACTTTGATTGTTTCATGCTATTCCACCCGGGACTCGGACATCCCGCGTCATCACAAGAGTGGGAACAGACACTTCCACAGCTCCTGGCGACCAAAGTACCTATCCTCGCCACCGGTTATACCGAATTCGACATGTATCGAGATTGGCAGTGGGTGATGGACACGTGCGCGGGAGAAGTCGATCTCTTGATGGAACCTGGCGAGAACAGATTCCGTTCGTTGAGATGGGATTTGAATGACCTAGACCCCCAGGATATCAGTTGTGGTAATTGGGGTGTCTGGGCGTTTAGAGGTAAAAGGTATGTTTTCTGTTTGCTTTTATCACTTTATGTTTCGTTACTGACTGCTGCTACAGATATGAAGCAACCCATCGAAATGTAGAATAGTCATCAATACAGCAATAGGCTCAGGTGTATAAAAACCGCATGGTTGTCATTCACTACCTTAGGTACTTGACATTGGGTTCTTACAATGTACACACTATGGTGAAAAAGATCCCAAATCCAAAGCTTGACCTCAGACGCGAGGAACTCCCGGATGCACTGTGCCGGGATGAACAGGGATGAAATGGAATATTTGCCCCATCAACCCAAACATGACGTTCTAGAAAAACCTGCAGATCGAAGATCAGTCATGAAGGCGGCTATGGGAGATAGCACGATGGTGTGTGGATGATAATTAAGGCAGTGCATCAAATCATGTGACGCTTATATTGATAGTGAGAAGGCATAGAAAGCACTTAGTGGGACATCTGCGGCATGGCAGGCACACAAGTAAGCACAATGCGTCCAAAATCTCCGTTTGGCAGTCTAATCCACCAATAAATATCGAGACCCTGACAATTAAAACAAGCCCTTAGCGCGAGATCTTGCAGGGGCAGCCAGGCAGTGCAATCGGCGCATTGGGGAGGAGCATGCCCCTCTAGCACCTACCTTATAGGTGCTAAGGGTCACCAAAGTACGCCCGAGGCCCCGGGAGGGGACCCTCCCACAGCCACCAAAAAGCGCTGACCAATACCTAACACGAGAACATCTTATGAGCGCATGGCAAGGCGTCATCGAAAACAACAAGGCTCCTTGTGATCCAGACGGCGCAGGCGAACAATTCTCAAAGGAGGCGTTTCACTCGACTTCTCCCAGTTTGAAACATATAAGCAGGGCAAGACACACTCCGTCTCCTGATTGCTGAGCCCACACAACTATTCACAGTCATATACGGATACATACCTCACCATCTATACCCAAGCCAAGTCAGATTCTTGGTCTGATCATCGAATTCTAGCAAGCGGACTCTTCTACAACGTTTGACTGCGCTTTGCGCTACTCGCCACAACCTATCTGGTTAACCAATCCTCATCAGCATCCAGCGGGCTTGATTAAAACCCACCCACAGCACACACCATTCAGGATGAAATTCTCAATACCCCTATTGACCACACTGGTCTATCTCTCCACATTCGCCGCCTCGGCGCCTCCCCCATCATCATTTCAATCCGACATCTCCAGAATTTCTAGACGAGAAGCCGCCGCCGCCTCCTCACCCCTCGATTCAATACACTCGTTAGAGAAACGCAAAGGCGGAGGCGGGGGACGAGGCAGCAGTGGATCCTCCGGCGGACGAACAGGCTCAGGCACTGGCGGCGTCGGTGGCGGACGTGTATATTCATACATGCCTAATTCCAACGTCGGCGGACGCACAATCTCCGGCTCAGGCACACCCAAAGCCTTTGGCAACCGATATACCGGCGGCGCCGCCGTGCCATACACAGCGGGTCTCTCGTCACCGACCCGAGGAATCGCACCATTCGCTCTCCCTGTCGCGGCTCTCGCATTCTTCCCTGGGTTATGGCTATATGGCTCGGTGTTTGCATATCCATATGCCTATCCATACCATTGGTATCATAATGGTCAGAACCACACCACCAATGTCACATGCCTATGTCAGCGATACCAGGTCTGTGGCTGTGATCCAGATAATGACGAGAATGGGAACAGTACGTTCCTCGACCAGCTGATCCTAAATGGAACGGGCGAGCCGGTCAATTCGACAAATGTCCGGACAGTGGATTTTGGGAATGGGAGTGTTTCGACTTTCATCAATGGAAGTCTAGAGAATGGAACCACGGCTGCTGGTGGGACGGATCCTTCGAATGATAGTCAGGTTAGTGGTGCGATGAGGGTGGTTATGGAGGCCGGTGGGTATTGGGTCATGATTGCCACTGTTGTCGTGGGGACGTATATGGCGGCTTGAACGGAATGACACGACCTTTCTCCTTTGGCATGGAAGATGTATATTTTGGGTCGGGGTTCATGATGATTCATATGTTTGGCATGTTGGTTTCCAGCCAGTTTTGTGAGCATGATCGCACAAGTTTTTTGTGTGGTGAAAGATGATTTTCATTGTCTTTATCATCTGTCAAAGTGTTTACGCCTCGGATGGTCAGACACGTGTATACATAGGAACATAGATAATGATTGAATGTGGTGTCATGAGAATACTGTATGATGTGTATGGAATTATGAAACTCAATTTTGGAGGCTGGTTTGCGCGCTCTATGACTATAACTGATTCTGAAGTCTTGATTGACTGATATATCTATCTGTCACAAGGGGCACGACTACACTACGAGACTCTCCTGATATCTCGCCCCAATCATGCAAATGATGCCGGAGAAGATCGGGGTGGAGATGTACACTCGAAGCATTGGCAACCTTCCCAAATCGTCCGTCTCTATTTTGTAGCCAGAGGGGCCTTGGTAGAGAAACCGACGCAAGCATTGCTCCAGCAACAAAAGGTGAGAGTGGGTTGTGCTTCCAGTTCATTTTTAACCACCGCCCCTATCTCACACCGACAAAGGTGTAAGGAAAAGCACAAGACCAATGGCTTCAACACCATAGATCAGTCTCTGAAAGATGTATTTTCTCGCTCTTCGTGAAGTGACCTTTTCACTGTCCCATATGTACATAACAAAAGTCTGTTGACAAACAACTCTATAATTCCACTTTGGTACCTGGCTTCCGTGCCTGTAAATGGATTAGCCAGAAACAAGTGAAACCGAGCGGACACGCTTCTTACCAGATTAGCTGCTGGACCACCAAGCTCTTTCTCCAAACCGTCTTCATACTCGACGGGCACAGCTGGTTTGCCTGGGAATGTGGCGTACACAAAAGCAGAGAGAGCCCCAATGCACCCAAGGAAACCAGCCCACAGCAAAGCACCTCGAGCCGGGGTCATGTGTGTGTAATCTTCCAGCGCAAATATACCCAAGATCTCATTATCTTCATGGACTGGCTCTCCGAAATTTCGTCGTTCTTGTGGATCGTCCCAGTCGCCATAAGGATCTCGATGTTGTCTCTTGATTCGAGGAGGATTGATGTAATTGCCGTTCTACAAGTCAAAGTCAATTGCATGTCTCCAAAGTTGCTTCCAAAGGTCGCACCATTTCAGGATCGTCGAGTTCTGCCCCAGCTCTTCTGCTCAATGCGGTCGAGAATGGTGCGATGGGTCGGGCTTGTGATCGAATCATCGCAGCTCGCGTCGACCGTGAGGCCAGGGATAGAACCTGTCGAGACAACATGGTGAATAGGTAAAGTAAAATGTTTGGCAATAAATGCCAGTCTCGATTGGTGAGGTCGTCTGCCGAAGGAGCGTGGAATTCAAACCGTCGTAACCTCTGGAAGTTGAGTAGCAGGACGAGTGAGCTGAAGTCTTAATGACGAGCAACAGGAGGATTGTGATTGGCTGTTGGATGGGGCTTCACGGTGCGCAGGCAGGAGCTTCCTTGGAGATCCCAATGCAGGAAGGCGCGGATGTGTCAAAGGCAGGAGGGCAACTGCGACTCACCCAAGTCCTCCCAAGCTAAACTCATTTGGTTGCACCTGACGCCTTTGCAAACTTCTCTCTCACAACTCTTCAGAACGACCCCAGGAACAACTACTTTCACTTCTCAACAACCCATTATTGTCGCAGTCTCCTTCAAACTTCGCATACGATATTCCCTCAATCCACTGATTCATTCGATCGGTAGTTTGGCCCGCATAACGCCCTAGTCGTAGAGCATGCTCGTCACCAATTCATCAACCTAATCGACCCTACAAGGATCAGTTGGCCATGCCAGGCTCGCTGCACTCTCCCAATGCCCGACTCTCCCCCGATCGGCGATTCTCTCACCACCACCACCAACAACCACATCAATACTGACACGCCCGAATCTCTACTTCACGAAGCAACGACGCATGTTGATTCGAACCCAGAAATATCCAACGAGAAACCAGCCTCTCCGAATCGCCTTCGCAGTCCCTCAGATGAACGCCTTCCCACTCCCGTCTCAGACCGTCCGCCGCCCGAGGACAACAAACTTGAGGAGCCTCCAAACAAGAGACGGAAGCTCAACGACCGTGATAATGAGGCCTCGCCTCGTCCAATCTCTCCTCCATGGAAGAGGGTCATCGCGGATGGTCCCACCTCATTTCTCGAGAATGGCCGCCGAAAATCGGGGAGGACAAACGCGGTCCCTCTCGCCCTTCAGCCACAATCAAACAAGAGACAGACACGTGCCCAATTCGACAAGACAAAGGGAGAGAACCAGAAGCAGGTAAAGCCTAATTATAATCTCTCTACTCGAACTCCCAAGGCCGAAACCCCAGTCGCCGCTCAGACAAAATCGACAAACCTTCGCCATGCCAGTCTACGAAATCAAGAACAATCCAATGGCCTCAAGATCGTTCCCATTCAAAGGAAGTCGAAGGAATCCGCCACCGAATCGAAGGTATCAGCCCCTTCACCGTTAAAAACCACGCGACGTTCAACGAGTACTCCAGTGCACCCTCGTGGCGGCAAATCTCCCGCCATCAATGGCCAGGTGGCCAATGAAAACCGCGTCAATGGCCTAATCAAGAAAGAACCAGAAGACAACGACGAGGAATCCGAGCTCTCTAGCATAGTCTCGTCACGATCACCGAGTCCGCCGTTGGCTCTGAGAAAAGTCACCTTTCGAGTCCGTCTACTAAATCCATCGATTACTTCCCCGGCAAACCTGCCATCACAAAAGAAGTACGCTTCTTTCCGGGAGTTCATCGAAAAAGACGAGTTGGAACCTCGGGCAGGAGAAGACCTCCTTACTCAAGAACAGATTGAGCGAGAAGCCGTCGCTCGCAATCGACTCTTCAATGCCCAACAGCTTGGAGGCATCCTCAACAAAGGTGTTATCGATCGTCTTCCAGAGAAGCAAAGCGAGCCCAGGCGTCAATACGCCCATCATGATCATCTATTGGCCCACATTCATCATTTCAGACTTCTACTCCGCCACGAAAGCCGAGATCACAAGAGGAAGGCTGAGTTACTCGCCCATGAAGCAAAGCGATATGTGGAAGAGAGGCAAAAGCGGAACAAAGTCAAGACAAAAGAAGAGATTGAGAAAGAACTTCGTGATGCTAGCATCGCACGATACCGGAACACTGTCAAGGATCTCGATAAATTATGGGCTGGGGTGAGGGCCGAGGTGGATACCATTCGTCAGAAACAATACGAAGAACAGCAGCAAGCTAAGATGAAGGGCCATCTAGCACGAGTCTTGGATAAAACAGATCAAATGCTGGCGCGCACGGTCGAACAGGACGAGTCTACCCTTAATGGTGATGACGATTCTTCCAACGACGACTCCGTTTCAGGCTCTGATGACAGTCAACAAATGTCCGAGTCCGAATCTGAATCTGATCCAGAAGATGAAGCTAATGATCATGATGCCGAGATGTCTATCGAAGAACTCAAGCGCAAATATGAGAATCTCCCAGAAGTGCCACAGGATGAGGACACTGCTATGGAAGATGATGTTGAGATGAGCCGAAACTCAGAGGAGGAAGACTCTGATCCCGAAACTGAAATGGATAGTGAATTCGACACAGACGAGAGTGAGGCTGACGATTCTGACGATGACGATGACGCCACAAGTGACCAAGACTCCTCCAAAGGTGGACTTCTAGCTCTCTTCTCCAGAAGAGAAATCGAGAGCATGGCACCGACCGAAGATCCCGATGAGCATGACTCCTCAGCTGATGTTGAGGACGCAACCGCTGCAGAACCAAGTCCGCTAATTGAAGTCTTGGAAGAAACAGAAGATATGGATATCGATGGTGAGGACTCGAAGACTCCTGGAACCATCAGTCGTCCCCAGTCGAGAGATTCAGCCAACGACGTGGAATCGACGCTTCAGTTGACCGACCATGACCAACTGCAAACCAGCCTACCCTCAGAAGGGGTCGAATCTGCGAATGATTTGTCGTATCCCACCTCCACAAAAGCATCATCCTTGCCACCTGGCCCCGTCACCTCGGACTCTGAGTCAACTGACGTACCGATAAAGCCTGCTGTGAGCAGGCCGTCATCTTCACATCTTCACGTCACAGGAGATCTTCTCAGTCCTGAGCCAAGTGCTCAGACCTCTCCTCGCACCACTGCTACAAAGGTTTCGGAACCGGAGTCTGCTTCTTCGGTTGATGTCAGAGCAGAGTCGGCGGCCCCAATGACTCCCTCAGATACAAAACCCATCATCAAAACACCAGTTCCAAGTCTTCTGCGGGCCACTTTGCGAGAATACCAGCACGAGGGTCTCGATTGGCTTGCCGACTTATATGCCACCGGGCGGAGCGGTATTTTGGCCGATGAAATGGGACTCGGAAAGACAATTCAAAGTATCTCACTTCTTGCACATCTGGCTGAAGTGTACCAAGTCTGGGGTCCACATCTTATTGTGGTGCCAACGAGTGTTATGCTCAACTGGGAAATGGAGTTCAAGAAGTTTCTGCCAGGTTTCAAGATCTTGACCTATTACGGCAATCAAGAGGAACGAAAGCAAAAGCGCAGAGGGTGGATGGCGGATGATAGTTTCAACGTCTGCATCACATCCTACCAGCTTGTCATCCAGGACGCCAATTCTTTCAAACGTCGAAAGTGGCACTACATGATTCTTGACGAAGCGCACAACATCAAGAACTTCAGGTCTGAACGTTGGCAGACCATGATGACCTTCAATACCACGGCACGGCTATTGCTGACGGGAACTCCTCTTCAAAACAACTTGACAGAGCTATGGTCCCTGCTCTTTTTCTTACATTATGGGCAAGAGAGCGATGGGGAAGACGACGCCTTTGCGGGGCTCAAGGAGTGGTCCGAGTGGTTCAAGCGACCGGTCGAGTCGATTCTTGAACACGGCAATCAAGTTTTGGATGCTGAAGACCGGGAGCAAGTTGCCAAATTGCACAAAGTCATTCGGCCATTCCTTCTTCGAAGACTGAAGCGCGATGTGGAGAAGCAAATGCCTCTGAAATACGAACACGTAGAGATATGCCGGCTGTCAAAACGTCAACGGCAGCTCTACGACGGATTTATGGCACGAGCGCAGACGAAGGAGACGTTGACCTCCGGCAACTACTTGTCCATCATCAATGCGTTGATGCAGCTTCGAAAAGTGTGCAATCACCCAGACTTGTTTGAAACTCGGCCGATCAACACCTCTTTTGCAATGCCAAAATCAGTGGCTGCTGGGTTTGAGATTAAAGATTTTCTCGTTCGGCGGAAGCTCCTACTCGATGCAGCGAACGATCTAGACCTGAACTTTCTGCGCCTCGCACCTATTTCCGACGAACACGTGTCGAAGATTGAGATCATGGAATCGTCCAAACGTCATGCTTACCATCAGCTCAAAGCCCTTCGTGACTCGCAACGAAGCCGCATCGCCGACAATTTCTTATGGGCCGGCGAGAATCAACGAGCAGTTCTTGGTTCTCTTGACAATGTTGGGCGGAAAGTCAGACTTAGAGAGATCGACAGCACGATGTACTATGAAGGGTACCGACACGCTCAACGTGCTCTCTATGGTCGGGGGCTCATCAACAGGCTGACTATCAACACCACCAATGCGCGGTTGTCTAGGCTTTCCAGAAACTCGCTCAGAACACGATTCTGGGAACAGGAATCTGTGATTGAGCCATTTCTGGGATTAGTCCATCCGCTGCAGGCGAGGTCGGAACAGATGGAACCATTTGTTCAGAGGTATGCTTGTATTACACCGGCAGTCGTTGCTACAGACCTAGGTGCCACCACTGTCACAGAGCCCGGAGCAGCCATGATCCGAAAGTTCTCGCAGACACCAGAGCCAGTCGACCCGTTCCATCAAGCTCGCATGAAGCTTTCAATCGCGTTCCCGGACAAACGGCTCTTGCAGTACGACTGTGGAAAACTCCAGAGGCTTGACAAATTACTGCGGCAATTACAGGCTGGTGGACATCGAGCATTGATATTCACCCAAATGACCAAAGTCCTGGACATTCTGGAACAATTCCTCAATATTCATGGCCATCGCTATCTGAGACTTGATGGGGCGACGAAAATTGAACAGCGTCAGATACTGACTGATCGGTTCAACAACGACAATCGCATCTTAGCCTTCATCTTGTCTTCACGATCAGGCGGATTGGGCATCAACTTGACTGGTGCCGATACTGTCATCTTCTACGATTTGGACTGGAACCCTGCCATGGACAAGCAATGTACCGATCGCGCACACCGGATCGGACAAACGAGAGATGTGCACATTTACCGCTTCGTGTCTGAGCATACCATCGAGTCCAACATTCTTCGCAAAGCCAATCAAAAGCAAATGCTGGATGACGTGGTCATTCAAGAAGGCGAGTTCACCACAGACTATGTGAACAAGCTCTCCTACCGTGACATGCTGGACGACACCGGCGAGGAAGATGCCGCCGGAGCTGCCATGGATAGAGTCCTTGGAAATGATAAACACAACACGAAGGTATTGGAACAGGCAGAAGATCAGGAAGATCGGGCAGCTGCCAAAGTGGCGGTCAAGGAAGTGCAAAATGCAGATGACGGAGACTTTGAGGACAAACCTGCCGACACAAGAAGTGGTACACCTCGGACACACGAGGCGCTGATGTCTGGATCCGGCCCATTTGGAGCCACCGAAGAGGCATTGAAGGCAGCTCAGGAGGAACACCACATTGACGAGTATCTGGTCAAGCTACAACTGTACCTCGTGCGCGACATTCCATTGGGACCGGCGAAGAAGAGTAAAAAGGGGAAGAGAAGGGATGAGCACCGCGTGAGGAAACGATGAAGCGATGTCAGTCATTGAGGCGAGGCACTCGAGGCACCAATGTAAAAAACTGTAAAATTAATCAGATTTAATTCTTGGCTTGATGATATCAGAACACTTGCCTCGCCATCCGTGTCACACGACCAACACATGGATGTAGTGTCACATGAGACCGCCAGAGAGATTGTCCTGTGGCTCGCCAGCTGGTGTGTTCACTTGAGTTGGTCTGGCTGGGAGTGATGTGTGGCTGCCACGAAGAGGCACGAGAGGGTTAAGCCGTTCGCGGAGAAATAAATAGGACTCACAATCCTTCAGTGGCCTGATGTCTTGGATTGGGTCCGCTTGCAACGTTGTGGAACGAGAATTTGACCGAGCGAGAACAACGGGATTCAACGTGCGGCTATCGGCTTCCCGTAGTTAGCAGGTTGAAGCGAAACCTGCTCATGTGGGTTCTTCGTAGCTCAAAAGACAGACGAGGAGAGTGAACGGACGCATGAGAAGATCTCCGAGATGAACTGGCCTCCTTCGCATTGGTGCCATGGTCACGAATGAGAGAATGAATTTGCGAGATGGCGCTGAGGCTGGGCAAGGTTGGAATTGCCGATATCCCAGCGTTCGGGTCTGCAGCAAGCGAGGTGGCGGAGTGGACTTGTATCGAAGACAAATGATAACGGAGGGGGTGAGGGAACTTTGCACGGAGAGGGGGAATATTTCTCCTCGCTAGGCCGGCGACGTTGCATCATGGGGATAGAATTGCTAGAAATGTCAGAGTTGCCTCAGGAATGAGCGGAAGCGAGTGGATAAGTAATATGCGAAAGCAGCCTGGATGAGGCTGGTTCAATCTCTGATGAAGTGGGTTAGTATCGCTCAAGGTGGTGGAGCCGCTTGGCTATTCGTATACTCCGTATATTGATCAATATTCACGCAAGGCTCGATGAATGTAGAGTATAGAGGCGAGTGGTGTCTCCTCACATGGTCGCCATTTTCTGGAAAATAGCAGAAGTCGCATTCTAGCCGTGGACAAGAGCGTTGTCTTCGTCTAGTTCCTGCCATTGTTGGGTGCGAAATATCACTGGTGAATGAGCCGTTGGTGTCGTCAATGGGGCTTTTCGAGCAGGGAGACAAACGAAAGTACCAACTTTGGTATGCGTATTGGTGCCATGGTCCCGTGAGCGTCTCAGCTGACTTCACTGCATATACATGAGTTCCAACTTGTAGTCCGAATCGTAGTTGTACTATGCGTGTAGGGAAGGTCAGGCTCAGGCCTTACGCTTGACCTCTTTAAGAAGTGAGGGGAAAGTGAAGTCTTCCTCAAGCACACTTATATCATCTGTTGGGTCCGGTGGAACAAAGAAGGAGGGTGCAAGGGGTGTTTCAGCAGCGGTCTGACGGCGCTCCACTCCACATTCCTGGTTTGGTAGACGAAAGACCACCGCTTGGGTAATTTGGAGCGTCGCCAATGGACTACGCATATGCACGCAGCAGCCATAGTTGACAAGTTAGGACATGATGTTGGAGATCCCCACAGCCAAAGGCGGTAGCTGGAGAAATGGCGCGATCCCACATTGTGGCGTTCGGGGGATCTGGCTGCCTGGGCGGCTAATATGGGTGGGACCGAGTGCGATAGATCAATCATGTATCAACTTCCACAGGGCCAGCGGATAGCCTAGCCGGGATATGATCTTCAGGACTTCAACACAAGGCTTGGGAGGGCTTGACGGGGTCGAGGGTTGTACAAGGCCGCGCCCAAGAGGGGGCGCCCAGACAAGCGGTCCGCTTGATTCGACGTCTGTTGCATCGTTAGCGAGGTAGCAGTCCTGTTCGCTTCCAACAGATCCCCGGCCAAAGCATACCCACCACAATCATATTGACCATACAGCAGAAAGCCGGGAGATAGATGGGTTGAGCGTTGGTTGGGATTACAGAGGTCAATGCAAGAGGGCACTGACTTGGCTGGGTCGGGTGTATTGATGGTGTCGCAAGGATTGGCCGTTGAGGTAAAGGCGGTTTCTGGTCACACGACGTCAGTCGCAGTGAGGGTCCGTCAGTGGAGAAGGAGGAGGAAAGAAAACAATGATTGACCTGGCATGGATGGGGGCAGGGATTCAAGTCCTGCCTTGTCAGGCTCCCTGCGAGGTTGGGCATTCCGAGAATAGTGCAGTAGCATACAGAGGAGCAACTCCACCTGGACTGAATTCCACGACGAACCAACGACGAACGGCCAACAGGCAATCGCCTACTGACAGCTTATACACATCAAATTGATGGAAGACGTGGATGATGGGACTGGGAGGAGGGAGGAAGTGAGTAAGTAGGGACTAGGTAGGTAGGTACCTTCCTATGGTTCGCTCCTGCCTTCCAAAGTTGATCAGAAAAACACGGGCAGGCACGCCTGACAACGATTGCCTTCGTGCCTTCCCTCCAAGCTTCATGTCGATGGCCTTCACAAGCTTGGCCCTCTTGGCATTTCTGCCATCAACTGCATCAGTCCTGGACCATCAACTTGCATTGCAAACACATCACCTTACCGAATCGCCAACTCCACAGCCTACAAAACAGTGTAGCTGTTCTTGTCCATGTAGAGAGCTGACTGTACCATTTTTGGGGCTAACAGTACTGACTCACTGGCTAGCATTCGCCCCCAGACTTCCCCACTCTCTCAAACCGGCCATCTCTCTTCCTCCAGCTTCTCCCCAGGATGGCTACCAACCACATCCTTGTCAAGCAAACGCCGACGACTCAACGGATGCCCTCTCCAAAATATCTCAGCTTCCAGCCTTAGGGGGGCCTTACTATGGCGATAGTCGTCCTGGCAAGCTCAACACCCTCGCCTTGATACCTCCCTGGGACATAAGCATGAACGACATACTCTGACATGATCGACGAGATGGAGGAGTCCAAGGGGGTCTAAGGATCTCGGCCAGTGATGCAGCATGTCGATCTCCAGTCAGAAACGATGGTTCAATGCCCCATTTATGCTCGATCAACCTCCTCTTGATACCGAACATTCACCATGAGCTTCCCCTATGCACACTGCCTGTGACCAGAGTGATTCAACCAATCGCCTTTGGAAACATGCATCAAAAGATTGCCATCTACCAGACTAGGACGGTATAGACGAGGTAGTGTCCCATCTGTCGCCCTTTATGCATGGGTGAATGGATAAGCTGATGCCTTGTTCTTCACATCTATAGGCAGACCCCATCACATGCAACTTCGAAAACCCCGAAGTACATGGCTAATACTCATCCTCTAGCCCCTTTCAATCTATGGCCTCCGCAATGCATCCAATCTCGCGTACCCACTGCAGACGGATACTCTTTGTTACCGCTCATTCTCCACACCAAGAGCCTGTCCCATAGGTCCTGGTCTTGGCCTTGTTGAACATTTTGGAGGGACAACAGCAGCATCGGGCGCATCTGTAAGACCAGTCGCTTCCGTGATGTGATACACCAACCTTGGTACAGTACTTGTTTGCTGACGCTCGATGACTTCATGCCGTGTCACTCTGCTGCGGCATGGTCCCTCATGCTGATGCACTACTTCATCCCAGCCTCGACCAGTTGCCTCTTTTGCGGGCTCAGCGGGTCCTTGGAGCATTTGGTCGTCTTGAAACATAGACAACCATTGTCATCGAACAGGGTTAGTACGCTACTGGCATGCATAATGCTGTCGATCAGGGTATCATCGCAACAATCCCTGTCTCGACTGTCATTAGGTCAGACGGAACTTGAATTGGTCTGGTCTCCCGTCTACCCACTCGTTATTACAGCCTCCTACCCCCTTCTACAAAATAGGTCTTTGGGCACCCATCGAATCCCTGGACTTGGAGGTCTTGCTTGTTGATTCATCCCCTCAACTCACGTCGAGTTCACGCGACCATGGCGACTTCGAAGGATGGCATTCAAGAAGGCCAGGACGTTCCAGAAATTAGACGGCCTTCTGTCCTTCTCGACGTGGCTAAGATCAAAGACAACATTGCACAATTGAATGAAAACGTCAGTGGAGAGTAAGCCATCGTCACATCCATCACCAGTCTGTTACTTATACTGCTGCTCAGGATCAAAAATCCTTTGGTCGGCATTCCTCGCGATCAACTCTTGCAAGATGTCGAAGACTTTGCCAAGGACCACAAACTCGAAGAGGCTCTTCCCCTTCTCCGCAAAGGCGCCTTAGTTGCTCAATCTCCCCACAATTTCGAACATATTCCAGAACTGGAAGAAGATGAACGTGTCGCCCTGCGCGAAGAGATCACCCACAGGTGGAAGCATCCACGACCTCTTTACTTCACCATCTTCTTGAATTCGATTGCTGCCGCCATCCAAGGTTGGGATCAAACTGGTTCCAATGGTGCAAATTTGACCTTCCCGGTCGATTTTGGTATTCCAGACCATGGAGATGTATGCGAAGCTGCCGGAAATTGCGAGCGCAATTCCTGGATCGTCGGCTTTGTCAATGCCAGCCCATATATAGCCATTGCATTTTTGTGAGTTTCAATCGCCCCCGGCCTCAAGTTAATTACTAATTTTGCAGTACCGCTTGGATCTCCGACCCTATCAATCACTTTGTCGGACGTCGCGGAACCATCTTCATTGCTGCCATTTTCTCTCTACTCGCTCCCATCGGTTCAGGCTTTACCCAGAAATGGGGCCAATTGGTCGCAACTCGTGTTCTTCTTGGTATCGGTATGGGCTTGAAAGAGGTCACGGTGCCTGTTTATTCGGCTGAAAACGCCCCGACGAGTATTCGTGGTGGTCTCGTCATGTCCTGGCAAGTATGGACCGCCTTTGGTATCTTCCTGGGCACGTGTGCGAATTTGGCCGTCAAGGACACTGGTAGAATTTCCTGGAGATTGCAGCTCGGTTCGGCGTTTATTCCGGCCATTCCTTTGGTACTCGGAATTTACTTTTGTCCAGAGGTTAGTCTAGCCATACTCCAATGGCCCACCGCATCCTTATTAATGAGATGATAGTCACCACGTTGGCTTCTAAAGAAGAAACGATATGTTAAGGCGTACAAGTCTCTTTTGCGACTTCGCAATACACCACTTCAGGCCGCCAGAGATCTCTATCTCATTCACGCTCAGCTCCTCCAGGAAGAGCTTCTAGTAGAGGAAACTGGCGTTGCTGCCAAAGGAAACTTCTTTACTCGTTTTATTGAGCTGTTCACCATCCCGCGTATTCGAAGAGCCACACAAGCATCGGGTATAGTCATGATCGGACAACAGATGTGTGGTATTAATATCATCGCCTTCTACTCCTCCACGGTCTTTGCAGAAGCAGGTGCTAGTATTACTGGAGCACTCTTGGCTAGCTGGGGGTTTGGTCTCGTCAACTTTATCTTTGCCTGGCCAGCAGTCTGGACGATTGACACCTTTGGGCGACGTGCATTACTCCTCTTCACTTTCCCCAATATGTTTTGGACCCTGTTGGCAGCAGGGTTCTGCTTTTGGATTCCTGAGGGCAATAACGCTCGACTCGGTTTGATTGCAACCTTTATATATCTCTTCGACGCCTTCTACTCTCCTGGTGAAGGGCCTGTTCCCTTTACATATTCGGCCGAAGTGTTCCCTCTCTCACATCGTGAGATGGGCATGTCTTGGGCCGTGGCGACCAACAATTTCTGGGCATCAGTCCTCTCCCTGACATGGCCTCGTATGCTTCGAGCCATGAAACCCCAGGGCGCATTCGGATTCTATGCAGCACTCAACATCCTGGCACTGATTATGATTTTCTTGTGGCTTCCAGAAACACGGCAGCGATCTCTCGAAGAATTGGATTACGTCTTTGCGGTCCCGACTCGCACGCATATGAGGTATCAACTCTTTACGGTTCTCCCGTACTGGGTCAGGACTCAGATTCTCCGACGAAAAGGTCTTACTCCGCCACAGCTCTACAAGTTCAGCGACGAGAGAGAGGACCATACTCCTGACCCAATGACAGATGAAGTCGAGGCCAAGAACGAGGAAAAAGAAGTCTAAGAACAAGTTGATGGGTCTTGATATATTCAGACGAGACGACGCACTTGCTAACAATAAGACTGGAGCCAGTCTTGATCAGAACCGAGAAGCAGCGCGTAACTCTATCCATCAGACTGGGTAGAGGGCAAGTGAGGATCTAGCTAATTGGGTTGACTTGACATTAAGGATCCGTAATGACTCGAAAGTGTCTTTAGTATGGTGAACTTTGATCCATACCTGAAATTGTCTTCAGTATCTCAACCACACCAGACTACTCAAAGAGAGAAAGATATCCCCAGACGAGAGTGTGTTGGTTGGTTGATCCGTTCGTTCCAACATAGTCGCATACGACAAGCAATGACATGCCATTCGTCAATACTATCTGTGCCCCATGTCCCATGTCCCATGTTCACATGTAACACATTTGGTAGTGTGTAGTGGTAGGGATTGCATATACAAGCGTCAAAGGTTTCGAAATGTTGCTGCAAGCTTATCAGGGGGTTGTCTATTTTCCATGTCTACACCTTTTCATACTCTCGATAGACAGGCTGCCACATCTGAGCCTCGACCCAGCTCTTCAACAAGCCGTCATCATGGACAGGGATATCATCCACCTGAGCAAGACCATCATCGACCGCCGACCTAATAACCGCCATGGCGATCTTAACACTCACAGGTCTCGCATCCTCAACACCAGGAACAAGCGCCTTATCCGGATCCTGCAAAGCAGGAGCCTCTTTCGCCAATGCCTCCACCGCCGCCACAAGCATCTTGTCCGTAACAAGACGCGAGCGACACAAGACCGCACCAAGTCCAATGCCTGGGAAACACACCGAATTATTACACTCAGCCACCTCGATCTCACGTCCATCGTCCAAAGTCACAGGTGGAAAAGGCGACCCTGTTGCAACTAGAGCCTTACCGTCCGTCCATCGAATCACATCCGCTGGCTTGGCTTCGTGGAGTCGCGTTGGATTACTCAGTGGGAAAATCAGGGGTCGTTCTACATATTTTGCCATTTCTTGAACCACTTGTTGTGTAAATGCCCCTGGTTTGGTTGATGTTCCGATCAAGACATGGGGTTTGACATGTGAGATGATGGTCTGGAGTGATTTAGTATCCATGTCTTTCCATTCTGGTTCGGATCGTGCGTATGGTTTCTGTGTGATGGATAGACCGGGTGTTGTGGTCAGGAGGAGGCCTGGTTTGTCGACGCACCTAGGATGACAGACCCAGGATTAGCAGAAGGACCATTTCCAACACCAATACTAGGTACCTTAATCAGGTATACATACCAAATCTGATCAGCAACCTGTTCCTTCTCCTTGCCTGCCTTGGTTGCAATCGCCGCCTGAATCTGTTCTGCAATACCACAGCCAGCGGTCCCAGCCCCAAAGATGACAACCCTCAACTCCTCCAACTTGACGCCATTCACATGCAAACCGGCCATAATCGCCGCCAGGGTCACGCATCCCGTGCCTTGAATATCATCATTAAACACCGGCGCGTGATTTCTGTACCGATCCAACAAATTCCTCGCATTGGTGAGTCCAAAATCCTCGAAATGGATATACGCCTTGGGAAACAACTTCCTGGCCGTCTGAACAAAGCGATCGACAAAGTCATCATATCTCTCTCCTCTGACGCGTTTGAAATGATGACCGAGATACAATTCATCGTTGAGGAGTGTTTCGTTATCGGTCCCCGTGTCCAGCACGACCGGTAACGTCCGATCTGGATGAAGACCAGCACAGATTGTCGTCAAAGCGAGTTTCGCCACGGAGATGAGAATCCCTCCGACGCCTTGATCGCCAATCCCGAGAATCTCTTCCCCGTCACTGACGACAATGTAATCAATCCCACCACCATCCTCGTTCGTTTGCACAAATTTACTCATCCGCTCCTCCACTTCATCCGGATGTTTGATACTGAGAAAACACCCATCCGGACGTCGAAACACACGTGAATAATTCTCAATCGCATCACCTTCAGTTGGAGTGTAGATGATACTAAACATTTCTCGAATATGGTCTTGGATCAGTCGATAGTACAAGACGGTGTTTTGTTCTGCCATGGAGGTCATGAAGGTGTTTTTGGCCAGATCGTCCTTTTGGCTCGAGTATTGGTCATAGGCGCGTTGCACTTGTTCGTCCAGAGTTTGGATGTTGGTGGGTAAGAGGCCCTTCAGGTGGAAGAGCTTGCGCTCCGAGGTGGTGAAACATGTGCCTTTGTTGTAGAAGGGGTTGTCGAGAAGGAGACGCCCGGAGAGGGAGACTTTCAAGGGCCGGGTTTGGGAGAGCGGGAGGTGGTTGAAGTTGGTGGATGACATGGTTGTGGATATGAGTTAGTGGTGAGAATGATGGTGGGGAGGGAAGGGGAGAAGATTGATAGGAATGACGACGATGGGTATCGTGTCAAGGCAAGCTAAGGAATAATAAGTATTAGAATCAAGCTGAAAGTTTGAAGCTGAAGTCGGATTGATGATAAAATACTAGGTACCTAATCGATTCCAACACCGAGCTCAAGCTCGGACTGACTCGTCAGTTCTTATATTAGCAAAATTCAGTTACTTATATCTCTACTAGTATCACATGTTGTCCTAGATGCCGTTATATTTCAACCAGTCGGAAAAGCCGGTTGTGGGATGCAAAAGAGGATGACGATGCATGACTTTAGGTTTCATTAAGCTAAGTACTACCTAGGTAGCTGATTCGCTTCTTTTCTGCAAGGTCATGTCGATGCAATCCGAGGGGTATAACATGATTTTGCATTTCTTCTACAAAAGGTCAAGGTCTGTTCTGAAGGTATAGAGTTGTTTTACAGTATTCTTCTGTGAGCATTGGAGTCTATTCGTACTTGAAAATGAATTGATGTATGCCTCTCTTTTATTCTATTCCTATTCAACTTCCACAGATCTCTCTCTGCCTCTCTCTCTCTCTCTCTCATTCTCTCATATGGCGGGGGACTACTCTTCTCCGATTTCCCCATCTTCATCACGCCACGCCGTTGAAACTTCGTGTTTGACTGATCCACTGTCCGTGCATTAGTTTTATTTTCGTCTAGTCCGTACTCTTTTCTTGGATACTAGACTTGGTATGAACTCAAGTCAACAGCTCATCCAGCATTCAGTGATTGTCAGGTTATCATATCGCAGAAATGTACTATAGGTTTGTTTTTACATGAAGAAAGGAGGAAAAGTTGGAACTGGAACGACAAGTCCTGATTTGATACTCTATGTCGAGCAGACGAGTTTGTTTCGCTGCCTCTTGAGAGTCCTGATTTGATTCTCTTTGATTCTCTCTCTCTCTCCCAAGCAGCAGCAGCCGACTGTGTTTAGCTGCCTCCCGAGAAACATGATTTGATTCTCTATCCAAGCAGCCGAATTTGTTTCGCTGCCTTCTGAAAGACACTGAGCCACCAACGCCAACGCTACAAGAGTTTTCTCTCCACCAGCCTCAAAGACTGCTATAACGGAAGGTATCGTCACATATCGTGTAACGTTGTGAACCACTGTTATCCGATGCAGGCCGTCTTCGCCTCAACATCAATCGAGCTCGATCAGCCAATCGGCACGATCCTGAGCATCGTCGGCCTTCCTGCCCGTAGTCTCCTTGTTCTGGTTCGCCTTGCTGGCGTCTGATTCTTCACCATCTCCTCCGGCCCTCATGGCCTGCCGACCGACTTCTGACCTCGTGCCTTCTCCTGTCGTCGTTGATGTCGTCCAATAATAGGATGCGCTTCCGGCATCCTTTCTGCCCTCGCCGGCAGCGGCAGCGGCAGCCTTCTCCTCGGCCTCAAGACATGCCTTGGTCTTGACTGGTATTAACGGAGGGCATGTGCCTCGCATCCCATCGTAGCTTTTGTCGACGGGATTGATTCGCCGAGTGACCTGAGGACAGTCACCCAGCTTGTGATATCCGAGATGGCAGATATCACATAATCCGGCATGGCGAGTTTCCTCGCTAGCAGAAGTGGAATCGTTTCCAAGCTTGTTGATTGAAGCCTGGTTCTTCATACTGGTGATATCTCCTTCTGGTGATTATCTGCTTGTTGATGCTGTCTTTGACAGATAAGGAATTGGTGGAAATGGGGAGGGCTGTAGATTGTGTGGTTTGGTGGTGATGGGTTTTGTTGGTGTGAGGATGATTTGATGAGGAGAGAAGATGAGAGAGTGAGGATGATATGGAAGATGAGAGGAATTGAGTGCGTAAGTAGGAGGTGAGGCAGTCTCTCTGAGATCGATTGATTGCCCGATCTCAGTGCTCTTGCAAGATCAATTGCCGCTTGGCAGCTGATCTTGTGGAGGGATAGGAGAATATGGACAGGGTGAGGCGTTTGAACACGTGAGGGCGCCCAGCATGTGAATGTGTCGGATTGCTACCTCAGGGGCAAGGCTTTGCAGCATTGTCCCTGAGACCATTCTTGTAGAAGGTGTGGATAGGTGAATAGAGACTGGGTGAGACTTGGAGCACGTGAGAGCTCAACACGTCAGGGTATCTGATTGCTACCTTGAGGGCAAGGCTTTGTAGTCTTGTCCGTGAGGCCATTCTTGTAGAAGGAGGGAAAGGGTGAACAAAGACTGGATGAGGCTTTGAACACGTGAGGGCTTCGTTCGGGTCAGACTTGACAGTAGATAAGGCTTAGCCTCCTGAGAAGACAACAGCCAGTTAGTTCAGAAAATCCAAGGAACTCCTGTTCGTAACCAGCATAGGACACATCTGACGTAGAGGATCAAGCTGAGAGAACACAACATGGCACACTTGAGGGTAGAGGACCAAGCTGAGAGAACAGAAGGAAACAGAACTTACCTGGATGATTCACATAGGTTGCCATGGATGAAGCAGAGCAAAACTGTTCTCATGAATCCAAGGCACCAGACACAGTGTTCTGTTGACTAGTCAGTGTTTGTTCATGAATTAATGACAAGAAGCACTCACGAGGAGATGAGATTTGAGCATGCAATGATTCACAGGTGAGGAGGTGGAGAGGTTGATGACAAGGAGACAAAGAGAGAGAGAGAGGGACGGAGGATTTAAAGGAAAAAGAACGGTTGGCAGAGAATTTATAATCTGTGTGTGAACCATTGTGCTTTCACCGCAGGATCTCGGCGCTGCCGCCGAGAGAGTCATTGCGGTATCCCAGGAAGAGATTTTCTGCCGGTAGAGGTAGATCTCTTGACACCAGAAAGCGCATTATCGCTGTGAGCTGGAGGTGGACGCGTTTAGAGTGTTTGCCTTGATGTGCTGCTGGGCCAGCAGGCTCACAATCATGGCTGCTTCTTGCAAATTAGACACCGTTTGTGTGTCTGAACGTAGTGATTGTCTTTTGTTTTCAGGACGATCAACAAAGAGAGCATCAAGGCCCACTGATTCGGCTCCTATGTAATCTTTGGCAAAATCATCGCCGATATGGATCCACCTGGTTTCACCAACCTCGACACTGATGAGGGCTGCGAAAGATTGAGCCATTGCCAAAGCCATCTGACCAGTGGAGTGTTGACGAGGGCTTACATGTGTCTCGTGGCGATCGAGAGCTTGTTCGGCGCGTGAACGTGGCATCATGTCCAAGAGCTCCCTTGCAAAGTCCCAGATGCGGCGATCAGGCTTCTCGGCGCCAGCTTCATAGCTGGTGGCCACAAAGTCGACGTCATTATCTGGGTTGTAGGCACCATAGAGCGGACTGCGAGTGTCGAAAAAGAAATTGTCGTCTTTGGATTGCAAAGCGTCTCTAATCGGTGACACCAAGGGAGGCGTCGATGACCAACCAACCTGCAGTTGCATTGACTGAAGTACCTGAGTCACTCTGGGATCCGAATTCGTTACAACACCGACGATGACGAGGGGTCCATCAGGTCGAGTGTACTGGGCCTTGAGGGATTTCATGCTCTCCAGGAAAGCTTGGGCATCTGGATACAATTCATAGGCGTCAGCGGAAGAGAAGTGCTGATACAGCCTGTGGCCTAGGTCTTCCGGGATATGATCAGGCTTGACGACTTGAGAAAAGGCATCATTGACGAGCAAAGACCACCACTGCTCTGGATTGCTCAGAGAAGATTTGCCATAGTTGGGATATGTGTGGTTGGCGCGTTTAAAGGCGTCTTTGAAGGCGACGTTAAGTGACTTGGGGTCAATTTGATCACGCAGACCACACTGACGAGCCACCTCAGCATACTGAGTAGCGACTGGTTGTCGAAAGCCGTACAGCGTTCCAAGGGCGTCAAGGGTGACGACAAAGGTCGGAACGAGCTTCCTCTGGGTGTGGGACTGAGCCATCAGTCTGGCACCACTGATGGCATTCCCCATATCAGCTGATAGGGGGTTTGAAGTTGTGGAAGAGAGCTCAAGGCAGCTCAGCAAAGGAGAGCTGTCACGAATGATACTTTCCTTTTCTCCTCCCACATCAGGGAATAAAGGCGCACCTGTTTTGTCTGAGGAAGTCTCCAGCCACTGCACCTCAAGACTGGCTTCGATCTTCAAATCTGGAACTTGGAAGCACCGGACAATGGAAATATTCGCGAGAGACAAGTTGTGGAAGTTGTTGAGATGAAGCGTGTGGTTGGACCCAGGTCAGGTGATTATCAAGTCTGGGGTATAAGGCTGGGGTACAAGGCTGTGTCACGTGTGTTTGTGTGGCATCTTTGTGCCTTGTGGCCGCGGGGGCATAACTATGACCTCGCTGGTTAGAGCCTAATGGGCATCGGAGCCCCCTAGGCCCCCAGCAAGATGCATTTACATAACAATTCCAAGCCTAAATTATCAGCCCCCAAGGCCCCGAGTGCCCGTAACCCCCCTGACGCTCATCCCTCGGTCCAAATCCCCAAAACCCTCGTCCCTTCTCGTCTCCACCAATCATTACACTCCCTCTTCCTCTCCTCCAACAATTTGTCAACGTCCTGCGTCCTGCGTCCTGCGGTAAAAAAAGTTCCAGAACATTTTGATGATCAATCCTTGTGGTTCAATTTAACTGCTCACTTCTCATCCTACTATTCTCTTCATCGATCCAACCATCTTCTCCCTTGTACTCTTATTTCTATAAACCCCTTCGCTTCCCTCCTTTCTTCCTTCCTTCACCAGCACAAACCGCCAAACTGTTCTCCTCAGCCTTTCGTCGCGCAACCACCCACCCCTTCCGCTCCTCCCTCAGTCTCTCCGTCGTCGCAACATCTGTTTCTCTGCATAGACCGTCCCAAGCTCCCACTCAAATCAAATCCTCAGCCTTTGCCACCATGGCGTCAACTCCTCATACAAAAGTCGCCATTATCGGCTCCGGCCCCGCTGCTCATACTGCCGCCATTTACCTGTCACGCGCCGAGCTGAAACCGGTTCTATATGAAGGCATGTTAGCAAATGGAACCGCCGCCGGAGGTCAATTGACCACAACCACCGACGTTGAGAACTTCCCGGGTTTTTCCAAAGGTATCGGTGGTAGTGAACTCATGGACGAGATGCGCGCCCAGTCCGAACGCTTTGGCACCGAGATCATCACCGAGACCATTTCTCGCCTGGATCTATCCTCAAAACCATTCCGGATGTGGAGAGAGTACGATGATGCCGAGGGTGAGCCACCGGCGCACACCGCAGACGCCGTCATCATCGCGACAGGAGCCAACGCTCGACGATTAGATCTTCCGGGTGAGGACAAGTACTGGCAGAATGGTATCTCGGCCTGTGCCGTCTGTGACGGTGCAGTTCCCATCTTCCGAAATAAGCCCCTCTTCGTCATCGGTGGTGGTGATTCAGCCGCCGAAGAAGCGACCTTTCTCACAAAATACGGCTCTCACGTCACCGTGCTGGTGCGAAAGGACGCCCTCCGAGCCTCCAAACTCATGGCCAAGCGTCTGTTATCAAACCCCAAAGTCACAGTCAAATTCAACACCGTGGCCGTCGAAGTACAAGGCGAAGACAAACCCCGCGGATTGATGACCCATCTCAAGGTCAAGAACGTCAAGACAGGCGAAGAAGAAGTCCTCGAAGCTAATGGATTATTTTATGCCGTCGGACACGATCCCGCCACCGCCCTCGTCAAGACCCAGCTAGACTGCGATGAAGACGGCTATGTCGTCACAAAACCCGGCACCAGCTACACATCCATCCCCGGTGTCTTTGCTGCAGGAGACGTTCAAGACAAACGATACCGACAGGCCATTACCAGCGCAGGTAGTGGCTGTATCGCTGCCTTGGAAGCAGAGAAATATCTCACTGAATTGGAAGACCAAGACGGTGAATCTGCTCCAGCGCTTGAAAACGAGAATCAGGCAAAGAAACCAGAGAGTGATGCCAAGAACGAGCCTGAGTATAGATCAAATCCCTTGCTATGAAGAATATTAGAGTTGGACGAAATTATGTAAAATCGAGTCATGGACTGAAGAGTTGGTCGATTTAGAAGGTGAAGAGATTGACTGCACTTTCTACTTAGATGGATCGTTTGTCGAGGATACATGTCAGATTAGAATAGATGCCAAGTTGGTGAGAAACGGAAGCAAGCCTTTTTCTTCCATTCCTGTCCTAGACAAGGAAGCCAGGACAGGCCATCTGTCTGAATCAACGACTAGAAAATAGAGGAGATGGCTCAGCTAGCTCTCTTTAGTCAGTCTTCAATGGATGACTTGAAGACCATTCGACTCATTTGTTTGTGTTGTATTGCATTTTGTTGTGAAAGATCTATCCTGTTCTATCCATCGATCCCCTGTCCATCTACGCCATGCAGCAGCGCAAGTTCTGGGAGCGGAATTTTTCCTTCTTCTTCTTCTCTCTGGGTCATGGCCGAGGATTCGCAAATCACAACATCTAGTATGATATATAGTAGTAGTACATGGTCGATATACATACATACACATGGATCCGACCGGATCAGGGCTGGGTGGAGTGGCCGTGGTGTTGCTTGTGAACAATAGCAGCTAGCCAACTGACCATATTCCAGACCGACCGGGAATAGAAGAAGGGTGGAGGGATAGAACGATTGTTGATCTGGAATCTTCTCATCTCAGATAAAAGACTCCACACAGCCCATAATACAATCCATCGATCGGTCCTTCAAGTGGCTGTACATCCACAATCCCAATCTCAATCACCTTCGTCGCAAATACCATGAAAACGCAATCGTGGATGTATCTTCACTGTACGGACTCGGCACCTCGGCCATTCCCGGTTTCGCCACTGGATGTCTCAAATACACAGCGGCGCAGATATTATGATTGACTTCGAGGAATCGAGGAATAAACGCAAACGCACTCATAAAGTCACGAGGCATCCACGGCGTCGCATATGGTTTACTGTCGTCGATTGGGTTTTCGTGCATCGACTTGATCGCCGTGTAGAGCTCTGAGACTTCGGATGATGAGAGGATTGTGACGGTGTTGTCGTCTGCTTGCTCTGAAACTCCCAAGGATTTCGATTGCGATATTTCAGCATCTGTGTCGTTGGATTTCTGTGATGATCCATCGGATTCTGATGCGGATTTTCGTTGTTTGTTTTCCTGTCGGATTCGTAGCTGTTCTTGGATTTCGGCGAATTGGGTTTCGAGACTGGCGGAGTGGATGGAATCTCCCTTTTTCGATTGAGAGAGCAGTTGTCGGATGGTTCTCGTAAAGGCACGGAGATCTTGTTTTCTTTTGCCTCCGACATCTGCTCGGCTGTCGGAGAGGATGGTCCTGGCTTGTGCTTGCAGCTGTTTCAATACCTGTCGAGGATCGCGATCAATGGCGATTTCTTCTTCGTCCTTTTCGACCATGGATTGGATTGCTTCCTCTCGCTCCTTTGCAGCGGCTTCGGCTTGAGCTTCGGCTTCGGCTTCGGCTTCTTCCGCAACTTGTTTCTCGGCTTTGACTTTGGCTGGGTTTTCTTTGGGTTGGCCAGCAGCATACATGACTCGATCGGAGTTGACTTGGAACAGATCGCCGGGATTGAGGAGGTAACCTGGGAATTTCATCTGAAGGTCATGGTGTTAGTTGCCATGGTGGGTGGCATGACGCTCGGGAACGGAGACATACCTTTTTGCCGTTGACGGTGACGGCGCCATGGATCACAAATTGCCTGGCTTGTCGGATGCTACTGGCAAACATTGCTCTGAAGACTGCGGTATCAAGCCTCCTCTCCAGTGGGGCATAGATCATCTGCATGTAAGGAATTGCAGGTGTGCTCTTTTTTGGTCTTCGAAGCTCCGCGCCCATGCCTCTCCCAGCGGATTCGATGCTGCCGTCGTTGGTTGCGAGGTATTTCGCATCCATTGGTATTACTGAACGAAGACGCCGATCGAACATTCGTGTCCAGTCACCTTCTCGGACTTGTGAACCATGGTAATTCCGTGATACTGATTTTGCTTTCCACTTCAAGGCGAAGAAGGTTCTTGCTCTGTTATCCTGGCCTTTGGCGCGCGATAGATTGTAAAGGTTATATTTGGACCATGATTGTCGAATTTTCTATATCAAGCATGAGAATTAGTCGTCGATTGTCTGCAACCGCAGATGCAAAGCAGAAGGAGAGGGAAAGGGCAGTACGTACAATCATGTTCAACCGGGCCGGGTTGACCTTCAGCGGCGTGAAGCTACCGCCTCGAGCCATGGCGAAAAGTTTTACTTCGACCTCCTCTGCTTGGTGGTGGCGACGTGATATCAGGTCATGGCGAACAAAGCTGTTGTGTTGAGCAATGGATGGGAGTTCTGGTGGTGAGAAGGCAGTTTGGGAAATAATTTCTATATCACGTGATCAATAGTACTCCACTCCTCTTATGCAATGCTTGGCGCGCTCTTTGGGATGCTTCTACCAGGTACGACGACTACGGAGTACACATTTTGTGTGTACGCCGCCACGAGAAATGCGGCTAGATAGGGTCGAAGTTGAAGGCGATTTCATAATATTCCGATTCTAACAATGGGGATATCCAATAATACTCAAAACGCCGGACTCCTCGCTAGTACGCATTACATGTCTCGTCAGCATTCATCAGGTGTCGCGAGGTCGAATTCAACCCTTGATCGTCTGCCAAAAGTAGTCGGCATAGAATGACTTTGCGAGTTTTGGGTCAATGTTGACGAGATGGACATCGCCCTTGTTGGGATTCCCAATGATAGCCTTTGTGTAGTTACCTGCCTGGTCCTGCTCCAAAGTGATACCGAGTGAGCGATATAGCCAAAGTCGTAATCTGGTAGTAATATTAGCAGGTCATTCAAAAGCCGACGTGGAGTCTTCGTGTCAACGTACATTGTTGGATCATCTGCTTCTCTTGTCCTTCGCGCATTTTCATCTCCCTCGACACCTTGTTCCTCGAGATCTGCCAGTCGATTCTTCAGTCTTTCTAGCTCGGCCTCTAATCTCTCATTCTCGGCCTCAAGTTCTGAAGCTTGTTTGGCGATGCGGAATTTGCGTGTGTCGAGTTGAACGATTTCACTCGTGTGGCGTCCACCATCGTGACTAGCGATAGTTTCTCTGTGTTGCGATGATAAAGTGGCGAGCTGGCGGCTCAGTTTGCGAAGTGTCGTCTCTGCATCGCGGGTTCGCAGGTCGCGGGATTGCTGAAGGGTTGAGAGGGAGTCGTTGACGCGTGAGAGCGCAGCTTTATCAGGAGCAATGTTGAAGTTGGTGACGGTCGCCCGCACGAGCTGTGTTTACGTACAATTAGGAATCGTGCGCCTCACGAAAAGGACAAAGGCGATGACTTACAGTAGCTGGGTCTTCATCGAGTAGCATGTTGGACGACTATGAAGTTGTGTTTGTCTGATGTTAACATTTGCATCGACAAGGCTTGATGATTTGCGATGCTATGAATTTGATGTGGTTGATGGATGAGCCAAGGCATTGTTGATTCATGATGGTCGCGGGGGGCAACCAAGGGCCGGCTTTTGGCTTGGGGAGCTGTTGGTGGCGGTGGACGGCGCAACTGGAGGCAAACCCAGGCGTCCCTATCGAGGGCTATGGAGGGCACATGGGGTGGTCGAGGCACCTCGGCACTCGTCCCTAGGCGATGGGTTGGTGGCTCAGCAGCCCGTCGTCACGCGTTGGTCCACGAGATCATCACGGCCCAAAGGCGCCAAAACCGGCACGTCATAGGCAAGACTGTGCAGCGAAGCCACATCTGATGTTTCTCCGATCGTTAGCATGCGGCGACTTTTGACAGCAGCAAGATTTACGGAGTACGACCACCCTACATTTCATTTGACCCTGCCTGGTCATCTGAGTCTTGCATATTTCACTCACCGGGCCACCTCTCATCACTACACCAGGTAGCGGGCTGTTGTTTTGCGACAATGCCATCTAATTTGCCATGTAAGATCCCTCTCGTCGGCCAGGAATGACGACAGTCTAACAAGATGCAGATGCCGCAGACGCAGAAAGGTCAGAGCATCGGCCACCCGAATTCAACGACGGACACACACTGACCTTGAAACAATAGCGCCTTGAAACCTGCCGAACTTCAGGTCCTTCGCGCCCAGTACGAGAAGGAAGGAGAGTATGTCGGAGTTCAGACAAAGTTCAATTATGCCTGGGTATGGGAGCAGATGGCGCCATGGTGATGCAGAGGACACAACTGACAACCACAGGGCTTGATTAAATCCAATCAACGGTCTGAACAACAACTAGGGGTTCAACTACTATCCGATATCTTCAAGACAACACCTGAACGAAGAAGGGAATGTTTATACTATCTGGCTCTAGGAAACTACAAGTTGGGCAACTACGCAGAGGCTCGTCGGTACAACGAACTCCTGATGGAGAAAGAACCGGGCAACTTGCAGGCGAGTAGTCTTCAACAGTTGATTGATGACAAGGTGTCAAGAGAAGGATTGATGGGAGTGGCGATCGTGGGAGGAGCAGCAGTTGTGGCAGGGATTGTGGGTGGGATGATCATGAGAAGCTCTCGGAGGAGATGAGTCTGCGCTGGCAGGGATTGTTATGTCCATCAGGCATCTGGAGTGGCAGTCGATCTACCTCTGCATCACTGTTACGGCGTTGAGTGTTTGCGGGCTCCTATGAAGACACAGAAATAGTGGATGGAGTCTGACAATCTCGGATATGGCTTGCCGATGACAAGAAAGCGAAAGCAATGGAAGCTAAAAGAGCATCATCACTCAAACAAAACTGTAGTGGCCTGCCCAGCCGGGCATTCAAGCATGCCAAAAAACCGGTTGATCCTATTCTCGTCGTATAGAATTGAATATCAAGTTATTGCGCCCAGTGGATGAGATCAAGGTGGCAAGATTCTTGAGTAAAGTGAGTCCACACCTGTTAGGCGCACTCGTGGATAAGGCTAAGTGGCTAATTAGGGGCTTTTGCGTAAAGGTTCCCCCCTCGGCGCAGCCAGCGCACCCACAACGACCACCAACTCCGGGGGCCTAACGGCGCAGTCTTCCGCCCTAATTAAGTAGATTGTTGGTATGTGTTGGCTTTGGTAGGTATACGTCAATCATCATCACCAAAGTCGCAAACAACACTTTCATCACCAAGATCGCCCTCAAACCACCAAGGTCTTGGTGACACACTCCATTATTATTCCAAGATCCTAACTTGATTCAGTCCGCCATCCTTCTTGCATCTTATTTCTTGCGCCTTTCCTGAAGTGCGATACTTCTAAAGAATTCATTCATCCTCTCCCCGGATATTACTAAACTTTACTTCCTGTGTCATCCACGAGTCCGTTCTACGACACCCCGCAGCCGATATTCTACGAACCATTGGATACCGTCTGACCTCTGGCTTCGTCCTGGCCAAAGGGTCATGGCTAGCCGATTACAAGGCGAGCGAGTTTTCTGCCATCAGTGCGAAAATGAGTGGGATCGGGCTCATGGTGGCTTGACGTGCCCCAGGTGCGAAGGCGAGTTTGTCGAGATTGTTCGTTCCTCGTCCAGATTCGGTTTGATGTGGGAGACTGACATTGCCATAGTTGGAACCCGAGACAAGATCATCATTAGATCACACACAAAGTCCCCCTCAATCGCCGACTGCGCCGCCGATACCACCGCATCCCAATCGCTCTCCCTTGCACGACTTGTTCGGCCATAACCCATGGGAGCATGACGACAGCGACCCTGAAGTGCCCCTGCCTGATCCCCTCCAACACCGACGTTCTCCCAATAACTTCACTACCTTTGAGTTTTCTAATCGCTATAACGCCGGGAGAATATCTATAAGCACTAGGACCGTTCGGAGCGGAGGATTCGGTAACAATGTGAGACTCGATTGACTGCGGGCGCCGGAGAATGATGCTGACCTTTGCGAAGGATCGAGACATGCCCAACCTTGGTCCTCTCCTAGGCCCTCAAGCAAGGCTATTTGGAACATTCACCACGGGTACATTTCCTGGCCGAGACCCTCGGGCTGGACCACAGCCGGGCAACTTGCAAGAGTAGGTTCAACGCAACAAGTTCTCGGTATTGACTGTAAGATGCTAACAAGGCTCAGTTTGTTTTCGATGATGCTCCAGTCTATGCAACAACCCGACGGTTTCAGAATGCAACAACGGGGAGATTGGGACGAGGGTGAAAGAAACCCCGAGCCATATCCCACCCCGTTTGATTTGTTGGGCGCTCTATTCAACCCAGGACAAGGCGGTAGACACGGAGACATGGTGTTTTCTCAAGAGGCATTCGACCAAGTCATGTCACAATTGATGGAACAGAACAGCGGCAGCAGTGCTCCACCACCGGCTTCAGCAGAGGCTATCCAGGCATTAGAAAAGAAGAAGATTGATGCGGAGATGCTGGGAACTGAAGGCAGAGCGGAATGCTCAATATGCATGGAAGAGGTGTCGCTGGGAGCCGAGGTGACGGTGTTGCCGTGTAAGCATTGGTTTCACGGTGAATGCGTGACGGCGTGGTTGAAGGAGCACGATACATGCCCACATTGCCGAAGTCCCATCTCGTCCTCAGCATCTCGACCACAAGGGAGTGAGTCTTCGGGAGGAAGAAACCGACGGGCGTCATCCATTTCAAGTCCTCGGGCACCTGCATCCGACGGAACCAGACAAAACCCAATCCACATACCAGAAACCCCAAGCGAAATGCGAGAAGCTCGTCGACGGTACTATGGAGAATCATCTCAAGATGCAGGACACGACCATCAGGGTTACCGCAGCAGTGAGGAGTCAACGCGGCACTCACGACGAGACAGTCGAGGCCAGCACGGGGACGACAACACAGCCAACAACAATGGCACCAGTACCAACGGTGGTGGAGGTTTTGGAGGTTGGCTCCGACATCACTTGCCCTTTTCATGACCAAGGGTCTACGATGAAGGGGTGAATGATAGCAGAGAAGCGACATGATTGCATTATTGGCACATGAGTTGACTTGATTAGCAGCGACAACAAGCGAAATGCCATTACGAAGCAAATGTACATCTAGGTTTGTATAGATCAAAGCGGATGGCGTGCTCCTTTAGCATGAATGTATTTAGAGGCGGACAAACCAGTTGTGAGGCTAAGGGAGTCCAGTGCATCCTATGTATTGTGTATTCGTATAGAGGGTGTAGTGGTTGTTGTGGTTGTGGTGGTTGTGGTGGTTGGTGGCTGCCTGAAGGAATAATTTCACGTCACGGGGTCTGGGACTGACTGACGTCATTCTTCTAGTCCATTGCACCTGCAGTTGACAAAACATCCAATGAGAAGAAGAATAGCCACTAGTATTTGTCATGATTTAATTGGAGCGTTGGGCTGTGAAGACACTGGCAGGAACGACTGACTGCGCACTGGCAACGTGACCTTTGCAGTCACGTGAAGAATCAATTTCTTGATTGTTTGTTGCCTTCTGTCCTTGTCTTTGCTCTCCTCGTCCCTCGATTTCACATGTCAATCCCTCACCTCAACACTCAACTTCAATCATCATCCATCCATTGATCTGGTCTTGTACTCTCGCCTTTTAACGTTTCATATCTTCATTCGCTGTTCGATTTGCATTTCCATTTCCGCCCCATCCGTCACTCTCATCTTCCTCTTCGTATCCGGCCCTCGGCATCTGTATTTGCATCTAACATACCCTGGTCCCTCGTCTCTCGGAGCCCGCATGTCACCTCCCACCATAGTTTCTCGAACCTCACAATCCACCAAAATGCTTGGTCCGAGGATCTTTTAGATTCTGCATCTGCTACTAGGTACCTACGCATCTTTCTACCTGTCACCAGACCTAGGCCACCTTTCTTTCTTTTCTTTCTTTTCCTCACTCTCTTCTCTATACTCACCCGCCCAACTCTGTCTCTCCTGCTGAGTGCTGTACTCTTGTCCTACTCTCTCATACGTCTCGCCCGGCCACGCTCTGCAATTTGAGCATTGATATGGCTCTGTATCGCTCTGTAGCTGCTGGGAAATAATTTCAACGTCTACTTGTCTACATCTATCTTTCATCATGATAGGTATGTCCCCTCGCATCACATGAAACCATGTCCAAGACTAACCAACCGGTATAGACCATGTCCTAGGCCGACCTTCAAACCAATTTCGTAAGGTCCAGGTCTTTGCCGTTGTGTCCTTCTGGTCTCTCTACCTCTTGAGGTACCTTCCCATCCTCGTACCAACCCTCCGTCGCTGATGCTGACCTCCACTCAGAGGAGACAGACATGGTCCTCCCATACTGCGAAATCTCTCCCTCCGCCTCTCCAAACGCTTCACTCCATGGCAATCTATTGTTTTGACCCTTCTCTGGCTCTATATCTGCCGCAACTTTGCCAAAATCGTTGGCCTCGAATCCCCCGAACCCTTGGCCAACCTGTATAATAGATCTTACTTTCGTGCGACATGGATCACCACTGCCTTGGACGCTGGCTTCTGGAGTGCCATGCGCATTCGCAACAAAAAATTGAAGGATTTGGCTTCCATCATCTTCACTGTCTATTACCTCATCGCCGCCGAACAGGCCGATGAAAAAGTCCGAAAAGTCCGCGCCGTTCTCACTGTCGATCATCTCAGAGTATCCTGGAACAAAGCCAACACTCCCTACCTCGCCTGGTTTACATCCTTGATGCGCCCTCGCTTCACAAAATATCGTCCGCGAAGACTCAAGATCGCACGCCCGCGAGGCTCCGCCTACAAAGATCCCGTCATTGCGTGGATGTATTTCGACGGAACCCTTGCTGAGCTCGAGAAGCAACAAAACTTGGTTCTCGATATCCCTGGGGGAGGCTTCGTCGCCATGGATCCCAGGACAAGTGACGACAAGCTATTGGCATGGGCCGGCAAAACAGGTCTACCCATTCTTAGCCTCGATTACCGCAAGGCTCCTGAACATCCATACCCATATGCTCTGAATGAATGCTTCGACGTCTACACCCAGATCGTCGCCACGAAAGGCCGCTGTATCGGCCTCAACACAAACACATGCCCTCGAATCGTTCTGACCGGCGATAGTGCCGGCGGAAACCTAGCCACCGGCACCGCCCTCATGATCATTCAATCCAACATGACCAGCCACAACAAGCCCGTCCTCCCATCCCCCGCCGGTCTAGTCCTCATGTATCCCGCTCTCGATATGAACATTGGCAGCTGGATGACCGACGACCAAATGGCGTTGATCCGCAATCCCAAAACCGCCAAACGATATGAAACATTCATCAAACGCAAAAGTGAAGACATCGACCGACGATATACCCCCACTACCCCCAAACCCCTCGACGACGGCGAAGACGACCCCAACTTTGACTTCTTCGCCGCCCAAGACGACGGCTTCTCCACCGCCTCGTCACCCACCACCCCATTCAAACGACACGACACCGACGACGTCGAAGCCCAACGACAGGCCGTCGCCAGTTCCAAACCCCAACAACTCAAAACCCGCCTTGCTGTCTCCTCCATCATCTCCTACTTTGGAGATCGAGTCCTCACACCAGAAATGATGCGCGCCATGATCATATTATACGTTGGCCCTTACAACCGACCAGACTTTACCACCGATCACCTCCTCTGCCCCGCCGTCGCACCCGAAAACCTCCTCGCTAAATTCCCCAAAACCTACTTCCTCACCGGCGAGCGCGACCCATTGGTCGACGACACGGTCATCTTCGCTGGTCGCTTACGTCTGGCGAAACTCCACCTTTTTCAAGAACGGCAAGAAATCGGCCTTGAGAAATCCACTGCTGAATTCAATGAGAAAGACCACGTTGAAGTAACCCTCATCCCAGGGATTTCTCACGGTTTCGTTCAATTCGTGTCGATTTTCCCAGAAGGTTGGAAACATATTTTCCGCTGTGCAAGTTGGATCTGTGATATTTTCGATTCTCCGCCACATGAATTGGAAGGTCCGTCTTTGGCGGCGGCGGCCGCCGCTGCGGCAGGTCGGTTTAGGAGTGGGACGTTATCGTCGAGATTGTCAGGTACTCATGGTGGTCATTCGAATGGAAGTCTCGATATAGCGAGTGGGGCACCGGGGACAGTGACGCCGTTCCGTCATCATCAACGCACTTTGACGGGCGAGTCCGTTGACGATGATGCGCCGCTGGCCATGTCTACCATCCCTAGAGCAGACCCTGCTACTGTCACCACGACAGCCACGGCAAATGATCCTTCTTCTTCGGATAGACCCGGGGGCACGATCCCCAAAGAAGATGGAAGAGGCCGAGGTCGTGCCCCAACGACAACTACTTCTTCCTCTACCACTGCCTCCACCGCTACGTCGTCGTCGTCGACAGCCACGACTGCGACGATTGGATCAGCTGATCCTTCTAAGGCGACGACCACTCCGTCGACTGGTAACGGTAGGACGAAACCAGCACGGAATAAGAGTTTATCCTCGTTGGGAAGTGAAGAAGATCTCCTGAAACGACGAATGAAGGGGTTGACAGTTTCGTTGATGGGGTCCGGGTCAGGGTCGGGCTCGGGTTCACATGACTGACTGATATTTGATTCCATGTTGGCCTCTGTGGACGGATTCGTGTATATCTAGTTAAAAATATATATACTCATTCCACCTACCCACGTCATATATATCATATGCATACCTAGGTACACAGACCTTGTAGTCATTCATCGAATGAACTCATTTCATCACATTAACTATGCAATTCCTGGTTTTCTTTTACACCAATCAGAGCAATGTAGCAACATAGTAACGAATCGTTGGCCAAAGCCTCTCGTTCTTGTATTTTCTCGTCTATTCTGGACCAAAACTTGAATACCTCGAGGTAATAGTTATACATACATACATGAATTTCAATACGTCAATGTCCATAAACATATCCATGTCAGGCGTAGATCGCAGGCGGAGATATCATGGCTTCTGTTTGTCCGCTGCTGAGTAGCTCGACTTAGCAAGTTTCCCACCAGTGGACCGTGGTCCATGTAAGCCACGTCACAAGGCCAGCTCGGTCTCCTTGTCTCCTTGTCTCCTTGTCTATCCCCTCACATCTTCGTCAAGTCATTGTCGTCTCACGGAAAACCCCCTCAGTACCGAAAACCTAACACATACCCTGACCTGATCAATCTGTTTTGCTCCTCAGTTTGCGTTTCTTAGTTTCTGGCCACTAGCTAAGCAAGTTTCGCAAACTGGGGCTGGCACTTGCACCTGTCCCTTCTCGTTTCTCCTCTCTCAACGCTGCCGTGGTGGCTGGTGTGATTGGTCGTTGATTGGGACTTTCCATTGGTATCGGTCGCACTGAGAATCTCGACGTACTCTCCGCACTTGGCTGACGTGAATGTTGATGACCTCCTTGCTCAGTCGACTGTGTAATCTGAGCTAATGTTGGGGCGCTAGAGGTTTGTCTGGCCATAGGAGGCGGTGGCGGCGGTGGAGCTTGTCCATATCCTCTCGGTGCAGACCCATGTGGCATAGCGTAGCCATTAACTGGAGAAGGAATTGTGCTTGCACGAGGAGGTTCAGGAGCATAGGCTGGGCGGGACAAAAGACTCGGTGTTCCAAGGTTAAGCCTAGGCGACGGGATTCGAGGCCGTTCAGCCCCAAATCGAGGAGGTGAAGGGTATCTTGGCGCAGATGGGGACGAGATTGGTGGCGCATGGTGATGCTGCACAGGGTGCCCATACGGTCCTGGGCCTTGTGGCGAGTGCTGGGGTAATGGAACAGGTGCTGGGGGCGGTGGCGGTGGCGGTGGAGGTGCACCATACGGCGACGGAGGTGGAGGAGGTCGACTATATGGTGGCTGGCCATAATCTGGAGGTGGCCGGTACAGCGGTGAATGTAGGTAGTGTCCACTTGTCGGAGGCGATTGATGACCAGCGGGTCGTACAGACGACGACGACGACGATGTTGGCCATGGTGGAGGAACAGTTTGCCAAGGCGAATGATGGGGGGGAATTGGTCCAGGTGGATGTGAGTGAGGAGCTGGACTGATCTCATGCGCAGGCCGACTCATTGGATACACAGGCGGTGCTGGTGGCGCAGGCGGAGGAGCATAAGCTGGCTGCTGGTATGGAGGATATGGCTCTGGGGCTGGCTCAGGTTCTTTGGAAGGCTTCTCGCGAGGTTTGATCTGCGAAGGTGATGCAGGTGCTTCGCGCTTCAAAACATGGCACTTGTGACATTGATAAAGCCCCGCTCTCTTCTCATCGGCGACGTTGGCTGGCAAAGTATCCATGGCTTCTGCTTTGACCACACCATTTGTCATGAAAGTGTCACGAATTCCGTTTGGTCCATCACGTTCAAGGCCTGGGTCGGTACGATACCCATTCGCGATTGTTGACGAGTCAACTCCATGTCGAGCAGGTTGACTCATTGGCCACCATTTAGGACTTACATCAGTGAAACAAGAGCAACACTTCTTGCTTCCGTTTGATTTCCTGGCTTCGAACGCCCTGGGTTCACTTGGACCATCCTCGGACGCCCGTGATGACTCGGCTTCTGGGGATGCTCTGAGATCTTGGCCAGGTTGCTTGTCCGATAGAGAATGGCCACCATTGATCACGCCGTTGATGGTAGAAACTCGTCTTTGGGGTGGTTGTACGGCAGGTGCAGTGATCGGATTGTTGAAAGTGAACTGAGCTGCTCTTCGCACAGTGCCAGTCACCGAAGTGTCCACTTGCTTGTAAGTGCGGGCGAACAATTGCATAGCCGTCAGTCCTGTCTCGGTGGATTCGAGCATATCATGAAACTGGCCCTGGGGACCATGATTGGGACACCAGATAGCTGCTGTGACGACCCCGGTCTCAGGACCAAGTCTCATGACGTTGACCAAGTCTCTTCGACTGCCTTTGACGGGGACCACGTCAAATCCAAATTGATAGCCTGCCTGATGGGCACACCCAACGTGGAAAAAGGAGTTGCAGTTGGATTGATGACATTTGATAGTCGGAAGACCATTGGCTTCGCAAATTTTGCAGATGGGTTCGAATCGATCCGGTGGTATGAAACCAACACCTTCGGCATCATCCAGCATCTCCGCATTGCCAAACTTGATTTCCTTTGTCCAAAGAGCACAAGTGATGTGAATCCAATTGTTCCAAGCGGTCCTCTTTAAAGCTTCCCTGGGATTAACGGGACGTCCAGCGCTCTCTTGTTCCATTCGCCATCTTCTGCTAGCTTCTTGGATGATTTCGCGTTCCATGCGCTCCTTTTCGCGATCGCGCTCGGTCTTTTTCTTGTGAGTAGGTTTCACCGGCTCCATAAGATCTTGTTGAGTGTACTTGACGGGACAGAGAACACACTCATAAGTGGTCGAGACCTGCAGCACATGATCATTCCTGCACATGTCGCAGTACCATGGTCCTGTGCTTGACTTCTCTCCCACTCCATAACATGCTCCGTGGACATGCAAACGGCAATCTCGACACTTAAGCAATTGCTGATTGGGGACATCGATGACATGGCAAACCGCACATGGGTGAATTTTCACCTTGGGTGGGTCAGGCTCCAACGGTGGTGGTTCTTGCGGTTTCTCCGGTACCGCCTTCTTCTTTTCTGGCACGACATCGGGCGTGCCATGCGCAGTTGTATCCTTGTCACCTTTCGCTTTCTTTTTGGGAGGCTCATCAGGCTGAATAATGTTGGCGGGGACTTCGAGTCCAGCTTTATTGACCTCGTCCACGGCTCGAGGGGGGATAGGATCGCCGGACATTTGATGTGCTTCAAGGATGAGTCGGAGAAGTTCTTCATCGACTTTCCTCTTTGCGGCTCTGCTACCTGATGATGCGATTTTCTTCGAGATTTCTTCAATGTCCTCGTACTGCACCGCGTACTTCCGCCATAGATAGGCGCATCTCCCACATAGCGCTAGTGTCAACCAATTGCTTTTGTCTTTGCTGTTCTTGGATGATGCATCTTTTGGAATCAGGGTACCAGGAGGAGTTCCAGGTGCTCGCCTCCACTGTCGAGAATGGCGAGTAGCGCAGAACTTGCATTCGAAGCCGCGTTTCTTTTGGACCGCCTTATCGTCGTCGAACGCGGAATCATCATGGTCGTCCGCGACATCGTCAAGCAACTTGGTGACATTACCCTCTTTGTCAACCCGTTTAGATTCTTTTTTCGAGCGCCGGCCCTCAAAGCTACCCCATATCTGGCGTCCGCGATCGGTCTTCTTCCACATGTAGTAGAATCTGACAATTCGAGATTCCTTGACATTGCCGCCAACGTGACGAGCGACTGCGTGTAGCTCACTGCCATATTTGGCAACTCCTTCCTCGAATCGTTTGATTTCTTCCCGATTCAGATCGGGCTGTTTCAAGTCGGCTTTCAGAGACAGGTTCTTCATGGCCTGAAGGGCTTCCTCGATGTTGAAATCCTTCTCGTGTAATTTCTCCACAGCTTTTGTCAAGAAATCGACGGAACAATCGAGCACGTGATACTGTGCGGCAATCGGCTTCACCTTTTCCGTGTATTCATCGACAATCTTCCCATAGTCGTTTGGCGTGGCCACATCGTCGTTGCCACGTTCGGTAGAACGAGAGACACTCGGCATCTTGAAGATAAGCTGAGCCGTATGCTCTTTCTTGCCCTTGATCTCAACGGGCTCATCATGCCCACGAGCTATATATCCCGGCGGTTCGTCCATGACCCATTTGGGACGCTTTTGACGCTGGTCTTTGTCGGTATCGGTGCCGGTGTCTTTGGCCGACTTGCTCCCCTTTAGGTGCACGCTCTTGTACTTGCGTTTTATTTCGGCCGGTTTGACCATTTCGACTGGGCGACCATGCCAGATATTGACATTGGCTTGGTGTCGCGGACCAAGTCTCGAACTTGCTCGAGGATAAATCCGGTCGTCATAGTCGAGTGCATCTTCGACCCGGGAGTGAATTCCTAAATATCTCCAAGGCCACAAGTTGGCCTGGAAAATTTGGTCAGGGGTGGGTTCTGTAGGAGTTTCTTGGGTGACACTGCTTTCCCTGGTCTCCTGAACCTTGGGACCACCGTCATCCTCGTCGTCATCCATTAAATCGTCATCGTCGCCAAAGGCAGCATCGGATCCGGCAGGAGTGTTCCGAGAGTCCAGCCTGAGTTCCTGTGCACGGCTACAGGCGGCACAGGCCCAGGCGAAACCGCGAGCGGGCTTTTTCAGTAACGGAGGCCGGACGCATTGCATGTGGTACGTCTTTTTGCAAACTGCGCAATCCACCGAGTCGTGATTACTGGCAAATTGTTCACAGCGAGTACATTTCTTGCTATCGCTTGTCAATTCCCTCCCCCGACCTATTTCGACAAGGACAAATTTCCATCTCTGATCCAAAACTGTCTTGACCCGTTGTGGAACATTGACGACCTTGCGGACAGGGATCACCTCGTAATAACGGTGCATGTAGCGGTCGTACAACTTGTCAAACCAGAATGAATCTTGCTGAGTTCGGTATTCGTCCAGGTTGCCGACGTCGGACAGATGCTGAATGTTGCACTTTCCTCGAATTGAGGTCAATGGACATGTGTCGGAATGCATCGAAGCAAAGACGACGCGGGTATCTTGTACCCTTCGCAGGATATCTTTGGGGCGATAGTACCAGTTGACACGCATAGCATCGATGGGGGCCTCAGGATCATTCTTTTGGTGCAGGAATTCCATGATTCGGGCAAGGTAGTAGGGCTCTCCAGGAGGTTCGCAGACGAAATAAACGTGGTCTGTGGCGAATATTAGCATTAGTATCGGACAAGAAGAAATGGGCAGGCGTGCTTACCATTTGCTTGAATGGTCGTCCCATCATTGGCGACCAGCTGCTGTTTGGCGTTCAGCCTGTAACCACACTTGGTGAAGCTCATCATGTTTGTTTCGACATAGCCTTTGAATGGAATCGACGCAGTATGCTTAGACCGCGATGAGCCTGAGGTCGTGCCGGCCGAGTGGTGACCGCCAGGATGTTTTCTTTTCTTTGAGGGTGCAGGGGCAGAGGCTGGTGCTGGAGTGGGTGCGGAGGAGGGGGTAGATGCAACAGCTGCAGGAGTATCGTTGCTAGCGGAGGCGGATGCCAGATTTGAGGTTGAATTGTGTGTTTCGCTCGCGGCAGCCGAAGTTCTCTTGCTGGCCCTTTGAGGCTTTGTCAGGGCCTCCAGTTCGATGTCCAAGTCCTTGTCCTCTGCGTAGTTGATACGCTGGCCGCCAGTACGGTTTCTAGAGCGAGTGCCATAGTTTGTAGCAGAGGTGCCATTGGCGTCGACGTTTTCTGCAGGAGGATGTTGAGATGAAGATGACGCTGTGGCAGTCATAGGTTGGGACTGAGGCGTGTCGAGGGGTGCCGCAGGTTCGGGTGCAGGCGAAACGTCCATACTGTCGGGAGGCACGCTTGGCGACCCATGATTCTGAGGTGGCTCAGGGTTGGCTGGAGGTTCTTTGGGAGGAGATGGTGGAGGCACAGCTACGACAGAGCCATTCTCATCTGTCGACATAGCGAGTCGTGGATGAAGATTGCTGGGGGGAGAAGCGCTGAATTATCGCATGGTTGCCCTCACCCAGGACTACTCGGAACGACTGCCCTGCTGCAAGAGGAGGCTGCAGCGCCAGGACGGAATGCCAAACAAAATTTGGGAGCAGCCAATAGCAAGATGAAACGTGTGTACGTGTGTGAGGGGGTAAGCACGTCAACGTAGATAAATGAAGTGATTTAGATTCGTTGCGACGAAGGTGATGTTGATAAAATAAAAGGTAGATGGTTGCTAGGGTGGAAGAGAGGACAAGAAGGTGGTGGGCGGGAAGAAATGTCGATATAGCGTCGATGCCGCGAGGCCAGGTCAGGCGCGAACGTGCCGCGGGTGACTAGGGCGGGCAATTGCTGTGCAGGACTAACGAGGTCCCGTGATTTGGAGCAAATAAACAGCGATTGTGGCCAGGGTGGACAGCGGGGGGAAATATGAGTGAAAAGCCGTGTTGGTATTGGGAGAGGAAGAGGAAGAGGAAAGGATAGAGAGATGAAGTGTGAAAAGGTCGGGGAGACGAAAGAGGGTTAGAGGGAGGAAGTCAAATCCAGGACGGGGACAGGATGGGGAAGGACAAGAGGCCGGCAGAACGAAGAATGGGTTGGAAGGAAGAATTAGACTGAGAGTGACAGGGCCGGCACAGTGCCGAGATATCTAACAACAATAGGTCATGGGCCATAGGCAAATGGGTCATGGCATGGCACGGAATCTCAAAAGTCGAAGTCTACCATTTGGCACCAGGGATTTTCCTTCTTGGTTGTCAAATGACAGAACGGAGTCAAAAGCTATTACAACTACGGGAGGAGACGAGTGACGAGACAAGGCCAGACCAGGGCTGGGCTATAATAGAAGTGGGAGGGAGAGAGGGGTGAGTGTGATTGTGTGTGTGTGTGTTTCAAGACGACAAAGGACAAGGACCGCACACCACAGCGTAGAGGTAGACAGCGATTGATGAGTGGATGGGGGGAGAAGGATAGGCAAGAGGACACGAAACGAGTCAAGTTGAGGTACGTGGAGTGGAATGGAACACGAACAGCAGATGGACGACTTGACAGTAGTGGTGAGTCGAGGTGAGAAAGAAAGCCCATAGAGTTCAGATTTGACGGTCATCCACTTGACTTGGACCATCACTAGCGCATTGCTTCACCCTGGGTGGCCGACATGTCGAGTGGAGGTCATGCGTGCCATGCTAGCCATGCTAGCCGTGCTAACCATGCTAAAACCGACGGACCGCCATTGACTGGCGCTCGGGTATCGGGGATGCTTGCTACTGTGACTTCTTACCTCCCAAGCACCCAAGGCACCTTTCACTCACTGACGTGGCGGCAAGAAAGTCGCTGTAGGTGAGCATGGCAACCACCGGAACACACGGCCATGGTTCTAATCACTCACATCACGAGGTAGGAGGCTGAAATAGGCCCTGCACTTTTCCTCACCCATTTCCTGAATATATGTAGACATGTTGTTGGAGGCTTAGGAAGTCAACGGAACCACGCAAGACACCTACGGAGTAGAGGCGGGTTCGTTCCAGGCGGGGGTTAAGCTCCGCTGCCCAAGGCTGTGGTTGACTGCAGACTGCAGCGTCTCATGTAACCTAGTCCCGCCATTGCTTGACACGATCGATCTGGCCTTGAACGGTTCGCCAGGAGACTGGGAGGATGGCTAGGCATCCCTCAGGCTACAAAGCGAAACACTTGAGCAAAAATTCAATCTTGGGTACGAAGCTGGTTGCTGATTGTCGGACTTGAAGTCTCGATGGGATGGACGGAGGTTCCTGCACCAGTGACCGCCTTGGGCTGATCCTTGTTTTTTTCCCCTGCCTGAGATTCCACAAGGCCCACCACATCTTGGCATCACATGATCAGCGTTTCTGGCTTCTTTCAACCACATACCAGTCAATCGTTTGTGCCTCTGGTCAATGCAACAATCAAATTACGTAGGGCTTTGCAATTGTCTTGGGTGATTATTTCCGACGTCTGCCATTACATGATAACACTCCGACACTCTGTCTTTTGTCGATAGTCCTAGATCCCATCGGCCACCAGTCCTTTGTGTTCATGATGACGGAACGGAGAGTCCAAAGTCTAGTGGGAGGACAATGTGGAACATAGAACTGTATCCCAACCCCTCGTGGTTCGGCCAAATAATAACTCTTAGAACCATTTGTTTTCTCGTAAAGAAGCATGCGCGCAGGCGTGGCAGGTTACTTTCAAGCTTCAAGTGCTAGTCATCTTGGAGGGCGGGAAGGGTGGACTTTCGACGCTGCTGCATCAAGGTTGGCGCTATTGCGACGCGCCTTGCCGAGTTAGGCCACGCCACGCCAATTCACGTGCCCACACCTACTTGTGGCGTTGGGGCACACGCATCAAAACCGGGATCTGGAGCCCTGCTCTCCACAACCGATGCTGGCTTCTCGTCAACGATGACCGCCTCTGCCGCCAGAACTCTATGAATAGTACAATACACCTATCGTTTTGGCTATGAATTAAAAAGCAACAGTTTTCTGCAAAACTAGACAATTTTCCAATGCGCATTCGAATGGTTTCATTACTATTAACTAGCATCTACCCGCTCTCATTCTGGGCGCTGACAGTATTACCTTACCTACCTAGGTAGGTACGTATGGTTGGGTGTTTGAGGTGTCCAGCCTTGGCGTCCGCCCTCTCAGTGAAGCCCCCTCGGCATGTAGCCCGCAAGCCACAACGCCTAAGAAGCCGCCCACAGACTCCCGACAATCCCCAAACATTAGGCGCTCGCCCCTAAAGACGTAGAGGTATCTTTGTGAATGGAAATGACGAGATTGAATCGAATCGCAAAGTCTTCTAAAGTGTTGTCGGGTTGTTCAGCTACTGCCTAAAAGACGTCGGTCGAGAATCTGCTCCCCTCTGCGTAGAACATACAAACTAGAGCGGCAAGCGGTTCGGAATTTCCTATTCCCCTCAGCCGTGAGTGACATAGATCCGTTCATCACCACCCACAACACATCACGTCGTCCTGCACGCGTCTTTTCATGGCTAAAGCCACTCCATAGCGTCCACAACTTCCAGCACTCGTCAATCCGCGGCACACTCCTCGTACGCTGTGGTTGTGGCGAGTTGATACTATCATATGACATTTGCGGAGTACAGGGTTCATCCCAGTGCCCGCGGCCATCATGGTCACACCACGTCGATAGAGACGGCACGCGATCAGCCATATTCGACGACCTCGGTCGCGGGGTTCAAACGGCCTGCTTACAACGAGCCGGAGCCCGTTGAGAAACACACGCGTTTTCTTCAAACTACGTCCGCGTCAAGGACACTCCCAGACCCGCCTACCTATGTGGAAACCTCTTCTCGCAACTCTCGTCGAAGCTGGCCTCAACCTCGCCTGGATGCAGGAAAGATTGTCAAAGTCGATGACTTTGACCATGTGAACCATCAGACACAATCACATATTGTTCCACTACCTCCAATCTTTTCTTCGACTCCTGGTCCTTCACAGAATCCGTTGCTGACTCTTCGACATCCACGATATGGTCTTCCGGAAAAGCTTGTCGACAATTTTGAAGCACTCGGTGTAAGGGCAATATACCCCTGGCAGTCTTCCTGCCTGTTGGGCCAGGGTTTACTCAGTGGAGTACAGAACCTGGTCTACACTGCCCCTACAGGCGGAGGCAAGTCTTTGGTAGCAGATGTACTTCTCCTGAAAAAGGTCATCGAAAATCCGGGCAAGAAGGCCATCTTGGTGTTGCCTTATGTTGCACTGGTCCAAGAGAAACTCCAGTGGCTTCGACGTCTTGTCGATGGAGTATTAAAGCAAACCGACGAGTCATCTGAATCGTTAGGTTTCCAGCAACGTCCCAAAAGCCGTGCCATCCGCGTGGCTGGTTTCTTTGGGGGGAGCCGATTCCAAGTTAATTGGTTTGATTGGGATATTGCAGTATGCACGATTGAAAAGGCGAATGCTCTGGTCAATTCGGCAATTGAGAATGGGAAGTACGGAGATATTGGTGCTGTTGGACTAGACGAGCTACATATGCTCAACGATGAGCATCGTGGATATATTATGGAACTGCTCGCGACGAAACTTCTGGCATTGGACGCTGAGGTGCAAATCGTTGGCATGAGCGCAACACTACCCAATCTACAGCTTGTGGCGACTTGGCTCAAGGCCAAATTCTATGTCGCAAAATACCGGCCAATTCCAATCGAGGAACATCTCGTGTATGAGAATGGGATATACCCAACGGCCAATGCCAAACAATTTCTCTTGACTGCCAGTCAACTTTCAGCAGGCATGTTAACACCTAGCTCGAACGCCAAACCTTGCAGGAAAATTGGCCAGTCGAAAAGTTTTGAGCTCCGAAACAGCGTGACAAACTCGGTAGTGGCTTTGACAATCGAAAACGCCGTCGCTGGGCATGGAACTTTGGTTTTTTGCAATAGCAGGGCGGGTGTTGAGCGAATGGCCGTTTTGATCAGCGAGGCAATGCCCACATCCACATGGTCAGACGAGGCGTGGAGCCAACGACAGGACGTTCTGGCCTCATTGCTTGCTCTTCCCGACGGGTTTGAGGAGATCCTGGGCAAAACCATTCCGGCTGGCGTTGGGTTTCATCATGCTGGACTCACCACAGAAGAACGATCAATAATCTCCAATGCCCACGATTCTGGAACGTTGAAAGTCATTGTTGCTACTTGCAGTCTGGCTGTTGGCATCAACCTTCCCGCACGGAGAGTTATTCTCAACGGTGCGCGTATGGGTCGCGAGATGGTAGGCCCTGCAATGCTTCGACAAATGAAAGGTAGAGCGGGTCGGAAAGGCAAGGATGAAGTTGGGGAAACATATCTTTGTTGTGAGGACTACGAGTTGCAAGGTGTTGCCGCATTGCTCGAGGCTGAGATGCCTCCGGTGCAAAGTTGCTTGACGTCGGAGAAGCGTGGGGTCACAAGGGCCCTCCTTGAGGTTATTGCGATACGGATGGCGTCCAGTCGCGATTCGCTTGACGATTATGTCGAATGTTCACTTTTATGGCACACGGTCGCTCCAAATTTGCTTGGGGACATTGTTGGCAAAGCCGTCGATGAGCTGATCGCACTCGAGTTAGTTCAGAAGGCAGAGTATGAGCACTGTCTAGAACCTACCAAGCTAGGGATAGCGGTTGTGGCAAGTGGGCTCAGCCCCGAGGACGGAGTTTTTGTGTATTCCGATCTGCAACGGGCGATTGAATCGTTTGTAATGGACGGTGATCTGCACATTATTTATCTCTTCACACCAGTCCAGACAATGGGGCTGGCGGAAATTTCGTGGGTAACATTCCGCAATCAGCTCGATTTGCTGGACGACAGCGGGTTGCGCGCAATGCGACTTATTGGAGTCGATCCTGCGCTTGTCAACCGACTGGTCAATAGTGGGGGCGTGCTGAAAGAAAACACGCCTGAGGAAATTCGGATTTCACGTGTTTACCGGCGGGCATATTCTGCCTTTCAATTGCGCGATCTCTGCAACGAGATGTCGGTGCATCGTATCAGCAAGAAATACAACGTTGCGCGTGGCCAGGTACAGACACTCTCACAGACTTGTCACGGGTTTGCTGCTGGAATGATCAAATTTTGCGAGCGCATGGAATGGGGCATGCTCGGCGCAGTTTTGGAACACATGTTGGACCGGCTCCGGGCTGGGGCACGAGCAGACCTTTTGGAAATGGCCCAAGTTCCATTTGTCAAAAGTCGGATGGCTCGAGCCTTCTGGGAGAATGGGTTCAAAACTGTTGCAGCATTGAGTGAAGCAGACCCGGCGGCGCTGGTGCCAGTCATGATGCAGGCTCAGGGCAGGAGACCGTACTCGGATGAGGAAGCATTGGAAAACTTGAAGGGAAAACTTCTGAGCAAGGCGGAAATCATCGTGAGAGGTGCAACCAGGATTTGGGAGAGACAGCAGATGGCTCAGTGGGAAGAGGAGTGATCTTGGATCGTTAGGGCAGGTTTGAAGTCGTTGCGAGGGCTTGAAATGTAGAAATATCCCTGCAGCTCGCAGAATCAGCATTCCTAAAAGATATGAGCTATTCTCGGTGTGCATCGTCTCGAATTGGAAGAAGTAATCTCTGATCCGGGTGGATAGATGGACCTTTGTCAAGACAAGCTATGCCGGCGTCAAAATCTGTACACCTACTGTACTCCGTAGGTAGCTGCATGCGCATGACTCGGCATAGCGTGGCGTGGCGTGGCGTGGCATAGGTGTGGGTTGAGGAGGTGGATGGATGCACTCTTACAAAGCCCAGCAGAGGTTCCAAGGTCTCCGAAGGTACTGGGCGTGCGATAGAGTCTTGTTTCGTCAGAGGGTAGAAACATTAGACGTTTGAGCTTCTAGGCTAATCTTGACTCTCGTGGTGACACGGTGGGTGCGGTTGGTCGTTGGTAGCTCGCCCGTTAGTTGGTGGTTGCTGAGATGAAGTGGCCAGTCTCATCTGGCTGCGGCTGACAAAGAGGCAGAGGCCAGATTCCGCACACGGTCAGTGGATAGACGGTTGTGATTGGCGGAAGGCAGGACCCTTGGCGGCATTTGCTTGCGCAATTCTATGTCAGCTTTCCATAAGCAGAAATCTGTGAAGGAAGGCAGGTTCCTGGCCTGCCCATGGTGCCTGCCGTAGCATCTCGATGCCTTTACGAGTGCTCATGGCCCCTGTGCCTTCCCTACCTTTATCCACCCACCGCAACTGCCCAAGCAAGCTCGGTCTTTCTCACTGCGTCATGACCGTCATGACCGTCATTACCGTGGCAGCCGAGACCCTTTGTAGAATCGATTTTTCGTACCTGGCAGTTTGGGAGCTTCACGAGCCCAGTAAAAGGTGGCAGCTTTAAGCAGCCACCAACAGTAATCAAGTTAGTGTCCTAGCAACCATCATGCTGCCCCTGCCATGAGATCCTCAACTCCTACACTACCTGTTTAATGTCGTGATTGCTATTGTAAAACTTAGAAATTCATGCCCAGGTACATGCCTACTTGCGAGCACGGAATTTCTCCATAGTGTCTCAGCATCTCTTCAATTTCAGATTTCAAAGACATCAGTCATGAATCGCGTACTCCATCTTCCTGCTTAGCTTGAGGCAAGTGGGTGGGTCCAAGCAACCCCGCCAAACACTCCAATGCTCTTTCCCTCGCAGTGTCATCTTTTTCCAGCGTGTTTCCGTGATATCGACTGTCATGGGCACTCCCTGAAGATCCCCCTCTCGTATTGTGCTAAGGGCTTAGCAATGCACTCGGCCGAGCGCCTCTTGAGCTCCTACCCGCCGTGTTTGCCTTTCGTAATGACTAGCATCTTGCTGATTACTACATTGGTCCAGGTCCACATGAATATAGACTTTTGACCCACTTCAGATGACGGTGCAACTGCCCTCCCTCTTGGTCCTTGCGCTTCACATACAAAAAGCACTCGAGGACCCTCGTCGGAGAGCTTGCCTCACACCTTCCCAATCGCACTCTTAACACATTTTCTCAGCTTCATTTGATCCAACTCTCCATTTTCAAGCTTCACAATGGCTCCCAAAATCGCCATCATCTACGTATGTCACTTCGCTCGTCCCCCCTCATTGTTGACCCACCCGTCCACTCAACCTCAGCGTTCACATCGCTGCTGTGACCACAATGATCAAAACATGCAATACTGACTGGTCTATCATACAGTACTCGACATGGGGTCACGTTGCCAAGTTGGCCGCCGCTGAGAAGGCTGGCATTGAATCTGCTGGTGGCACCGCCGATATCTACCGGTATGTCCGAGAGAGACTTTTCACGCCCACCCACGCATCCACCAAACGTACGAGAAGACTAACCCGTGGCTCGTAATGCAGAATTGACGAGACATTGCCCGCCGATGTGTTGACCAAGATGCACGCTCCTCCCGCGGACACCAGTGTCCCCGTGATCACGGCCGAGAAGATCACAGAGTACGATGCCTTCCTGTTCGGTATTCCCACCAGATACGGCAACTACTCTGCGCAGTGGAAGACCTTCATCGACCGCCTCGGAGGTCTGTGGCAGTCTGGAGCCCTCTACGGCAAATACTTTGGCCTGTTCATCTCGACCGGAACTCTGGGAGGTGGTCAGGAAGCCACTGCCATCAACGCCCTCAGCTCCTGGGTCCACCAGGGTATGATCTACGTGCCCTTGGGCTATGCCACCACCTTTGCCCTCCTCGGTGACCTGTCAGAGGTCCGTGGTGGCACCCCTTGGGGTGCTGGCACTTTCTCCGGCGCCGACGGCAGCCGATCACCCAGCGAGAAGGAAATCGCCCTTGCCACCGAGCAGGGCAAGTCCTTCTTCAACATCGTCAACAAGGTCAATTTTGCGTGACTAGATGGCGGTGACAAGGTCGAAGATTCAAAGCCCGAAACTGAGCCTCAGGTTCAAAAATCAACACCTGCTGCTGGTAATGGCGCTGCTGCTTCCTCGGCTAACAAGACTGACAAGGATGACGAGGGTGGCCCCTGTGGACTGCCCAAGAAGTGTGTCATCCTCTGAGCTTACACACGATCCTCTTCCTCGACCAATTGTTCGAAGTCGGCGAATATATATGCGAGAAAAAAACAATTTAGATAATGAAACGGCCGCATTAAAGTGCGGCTTACAATATACCATCCATGCTACAAATCTCATAAAAGAGTGCACGCATTACCCTAATGCCACAACAATAGATCCTTCCAAAAGTATCGCTATAATGACGTTCATTCGTTATGTAATTGTATATTTCTAGCCGGTCTTTGAGACAGTGGGTGTGTTCGTCTCTCCGTCGACATTCCAGGCTAACACTAGCCTGTCACACTTCAATTCTGGGAGCACTTACGTCCAAAGACATCACCACTCGCTTCGCGGCGTCTACAATCTTCAAACACAGAAAGTCTCCGTTCTCCTGGTCGAGCTTCGCATCATGCACTCCACTGTGGCATGTCCTGACCTCTTCTAGCGTCATGCCCGCTGAGTGACCTTTGGTTAACGCCGTCCGAACCGGACACGAGAATTCCCCTGACCACGCCGATGTCTTGTGCCATTGATTCTGTCGGCGTTCAAAGCTGCTAAAAACATCCATTAAAGTCAAAGATGCGTACTGCGGTTCTGCTTTTTGCGAAGATACACCAGGCGGAGATGGGATCGGAGTATCGCCAAAGACATGTGCACGCATGAGTTGATAGCCAAATGTCCTCCATTCGAGGTCTTCTAGGACATCAAGCTCGGATGTTTCGAGGCTACCTGGCTGATCGTCCTCGTTCGTCGAGCCAAATCCCTTCTTGAGATCTTGGGCAGTTGCTTTCCTGACACGATGCCAGTGGTCCGCGAGTACGTTGATCAGGACACTGTTGAGCATGACGTTTTGCGATCCAGATTGGAATTTCTCCGGGCAGACTGCACAGTAGATTGAATCTTTGGCCACTCGGTGTGCTGAGAGCAGCGTGTCCACCGTGCCACTCGCAACAGGGAATGCTGATAGTGCAGATAACGTGGACAGAGTCAGGTATGAATTGGGTAGACAGGGACATTCGGGTATGGAGGGAAGGTTGGAGAGACTCTCTGGATCGAGGTGTGGGCTGTGAGGGCCTGGGGACAAGGACCCATGAGGAATTGAGAAAGGAACAGTGTGGTCTTGTTTATGGCCGTCTGTTACGAGCACAGGGAGCATTGTCATATCCCCAAAATCGGGCCATGAGGCCATGTCTGTCGGATACTGCGTATCCTGAAACCCCTCTCCATCGGCCGGAGTGCGGGCACTGACTGTCGTCGAGGTGTACGAGGTCTGAGGAGTTCCAGCCCGTTGTCTTGTGGTTGCTCGTCTGATACTTTGGGAGATCGGTGCGGAGCAAGTGTTCTCAAATTCGGTCCGTTCAAGGTCTTTGGCAGCAATTTCAGGATCAATCGCAAAGTCATTGGACCCTTGTGCCTGAGATTCGGGTATTTCGCGATCTTGAGTATTCAGAGACGGCGGAGAATCGTCATCGGTCTTTGGTCTTTTTCTAGGTCTTCCCATCTGTTTCTGACTGGAATAGTGGCAGAGGAGGTTCTGTCTTATGCAGCGGGCGCAGCCGGTGGGTTCGCCAGAGCATTTTAATTTGCTTTTCCCTTGGATTCCTCAGTCATGGCGACAAGATGCAATGGGCCACATGTAGGTACTTACTGCACTCGTCACAAGCAGCGTGTGTTTTGGTGCCTTGGTTAGCATTCGAAGTATTTTTCACGAGTACGTCTGGCTGAGTGAAAAGAGGGCTCGAGGCATTCGTGAAAAGTGGCTGTGGTGAGGGGATATCCCCATATGTTGATGGAATAGTCGCTGTCATCGCGAATTGAATTCCTGTAGCCTTACCAATAGTAGACTTGGTATGATCTGCCAATCTCCCAACATTAAAGACATAGGAGATGCTGGATATCAGTCGGCTTGAAGACAAGTGCTAGTTCGCTCAGGCACAACGAGAAGAGAGGATGGCTCAAGGCAGCGTCGGCCGAGAAACTTGCTCATCCGTTGCGCATTGGACTCCGGTTGCGCAGAACGGGCGGCTCTGAGGGGATGAAATGAATTGGCAAGGGCATCAAGAGCACGGAATGGGTTACTTACGTAAGGGCCCCAATTGGGGTTATCGGCAAACCTTCCCTGCAAATTCACAATATCTGAATTTCTCCAACTCGAGAAAATTTATGGATGGAGAGCGCAGCCATTACAGCCGCCGCACTGGAAACCAACAACCGCCCAATTCGAACCCTTTAGCGATGGCCGATTCAAAGAAACGCAAGGCCATCACTAAGGATGTCGATGAAGATGCTGCCGTTGTATCTGGCGACGAATTTGACTTCTCTAACCTGGACGGCACCCTCGCTGACCATGATTCCTCCGACGATGATCAAAGCGACTCGGGCTCCAGTCTAGGCGATCAGGACAGCGATGCCGTCTCATCAGCAAGCGAAGACGCTGTATCAGAAGATGGCGATCAACTTCTAGTCCCAAAAGACCCCAAACAACACAAGTCTGTCGACGTAGCGGTCCCAAAAGATGGCCAGGTGGAAAAAGGCGAAGCATCTGAAGAAGACGAGGTCAACTACAAGATCGAGAAAGATGCAAATGGCAATGATAGATATGTCTATGACGAGATTGATCCAGGTGACGACTCAGACTACTCGGTCCTAGATCAGGATGCCAACACCATCGGCGATATCCCCCTGTCGTTCTACGACTCTTACCCCCACATCGGATACAATATCAACGGCAAGAAGATCATGAGGCCCGCCAAAGGCGAGGCTCTGGACGCTCTACTGGATAGTATCGATGTGCCCAAGGGATGGACAGGTCTGACAGACCCTTCGACAGGGAAACCCCTACAACTTTCCAAGGACGAGCTGCAGCTTCTGAAGAAAATTCAGCTCAATGAAATGCCGGTGGATGGTTATGACCCTTACGAGCCCACTGTTGAATGGTTCACAAGCAAGCTCGAGACCATGCCGTTGAGCTCGGCCCCTGAGCCTAAGAGACGATTTGTCCCTTCCAAACACGAGGCTAAGCGGGTGATGAAGATCGTGCGCGCCATCAGAGAAGGACGCATCCTGCCCTACAAGCCGCCTCAAGAAGAGGCGGATGCGGTTGATGAAGATGTTCAGAATTTTGATATTTGGGCTGATGAGCAGCCTCGACCAGATCATGCCATGCACATGCCGGCTCCAAAATTACCCCCTCCCGGCTTCGATGAAAGTTATCATCCTCCGCCCGAGTATCTCCCAAGTAACAAGGAAAGAGAGGCGTGGTTGAAGGCAGACGAGGAGGACAGAGATAAAGATTATCTCCCCACCGACCATACCGCTTTACGGAAGGTCCCTGGATATGACCGATTCGTCAAGGAGAAGTTCGACCGTTGTCTCGATCTGTACCTGGCTCCCAGAGTGCGACGGACCAAGCTCAACATTGATCCCGAGTCTCTGCTGCCGAAACTTCCGAATCCTGATGAGTTACGACCTTTCCCTACCCACGAAGCTGGCCGGTTCCGTGGACACAAGGGTCGTGTCCGATCGCTTGCAATTGACCCCTCTGGCGCATACCTTGCCACTGGTGGGGACGATGGTACCCTTAAAGTCTGGACCCTCGAACCCCAGAGAGAAATCTGGTCTGTCACTCTGGACTCCGAAAATGCGGTCAACGCTGTCCGATGGCGACCTGGCAAGGAAAGCCCAATATTGGCTGCCTGTGCAGGCGACGACATATATCTGGCAGTGCCTCATCTAGGTACAGATACTGGAATTGAACTTGATGCAGCTCGTGAGCTGCTTGACGCTGGATGGGGTTATGCCGCCGCAGAAAACGCGTCATCGAAGAACTCCAGTTTGAAGTGGTCAAGGCCGTCAGCCTCGCAGCGTGACAAAGGCGTTGCGATCGTTATACATCTTGGCTACACTCCAAAAACTTTGTCCTTTCATGCTGGCGGAAACTATTTTGTGACTGTGTGTTCTGCAACCACTGTCCCAGCCTCGAAGGCCATCGCTATCCATACCCTAGGCAAACATCAGACCCAGTTCCCATTCCGACGACGATTGAAAGGCGGTGGAACACCACAGGTAGCCCATTTCCATCCCACAAAACCCATACTTTTCATCGCCAATCAGCGTGTTATTCGAGCCTACGATCTCTCAAAGCAGTCACTTCTGAAGATTATTCAACCAGGAGCAAGATGGATTAGCAGCTTCGACATACATCCCACAAGCGCCTCAACAGCAGGCTCAGACAATCTCATTGTCGGGTCTTACGACCGAAGATTACTCTGGATGGATTTGGACTTGTCGGCTCGCCCTTATAAGACACTGCGATTCCACGAGAAAGCTATTCGATCGGTGCGCTACCACCCTGCCAATAATAGATACCCATTGTTCGCAGATGGCAGCGACGATGGCAGCATTCAAATCTTCCATGGGCAAGTCACGAGCGACATGATGAGCAATGCTCAAATTGTGCCTTTGAAGGTACTGAGGGGACACAAGATTGTTGGCGGGTTGGGCGTGATGGAACTTGATTGGCATCCTCAGCACCCATGGCTTGTCAGTGCTGGAGGCGATGGAACGTGCCGGTTGTGGGTTGCATGATGAACCGATAAATTTGAATCTTGCGTATGAAAAGCAGGCGCATTAGTCACATATTCTGAAATGCCCACTCAATCTGAGTTATGCGTGTTCAGATATCGTAAATTCTAGTCTCTTGAAAACTCGTCCGAAATAGGTGCTTCTGATATCACGTGACAACGCGACATGCCAAGACTTCTAACGCGTCGAGGAGTGAACCTCTAGCGTTCTACGTGCCTGTGAGCGCCGCTCCTACGAAACAGTCAGAAGGTGACCGTTCGTGTTGATTCTGCTGGCCAGCCACATGGGTATCGCCCCATTCGTGTACATGCAGTATTCTGTGAAATCCTCACAAGATGCCAGCGTGAGTATCTCTCTCAGGGTTGAGCCTGTGTATTGCTAATGTTCCAATCAGGCCTGGTGACCAACACAAGCCGAACGGCACTACTACCTCCAATCCATTCGAAGAGTCTAAACCACGGGTTACCGAGTACACAGCACAAGAGATCGCGACCCTGCAGAGTCGTCTGGATAAGCAACTTGGCCCAGAGTACATTTCAAATCGAGCAGGCCCTGGCGGTTCAAAAGTTCACTACTTGGCTGCCGACAAAGCCATCAGCCTTGCCAATCAAGTGTTTGGTTTCAACGGCTGGAGCAGTTCAATACAGAACATACAAATCGATTTTGTGGACGAGCATCCGCAGACAGGGAAGGTCTCTCTCGGTCTCTCCGTCATTGTTCGTGTCACGCTCAAAGACGGCACTTATCATGAAGACATTGGCTATGGACAGATTGAAAATTGCAAGGGGAAGGCTGCTGCTTTTGAAAAGGCTAAGAAAGAGGGGACTACAGATGCATTGAAGAGGACTTTGAGAAATTTTGGGAATGTGTTGGGCAATTGTGTTTACGATAAGACCTACTTAGCCAAAGTCACCAAGATCAAAGTCGGGGCTACCAAGTGGGATCCCGACGCACTCCATCGCCATGCCGACTTCGCACCCAAGAAAGATGCAGAGGTGAAGACGGAAGTGCATGTTCCTCCCAAGGAACCTTCGCTGGAGTTTGAGGATGCTTTTGATGATGCTGATTTTGAGGATTTCGACAAGATTGATATGGAGCATCCGGATGAATTCTTGTTGCCGAATGAGGCTGCAAACGCACGCGCTGAATCAGGTGTTGCCATCACAGCTACTAGGCATTCGGGTGCACCAGGCAAATCCGATTTAGTGACGCCTTCAAAGCCACCCAATGTCAATACGACAGGACCTCGTCCGCAAGGAGGGACATTTGTTTCCACGACCAATTCTGTATCAACAATCGTTCCCCAGCCATTACCAGGTCAACGGGCTATTCATCCAGCCTCGCATGCCCACTCTCACAAACCCAGCTCACTTTCCGAAACTCGGGCCAACCTAGATCCCAGTTCAAGATCGTCATCACCGAAGCCGGCTTCAAATGCTGGCCACCCAACAACAGGACCTCAGGGCGCTACTGCACCGGTTCCTCGGCAGATTGGGTTTTATTCTGCTCGAGCCGCCGAGGTTCTCGATGGCAACAACAACGTCGTTGTCGCTGATCCCAGCGCAGCTCCCAAGTTTGACCCTCACGCGGAAAGTCCGTCGATCCGCAAAACCTCGGGGGTTAATCATCACCGATCGGCGCCGTTGAAGAGAGATTTGACGGTGGACACAACCCCTCACCATACTAACATCATCAACCCACAATTTGATCAAGCTCGAAAAGTCGGAGCTCCGGGTCCCAACCATCAAATGCCAGCAGTACGGGGACCCAGTACCTCGGCATACCGTCCTCCAACGAGACGAGGACTTGAGACTCATGGTGCTAGCCCAGGCTCCGTCGTAACACCAGGAGGAGGGGATAGAGGACTTCCACCTGCGCGGAGGACACCCCTAAGCGATGTCAGCAACGTGCAACAACATAGCGTGACAGCAATCACTCCTGATGGCGCAGATGCGAAAAGGCAGCGTGTGAGTCAATCGGATCTCAGTGATGTGGCCAGTATCGAAAGTAGAAATGGGGCAGCAGCCTCATGATCTTTCTCGGGCTGTTCATTTGGCTGGGAGAGAAACTTCTGTTACATGATTAGGCAATAAAATGTACTCAAACCTGGAGTTTTTTGAGCGAATTGGGAGGGATGGAATCGGGGGCTGGAATCGCGGATCTATTTCGGCTTGTCTGCAGAAATGAACACCAAAGAGAGAACAAGGCTATCACCAAGACCATTGATGGGGTGTTAGCGGAATTAGATTGACCCTTATGAATACCTGTATGATTTCTATCTGCCCAAGGGTCATGTCCACCATTCAGCGCAAGTCGAGGACAAGTAATGTCATCACCACGCTGATTCTATCGTCCATGTGCAACCTTCAACCATCGAAGGCTTCTAAGTAGAGTGTGAGCCCAGGCTTCAAGCCAGAAGATCAAGGCTAGAATCTAATAACAGTAGATAAACTGCCACAGAAGTTCACTATTTCCCGTCTTCTTGATACCAAGGCTAACCACCGTCTTGAATCTGATACTTTCGGCATCGTTTATCACTGTCAAGTCCGCATCAACATTATCCTTGGTGGTGTCAACATTGGCGTCCGTATTCAAGAAGACTTTGACAGGACGACTGCCATGATCCTCGGTCTTTGGCTGGCCTGGACATGTGAAAATCAGGTCGACATCAGTGTTTCCTTTGCCGTCCGGATGGGTAAGATAGTCGCGGATATCGTTGCAGACACCACTGGTACTGGCAGGATCTGTAGCAAGACGCTTAATGTTGATATTGGCGAGGAGATGGCGTCCACAAGCTGGTCCGGAGACATCAGGGTTGATGTTGAAGGTCAATGGGTAGGTTTTCGATTGGTCTGTAAGTGCTGAGGGCAGGATTGGGTTGGATAGGACCATGCCGAAGATTGCGAGAAGAATCAACTGCACAGACATGATGAAAGGCGTACTCGTCGTCATTTTGTGTTGTTCTAAAGTGCGTGTAAGAGACTGCGGTTTCTATAGGTGGGCTGAGTCTTGCTTGTACTGTTGTTGTTTTTGTAGAAACAGTCGTCTCAAGGTGGACATAAGCCATAGCAGAACGCGACCACTGGAGAGCAGCTAAATATATCTTTTGAGACTCAAACAGTCACTTCTGTCCACTGCATAGGGACGGTCTCAGAGTCACAGAACTCAGCACATCACTCTGGACACATGAGATCGTGGTGAACGACAGTCAGTGTTATGTGTCCTTGAGTAGAGTCATCCCACCGTGTGAAACCTAGGTGTGGTGAGTAGAGCCAGCTGCCAGTCATAGTGACAGCCGTCTTTCGTTGGTGCTCTCTTATCGGGCACAATATCACTTGCATATGTCCTATAGTAGTGAATATTGGTACTGCTGCTTATTGAGCGGAAACCAGTTGAACAAGGTACAACATCGTCGAAACTTACGGGCTTTAGGCACCAGAGGACAAGAAATGGCTCCAATCATGTGAAAGACTACCGGATTTCAAGTCCTTTGAGGGCCCCATATAATAATGTCGAACTGGCGGACTGGCGGTATTAGCCATCTGACTGGCTGGAGAGCAAGAAGAATAATGATATATGGTTGAATGCGAGGGTTTTAAGAAGTCACGAGTGGTGGCGGAGATATTACCGCAATGAGCAAGTGGGCGGATGAATTTCTTCCTTTGTCACCATTATCACTACGTCAACTGTCAACTCATATCGACGACTTAACGTCGATGTCAACTTCTTTTTTCCCTTGCCGCCCTCCCTCTGACTCTCTCCTCCCTTGTGCAGTCCCAGCTATGCGAGGAGTGAGTTCTGCATCAAAGAAACTTTCTCCGCGGCCAGGCTGATCTGCATTACACTACTACCACCAATCCTCTTTCCTTTGTCCAGCTGCAGGCAATCATGTCTGTCCACCTCGCGCCTGATCGCATCAGCATCAAACGCAGGAGGGAAGAGGAGCCTGTCGACACCCTGTGTTAGTCTCCGATATCTTCACACGACATTCCCTTGTGACCTAGCTGACCATCCCACAGACCTCGAACATGCAACTGCACCAGATCAGAAGAAACGCATCACAGAATTTTACTTCAAGCGAGTTCGAGACTACGTTATCGCCCCAGTCTCTCAACAGCCACAACCCAGCCATGCTCCGCCTGTAGCCTCATCATCCTCGGGCATTCCAACAGTCCGGTGGACTTCTCCAGGAGATGATGTTCGTGACATGGCCAGACTCAAAGCCAGCATGAAAGAAAGAGCAGCCTTGCCAGAGAACGGAGATGGCGGAAAAAGACCCGTAGCTGGCTCGTCTGCACCTTCTGGATCCATGACCTCTGCTAAGGTAGTCTCACCGCCACCCGCCGAGCAAGCTGCCCAGCACAGACGGTTTCACCTTGCCCGTCATCTGTTCTCAACTTCGAGTGCTCTTCATTCAGCGGCTCCTCGTACACAGAATTCATCCATACGCCCTCCGATTGCTACCTTCATCGAAAGACAAATTCCGAATTCTGTTTCTGGCACCAATGGTACCGCTGTTGATAGAGTTGTGCATGTGCCCCAAGAAGACCCCCAAGTATCCAGTCCGCTGGAGTCTCAACCGCCTGATCTCAATACTCTACAAGTCTCTAAAAGATCGGCACTCAACACCTTTGTGACGGCAAGGAAACCGTCAGAACGAACTGGCACCTCGATTAGAGACAATCCAAATACTTGGGATCACGATTCGGATCAACTTGCGAATGAGCTAGCCGCATTGGCGATGGAGCTGGATCCTGAGATGGCTGCACTGCAGCCTCCGATGCCAGCCATCAAATCCGAGTCAGAAACTACCAATTCCAGGGACCATAATCGAATGGACCTGGATGGAGATGATGACTATGTGTTTGAAACATACATCAGGGTGCTTCAAACCGAGGATGGCATTGCGATGGATTTGCCTGACCTGGCAGAGGCGAATTTCGGAGTCTTGGTCATTGACCAGGAAGACGAAGAGTTGTGGAACAAATACGTGGACAGCGACCAGGAAGACGACTGGGACGAGGAGGACTCCAATGGCAAGTTTACTCTGCATTGCTTAATTCTTTTTTCCTGACTGACGAGGTGATAGCTGAGGATAACCCTTCAAACGATTACCCCGAGGATGAAGTCAGTTCTGACGATGAGTATGGGTACAATCCATATCACAAATACCGGGATCATGCATCAGACGACGACTATGACGACAATGCCACCGGGACATGGTGATCCCCTGGTAATGAACACGCGAGACCACCTGTAATGGGTCCAACACAAAACCAGAACGGAAACTTTGTGAATCGACATGCCCACCCATATGCACAAGAGGCCAAGCAGGAGTCTCAGTCAGCAGCAAATTCTGCGACCTGGTCAGAGACTGTGAGATGGGTGAGAGTATTTTTGGGCCCGGTTTTTTGTTTTGAAACAACGGAAAGCTAGTCAAGATGCCTTGCATCCATCCAGCAAAACCACAGCTTTGTTGTCGCTTCCATACCGAATTTACGAGCGGGGTCCTTTCTTCCCTCGCGGAGCTGCCAACGCTTTTGGTCGCGTACCTTGACGACACCGTACCGATCCAGGATGCGGTAGTATTTACACTGCAGACCGCCAGTCTTGCGTGTGTAGCCGAAATACCTTTGGTATGCCCTTTCAACCTTGCTCCAGGGGAGACACTTGTCATCACGATGCCACCAGATGAAGAGGGCTTGCTCGTTGGTGTAACCCTGTCTGGGAGGATGGCGTTTTTTCCCCGTTGAGGATGATGATCTTTCGGAGCAAGTTGATGCAGTCGACAGACATGGCGACAAGGGGGGTGACTGGACCGAACCAGATCGTGAGGGCTCGGTGTTGCATCTTCGAATCGGCAGCATGCCAGCTTCTTGGGGTCCACCATCAATCTCGTTGTCATTGAGAATGAGGCTGATGCTCATCTTGGCGGCGACTACGTCAACACGTTGAGGGTCGCGTTCCTGCCGAGACTGTTGGGGGCAATTGTACAGCGAGTCCATTTTGACAGAATGGGCAGTTGAATCAGGGGCAATGAGGGTCATTGAGGATCAAATAAAGCGAGTGAGTGAGGACGTGAAGATTGGACATTCAAGTCATGGCACAGCCCCGTAGGAGGATGGGTCAAGGAACGAGACAAGAGATGGCATGCCATGATGTGTAAGCTGTGGATGGTTAAATATGTCGAACCTGGACCCGACAGAGTGGTTCATCCATCGTATTTGGAAGAAGATTGTACAGCAGTCCTTATATGAGGAGCAATTTGGAGCAAAGGGATGATTGGATTCATAGAGAAGATCCTGGCTCACGAAGCAGGATGGATGGTGAATGGAGTGTTGACACCAGCATGCTGGCCTTTGCACATCCGAAGAATCGGATGTGGCGGGGAATACGGAGACGAAAATTAAGAGCGGACGAATACCCTGCACAGCATCCATTTTTGACACATCACTTTACAGGAGAGTTGAGGGAGGAAGTCTTAAACATGAGATCCCTGCAGCGTCTTTGACAACGGCTGCGTGGAGAAGACATCATACACATCCATAGCGTGGGACAGTTGCTCCAGAGGTAGGGATGATTTGGTACCGTACAGCCAGGATCTAGATCCCTACACGCGCATACGGATAGGACATGGTTACTACTGTAGCGCTATACTGTATGCATAGCAGCAATGCATGCTGGATGAAGATTGCCGTCATCGTTTCACCGGAACCCAAGACAGAGATAGCATCCCTGTCGGTATTTGGACCTAAGGAGCCCATGAGGCGCCAGGAAGCTCCCAAGTACTTTTTCACATTGCAGCATGCCACCACCATGCGTGGGCTCCTTGTGGGTCGGGGGCGACATGGAGGTCCTGGGAGTGTCATGGGTGGTGGCCCATGGTAGCGGTGCCTTTGTCTGAGTATTGGATCACCAACAACATCCTGAAAAGGGAGCGACCCCCGGTCTCTCGGTTTGCTCGTCAGTATGTACCGTACAGTAGTGTAGTCGTTACTCTCTTTTGCTACGTGCTACTGTAGTATCCGGGGACAGTGTGATCAATCGGCAAGCCACATTGTCACATGAACAGCATGATATGCGTTCCCCACCGTGTGCTACAGCTGACATTAGGCGCTGCCATGGGGAGGGCGGCGAGGGGGGGAGTTCGCGGCTGGCAGTCCCCGAAGCACCGGCCGAGGGGCCCTGTTCGCTAACCATCAAAGCCTCGATCAGGTTACACATTCGCCCCGGATCAACAACAGTTGCCCCAAATGTCCCCTGATGCCCCACCTCCTTGGTCTGGGGAGAATGGAATTCTTGTGGCAGACATGGCCCAGAACATGTCTGCCTGTCTGAACAAGCACGAACAAGATATCCAGCATGCTTGGCTGGACTGGAGGGATTGCGGCAGATGTCTGGTAAATCCGAGATCCAAGTACAAGGGTTGGGGTGGTGACAGATCGAGCAAGATCCCCGGGGCGGCAGGGCGACAGGGCATGACAGCCCAATGATCGAGAGGCTCCAGGCGTTGAACTTTGAAGGATACTTGCCTCAGGTCGGTATGCGACGATCCTAGCAGGCGTGGAAGCCTGGAAGGACAACCCTGAAGTGTATCTTATGCACATGGGGATGCGCTACCTTCCTAGTAGGTAGTACTTTACGGACCATGCATGCCTAACTACGGAGTAGTAGCTACCTTAGGTACTTAGACACCCTAGACTCCACCTTCTAAGCGCCGCATGCCTGGCCCGAGGGCCCGAGGCGGGCGCCCCTATGCGCAGGGCGGCTTTGCCAAGCACCCAAGTCCCGACGCCGGCGGCTCTTGCCCAAAATCTCCTGCTGGAACGAAATGCACAGGCACGCCAGACACGGTGACACGCCAGGGCATGGTGACTGCATCACTCCTTATAACTCAGATAGGTAAGGGTAGGTGGATAGGTAGGCATGGTAGGTCATGGATGTACAGTCGCATACGAGAAACACTTTGTTGATCGACAACTACCATTGCCATGGGCGGCTGGCGCACGTAATATCGATGTACTTTCGTGGCGTATGCATGTACTCCGTACAATACATAGCACTTGGTCTGTGCAAGAACATCAACACGAACGGTCGTACCTTCCATTTGGTCGGTCGATACCAGGTCTTGGCATACGCGTCAGTTCAACTCCTTCTACCGCGTCTGCACTTCAACCTTTCGACCTCAATCTTCAAACTGCGACGTCAACTTCAACCAAAGGGGCACAGATTCAAATCGAGACACTCTCATACCGTCGTTGCTCTCACATGCCGGCGGTGGAGTACAGGGATATCAAGGACCTAACCCTCGGATCGCCCCATCCTCTGCCGTCCGTTCATTCCCCCCGCTCGCGAAAATCAGTCGGCTGAAAGCCTGCTACTTAGTGGGACCATGACCATACTGTCGGTAACCAATCACTCACCCTTTCCCAATGATAACACTCGAAGAATTCCAAAGCTGATTGATGAACAGCTTCTTTCACCTCCCATCACACCCCGCTTGTCGACCTCCTTTCCAATGTCATCTCACCTGGCGCAAGGAGGCGTGTCCACAGCTGCGTGCACAGATCAGTGACACTCACCCTGCTCTATCTCAAATCTGATATGTCGTGCGCTGGTCTTGTGGATTCAATTCTCGAGTCCATCCTATTTCCCTATCCGGCCTCCTCGGCATGCGGAGGCAAATGACTTTTTCCCCATCTCAGCTCATCGAGCCACTGGGTGGCCATTCCTTCTGGCTGATCGCGGCCAAGACTTCTCGACACCCTGTCATCGACTACAACCCTGATCGATCGACAGCATCTAACGATCGGTTTCAGCCCCGGGAGAGCAATGAGGTCTCGAAATCACAACCATTACCAGCTCTTCAGGCAACACCACATCTGTCCCCTGCTTCCTCCATTCTAGCCGTCTCCAGGCTGGTCCACCCTGGACCGGACATAACAACTTTCCTTTCTAAGCCTTGAATGGCCAAGATATGGTCGCAGCCCACCTTCCTTTCGAAACTGTTCATCGAGTGGTCTGTTCCTTCATGTGAGCTGCGATAGCGGTGAACACACGAAGCAACTTTCCATCCTCTTTCCCCTTGCCATGACGAGGTCCCTTCACAGGACGATTCTGGTGCCGAAAACGCGCTAGAGCTAGTCACTTGTTGTGAATTCATAGTTCGGACTTTAGCTTACCCATCTACGTGGAAAGCATGCCAATATCGTCATAGTGTGGCTATGATCTATCCCACGACCCTTGTCTGGAACGGGCGCAACGTCCTCCCTTGTCATCATTGCAGTTGGCCCCAACACTTCGTCCAACTTGGCACGACGACTTATGGTCAATCACGATGCATGTGGCTGTCAATTCAACTATTCTGGCAAAGCTTCTCGCGTCCCAGTATCCCACGGCACAACCTCATACACTCCCTTGAGCCTGGGAACCGGCACCATGGGTTTTCAGATCAGGATTTGGGACATTCGGGATCATCAGGTTTGCCAACACGAGGTCGTCTCGGTCAGGCGTTCGCTTCACTAGCTCTAAGCCCCACAACCCTTACTCCCCGACGTTACAAAGTGACTAGCTCTTCGTCCATGCGACATCAGGTGCTTTGAGCGGCTATTAGTCATCTCTACATCGTGTTCGGTAGGTCGATTCCTTGTGAAAAGCCCCTAATAGAGCTGCCGTTGGTGGAGCCAACCCCATTGCACTCTCCCTGTATCATACCATGCGAACCATACAATTTTGTCTCCGGTTTGGGTGCTTGCCAAGCTTGACCTGGAGCCTGGTCTCATTCTCAGCTACCCTACCCATCAGCCCATCCAGCCAACCGGGAATACGCCCGGCGCCCTTGTCCTGGGTCTCGCTTTTGGACCGAGGGGGCTCCATTCGCTAACGTTATCGGAGCCCAGCGACTTGAGTGTCTGTTCTGAGAAAGACCTCCATTCTCCAAATCGGTATGTCGAATCTCCATGTGGTTCTAGCCTCTCTAGTAGGATGAGAATTAACGCAGGGGTTGCGGAGGGGTCATTGCCCGAGGCAAGCCGTGGGTTTCATGGATCTCATTTTCGGGTCTGGTGTTGTTGTGAGTTAAATTTACCACTACACTGTCTCTACACTGTCTCTCATACGAGCTAAGGATGGGTCGTGCCATGTTCATGAACCCAGACGATTTCAACCCCAGTGAGTCCTTCAGGCTGCAGCCGTAGGTCATCCGTTGACTCGCAGTAAAGTTGGGGGAGGAGACTGCTAGAGACCAAACCTTCTGGTTGGGACGGCGTTGATGGCGGTGGTTTGGCGGTCAGCCTGAGATTCGGACAGCTGGCCATTCTATTCGCCGTCGTGAAGATGGTCGACGCCTAGCTGCCCAACGTGTGCCAGCCAAGGACAGATCATCTCTGTACTTTTGAGACGGTGACGGGGAATCAGAACTTTCCCATGCGAGAAATCCAGGCGAGACGATCTTGTGTACAGTTTACTACTGTAGATTACTCTTCTATGCCTAATATGCGTCCGCAGAGTAGCGTAGTTGCAGTAGAAGAATATCTGACCGATAGTTCAATGCTAGACCAATTATGTATACTGCATAGTCGATCACAAGAGTCACAAGACGAAAATACATCCTTGCCTTTGTTTAGACCTGATGATCTTCCTTAAACAAAGTTCAAGAGTGATGCGATTTGTCTCAGAAAATCCCCAGATCCGTGGGACCCCCACGTAGCATCTAATTGAAGTACTACTGTAAGACATGAGGCGAGTTGATCGCCGTTTATGGCTCGGCGACGGCGAAAGAGAGTCACGAGAGTTTATCACTCGACGACTACTACTACTTACTACTACGACGGTGCCATTCTACTTTTCTCTTTTGGACTTTACTTCAATTCTATAATACGGGAATAAGTACGTAGTACTTGGCAAATAGAGACAAACACCCCGAGTGCATCATCTCTCTCGATCAATGTAACTCAAACATCAGCTATACATGGATCATACCTATGAATGGAAGTGTGTGTCGGCGTACAAAAGTATAATTTCATCCACATCTACTCAGCTAGTATGGCATACTTGTCGTATTCATTTCAGACCGAGTAATCAAGTTTGATTGTTCATCGATGCCGTCAAGATGTCCTTTACGAATTCGTGAGGCATTTTATGTCGCAAAGAATCTTGATTCTCCAGAATCGAATTCCGCACAATCTGATACGTGTGATATATTTCGAGGTACCATTGAGTCAAAAGATCGGGTGGTTTCATGGAATAAATTATAATATCCACAATGAATTGGTGATGGTCACTAATACTCGTATGACATTTTGTGTGTGTGTGTACATATATATAGCAATTCAATTCCGATTCACTAAACAGAACCAGAATTGTTGTGTTAACAGTTTGAGACAGGTAGTTTCTTCATGAATTGATCCATTTATTTGTGCAGACAGAAAGCATCGAATTCCACGGTGTATGTAGCTCCCACGATCCATTCGATCCATCTGGATGGATGGATGGATGGGTGTAGATATTTATGGGTGGAAAAGGAAAAGAAAACAACCCTCGGGATCGATCGATCGATCGATCAGTAAATCGAGAGTTATAACAACAACATTACAACTCTCCAAAACACGATGCGATGTCAGAGTATGTAGGTAGGTCAGTACCTACCTAATCTCCTAGAGATACCTCGACTCTTCGAGTCCTTGATTCCAACCACAAACAAAGAAATCACTCCCAGGTTGCAGTCACGGTCCCCCCTCTTAATATGTAGGTGCTAGATACTATTCCGTCCCATCCCTTACTCAATGAAGAATCCTAACAAATCATGTTACTTACTCTGCACCTTGTGGGATGAGTTTCTCAGTCACTTGATATCGCGCTGTCCACATATAATGAAACTGATTCAATAGATGACGATGATGATGATGATGATGATGATGATGATGATGATGATGATGACGGTAAGTACGATTATGAATGATACTGACCTACCATACTTGTCCCATGAATGGTGTTTTCGCAGTCGAGTGATTGTTACCCGTCTGTACTTTTCATTAGAAAAGGGGTTAATACTAATGTACGTCACGGGGTCTATATAGATATCGGCATAGCTTCCCAGATTGCCTACCTATCCATAGAGTGGTAGCATGAATAGACAATGTATTTGTGTCTTCTAGATTTTCAGTAGTAGACGCTGCATGTAATTCATCCATTCATTCATTTCTAGATCAATGGTTGCCCACCTTACCACCATAGGCAATAGCCTGACCGAACTCTAAATCTCCAGAAATGAAAAAACTGGTTGGAAAAGGGTGTCATCAAACGACCGACCATGGTGGGTTGCTGCCCGGCAGACAAGAAAGGTCTGGTCATCATGATTTAGACATGGAATGAAATGAAAGGAAATTTGAAACTTTTTAAATGCATGCCTCCCTAATATCCCGGACCGGATCATGATATTCTTTCGAAAAAGGCAACACATTGGCTGGATTGAACAGGCTTGTTGATGCAAGTTTGTTTCTTCACGTCGCCAACCTCCCCCGTGAGGCTAATCGTTTGACCACACATGGCTTGGAGCGACTACCCTCAAAACACATCCCGTGTGTTGAAATCATACACTCCTTCAATGGCCCCAAGTTTAGTTAAATGCTAAAGAATCTATATCGAGACCATGGAGATCAAGTCGTTGCCCCTCCCTTGTCATCTCTGATTGACTGGTCAATAGATGCTCAAAGTTTTGAATGATAACTAACGTACCCCGCGGCGTCCACGGCCGCCAGGATGCACCGTCTGCATGGGCGGAGAAAAGTAAAAAGATTGCTGAGGATAGTTGTACATGTTTCCTGAAACCCCTTGCTGATAGTTTTGCGCCGGGAACACCCCCGAGCCGGTGATGGGGCTCATCTGGGCAGCGTAATTCAGCGGTGAGGAAGATACATTAGGGATACCCCTGAAAGGATCGACTGAAGTTGGAGGGCTTGCAAAACCAGCATACCCGTTCGAAAGGAAGCCAGAGTTTGTTCGTTGTGCTCCACCTTGGAAGTTTTGGTAATGTGTTTGTGGTGCCATTTGAGGAAATGGATGTGATGAGTAAGGTGTTTGGTTTTGGAATCCATACGGTGAGAAGCCAAACGAATCAGCCGATCCTGTGCGCATCGGACTCATCCCAGTCTCGAACTGAGAACCACCAACAGTAGGAACGAATGAGCCACTGTACTGTCTTTGGAAAGGTGGCTGTGTCCCGTTCGGGGTTCCTGCCTGTGACTGCGAGTTCTGGCGAACTTGTGTGTTGACAGTAGGGTGGGCGTGGGAGTTATATTGCTGGTTTGCTGACTGATTCGAACGTGACGACAGGCCAACCTCATCCATGATACGCTTGTATCCTTGATTTGGTTGGGCTTTGATCTTGGTCAGTACTCTCGAAACGCTTTCGACGATTTCAGGCCTGATTGTCTCATCGAGGAAAGGTGTGGTCAAAATCTTGAATATCAAGGTCACTCCCGAGGCCTGATCAGCAAGGATCTGCTCCAAAACACTGTCACCTGAACTGAAGAACAATGCCTTCAGAACCATATCCCGAGCTTCAGGTTCATTTCGTTGGTTGATGACTTTGAGGACGGTCAAGTACGCAACCTTGTGAGTGCATAATTGAACAAGATGCGGAATCAGCCGGGGTGCCAGAACAGACCTTCTTCGGGGAAATGTGCATGTGTCCAAGAGCCATGTGAGCAATAAGGCGCCATTGGCATTTTGGGCCAATTGAACACTATAAAGAGAAATAATAGCAGCCAACAGGCGTTGTTGATTTTTAGTGGCGTGGTGTGCCTCCAGGCACGCTCGCATGGCTCTGGCTCCAAATCGTCCCTGAGCAATGTCCCAGAGTTGAGCAAGCATGGTCTCAAAGATAAAGTCATTGTAAGGAGAACCAAACTTGAGACAGCACTGGAGCACATAATTTCCGTACTGATCCAGGAAGAGTGGCACAGTGTATGGTCGCAGGTGGGTGATAATCATGCGAGTCTGGGTCTCTGTCTTGCAAACCTCGATGATTTTCTGGGCTGCCCATGTTCCATTTTTATGAACTCCGATTTCCGCCAGGTGAGGAGCAATCTGGGTGAGCATTTGCTCCTTGACTTGTTCGGAACAATATTCGAACAGCTTCTGGACCACGGTGTTGCCCAGGTAATCCGATGACAATTCGGCAATCTCGGGTAACATGTCGACGGCAATTTGCTCAATCTCCTGGAGTCCACACGCACCGTTGTCGATCCGCTTGCGAATATCCCGAAGTCTCGGAGCATCGAATACTCTCGTCGCGGCTTGCTCTGGAACAGGGGGGATCTCGTTGAGGAGCTGTGCATATCCGATGGCATTGTCAATGCTAGCTGACACAGCTGGCAGATCCGACTGCTGGCCCCCAAAGTCAAAGACGATTTGAAGAATATCGGCTTGCAACTCTGCCAAACGATCGCCAGCAGGCATGCTGAGCATCTGTTGAGCACCAGCAGCATTCTTGTTGGTCGTATCTCCGGTCGCCGGCAAGGAAGAGGAGGTTAGTTCTGAAGGTCCATTCGAGCCTGGTGGAGGAGGAGTGGGATTGCCGATGGGTGTCACAGAAGCAGTGGGAGCCTTGGCAAAGCCGATGCGTACGGGGCCGGCACCAGGAAAGATTTCCTTGCCGTTGAGTAGTTGTCGAGCGCGGACAGCATGCTCGGTGGAGTCAAAATTGACGAATCCACAGTTTTTATGCGTCAAGACTCTTGTTGATTCAATGGAGCCAAAACGACTGAAGATTGCGTCGAGGGAGGACATGGTGGTTGAGTTTGGAATCGATCCAATCCACAGTGAACGAGAAAACTGAACTTCCGACTCGTCGGCGCCTTCGTAAGAAAGATGCGCTGAATCAGTGAGACTCAAGCCATGAAGGGCATCAGTCAAATTTCCGCTGTCCAGGCCTGATCCAGATTGGACATTGTGATCCAATTCGCCGACGTCGTTGGTCGAGGGTACCAAATTACGCAGGGCAGTTCGCTGAGGTGTTTCGACAAGTCCAGCAGTGCGAGCTCTTGGGCGGGCCGCACTGGCATTTACAGCAAACGCTTGAACTGCTTGGTTGTGGAGACGAACCTTCTCTTGGACCATTTCGTACTCGGCCTCGAGGGCTGCAGCGGCCGAGGGAGTCAATGCACCACTTGAAAAGGCTGGATAAGAGGAGGAAACATCCTGAGAATCCGAAGCATACTTTGGCTGAGTGTTGACCGAAAAGGATCTGAAACGACTGGGGTTTCGGAGGTCGAAGCTGGCAAGGCGGTCATTGGAAGCGGCATCGCCATGGAGCTGATCGTGCTTTGACTGAGACGGTTCAGCGAGCCCCAGATAGTCCAAGGTGCGAACACCGGAGTCCGACATTCCATCCTTGGAGAAGACGGATTGTTGGGGGGATGTGGGATCTTCTGCAGAACCAATACTGGTCAAGGTTGCGGCGCGAGTTCGGGTGCCCCAAGTGGTACCGAATGGGGCCTGTGAGAACGGCGCTGATGAACCTAACAGACTGGAGCGCTGGGGCATACTACCCGCACGGAGTCGGGAGAGCAAAGCGGCATGTCCAGCATTCTGAGCACCAGGCGAAGTGGAGTAGAAAGCAGTCTCTGCAGCCGACGTGGAGACGGGTCTGAAGGGACTGGTGGAAGGAGTTGGGCGTGATGTCTTTGAGGTGACAACGTTCACGCCATTGACAGTACCGACAGGAGAGATTCTTGAGGGCAGAGTGCCTGCTCTGCCACGTCTTGCAGGACTGTTGATACCGGAATCCGTCAGGGGGATGAGATCAGGAAAACCGTCTTGGGAGGGGGATTCTGGGATTTCAAAGAGGGGGGTAGATGTGCCGCTAGTAGGAGGGCCCCAGATATTTGGAAGGAGGGAGTTCTGGGTTTGAAGCTCGCGAGTTCGTTTTGGGAAGAGACGCGAGGCCTGTTCATGAAGAGGTGAGCCTGCTCCAACTCTTGCACTTGATAGACTTGCGAGACCTGAGGAGGCCTTGGGGCCGCCAAAGGGAGACTTTGTTGTGGGAACACTGGGAGGGTCGGCGAGAGGAGGGAGGCCAGAGAGGTTGATACTCAATTGGGCATCGGTTCTGGAAGAGGGAGCCATGGTGAGGTATTTGGTTGCCTCGAGCTTGATGACACCGGTAATGGCGAGGGGCGCTCAGGCCGGTATTTGCGTGCCAGGCTTCCACAATGGGGAGCTTGAATAGTCTCGGCAGGGAGAGAGGTGAAAAATGTGTAGATGCGTGCTGGGAAATATCTTCATTCGCTTGCTCTTGTCTTTGGAGGAACCTGCGTATCTTGGATTTCTTGTGGGCTTGGAACAGGATTGGTGGGTGCACAGATCTCAGATCTCACATGAGTGCTTTGGACGGCTACAGAGACACAGAGAGGGGCAGTCTGTGCGTGGACTGAGTGACAGACAGATGCGAGGAGGATGGCGAATGAGTTGGTGAGGTCAATTAATTTAGAGGGACCGGATGTGCTGGTTCAAGGAGGGATGAAGATGTGCTGGCCGAGAAGAGTAATAAGACAGGGACGCAGGAATCGAAATCAGCACCCCAGGGCTGATGGTATTAGTGAGATGGAAGATAGATGGACTTGACGTTGGAGAAGAAAATAGGGAGTGGTAGAGGTAGGAAAGACTGTCGATGGTACAGAGAGCGAGGGGGGCTGAGGATGGGGAGAGACCTGGAGAGAGAAGATGGCAGCAGTTGATGATGAATACCGAGTAGGTGGTGGTGGTAACGCAAGTACATCCTCTGCACACGGGGAGTGAGTACAGAGTTTTGGTCACTGGTACTAGCGGTCGGTAGTGGTCAGTTTACTACTGTGGGAGCTGGTCTGTGATTCATCAGTGAATGGGAGGAAGAGGCACGAGAGCCTGGAGCTCCTCAGGAGGAGAACTGGGACTGTCCCAATTTGGCGTGGCTCGGAGGGCTGCCGCGTGCCGTTCCAACTCCCACCCTCGAATTATAGGGGTCAGGGTCAGGCATGACGGGCCGAAGGGGCCCTTATTTTCCTCTCAGTCGCCATTCTAACGCCAGTGAGTCCCTAGTAGTAAAGTGTCTGCTACTTTCTCCACCAAGTGCCGACCTACCTCAGGATTCAGTGGCAGGATCCAGTGGCAGTGGTGTTTTTGTTGAATCATAGCGTCGTCTGAGTCCAAGGACGACCTTGGCTGAGAGTACTTTTTACTACGGTAGAGTACCCCCCTGCCTCCTCTGGTCGATTACAACATCCATACTACTAGCAATTTTATCGCACACATTGCGTATCAGATACTCCAAGCGACGACACCTCGCTCGGCTCCTGTTGCCCACGACTGTCTTTGATCTCCCGAGGTGCGGATCGGAACCCTAGGACGTCAGGGTCATGGGCGGAAGCACCGTGGCATCCTCGTGTGTGCGTGCGTGGATACGCCCACAAGTTCAACCAGGCACTTGCTCGTGAGGTGGAAACGAAAAGCGGCTGCACCTGCCTCTGGCATGCTTTGGAACAGTCGTCCAACACCTCATGACAAACCTCAGCGTTGACACATTAATAACGCATCTCCAGTCCGTAGTATTCCATCGACCCAGCCATGCAACCCAAGCTCCTTGCTAGAATGAATTGGACGTAGGAAGCTGTGCTCCCAAGTACCGATCAAGGTCTCATCTTGATCGACCCCACAACCGCCCAGTGACATACTCCTTGTAGGTACAAGTATCGTAGCACCATTGCTCGAAGCCCTAAGTGGGCCGAGGGATCACGGACCATCTCGTCGCGCCCAAAGGTTTCGGAGACGCGCTCTCCGTGTTTGACTGGGGTGATGAGCCACTGAGCCCACAGGCCGAGGTTTTGAACAGAGGGCAGTTGGAAAGAGTTGATCTGAGTATGATTCCTGTACATGCGTACCTATACCTTGTCGTCCTTACCCATGCATGCACTTCAGTCAGCTGCCACGTACCAACCATACCTACCAATATTGTACCAGCCCAGCCAGTCAAGATCATCTTGTGTGCTTGTGCAACAGGCTTGGTGACGCCTGCCAAGATTCTGCTCCATCATTTGATGGTCTAAGTAGGGGTTTGCTGTTACAGCCAATATGCTGATCAGTATACAGTACAAGTTGCTTTTTGCTGCAAATAGGAACCAGAGCTTCCATGTCATTCAGGCACAGCATACCTCTTCCACCACGGACGTGGGATCTGCAGGTTTCGATACTTGCACAGTCTTGTTGATCCGTAGTGTACGTAGCAGCAGACTTTGGGCCCATAAATTAGACATGCTGGGTTTTCAGCGCACATATTATTTTAGATATGCTTCTTCTGAAACGGGCTTCTTCATCAAGAGTGACCCGGTTTCAACCTCATGATCCCATTTCCGACTTGCTCCCACGGTCTACAACAAAGGGTATGCTTACACGTGTCGTGCACTTCCGCTCGCCGATTTGAGTGTGGACTGCGTGGGGACCCGGGTTAACTTGCCTTGGTCAAAATCCGCTTCCTGTCCCCGGCGCTCGTGTCGTCATAAAGATCTGAGTAGTCTGCGCTGTCGTGTATGTTCAGCAACTGTGGTGGGTGCAGCAGCCGGGGGAACGGGAACGTCGTGAAGTTCGAGAGGTTCCATGCTCATTGATGACTTTTAGGTACATTACGTGGATGGAGGCCTGGCCCATGTCGATTCCACGTCATTTGGACAAGGAGGAGCCAGAGACGCGTTGGCAGAATTCTGAAACACTAGCGCCCGAGGCATCAGGCGAACCAGAACCAAAGATTCTTTTCACCCGGGCGGCTTCCTACAGGTGGAATTCCAAAGGTGATGCACACGCTAAAGGCAACTGTGACTTTGAACACCCATAGTTATAGGCTGTGGGTGCTTTCCAGGCACGGCCAATGGTGTTTGGCTACAAGGCTCCTCTTGTGCCCGATGCCGCCTGCACGCCTATGAAACCCTTCCTTCCCTAGCAGCATCATAGCTTTGATCTGCCGGTTCTCTTATGGATGTAGATCCTTCCCCTGAGCCATTTTGTAAAACGGCGTCTCTCTCACTTCAACACTCCCAATCAGGTACGAGATATAGCAGCACACATAGCCAACTACTGTAAGCGCCACGGTGATTCTCCGCCGACCTTGATCCTGTTTTCTAGCTACAGTACACATGTACAGTAGGCTTTCCGAACGTGTCCTTGGTAGATCGACTACAGGAGCCTGGCCCCCCGGCGCTGACCACCACCACCACATCACGCGAGTGTCGTACCTTGTTTCCGTCTATCCTGTCCCGCAAACCTACGACGAATCAATTCGCCTGTTCAGGTTCCTCGTAGTGATGTATTAATGTTCAGAATCCGGTGGATAAAACCCTTTCATCAGCACTTGTTCCTTTGACACTGTTGACCAAGCACTCCCAGTTTCCATCACGTGGGCAATTTCCCACGTTGACCTGAACTCGTGCTACGGATCATTTGCAACCCTATTGGCGGCAATCCCTCGTTTGAATAGATGAGTTGACAAGATGCACTATCAAATCATCTGTTGCCCGAGCTTTGGTGCTCTGTCTAGGCTCCTGGGCCTATTTCTGCATAAATTTGTCCGTTCGATTCTCGTCCAGGGATCATCCATGTATTCTGTTCCCTTGGCCGCATTCGACTTGATCTCTGAGTGTCTACTCCGTAGAGGGAGTTCAAATGTCGTATCCACCAGGCACGGCATTTGTGTACACATATGAGTCCATGGCCGTCTCGCCGTCTTCGCACAACAGGCTAAAAAGGGTAGCTCGAGAAGCCCCGAGGAAGCCTCAGGTCAACTGCCAAGGCGCAAGCCCCGGGGAACCTCTGCTCCAGGCACATAGTGTTTCAACGGTCCCAAAGTCATACACTCTTGGGCCATCTTGTTATTGCGGAAGCTATCATGAAAAGTTTTTTTGACGGGGAATCGTTGAAGTATGGTGGAACCTCGCACAAATAGTGACAAGAATAGCCTGTAGTTGAACACATCAGGCCCAGTGCCCCTCTCTCATCGTTCCTGCATATCCCGGCCTTGTGGTCGAGAGCCATACGCGTAGCTCGTATGCGTAGCACAGCACGGAGCCCTGTCTTGGCTGAAGTGTCTACGCAACTCTTGATGTCTCGCGAGAATTAGAACCAAATCTTTTCCCCCTTCGCACCACTACTTGGACTCCATCAGAACTCCAGTTCATGGTGGAGCTGAGCAGGATTCTGGCTCAAGGTCGTTGCAAGAATTTCCGTAGCCGAATCCAAGAGCACGCCACCCACGAGGCTCAAACACGCCAGCCTGGGACCCTGGACTTTCGGCTAGTCGATAAACATTATGCGCCATACAGCGCACAGCTGCATGGTTCGCCTAACTGGCACCGGCGGCATAGACAAGCATTCATGGTGACTGCAATTTACGGTGTTGATGGTGCCTACTGACTATAGAGGACCAACTTTGCCATGAGTCAACGTCAAAAAATTGGTTCTGCCATCCACATTCCCTTCTGTAGATGATCGATGAGATTAGTTGGACAATTCCAACCATGGCACTGGTTGCCCTCTGCGAGGATGGGGCTCTGAGTAATGCGTTCGTCCACCACTCAGCTTTTACTTCCACACAACACCAAATGGATTTCTAGGTCCTGCCAGCGGATTGCTACGAAGGATCTGACCATCAGCCATTGGACTTTAAACAAGGTGTTTGCCTGCCCGACGTGTGAGCAAGAGGGCATTCAGACTCCACCGTCGGCTGATGAGAGGGTCATTCATATCTCATTTCAAGTGCAGTATACCATACATGGTCTGTCCTTTATCCTGTGTAACCACACCTAGTCGTTAGCCTCCTCCCTCTGCCTTTACGTACGGCCATACGGAGTAGGCCCAAGTCATGGACCAGGTCTCCGCACATCTCAGTGGCGGAAGTCTAGAGGTCTCCAGCCGCCGAACAAGCTTTAGACCGTTAAGGTTCGGGCGATTTCCCGCCAAGGCGGAAGGCCTGCAGAAGCTGCTGCGCGTCTTCTGAAGGGGTACGAAAGGGTTGGCCCATGCCTGCATCGACACCTCCATCGCCCATGTACCCAACTTTTCAGTGTGCGGGTCCCCCATAAGCGACGATCTCACACGGAGTCGCAGGTTCCTGTGACCCCCCTCGGCCCCCGGAGGGCACTTGTGCCGCCTGTTATTTAGCGTTGGTTTGTGGCGTGCACAGTCAAAGTGGTTTTAGCGGGTAGGTGAGCTTCTACGGAGTAGGTGTGCGTCAATCGATCCATGGTGCTTATTAACTCCCTACTTTATTCTTGTAGGGATGAAGGTACAACACTAAGAACATATATCTCCAAATACCTGGCCACCAGTATTCTTGCCAGAGGAGTCTCTCTCTACGTCCTTCCGATCGACGAAGCACACAAACCCTCATCTTCAAGTCATAGACATTGTGTTACCCTCCCAAAACCCTCCATTTTCATCTCCTGCCGCTTTCCTAATTATTCGAATGAGCTGTCCCGGATCCAGTCTCTGAAAGATCCTGCTCGGCAGTCCATTACTCTACCTCTTGGTCTCGATATACCGACTCTGTCTCCGGTTTGATGTGATGCCCCCGTGGTTGCTGGCCAACATCCAGCACATCGAGACCCGTTGCGGGGATTCCAACCGTTGACAGGCCTTACTCCTCTCCCTTTGCTACCTACACAAGAACCTCCATATAATACAGCACTTCCAATCAACATCGCCGGCAATGCTGGCCGATGGCAACCATGAGTGGAATTTCACAGCCTTTGCCCGGCCTCCTTGACACTTTCCAATTCTCCATCCCCGACTTACCTGCCCTCGGCGATTTCCACATCGCCCCGCTGCGAGACCCGGTCCCCTCACGTTCTACGAAAGTCCCCTTGCCACTGGAGCCTTTACCTGGCCCTGCCCACAGCAAGACACGAAATCCGGAGGTCCCATTTGCAGAGAATTTCATTGAGAAAAGGAGAGGACCTCAGATCACCCCCAATGATGTCCTGCTCGCCCGAGAGGCCAAAAAACCACATCTTGCGATCAGCGAATTACTTGAAGCCAACAGCGGGAGAGATGTGACACCAACACAGTTGCCCTCGTTCATCAGCCTGTCGGTTGTGGAGAGATCTCCCATACAAGTCCCCTCCAGTCTCGAAAACATTGAGTATCACGCTCCAAAGCGACTTAAGCTTGACAACGAGATTGATCATGTCTCCAATGACCCTATTCGCCGACTGCCTCGCCCGCCTCAGAAGGACGGTAGACATCCCCCCCGACCTGCTCCGTTGTTACCTGCCATGGTTACAGGGCTTCATGAGCCTCCACCCTCGGCTGCGTTGTTGCCTTCCATTGACGTGCCACCCCGGCCATCCCTTGTTCGCGCTGCCACGAGTTCCAAAATACATGTCAAGGATATCTTGAGCACTTCAAACCCTGAAAAATCTCCGCCCCCGCCTGTATCCAATACCCTGGCTCCGGGATCAGAAAAGACACGATCTCATCTGTCCCCAGGCCCCGTTGGCCCGTCGTCTCGGGCAGGCAGCCCAATGTCTACCGAGAACTCGACACAACTCAGTATTTCAAGGGATGGCAAAACCAGAAGAGCTCGACGAAAGTGGTCTGAGCAAGAAACTCAAGACCTCTTAGCTGGTGTGCACAAGTACGGTGCTGGTCGGTGGAAACAGATCCTCGAAGACCCTGCCTTCAACTTCTGTGAACGAAGCTCGGTAGATCTGAAGGACCGGTACAGAGTTTGTGCAAACAACGATGCCTCAGTCAAACCTCTGCAAGCACCAAGCAGGACACCGTCGAATGAAGACCTGACCAGATTTGCTCAATCAAACTCATTTCGGATACACGGAGAACTAGGCGAGATACAAGCAACAACGCCGTCCGGTGCCAAAGGCCAACCCACGAAACAACGCCGCAAACGGTGTGCATGGACCGCTGTGGAAGACCAGAACCTTCTCGACGGAGTAGTCAAGCACGGGTTCCAATGGACCCTGATCCACGATGACCCAGAGCTCAACCTACACCATCGCCGCGCGACAGATCTACGTGATCGCATTAGAAACCGATTTCCCGATGGTTACAAGCACGCCGACGTAGCCCCGTTCAGATCAGAAGTGAAAAAGGCGGAAAAGACAGGCGCTGTCTCGAGACTGGCCCCTGCTATCAACGGTAGTGGCACTGGAGATGTCGACAGCCCAGCACAGAGTCCCATATTTTCCAAATCCACCATGGTACGACTCGAAACACCCACCACTCTACCTCTGCATGCCTCCAACGAGCAAAACCGCACTGTCTCCGCCACCGTTCACATGATGATTCACCGCACCAACAGTGACGGCAACCTAGTCGCCCACAAGTACGACCGGGACAAGGACATTGCCAGAGACAAGGAACAGAGCAAAGATCAGACTCAACCCATGGTCACTTTACCGAGCTTCAGTCTCGGTGTCGACGATGACATGGATTGGGATAACCGACTTCCTCCTATGCATGAATGGGACGATATCGGTATCTAGTGCTTGGCTTGCGAGCTCGCTAGCTGGCCAGTCTAGTCTTTTCAAGAGTGTCTCCGATCGATCTACCCTGCCATGAGGAAGAGATGGAACAGGACCGAACTCAGGAGGAAATGGGTTTCCACTTATTCAGCTGAAGGTGTTGCAAAGCGCATCAAGCTCGACCATATCAGGTTTCTGGTCTGATTGTTATCTCGTACAAGATTTTTGTGCTTTCTTTGTTAAGGAGTTGTGCAATATGCGCATAATGTGCTTTTTCTATTGATACCCCCATAGTAATTCTGCTAATGCTTCAAAAAACGAATGGAGCCTGCTGGCTGGCTCTGACTTATATCAATCCTTCCTCTTTTCTACAAAGTGTTTCCTGACACGCGGAATTGAACTGATGATCTCATATAGGATCACGAAGCCGGGGTGGAGTTACCATGAAATATAGAAGAATCTGAAATCGCTTGCTTGCTTGCATGTTTGTCGGAGAGGCTAAACTCATATTCTGAACCCTTCCACAGCGAAATCCCTTCCCTTCCCTTCCCTTCCTTTCCCTTGATTTTCTGCTTGCCACTCAATCTGTGCAAGTGCCCTTCGTTTGCATGCCACCCCAGGAGTCCTAACATATCTGCGGTTCACAAAGTCGGAGCAGGTCAGGTCAAACTCCATCCATCAGGTACGCCGCTCCAAACAAGTCAACCAATAAATGCCCCTGGTTCATGCAACACAACACTTGAAAGGATGATTGCGCCAAAAGTATGGTTTGACGGATGATACTACCTAGCACCTCGGGTGTCTCGTTTCTCGTGCCTCGTGGACGAAAGGGATCCTGATATCGTAGTCATGTATCATAAAAAGGGGTACAATTTGGTGAATGTGAATGAGCCGAAATCGTTGACGAGTGCCCACCCGCGGGGTTTTATAATCACCAGGCACTTCGGTCCCAGTTCGGGTCTGTACGAACACAACATTAGTAGTTGTAACCAGAAAATCACTGCATGGATTCAATCCTACCTTGTATGAATGCGCCCAAGACTTTACTTCCAGTTTGAAGTAGAGGATGCCCAACCACGATCTGTAGGAATCTTTGAAGACCTTCCCTTCTGTGTTCAATCACATCATCGGAGAACCGGTTTGTAAAGACCTTTCCTGGCAAAGGAGGGATGGTCACGCGGGCACTCTCGCGTTCCAAGATATCTCGGAAGTACTCAAAGTCCGAGTAGCGACGGCGGACCACGGAATGGCGCAGCTTGAATGCGGGAATGTTGGTCCGAGTGTGAATCTCGTATGAGGTATACATATTTCGGGGAGAAGAGCCATGTGTTTGAGGATTCTTGACCTAGATGGGACCTTGTCAGCCCTGCCGATAGTAATGGAGGAGTCCACTCCTCGGCTTGGTGTGAGTGGACCTATGCGATGTACCTCGATTTCTAGAAAGTTTTCTGGAGGACCATAGATTTCCTCAAAGGTCTGCTGACGGGATTCTGGTAGCGCCTGCATGATTGTGGGAGGTGGATGGGAGTTGAAGGCGGGGTGATTGGGGTTCGGGCTAGGTGGGAAGGGTTGCGACGAGGATAGTGTCGAGAACGATGTTAGCACAAGAATTGTTAGGTTGCAAGGTCTGTAGGAATTGGATCTAGAGAAGGATGAGTATTGAAGGCAAAGATGAATATCGCCGAACGAAGACGTGGAAATCGATTCTGTGCGCCAGCGTCTTGCTGGTGGTGAGGTTGTAATTCTGAACCTGCCTGCGACATCGCCGCCAATCCTTCCTCTTTGGGGGTGGGGAAGGAGGAGTTGCACTCGTACACAAATTATGGTCAGTGGCCTGTAGGCGCCTTGGGCACCAGGCTCTGACTGAGGGGCAGGCTCCAGCCGCACCCCGGCCTCCATGATAGCCTAAGGGGCCCAAGCCACTCCAACTTCATCCCCGAGTACTGATACTCTGCATATCGAAATAAAGTGAACCGATATGTTTCATGCCATCACGTGGTCAAAGTGAATACTGGAATACCTGATTTATCACCAAGTGCTAGTTTCGCGAGCTGGACTAGGAGAAGAGCTTGCCCATCATTCACAAATCCCATATTAATTTATTTGGGGTCGTGGTCTCGAGTCTCGTACGGTACCTGCCGCATTGATGGCGGAGTGAGGTACGATGGAACGGCAGGTACCCCCCACTGACTCTAATAAAGTACTTCCTTCCTTGGCAGTCTGCCACTCTGGAAAAAAGTTGATGCCAAGATTTATCCTCAACCTCGATTCTTTTGATGCTCACGCCTCTCAACCCTGACATACAGCCCATTCGTTGTTCTAACGCCGATCATGGCCATGGCATCCAAAAAGAGAAAGAGAGAGGTCGACGTTGAACTCGTCAAAGTCTATGAGGAGCTCGCGGACCAAGACGAGACAGTCCGCCTAAATGCAGCCCGGACTCTGCTCTCCCAAATTTTCAAGGCTGGTGTTACCAGTGAGGAGCAGACCACCAATATACTCAAACGTCTTTTCAGAGGACTTTGTAGTGGTCGAAAGGCAGCTCGCCTTGGATTCTCTGTCGCCTTGACAGAATTACTCTCCCAGCTCTCTGTCACTGAATCGTCTGCTGTAGACTCGACCATTTCATCTGCGACCATTATTCAGATCCTAGAAGGAGAAACCACCCCAGAGACTGGTACGTCAGGTCAAGACGGCAGAGATCATTATTTTGGGAGAATATTTGGCGCCGACGCAATTCTGAAGTCCGGCATTTTCTTTGTACGATCGGATCAGGTTCAATGGAAGCAACTTCTGGATCTCATCGCTGCTCTCGCCATCAAGAAGCCGTGGCTCCGACAAGAGTGCGGATGGATTCTCTTTTCATGCATATCTGCGAACACCACCGTAACCGTTCCTCAAGCTTTTGCGATTGACACGCTTGAGGCTTTGTTGTCTCATAAACTTATCCGGACCCCGGAAGGTGTCGCTGTCTGGATCGCTACCACCAAAAGATTCCCTGATGCAAAATTGCCAAAATCTGCTTGGAAGCACGAAGACCCTCTTGCTTCAAAGGAGATAAATACCTTGTCCACCATCCTGAAAGATGCACGAGCTAGTCAGCCAGATCAAGACTTTGAGGCGCAGGGCTCTGCTACCTGGTCAGCAAATTTGCATTTTGCTTGGGATGTCGTGTTGAGTGAGCTCTACGCCACTGTGGTAGAACCTCAAGTCTCTGCGAGAGATAGAGTCTCATTCGAGAAATTCTGGGCTGTTGCAGTTGAGGAAAGCCTATTCTCCAATGCAAGCAGTACGGAGCGGAAATCCTGGGGATTGAACCTCTGGCGTCGCGTGATGGAGACTGCGCCTCGAAATCTTCTTCGTCACACCTTTACCCAGGCTGCTTTGCGCTGTTTCGTCAACTCCCTCAAAGCCCCCGAAAGACTCCTTCAGAGATGTGCATCAAGACTGGCCCAGACCTTTCCCCGTCGCATTTTGATGGAAAACAACGAAGAAGAGAAAGAAGACAGCAATGATTTCATCAGCACCTGTGTCAGATCGTTCCTCGAAAGTGTGTCTTACGGCGACTTTGACCTGATCACCAAAACCAAGACTATGCAGAACATCCTCGAAACAAAAAGTGATCAGGTAACTATTGCTATCGCCCAAGCTCTTGAACATCTATTAAAGTCCTCCGTGGTTGATGAGACGGAAGAACTTCGTATAACTCGTCAAAAGTGTATTGTGGGTTTGCAAGGCAAAGTCCTTGCTGTTGCATTACGATCTGTTGAGCAGAGCCCGGTTGAATCTGTGGCTCTTCCTGTCGCCGCCAGTATCATTACGTCCTGGCTTCAAAAGGCCTATATCTCTCCCGAATCCTTGGCCAAACAAGATACCCCCATCACAGCCCAAGTTCATGAACTGATTGTGGCTCGTATTGGCGCTGGTTTTGAACAAGCACTTAGACTCGGAGAACCAGGTGTCCGGTTATTCGCTGAATCTCTGCTCTCCATCCATGCCATGGAGCAGAGTGGAGTACGGATGAAGGTCCAATTTGAAGATGAAGTGGCCGTGGACATCGACACAGCATGGACAAGATTACAAGAGTCCTACCGCCTGGCACAGATTCCGACCCCACAAAAGAATTCTGAAAAAGTTCCCTACAGCATGCACGACGGGCTCCTTCTGCTCTACTGTCTGATCCTGTTCCAGGTCTACAATGGAGAGACAGAGGCAGTAGAAATTACACGAGAACTAATCGCAGTCCATGACCAATGGATTGCCAGCCATAAAAAGTCTGGGAAGTCCAAAAAGTCTCAAAAAGCAGCAGCAGCACCGATGGAAGGGGATGATGTCGCCATCATTGAGATACTTCTAGGATTTGCGTCTCGCCCTTCCAAGTTCCTCAAACGGGTCACGCAGCAGATCTTCGAGTCCTTAGCACCGCAGATATCCAAAGATGGCCTCGAATCTCTATGTAACATTCTACAAGCCAAAGAGAATGCCCAAGGTCAGAGTGAGATGTTCCAGTCCGCGGATGTGGATATGGCAGACAATTCCGATGAGGAAGATCTAGACTCTGATGTTGAGATCATCTCAGCTTCGTCAAGCGCAGAGGAGGATGCATCCACGCGTGATTCGGAGTCTGAATCCGAATCGGATGGCGACTCAAGCACAAGCTCGACAGCTGAGGAGCAAGATTCGGAAAGCGATGCTGAGTTAGCCGCTTTCGACGCAGCACTTGCGTCCGCTTTAGGCACCCGTCCTTTGGACCAAAACGACGCTGCAGGGTCATCTAGCGACTCTGACTCCGATGCCGATATGGGCGATGATGAGATGATGGAGCTGGACGAAAAGCTGGCCGAAGTGTTCCGGGCTCGTAATTCCGTCAATCCCAAGAATAAGAAAAAGGAAGCCAAAGACGCCAAAGAGAATATTGTCAATTTCAAGAATCGTGTTCTCGACCTGATCGACACCTACCTGAAACAGCAATACCAAAACCCTCTAGCGATCGAGCTCATAACGCCGCTACTGAAGCTGATACGTACCACGAAAACCAAGCAAATTGCCGACCACGCCAACAATGTACTACGAAATTTCCTCACCAAATGCAAAGGGCCTGTTGGACCTAATCTAACCTCCAGTGCCGAGATTGAACGAGGCATCTCCGTCCTGAAATTGATTCATGAAGAGACCTGCCTCCAGGCTTCCAACCAACACGCAGCTGCAGCCAGTTCAAGTAGCATTCTGGTAACCAAGGCTGTGGCCAAAGGAAATCCTCCGAGTTTGACGACTATTGTCCAACTTTATGCCTCAACACGTCTGAGGCAATTAACAGACAAGAAATGTTACGTCACTCCCATCTTTTTCACAGACTGGAACAATTGGTGTCAGAGCACGGAGAAAAGATTTGCCAAATAAGGGAGAAAGGTTGAAAAAGACCCGATGAAGCCAGAGACAAAGCAGAGGCAGAGACTGCCCAGGGGGTTCTTTGGATCATAGAGTCTCACTTGAAGAAGGTCTCGGCTCTAGTGTGACATGCAGGATATTACCAGGCAGATATGAGCAACCCTACCGTGAGCCTAAGGAATCCTATCTTAATTGCGTAGCATTCGCAGTAGTGAGCAAACTAGGCCACCCATGTAACACTCGAACAGTGTCTAGCATGGACAAAGCATGTGCAATGATGGACGAGAATCAAAAGTCCGACAAAGGGAGCGTTGGACTTTGATGTATGGAATGGTATAGGGTCATTGGGAAAGAACTACTTAGGAGCTGCCTGCCATGTGTGTGGGAGGGAAGGAGCGAAGGCGATATGTTGGAAGGCAGGCGCTGATTGGGGCCGCGGGGCTTGTTGCCTTGCATGCTCACAATACGCAGCTGCCTCCTTTATGACTTGCAGATTCCTTCCCAGGGTAAGAGCCGGGATCTGCGTAGTCGAACTCTTGTTCGATCATTCTCCACCTCAATCATTTCCTTTCTCTACACGCTCTGTGCTACAACACCCAACGCTTCAACATTACGTACCGTCAAATCCTCCTCAATCATGCATATGCGTTGGAAACACTGATTGGTGGGTGACTCAATGCAGAGTTGGGGGCTGAGTTCGAGCCTACTGATAAACCAGGACTTTTGCTCTGAAAGCCTCAACCAATCGCTTCTGCCTCTGTCGTCGGCATATCACTAGTCTGCATCCCAAGCAGATGTTGACGGCAGAGGCAGACGATCAATTTTGAATCATGACTTGACCGTGGCCTTTTCAAACAAGCTTCACGATCTCATAGTTGGCATGGCCTTGCTCGTATCTGCAAGCAAAGCCTTCACCGGTAGCACCGAAGTCACTCACTGACTCACCTACTGGACCTGACCAGTCGTCATCGTTCCTGCTTGTTTCTGCGATTTCTGCGATTTCTGCAGCTTCCATTCCCCGTGGCCGTGTTTGTGGGTTGCGCCTTCCGCCAGTACATGTCTGCCTAAGGAAGGTAATCAATCCCTTTCCTTGGCGCCCACCTCCAGTCCAACGTCCAATCCAAGACAGAATTTGATGATTCACTCCATGTCCCTTTTGCCAGAGACCAGAGTCCTAGAGACGGTTGTGGCAGCCTAATCATGTCCATCCGCTCGGTCGGGTCATGATTCGTCATGGATGCTGTGCTGGCCCAGATCTATACTTCTGGTGGAGACATGGCTATATCCTCCCTCTGATCCTCCTCTCATGTCTATCTGCTTCATGGTCACAAACTACAAGGTCAGTCTCCCAATTCTCTCATCATGGTACGGGCGGAGGATGCTGTGGCCTACGTCCACCAGGGATTCTGGATCAACTGGACAAAGGGACGTCCAATGGGAGCCACTCTGACCCTCGAACCTCAGAATGCCGCTATCTTGATTGCCATCGTTGCTGTCTACGTCCAACTGGTCGGCTCCCAGCTCTGGAAACTTGTCGTCTTCCTCATCCACCAGCTTCGAGCCACTCAAGCCGAAAAGGATGGCTTCTATCATCAGCAGCAGGTTATTCTGCGCAACACCGGCACCGAGATGGGCGCCGTTTGGCAACTGATCCGTGTCGGCTTTGCCTGGCGCCATCACGTCCAACTCAAGGCCACCAGGAGGTCCCTTCCCCTAATATTGATTGCCTCCTTGCATTTTGCTGCTTTCAATGTTGCCAGTATCTTCTCGTCAAGACTCCTCGATGCTGGAGACGAGGCTCTCTCTATCAGTCCATTTTGCGGGGTCTTCAATGACGATTACATGGCTTCCATGGGCACAAGCTCCGTCATTTCCATGCCCAATAGTCTGGTCGTCGAATACTCGGCCTACATCCAGTCTCGCTATCAACAAAGTCAGCAGTATGTGGAGTTCTGTTCAACTCCTTCTTCAGTCTGTCGACACCTTCCACGTCAGACCATTCCCTGGAATGTGACAATCAATGACTCATGTCCATTTGCACAAGCTGCATGCCTGCCCGGTCTCAACCAGTCTATCGTCTTAGATACTGGCCTCTTGTCGTCCCATCGTCATTTCGGTATCAACTCTCCCGCTGCTGATCGAGTTCAATATCGCAAAGTCACCACCTGTACCATACTAAATGACGCAGAATATATCACCGACTGGCACAACATCTCTGCGACAAATTCTACCCCCGCCAAACAAGTCGTCGATGCCTACTATGGACCCAACCCCATTGCCGACCGCAATGCCACCTTCTCCTATTCAGAATGGACCCACCTTTACTCCTTTGACCAGTACAGCATCACGAATCCGTATCAGATGAGTGTTCAGTATACGGGCGGAGGTACCACGCCCGAGGTCTATTCCGACTTCGTACCCATCCCAGAGCTAGCTCGCTCTGACGCCGATGTAATGTTGGCATTCTTGTCATTCTCCAAGGTCTACGAAGCTGCCGTTGATGATCCTTGGTTCCGGGCCACCGTTGCCACAACATATCCCGTTCCAGAGTCAATGAACCCAGTTGAAGGCACCGTCTATAAAAGAGACAAACCAGTCACAACCCTGGCATGTGCTGAACAACATCAACTCTGTGTTGACAAGGACTCTGACAATGATGTCCCAACTTCTGATAAATGTACACCGCTCGGCGGGTGGTTCGACACAGCCGCCGGGCCCAACAGCATCGACGTGTTTGATCTGACGCCACAGCAAGGTGCTGTTGCCCAGCGTCTTTTCCAATCTGCAGTCGATTCTTCATTCTATAGCGTCCTTCTGGGACTTGCCCAACGTGATACCCCATTGCTTGCGAGAAGATCAATCCAAGGGCTGACGGGGATGGGGTTACCCATCGACCAATGGCAAAACGAGGTACGATACTGGAGCAACATATCAATGGCTAATCTGCAACGGTCGGTGGTTGATTTTAGCACCGGTCGCTTTGCTGCTGATACCTCATACATCAACACCACCTTGTCTCCAGCACAAAGTTGGCTTTGTCAGAACCAGATCATTCGTGGAACGAGTTATCGGTCCTTTGACATGTTTGCGTTAATCTTCATCCTTGTATTGGGATTGATCATTATCATTGTCGGCTCAACCATTGAGGATTGTCTCGCTCTACGAAGGAAGCGACAGATGCGACAAGGCAAGACGACCTCGAGCTACCGACAGGAAATGTGGGTTCGAAACGAGATGCTGGATATGCTGCGAATGCTCTTCGAGCGTCAGGGCTACTCCACCTGGGGTCGGAGTTCCAACGGGGTTCCAATTTCAGGTCCGGGGCAAATGATGAAGATTGCAGATCTCGAGACTACCGACAACCTTGAACTTTATGCCACGCAGGACTCAAAGAAACCTAGGTCTCATCGATGGCGTATCGCACCAAGCGGAAACAGTAGTGCTGGGACATTACTGAAGGATCACGATATCCACCAAGGGGTTGAGTCTTTTGAATTTGATCATGCTCAAGGAGAATTTTTGCGCGATTTGAAACTGTCAAAGACGAAAAGGCAGTTTACTGTTGATGAAAGATATTCAAGTGATTTCACTGCTCTCCCGGTACACGATGACGGGCAAGGCGGCATTGGACATGTTATGGCAGAAAGGAGGACAAGTTGGGGCCTGTGGGGAGAACGACCACGTCGTGTCCCCCAAGCACCGTCCGACTGGATCGGTCGTGCATATTAGATGGTGACTGGTGCGTTGGCGTTTTGATCATCTTGTGGGCGCCGTTGAGATTTTGATGATAGAAGCATCCATGGTTTTGAGCGCTGGTCATTTCTGCAGGATCAGGATTGACATCTGATGTAACATCTTGTAATACAATTTGGATAACATTTGGATAGGATTCGCGAGACGCTTTATTGACGAGATCAATTTGTATGCAACAAGCTCGAACCAGTCGAGAAGCCAATTTGTCGCTACTTGAATAAGGAACACACGCTGTCTGGGATGTATGATGGATCCCACACTCTACTTCTCGGCCTGTGTCTCTGTCTCCAGCGCTTCGGCCTTGTCCAAAGCCTCGAGTTGAGCTTGAATAAGCTCACTCTGCAAGCTGATGGACTGCGAAGCAACACTCAGAGCCTGACTCTGAATGATCAAAGCTTCACGTTTGGTGAACTTGTCCTGTTTGCAGTCGCCATAGGATTCTAGCTTTTGTGTCAGCAAACGTTAACACTGGCAGTCTTTCTGCAGATTCAGACGTACCTAAACCTCCGGTGGCATCGTCGACGGCGGTTGACGCTTCTGTAGCGAGAACATCGGCTGCCGCCACTCCTAGCGCTATAAGCGGGTCAGCGTAAAGCTAGCACATGGTCAAACCAAAAGCAGTCTTACCTTTTGTATTGAGGACTTGAAAACCTCGTAGTTCAGGAATGATTCGAGTCGCTGCAAAGCAGTTGTGTAAGTAATCTCGTCTATCGAGAATGACAGACCATCGGCTCGAATGTCTGTGGGATCCACTTACTGAGCACCTGGAAACTACCATCTTTCCTGGTCAGATAAGCCGTGACTGGTGGAAGATTGGGTCCTGGCCAAGGTTAGGTCAGTAAGTTTATGGGAGAAGATTCTAAAGTCAGGCACTGGCATACGTGGTGGACCCGGCGGCTTTGGGGGATAGATCACAATAGTGACCTTGTCACCTTCTTTGACTTGAAGCGACATGACTGAGATTCAGATAGATGTAAACGCTTATCGAACCGTCCCTTGAATGTGGGTATAATGCTTCCTAACAAGACGATCGAGGATCTCAAGGAAATTTTATAGGTGTTTCATAAACGATGGGAAAAAAACAAGGCAGCGAACAACCCCCAGACCACTCACTCACTTACTCGCTAGGCAAAAACTCAGCCTTACAAGGCACAATCAAACGAGACGACATCTTTGGATGGACAAAATCAAGAATCAATTACATTGCATGTCCCTTTTGCAACAGCCACAACGCTAACGCAATCCCAACTGACCGGTCTCATTCCAGGCGACGCCACGGTCGGGGTCAGGGTTTGAAGCCACAGTCAGGGTGTTTACTGGAAGCATAGTAAGGACAATCACTGGCTAGATCGTCCAGGGCAGGCTGCAACGACATGTTCTGGCGGCGGCGGTGGTAAACCACTAGGACGATGGCGCGGGCGGGTGATGGTGCAGATATACGAACCTCGATGCCAGGTTATTGGAACATGATGCGCCAGCTGGAATTGAATGTAGCTCCGCTATTGGTTCACTCTTGGACGCGTCTCGTATTGCTGCTAAGTCTCGAAGTCCCTGCCTACAGGCTACAGAGACTACAAGTTCTAGGGAGCTTGAATCGAGAGAATCATGGTGAAGATTGGTTCGAGACGAGGTACGATGGTTGGGGCAGTGTTCTGGGCAAAACTTAGTGGGATGTGTCCATCATTGGCAATGACTAGGTACCTACATACGGAGTAGGTACCAATAGGTGGTGATGAAGGGTAATACGAAGTCCGAACATCGGATAGAGACACAGAAGATAGGGATAAGTTGAGGACTCTCGTGGGGGCCAAGGGGGGCCGAGGGGCCAAAGTTGAAGATGGCTCTGGGTGGAAGTGAAATGCATCTTGTGATTCAATGTTCGGCTTTAGGATCTACGGCCAAGTATAAGAAATCCACACGCTTGAGTTTCTTCCAGGTCGCAGGCTGCCACTGATGCCCACGATGAACCACCCAACAACCAACAGCCAACAGCCAACAGCCAACAGCCAACAGCCAACAGCCAACAGCCAACAGCCAACAGCCAACAGCCAACAGCCAACAGCCAACAGCCAACAGCCAACAGCCAACAGCCAACAGCCAACAGCCAACAGCCAACAGCCAACAGCCAACGACTTTCAAGCACCCGCCCTTCTTCCATCATTTTGATTGCTTTCCCCTTGCAGTGCTCAGATGTCCTTGTAGGACAACCCGCCAACCTGGGTCGAGTCTGAAATGGCTGCCTGCAATGTGAGAAACCACATGGACCCGACAAATCTGGTGCCTTCATACCTACGATCGAGATTCCGTGTGGACTGGTAGGACAGGGTCTCAGGTCCAGTTACTTTTACGAGCACCGTAACTACGAAGTAGTTGTGGGAATGTCCCTCATCTCCACAAGGCTGTCCTCCACCGGGTGCAAGTTCGATCTCAGGTAAGCAAAACATGAGACTGCGATTGGCGGTTTTCGTTACTACGGACCCCCATTGACAGGTTTCATCCGCGTTTTCATCCGCGCGATGCTTAGGTCCGGATGAGAGCTTGTTCCCACCTCCGTCATTCCCTGCTGTTTCTGTCTGTGCAACTTGTCGAGCTTGTAGCGAAATCAGACAAAGCTCCAAAATGAGATGCTCACCAGTCCGGCTAGCTACCACCAATCCCAGCCTACTACATGTCATGTCTCTCCTAAATTGGATGAGTAAGAGAATTGTCTAGCCTATTGGAGGTTTTTCTCAATTGCAGCCCTGGCCGAGTCTCTGGGCTGCCATTTCACAGCGCTGTTACCGTCGATTGATTCCACCATGGACTATCATGGGAAAACAATACTGGCTGTTGCCACTATGCCTCGCGGATCCCAATGCTTCACCATCATATCTCTCAACGAGTTGGCATCGAGTCTATCGTCAGTACCATCGCGATTGCGACTTCAAAAATGACAAGGGGCTCCTAGCCTTACTATCTGCAGCTCGATCCGGTAGGTCATGTTTGCTTAGTGAAGTGCTTACATGAGCTCTGTGTCCACCTATCGACTCCACGCATCGGCCTTTGGATACCTGCTAGTCGTCATCCAGTCAATCCTAGGCATGCAACCACTGCATGGTCCGCGTCTACCGTGACAATATTGCAATATTCCTGCCCTCCTTGTTATTGCTCATCCGCTGTCTTCCAGATCTTGCATTCAGATCGGTTACCAGATTCAATGTCTTGACGATCGCCAGTGCGAAGCAAGCGCTGAATACGACATTGCTTATTGCAGACGTGATTGCTTTATAATTCTTTGCTTCCAGCACTTTTCTTCTTGTTGACTTCTCTGTCCCGGTCGAGTGTGTTCGTCCGCTGTTCATTGCGAGACTTTGGGAACAATATGGCAGCATCACAGCAGCAGGAGCAGAAGCCATCATGGCTGAAACGACTCGTCGCACGTTCTGGTCTCAAGCTGAGCCTTCCTATCATTCTATTGATGTTCAAGTATGTGGTTATGGACCTCTTCGTCACGGCAATCATTTCTCAGAACTTTGTGACGTTGTCACAACTACGTTCTGATGAATGCATTCGTTCCACAATGCACATTTGAGCTGGTCTAACATGATATAGGGGCGCCATAGCTCCCACAGTCGGCGTGGCAATGTCAGTCTTCCATTCTCCTAACAAAATACCCTCTATCCGACTGACAACTTCCAGATACCAAGCAGATGCTGTATCAGATCGCTACTCCACTATCGGCTACCTCATTCCTATCATGTCCTTGCTTGTCGTGCCGATAATGCCTCGAGCTAGATTCATCCAGGGTATTTTTGTAACCTCGGTATGGCAAGTCACTCGAGTTTGTGCCAGTCGCTGATCAACCTCTCGCCGCAGGTCTTTACTTGCTTCGCCGCTGCCATTTCCCTCTTGTTCATGTGGATCTCGATAAAAGCACGGGAGAATACCACACATATCGACAGCGAGGCCATGAGAGATGGCCCTGTTCCTAGGGCACAGATTGTTTCCTACAACGCTGCTGCTAGCGCAAACCAGGGGATTTGGTTTTTCTTCTGGCTCTGGGCCTACAACACGTATGCCATGCGCATCAAGAACGTTTGAATCACCGTCTGCTAACTCCCGGACAGCTTCCGAGCTTTTCGACCACAGTACTTTCTTCCACTCATCGTCTTTGGAATCTACCTAAATGTCACCGCCACCTATGGTTGTATTTTCCCAACCATTACTCAAGTCTACTCATTAAGTGAGTTGCGTTTCTCGTGCGGTAGAGTTAGTAGCTGATTATCATCACTAGCGACGCTATTACTCGAGGTCTTCTTTATCGGCTTTGGAATGGCCACCGCCGCACACTTTGCCTTCCTCCCCATCACCACAAGAGATCTTGTGACCCTGGTCCTGAATGAATATCTACATGGTCTTAAAGCTGTCTTTGACGCTCAACGAAAATTCATCGAATCGGTGCCGCATAGAGAATGGCAAAATCGTCAAGCCGTGAGCAGCAGCGGCGAAAGTCAGAATAGCGGCGGACATAGCACGAGAGTTGAATCCTGGCCCGAGGCTGACGCGTGGAAAGCAGCTACGATAAAGGTTACCGAAGCTCAAGTCAAAATTCACGCGGAAATGCCATACGTCAAGCGAGAAACCTGCTGGGGAAAGCTACGATCTAGTGACTTTGTCTGCATCATGCGGCTTTTGAAAAACATCCTGGTCCCCATCACTGGTCTTGAGACCATCATTCAAATCACCGACAGTGTTGAGAGTCGCGGCGGGTGGGGCTCAATCTCGTCTAATCGTGACAGTACAACTACGATCACAGATGACCCTGAGGCTGCGTTAATGAGCGAAGAAGAGCTGTGGAAATGGATCTTCCAACAAATTCAAGAGCCCTCTCGACAACTCTGGCAGGCAATGCTGGAAGGCATAGACTATTCTCTGTTTACTTTGGGATTCACCAAGAAACCCGCCTTCATGACCAAAGAGGAACTTGCTTCTCGGGGAGCTGACTTGCCCTCGGGCAAAAAGGGCTTCGCTGCTTATCTGGAGGATTCCATGCAGAACTTTCTTGCAGCTCGTGAGGAGCCGTTGAAGAAGTGGTGCAAATGGAATGGATTGGCACGATCACCTGGTGTCAGCTCCAAGAGCCCACTTCTCCAGCGACACCAAACTCAGTTGTATCTGATTCTTGATGTACGTACTTGATCATGATGTTGCAACACCGACTGACTTCGACGCAGCTCGAATACTGCCTCATGGCTACGGCAAAGGGAGTACTCAACTTGGTTCATTTTGCCGATCGAAAAGTCGAGGATGGCACCATGGCGAAGAAGCGATTCATTCACCCAACGTGGAAACAACTAAAGAAGTGGTTCATTTCTTTATTCACCCGTGATGACGGAAACCTCGATTACCAGACATACAGCTACCGCAGTGGCACACCAACCATCTACCTTGGTGATGCCCTTGGAGTTCAGCGAGATCCTGAACATTTGCCACCAGTCACCAAGTGGGAAAGATTCACAGATAAAATCCGACTAATTCCTCAACTTGTTGGATCCAAGGAATCGTGGTTTGGCTTCAAAGTGGCTGTTGGCACCTTTTTCATCTCCATCACCTGCTACCTGCGAAACTCCCAAGAATTCTACATCAAGCAGAGAATCATTTGGGGCGCCGTCATGGTTGCTATCAGCATGACTCAAACGACAGCTTCTGGACTGTATGGTCAATTCGTCAGAATATTTGGCACATTTCTCGCCATGGTCTTTTCCTACATCAACTGGTACATTGTGGATGGGCATACAGCTGGTGTCATTGTCTTCATCGGCATTACTTGTTTCCTGTACCATTACCTTCTGGTCACAAGACCAGACGACCCTGTAATACCCATGATTGGAACCATCACACTGATATTGATTTTGGCATACGAGCTCCAAGTCAAGAAAGTCGGAATTGCCATTTCCACACGCAACGGCCAGGTATTCCATCCCGTCTACGAACTGGCTCCGTATCGACTGGCAGCCGTGTTGGGCGGTGTGGGAATCGCATGTTTTTTGAGTTATTTCCCAACTGTCAACACATCCAGAGCCGAGATGCGCAAGGATTTGGGCGCAACTCAATACTTGCTCGGCCACTACTACAGCTCCACTCACAAAGCCGTGTCTCTACGACTGAAGGATCTAGGAGGTGACGAGGCGGACAAAAACAGTCCCATTCGAAAACTTGAAAAGGCACGGAGCAAACTATTCGCAAAACAGCTTATCCTCATCCAAAGCATGGAGAATCACCTCAAATTCATCCGATATGAACCCACTTTCGGAGGACGATTTCCTCGAGAGACGTACGAACGGCTATTACATGCCACCCAAAAGTGAGTTTAACACCAGGTTCAACCACCACCATCTTCTTCTTCAACCTCTTCATCTTCTTCCAATACTAACGCCCGCTTTCCTCTCCTTGCAGCATCCTCCGCTCCACAGCGATGATCGCATTCGTGACCAAAACCTTCCGCGAACTTCCCGAAGATGTACACATCCCCACCAGCGGCGGCGACGACTTCCCTTCCAACACCACCGACGACACAGCCAACGGCACAGGCACCACCAATACGACATGGGCCAAAGATTTCCGCGAGGTAATCTCCACGTTACAACTGGCCTCTCACGGCGTGACATCTCTTCTCGCCATCCTATCCGGCTCCATCACACACGGACGACCCGTGCCACCATATCTGCGTGAACCCGATCCCTACGACCTCGGCGGTCTGATGGAAGGATTAGATACGGAAATCCTGAATACCGTTCATGTTTGTGAACCGGGATATTCGGCTTTCGCCGTCATGCAGCTCAGTACAACCATGTTACATGAACATCTGGCTGTTCTGCTGGCGGACACGAAGTTGTTGGTGGGTGAGGCGGATTTTGATCTTGATGTTGTCAAGGAGGATTATGAGAAGTCGGTCGGCTTAGCGGGTGTGGTGCCCCACCAGGGTCAGAATCGGTCGTCGATTAAAGCGGAATGATGCAGATACAGATACTCAACAGCAATTACTGGAAGGTGGAGCAAGAGCAAGAGCAAGAGCAAGCCAAGCATACCAAAAAAGAAGAAGAAAAAAGGAATTGAAAGAGATTGATGTGACATCTTTTTCTAGCTTTCTTGGTTTAATATCGGGATGGATCAATGTGGTCTCGGTCTCGATTCTTGGAGGAGAAGAATGGGACCGAGTCTTACAGATTGGCAGACCAGACTGCTTACAGCAAAGCGAATCTTATGTACATGTATGTATACAAAACATATTTGACATGTATTGGTATCTATGATATTGGACAAGTTCGTAGCCTTACTACCTACTTAGGTACTCGTTCCCTGTCCAACACATTTTTATGAAAACACCTCCATTCAGGTACATTCAACTGAAACAACAACTTGGCCAAGATAAGTATGCTTGTGTAGTCATTCTCATTTTCTTATTCATAAGCTCGTAAAATTTCCTGAAGAAGAGGCAGTAATAGCCAAGCAAGCTGGACAAATCAGGTACTACCAATTGCTGACCTTCTTTGGCTCAACGACAGTCCTGATCCAGTCTTGCCAAATCTCACGCCCAGCATGGCGTCCATAACTGATCAATATCACCTCTTTATCACGTCTGTGATTACATGACCAAAACCCATCCAGTCGTAATCTCCCCAAAATACAAGATACCACGCTGATGTATTACCTCCACATTCTCGTCAAGAACTGTGTCCCATATGGACCAAAAGTGAAAGCAACGCCAATAGCCGGCCCAGCCAGCACCCTCATATGCATGGAAGTTCTCCAGCAAAATCTGCACTAAATTTGTTTTTGTCGTAAACGCCTTGCAAATGTCGTTCGTCAAAAAAGGCCGCGTTCCGCTGTCCCCATAAAGCACCTGCTATTGTACTCTGTCAGGCATGGTAAACATTCCAACCTCACATGCATTCTGACACGTCATGATCCATCAAGCACATGAAATGAGCCCCCTAAGCTAAATGATAGTGTTTAAGTGAATGGATCATCTCTTGCTGGTTGATCGGGTAATGGTAGTCGTTGATGGTGGCTGGGATGGAAAGTACTGAACAAGGCTAATCTTTCTCCAATACTCAGACTGCTATTATGCCCATGACCGTAGCTTGGCATTGTTGCAAAGGCACTCGTGTTGATGAATGGATCACTCAAGCTCGGAACATGTCTCGAGTTCTTGACACGGTAGTTGCGTTTGTTAGGATCCAGCTCAAACGGACTGCCCAACCGCCTTTGAGTTGGATCGAGCTCAGGAGGAGCGAGGGAGGAAGCCGCCAAACCCGTTGCTGGCTTTGCCAAAGCAGTCAAAGATGGTGGAAGTGCGGGAACCGGAGGTATACCATTGTCTGGATCAGGGGTCTGTGTTGTTGGCGGATTGAACAGTCTTTCGATATGTTCACGACCATTAACCACCGCCCCCAAAGTTGCACCCCGATTGCGAACGCGGATTCGACGCTGATTAATATCGCCGGCGCCCGTAAACACTAGCTCTGGACGAACTTCTGGTTTTGGTTCCAGTGCCATGGGTGAAGGAGCATTCATTTCTAGCTCTGGCTGCATCGGCTTGTTCAGGTTGCTACCACTGGGACTGAGTTCGTCATCCAGAGTGTGTTGCGCCCGTCGTTTATTGATATTGAGTAGAGACTCAGTCTCGAGTTTGAAGGGTGATAGAAGCCTTGACCCAGTAGCATGGATTGTACCGAAATGACCATGGCTGACATGGCGTCGATGTTGACTACCAGAATTGCTGGACCCATTCCAAGTGCTGTAATTAAAAGGTGAAGCAAGTCGGGGAATGTTGTTGGCCACCTTGAGTCGGTCGGATTGTGTTTCAATGCCAAGACCAGACGGGGTGGAGAGTGACATGGGCTCAGACTCTGAATCTTTGCTGACTGGAGTATTGAACCAGTCATCCGACATGACCTTTGTTGGGGGAGAGTCTCCGGTGGCAAGTTGTGCGAGAGGTGCAGTTGCACCGCTAGCGACCAAGGAAATCCCAAGCTCTCGGGTGGTATAGGCTGTCGAGAGGTCTTGGTCTGGCTGACGAGAAGTTGAGCGTCCAAGACGAGAAGATGGCCGCCTCAAGAACTGATCATGGAATGGTGAAGGGCTTCGAGACTCACGCAGACGCTGATAATGTGCTGAGATCGTGAACTTCTCCTTGCATAATTGCTTGAGGCGCTTCCTGGTGGCAGATTCTGTGGGCCAAGGAGCCCGTATGTCCGCATTGTCCGTCTTCAAAAAGTCGTTCGGCTCTGGCGTCTTGTCCCGAGCAGCAAATCGGGATTCCATGACATTTCGCACTCGATATCTTTTGACAATGGGTTTGGAGAATCTGCTGGCGCGGGGCCACGTCTCTCTGGCTCGGCGAGCCACGCGATGGCAGACTCCTGTGGGGGGAATGCTTCCTGGAACGGTCTTGAAAGGTGTCACAGTGGGATCTGCCAGGTACATTTGGTATACATTGAAAAGATGATTGTCCATCTCGATGCTCCAGGGGACGTTGCCTTTGGACATAAGAGTATGAACGCGAAGTTTCTTGCTCTTCCTTGACGGAGTGTCGGGGATGATGTTGACTTTGGTTGGAGAGAAGGGATCCTGTCCTTCCAAGTCTGGACTGGTAGCACTTCCATCGAATGAAGTGGGACGAGTCGTGAATTGATCCGTTGACGACTGCGAAGACTCAGATCGAATCGAGCACTCTGAAGAAGATCGGTGCATATCCCAAGCGCTCCCTCGATATTCGGACGTGACAACTTTGGTCTGCGCGATGGGTGTGCGAGGAAGCTGGGAATCCCTCAGCGAAGACAATCTGAGGCGTTCACTCGGTGACGGATCTGAAAGAGCGTGTGTGAAAGCCGGTCTGAGGGAGTCGGTAGTGAGTTCGACGGAGGGAAGGGGAGTGTCGGCATCCATGCTAAAGGTCGATTGCATGGATTGCGCGCTAGACGGGACAGGAATGTCGGATGCAAAGAGCGTCGAAGGAAGAGCATTGTTACGCGCCTGAAAGGAGTTCAGATTGACGCGGGATCGACGGACGCGACAAGTCGAGTGATGAGGTGGAGGAGGTAGCTTGAGTTCGGCAAAGGTCTGATCTGGTGTCTTTGGGTCGTCGACGCCATCGAAACGAAAGGGAGCAAAATTTCGAGGAAGTGTGATGGACATTTGTGGTTTCTTTTGGGCGGAGGAGGCCATGAGTGTGGGAGATGAATCTGGATACGCCATGGTCCTTGTGGTGAGCGCACTCCAGGTGTTGACTCGAAAGGATGACGCGAAGATGGGGTGAGGTACAGCGACCCAAGAAATGCAGGCCAGATGAGTATTGAGCGTCTACGGGTTCATGCTGTGTGCGCGTCGATGGGCTCGATTTTGCGGTCGACCGCAGAGAATGAGGGTGGAATTGATCTGAATGGTACCGGCGCGAGAATGTCGAGTGGTGTAGCGAACGAGATCAGAAGGGAGGATTTGGTTTGGCGCGCACAACTGCAGAAAGAGTGGTGGTGGAGAGGTTCAGTGGTTGTGATAGAGTCGTGGACTGGTGGGTGGATGTAATGGTGAGGTGGACGTGTTCGGAGCGCGAACTGTCAAACTGGGTGTCAGGTGCGGAAAGACCTGGTACAGATGCCCAGAGAGGGAAAAATCAAGGTGGCTGGGGGGTAGTGAGAAAAGGTGACCGCAGGGGGACTAGGGTGGGTGAAAAGGACCGGGGGTCGCAAGGTTAGGCCCCAAAGAACAAGTGGGCGTGGAGAGGAGAAAGGAGAAGAGAAAGATGAAGATGAAGATTATGATCAAGTTTACAAGATTGAATAGCGAGGAGAAGAAGAATGTATACAAGAGAAGTGTGATGAGAGAGGATTTGGCGATTGGAATGTTGCCAATGCCAATGCAGGAGAGGAGACCAGGAAGAAGGAAAGAAAACTGACCACGCGAGGGTGAGGGCGAGGGTGAAGATTGAGTGCGAGTGGGAGGCGAGACGCGAGGGCGATGGCAGTCAGTCAGACACAGACAGTAGTACTGCGTGGTAGAGAGCAGGTGGGCATGGAGAACTCCAGAGGCACGGGAGGACCGGAGAAGTGGGAAGCAGTCACCCAGAGTGGATTGAAGGCTTGAAAGAAGGGGCAGGTGGGCAGAGGTGGCACTGGTGGCACTGGTGGGCAGCAGCCCTCGGCCTTTCGGCGTCCAGGGAAAGATGCAGGAGAAGAGGCGCGAAAAAGGCGGGTGACCACTCTCAGTCAAGTCTCCAGCTACGCGCTCACTGGAAAGACACTCCTTAGGGCAAGCAACCAGAGAGGATCCAGGCGATAACTGCATCAAGGCTAAATAACTAAACCTGGTCACCCATAAAGACCCGGGGCTTGGGAGCTTGCCTAGAGCCCAAACCGCCGACAGTGGGGCCTAGACTCTAAGGCGAGGGGTCAATGCACCTAGTTTCAACGCCTATCAATGCCCATCAAGAACTGGGCCTGCTGCAGTGCCAGTGCCCGGTGACACTGACGGCGGGCGAAGGGTGAGAGGCGACCTGACAAGCGGAGTCACAACAAACAAACAAAGACTGTGAAAGTTCAAGGCTTTACGGAGTAGATCGAGGTTTATTCATAGAATGGTATTGAAAATCAATGGAATGAAGAGGAGGTTGGAAATGCAAATCGGACTCATGGGGGCAAAGTGTAGGAATTGAAGCAAAACCTGCAGTTGATGAACAAGAAGTGACATCAACCGAGTCTGTGCAGACACTCGTACCTATCAACTACCAACCGAGCTACAGCCACTCTGAGTTGCTCTTTTCCTTGGCTTTTCTCACTCTCAACGGATGGACGCCAGGACGCCAGGACGCGTATCAAAGCCTAGAGTCCTGGGGACGGAGCTGACTGACTCCATTACTACTACTGGACTGATCACCGTCCTCAGGCGTTGGACGAGCTTGATCGGGGTCTTCATGCATATATCTGCAGCTTAGAATCTAGCGGACTGTGCTTTTTACTCGTGTCTCATCATTGTCGGAGAGTCCAGACTCTGGTCCGTCGACATCAAGCGTGCACCGTCAACGCTGATCAGACAACGTCCCAGTGATGAAACGCATATAAGCTACAGGATGGTCACCGACTACTGCATGCAGAGTTGAAGCACTCCTACAATTTGCCCCAGTTTGATGCGCAGGCGTGTCTCGTGAGTTTAGATCGAATTGAGTGCGTGGTTGAGTTTACCCTGCTTCTGATGGCGGTGTCCACCCTCAACCACTGATATCTACGTAGCAATGAGTGTCAACGGGGACTTTGATCCAGAATTTTACGCATCCAATTCTGAACATCGATACATGCATGTACGTACATACCCGCAAGTCTCACTCAAAAAGTGTCTGTTCCACAATAAGTATGGGATCTTGATCTATGATCAAGTGTCATTGTCAAGTGTCCAAGACTGACGATGGAGGATCGAGGATGGATGAGAGCAAAGTGACGCGTCAAGGATTGAGAACGCGTCAATTCCACGCTAGTGAAGCGAGTTCGTCATCATTGGCTGTGACCTTCAACGCCCCCGCACTTTTCATGAGCCAATCGACGAGATCTTGCACCTCTGGGTCTTTGACCCAGAGCCCAACTGCAATTCTTTCTCCAGGATCGTCCATCCATTGTTTCAACGTCCTGACATGGTTGGACTAGTAGCAAAAGAGCTAAATACGTGGCTACCTTACCTCCGTAGTTCCTCCCACGCCTCTCACGTCGTCTCCGCCTGGAGCTCAGCCAGCAGCTCCATTCAAGATCCACATCTGCACCGTTGTTGTCGTTCTCCAGCTTGTGGGGACTACACGTAGCGCCTGAAGGGGCTTTGGGCGTCGATGGCGAGCAACAAACAGTACTACACATGTTCATACATGTGTGTATGCACATACATGTGGTCCTTGGCACATTGATCCGTGGCTCCATTCTCAACATCCATCGGGTCGTGATATGAAACACTCGATCATCCCAACCACAACTAGCATGGCAAACAAGAACAATAACAACAACAAACAGACGGGAGATCCGAAAAGCAAGTCGTCGGGAGTAGTTGCTCAGTCTCCACAACCCCCAAGTCTTTGGATTCGTACACATGCTCCGATGAGCCGTGCAAAAGGTGAGATTCAGCTGAAAAGTGGAACAGCCAGAGTCAGCCATAGCCATGTTCCTTGCACTTGCATTGTCATGTCATAGCAGTCTAGATGAGCAGTCGTGTGGCAGTTGACGACAGGCACACTGTCATGTGATGACGGGACTATATCCTTGGGGTGACAAGACAGAAACACGGGTTCCATCCATGTTTGTGGATATCGGAAATGCATTGTGAACTAAACTCGTACTGTGGTCCATGAAACCTGCCGGGAGCAGACTCAATCGATCCCTTTGGTCGAATTGACATTTCCGGCTGATGGAAGGAAGATTTGTGGGAAGCCGGCAGGACGGTCAGAAAGAGGCTGTGTCTTATATCTTGGCGAGTAAGATCTTTATGTCCTAGGGTAATAATAATGACAATGATAAGGATGTGATGCTACGAGACCTTGTACGTAATTTTGTAATTCTATGCGCAGAGCGGCTTGTTGGGAAGACTTCCATGTTGATTGATGTCCCATATATACGAAATTCTATGTATACCTTAATACATTGAGAATTATGCTTGTATGTCCAACATCAAATTCTCCGAGAGAAAGCCACATTGCGTAGACGATGTAGATCAAGATGACGATATCAGAGGCGATCCTCTCTCTGCACAAGTCAACACACCAACGCCCCGCCAAAAAAACCCTCACTGTCCCTCATGACATTTCTCGACTGCATTCTCAGGTCATTGTAACCTACTCGCTCCCTCAGCAGCGGCGGCATCTCAGCTTTGGTCATCTGGCGCCGCCCTCTGCGACCACTGGGTCCTCGACACGACTGCGAATCTCCGAATTCTGCGTGGTGAACTTCTTCTGGTTGAGTGCAGCGGGAGTGATGTCCACTCTGCCAGACCGCCTGTAGCCATCCTCCCAACTAGTGACCAGTGCGCGGATCGCTTCTTGGGCAACGATAGTACCTCTGGCAATGTCTTCCACGCCTGTCCATCCTGGAACATGCAAGAATGCCACCTTGCCCAATCGTTCATGAGCGAGACGCTTGCGGTGACCGAGGTCGCGTTCTGGGGACGAGGATGAGGAGCGTGAAGAGGTCGACGAAGTATCATCTGTGGTGTTGTTGGCTTCGTTTTTGGTGTCCGGTTTTGACTGCTCGATCTCACTTGAGGATCCGCGGCGATGATGTCGTGCATCGTCCAGCCATCGTCGGCTCAGACTTTCAAAGAGCGCAAACTCGCAGATGAAACGACCGGCATCACGTGAGAGTTTGACAACACTCCTCTTCCGGTTGTCAGCTCGCGAGACTGGAGCGATGGAGCTTGTGGTTGTAGTGGGGGTGGCCGTTGCAGCACTAGGTGTCAACGACCACATGAGACCAAGTGGTCCGGAAATAGGTTTGGGAGGGTGAACCGCGGCACTGGCATTTGAGGTTGAATCGTTTGGGTTCGCTTTCAACGCCTTGCCCACGCCCTCATCCCACCGCTTCAGAACTTCATCCTCATCCCACTCGGTCATTAGAAGATCTGGTAGACCCTCTCGTTTCCAGGTGACTTCTCCGCAAGAAAACCCATCTCCCTCATCAACATCCTTGATTCGATAGCCGTCACGATGCGCGCGAGTTTCCAGTGAATAGCAGTCCCGACCAGCGGCCATGCCGATGTGAAGGATGTAGTCTGGGTCATGTTTCTTGATAAGAGAAGGAACGAGACTGGTGAGAACAGGATAAGTGACGCGGATCGGTTCAGGATGAACAATCAGACGGATTTTATATGCTGGAGCAGGAGAATTGGATGATGGTGCTTCGAGATAGAGTTCAGGGGGCAGAGAGGATGCAATGAGCCATGATGGATTGACAAGGAAGGATTTGAAGGGCTGGAGATGGTAGAAATGGTCAGCATTGATCAAATTCCCAAATTGCACATGTTAGCACAAAATCATGACTCAGCACGTGCGTACTGATAGTGACATCAGATAGCCAACAGCCCCATCGCAGAAACATGGGATTACGATGCGAGAGGTTCGCTGAACTTCAAGGGGTCGTGGAATATAGGAGCAAACAGAAAAGCCGGAAATTGATCATGGTATGGATATTGCGGTGTAGGAGAGCGAGACTTGATTCCAACGATATCCCCGGTTGATAGGGAATCTCGGTTGTTGCGCCAGCTTTACCCCACATCGAACCGCATTTCAAGATCGTTCGGAAACAGGCCAAAGACAAGGGCGAAGGAAAGACGAAAAGACAAGTGAACCTACCCCGAAACCTGTGACCAGGACCTTAACCTCTCTTAACGGCGGATGCTGGGAATCGGTTGTGTCGAACTCCGGATGAAGCGCATCCAGGCCAGGCGGTGGAGTCGGTGGGCCAGCGTCACCCATTGTGTACCCTCGCCGTACGATCGAGTTTCTTATGCGATTATAACGGACAGGTTAGGATAGAGGACAAGGTGCGAGGGAGAGGATGGGTAAAACGGTCGAGTCGAGGAAGGGCCGGTGACGAGACGAGGGAGTTGTCGTGTGCGAGATGGAAAAAGTGACTGGATTCACTTGATGACGTAGAGATGGCTTGGGGAAGGCCAGGTTTCGGGGCCAAGGGAGGGGAGAAAGACGGTCAGGTTAGTCTGACAAAAGACCGAGAAGGGCTCCGCGTGAGGGCGATGGAGAGAGATATAGAGGTGAGGATGAGGGTGAAGATGGTGAAGATGTGGAGGAGATGACAAGGTGCCGAGTAGATGCCGATACACACACACAATATGATGGATGGATGTGTGGATGGAGTGATGATTATTCTTTGTCAAGGAACTTGTTATCGGAGGAGTGGAGGAGGGGAACCAGGGCTGGACAGTAGTGGCACGGTAGTGGTAGGGGGAGCAGGGTAGGTTGGAGGTCAACATGGACGAGATGCCAGTGCGTAAGCTGTTGAGAAGAGTCGAGACTCGAGCCTAAACAACGTCTAATTACGAGTACTATGCTGTAAGTATGGTTGGACTCCGAGCCGTGACCTGTCCTCCGTACGCAAGGCCCTCGGGCCCCAGGTATCCCTAGCTCTTCGGCCGCAAGCGAGGTGGCACCAGTGGCTCGACTCGCCTGGCACTGCAGGTCTCGCCTATTACGGCCTATTCGGAGAAATTATCTGGTGATTCTGCATCTGATTCGTGTAACCCCAACCTCTACTGTTGAACGCTTGGGGAAGAGACAGACTCGATGCCGATGCCGTATCACAGAGTCCTCGGAAAATATACAGTCCATCTGAGCCAGGATCATCACGGCAATATTTGGTGGTAGTGGCGAAGTGTAATGATTATTGAGCAGGGAGTAACCACGAGTGCTCTGGAATAAGTAGTTGTGGTGGTGCGATACTCATTAATCAGTTCAACATCAATACGGCCCTCATCCTAGGTAGATGCTCGGTAGTTGAACCTTCCCCCAGACCCCGGAAGACGAGGGGTTTTAGGGTTGAGATGTGTCAACTCATAAGCATCCAGGGCACCTTAGCAAGTAATGACTTCGGAGGACAACAAATATGGGCATTTAGGCTCAGATCGGCATCTCTGGTGTCACGTGTCACAGAATTCCTCCAGCATGCCCTCTCCCCATAATCTTCGACTGAACCTGATCCCTTGCCTGAGATCAGCCATCTCGTGAGCAAGCCTGCGAGGAGACATACAGTGAGAATGTGATCTCGATCGAGGTCACTGCAATGTATCCTTCGTTCTTGTGTGCATACTTTTCTCACTGTACTACATCTCAAGGTGGAAATTCGCCTCGAGATGACCATCAGCCTGCCAGTGTACCAGATCTGACCTGACCAGATCAGCCCCGTCCAGTACTGGTAGGTCTCCTTCCCAACAACAAAAACGCCGCCAGCGCCATGCTTGAAAACTACCAAACGAGACAAACAGGCCTCCTTTCGCTCCTTCTGCACATGACAGACGACTCATTTCGCCGCCACCAACCTCTCCATCCTCCTCAACGATCCCCGAAGATCACGACCTCCTCTCTCACCTTCATCCCTCAGCCATTGCTCCATCCTGACTCGCACTCTTTTCAAGTTACCCTGGATTGGCATCTCTTCGCCGTCCTCCACACTACCTGGATTCAGCAGCGTGGCAAAACAATCACTCCACACATCCTTCTCCCAGTATCGCTTCAGGTTGTCTTTCAACTTCCATTCCTTCTTCTGAGCAAGCCCTCCTCCAGCTGCAGGGACCGTCTCGATGTACTTGCCGAAGAGCAGACTGTGGATCACTCCCGCCGCTCCGTGGTAATCGATCTGGTATTTCCATGGCCGACATTCTCTGATTTCTGCACAGTCCTGTGCGCTCGATGCCCAGTCTGCGATGAACTGCGCCTGCGGCTTGAACATTCGCGTGTCAATACCCCGTCCAAAGTCGATCAAGGTCAGGCCTTTGGAACTCCAGCCGTTGGCACCTACAGGATCGAAACAGCTCGTAACATCCACACTTGTGTCCAGGCGGACCAGACAATTGTCTCCCTTCAAGTCTCCGTGCAAGATTCCAATGCGGTGAATGTCTTCCAAAACTTTGAGCAACTCGATTGAAAAGAACATGGCAAGCGTCTCGTCCAACCCTTCGGCCAGTTTACCAGCCTTGACATTCTCACTCCGAGCCAGGTTGACCAGGTCAAGCAACGTTCCTTGAGGGCTGTATGACAGGACCAAGTAAGCTTCGTCTCGATAAAGATGACACTCGTGAGCCAAGACAATTGATTGCATGGTGCGCGATGCACGCCCCAAGCGTTGTCGAATTGTGCGCAAGATGTGGAATTCCCATACCAGAGTTCCTGGCGGCGACTCGCTCTTGAGTGCTTCGAGAGCACTTCTTTCGGACGTTGACCTCGGCGCCGAGGAGCCTGCGTTTTCCTTGTCTTGATCTGGATCAGCCGCTTCGCTCGGATCATAGCTGTCGACTAGATACACTGGTGCGAAAGCACCTTCTCCAAGTTGCCGTTTGACTGCGTACACGCGATCCGTGCCTGCAAACTTCAAGATCGGCGGCACAGCCTTCGTTGCTGCTTTGTCACTGACACTCTTGCGTGGACTGCCCTTTCCCTTCGCCTTTGTTGCTTTCTCAGCAAACCCTTTGAGTGTCGCATATTGGCCATATGACTGTGCAGAATTGTCCATGTATCCAGCGTACGACACAATTGGTGGATGGACTGTGGTGAGAATCTGTTGCCGAACTGCGTCATCACAAGGATTGCACTGCAGATCTAAAATGACTGGCCCTTTGTGAATTTGTGCAGGCTGTGGGATGAGTTTTGCGGGCGACGCCGCAACGCCATGCAGTCTTCTGGAGGAGGAAAGATCAGAATCGAAGCCTGGGAGGAGTTCGATACCTGACTTGGCAGGTGAGCATTTTACCCTACCAAAAGGTTTCTTCTGAGGTGAAGAAGTCAAGATCTCAACCTCCGAGGCACCCGTCTCTCTGAGCTTTCTCTTAGCAGACGATGAGGGCGTACCGTCTTCGCGTTGTGGACTACTGAGCAGAAGATCCTCCACATTGAGTTTCGATGGACTGTCGTACTTGGCCTGCGATCTTCGACTGGGTGTCTTGGATGCAAAGTATTCTGGGTCTTGGAACACAGTCGACGGCGCAAGAGAACTTTCGGTCCGTTCGACAATGGGCGTCATGAAGGGCAGTTTGTGGGCAGGAATACCCGAGTCGCGAAAGGGACGGACAGGAGTGGGCTCATAGTCCTCCGGGGGAATAGGGACAAATCGAGGTGCGTTCTGAACTTCCCAATGTCCTGGGAACAGTTCATCCACCGGTGTTGTGAGAGGGCCATCGTTCGGGAGATCTGCAGTTGCGTCTTTGTGGTCTTCGTCATTGTCTCTGACATTTGCGGGTGAGCTTGGGCCACTGCATTGTGTTTGATCCTCCTCTTCATATTCATCATCATCATCATCGTCTTCCTCTTTGTCTTCATCCGCCTCCTCTTCGCTCGAATCGCCAACATCTCCGGCAATCATAGCGATGGCCTTGGTATCCATGTCACCAAAGTCGGCGTTGGCAATATTGGCAATGGCTTGGGTGTCGAACCCATCCATGTCTGATTGAGTATGACCCATCGAGTCAACAGTCTCAGTCAGATCTTCGCTCATTTGGCGTCGTCGTCGTGAAGGTGTTTTGCGGGTGGATTTCTTGGCAGTAGCAGCAGCAGCCTTGCCAGAAAATTTGAGGTCGACTGGCGGCACGTGTTTGCTCGCGGTGAAATCAGACCAGGGTGAAACACTTTCAGGCTGGCTCTGACTATTGAGAGCGGACGAGGTATCTTCACCGAATTCACTTCCAGTACCAGATATGTGACCTGTCCCTGTGCTCTCACCATCACCCGCGGTGCTATATCCATCTTCAATATCACCCTCAGTGAAGTCACCATCATCACCACTCTGGGTGTCATCTCGCTCCACCACTGGTTTACGCAAAGGCTGATTGAACATGTCGTAAATCTCGTTCGTCGCGGCCTTGGAATGGAAAGTCATGGTTGGCTCTGCATGAGCGGAATTCTTTCGCTTGAGTTTCTTGCCCGTGGGCGACTCAAGGCGAGTCTTCACCGTTCGTGGCTCTTGCTTCACTTCTCGAACCTTGACTCGCTTCTGCTTGGCTCCTTCGGTGCTTGATTGGGATTCCGGCATCCCAACCATTGATTGTGTCGACGTGTCGTTGATACACAGCGTGTTGTTCGTGGCATTGAGGTCAAGCGCTTGCTGGAATGAATGGCTTAGATTCTCAACGTCTTCCGCTTCAGTTGACTTGGCTGGCTGTGATTCCGAGTTCCGAGCCTGTTCGTCCAAATTCAGATTACCCACACGTTCAGTCAAGATATTCGAACAAGGCGCTTCATCCTCTGTCTTTCTCCAATCTCTGCTCATCCATCCTCGATGCTGAGCCCGCAACTCTTCAAAACTGTATTCGACTCTGCCTCCAGGAGGATACACCGAATCCATATTCACGAATACACGTTCGGTTCGTCCGGTGCGAGGATTGACTATGTCACTGGGTTGCCTAGAATTTCCCGACTGTGATTGTGATTGTGATTGTTGTGATGCTGCACTTTTCTTGGAATGTGATACATTGACATCTCGAGAAGACTAAAATACAAGGAAACCTCCAAATTAGTTTGCTTTGTCACTTTATGCTCGTAAAGAACCCAGGGGATTTCGGCAGAACTTTGTCGAGGGTGGGAAATAATTCATACCGGGTCTTTGAAAATCTCCATCTTTGGCGCTGTTCCCACTTTCTTGCCTCCCTTCAATGTCTCTCCAGCCCAGGCTCGAGGTTCAATCGTGTTTTCCTTTTTGCGCTCTTTCATCGATTCAATGCTATCCCATCCTTTGCTGGCTCCCATGTCAGAACCGCTTAGGGCTGGAGGCGGCGCGCTGTCCGCGTCAGAGAAGATGGCCATCTTAGGCTTCCCTGATCTTGAAGTCGCGCCTGTGGCGGTTGCTTGTTGGCGCTGTTGCTGTTGCTGCGATGGCTCTTCATGGGTCGCCGCGGCGAAAGGATCATGTTTGGCTGCCAAAGCCGCTCGCACAGTTGGTAATGCCGGCGAGCTAGGTCCATTGCCGTTCTGTGGACGAGCATTATATCTTTGTTGGAATTGAGTATATTTTCTCATCAGACGTTCAGCGGGTCTCGCCTCGCGCTGAATGCCCAACTGGTACACCTCGTCTGCCTGACTCCATCTTTCAGCGGCTTCCAACCAAGTTGCGAATTCTTCATAGAACAGGCCCAGTCCATCGCCAATATTGTGACGTGCCAGAAAAGCAAATGTTTCTCGAGGGCTGTCTGAAAACAGACGAATGTAATGTAGCCATAGCTTCAGGTATCGAGGGTCGTTCTTATAATGTGACGATGTAAGAAACGCCTTGGTCGCACGCTCAAGGAGAGGAAGAAGTTGAGATTGTGGCGTCGCCTGCGCTGAAGGATAGGCATTGAGTGTCCATTTCACGTATCGGTCGTAAATGTCCAAAGGATCATCCGAGTCGGCTATTGATTGTAATTCGACTTCGTATTCTTGTCGGATCGCATCGTTCAATGTCTTTGTTTCGTCAAGAGTGGGAGAAGCAGATTTTGTCTTGCTTCCGGGATTGGCTAGAGAGAGGGGTGAGAGGACAGAGGCAAGTTGTTTCGCTGATCGCCCTCCAGGTAGTTGTTGGATGTTCTCTTTGTGTGTTTCCAAGATGTCGAAGTCGATGAGGTCGTTATCACCCCCGTGAATACCCATGTTTGTCTGTCCACAGTCGTATATTCTATGCCGCTAAGAACTGAGTCCAAAAAGAAGTGCAACAACGCATAATAAGTGGTACGGCGAGAAGTTGTTGGCGGTCGAGGTAGACGACTTTGATGGTGGAACAAAGTAGAGTGAGAGTGCAGCCAGTCCAAAGTCCATTGGATCGCCAACCAAACAACGATCGTCGTCCCAAAACGGCAACTGTCAACAAAACATCTTCCTTGGCAAAACATGTGACTCACGTGACTCTATCTCCCCTGATTACGTCACGTGCTGCAGCCTTGTGGTGTTACTCAACCACTCAGCATTTTCTCATCGTCATTGTAATCACCTTCTATCCGTAGGACAACATGGTTTCATGCCAGATTGCAGTCACAGCATGACGATCAACTTGGGAAGAACTTTCTATAGACTCTAGCTTTGCGAGCAAGTCGTGTCACTGAGCGACTCACTCACATTACTGTATTCTTTCTACCAAGAAAAAGAATCAACCTCCAACTCAAAGACAGTCTTCCCAGACCTTCCTAACCCTGCCACGATACTCCTAACCTCATCACACATGGACCCAGGCCCGCAAACAACGACACCTATCTTAGCATACCCGGATTCCGCTTCGTGACTTAAGAGACGTCTCAGATCTAATCGCTCTCCTACCAGAACTTCTTGATCTTTAACCTCTTGCAGCGTAATAGCCATCTCTCTAACTAGTTGCTCATGTCGTGACTTGACGGACCATGCAAGCTTGACGTTTGGATGTGAGTGTATCCACGCCACAAGGCCGGTGATGCCAATGCCACCACCTACCAGGACCACCCGGTCACACCGGAGAATATCGCTGCTTGGTTGATGAGCATATGGACCCTCAAGCAAGACTGGGATCCTGCCCTGTCTGCCTTTAAGATGTTTTGTCAAGCCGCTCTTCTTGGTGACGACCAATGTCAACCCCGCTGTAGTCGTTGACATGGTTACACTAGAAGACGTTGGCGTCGCAAGGCCAGATTCCAGCACTTTGGTCGCAGTCTTGGTTTCCGCATCGGCCCCAGCGTCTATTGACATTGGCGGCGAACGGTCTGAATCCGAGCCTGGTGAATGAAGCTCCTTGCTGGTGTATTGTCGAAACAGGGAAGTGGAGTTGACAGAAAAGGGATGATTCTCCCAAGGTCGAAGCGGACTCAGCGAGGGGATGAAGGCATATGCAACGTGCCCAGGCTTGTTGGACCAACGAATCCCTGGGATGTCAACGCGTACATGGTCTGGCCCAACATCTGTGATGGTTGCATGTCGGATGCCATTCTTGGCGACTCGAACAACTCGGACTAGCCGATCGAAGAACCAAACGGCAGAAGCTGCAATGAGCCAGTTATCATAGAAATTAAAACCCCATTTCAGAATCACATGGTACCAGCAGCCAATGATGACAAAAGCGGCCAGGAATATGTGGAGAACCAGGAAGATTTCGTAGGAAAGGCGACGAAAGTATAGATGACTGAGGACTAGCATGGCACATGCCAGGACCGTGGCAACTATTCCCCAGAGCCAGTAGGCCTTTTTGGACTCGACGGGATAACTACCTGAACTGGAATAGGTTATGAGTAATGTGATGCTGTGAAGGATGGCTTGGATGGTAAAGACCCGTGCGATCCAACGATGCAGAAGGATATACGTGGCGTATGGCCAGTTCGTTATCCACAGCAGAAAATTGTTGCGACCAGAGAAGAGTATGACCAGGGGTAATAACGCATAGCTGATATGGCCTGTTCGATATCCAATGTAGGCGAGAGTCTCTTCTCTAGGCGAAAAATACCATGGATGAGGTTGTGATCGGTCATAGTTGACAGCCGTGAGCACCACGTTGAGGATGACAAACATGGCAATATACAAGGATTGGCCGATCGTTGGGGCATTCCCAAGCAACCAAGGTAAGGGCCTCACAGAATAGGTTCCGATGGTGGAGGGATAGACGAGATATGGTTTGAGTTTATCTAGGATACCGGTCATGAAGGGAAGGTATCCGAGTAAAGTGAAGAAAATAGGTGTCCCGAACCCAATTGAAAGGAGGACAAATCTATTCGTGCTGTCAGTGAAACCGAGTGGATGGTTTTAGGAGAAAATAGCGTAGGGTGCTCCCATATATCTCGGCTGCAAGGCTTCGATGTGGTCAAACATGACCATGAACCTGCTCTGAATCCCATAAGCCTCCTCACTGACGGCCTGAGTTTCATTGAGCACCTCATGAGAGGAAGAATTGTAAGTGACTGTAGGAGGTTCGACGACCTGCTCCAGCGCAACTGCGTAAGACCATTTGGGAAGCACGGCAGAATCACCAGTCACATGCATGTCCCAGAATCTTTCCCGTCTCCATGGCTCGATATCATCAGCATTGCACGTCCAGTTCATGCAGTAGGCCAACGAAGTCAAGAAAGCAGTATCTCCAGCGTAGCATTCTGGAGACGTGGGGCCTGAGCCGTGAGACATCCCATGCATGCTTTCTTGTGAAGAACATTCGAGCATGGCACCGGAGAGGATGTTGTAGCATGCGAAACCACACACCGGGTCATACCAGCTGAAGCCATAGCCAGGAAAATAGAAGGATTCGATATGAGCAAAGGAAGAGTGGATGCAGGCGAGAACAGAGAACAGAAGTATGGCTTTCATGATGTCGGTAACATTCAAAATGATGACAGTCTGCAGCGAGAGAAGGCGTAAACCAATGTCAACATATCAGATGTATAGGACTCAAGGAAGGTGGTTGTCCATATCTTTATGCAGCGCACCCTAGCCTCTAGGTTGCGGATTACTATGTTGATTAGCATTTGCCAAAATTCCATTCGCATTTCTGGCGTGGGAGGGAGAGGGCACGCATTGGACTGATGGGCCCGAGAGCAAGTTTTCGGCCACAGACTCGGTGAAGGGGCTGCCTGGCGTGTGTGTGGCGGCATCGTCTAGACCAAGTGATGGTGAAATCTTTGGCCATGGAGCAGTCTCCGTGCCATACCCTGCGCACATGTGGCGACCCACTTGAGTCGCGGCTGAGAGAAGACGTGTAGACGGGAGTATAAAGGATGAAGGGCCGCAGGGCTTGCAGGGGATTGTTCTGGTTGAGCATAATGATGTCTTGGCTGAGCAGGTTTTACTAGCACTAAAGGGGCAAAGAAGAAGCGCCAGCCAGTCCAGACACCTTTTCTGGGGTTTGATCGCAGTGGATTGTGTGCTTCCTAGGCTCTCTAACATGGAGTTGAGGGTAGCGGAAATGCCGTGTCAGATTGATCATCCAGTGGGAGGCTTATTTCGTCAGCTAGGGGGGTACGAAAGACTTCTCACCGTGGAGGAAGCACACTTGAGCCGCGACCACGGAGCCTGTTGATAAAGCGTTCACGCTGGCCACCATCCTACCTTTTTGACTCAAGCATTGACACAGATCATATGGGTGAACTAAAGATATATCCCGACGACGGCCAAGGATGTCGTTCGTTAATGGGTTTGAGGTTTGAGTAAAGAAACGGCATGGGTGAAGAAAGTTGAAGGTCGAAGAGGTTGACCTTGTGTGGTGTCTTGGCACTATCGATTATCTGATCTCAGATGGCAGGTGCCAGATATCTTTTCACATCTGCCCACGTGAAGGTCTTGATGTACTCATCCTATTCTAGAATATTACGATGGCATTGAATGGCCTCAAGGCTTGATGGAGGAATACACAGAGGAAATTCAACCTTGACATCTCTTCCTCACAAAAGTGGTTCAGCCTCGAAGCGCTTTCGAAATGGCTTCCATTCCAGCCTTCAACTGCTCACGAGTCGGCCATCCATAACCCAGCCTGAAGTAAGTATCTGGCATCTCAAACCAGTGGCCAGGCCCGACATACGTCGCATGATCACGTAACAGTCTTTCATAGAAAGCCGCGGTACCACCTACGGGCTCTTTCTTCATCCTAGGGAAGCATACCACCCCACCAGCCGGCCGAACCCATTCAAGCAGGTCTTCTTTCTCGATCCAACTGGCGACCATATCCAGACGAGATCTCATCTCTTGAATCCTCGGTTCAAGAATAGCATCGCCCTTCTCCAGCACTTGTTCGGCGATCCATTCGTCTACAACGCTTCCACTAATACTGATCTGTTCTTTCGCGGCGAGGAATACCTCCTGCAATCGAGGATTCTTGGTGATGACCCAGCCACAACGGATTCCAGGCACTCCATATGATTTGGAAAGAGAGGCTACGCTCAAGACGTGGTCGCCTAATGAAGCTGCCAGCGGCAATTGTTCTGTATAATGGATGTCTCGGTAGGTTTCGTCGACTAGGAGAAGACAGCCTTGAGCCTTGGCCATGGCGACGAGGCTGTTCAAGGTGTCTCGAGACATGGTGACTCCTGTGGGATTATGGGGACAGGTGACCGAGATCATGGCCGTGTTGGACTTGATAGCCTTTTCTATGACTGTGAGATCGAGAGCGAAACCCGAGTTGAAGTCTAGGTCGATGTAGGTGATCTCACAGCCAATAGCCTTAGGGGTCTCGAGGTTAGTCGCATAGTTCGGTCGAATCACCACGAGATGGTCCTTTGTCGACAGTTGTGACGTTGCTATTATAAAAAGAGCACCCGCGGCTCCTGACGTGATAAGAACATCATCTGCAGACAACCCTGAATTCCGCACGATCAGCTCGCGTAGTCGAGGGCTTCCACGGTGCTCATTGTAGAGGAGTGTCAAGTTCGGGATCTGCAGTCCGAGAGATTCCAGACTCTGATCAGTGACCGAGCTCTCAGATAGATTGTTGGCGATTTTGTCGTAACCATACTCCTCAGGCGACTCGATCTCAATGGGCATGCGTAGGTACTTCATCTTGAGGACATGGACAGTGACCAAGTCTTCCGTTATCTACTTGGCCGGTGTTGAATACAGTTGTATCCTGATGATCGACAGCGGATCACCGCTGTACGCCCTTTCGAGATATCGAAGAATCCGAACAGCTGCGGGGTCACCGATACTATAGCCTCCTCGCCTATCAAAGCCATTCTTCTGCAGCCCGTGTCGTTGTGGCTTGACCGCTCCACTAATTTCATGGATAAGCGAGTCTTTCTGTTCTGTCTGGAAAGAAACGTCCATTCCAAGATTCACGAGGGCGCAACGTTAGGATTTGCTGAGCAGTCACGGGAAATGATCAAAAAATTATTGCGAAAGAGAGAACGATTAGTGTTTCACAAGCTGGTACTTGACCGAGCATTGATGGGTATTTCATTGGTTCCGTAGCCCTACATGGCTGGATCCCGCGAGTAAGCTATTGCGAGCTGCATAATCGGGCTCAACTGTTGAGCACCATGCATTTTGATGCATGTGATATTTCTCATCTCGAGCTCGTGCTACATTGTCAACCTCAAAAGTGTACTATCATCCGACCGAACGGCGAGACGCTTATGAGTGGGCGGCAAGCTGAACAGCACGACGACGATCTCTCTCTTCGGCGATAGACAACTGCAATGCCGTTAGTTGGTATTTCATATGACGAATTATGATTTGTGCTTACTTTGACACCCTTGCCCTTGGGCAGGCTGACCCATGGCTTCTCCTTGCCGATGATGAAGACGTTGTTCTCACGGGTAGCGAAAGAGTTGTCGATGGCGTCCTTGATGTGGACGATGTTGAAACCACCGTCGTGGCGTTCTCGGTGAGTGATGACACCAACACGACCCAAGTTACGACCACCAATAACCATGGCGATCACACCGGTGTCGAACTTGATGAAATCAGTGATTTTTCCGGTAGCGAGGTCGATCTTGACAGTGTCGTTGACCTTGATGGCCGGGTCGGGGTATCGGATACTATTAATCCCTATCAGCATTGTTTCATATTTTTCCGACCACATCTTGGCCCAACGGCTGACTGGTGCAGGCAGACTTACGTGCGAGCATCATGCGTAACCAAGTATGGGATTCCACCCTTGCCAACTTGAACTCTCTTGACCTTGCCGAGTTTGTACTCTGCCTCGGCGGCTTCGATGCGGTGGACAGCGAATCGTCCCTTGGTGTCGTAGATCAGACGGAAGTGTTCGCCAGTCTTGTCAATCGAGATGACATCTTGGAAACCCGCAGGGTAGGTGTGATCAGTTCGCACTTTGCCGTCGACCTTGATCAGGCGCTGCGCAAGGATAGCAGTCGTCTCTCGGCCGTTCAACGCATACTTCAGACGGTTGCGGATGAAGACAATCAGGGGCAGGCTGTCGCGGGTTTTCTATTGTCCTGTCAGTCCGTTGTCCAGTTTTTTTGCCCTTCTGAGGCTGCGGTTGGTGTCACGCACATGAGGACCAGGTGATGCCTTGGGGGCATAGGCACCAGAGAGCTTGTCCAAAAGCCAGTGCGAGGGAGCGCTGAGACGCTTCTGATGTTTCTTTGGACCGCGACCCATCTTGATCTTGTTGTGTGTGTTGAAGGTGAGTGACTTGCGGAGGGAACACGGAATTCAATCTGCGAATTTTTGGATCAGAGGTGCGAGTTTCGTGGAAGCCAAGATTTTGTGCACTAGTCCATGTTGGGAAAGATTTTGGTCCACAAATTTGAAAATCAAATGACAGGATATTCGCGTCATTTCAACGAGGCTTGGATGCTCGATTACCTAAGCTACTGGGAAGAATTGGAGGTCTATATCAGGGCGTCTCATTCTTTCAACTCGTTCTTAGCTTCATATGTGCATGATATCTCTTCTGGATCACTGCAGTAGTGCAAATGCTGCTCAAGCCTTGCGGCGCAGCTCGTTTAAATCAAGCCTTGGATGATGGCTGCTTCGGCATTCAAGATTGAAGATCCAGCAGCTCCAATGACGGTGTTGTGACTCAAGGCCGCGAACCTGATGTCAAAATGGGATCCCTTGGCCGCCTCACGTACTCGGCCGACACTGACCGCATAACCGCCCGAGATATCCCTGTCAAGGCGGGGTTGAGGTCTGTCAGGCTCATCAAAGACGACAATGGCCTTTTCTGGAGCTGAAGGACATCCAATCTTCTGAGCCTCTGCGACATAGTCCCTCATGGCCTGTTTGACCTGTTCTGCGCTTGGAGGTGGTCTTTGTTTGAAACGTAATGACACAAATGCCATATGTCCATCAGTGACCCCCACCCTCGTGCACGTAGCACCCACTGTCAAGCCTTGCTGCTCCTCGAACGAGGTCAGATCAGAGCTGATGGAACCCAGAATCTTTTGGGCCTCTGTCTCGAGCTTATCTTCCTCTCCCGCAATGTAGGGGATGACATTATCCATGATGTCCATGGTGGGGACACCTGGATAACCTGCTCCCGATACGGCTTGCTCTGTGAAGACTTCGACATCCTCGACGGGGCCGAACTTGGCTTGCAGGGCAGCGAATGGGATGACGATTCCGATAACGGCACAGTTGGAATTGCAGACCAGGAAGCCCTTTTTGAGACCGAAATGCTTTCGTTGATGTGGGATGAGTCCCAGATGTGACAGATTCACGGTGGGGACAACCAGCGGGACAACGGGGTCTCTTCTGTAGTTTTTGGCATTTGAAAAGACGGGGATCTCGGCTTTGAGAAATTCCATCTCTGCGAGTTGTTAGCTTGAGGTTTGGAAGGTGCAGGACAGATTGGCATGCGTACCAACATCTCCAGCCACATCGCTGTCCAGGCCAGAAAAGACCAAATCAACATCGGGGAAATTGGCTGCCTTGCATTCTCGAACTTCGAGATTGGCCAAGGCTGACGACATAGGCTTTGCTTGCTTCCATCGGACGGCATCTTTGTATAGTTTGCCCGCCGATCTGGAGGATGCTCCCACGGCTTGTAGATGAAGTGTTGGGTGGTCTGCGAGAAGCAGGATGAAACGCTGTCCCACGGAGCCTGTAGATGCGTCAATTCTCGAACTCTTACAGGGGCAAGGAGGGGATGAGTACCTGTTGCACCTAGAACAGCAACATTCTTTTTCCCATGTGGGCGGCTTGTTGCCATTGCGATGACTCTGCCCGACGCGCTTAACTGCAAGCTGAGAATCTGTATACGACCGCACCTGATTTGATGGCTTTAGCAGGAGACGTGAAAATTTTGGTGGGAGAAAGCTGATCTCAAGATAGGTAGGTATATTCTTTGCCGTTTGTATCTGACCAGATTGAGTCACTGGGGAAAAAAAGTACCCAGCATATTGGATGCCAAGAACGGCGCGGAAAATCTCTCACGGAAGCGCACTTTGACGTTGAGGAATGCGCCGAGCCTCGCCACCCTTGCAACTCTGAAGATTATGTCAGCAACCCCTGTATACTTTCTGGCTCTCCGCTAGAAAAAGATATCCAGTGCCCAGGACCGAGAACATTGGACTTTGGCTTCTTGTTGGAATCAGACTGGATCTCACTGATGGTGGAATATCGCGCAACATGCAGCCAACAGGACATGTGCGCGACATTTGGATAGGTCAGACTACAGAGGTGGTACACAGGCGTGACAGGCAAAGAAGGCGCGTCACAGATTATTGCATGGCTCATTGCATTCCATTCGTTTCAGTTGTGCCCTGACTGCTATTGACAACCTGTCTGATGACTACTGTCAAAATAACTTGTCGCCGAGTACGTTGGGTACAGTGTAGCCAGGGCTCAGTCAACCCTCATCCCTTGGTCCACTGGAAGTAAATAAGAACATCATGAGGTGGTACGTCTAGTGGTTGGCGCAAAGCCATCGTCTATCTGAATCCCCCCTTGGAATCAGTGCCTCCCCATGGAGGCTAACGCCGAGAAACACGCTCCAAGCATAAAAGTCGCTCAGCTCTATCGATTCTGAGGTTTGGTATCATATAGTCCGTTGTGGATACTCAGATGAGACTGAAATCGCTGCTGTTGTTCTGATGTTGTTGCTGTTGAGCGCCTCGCAAGGTGGCGATAGGGCGAGGCTTGGGCAGGGAAGACAGAGTAGACAATTGTGTCTTTTGCTGAGGTAGATTGTAGGCAATGACGAAAGGTGCCAATGCGGTGGCTGTCGTCGCGACAAAGGTGGTCAGGGTGAAGTGAGACATGATGGAATTTTTTTTCGAATCGGTGAGGTTGTGCAGGCGCAAGGAGGAGCTGATTGCTTGAGGAGTCTATATTGTCTAGTGGCAATGATGAGTCGCTGGAAGACAAGTCTAGGAACGCTGCGACGGAAGGAGACGTCTATGTCTATAGTAACGCAAAAAAAAGAACGAGTGTGTGAATTTTGCAGGAATGACAAGACAGGGGCGGAGGAGATTACATTTGATATATGATCAGGTACACCGCCGCCACCCACCGCCTTCGCGCATGGAGAAGGAATGGAAATGTCACCTCGGAGAAATGGAAAAGGGAAATTCACTCAAGTTCCGGTTCAAAAGTTTGGGGATGGCGGATCCAGGGGAGAGATGGGTCTGTGGATTTTGGGGTATTAGTGGCGCTTAGCTGGATTGCTATGCCAATAGGGGCAGCAAATGCCTGGGAACGTGGCTCTTAGGCCACTGGGCTAGGCGGGCCGCACAGAAACTAGACATGTACTTCGGTATCACAGGCCCGTGATACCCTTAAATTAACCATTGTCCCGGCCATACGAGTCAGTTTCCACGGCCCTCGGCAAGTCCCTTTTGGTACTTGCCGAATTTCACAGACCTTGTCGCGTGGTGGCTTTAGGCACTGCATCGTCTTTGTTGCTGGTTACGACCTGGTCTGTCGCCTGTTATCTCGATCATTTCGCATCTATAAAGCAACGCTTTCAGATGGAAAAGCACAATGACACGAGCTTTGAGCGGTTCCTCCACGTTGAGGCTTAGCGAGGATCTTCTGAGGAATGTTCACAGTCAGTAGAGAGTTCCAATAGGGGATTGGTGGCTCGTACTTAGGGGATGAATTGGTCTCGTGTGATGAGATTGTCTCATTGATCCTCTGGCAGGCTCGCAGGGGGCACCTGCCTCAGGGAGTTTCAGACCTGAATTACAGGCAGGTACCATGGACGTCCCTGAGCAAGTACCCTGCGCACAAAGGTCCACATACTGTAGCGACCTAATCAACAACATCTCGCATGAAACTGTCTTCTTGGGCGACAACCTCATCCTCAAGCAACGACCCCTTTGGCCCAGTTTGGAGTTGTGCCGAGCTCCGCGTGCGCTTCTGGCGCCAACTTCCCCACATGAGCAACTACCAAGACAGCTAAAAGCTTGCTGAGCTTGTTCGATGACGAAAAGATCTACCCCAGGTTTCTCCCTCGTTATGTCTTCCTCAAGCCATATTGTGGGGGACGTTGCATCTTATGGTTAAAGTTCTCGAAAAGACGACGCTTCTTGCCCAAAACTCTTTGCCGATGACGATCATGGTAACGGTGACACCAACTCGTCGACGAGTTGTTGATCCCAAGAATGGAGAGAACCCGGACTCTCTCCTCGCCTTCGGGACCCTCCTCCTTCTGCCTGCGCCTGATTTATACTGCAGAATACCCTGATTGAGAAGACAGTACTCTACTTGTGCTCCTACTGCCAGCCTCATCACAGCGACAGCCATCATGAGACGATCAGTCATAATATCATTGTCCTCATTACTGTTGACTGTGGATGCTCAGCAGTATTATATCAATGCAACAGGACAAGTGCCTCGCCCGCAATGTTCCATGACGGGAGGAGCCACTGAGCCCACCTACGCTTTTGCGTCTTTTAACTACACCTTGTCTGAGAGCTTGAGAACTGCCACTTCCGTCTCGCCGGCGACGACCACGTCTACTTATGCGCCTCCAGTGGAGTCTCTGACGCATCTGATCCCTTCAATCTCGTACACAACTTGGGGAAGCTGGAACCCAAATGCAACAAGTAATCGCACTTGGACAAGCAATGGCACCTCGACTACTAATGCCCACGATCCATACGGTACAGCTGCGTGGTCAGCATTATGGAAGTCAGCCAATCCTCCCAATTTCACCGAAAAGGCTCTCTTCAGCACCACGGTGGAGCCTACAGCGATCCCTTCCAGCGAACTTATTCTCCCTCCTCCAATTTACTTCGGTCCAACCGACTGCTACCTGTTCCCTCCCGACTTCATGTTTGGTGTGGCCGGATCAGCCTCGCAGATTGAGGGTGCCACGGCCGAGGAAGGGAAATCACCCTCGCTGATGGACGTGCTAATTCAAGACGACCGACCAAAGTCGTACGTCACCAACGAGAATTATTATTTCTACAAGCAAGAAATCGAGCGTCTGGCAGCCATGGGTGTCAAGTACTATTCATTCAGTCTAGCTTGGACTCGTATACTGCCGTTTGCTCTACCGGGTACACCCGTGAATCAGCAGGGCTTGCAACATTATTCAGATCTGATTGACTTCGTTTTGTCGAAGGGCATGATCCCCATTGTGACTATCCTTCACTTTGATACTCCTCTGCAGTTCTATGCTGCAAATCTGACCGCAACGCAAGAACCCCCCTTGATCGGCTATGTCAATGGCGGATATCAAAACGAGACATTTGTCAGCGCATTTGTCAATTTTGCTAAGATTGCAATGACGCATTACTCAGACCGTGTTCCATTGTGGTTCACCTTCAACGAGCCCCTTCTATACTCTTCCAATGGACAGTCGGTCAACAACGTCATCAAGGCTCATGCACAGGTGTATCATTTCTACAAAGACGAGCTCGGTGGCACTGGCAATATTTCCATCAAGTTCAATAACAATTTTGGCGTCCCCAAGGATCCCTCCAACTCCAACGATGTGTATGCCGCCGATCACTTCAACTCGTTCCAGTTAGCAACATTCTGCAATCCCATTTTCCTGGGCATTGACTACCCCGAGTCGTTCAAACAGACAGTCCCGGATTATGTGCCGCTCAATGCCACCGACCTCGAGTATATTGGAGGGACTGCGGACTACCTGGGAATTGATCCATACACCGCCACAGTGGTTGCACCACCAGTTCCTGATTCCATTGAATCTATCCTGGAATGTACTACCAACTCGTCCAGCATTTATTCTCCGTACTGTGTCAACCAAACCACAACTAATATCGTTGGGTGGAACATCGGATATCGATCTCAGTCGTATGTCTACATCACTCCCACCTACCTGCGGTTGTATCTTTCGTATCTATACAACACCTTTCGCGCCCCGGTCCTCATCACGGAATTCGGGTTTCCAGTATTTGGGGAAGCGGAAAAGACCGACTTGAGTGACCAATTGTTCGACGAGCCTCGGTCAGTGTATTACCTCAGCTACATGTCAGAAGTGCTCAAGTCAATTTGGGAAGATGGAGTGCATGTGGCAGGAGCATTCGCTTGGAGTTTCGCCGACAATTGGGAGTTTGGCGACTATGACGCTCACTTTGGGTTGCAAACTGTCAACCGAACGACGCAGGAGAGAAGGTATAAGAAGAGCTTCTTCGATCTTGTGGACTTTGTGAATGCGAGGATGTGAGCAGGGAGCAGGGGTGATGAATTTGAAGTCATCTAAGCTAAGAGGAAGCCACGTCCACCATGCAGTACTCACATCCTTGAGGTTCACTAATACTGCCACAAGTACTGCCACAAGTACTGCCACAAGTACTGTCACCATCGATGCTGGGTATGATCGAAAGTCACATGACCTTGCGCGAAAGAGGGAAGCGGAAATTCTTGGCTGGCGGGTCGGCCAAGAGAATTACGTATCTGGAGGCTTGGGATTTGCTTGATGTGCGCGCATTTTTTCCAATTTCCATGTACTTATCATTCAAGAGCATGGAGATATGGGACTCGAGATTCAGCCCAAGGGGCTTCTCGCTTAATTGGTGATAAAACTATAATGGACCATAATGGACCATGGAGGATATGGCCTCCGAAACTCTGAGCTGGTCACCCCTAAATGAGTCGCTAATTAGGCTCGGTAAATAGGATCCGACACCAGTTGAGACCATTGTCTGACAGATATGCCTGATTAGTCGTAGAGCACACGACCAGCAATGAAGATACTACTGTACTACTGTACTCGTACCTAACTTTGATAACACTCTCCACCTTTATCCCCCCTCTCTCCCTCTCTCCCTCTCCCCTCTGCGTCGCCTCGCCTCGGGTACGTGCCCAAGCAACGCCCCTTGAGTTGAGAAACTTGAAACCGGATACCCGCCCAGACCGCACACGGCCAATCTGAACATACCAAGACCAGGTGATTTGTCTGGGCAGATCTCACCAACACATGCGCAACCCCGCCGGTGAACATACCCTGGCCCGAGGGGGTTCCCGTCATTGCCCCCTCCCAAACCCACTCAAACACACAGATTCCGTCTGCTTCTACCTCGTGGTACATTCGGCACTACACGTGGGTGGGTGAAGAAGTCAAACCCAGCCCGAGATTTCCCTTGTCTGACTTGGTATCATAAAGCTCGCTTGCATTGCTTGTTGTTTTTCGTACATGGTCGTTGTTCATTGTCATTATTGTCGTTGTTGTCGCCCGTTCACTGCCACCGTCACCGCCCTCTTGGTTCAATAATAATTACTACCCTGGCTTTAAATCCAAGGAGATACCAGTACTTGAAAGTAACCCTGTGTACTTTTTCAACGTGACTTGACCTGATTTCGCGTCATAAGCGTGCGCGTCCCGTGGCAAGCCATATATTCTCTTTGATCTTTTTTTATTTTCCCCTACCAAGTACTACCTAACCTATCTATCTTGATTCTTATTACTCAGCGGCTCCAAAAGTCACCAAGTCATCAAACTCCTCGCGATGACGGCCACCGCCGGCGCTCCGGCGTACCAATTGAGCAACAACACTCCCAACCCCGACAACACCACCGACAGTAACAATAACAGTAACAATAACAACCACGACACACCTCCCTACTCCAAACACGAACACAGCCCACCATCATATCGCGACTCTGTCCCACAAGCACTAACATTCAGCCGCGACTTTGGCCATGATCTCCCGCTCAACGTCGTCATGACGGGCGACTACCGGTCGCCGGACTTCGAAGTCCGCACCAAGGAAGGAGAGACCATCATCTTACAAGTCGAAACCGAATCAACTCTCGTCTACCACCACTCGTACATCCGCGACCTGCGGCCCAACGGGCCCGGCGGAATCGGATACACCATGAAACGCAAACAAAACGGCGACCAATGGCTTTACACGATCCATTCATCCAGCATCGGCGGCGGCGGCAGCGGTGGCGAAGGCGGCGTGAAACTGTTAGAAATCGCCACCACGTCGAAAATCCTCCGTCAATCTTCCACGCGTCTGGTCTTTCGCAGTACCTTGGATGGAGAGCTTGATGCCCTTTATCTCAATACCTCGATTCAGAATGGGATTCGTCGTGCCGATGTCGTGTATCAAGGGAACAGGATTGGCGGGATTGCCCAGTTGCGGTCAGATGATAATCCGAGGTTTGATCTCAAAATCGAGATTCCTCATGTTGATCCGTTGCTTTTGGTCTTGTTGGCTTTGGTCCTGGATGATCGGCTCATGAAGTCGAGGAGGAGATTGAAGAGGAAGTTGGGCTCCGGATTTGCCGGTATTGGTAAGGGACCAGGTGCTGGCTTGGCCGGTGCTTATGCAATTGGAGGCATGGGGTGAGGGAAGAGGATCATCCTGATTCGGTTCCCTTTTTTTTATGCATGCATACCTATCGCATATTGCATATCATGGCCCATATCATATCGCGGCCGTACCATGTTTTGGCGATGGATGTTCGGACCAAAAGCTCCACGTCCACCTCCGTCTCCCGAAACGGTTCCACTGATTTCCACCGCATGAGGTGGCTGTGGATGGGTGATTGGCTGGAGAATTATACTGGTCTTTCTTGGGTGGATATTGGATGGGTGTCTGGGTCGAAGTTGACCCTCACCACAATACTGGATTTGACTGGATTTCGATAACGAAGAAGTCACTGGACGGGGGGAGGGGATTGAGGCCAGTGACAGGACCTCGTTTATACATTTCAGTCCAAAACCACATCCTGATCGATTTCGCCCTTGGGAACAGGTCTACTTGATGCTCTAACAGCACACAGCACACAGCACAGCACACGGTTACCAGGGCTTTTTCTCACTTCACTAGTTCTGGGAGGTTAAAGTCATCAGCGGCCAGGCACTAGTTCTTTGGAGACAGACTCTTCACCAGACAGCCGGCACGACCAGACAGACAGGTCCCCATTACCACAGACATACACCCGATCGACGACTATAGATTCGTCTTCTGGGCTTCTCAGACACTTTGGTATAACAGTATGAGACTGGTAGATATTAAGATATATACACCACGGTCATGTTCCTCTTATGAATTCAAACCTTACAAGTGACTTCGAAACAAGCTTCAGGCTACCATACACGACCGAGGGGCGTACAAGTAGAAATGAAACAAGCTCTTATTGCAATAATTACCAGCGTAATCCTATGCACAATTTCAACATTTGATGCAGTGATAACTGCCTTGTAGATTATATATTCGTTCTTCGTGGCCATGGGTCAGGCTTTTCCCAACAGTTCGACTTTTGACGGCCGCTCGGGGTATCATGCATAAACGAGAGTAGGCATCCAATCTGTATTTCCATCACATGTTACAATAACCGAGTCTTTCACAACAAACCACACCCAGCATCTTTCTCGTCGATGCATCTCACACATGTTTGTCAGTCTGGGGTGAGGTTGCTTCCACATTAATAGCTCTCAACACCACCTAGTTTGATCTTGAATAACGAGACTATTCGCGATGCTCGGTCTCTTTCTCAGCTTCAGTGCTGTCGCTGTCTCGGTTGTGTGTCGCTGGTGCTTGCGAAGGCTGGATCTCTCCGGCCTCGGCAGCGTCTTCAGTGCCAGCCTCCTTTCGGATCCGTGAGATTTCTTCAGCTGGTGGAGCTTCCCATGATGAACTCTGCCAGGGTTTCACTCCTAGAATGTACATTGTGTCAAGCTCCTCCAGAGTTCGGCCTTGACCCTCCATGACGAAGAGGTAGACAACAACCACAGCAACGAGATTGCAGCCCGCAAAGACATAGCCATATAAGAAGTCAATGTCGCCGGTGATGAATGGGGTGAAGAAGGCAATGAGAAAGTTCCAGAACCAGTTCGAGGCTGTGGAGAGTGCCATCCCCTTTGCTCGGTAACGAGAAGGGTAAAGCTCACCACAGATGGTCCAGATCATCGGGCCCCAGGTAGTGGCAAAACCTGTTCCAGAGTCAGTGGGTCAAAGTAACTAGTGAGAAAGAAGACACATACCAAAGATGAAGAATGAAGCAACGACAATCATCGCGGTGCCAGAGGATTCCGTACTTGGCGGGTCGTCACGATTGAGAGAAAAGTGGCCGACATTGGCAAAGATGAAAAACATTGCTGACATCCAGAGGCCACCCACGATGAGTGACTTGCGACGACCATAATGCTCGACGATGTAGAGACCATAAAAGGTGGAGCCGAAGTTGATACCATTAAGGATCATCTGGGTCACGTACGAGTTGTTGATTCCAGTGGCCTAATTCAAACATAGGTCAGTCATTTGTCCAATCACCTAGCCTCCAGTTCCACCCAGATAAGACGGTAACTAACCTGGAAGATAGTTGTCCCGTAGTAGAAGAAGTAGTTGGCACCGGTCAGTTGCTGGAGCATCTGCAATCCCATTCCCAAAGCAATACGGTAGGCCATCTTTGGGGCGGAGAACATGTGGATCCATTCACGGAGGGCACTTTCTTTGGCTGCCTCTGATTTGAGCTTGGCTTCGATCTCTTCGAGTTCGACATGGACGCTGTAGTGGTTTGGAGGTGCACCATAGACCTTCAACATGGTCTCCTTTGCACGTTGGGTGTAACCCTTACGGTAGTCATAACGGGGTGTCTCGGGAAACAAAAGGACGCCGGCACCGAGGATAAAGGGCCAGACAAATCCCACACCCAAGGGAATCCGCCAGGACGCAGAAGAGCCGCGTTGGTGTTCATAGGTGCCAAAATTGATACAGGCTGCGAAAAAGATGCCAAAGGTGATCTTTATCGAGCCGAGTTAGAGCTGAAGACGGTTCAGTAGAAATCGGGCGACTTACAAAGAGCTGGTATGTTGAGATCAGCGCACCACGGATATGGCGAGGCGCAGTTTCAGCTATGAACGGTAAGACTGCGAGCCTGTCGGTTTGAATGAAATTGCTTACACATGTACATTGGGACAAGTAGGGACAAGGCGCCGACACCAAGACCAGCCACCCATCTGCCCATCATCATCTGGTACCAGTGGTGTATGGAAGAAATCATAACGATATTGCCAATGCAGAAGATACCACACCAAATAGTGACACTGATTCTTCTGCCGATAATATCTGCCACAGGACCAGCAACGAGGGCACCGATTAGAGTACCGATGGAGAGCTGCTAGGATTAGTTGTGGACGCAGAGATTATGTCTAAACATCACTCACCAGAGCAACGATGAGACCAGCTCTCACGTTACTAAAGTAGTATGTACCATCGCTGTGACGCTGACCAAATCTTTCTAGAAAGTCGGGCATTTCCAAAAAACCAGAGATTTGACCAGTGTCGTAGCCAAAGATGAAGCCACCCATTGATATGAGAATGCCCATCAAGAAAGATTGCAAGGTGATTCGACGTAATGGAGAGTAGTCCAGATCAGCCAAGGATTTGCGTGCATCGGTGGACTGGTCTGAGTGAGGATTGTATTTGTCGTACTTGACCCATGTTGTCAACCCCAACCCCTCGCGGGTCAGTTGAGGCTTGCGAAAATTGGGAGCCTTGAGGTGTCCCATTTTGGTGGTTGTTTAATAAAAACTGCTGGAGCGGCAGAGCGAGAAGAGGATACCTGATGGTGGATGTACCCAACTTATAGGAGATGCCTGGGGCTGAACAAGGGAAAAGTATGACCAACACGTGAACCGCGATGTTGCCGCCAGGGCAGCTTTGCAATACGGATTGGCAGGGGCAATTGGAAGTCGTGGAGACGATCAGGGAGACATATTGGATTGGATCCAATGGGAGTCAACGGATGAGCGATTTCTCCAGATCCTCGTCAGCAGCGGGTTGGTGAATGGCATGGAGAATCGTGTGACGTCGGGCAAGGAACGTGCTGGAGGCAAAATGAATGGGGGATGCCCAAAGTTTAGACAATCCCCTGTCCTCGCTGCTCAAGTAATGCTGCACAACGGATGTCGATGTCAAGTGGGATGGTTGCCTTGGTTGTAAGCATTGGACAAGCACCGCGGCAAAGGATTGGCACTGATTCTTGAAAAGTGGGCTGTCTGTACGTCGGCCGCAGTCAATCACTTGAACAAACTCAACAAGGGAAGCTGTCATGCTGTCAAGGGCGAATAAAGCTCCCGGAAGTGCGCGGGAGTAAGAATGGATTGTCAACGGCGGACTTGCCTTGAACGTGGTCGATCACTTGACCGATGACGAAGGTTTCCACGGGCCATCTTGATCGCCTCGTAAAACTGGTCTGGTCAGCCTACTAGTGGCAACCCCCATGGGATGCAGAGGCGCCTTTGCGTGAAACATCAGCGCCCGGTCCATCAATCAGTGGGGAAACCTGATTTGTGATACGAGCGTAGGCTGGAAGGATGCTGTGATGCTGTACGATGACAAGGCTGTCTTCTTGGGGGGTTGCTACGTGAGCCCTTCGGTGGTTAAGCGTGAAAAAGTGGTATTTTTAGTCTTGATGTACAGGTGACTATGGAATGGCGAAGAATGAAGAGTTGAGTTGTCGTTGTCGCCTCCAGAGTGGATCCAAGTTACAATGGAAGGTACGATAGATAATAATTATGGATGCACGGAAGGTACGATGGTCGGCAACTTTTCTCGGGGCAGGAACCATCGTCGAAAGCCTGTAAGCCGCGCTTGCCGCTCATGTCACCTGTAGGAATTTATGACGCTTTGGGTAATTTCTCTTCACCTTTTGTCTGTATACCGCGCAATTCTCTCAAGATGTGCAAAAACCATGTCCCTAGACACAAACCACATGATTTATCAAGACTCCAGAAGTTATTCAATGGGTGCTACGGTGACAGTACGATGAAGGAAAGCGTGTTTCATGGCGCGGCAAAGGCTGCGAGATGGCGACAGTGTGTTCGCCCTCACTTTATTTATTTAGCTAGGTAGATAGATGGTCACGAGCAATGACGAATAATCCGTACCGAGGTCCGTCAGACATTCTATCAGGTGAGGCTCATGTCTTTCAAGAATTTCGACCAGTCTCGTGAGCAGTCGAGAACTCTATCGAGTAATCAAAATTTAGCCGCATACTAGAACCCCATATATTGACTAATCCACGGGATTCCAACTTCGGTCAAAGCTCCTGAGTCAGCGAAACTTGGTCCTGGCCATGCGGTTCTCGAAACGTTCAAGCAACTGCCGTGTGCAACGACGACGACTTCCTCAGAGCAACACCACTCTGTCACAGGCAAACATCAGACCATGATTAGTATAACCTTGTATCTGATCACCACGCATTACTTCCACCGCTGGGCCGACTCAAGAAAAGAATTGATGATTTTGGACCAATGTGGTTCGCGAATGAGATTGACATTTAATCCCAGTGGAAGTCATGACCTGATCGTCTTGTTTACCAGTGAATATGGGGTGTATCATCCATCCTCAGCCAGCTATGCCGAACTATCCACCAGCTCCACGCAGAAATCCGAGCACATTTTCCCTTCGGCCGTCTTCATGTATGCGCCAACTTCTCTCTTGATCGCTTCCCGAACTGTGATGTTGTATCGCTCATAGTAGATCTTCTTGACCCTTTCCAGATGTTTGGGTTCCCAATGCAACCGCACCAGTCTCGAGATCAACAACTCAGTCCTCTCTTTACCAGGAGCAGTTTCGCTGATAGCTTGACGTAACAGGAGAGCGTCTCTCATGGGTCGATTCAACGCTCCATTCAAGATATGTGCCAAAGTCTCCCCGACCAGATTTCTCGACTTGGAGATCATGGCACGAGCAAAGTTTGTTTCATAAGTCCGCTCGAACATTCTCATCATTTCGCGTAGGTGCACATCAGACCTCATCACGATGATTTTAATCATCTCACTCTCTCCGCCTTGACCTCGCAATACACGATCGAGCTCGTATACATCGTCCTTGACGAGCCGGATATCCACCGGGTTGGATTCTGGCATACGTCGTTCCTCGAGGACGAGCAGGATCGCCATGCGGAATTTGTCTGCCTTGAGTTCGGCCCGGATGCATCGTTCAAGGTCATCGCCATACTTTTTGTCCTTGAAACAATTCTTGATCTCTTTGATGTCGTGATTGCTCCGCCCCATCAAGGACTCAATCAAAAGCTCGCGCCGCGATGCACCGCCTTGGTACCACGAGTTGGCCCAGTAAGCCTCGCTTTCCCACCGACCAAGAGCCGTCGCATAGCAGGCTTTGCCGAGATTCCCTGGAATGCGCATTTTGATGTGTTTGGCAATGTTGATTCCCTGCCCCGAAACCTTGGCAAAGTTCTTGTACTCTGCTCGGAGAGCGAGCAAATCGTCCGTGGACAATGGAGGCAGAATGGTGACTAGGGGACGAGGGTCCGCCGGACCATTACCCTGCAGAGCCCTGGCAATGCGTTTCGCGTCATCACGAGGGTCATAGAACGACACGGTCTTCTTGCCATTGGGTGTGATCGGAGAAAACACTCCTGTGGTGGACATGCGGTTGGGAGAGCGATCTCGCAGAATCGAACCGGGCGGCCGTGCCTCTGCATTGGTGTCCAGCTGAAGATTCGACAGACGACGGGATCGAGGTTCACGAGTTTCCAGGCCGCCGCGATCAGAGTTGCGGTCTCGGGGTTCCCTGACTTCATATCCTCCGCCACTGCTGTTGCGATCGCCGGCTTTGCCACGGGACCTCTCGAACTCAGCCTTCTCCCGTTCAAGTTTACGGATTTTCCTCTGAATAGCGTCATCCTCGTCCTCATGGTCCAGGTCAAAGTCCGATAGGTCCGAGTCATCTTTATGGTTGGCAAGCACAAGTGCGCCAGGCATTGGCGAAATCGACTGATAAGTTCCTTTGTATGCCTCCAGTAGTGGTGACGCCGGAGGCCTGCCGCCATCTTGAAAGCCCTGAGTCGCCATACCAACGCCTAGTGTCGCAGCTCCCAAACCACCACCAGCAACGGCCATCTTAGACATTTTCTTAGTGACATCATCAGGAGACGATCCATATTTGTCTTCACGGTATTTCTTGTCGCGTTGGCTATATTTGTCGTCGTCATAGTATTTTTTGTTTCGTGGTTCACGTGTCTCGCAGCGTTCATCGGAGCTCTTCTTCTCTTTTCGATCCCCGTTGCGGTCACGTTCCGATGCTGATGGTCGCGATCGATCATATTCCGGTCGAAACGATGCGTACTGTTGCTGACCAGAGACAGCGGCCCCGTCATTGTACTTGTAGTCTACATTCTGCTCTGGCCGGGCATACTTCCAAGGCTCGACTTGGGCATATTCGACGCCCTTGGGTCCACTGTAGGACTGCTGCCTCTCATGACGAGGTGGGGCTGAGCTGCCGTCGTATCCTCCAGGAGGCGCGTAACGAGGATCCGAGCCTACATAGCTCATATGCCTAGAATCCCTTGGACGAACTTCCTGATAAGACCCTGGTGGTGCAGGGGCTTCTGGCGGCGCATACCCCGAGCCTGGCGGGTATCCGTATGAGGGGTCGCCCCGACCACTTATATCTTGACGGCTTTGTCTGTTGGACCGACGACGGTCAGAGTCACTTTCTGACGGTCTATCTTTCTTCGAGTCTTCTCTGCGCCTGTCGTCATTCGAGGGTTCATATTCTCTCCTTGACGAATCCCGTCCGGGTTTGGAGGAACGGTATCTATCATCTTCACTTGTATCTTCATCATATTTCTTGGAACCCTTAGAACGTCGTCTAGAATCGTCTTCATCTTCGTCATAGTAGCTGCTGGATTTCTTCTTGCTGTAACTGCGATCGTCTTCTAGGTCTTCGTCGTCGTCGTCGTCATATCTGCTCGATCGCCTGCGATCGGAACTTCTGTCGCGATCTCGGTCCCGTCGATCTCCGTCGCCACGGGTGTCGCGGGAGTGTGATCTCGAGCGATCGCGGTCCCTTCCACCGGGAGATTTGGACCTCGATCGTCGTTCATCGCGCACTCCCAGAAGCGAAGCCATCGTGCTGCATCTGGTGGGGAAGGACAGAACAAACTTCGTCTTCTTGGATTCTCTGCTGCTTTCTGACGCAGAATATCTTGCTAGGAGGAGTAACAAGGAAAGGAAGACAAGAGGACAGTCCGACTTCCTAGACAAAAGCTCACGGGACCTTTTTGGAAGCACAAGAACTGTGGGCCAGTCTCGGAATTGAGTAAAATTGCTGGGCTGACCACAGGCTACTCGACAACCATGGGGAGAGCCATAGAGGTCAGAGAACCGTCAATTGGTGGTCTCCCTGCGACGTACCGGCCCCAACTGGCACGAAGCTTTGCATTAGGGGTGCAGATACGAACCAAGCAGGATCGGACAGGGTCCCCCACGACTCTATTGTGACCTATCATTAGACAATCTTTGGCCGCGAAGTTGGGTATGCCTGACTAGTCCGACTAGCTGAGAATTGTGGCACCAAGGAATGCCCCATATAAGAACGAGGGGTTGATTAAGGGTGACGGGATTTCCGATTGGGCTTGCGGGACGATCCCAGCCTACGTTCAAAAGGCCGAGGGGCCACTGAGTTCACGCTGGCAGTGATGATGTTTGTGCCTACATGAACCTAAACTCCAAGTATTTCCCCCAGGTCGCACAGCACGTTAGGTAAGGAATATGGACAGTATGCATGACCAGTGCATGTAAATCTAGGTTGTATCGTCTATAAACTCCAAATGAGTCTGTTCCCTCTACTCATTCCACCACGGTAAGTATTGCAGGCATTTCATTATTCATTGATAGTTTCCAATTCTTGATCAGGAAGCAAGCATGCTTCTTCAATCGTCGCTTCGTCGTGCTTGTGTCCTTCCCCGCCCTTTCCGGCTACCTTCGGGTCAGGCTGCAATCCGTAACTTGCGGACGCTCCCTTCATTCTCGCTCGAAAACAAGACCTGTGTCGTGACAGGATCAGCCAGAGGACTCGGCAAAGAATTCCTAACCGCCTTTGCTCTCTCAGGCGCCAAAGGGGCTTGTGTTGACCTATCGCTGAAGGACTGCGAATCCTCAATTGGATCCATCGCATCACAGGTCCAGGCCGCATATCCTGGCGAAGAAGTTCCCGAGCTTCGAGCTTATGAATGCAACGCAACCATCGAGTCAGACGTGACAAACACATGGGACCAGATTGTCAAAGATTTCGGAAAGGTGGATGTCCTTGTAACTGCAGCAGGCATCGTGGACAACGTCGAGGCCGAGAATTATGAATATGCTCGGTGGCGGAAGATGATGGATGTCAATGTCGATGGTAGTTGGTTGTTTGCACGACAGGCGGGCAAGCATATGCTCCAACACAGTATCCAAGGCTCCATAATCTTCATCGCAAGCATGTCTGCTACAATCTGCGTTCGCCCGCAGAAACAGGCGGCATATAATGCGTCCAAAGGGGCGATCCAGATGCTAGCCAAGAGTCTCGCAACAGAATGGGGTCCCAATGGTATTAGGGTGAACAGCCTCAGTCCTGGGTATATGCACACCGATCTCATCAAAGGCTTGCTCAAAAATCAAGGTCGGGAATTAGTCGATTCATGGCACAAGGATATTCCAATGGGACGCATGGCTGAGCCACACGAGCTTAGAGGTACTATTGTATGGATGGCAAGTGATGCGTCCTCGTATCTTAACGGAAGTGACGTGGTAAGTCAAGCCGCTTCAACTTTTTCATGCAGCCCTAGATTGTTCAATTCAGTTATCTAACCTTGTTGGCGTGGAACAGATAGTAGATGGAGGCTACACAAGCTGGTAGACATGTTGAACGATATAAATCATGGGAGACGACCGTACTCGATGCGTTTATTGAAGTCAGCCTGATGATTTTTATCTTGCAGGTGTGAATGAGAATTACCCTCTGCGACAGGCAGATAGCCTTTAGGGAATATTACAGCTGTTCGTCCTGGTGGCACAGAGGTTTGTTTGCCTTAATGAGCCACCACGTAGTGTACTGGCGTGGTCTTTGATGTCCATCATAGGGGAGATGTGTTCGATACTTCGAGAGACCATAATGCCTTGGTTATCAAAAATCATAATTAAAGAAGCATCCGTCAAGTAAGTCTTCATCTTAAGTGCAACAATATGCAGCTGGGAATCATAGGGGCAAACCCTACGCTAGCGAGGGGCAGCGATACTACGATCATACTATCTTAAGAGAAGTCGCGGTTTGAAACACGGTCACTAGATAATAAATGGCTGACACAGAGAAGGCATCCATATAAACATGAAGCCCGCGGGTTAGGCTGGTAGTAGATGAAGCGTAGCCACTTGTCCAGAGGTACCAAAGAAACATTGATCAACGATTCACGATTCAAGAAGAGAGAAAATTGGTGGAAACCATGTTTTGCATTGGGCTTTTGTCTCTCGATGCAGACATGAGATCTATCTACTAGCACGACTAGTCTAACACCTTGGCCTTGTTCTGACCAGGATGCCGTCTGATGCATGCCACCCATTCTGGTGATCTTTGAGGAACATTGCACCAATTGACCCGAAGATACGTAGCATTTTGGAAGGACGCAGAGAAATGTCGTAAAACAATGGCATGCAGGTCATGAAAACATCCGCTGGACGTGGGTCACAGTCTCTGACACAGAAGCCCAGCCCAGAGCCGCCACATCTTTCGGAAACTCCACAACCACAGCTGCTCGTTTAAAACGATTACTCTATTTCTTTCCAGCCTTGACAGCAGCCTTGGTGACCTTGGCGTTCTTGCCCTCGGACTTGGCGACGGACCTATTGCATGCCAGTCAGTAGATGAACTCAAAGGAGATGGGAAGTAGGTAGGGGTGGACCGTCATAGAAGACGCCCGTATTGGGGTTGAACTTACTTGATGACACCGACGGCGACGGTCTGTCTCATATCACGGACGGCGAAACGTCCCAAAGGAGGGTAGTCAGTGAAGGCCTCAACACACATGGGCTTGCTGGGAACCATCTTGACGATGGCAGCGTCACCAGACTTGATGAACTTGGGGTTGTTTTCGATCGACTTTCCGGTACGACGATCGATCTTCTCGAGGAGCTCAGAGAACTTGCAGGCAATGTGGGCAGTGTGGCAATCCAAGACTGGAGCGTATCCAGCACCGACCTGACCAGGGTGGTTAAGGACGATGACCTGGGCGTTGAAAGAATCGGCACCCTTGGGGGGGTCGTTCTTGGAGTCACCAGCAACGTTTCCACGACGAACCTCCTTGACGGAGACGTTCTTGACGTTGAATCCAACGTTGTCACCTGGGACACCCTCGGCGAGCTGTTCGTGATGCATCTCGACGGACTTGACTTCAGTGGTGACGTTGGCGGGGGCGAAGGTGACGACCATACCGGCCTTGATGATACCAGTCTCAACACGACCGACGGGAACCGTGCCAATACCAGAGATCTTGTAGACATCCTGGAGAGGGAGACGGAGGGGCTTATCGGTGGGACGGGTTGGGGGGTCGATGGCATCGATGGCCTCGAGAAGGGTCTTGCCAGTGGACTTGCCGGCCTTGGTCTCCTTCTCCCAGCCCTTGTACCAGGGGCAGTTGGTGGAGACATCAATCATGTTGTCGCCGTTGAAGCCAGAGATGGGGACGAAGGCAACGGTCTTGGGGTTGTAGCCGACCTTCTTGATGAAGCTGGAAGTCTCCTTGATGATTTCACCGAAACGTTCCTCGGACCACTTGGTGGTATCCATCTTGTTGATGGCGACGATGAGCTGCTTGACACCCAGGGTGTAGGCCAAGAGAGCGTGCTCACGGGTCTGACCATCCTTGGAGATACCGGCTTCGAATTCACCAGTACCAGCGGCAATGATGAGGATAGCACAATCGGCCTGGGAAGTACCAGTGATCATGTTCTTGATGAAATCACGATGGCCAGGGGCATCGATGACAGTGACGTAGTACTTGGGGGTCTCGAACTTCCAGAGGGCGATATCAATGGTGATACCACGCTCACGCTCGGCCTTGAGCTTGTCCAAAACCCACGCATACTTGAAGGAACCCTTGCCCAACTCGGCAGCTTCCTGTGAGGTAGAGTCAGTATGATGTTCATGAAGAGGCGGTGCAGCAGAAGTCGCATGTCACGTGCAGCCAATACCCCTCCCCCACCAAAAATATTCGGTGCAAGAGGCGATAAGGACCAGTGCGAGAAAACTGAGACAACGGGAATCACGTACCTTCTCGAACTTCTCAATAGTACGCTTGTCGATACCTCCGCACTTGTAGATCAAGTGACCTGTGATTGTATGAGTTGTTTGAGGCCTTTTGGCATCTTTTTGAGTAGGTTGAGCTTACCGGTGGTGGTGGACTTGCCGGAGTCGACGTGTCCGATGACGACGACGTTGATATGAGTCTTTTCCTTACTAGAATGATGAATTCGATGTTAGTGATTGTCATTGATATCCAGGAAAAGGCTTTTCTGAAGGATTTGCCACTGTTTTGCAGTGATTGATGATGAAAAGACTTACCCCATGGTGACGGTTGTTAAATGAAGATATTCGAAGTCTTTGTAGTTCTGTGGCAGATACTAGAAGAATTCAGGGAATTGCTCAGATACGACGGCTTGCGTAGAGGTGCTGAGCAAGGTTAGTTGAGATGGTCAAGAGTAGTATGCGCGGATGAGATACTCACTGAGCGACGGGGGAGGAGAAAAGTAGCGTTAAGAGTGTGCGAAAGATTTTGTAGCCTGCGGAAAAAGATTTGTCTTGGCAGTTGGAGGGACTCAATCCGTCAGAGTGACTCAACACTACCACGACTAGGTTACTCCTAGGCTACTTGGGCCTGCGACAGTGAATGTCAGGCAAGGAAGAGGGGGGCAAAACGGGACCAAGGTGGCGGCAATTGGGCGATGGAGGGGCTGGAGGGGCCCTCCGGCCGCTGCCCGCCTGGCTCAACCTACTATCTACTATCAACAGTCCAGCTCTAAAAATCTGACATTTCTCCTCCTTGCACGGTTTGCGGCCCAAAATTCATCACCTGCCCCACTAGATGCAACGCCACCCTGCCTTATCCTGCTCGCTAACTGGCCACTGCTCTTTTCTAGAGGCTGAACAGTCCTCCTCCGTTGTTACGTGTAAAAAGCTTGCACATGGGCTGTTGCTGGGGAGCCGTGTGTTGTCGCTTGCCTGGTGGTTAATTTGCACCAATTGGATATTCACAATTCTTGATCTGAATTGGGGAACCTAAAATTTTCGGGTTCGAGTCGAATGCCTCAACTTGGACTGAGTCAACATGGTGTTGATAGGGTCGTTGTCGGAGTCATAGATTTGACCCTGTGAACGTGGACGTTCGAGGCCGCAGGGGCTTGAGTTCTGTAGTGACTCACAACAAGGACATCATACATGAACTTGCATTAGATGGCGAGGTATGAGTCGTTGTTTGCATGCGCTCAGTATTCTCTCCATTGTTTCGAACATTCAACGCACTAGGCACCATCAGATACGAATCCTCGCTGGATGTGGGTCGACGTACCTTGAAGAAAGAGGTGGGCGGTTCGTCTGCACTTCTTGTCTGCAGTTGATAGAAGTAGGCTTGCTTAGAGTCACATTTTTCATTTGGACAACCTCCAGGCACTGTAGAAATTGAGCGTTAGTCGTCATTTTCAATGTATATCAATTGGGACATGCGCACCCTCATTGATGGGCAAGTCCGACTGCTCTTCGCCTATGATGTCGTCTTTTTGCTTTTGCTTCATGTATGCGCGTTCATAGTAGGACTGGTCCAAGATGAACTGGTAGGGACAGGTTCGACAGGTAAAGGCATTCAGTCCTTGAGGATCCTGGACAGTGGGTGCAGACCGAGCGATGGTGAGACAGTTGCAGCAGTATGGGCAAACTACGTCCTCGTCAATTCAATTCTTTATGTACTCAGGTCATCTTACATGTTGGAGACATCGTGTCGATCCTGATATCTTGCCAGACACACGCTTCATGCGCTTTGCGCAGGCCGTTGATGAAAATGAATCTCTGCTGCCCTCACCTGGATTGAAGCGCAGCTTTTTTGCCTGCGGTGTCTGCGCCAGTTTTGAAGGCGGGGATGAGGCGACTTGGCGTCCGGTACGCTTTAAGGCTTGTCACGTGCAAATGTTGATACGTACTCTTTCTCCCTTTTGATCTGGCCTTGCCATTCTTGGCAACCTTAAAAGGGAGTTTTGGGTATGAGAGTTCACTTGCCCAACACTACCATGGATATTCAACATCGTCTTGCATCAAGTTTTCAGGCCCGGCTTCAAGCAAGCCAAATACCTGGTAACGTCGAAGATTGCCATTCTTCATGAATTCCATTTGAATTCAAGGGTGATTCGATGGAAGGTTATAGCAGTGTACGATCCTAGGGTGATTGCACAGTCTTTTATAGATATCCTCTTCGCGCTTCAAAGAGGGAATAAGGTCGGGCCGCAGGTCATAGTCGCGCTCTTCGGTAGTTAAGCTTTCGTCGGTTTCGCTACGTCGAGATAGTTGAGGAATTTTGAATTCATACTGCTCCTTCTGAATGATAATTCCAGTACCGCCTACACTGATGATCCTATCTTCCACTCTCGTACCATCGAGATGAATGATGCTGTGATGATGGATACAGGCGGTGAATTGTAGTATATTGAATGCCTATTAAGGAGGTAGTCCTCCTCTTTGTCGAGAGATACGTGAGCATAGGTCGGCCTCCCTCTAAGCCTAAACAAGGCTGAGACGCGAACAGGCCCTCAGGATCCCCAAAGACTTGGCACTTTCCTTCCTAGTAACAAACTCTCCAAACATCGATCGCAGTTGCCCTGAGGTGCAGATGCTGCGCCCTCATCGTCCTCATCGCCCCCATCTTCAAGTTTGATTAGCCTGTTCCTCACATCCCGTACCTTGCTGCCTGTCAAACACCTCTGATCTTTATTTACCATCCCTGACATCTCCACCTAGCCCCCTGCTTCCACGTCTGTATCTTCAACGTCTACCCTCTTCCGCTATTGAACCGCCAAACCCCGGACATTACATACAACCAGTGGCCCAGACCTGACATTTACTCATTCACGAGTCTCCGCAGGGATGGCTGACTCGGAGGTAAGTTCTATGCTGTAGGATTTCGCAGATGGGCATGACTGAGACAATCTTCCGCAGGGAGCTTCTCCTAAGGAGCAAATCCTCGAAGCCTGCCGCAGAGACAATGTCGAGTTATTCAATGAAGTGCTCGCATCCTTCGACGGCCAGCCCAAACAACAGATAGCCGACTTCTTCAACAACTCCACAGACACTATGGGCAACCACCTCCTGCACGTATGTGCTAGTTACGGGGCATGTAAGCAATCCCATCCAACCCAGCGCAAGGTTGCTTCTTTCTTTGTTCTCTTGTGCTGACGTTGAAATCTACTAGACGACGTCATGGACGAGTTATTAAACATTGAATTCCTGGAATGCGATCCTCTGACCAGACGAGACAAGGAAACCCCGATCCACTCGGCAGTCAAATACGCCAACGAGCGCGAAGTCGAATTGGGCGAAGCAATGGCCAAGATGCTGATTGAAGCTGGAGGCGACCCCAGAGTCAAGGACGGCCATGGAAGAAAACCGGCCGAATTGTGCACTCCTCGGACAGAGTCACTGCGGGGTATATTGATCAAAGAAGAATACATCCTCAATGAGGGTCTGAAAAATGCGGATGCCTCGCATGACGACGATGACAATGGAGGGGCCAACTCTGCTTCGGATTCGGAATAGTTCGATGCAGGATATTTGGATGTTTCCAATCAATGGACAAAATATACTATCGACGGCCAAGGTGGAAAGGACCGCCGCGGGTTTGATTCCCCTGAAAACGACGAAGCCCCAAAACTTTACTTTATGGCCTCTCGCAGCTGTTTGACGAAAGGAGCTGCTGCACATGTACCCATAGACCGTGGAAGTTACTCACGATCATGGATCCTCCTCTCGGAGATATGAGGCTCTCATCCTTGCGTTCATGATGATGATTTCCTCAGCGTGGGGCGGGAGACTGCCACGCCGGTCGGAGTTAGATCTGGATGAGCACGACTTTTAGAACCATGACAATTGAAGGAATCGACGTCTTCCAAAATGAGGTACGAGTGGGGAAGCAGAAATGAAGCGAAATGAAATGATACCATGATTGATATATTGCTACATTCTCCAGGTGCCAGGTGTTCTTTTCTCCAACTGCATGTTTTTAAACCCTTGTGCCCTTGATTCCGTGGGATAGAGATATAACTATATTATCATTGAGTTCGGAAACCCATACTGAAACGGCTTGTTAGGGAAGCACATCTGATATCCACACGTAACTCAGACAGAGCTAGGATTCGAGACTTCAACGGCACTCCCGGCCAGTCCGAATCCTGAGACACTTCCAGACATGACATTGCACGACATGTGATGGCAGTCGACAAATCTACCCTAACACCATCGCTTTCAACTGTCATAATGAAAGGAGAGCATTGTGCTTTATATCGAGGCCTCACGTCCTCCGAGGAGCAGGATACCCAGCCTGCCCTGGCCCTTGAGGAGGAAGACCGCCGAAACGAATACCCATGTCCGGCGACCAAACACCTCCCCCCCCGATAGACCCACCAGCCACCCCAAGAGGAACAGGCTGGTTCGACGGCATAACGCCAGCTGGAATGCCAGTTGGAGTGCGAGTAGGTACAGGAGCAGGGATAGCTTCTGGTGCCGATTGCTGCCCATGACGACCAACACCCGCAGAAGGTTGATGTTCACGCTGTTGGTTTCTCAGCTCGCGCCTCGTTTCCTGTAGATTTAATCGACCCATGTCTTGACCTGCGAGATCGGCCTCCAGTTGACTGGCTTCGACTCTTCGTTCCGAGACCTGAGCTTTACAATTCTCTCGGAATCGTGTCACATGGCTGGCGAGATCGTTGTAGAATTTCCTTCCTGTCTCGAGGTTGTTGACCGACTCTTTATATTTCGAATAGCCCAATTCTAGAGACTGTAAAGCATTCTGTCGATCTTTGGTACTTGTATCGCCGCGTCGAGCGTCGAGGAAGTTTTTATTGGCTTCGCGAAGACGTGCAACCAGCTGGTCTTGTTCTTCTTGTTCTATGTCTAGTGCTTCGCGGTCTGGTTCGTACATGTTGAGGCGTTTTTCAAATAGGCTCTCAAATTGTCCGGGTTCGATCTTTTGCATTGGATATTCTCGCTCGAGTCGGGCGGCTTCGGCGAGAAGAGCTGGGCCGATATCGTCTTTGCTCGCCTTTTCTCGTAGTGCAGCGATTTTATTTTTCCGCTTGGTCTCCAGGCGAGATGCCTCGCTGTAGCAGGCACGGAGACGCCTGGCTGTTTCTTCGATTGCTGGTGTCATGGCCACTTGGTCAGAAGAGGGCACAAATCGTTCGAGATCTCTGTTAGTGCCGGTCAAAAGTCGTAAGATATGTTCATTTTCCCGAATTTTGGTTTGGACCAGACTATCACTCGACCCGGCAGAGTTGAGATAGGTTTGCAAGTCTTTGGACTGTTGGTATAGTTTGGAGAGGGCTGTCGTGGATGGAGGCCGATTCCATCTATCGGTGCCAAATTTTGACCTGGCTCGATCATCTTCAGCTCGTTCAGCGTCCAACAGTGCTAGGCCTTCTTGGTAGATTGCAAGATCATTAGTTCGAAGTTTTGTGGTGTCATCCAGTGATCTTTTCAACCGATACAATGCGTCTTGCTGTCTCAGTTCGTCGGCCTTGGAGACCAAACTTGGAGGTAAACCGAGCGGCTTTTCTAGAGCTTGTAATGAGCCGGGAAGATCCAAGAGTTGAAGCACCTCTCTCAATTTCGCAGTCATAGTCTCCAAGTCAACAATAATCGACCCTCCCACGAGTCGATCTCGTCTATCGGCGTAAATGGATGCAGCTTGATGGACTGCGTATGGAACAAGATTCTCGAACAATGGTTTTCCAAAAGGTTTTTCTTGTCCAAGCAGATTAATGCCGTCAGCAACGTCTGCGGGAACCCGTGATTTGACCATGATGGTTCGTTCAAGGACTTTGAGTTGTGACTTAGGTGGAGGAGCCTGTAGGTAGATCATGTCATTGTCTCTTTCGGCCCGCTTAAGTTCCTCGTTGATCCGTGACTTGAGACCATTCAGATCTCCGAGAAGTGTGGGACCAATGTATCGACCCTCTTGCAAACCCTCATCTATACAGACTCGAGCGTCTCTCAGACGGGAGATCTCCTCTCCATATTGTTTATTGGTCAGGCAATATCTCGACTGGCGATATTGTGCAGCGGCGGCGAAGTGATGGTGTTTGGCTTGGAAATGATGTATCCATTCTGCACTGACGGTTCGAGACTGGCGTGCAGCGTCTGCTGCATATATGTAGAAGTCGGATACACAGGCAGCAAGCCTAGCAACTGTACCATCCGACATATTTTTCTTTATGACTATTTGCCAGAAACACTCCTGTGATTGAGCCAAGCACAATTGTTCCAGAGACTCGAGGGTTACATCATCCATATCTTCTGGAGGAGCTGATCGCATGTCTGGAATGACTTCTCGTCGTAGGAAAGAAAAGACTCCGGCTGCAGCGGCGCCATACTCTGCAGATTGTTTGAGACCATCGAGCGTCGTTCGGTTGGTGCCAAATGCCAACTGTGAGTACAATGCGGCCAGGTTGAAGAGGATATTTGCCAATTCGTAGCGGATATTGTTTTGGAGGACTGGCTTCTCCCTATCATAGCCAAGGGCAGGGTACCATGGAAAATCGACGCCAATATCAATAGGAAACTTTCCACCAATGTATCTCAACTGCGCCGCATATGCGGCCAACTTTTGCAGTCCACTGATGTGGGTTTCTTGGACGTTGATGGCTTCGTTTCGCATGCGATCAATTTGACGGAGATCATCCGCAAACATCTCTGGAGACTGATCATATTTTGTGGATATATATTGGTTGATGGCGGAGGAGAAGTCGACCGGGTGGGTGCGTCGATATGGGATTTCAATCAGATTGCTGGTCATGTGTTAGACAGAGCGAAGACAGGCAGAGACTTGAGGGAGTGGGACTTACGAAGCCATATCCAGCACCCTACGCCTGTCTCAAGGCTACTGACGGCTGGAGCAAGTACGAATGAAGGCTGAGCGCGTGGACTCGTGTCGTTGTCGGTGTCAATCTCAAAGTGAGGATATAAAGTGGCAGTCCCAAGATTACATCACTCTGGAATCCTTGTACAGACCAAGTGGGTCCAACTGCGGAGCGTATGCCCCCAGCACAGAATGATAGCTCACTTCACCGTACCGGCTAGCGTCTTGGCGCTGCGGAGTCAAGGAAGGTGCAGCCCACTTTTCTGTCTACGAATAGTATTCCTCTTCTTCTCCACCATCACTTTGTGGTCTGTACTTCTACAAAAGTACACACAAGACCTTCTACGCTCTGTCCCTCCACGTTGATAATTACAGACATCCTATGTCTTGAAACCACAACCAAAGTTCTCACGGTCGCTCCGACCAGCGGAACAGGAGCGTAGTTCCTTCCACAAGGCAGAATACTCGCATCCGATCCTGTCGTCGACTGAACCTCCAGCACTGCTCATGTACCAGGGGCCGACTAGTGAGAGCCAACGGGGCCCATTTCCCCAGCTTTTCGAAGGTCGCATCGCTCAAGGATATTCTTGCATACTGGCGGTATTGATGGTCTCTTCGGGTACGAAGTGACGGAATTCAGATTTCCCCTATTGAAATCGGCTCCAACGGCACACGGTTTCATCCTCCAAATGAGTTTGAGACTCCCGAATCTCTCTTCACACCAGGAATCCCATCCACTGCTAGCATACCCTCACCCCGCTGGCTTCGCCGTACAGATAACTGCGAAGGCCTTGTTTATGCTGACGGTGCTTGTCTGGGGAATGGCACCGACCAGGCAAGGGCCGGCTATGCGTTCGTCTTCGGCCCACCCAACCCTCGACAATCCCCTCTCCAATCCGGATCTCGTGCTCGCAACCATACCGAGACCTCTCGCCCTACGACTACGAAGTTGAGACTCGAGCTCCACGGTCCACAAGGTACGCCCGAGCTGCAAACAAGCAATCGCGCTGAGCTACGAGCTGTTATTGCTGTTATGCAGTTTCGTGCCTGGTGGGGCGAGGGCATCCAAAGACTTGTAATTGCGACTGACTCTTCATACGTGGTTGACTGTGCTACGCAGAGTATTCATGCTTGGCAGACTAACGGGTGGAGGACGGCGAAAGGTCCGCCAGTCAAAAACCGAGATCTTTGGGAATTGTACCTGGCAGAGCTACAGCGCTGTAGCAACTCCGGATTACATGTTCTCTTTTGGAAAATCCCAAGAGAATGGAACTCCACAGCCGATGCAGCAGCAAGGGAAGCTGCCACCCTACCTGATACAGAAGAATATTCGAAGGTCTTGGGCGTTTGCTGTTAGCAATGCCGTGGCTAGCCTATTACTTGATGGGGGAGATTCGCTCCATGAACATCGGGCCTGACAAAGAATGGATCAATTGAAAAGCTTGGGTTGACCCATTGTTAGAACAATGAGGCATGACATGGAATAGACGACCAACTCGACAGAGTCGCAGGATGCATCTTGCAGCGGAGGCACAACTCTTGAGTTTCGGCGCAATTTGAAGGGCCACTTCAAGCGCATTTCCAGTGCCCATATTCACACATTCTGTCTGCGCTGCCACCAAGTCAACAGTACAAGCCAAGGTTATGATAATAGCACACCGGAAAACACTCGTAGATACTCACCCAGTATATAGTGACATAGTAGACCATAATTGATACCCAACCGTCACGCAAGATGTTAAAGAAACCTTAGTTTAGTAGAGGTTTCAACACCGCCTGCGTTCGTCTCGTAAGTTACTTGGGATTTTCATCTAATGACAATGTCGCTCAGAGAAAGGGAGGGGGAGGGAGGGAGGTAGTTGTAGAGAGGTAGGCGGGGGAGCGAAACTCGGTGACTGATAGTGAAGTAGCTACGGAGTAGTTAAAGCCCAAGGGTGCATCGCTTAGAAACTATGCCAGCTAGCCCGTGATTACTGAAGGTCCGGGGGGCGGGGTGCCCTCAGGCGCCGAGTGGGCACTGACGCACCTATACGTTGGATCTCTTTCTGTCCATAACCACAGGAGGTGAGTATAGGGCAGCGTCACCCCCGTCCGAAAGGGGGGTGAGCTAGCTGTGGATTTACCACACCAGTGCACACCTTGGCGCAGCCTCGCGTAACGTCAGAGAATATCGAGATCACGTGGCTATCGGCCTCCTTCATCTCGATATTTTCGACCAGACTGCTCATTGGAACTCACAATTCAGACGGATGCAACTCCATGCTATAGCATGGTACTCATGGTACGCAAGGCTATAAAAATGCCACCAGTCTCGGACTGATCGAAATCTCCCCGAGGAGTATACAAATGGTAAGTTCCTGACTGGACCAAAGAGCCTCTTGGCCTCAAATGTCAATCTTTCTCCAACAGAACAAGTGGGAAACCCATGGCGACAGGTAGCCCAAATCCGATGAAACCGCAAGGTGAAGATGTAATTTGACCGAAGATAGCCGTCAGTGTGTCCAACGACTCTGCTACAGTCTCCTCTCCTCTCCTCTCCTCTCCTCTCCCTCTCTCCTCTCACCGGCCCGGTCACCCACGGCATTGATTCTGGTGTCGATATTGCAGACGGAGTTCTCCACAATGATGCCCATCTTTCTCCAAGGTAATCCAATCAGCAAAGAGAGTTGAATCATCATATCAAGAACTTTCCCTGTCAACCATGCGCGGGGAAAAGACATATCTTTGCTCATTTTGCATTCTTATGTCGTTCGTCTTCCTAAATTATTCCTAGCTCATCTGCAAAGACTCTTGATCCACGCTCCACCAGAGATAGTCCAAGCCGACAGTATAAAACACAACACGTTGAAGCTAATTGACATTCTCTATACTACTTATACTACGTATACCTTATCTCAAAAATGGCACCAACAGCCACCGCCGACATCATGCCCACTGGGCCCATCACATCGAAATCCGTACAACCACCCGTCGAGCAGAAACACCACCATGGAATGGAAGACAAGACACCGCTTCAGGCCATCTCCCACGGTAGTGATGTGATGCTTCCAGGCGTCCCCAAGTTCGACGACATGGAAGCTCAACGCCAATGGCAACTCGAACACATGGCAGCCGCCTTCCGACATTGGTCACGCGAAGGATATGTTGAGGGCATCAGCGGACACATCTCTGTTCGCGACCCCGAACATCACGAGGTATTCTGGACGAACCCACTCGGCGTACACTTTGGACTGTTGAAAGCCAGCGACATGATTGCCGTCAACCTAGAGGGCAAAGTCGTCGGAGGAAACCGAAGCCGATGCGCCAACGCAGCCGGATTCCTGATCCACAGCGCCGTTCACAAGGCACGACCGGACGTCCACGCCGTATGTCACGCACACACCGTCTACGGCAAGGCATGGTCATGTTTCGGCCGGCCAGTCGAGATGTTGACTCAAGATGCATGCAAATTCTACAATGCACATTCAGTCTACAACTCGTATGGAGGGACGGTGTTGGCCGCCGAAGAAGGAGACTTGATCGCTCAGGCTTTGGGTCCTACTAATAAAGCATGCATTCTCCGTAACCACGGTTTACTCACCGTTGGCGGCACGGTCGACGAAGCTGCTTTCCTCTTCACGTCTCTTGAGCACGCATGTCAGACTCAGTTGCTCGCTGAGGCGGCCTCGCAGGGTGGAAATTTACCTAAGATTCTCATCACTGATGAAGAGGCAGACTATGTCTTCCGTATGGAAAGTGATCCCGAGGCTTGTTATGCAGAGTTTCAGGCTTATTACGACTGGGAGATGTATCACTCAAAGGGCGATTTCAAGAATTGATGAAATGACCGGTCCATGAGGGTGGGTTATTCAGATGCTGACAATGAACGGGTGTCCTTGGTGGTTTTTGCCACGTTTCATGATATCTCTAACCAATACTATTTCATTTCGCTAAGATAGAGGATGATGTGCTCATATCTATTCCATTTAAGATTCCCTCGGTCATCCTCCTCACTCAGTCACTTATTGAGCGGTTTGAGTGTTCGTAAGAACGTATTGCTGAAGTATGCTGGCAACCCTATAGTTTGAAATGTTTATTCGAGCCTTGCCAATAGCATCCCTGCACAATCGACTTTATGTGTGATTGAGCCTGTCCCAGGAAAATGCGGCTGTGAGCTCTAGTTGTGAATAGTTCCACCTATCAAGACCGTGCTGTATTCCTTGCTGCCATCAGAAGTATGAAAGGGGAATGTGCCGAACCAGTCGGCTAAAAGACGGTTGGTGGATGGATGGGTTGACGGACAAGTCCATCGATTTGATGATCGAGTGGATCCAAGGCCGGACGTTGCGGTGTGAACATGATTGCCGATGAGACTCGGGCCGGTATCGAAGGTGGTGCAACCATATAAGGTTGTATTGAGGTTGGGCTCCTAGCATCCACCTCCCCAGCGATAGATAGATCAATCCATCATCAAGGAGAATTACTCCCAAAGAGGAAGAAAGAACCAGCTTGCCGCATTCCTCCTCTCTCTCGATCCTCACTCTTCATCATGTTGATGATCCAACTGCTGATCCGGCGGCTCCCAACCATTCAAAGTCCAGGCAATTGTCCAAGTAACCAAAACCCACCGCGACAGGAAACTAACCATAGCAGCTCTCCACATAAAGACACGTTCCCAGAGAGGTCGTTTCATCAGACCGGCGGCGAATAATGTGGCTGTGATGAGTAGTGGTGTGGAGAGTTTCATGGATGTGACGAGGAGTTTCTGCCATGTGGGATGGGCACGGCTAAATGCGGTTTGATACCCGTCTGCGCCGGGACCGGGAGAGGGATTGCGTGCTGGTGGTGGAGGCATGGTTGGGTGTTGGATAGAAAGTAGGTGATTAGGGGGTCCCGGTTGAGGAGGCTGTCAAGGTGGCTTTGGGTCTGGCTGGCTCCAACAACCCCAGGCCACGTGTGCGTAGATAGATATGGGATGGACGGTCAGATCGCTCTCAATTTGAACCAAATGAACTCGATTGAACTCGATAGGTCCAATGCCTCGTCGATCGTCTCCTCCAATCTCGTCGCTGGAGATGACTTTGGCACGCGACACCCGCTCCTTGTTCCCTTTGTCGTGATTATTTATCAAGGCGGACGGACTAATGTAAGAAGTCCACAATAGTCAACCACCGACAGCATGCGAGGAGATGAATTGTCTATTGTCGGAGATAAAGTGATGGGAATGGTTGTGAGTATTGGTTCGTTCGATTGATTGATTGACTGATTGCGTGGAGATCAGATGATGAAGTTCCATGTTCGGCGGGTCCGCAGGTCACGTTTTTGATAATTGCTGACATTGCAGCTTGGCCAATCATAGTGCGGGTTTTTCAACTCAACGTCAACCGAGCGTTTAACTTCACGACATTTGGTCTTTGGCGACAACATTTTCATTCTCATGACTTAGATGGCATATAAGAGCCATGTTCTCTTGTAAGGTAAGGCATGTTCAACATTCAATATCATCACGGTCTCCTCTTGAAGACCATCCAACAACATCCATCTCTCTATGCGCTATCCAACGCCAAAACACCAACCCAACACCCAAAAACAAATCTACCATCCAAATCCTTCCTCTATAAAATCAATATTTGCACCCCCATCAATCATGATTCGTGAAGCACGTCTAACTTCATCCGCCAAACCCCCACCCGCACAGACGGAGATCGCCATACATCCAGCATGACGATCCGCCTCTGTCTGGATCAAATCCAACACATTCGGACGGCCACGAGACATGCGGGTCGTTTGACTAGGACTTTGGATCGAGGCACTCAAACCGGCTCTTGTCACATAGATCAATACCTTGAGAATGTCACGCCGGCGATCCATACCCAGAATCTCTTGCATCCACGGTCGAATCCAGTCGACACATTCCATATCAGGAATCACCCATACTAATGTAATGCGTTTGGCCGCCACGGTTCCATTCGCATACCCGTCAACCAAGTGTCTCACGTATCCGATTTGATGCGTGATGCCAACGCCACTGGCAAACAGCATTACCGTGCCATAGCTGTCTAAACTGTGAGACACTCCATATGGTCCTTCGATATATGCGTTGAGGGTGAGTTTTGTCTCTGAGGCGAGTGCGCGGTTGAGGAGTTTCTTCGTGAAGCCAGTGTGGGCTTTGGCAAGGAGACATAGGGTAGGTCGACCCCGTTGTTCGACTTCCAGGTCGGTTTGACGATTAATGGGGCGTTTTTCATTAAACTCGGACCTGACTGATCCTGATCGATCGAGTGACTGTTCGAGGCCGCTCCAAGCGATAGAAAACGGGTGAGCTGTCCACAGACCAACTGATGGAATCGTCAGGTACACGTATTGGCCGATGCGATAGTGCAAAGGTCTTGGTGGAGTCAATGTGATCCTGACGGCCCCGGCTCCCAGAGGTTCAATCTCAGCTTTGCAGCCGCCTTTGCCCAAACTTCTCCACATCAATGTTCCCAATCGCCAGACGCGTGAGACACCCCAGATACAAGCCGCAGCGAGCAATATCCACCTAGCTGTGTATCTGCTGAGATGAAACCAGAGAAAGATGATAAGCACCAACACGAACGCAATGTGTGCGTGAAGAAAGACCTCATAAGCCCAACTCCTGACCATCTTGGGACTATGAAGAAGCAACAAGATCATGGCAACTGCGCCGATGGCCCCATTGTAAATGAAAGGTTGTTGCAGTGCGAACTTGACGCCGTCCCAACCTTGATACCCAACCTTCCCAATCATCCAACAGATGGAATGGACAATAGCTTCAATGGCCGCCAGACGTCCCAACCAACGGTGCATCAAGTTGAACGAATCATATGAAATATCCAGTAATCCAATCATTGGATTCTTAACCGTTGCCATGATCAACAAGGGCATCATGTTTGCCACAGAAAGAACACCCGACCGATTTCGAATGATAGGTAAGGGGTCAAGGTCTGATCCACTCCATGATAAGCCCCATGTACATATGGCGATATTGACTATGATGATCAACAAGATAAATATGGCTTGTAACCGTGTCGGAAGAGTTCCCAGCTTGATGTATTGAGAGAGTTTGAGTTCATGCGCTCTTCGATGATGCAGAATTGGTGAATACAGGAGGTTTTTCTTGAGGCCTCGCATCAACGGCGACGAAGTCGCATAATATCGCAATGGGCCTTGGCTGTCGGTCATGGAGGTAAGGTGTCGAACATGGCGATTTAGCTTGGTTATCGAGACGTAGACAAAGATGAGGACGGTCACGCCGAGCGCAACGAGAAGGTAAATCGGTCCAAGATGTTTGCTGTCGTGGACGAGAAGCCTTTCGGTGGCAGGGGAATAGGCAGCGTGTTGAGGAGATCCCCCGGACGATGCTGGTGCAGAGGAGGCCTCCACGACGGCAGCAGCAAGTGCTGCCATTCCCGTCAAGGATATCAAGATAGTATTCATCGTTGACTCTCTGGATTGGAGAGATACACAGAGACTGTGTCTATGTGTGTCTGTGTTTATGTATGTGAAAGATGAAAACCTGGTCTTGCCTAGAGGTGATGAGAAGGAAACAAAGACAGAAGCCCAGCTTGCTTGCAATTAAGAAAAAAAGAAGGGACACAGGCAAACTTCTAGTTCCTGGCTGGTCTGGGTGTGTCGTGCCTGGCTTGGTCGTGCCTTATCTGGCTAAGGTACTCCGTTCCTCCTTTATCACGCGGCACCGAGTTGTCACAGGTGTCACGGAGAGAAGGTGAAGATGGGTTAGGAAGTTAGGATCAAGGAGTCCGGGGATGGATGAACTAATGCATAGATTGATATATGGAGGATTGCAATTGGATTTTAAGATTCCCAAATCTATACATTCCCAAACTCCACATGAAAGACCCGACCAGTACTGTATCCACTATCTTCGTCTCTCACGGTGACGATAACGTCAACGCGAACCGAACGAGAATGGAAAATGAGCCGAGTGCCCTACTCTGATCTGTTTTCTTCATCCCACCAAACCACATGGTTTGATTAATTCTGATAGGACTATAGTGGGTCAGGGCCAGAGCCAGGACCAGCGCCGCGCATACTAGTACGGTAAGGACAAGGGTAAGGAGATCGGGGTTTTGATCTTGGTAGTCGATATAGTCCACGGCCACGGCGACAACTAGGCCGATAAGTGTAGTGGTACTACAATGGGTAGTAAATGAAAATCCCATTCGAATAGATAAGCACTTGCGGTGGTTCTTGAACGGTGCGCAAGGACCACGCACCACCCACCTATCAGGGTCCAATACTCCTAATGAGTAGGTGGTGTAGCCACGGTTCTAAATGCAAATGGTTCCTGCCTGCCTTCTTGAGCATGGGTCTGGGATGTAGGAGTGAACCGTCATGTGTGACGCGGCCTTATGTGGTATGTGGCAGAACGCGCCATATTCGACGACGGAGGGGAAAGAGAAGAGTTGTAGGCTTCAATATGGAGTCAGGCGAGGTGACGAATACTGAGATGGAGATGAACTACGGAGCAGCAATCAGGATTAATTGTGGACCCAAAACCCACGACGGAGAAATGTCAAGAACGTCTGCTATACCGTCGTTCGATAATCAGTCAGTCGTGCTTGTCCTGTTGTTCATTCTCGAGATTGGATTGCACGTTTGAACCAATATCAAAGTTTTGAATAGCTTGAAAATGTTTATCTTTTGCATGTCCAACCCATGGAAAATCCCACTACTGGTAGGAAAAGTTTGCGAGCCTGAGGACCATGTTGTATTCCACATGAAACGTCCAAAATGAGCTTATATCGCATATACCCTGGCGTGCCATGTTGTACCTAATAGCCAAGGTCTTGAATCTAGATGGTGGAGTACTTATTACGACCAAGCAAGAAAGTACAACACAACAAATCAAACGGTTGTGATTAGTTCTACGTCAGTACAATCCATAGCACAGATTCGCGTTATAAGGTCTCGTGCATATGTAACCTTTCACGTCGTCTGAAGTTGCCAACATCACATGCTTGCATTTGCGTCATCCAATGAGGGCTACAATTGGCACCAACTAGCATGGATTACCACGGCGTGCACGGGTACCTGAATTGACAGGGATCAGCATCACACTCTTCGTGGCTGACGTACCTGGTCCTGGTCCTTGCCCTGGTCGGTTCCAGGTCCGATTCCTCCGATTCTTCTTATTACGAGTACTCACCTCTCTTGAAACACTACTACTGCAGTTGTATCTCGAATCTGTGACCCACAAATATCCAAGAAAAAGAGTACGAATACACAAGTCCACGAGCCCACGAGTTCCACGATGCAAAGGAAAAAGAACTAGGCTAGGCGATACTTTGATCCGATTCGACTTGAACTTGTGGTCGCGAACTACCCAAATAGGTACAGTCGCATTTGATAAGCAGTGGAAAGTCGAGACGTCGGACTCAAGACTTCGTGCTGTGCACGTACCCCGTGCTTCCAAACCATTTCAACTTCCTTCTATCGACTGGTGTAAATCAGAGCTATGCACCAGGGGCCGTGCCACACTGGGCAGGTGGCAGTGTACTCGTAGATCGTGCGCCACGCTTGCTTGCGGCTTGAGTGATACGGTAAAGACGTTTGATCGTCGGCTCGGACATGTTTCAACTACCGTGTCCGTGTGTTCGTTGGGTTCTTGTAGGAAACTCAAACTTGAATTCAGTTCAATTGATTTTATCGATAGACACTCGTAGATGAATCTTGACTTGTCTACGCTTTACTGGGCTTGGTAGTTGTCGAACTTGACACTGTTCGTTTTTGTATTGAGATCATCAGCATATGGATTGAATTTCTCACGCTTTTTTTCTGTATCCGAGCTCGAAATTGCCATTGCCATCGCCGTCGCCGTCGCCATTGCCATTGTCAGTGCTAATACCATTCCCATCCTTGCCACCATCCTCAACAGCACAGTGGGTCCGTTTCGCTCCAAGTCCGTGGCCGATGTCTTCTAGCTGACTGGTCGAGTTCGTAATGCTACCTTTGGAGGAAACCGTCTCACATTATGACAGTGACTTCTCTGGAGAATTGGTTTCGATCCTCTGCTCAACAATTTCGTCCGATGCTACACCGAATGTCGCTGCTGCTAATCCTTTGTTCGCAACATCAGTAAAAATGTCAGGCAGCTACTCGTAGACCCTGTAGGATCGCCACAAAAAGACTAGAATCTCATTGATAATTCACGAGGAAACCCGAGTAGCTTAATATATATCGTGTCAGCCCCCTCCTAGGATACGTCAGCGAAAACTGATCCCAAGCAAGATTGCCACATAGCCAATGAGTCGTTCATTAACCCACGGTTTTGGATAGGTTGCTGCAGCTAAACGAAGACGCTCTTTAATGTCCCGTTTCAGAGCGACCTCATCTTGATGGGAGCCGATGCGCACCGTCCGTATGTGGTCTAGTATCCCTACCAGCATGATATCGAAATATGGCATCAACTTGGGAAGCCCTCCATCCACCCAGTCAGTTTGTTCCTTCTCACCTTGAGCGAGCCGAGTACTGTTCGCAAGAAAAAAGTCATCAGTGCCCAATGCCTTGGCCACCATTGCTCTAGTCAAGTCCGTATTGATAAGGAGATCTAGGTCGACGTCCTGTAAAGGGGAGAGATAGGTAGGATTGCGAAAGCACTTAGTTTCTGCCATCAACATGTATGGATTCGAGACCTTGTCCAAGAGCATGATAAGCCATCGCGAAAAGGTGCTGATGTGCAAGGCATCCATCCTCCCGTGTGGATAGGCTGCAATGGCTTTGAGGCAAAAGGAATCTTGCAAGTCGGCAGGGGTGTCGAGAACTCTCGCCTCCACTTCTATTAAAGTCTCTGTCAATGGTTCTGCGATATCTGACATGGATTGGCCAGCGTGGAACAAGTCGACAATGATGTGGTAGGCGAGCTTGGTCGGCATCAAACCTGTCTCGAGCAAGTCTTGCACCATTTGGATGGCATACTGTCGAGTGATGAATTTCATTGGAAGTTCTCGTGTATCCCAATTTGCGAAGATGGATTCCAAGTCTTCCATAACACTGTGGATGAAGTCAGGATGGTCACTATAATCCCTTTGAGATCCGTGGGCCCGATGCAGCTCAACGAGGTACTTTGGCATAGTATGCAAACACATGGACATCAGTGAAGCTGCGCCAGTGTCATTTGCTAGGATTCCATGGTTGTCAAACCTTCCCAAGCGGGAGGAGGTTTGAACACTGCTTGTGGAGAGAAACACAGTTGAGATCTTTTTGGCACATTGAGAGAGTGGCTCGTCTAGCTGTTCTACCTCTTCCGATGACTGTTGTTGAGAATGATCGGACTTATCGACAGGAGCGTTGAGATCTTCAGGCTGAGGGTTCGTAGGTTGCTCGTTCGCAGATTCGTCACGATTGAGATTGCTTTCTTGTGCTGTATGACCTTTTGGTTCTTCAGTGGCAGCTGCTCGTGCTTGCGATATTTGACAGGTTTTTTGCCAATTATCTACCATTTCGGCGAACACATTGACATTATCAATGATGCTGTTGCACTTCTGGGCACACCAGATGAACATATTGTCGTTGTCGTTGTGGTGTGTTGCTGCTTCCGCATGAGGCAGCAGTGCTCGAAGGGTTGTCTCGTCTGTCGTCGAGGCTATGGTCGTGGTGGGCGGGATCCTGTTATTGATTGGTAGGGTGTAAGATCGACAATCTACACTGATTTCAAGCCAGGTTAGAGAGAGAGGTGGTGGATAGGATCCTCTGATTGATTGATGGGTTGTGAGATCGACGGTCTGCACTAATTTCAAGCCAGATCCGGGGGGGGGGGGGATGGCGTGAAGAGGAAGACAGGTGATGACAGTCTTTCAGATCGCATATATATCTTACCAATTACTATGTTTTATAAGTTGCCCTCTTTCTAAAGTTTGGCTAGCATAGGCAGAAGTCCAGGAGTCCGTCTGGTTCCGCTGGATATAGACAGGAGCAAAGTATATTTGATATAGGCTTCCGCTTCTCCAATAAGAGAGTCTCACAATAATCTGGTTTGCTGTTTGAGTCACACGAACAATGAAGAGTCGCCGACATGGTTGTTCCAGATATGACGGGAAACTTTCCGTAACTTTCTTTCCTGACGCAGATACCAAACACGAACATAAGGACATGTCTTGAAGCAGGAGTGCAAAGGTAAAGATATCAACTTCCTAGCTACCTAGGTTTGTACCAAGAGTAGCGTAAGTTTGCTCACTATGGCTGTCTCCTTCTGACTCCCGCCTTCTCTCTTTCAGATGCCGCACATACCACTCCCACCTGAGGTGGTTCCCACCCCTCTCATCAATTCGAGCAACCCATTTGCTGCTTCACCTTTGACCACACTGCTAGTGAGACCGCCATGTCGAAGGAGATGGCTGTGAATCGTGTCCTTCTGGCCGGTGGGAGGGTCGCTGCCACAGTCCGAGGAAGATGATTGACTGCATCGACGCTTTGATGGTTGATTAGGAGTCTTAGGTTCAAACACTTCTGCACCTGAATCTGGACCATGGCCATCATCTTCAACCACAGGTGGACTGCTTGGAAGAGCTATTGTTTGGCTAGACTGACTCAATTGCTTGGATCCATTTGTGTCGTCCATCCATCTGGCAGAGTATGTAGTGGGCATTATGGTGGGTACAGGGATACTGGAGAGAGATCGAACGGCGGGCTTCGTCTCCATGGTAGCTCTAGCACGAGCAAGCGCAACCTTGGTTTCTGGGGTGAGAACAGAGCGGTGAAGGCGTGAAGGAGCGCGAACGGTAGAGGATGATCTCGGTGATGAGGATGCAAAGGCTGATTCGGGCGATGTTGATCGGTGCTTGGGTGTCTGCAGACGAGAGAAAGGTGTAGTGATTTGGTTAGATTTGATCTTGTATATGGCGAGTTGAAGGCGAGTTCGGAGGGTTTCTGCTTTCTATCAAACAAATTAGCAACATTGTATAGATATATAGGCTCGATTGAACCAACCTCGAGCAGCATTTCTTTTCGGGCATCCTCTTGTGTTTGTGGTCTTGGTCTTTGACCCACCACGACATCAGGCTCGTCGATCATCTCCATTTCCTCGCCTTCAAAGTCGATCAGGCTCGACATGCTCAGACTGAGCTGTGAGGCTTCGGCGACCAGGGTTGGTTTAGGTTGGGACGATTGCGACGCGTTGTCAGGCATTATCACCTCATGCTAGAATTCTGGGTCAGCAATGTATTTAGGACGGAACAAAGACGATTTACCATGCTGTCCAATGCCCTCTGGCTCATCTCGTCGTGGATGACGAATTGTTGTTCAAATTTCTGAGATTCTTCCTGCGAGGCTTGAAAGGATGAGTTCCATATAGTTTTGGGTGTGCTCTTTTTGTCAGGATCTGTTCTCTGAGGGCCCGAGCTTGTTTGAGAAATGCTGTCATTCAACATGTCGGTCTTTTGCGATGAAGGCTGGAGGAGGGTGGCGGGGCTGCTTTGAGGTTCTGAAGGTGGTTGAAGGGAGATTTCTTCTAGTCGACGTTTCTGACCAGCTCTTGGACTGGTAATGTGATATGATGTAGGAGATGCAGGTCGCTTGAGATCCGAGCGGTTGTGAATTGGACTGCTATCTTGGGTGCCAACTTTGGTCTTGTTTGGAGACAGAATCTGTAGCGGCGCGTTGGGATCTTTATCCCCCAGGACGCGTCGGACGGGCGAAGAAAGAACACTCATGTTGGAAGGCTGCAGCGAAGCTGTGAGAACCCTTGAGATGATGTATCGTGTCCTAGGCTGGGGTTGACACTTCTGTATTACCGGTTAATTTGAATATGCTCGTGGATGATGTAGTTTCCACGGCTGGAGAACAACTTACCTTCTCAGCCAGCAACACTTCCTGCTCGTGCCCTGGAATGCTACCACCAAAAGAATGACTAGCTAGCTGAATCACCACAGCAAGACGACGAGAACGAAGCGGTCCTTTAAGAAGGCGGTCAACTCAAAACGCCAAACGCGACGCTTCTCGAGCATGCACCATCACGTCGCGGTGCCACGTCCTCTGAGCACTGGTCCCATGCGGAAACCATAACATTAGCGCCCCGTGGCTCCGAGGTTGATCGTGGCTGCAGGGCTCAACCCGCTAGACTCTTTGCACAGTAGTCGCCTATTAAAGCCCCCAAGTTCCGGCCCGCAGGCACGTCAAGTGGGGTTTGGTGGCGCCTAAAAACACGTTCATTTGGCCTTCTCGAGGCGATTCTGGGGAACTTTGGCGAAGTCTCTCGGTCCTTGTCCGCGACCCACCGACGCGCTTCTCTACCTGTTACCTAGACCCTGCATCTACTCCGTACTCCGGACGCTATTGCTACTCCGTATGTCTGAAGCCCGCCGAGAACCCAGTGATGTCGCGCTGCGAGAGGCTGTGGTCGAGATCTGGGTACTTAGTCTCAGCCTCGTACCGGAGAGTGGTGGACCCCTCCATGATACCACAAGATTGCATCTTGGACGCGTTGAAGGCGGAGTGCGTGCATTGCTACTCGTATTTTTTGGTTAAAGGGGTTTATTGACACTGCTATTTTGTCTAGGCATGATGACCTCTCCTAGAGTTCTTTGGTGGCCCATTCCGCCTCTTCAATCTCGCGCTCCAGAATCGCTTCAACGTCCATGTGTTTCGTGACTGAATCGTCCAGATACTTAAGTCCCTTTTCTGCTTGTCCACGACAAGCCTGGGTCAAGGTCAAAAATGCAAAATGTCCTCCCACCACGGGGCGGGCGAAAAAGTTAGGCCCGGGGAAGGCCCCACTCCCTTCGGTTTGGTGCAGATCCGTCAGAGGTCGGTCAGTGGATGTCTCATTGACCCATTTGGCTACCGACTGCAGAATCTCTGCTCGGACCTTGGGTGCTGCCACCGCCATCGCGAAGAATTCCCAATCAGTCTTGGTGTAGAGATGTCGTGAGTCGAGTGGTAAGCCGTATTTCTGGCGGACGGCATAGTACCAGTCGCTCTGCATTTGATAAATGTGCTTAGGAACGAAACCGTCTTTGTCGCCCTTGATCTTTTTGAGAGGCTTTTGATGCTCGTACCGCCCTCCAATGCTTGACATAACCGTGGGTTGGTACTCGGATCCGAGATGGAAGCACAGCAAGCTGTCTGCGTACAAATTGTACGTGGTTGTCCATGACCCGTACCAGTCATAGGCAACCTTGGCGTGGGTTTTGTCTCTGGAGATTCCATATTCCTCCCATTTGGCAATGTATGTTTCGGAGATGTTGTTGTACACCTTGGCATCTTCATCATTGCCGGTTAGTTCGGCCAAACCAGCCATGGCCTTGATGCCGATGATGCCTTTTAATGCCAGGTTAGTTTGCAACGCCAACCAACCTGCAAAGTCATCGGTGGACAATTGATTGTGTGGCAGCAGCGAGAATTCGACCAGGTAGCTGGTCCATTGTTTCCAGAGTCGGTAACTTTTGCCCACCCATTTTTGGGCTTGCTTTAAACTGTTTGGGTTGCCCACCCATACATCGTCGATATAAGCCTTGCCATCTTTATGTCCTACCGAAAGGGGAGCAAGACTGTCTCCGGATGGTTGGGGAGCCGGGGCATTACTCATTGCCTTCCAGCCCACAGACGCCGATGTATTGGCGGCATCGCGAAGAGAGTTGGCCAAAGCAAGGCCCATGATGAGAATGTTTCCACATTCTTCAACCGGCATGTACTCATCGCGACCATCAGCGTGACCAGTCGCGTTAGGGAAATGTGACCCGAGATCGTGCATGGCGTACTTGTTGGGATATTGGCCGCTCAGCATGTGCTCAATGAGTGGCTCGAGTAGGTAGCCCAGCCAGCGTGGATTGGTATAGAGGAAGAAGGGGAAGCTGGGGAAAATGACGTCGATGGTCTGGAAATTGCCATTCGAGGAGATCTCCTTGAGGAACAGAATAGGATCGTCTGGCGTTCCAGAGAAGCTAGTAGCGCCAAGGACCTGTCGGGCAGACAGAGCGACAATGTCGACGTAATCTTCGGCGCCCGATTTGAAAGCGTCGATAGCTAGTTGGGCTGAGTAATTGGCAGCCAACTCTGATGCGTGTGCGAAATCGAGATAGTGAAAGGTCAGGAGCTCCTTAACGGTATGGAAATAAGATTTCCAAAGTGGACGCATCATGGTCAAGCCACGAGCAGAGGCATACTGAACAACGGGGTCTTGGACGTGCCCAATTGTAAAGGTGACGCTATCGCTATCTTGGATGGACTTGTTGGAGGAAGAGCCCAAGGTGAAGGACTTTGAGAATGCAAAGACTGGTTCGTTGTCCATGATTGTACGAAAGTCACGGTCAACAGCGTCTTGGAGTGTGCCCATCCTTGCGAACCGCTGACGCAGGATTGCGGAAGTACCAGACTCGTGACGGACGTCCGAGGGGGCAGAGAACTGCAGCTCACCCCATTCTGATTGGTCGCGGAACTCGGTGAACAAGCGCTCGACATCTCTTCTAACCTGCCAGGTTTTGAAGCCGTGGTTTTCATTGTGATCCTCCAATGTGGTATGGACCATGTCCCACACAATCTTGCTGCCGCGGTCTCCGCTTACCCATTGGCCGTTGAGATCCAGGTAGATGTCTACATCTGCGTTTCCCGATACATAAACGGTCAGGTAACTTGCAGGAATAGCCTGGCGGACGGTGGATGTGGGGGTAATTGGCGACAAGAACGACAGGGTGATGTCAACATGGTCGGAAGAAGAATAGGTCGAGGGTAGGGGAAGCGAGTAGGATAGGTTGGTGGTTGATGCATCGTACTGAGCGCCTTTATAAATGGGGTATGCGACGGAGATACTGCAATGGATAAGCGTGCGTCCTGGCTCGGGTGCGAGTCATGCGACAATTGTGGTCTTACTTTGGGTCTTTTATCGGTAATGAATCTTGAGCTCTTCCAAGTAGCGGGTAGGTGGTTCTTCCTCCAGAAACGCTGGCTAGGACGGAGAAGCCAATCTCTTGACCGGTCCAGAACATGGGCCACCTATCCCAAGGATTTCCCCTTGCATTTTGCAGCCAGGTACTGAGATACGGATTTCTCACAATGAGAGGAAGGACAGGAGGAGTCAGGCGAGAAGCGCAAGCGAGGTAGGGGAGGATGGCCGCAAGCCAGGTGATGGCGGAAACCAGCCGCATGATGGACGAGGAGGCAGAAGTCGGGAAGCCAATGAGGTTTCTACAAGGGCTCAAATGTCCATGGTAGAGTCTACAAACTCGAGGCCACGACGAGAGAGAGGGGGTGGGAGAGGGAGATGTTGGAAGCTGGAAGTACTTAGTCAAGAGGATTGTGGGGATGTTGCAGCTCGGTAGGAGTGGATGTTCCAGCTAACTTAAGTGCCTAAGCACTGTGACTGTAGCTACAGTGGATGCGTACAGCGTCTTGTGAGGATGACCTGATGAGGTCATTCTTGGCCTCGGTTCCTGACGAGTGATCCACCTCTGGTGTAAATGCTGCAGAAGGATGTGGTCTTGATATCCATACTAAAACCATCATGGAGCAAGCATTGGTTTTGACCTGCTCGCTGGAGACTGCTAAGGTCTTGGGTGGGATGGATGTTGGAGGATGGGAGGTCACAAGACGCTGCAAATTGAATGAAAGAATAACTTGCAGTAGGTCCTTACTGTGACCTGCAGTTGGTGGTGCGGGGAGGCAACTATGGGGGAAGCTGGCCCCCTGCGGTTTACCGCCCTCGGGTCTACAGGCCTGCACCTTTGGAGCCTCCCAGGCTTTGGTTGACCAATCGTTCCAACCCAACAACAAGCCAGGACGCGTGTGAAAGACCAGAGCCAAGGTTGGCGAATGTCCGAGACGGTGTCAGGTGGTCATGGCCCCTCGGCCGTTCGAGCCTGCATAAAGTTGAAGGTCGATGGGCCGAGGGGCCATCGGGCAACGTACAGTACATCTACCCAGTTAAGCAATCCAGCCCTAGATCTCGTACCAACACCTTGTAGAGGTGGCCAACCACCAAACGACCTACCGACTGTATTTAGTACCTGGGTCTTGAGCTTGCCCTTCGGCATTCATCCTCAACCACCCATGAACCGTGCCGTTGCATTGTCACTTTGAGCCGCAGATTCTGACCCAAGGACTTGGTCGGTTTGAACACTAACTAGTACTTAGTACCTTTTTCTATGAGGTTCAACTTTAAGTACTAGGTATCTTTGACGTGAATCTGACATGAGGAATTCATGGTAGTCAGGTAGGTCCTTGGAGCTTGGGCGCTTCGATGCCATACGTACTAGGTACCTTACCTAGATACCTAAGGTAAGAACCTGGCGGTCGAACTTGGGACAGCCATGTGCCAAAGTCAACCAAGGCAGGCCATCGGCCCCTCTGCACCTTTGGCACCTCCAACAGTGAGGTAAGTACTCAGTAGGCACTTTCAGAATGCCGCCAATCACTCCAAAAACGTCGGTGTGTCACGGCCACCCTCTCATTGGCCAAGGTCCTGAAAATTCTCAGCGCCCACCCAATATGCTCCTATTTCTGTTCAATCCTGGGTGATGCTTTCTCTATGTCACACAAATTCATACGCCTTCTTACCAACAGCAATTGCACAAGATGGAAGTGGGAGAGAAACAAGCCACTGTCGCCCCTGATGCTTCTGCCAACACTTCACCAAGGTCTATGGAGGAACAAACTGTCACCTCACCGGGGAACGACCTTCACGCTTCGGCATTCAAAAGTCTCGGTATACTCGATCAATTCCTAGCTCTCTGGATATTTCTAGCTATGGTCGTCGGCATCCTCCTGGGCAACTTTGTTCCCAACACTGGCCCAGCTTTACAAAGAGGTGAATTTGTTGGAGTTTCGGTCCCCATAGGTATGCAATGACGACAGTGCAATAGAACGGTATCTGACTTTGAGCAGCAATTGGCCTCCTTGTTATGATGTATCCAATTCTGTGTAAAGTTCGCTTCGAATCACTGCATCAAGCGTTCCGCCACAAGTCACTCTGGATCCAGGTTGCTTTCAGCATCCTCGTCAACTGGATCGTGGCACCACTGTTGATGGTATGTTCAATGAGCCTACACGTCCGTTCTGCAAACTGACAGAATCAAGCTCGCTCTTGCTTGGGCATTCCTTCCAGACGAACCAGCCCTCCGCGAAGGCCTGATACTAGTGGGCATCGCTCGCTGTATCGCCATGGTTCTGATCTGGACTGGCCTAGCTGGCGGTGATAACGAGTATTGTGCCATTTTAGTGGCCATCAATTCCGTCTTGCAAATGGCCTTGTTCGCGCCCTTGGCTCTGCTGTTCATCAAAGTCATAAGTCACTCTTCGCACGACATCCAGATTGAATATGGAGTTGTTGCCAAAAGCGTGGGCGTCTTTTTGGGCATTCCCCTTGGGGCCGCCATACTGACAAGACTCACATTGAGGTCTTTGTGCAGCGAGGTGTGGTATGATACCAAATTCTTGAAGTGGATTGGGCCTTGGTCCCTGATCGGCCTCCTCTTTACTATCATTGTCCTCTTTGGATCTCAAGGTCGGCGCGTGGTGCACCAAATTGTCTCTGTCGTCAGAGTCGCTGCTCCGTTGTTGGTATACTTTACTATCATCTTCATATGTACACTCTGGGTGACCAGGAGACTCGGATTTGGTTACAAACTGGCTTGTACGCAGAGCTTCACCGCTGCAAGCAACAACTTTGAGTTGGCAATCGCCGTGGCAATCGCCACCTTTGGTGTGGACAGTGATCAAGCTTTGGCCGCCACTGTTGGCCCACTGATCGAAGTCCCGGTCCTAATCGGCCTGGTTTATCTTGTCAAGTGGTATGGCCGGCGGCAGCGATGGGAGGCCTAGAGGTGTCATCCTGAGATCGACTGTTGGTCGCCATGTCGTCGTCATCTGCCCATTTGTTTTGCACTCAGGTTATTCACTATTCCAGACAACACCTGGCTATTCACACGACAGACTTGGCCTGGGAATGGAGATCTGCTGAATGCAGTAGATAATCTGTCCTCGATCTCGTCCATCTCGGCTGCGGAGGGATTATACTGTTCAATCAACCCCTTGGCCATTGTGCACGATACAGTGTTTGAGGTGTCTGAGAGGAGGGGCCCGTTGGCAGGCATTTGGAAGGCATTGCAGCAAAAATTGGTCCCGTTAATCTGGGAATAATCGTGATTCTCATCACTGGTCGTCCAGTCTGCAAGGGCCGGCGTATTGAACTGTGAGTCGGGAAAGGAAAATGAATTCATTGGAACATGCCGGTATTGGACGTTATAAGCTTGATTGCAATCGCTGGAGCCGCTGGTAACGTTCAGCGGCCTGGTGGAGGTAGAGGAAGGATTGAAAGGTTGGGGTTCGTCTCGAAAAAGAGTCCCATATTCTGCCGGGAGACTTGGTGCGTCGATGGACTGGATTTTGGGCTTCAGGAGTCGGAGTCTCGCCGCGGTGGCTTCAATAGTACGTTGAGTCATATTCTCGCGACCAAAACTCTCGATAACGTCGGAAGTGACTCCGACGACTCTGAGAAGAGCTCTCAATCGAGTGTTCTCCATCTGCAGGTCAGCCAAGGCGGTCCGTTGCAACTCGGCCTCTCGGCAGGTGACATGGGAGTCGTGCAGTCGTCGCTCCAATTCGGACACGTATTCCTGTCGACGTGCCCGACTTCGTCTTTGATTATCACGAATACGCTCCTGCTTTGATTTTGAGCCGCCAGAAGCGGTTGAGCTGGTGTCAGGGGACATGGCGACTGGAAAACGACATTACTGATGAACTACTGCGTGAAAATAGCAGTTCTTGGCTGGGGGAGACTGGGTTGATTTGTGGAAGGATCGCCAGGGGGGGATGGCCTTGTAGGTTTTTCTCAGGGAACAGAAATAGAAAGAGGGTCCCTTCAACGAACGCTAGTTAGCGGCACATCGGGCTCCTGAATTGGGGGAAATCTGGGGCAGGCTGGACGCGTAACACCAGAGCGAGAGGTATATTGGAAGGTTAGGCAAAGGTCTTGGGGAAGTGAGAGCATGAAGTCAAATACAAATAACGCAAACAGGAACCACGGCCCCAAGGTGACGTGGAACCTTGCCCTAGGTGGTGGATGTGGAGGGAAGCAGAAACGCAGGCAATCATCAAGGGCAAACCTTGTTCCCCGGCGAGAAAATGCCGCTGCCGTCGGTAGTGAAGACAACGTCGCATGGCACCAAGACTTTGAGACGTGATGGTGCATGAGATGCGGCGGAACGCCATTGTCGATCGGGATCAAACTCGAAATCTTAACGTTGAGATTTCGATCGCACAGAAAACATAAAGGGCGAACTCAAGTGCCACTGGAGTGAGTTTAGATGTTGGTGCCGTCCAAGCCTTGGGTCGACTCCATTTTTTTTAGCTCTTTCCTTGGTTTGACGGGTTTTGACACGGACCTCCTTCCATGCAAGGTGAGGAAGTTCTGTGGTTGTGCCTACTGGCCATTGCGACAGCTGGATCACCGGGGGTATTATTAGCAAGGAGGTAAAGTTGGCAAAGGACGATAGGTGAAAGCATGTGGGAAACATAGTACCTAGTACTACTGCACTCCGACGCAATGGAAGGAGTTGGAGAATGCCGATTAGTCCAGCCCAACTTTACCTACGGTTCTTTCCCCGCCAGTCAACTTTAAGTAAACCCTTCTGGCATGAGAGGTTTACGTAGGTGCATTCGTAAGTGCCTCTTTCCACCGAAACGAGACACTCCTGACATGCACGCCAACTTGCAACCTTGCGGCGCTCTACTAATCCCTCAGGGCCTCGATGAGCTCCTTACCTAGGTAGGTAGGTACCTACCTAGGTACCTAGAACCGACTTTCATGTGCACGGGTGATATTGGACGTCGAGGTTAGTACTCCGTACATTCCTTCCAACACCATCACTTCCCTGCATCCATTGGCAACTGTTGCGTAATTTAGTTTGATATCTCTCCTCGTATTGCAACGATCTCGCCTAGAAGTTACCTATACCCTGTCGTGCATGTCAATAGATCTTTAGCTAAGTCTGGTTGACCATGAACCACCACATTTGGCGTTGTTCCTCTTCCTTTGGCGTCTCAACTACATAGACGCATGCAGACCTTGGTATGCATTAAGTTCGGCTGTTCGGCCCCATTACTCCTGGCGGGCTGGGTGCCCAGAGCTTAGTCGCCACCACCAAAGGCTTGTTCATTTCTTATTTTAGGTCCCCCCTGGTCCCTTCAGGTTTTGGTTGTACGAAGTACTTGTCCAGCCCTTCGCATCGAATCAGATGCAATGCCTCGGAAGTGCCTCGTATCCCACGTTGATCTTACATCTATCGACACGCTCATAACCTCTTCCACAGAACTGGCACCTCCCAAAGACCCCAAGCTTCGTCGATCCCTAGACGTCGCATTGTCGGCTAACGTCGTTCCCCGAAACGCCAATTCTATCCCACAGCCACCAAACTCCAGATTAGCGAGTGCCCAGCGCACCAAACAGCCTTGCCAAGGTCTGGATTCAGCCACTTGGCATTGGCATCACCGTTCATCGTGAAGGATACTCGGTAGATGTGTTTTCTTCCAGATTTTCGAAAACATAACTACTACCTGGGACGATGAACTCCATCCCCACACCAAGTCTTATGGCTGTGTCCAAATCCTTGAGGGCTCGCAACATCTGCCGCTACACCGTTGTGGAATGATGCGGCATTCCATACCTCTAACCATACATACGGTACCTACCCGTAGATATATATATCTTGGCCATATCCAAGATCGACACAATGTTGCCCAAATATAGTCAGTCGTCTTAGATGTTCTCGACCTTTGCTCGCTCTCTGGACACCCGAGGTTGCCACGTCGAGACTCGATTCGTGAGACGTCGTACAACTCAGAGCCAATGCAGTCGAAACATCTCAGAGAATGCCAAGGTCTTGTCTTGTCACGTCATCCTACTCGGAATTTTAGCTGCAGGAAAAACAGCATTGGCAAAAAGAAGGCAACTTTGATATCGATCAGCCTACTCGAGGTATATATGCACAAAATGCAGGACAGACTATATGAGCAGATACGCAGCTTTTACAATTTTGACTGTCCGCCACTGACCCTCTTCAACTCCAAGACATCCTTCTCTTGGAGGCCGTAACTCTTGAACAGTTCTCTCGTCTTGGCCTTCTGGGCCTCAATTCTCTTCAGGAGGTTGGGGCCTCTCTTGTTCTCATTGCGGCCCAGCTGCAACATGTGCACCTCATCAGGACCATCGACAATTCTCATGGTGCGTCCACTAGCCCACATATTGGCCAGTGGAGTATCCTGTGACACACCAGCACCACCGTACGCTTGGATGGCGCGGTCGAGGACGTCCAGGAGAGTCTTAGGGACTTGAATCTTAACCTCGGCGATCTCCTTGAGGGCGTCCTTGGCGTTAGACTGATCGATCTTGATGGCGGCGTTAAGCACGGCGAGACGGGCGGAGTCGATCTCAATCCGTGACTTGGCGACACGTTCGAGCTGAATGCCATGCTCGTACAACTGCTTGCCAAATGGCTTCTTGGCAGGGTCGTGCAGGCGAGCGATGAAGTACTCTAGTGCGCGTTCGGCCTGAAAGACGTATTGTCATTAGACATGCTTGACTCATGGACTTAGTTGTGTCAACTTACAGCTCCGACTGATCTCATGGCATGATGAATTCTGCCAGGTCCGAGACGTCCCTGGACGACCTCGAAGCCACGGCCCTCACCCAGAACCATGTTGCTCTTGTGCACACGCACGTTATTGAAGGTGAGATGACCGTGTCCGTGGGGCGCATCATCGAAACCAATGACCGAAAGCATGCGGTTGATGGTGATACCCGGAGTATCTGCGGGGACCAGGATCACAGACTGTTGCTTGTATGGGTTTGAGTTGTTGGGGTCCGATTTGCCCATGACAATGTAAATCTTGCATCGGCGGTCACCGGCACCTGAGGACCACCATTTCTGTTACGTCGAAGATATAAATCAGCACTCTGGTCCTAGGATCTTCTCGGCTAAATGATTCTCCAGGCTAACTTACCTGGCCGTTCAAAACCCAGTAGTCGCCATCCTTCTTCATATCCAGCTCGATGTTGGTGGCATCAGAGCTGGCAACCTGTGGCTCCGTCATGAGGAAAGCAGAACGGATTTCGCCGTTCAGAAGAGGGACAAGCCACTTCTTCTTTTGCTCCTCAGTACCATACTTGGCAAAAACCTCCATGTTGCCCGTGTCGGGGGCAGCACAGTTGGTGGCTTCACTGGCAGTAACAGACTTGCCAAGATACTCGGCCATGAGGCCGTACTCAAGATTGCTGAAACCGGCCCCTTCCTTGAAATGGTTCTTGGGCAGGAACATGTTCCATAATCCGAGTTTCTTGGCCTTGGTCTTAAGATCCTCAATCACCTGAGGATGCGAGTCAAATCGGGCGACAGTGCCTTGGCCAACCTGCTGGGCGAAGACGGCGTCGGCTGGAATACATTCTTCTTCGACGAACCGCTCAACCTATGATAGAATGGTTAATACAGCACGAACCTATAAGGATGAAAATAATAAGGATGAAAGGAAAGATTGCAAAATGCAAGACACATTGACGGCGAATTGAAGTCATGTCTCAGAGATGTTGTTATCAAATTACAGATTTCAAAGCTCCAGTTTCTAGTATTGCCTCGGCTAGACTCTGTCTCTGGTCTTGCATGGGATACAATGTGCAAACTTGCAATAATGGTTTGGAAGATCCAAGACTTACCAGGTCCAATGTCTTTTTGGCTCTGTCCGAGACCCATGGCTGAGCAATGATGGGAATACGTTGCGAGGCAGGAATGTGGCCCGAGGGGCTATTGAGAAGGTAGGGAACCGACATATTGAGGATTAAGACAGCAGAAAAGGAGTAGTTTCAAGTCCAAGTGGTGACAGCCTCAATTGAGAAGAATATAATGAGATGAGGGATCAAGATTAATATACTCAGGTCATGCAAAAGCTCAATTCAAGTCAAGGCGTAGTCTTGACGACTCTTTTGTTGTCAGATTCATGGGTTATGTGAGGGAAGCTTAGGCGGTTGAACTCCCAAGTCAGACAACAAACCGTCCGAGAGCCGAGGCAGAGCCCAAAGAGCCAGACCCGAACGAATGAAGCCGTGGGTGACAAGAGATCCTCCGGGGGAGAGCCTGGCACCCAGGACCAAAACTCCCCCCCAACAGCCCGGTGTGCCGCAGCTTGGAGGGCCATAAGTGGCCATAATGGCATGAGTGGCTCTTGCCTCCCATCACCTGCGAATCGGAACCGGATATTCGACCTCGGAGATTGACCATTTCCTATTGGTTCCAACTTCCGGTCCTCGATCCTTTCGCCCTCCACACCCCAGTCCTCCACACCACTCCATCATACCAAAGTTCTCCGTAGAGTAATCAAATTCTCAGTAATCAATCAAAATATGAAGTACTAGAGGATTATACTCCGTAGTAGCCGTCCTAACCAAGCAATTTCGTCAGGCCACAGAGTTCGCAGGACTTGTCAGTCTAACAGTTGAAAGACCACTCCTATCGCTATTCGGCTTTTGTCCATATCTGCCATGTGCAAAAGCCATGTTTCGATTCGCTCACAATACCCATTTGCCAAACGCCATGGTGACTTCTGACACTTCGGCATGCCACGTCGAATAGAGAGTCCTGTTGCCTGCTACTGAAATCATCAGATGATAGCCTTGACAAGGTACAGGCTTTTGTCTAGGATAAACGATCTCGGTAGATACATAGAAGAGATGGTGTTTCCAAAGAAGCTCACAGCCTCGAATCTACAATGTGCATGACTCGTGTTTCACACCCTACCTCCAATCTTGCATGACTCATGGGTGCGGCCTGGATCGTCAGCAAAGTCATGAAAAAAGTGCACATCGTGATCATGAAGACATACGTTCAAACCAACCACACTCATTCATACTCTCAATCATCAAACAGGCAGTCTAATTCATCGTTGAAATTCTAAATCCTCCTGTTCCCTCCCTCCTCTCTTCCATTTGTCAAAAGTCCACGCTCTCTTAACCACTTCATGACATTTACCACTGCGACTGCGAAGCCTTTCCAGGATACCTCGAGGGAAGAGGTTTTAATACAACAATCTCGAGAGACAGGGCAAGCGGTGCCAGTCGGTCAGAATAATGTCCCTTCCACGGTGACAAAGGAAGGGCCGGCAGTAAAGCCATGGGCCCATTTTGTCGCAGGAGGGTGAGAATCTTTTTGTTCTTCGTTTTCAGGCGCCACTTGCTAACTCTTTCGCCAGCGTCGGTGGAATGACAGCCGCGGCCTTGACATCTCCCCTCGACGTTCTTAAAACACGATTGCAATCCGACTTTTACCAGGCTCAATTGAAAGCACTGCATGCGCAACATCATCTACCTCAGAAAACCACTTTGACGTCCATCCCCCGTTCCGCCTTTTTCCATCTTGCCGAGACGTTCCAGATTCTTCGATCCATACACCAACATGAAGGCTTCCGAGCACTTTTCCGCGGCCTCGGCGCCAACCTGGTTGGTGTGGTACCTGCCCGAGCCATCAACTTCTACGTCTATGGCAACGGAAAGCGCATTTTGAACAACCATTTCAACCCAGAAGGCAAAGAAAACGTCTGGAGTGTTCACCTCATCGCTGCTGCGATCGCCGGGATCGCCACCGGGACAGCAACAAATCCAATCTGGCTGGTCAAGACGAGACTACAACTGGACAAGAACAACGCAAGCCATGATCCCTTGCGCCAGCGCCAGTACCGGAATAGTTGGGATTGCATTAAACAAACCGTTCGACACGAAGGCATTCGCGGTCTGTATCGCGGCCTCTCAGCATCGTATCTCGGTGTCACCGAGTCAACGCTGCAATGGGTCATGTATGAAAGGATGAAGCTGGGTCTGGCACGACGAGAGGCAAAAAAGCTCGCCACTCCAGGATATCAACCAACATGGCTCGACAACACGGAAGCATGGGCGGGCAAATTCTCAGCCGCTGCCGGGGCAAAGTGCGTAGCTGCAGTCGCAACATATCCGCATGAAGTGGTAAGGACGAGATTACGACAAGCACCGACGACCATCACGCCTGATGGCAAGGTCACAATCAAGTACACTGGACTAGTTCAGTGCTTCAAACTAGTGGCTAAAGAGGAGGGACTCGCTGGTCTTTACGGTGGCATGACGCCGCACTTGCTGCGTGCAGTTCCCAGTGCGGCCATCATGTTCGGAACGTATGTATCCTATCCTCCTCGTTAAATGACCAAAAGGCACTGACACTCGACAGGTACGAAATCATTCTTCGACTCGTGGGAACAACAGCCTAGTTTGATTCAACAATGTTTGAGTATCACTGGAAACCCCTCGCGCAATTTACAAGTCTCAACAAAAGGGACTTTGTTTACAAAAGACTTGTATCCCATCTCTTGACGACTCTCAGCCGTTCTTCTACCTGTCTTCAACATCAGATTCAGCATACCTTGTACAACATGGGAATTTGCATGAGGCGTTACTGGACATGATTATAGTGTCTTGTGATTGAGATATCCACCACTCGATAGACTACCATTTTAATAATCAGAAAAGTCATTTGTTTGATGCTAATTGATCGAGGTGTCTTTAATTATGTCTGAACAATGGGGGTTTTTTTTCTGGCGTGACCCCGGGTGTCGGCGGATCATTTCTCCGGCCAGTCCCATGAATGTTTACACTTCCACTTATGGACTCCACTGTGGACAAGGACCCTTAGGAATCGAGTCGCATTTTCACCAACAAGTCTCCCAATTACTTGAGACCTTAAAGACCGAGACTTCTTGACGCACAATACTCGCATCGACCCCGGTTCAAACAATATCACCTCTCAACACAATGGCCGACGTCGACACCGACCCCGTGGCCGCCCTCGCGACTCTACGGGCTCACCAAGCATCACATCCTCTCTCAATCCTCAGTCTCGCCGAACCGATTCTATCTTCAACAAGGCCCAAAGACGAATCAACACGCTCAGAAGACTCCTCAAATCCCCCATCTAACACCAACATTACCGCACCATCACGCGCCTCCGTATCCAACAGCGACCTCGACTCGGACCCATTCCTCACGCCAGCATCCCTGCAAGCCGACCTAACACACTACAAAGACCTCTTCTCCAAACTCCGCTTCAGCTACCTGGAACAAGTCACAAAAGAGAAATACCTTCGCTCCATCGTGGGCGACCCACCCCTCGTGGTCACGCACGATGAGAACCTCGCACTCGAAACCCGACTCGCTGCCATGAAAACCCAAGTCAAAGCCCACAAAGACCAAGTCGACGCCTTGGTCCAAGAAATGGAAACCACCGCACGCGACCTCGCAACCAAATACCAAAAAGTCACCAACGGCATGACCGTTCTCGAACGCCTGCCCAATGAAATCGCCCATCTTCAACGCGACGTCGATGCGTTAGTTGCGGAAGTTAGTGAAAAACAACGTCTGGCTGGACGGAATGCGAGTGCTGATCCGAGAATGAACATGTCGTTGGAAGCGACGGAGACGGCGTTGGAGGAGCAGACGAGGAGGAATAAGGAGATTGATGACGAGATTGAGGCTTTGCAGAGACAGTTGCCGGCGCAGGTTAGACAGGTGGATAAAATGGATCGTGAGTTGGCGGATTTGGAGAAGAGGAGAAATGAAGCGACGAGGATTGCGAGGGATTTACAGAGGAGGAGAATAGAGGGTGGGAGAGATGATTTGGAGGATATGGGTAGGTGGTATAAATCAAGTGAAACGGTTTTGAGAGGGTTGTTGGGGGTGAACTGAAGTGAAGAGGAGATGATCATGATGATGAGTTGCTTGAGGGAAGGATTAGGTGGGTTTGGAACCTGGGCTCTGCGATTTGCATTTGTATTCGCGATGCTGTACGATTGAAAGATGGGATGATTGTATCAATGGAAGCGTTGGGCGGGTTAGGTTTATCAATAGCCAGGCGTTAGGAAAGTTTACAGGATTACGAAACAGATGACATGATTGTAACTTGATTTTGATTGCTTCTCATCTCGTCTTGAGAATTCCTCTCAAGACGTGGACCATTTTTCAGGTCTAATGGTATCTGAGTTGCATCACTTGGCAAGCCAAGCGTGAGTAGGACATCTGAGTGACTGAAATACAGACACTGTTTTTGAGTGATCGGCCAGGGATTCTGGTTGATTTTTTTGATAAGACGGCCATGATTTTGATATCTTGTTCCATCTCGAGGTTCAACCAGTGGCAACTTGTTGTCGTTCACGGTGAGACCAGACGAATAGGTGTACGATGTAGCTTCACGCACACATCTATTCCTCATCCTCAGCCTCATCATCACCACCATCCTCCTTGGACTCAGCAGCCTTGGCCTTCTTCCTCCTGACACGGCCGGGACGTCCACCACCGAAGGGCGAAGTCAGAGCGAAATCAATGTGTTTCTGGCTGTCGAGACGGACGATGAAGGAAGGGACGTTGACGATCTGCTTGCCGACACGGATGTGGCGTTGCTTGATCAGGACACGGGCGTGATGGATGGACTTCGCCAGGCCGAGCTTGTAGACACAGGTCTGGAGACGACGCTCCAAGAAATCCTCCACCTTCAGGGCCAACACGTAATCGAGCTTCATGCGAGACTCGTCGAGCACACCGACTCGCACGAGACGTCGAATCAGGGCATTGCCTTCGAAGAGACGTTTGGGGTCCTTTTCGTCGAGGGTGAGAAGTTGACTGTAAGATAGAAGGGTTTCATGGTTAGTAAAACGATTCATTCCCCATCTCGTCTCGTAGACTTGTGGTTTGGTGGTGATCAATCTTACCGAGCAGCACGTCGAATCTTGGACAAAGTGAGCTGGACACGCCAGACTTCACGCTTGTTGCGCAGACCATATTCACCGACGATCTTCAACTCGGAGTCGCTAGAAGGCGCAAGAAAAAATTGTTAGACAGAGGATCTCTCAGACATAAGCAGAGAAAAATCAAGCTCATGCTCAGTGGCCAGGAGATACGTACAGACGAGCCGATTCGAATGCTATTAGACAAAGTTGTTAGTATAAAGATCATTCATGACATTTTTTGGTGTCCTTCAATTCGTTTGTGCGCAGGGAGTTGCGACAACGAATTGCAAAGGGATGAGAGTTCACTTACGTCGACGAGGGACACTGTAGGTCTTGGAATAGGATCGTGGCGCCATGATTGCACTCGAAGATGTACAATCAAGTTGTCGTCACCGGTGTGTGGTTGTGAGAGAAAATGTGGTCGTAAACTGCGGATGAGGTTGGTGATGGTGGTTGTGGAATTGGGTCTTGCCCGTTTCAGGGCCAGGAAAAGTCTTGGCACACCAGTGGGTTTTTCTCTCCCACACAAATTCATCAAATGTGTGGTGAGTCTTGGCATTTTGGGCAAACTGCGCCTGGGCGGATAGGACAGACCTCACTCAATTCAAACCTCGTAGAATTCAATCTACAAAACGACATCCCACACCACTCCACCAACACTACCTTGACGCCGAACTTGTCAATCATTACAATACCGGCGAAATGGGTCACCCAGCAGGTCTTCGCGCCGGCACTCGATATGCCTTTAGCCGCAAGCATCGGGAAAAGGTATGAGAACGAAAGAAAGAGATGAAGCACAACCACCCATCCACGATATTGAAGAATATCTCAATCGCATACTCCAAAAAATGAATCAGATCAACATAACTAACCTCTCGTCTTTTTTTTCCAATAGGGCATGATCGCTCTCGGCACGTATTTGAAGACCTACCGAGTTGGAGATATCGTCGATGTCAAGGCCAACGGTGCCGTTCAAAAGGGCGTAAGCAAACCTCCAGACCTTCCCTACACAGCATTCCAACACACAAGAAACGAAATACATATCACACTTCCGCCTCGAATCTACGAAATCACCTTTGACTAACAAGGAATAAATATGTTTAGATGCCCCACAAAGTCTACCACGGCAAAACCGGTGTCGTTTACAACGTGACCAAATCCGCCGTCGGAGTCATCATCTACAAGAAAGTCGGCAACCGATATCTCGAGAAGAGAGTGAACTTGCGAGTTGAGCATGTTTCACATTCGCGATCAAGAGAAGAGTGTAAGACACCATACCGAGGGAGACAAAAGGGATCTTTAAAAAAAACTAACCTGTTCTTTTTTTTCCCGTCTAGTCCTCAACCGAGTCAAGTCCAACGCTGCACGTAAACGAGAAGCCAAGGCCAAGGGAGAAAGTGTTCAACTCAAACGTCTTCCTGTTGGACCTCGAGCTGCGCATACGATCGAGTTGACGGATGTGGAGAGTTTGGCTCCCCAGCCTTATGATACTCATATCTAGATTGCGTTTCATCTTATCTTCCCGATGCGATGTGGATTCAGGATCGACGTTACGTTACGTTTTTGCGCCCATGTTTGCGATGGGGACGGCACCGACTGTGTGATGCACATGGAAGCAAGGGAGAATGAAGGAGAGGAGATGAAGACTTGACTGGTTGATTGGTTGGTTGGTTGATATGATGAATATTCCAACCAAAGTCATGCAACTATTCAGTCATTTCATGTCTATGGAATGCTGGTCGCATGGGTCTGATCAGTAGTGATGGGCTGGGGGATTGCAGCCGACATGAACTGGCATATTGAAGTCTACTTTCGATAGGTCGGGTTGGTCTCGAGTAAATCAAGCCAAAACTAGCACACAAACACACAAGTGTTGCCCAGTCCTTGTGAGATGGGTTTCATTGTGGTGCGAAAAATGATAACTACGTTTCATTCATCATGAGAACGAGATTGATCACAGTAGTAGTGTTATGCTGTGTTGAATTGTGTTTGTTTGTGACTCTTGCTACAGTATGTTCATGCCTCGCGGGTCATGCTCAATACCATGTAGGTCATGTCCCAGGGTCCTGTTCTAGCACGTGAAGTCGCCATCATCGTCATGGTCCAAGCCTCCCAGGTAATGGCCTAAGGTCCTGTCCTGTCCTGTCCTGTCCTGTCTTGTCCTAGTACGTGAAGCCGCCATCATCGTCATCTCCAAAATCATAAACAGTCTCTGATGGACCGTTCTGTTCTGCTTTTTCTTCCAAAATAAGAGTTTCAACCATTTTCTCAGTTGCAAGAAAAATGTCCTTTTCTTCGGCAACTGTGTCGACTTCTTGTGCTGATGCTGTGGTGACGGCAATGACAGCCTCAGCTTCACTCTCCTCCGTTCCGCTGTTAACCTCATTCACCTCCACTGCAACCTCCAATCCCTTCGCAGCCTCTTCACTGTTGACCTTGCACAACTCTCTCACTACCAAATGATGAGGATCAAAGTCCTTCATCAAAGTCCAGAATGCAAAGTCATCACCGGAATTCTTCGCTTCGTTGAACGCGGTTTCATATGCAACTCGAGCAGCAGGCTCAAGCTCATTCAGTTCTTCATCCGATAGAGTGCACTTGGCGACCTTCTCAAGGACTTCTTGCAGAATCCAGGGGAAACTGATGAAAGGAGGATGGGTGATTTCTACCTCTTGCTCTTCCTCATCACTACCCTCGCTGGCATCCTCCGACTCCCAAGCCTCCAAAGCTGTCTTCACTTCAGTATGTGTGACATGGTATGCAGTCACGGCATAGGGGGCCAGTTTGGCGAATTCTCGAGAACCTGCTTCAGTACAAAAGGCTTCGTAGTATTGCTCTTTCAGCGTCTTGGAATGATTACCGATTTCTTCATGAAATTTAAAGTCTCCAAATGCTTTACTGTGGGACATGACAAAGGTTGACCAGACTTCAAACTCTGTCTGGATCTCGTGTTGAGTCATGACTCTTTGCATAGATTGATCGTATTGGAGTTTGAGTTCCTTGACAAAGTTCACAATGGCATCTTCAGGAGGGTGCTTTAGGATTCTCGGATCGAAAGCGTCGGACAACTCAGGGGCATAGTTGACCTTCTCAACGGCATCATACAACTTGCCCAAGATCTTTTTCGAATGATACGATGGTCTGCCTCTCTTCTCCATGAAGTGTGGCCAGGTATTTCGTTCCAATGCCCGAGGCATTCTAGCAGGAACCCCAGTTTTTGGATAGTCGACAGCCATGGAATGAAGCGCCAACAGGTCTAGACATGGTTTGCTGCAAATACCATCGTCCAAAAAGTCTGCAGCTGCGAGATGTGCATGTGCGATGCGACCAAGAAAATCATTCTGCAGGTAGTCGCAGAAGAAATTGATAATGTCATCGTTGGTAATGAGATCTCTGGTGACCGGGGTTGGGGGATCATAGTGGAAAGCCTCTGCTGTCCACTCCTTTGGTATCAATTCAGGATCCCAGCAAACCACATAGTCATCTCCGTCCAAGTCACCGCCAGAACACATGCTGGGCAAATCGCGATCACCAATGCAAGGCATGACGACAACATCACACATATGGCGCAACTGGGGGTTATCGACGGCCATGACCACCCTGACGTCTCCACGGTGTAGGGATGGGTTTCGAGCAACGAAGCAAACGCCTTGAACCACTTTCCGCTTTTGAGTAGCAGGATCAGTATATTGAAGAAAGATCTGAGGAAGCATTGCCTTTCTCTGGTCTTGGGAGAGAGGCTCGTCCAGCTCATCCTTCGAGTGTTCAACGTGGCCACGCAATGTCTGTGTTTCGTCCACAACGCCGAGAACAAATGCTCCCTTGGCAATGGGAATTTTGGCCTTTTCTTTGAGGTATTTGAGAGTCCAGGCACGGTAAAGTTGGAGCAAGGAGCTTACAAAAGGCTCTTTTGTACGTCGGAATCCGTGTTCCACCAGGGTGGAAATACTCAAAGTCGCCAGATTTGGATCAACATTCTCTCGCAAAGCACGCATAGCTGCAGCATCATCTACAAGGGCCTTATTGAGAGCTTCAATGCAGTCCTTTTGTTTGTTGAGGAAGATGTGGTCGGGAACGCCAAGGTTTGAAAGGACCAGGATCAACTGACGATTGAGGGTGCTCTGGGAATACACCGAGACACGGATGATTTCGAGTTCAGTAGAGGAACTCTCGAACTTGAACTGGCTCGGACGAAGTCTCATATCCAATCCGGAGAGGCTCTTGTCAATAGCAAGAACTCCTTTGCAGCCAGCAAGTCGGAATTGGTACGCGGATGGTGCTGGACCGGGATGTTTGAGCTCTTGCTTGATCAACTCGGCGGCAAATGGAGAGATCTTTCCAACGCCGTCAGTGAAGGTATAGCCAAAGCTGACGATGTCACCGATGACTTTTGATGACCACTCGTGTGTAGGGGTGATTAAAGAAATGGCTCTGGTGGTGGAGAAACATTGACCCATCCGGGCAGCTCGCTTAGCAACAACTTTCTCATGATCAAACGTACCCATGCTTTCACGAATGGTATCGATAGTGATACTTGAGGTAGGTGCAAAGAAATGTGCGGCGTGGTCTCGAAGTTGAGAGTTGCCCCAGGCGAGGAATTGATAATGACGTCCAGCGATGACGATACCATGCTTCATGGTGCGATACACTCGCTTGAACACGTTGATCATTTTTTTGTTCGTGGAAGGATACAATCTGGCCTGACCGCGATAGACATCATCTTCGAAGCGAACTCTGAGGAAACGATCGGCGTAGCGCTGATATTTCCGAATGACTCGGTTTGCGATCTCCACCGTGGGAGTGTGTAGAACAATACCGGTTGCGGTGACTGTGGCCGAGTAGACCTCGACACAATAGGGTGGAATGGTGGAGGCTCTGACAGGTCTAAGATACCGGAGATCCTCAAAAATGTCACAAGGGTCATAGACACGTTGTTGGTGAGCGTCGACATGGATCAAGATCTGTTTGGCACGGCGTTCAGGCAGCGCGATGAGTTGCTGCAAAAAGGACTGGCCGATGAGATATTCATTTAACCAACCGCGGGTGATGCAGACCTCGAGTTGGTATCTCAGTTCAAATGACAAGGAGAGTGCAGACATCTGATCGGTGAGGGACTCGACGGTATCTCCCGCGTCGAGTAAATCCCAGAGAGGCGCCTCGTACAGTTGACCTTGTTCAAAGGTGAAAGTATCGTCACGAAGCACGTGGACGTTGAAAGCTTCCAGAGCTTTGAGGAAATGGTCAAGAGTCATGGATGACTGGGGTTCCTCTTTGGGAAGTAAGGTAAATCGAAAGGCCGTCCAGCGTGCAATATTGATGGCGTTGAGCTCCTTACGGGTTGAGATGGGAAGGCGATTGATCTTGTCGATGGTGCTTTTCTCGTCGACGATATCGGTCTGACGAGACCAAGTGTCCTCGATATTCCATGTGAAGGACTCTAGGTCATGGCTTAACTGCATGGCATCTTGGAGTTTTCTGGAATACCAGGGAGGAGTCTTAACATGGAGAATGAGTGAGGTCTTGGAATCGCAGGTAGACTGGCAGATGAAGAATGGGTCATTGAGAGCGATGTGGAAGCGATACTGTCTGTAGACCTGCTTCGGGGTATTGTCTTGATTGACAGAGTTGATGAGGAAGGGAAAGGAGATTGTGAGTTCTTTTTTGGACGGATTCAAGGCAAGTCGAATCTGGGACTGATGGCGTTGTCTCTGGACCGACTTCATGACAGTCATGGAAGTGCTTGTTTTCAGGTAGCCGAAGTCAAGACTTTGGCCGCGAATAGTCATCTCGGTGGGAAACGTGACAGCAGGCTGACCGTGGACGGGGTGGATGTAGGTTGTGGGTGGGGGTCTTTGCTTAAGGTAGTTGACAAAGACTTTCCAATTGTGAATCACCTCTTTCTCCTTTCCTGTTGCAGGATCGGTCTCTGCTCGTTTGGTACGGAATTCAACTCCAGTTTGGCAATATGGTCGCTCCCACGGGACCTTTGTCCGCGGGGGTGGTTTGAAGGTGACAATTGCAGTCGGGGCGAAGTCTCCTTGACGGGTCTGTTCAATCTTGATGAAGTCTAGATTCCCAAATTGTGAGAGGTTCTTTTGGATGTCCCACGTTGTAGTGCCGTGAGGCAGATTGGGGATTCGAGCTTTGACTGAAGGCCATTGCTTCCACTCATCATTAGAGGGGGTCGGAGGCTGAGAGCTATGAGATTTGTAGTCTCCGCGGTGTCTATTTCTATTCCGATGAGATTGAGCAGGCCCCTTTGGTGGGGAACGGGGACGTGAGATGTCCATGATCAAGGTTCAAGGTTTGATGATCAAGATCTTCGGTACAAGACCTAAGTGATCAAGCTTTGTGAGTGAGAGATCTCTGAGAAAGACCAATCACTCTACATCACCTCGGCCATGATCCAAAACGACAGATAGAGGACAAAGAAGAGAATCCTGAAGAGGAATCAAGAAGTTTAAATTGACAGTAGCAGATGAGGTTCCTGCCAAGCGTCAGTCATGAGTCTGTGAATGTGAAGAGGAGTCTTTTGAAGCGACTCAGAAGAGAGGAAGAAGGAGGGGAAATGTCATTAAGAAGTCTCAGAAAGAGAGGATCATGACACAGAGAGGAGTAATATGACGGTGGTTTGTGTGTTGTTTGTTGTTAATACTGAGAAACGGATGAGTCGTCCAGAAGTAAGAAGAAGAAGGGTGATAGGACCGACATCGACATGGTGAAGAGTGGCAATCCGGAGCTTGTGCTTGAGTCTGAAGTCTGAGATCTGAGACCTGAGACTGAGATTGACACGCTGATTGGATGAGAGTCTCTCTTTCTCCCTGTGTGGGTGAGGAGATCTTGAGATCTTGAGATCCGTCACAATTGAGGCAGGCGGAGGTGAGGCGGTGGCGACTTAGACGCCTCGATAACGCACCAGAAACACCAGACACATGTGCGATTTGCTTCTGGACGTGATTGGAATTAAGAATCAGACACAGGCAGATGGTTTTGTTGTTGTTTGCGCGTTTGGATCGTCCGTCTGGTCTGGTGCGGCAAGGACGAGTGTGAGTGCCAAGCGTTGATATCAGAAGGAGCGGATGTGATTACACTTGCTTTCTATCTCAACCTCAACCTCAACCTCAATCTCAATCTCAAACCCCACATATATGTCGTCTTTTAATGTGATTCATGTATATATATAAAATGTGTTCCGCAAGCCAACCTTGTTCAACGTCTCTCGTTGGAAAACGGACTGGCTTGGCAAACAAAGAAGATCGATCCACATCATGATTCAAGCACTTGAAGGAAGTAATTGATAATCACTCGGATGAAAAGGATTGGGTGTGACCAAAAGGTCTACAGATACGTCGGTAAATATACTCAGCCAATCATCTTGGTCATTGAAAGTAAAGCACGGTACATATCTTATCATCTTCGGCCAGCAACGGGCTCACTTGTTTGACCTCATTCCATTCTTTTCTCTTCCAGAAGACAAGCCGGCAGTAACAGGACGTTCAGCCGTTTGCTTCGGCGTGTCAAACACCAAACGACTGATTGTGGTCGTACCGTTCACAACGCTTAAACCAGGTAGGTGTTCGACTCACAACCCAAACTAGGTATCCTCACATCCTCACACGACATGATGAGTGTCAGGATCTCCACACGCCCAAAACCATCTCGTCCGCTCACATCTCTGTCATCCTTGAGGTTGTAAGATGTCCAAGAGTCTCTTCTCACGTCCATTGGCCGCAGCAAGGTATTGAGACATTTTCTCCGCCTGCTCTTCAAGATCCGTGACGTGTGCTTCCGACTTCTGGTATCTTTCCTCCAATGCCCTGAGCCTCGAGGCTTGTTGGCTGATCTCCTCCTCCCGCGTAGATATCTCCTGGACATGTCGTTGTTCGCGTTCTTGTAACAGCCTATTCTGCTCTTCCATCCTGACCGTCAGTTCAGCACGAGAAGTCTCCATCAATTCCCTTTCCTGCTCCTCCATCTTGATCGCCAACTCGGATTCATACTTCATCGCCAATTCTCTCTCCTGTCTAGCCATCTCCTCCTGCTGCCACGACACTTGTTCTTCAAGCTCGATGATCGACTCCTCTAGCCTCTCCCTCATCTCTTCCTCGAGCAACTTCTCGCCCCTCCGAGCCAATTCCTGAGCTTCATTCTCCTCGTGAGCATCCTCGACTTCAGCCTCTAGGCGTGCAACGCGTGCAGCATCTTCGCGGCGCCCTTGTTGTAGAGCTTGTACCTCGTGAGAGTGCTGCACCTGCTGCGTTTGCCGCTCACGTCTCAATGTCGAAGCAAGTCCGGCAAAGCCGATAGCACGTCGTGTTTGATATGCTCGATGTTCACGAGCCCTAGAGAACTCGGACCTTAGATGCTGATGCAATTCTTGGAGAGTGCCAAACTCTGTTCTCACATCGTCCAAGGTACGTTCAAGCTCCGCAACTTTGGTTCTTTCTGCGGTCAGTGGTTTTTCAATATTTTCACATCGTTCTCGTAAGATGTGACATCTTTCCTCAACATGCAACATTGCAGCAGCCTGGATTTCGGCGCAGGCAGCTCGAAGCTCTTGGCTCAGGGATTTGGGGATATTGGCCAAGGGTGTATTGTTCCCAACTGGGAGACTTTTGACAGTCGACGGCAGCCACTGACAGATATTCCAGCTTCTTTCGGGCGTCGCTTGGTCGAGCTGTAATTGTGCCTCCGCATCTGCTCTTTCGTCAAAATTGCTGTGTCCTACAAGGTCGTTGAATGTTCTCGAGACTCTGATGCAAAGTCTCTGTCTCCTGGACTCGACGATGTGAGGACAAATTCCTAACCCTGCGCAGTTCTTAGGCCGACCTGGTTTTGAATTGTTTACTGCCCACCATTCTGGGAATCCAATGTCGCGGACGATGGTGCAGAAGGATCGGCCCGAGAAACCAGAGGGCTGCTTTGACGTGTGAGAGGCAAGGGCAGACATGAAGAGGAGTGCCCATTCAGTACCAATCGACTTTTGGAGGGTGATGAGTGACGGGTTGGCCAGATTAAAGATGACAGGAACCAGCTTCCCAAAAAAGGAAGACAATCTGGCCGTGCCATGACCATGTCCTTCTACCGCCTGCATCATAGCCACCATCTGACCTAGGAATATTTTGGGTTCTGAAACCTCACTCGGGCAAATGAAGTCCTCTTGTCGAAGGAGAGACAGAAGAATCGGCTCCACGGTAGCAAACATCTGCCACTGTTCTGTTTGCGAGGCTGATTCAAAGGCCGACGCGAGAACGCAGAAGGCATTGATCCTCATCAGCGGCGAAATGGAGACTTCCAACATCTTCTGACTCAATTTGGCGGCTGCAATCCCGGAATCTTTGTTCCATTCAGATACACTGGGTCGGTCCAGGGAGGCCATGACGTGTCTTCCCATCGCCACCATTTCAGCATGTTCGCCGGAGGAATACGAACTGGAGTCGACAACGGCTTTGAGGGAGCGAAGAAAGGTTGCCTTTGCAGTACTAGGTCCTTTGGGCAACTTGAAGAATTCGTGTGCGAGGGCAATCCAAGTTTCCAGGATTGGTGGCAGACTCGGACGAGGATGATGCTGGTGGTGCGGGTGGAATGGGGGATTTTCGTGCAGCTGGTCCCAGAACTGGGCTAGAGAAGAGGCGATGTGGATAGATGTCATGGCCTCATAATTATCTCTCGACTGCATCTGGACCTTCCAGTTTGTATATGCCTTTTGCAGGACCTTTTCATCAACGTTGGATAGTGTTTCGAGAGGCTGCGACTCCAGCACAAGCTTGACAGCGCGATTCCAGACCGAGGCTCTACAGCCAGCCTTATTTCCTAGAATTCCTGTGACAAGGTTGGCCAATTCGACCGGAGCATAATTTTGATATGGCAAAGTCGCCAAGAGAACTTCAAATTGAGCATCCGGTAAACTGGGCTGAGAAAGAGACTGGGTAGCATCTCTGGACTGCCAGGAAGTGCTACTGTCGGAGAGATCGTCGACTGGATCCTGGAAGGCGAGATCCTGGATGATGGACAGTCTATATTTATCCTGTGCGGTGCTGAGCTCAATAGCAATCTGTGGGTTTTGGGACAATTTTCGCAGGATTGGAAGGACGAGGTCATGGTCATGGTATCGTCTGACCAGGGAATATATCAGAGGTTTGATCTGACATTGCTTGCATGTCACCCATGTTGCTAGGAGTGTTTGTCGGCAATCCTTGTTGAGGATGTTGAGAAGTGGCTGTAAGGAGTTGGTCAATTCAAAAGTTCGTGATCTCAGCCGTGACTTTTGACTTACTTTCAGTGGTACCTGGACTTTACTTGTGATGATGGATTCAAGTTCTTGAGTAAGGTCTGTGAGAGACTGAAGCAATAGATTTGCAACCATGGTGAGCGTTGCATTTGTCGCAGTCATCGCAGTCATCGCAATCAGTCGCAGCACGATCATCTGGAGGGGTACTTTTGGATGGAATCAACCCCACCACAGAAGACCAAAGACGCGAATTCACGCGTCATGAGGATATTTCTCATGATGCGGGCACTTACGATGGTTGCCCTCGCAACAACCATTGTTACTGTTACCTTTGGAGGGGTAGCCATGACATTCACTTCAGTAGACGTGACCTTATGGACTGTCAAGTCTGACAGTGAAGGGTGAGTTCTGTCATATTTTCAAGATGCCAAATTGTAAGCATACCAATTAAGCGTCAACATGAGGTTTGAGAAAGGTGAAGAGATTGTTAGAGGCAAGAATCAAAGAAGAAAGTGAGTCTCGATTCTGGAATTGTGGTGAAAATGAGAGTTTCAGCGACGTGTTCCTCCCGTAGGCGCAGTTCGCAATTCTTCTTCAACCTCTGATTTCAGCATCCTATCGACATTCATTGATCAAATAAGGATACACTTATATCCCATTCCCATTCCCATTCCTCCTTATTTCTCCGGCACTTTAAAACTCACCAACCCATCCACCGGACTCAAAATCTCAAACCATCTCGGTTTAACAAACCAACTCTCCGTCGTTGCCAAATAAGGCTGATAATACTCCTTTTGTAATTGAACATTCATCAACCAATCAGTATCCTTGGACCAACCCTCGAACCAACTGATAGCTTCAGGTTCTTGTGGATTTTTGGTAATGACAAAGAATCGACATTCGGGTTCGGCCACTACAGCGTCGTAGACGGGGCGCATCAAGTGGAAGAAGTCTTCGTGCTTTTCAACGGGGATCCAGACTTTGACGGATAATACGATGCCAGATGATGTGAGGCTGGAGGAGAGGGGGATGGATGGTGATGACATGATTGAGGAAAGGGGTTTTGAAGTGAGGTGAGGATAGAGGTTGTAGTGGTCCTCAGTCTGTATTCTCGTAGATGTGTAGATTTATATCCTAAAGTGGGTTTATGACTGATTCTCAATGACCTAGACTTCAATATATATATACATGTTTGTAAATACTCTCGTATTGCCCTCCCTGTTTCGGCATCGCTCCCTGTTGTTCTCACGTCACTCACGGATGGCACCACACCAAACACATGGCTTTCCTGGCTACAAGGTTTTCCATCTACATACCTTTGCTTACACATTCAACGACAAAACTCTTAATATAAGACGCCTGACCGCTTGGCAAGAACAGGGGGAGTTCAGTAACCCCCCGAACGCCCACACCATGACAGGGACCATTGACCGTTCGCCATTCATGCATTTATGTAGTAGTTTCTCATCTAGATCATCTACTAATCTATCTCTCAATATTAAGTCGAATCATCTTATCCGGATTCAACAGACAAAGAGGATCCAGAGCCAATTTAATCCGTCTCATCATATCGACACTATTCTCACCCAGTTCTTCAACCACCATATCTCGATATTCTAGACCGATACCATGTTCTCCGGTGACGGTACCGCCCATTTCAATGGCTAATCGCTGTACCCACGTGATGATCTCGCGAGCTTTTTGTTTCTGAGCGGGTGGGTAGAGGACGGCGGTATGGAAATTTCCTGACGAATAGCAAAGAGCAGCGTTAGCATCAGCGTTAACAATCAGGTCCAATTCCAGTTCCACCTGACCAGGGATATCAAGGTTAAAGGAAAGGTCAAGGTTCAATTCTTACCGTCTCCTACATGACCCAAGCATGATCCCACAAACCCGCTGTCGTTGATCTTCTGCTTGACCAAATCGAACGCTTCACCCAGACAAGACAGAGGCACTGCCGTATCTGAGCTGAGGAATTCATCCGTCGGATCGTTCTTGAGCGTGAGTGTACTCCAAAGCAATGTCTTCCTCGCCGCCCAGATAGCTTCAGCCTCTTCGGCCGAGTTGGAGAATTGGAAATCACGACACCCAGATTCTCGTGCCAGTTGTTGCACTTTTTTAATCTGAGCATCCACCGTCGCTTTGTCGGATCCGGCAAATTTGAAGAACAGGGTCGGGACTTCTGGGTAGGTTTTGTCACAGTAGCCACCTTGGTTGACAGCTCTCATGGATGTATCGTCGAGGAGTTCCATTGCGGCAATGGGCATATCGCTTTGAACGACCTTGACGGCGGTTTCCACTGCTTTGGAGTTGCTGGGGAATGCGGCCACGGCTACTCTTTCGTTTTGGGGCTTACTGGTTAATTTGAGATGGGCTTCGGTGACGAATCCGAGTGTGCCTTCGGAGCCGACGATGATTCTTGTCAGGTCGTATCCTGAGCTTGATTTTCGAGGTCGACCACGGGTTTTGACGATGGTTCCATCTGCAAGAACAAGGGTGAGACCGAGGACCCAGTCCTTCATGGTGCCGTATCTGAAGGCATTGGTGCCACTGCAGCCTTGAGCGCTAGAGGTAAATTCATAAATCAGTAGATTTCTCGACAAAAGTTAAAGAATCACCCACATCATACCACCGATCTGAGCACCCGGCCCTGGATCTGGTGGGAAGTAAAGACCCTGACTGGCGAGTTGTGCGTTCAAATCCACGTATCCCACACCAGGTTGCACCGTGACATCTAAATCACTTTTCCGTACCTCGATGACATTATTCATCAATCTAAAATCAATGCATACACCACCTTGAGTTGCCGCCAGAGTTCCCTCGAGACTTGTACCTCCAGAAAAGGCCGTCATGGGAATCCGTCGACGGTGACATATCTTTGCAATCGCACTGACTTCTTCTGTGGTTTGGGGACTGACAATGATGTCGAATCTGTCAAGATCACCACGAGGAGCTGCTGACCATTCGGTACTAGAGTGTGATATTCTAGCGCCTAGGTCGAGATTTACCTGTTCGGCGCCGAGGAGTTGGATGAATTCCTGGGTTGCGGCGTTGAGGTTGTCCGGTGTGGTGTTGTAGACTGCACGAGGCATGTCTTGTAGTGGACAGGTCGAGGCATAGTCAGTCTGCTTGGATTTGGTGGTCGGCTTCGAAGCTTGCATATATGTGATGGCTGTGCTGCTGAGTATCGCGCTGATGGCGCCGAGGCCAAAGAGCCATGCTGGTGAGAGACGGCTTGTTCCTGTGCCTGGAGATGTAGATGTTGAAGTTGTGGATTGAGGTCGCCACTGCTGTCGGACGTATCGAGGGAGTGTATTGCCCACTGGTGTCGACTTTTGTAGCCTTGTGAAGGCGGTGCCAACTGTTCGTTTGAACATAGCTTGGATAAGTTGCTTCCCTGGTGATGGCGGCCAACGTTCTTCGTCTCGGCCAATATCCGCTGTCCCCTCCTCACTTCACCCGTTGGGTCCTTCTGGATTGACTGCGACGAATTGGACCAACACCTATCAAGCCATGGATCCAGTATGGGGAGTTCAACATCGAAAGCAATTCTGGATTAAGGAGACGGGTGGTCAACTCTCGGCCAAGCTAAGAAGCTTGGATATCGATGGAGCCGAGGAAGCCTTTGTGGTCGTGGCCCCCGCCTTCTAACATGACCACGTACGAGTACTGTGATAGGTAAAGATTTAAATGCTTTACTTAAAGTTCGGGGGCTCTATGGCCGGACCCGGTGCCTAACCTTAACTGGAACCTGGGAAGATATCCCCCAGAACTTCTCCAATTCTCTCATACGGTACTCATTCTGTTGTCTGTACATTACACTCATTCCACCATGAGAGTTTCCCCAGACCCCGTCCATTTGACATTACTCAATGAAAAAATAGTTCTCTAGACGTTGTGCCAAATGCACACAAGGAGTATCAACCACCCTCATAAAGATATCCGCCGCCCACATAACTGCAATTACAATGAAAGCCGAGGCTTTGAGAAAAGCAAGCTGAAAATCCCATAAAGCTTCCGGTGTTTCCACCTTTGGAGATAGTGGTAGGATCTAGAACAGTGTTAGTGGATGACCAATCAACTAAACTGCCGACATAGATAGCTATTCACTCACCATGTATCCCAAAGTATGGATGATTGGACCATGCATGACGTAGAGAGGGAAGCTGATTCTGCCTAAATATTGGATTGGCCTCCAACAGAAGACTCGGTCCCTGAGTATATCAAGATTGCAGATTGTCCAGACAAGCAGTGATGCACCGACGTTGGGCCAGAATCGATGCTTCTGAGTAAACGACGCTGGGATCCAGTAATTGAGTGTCATATAGCCCGGTGTAGCGTGACCACCAGCGTCGGGGAATGAAAGAAGGTAAAGAGAGACAACGAGTATGATCCAGCACATGTTACTTCTCAGCCGTTCGAAGCGACGGTGGTTGGTATCTGCACGAGAGTCCACCTTGTCATGAGCGAGTCCGGGATAGGAGAGCAAGGATCTGTCCGTTCCTGGGGACGATTTTGTTCGGATCAGATCCAACTCAGCTATGGCCATGCCCGCCCAGAATGGCCACATATCCCATCTATTCCATGAGATTCCCCACACAATCAGGGCGGCAATAGTTGACAGTCTCAAGCGACTCGACATTCGAGCCACCAGCAAATGTGTCATGAACAACACCATGCTGCATCTGTACTCGACAGGAATAGTCCAGAGATGGCGATCGAGCTCGATGGAGCCAGAATAGAGCGACCAGTCAAACACATTGACAAAATTTTGAATCTGCTCAAGGTAGTCGGTGAGTTGGTTCCACAAGTCCGGCTGTGTGTAGCAATGGTCCTCCTTTATTCCACGCATTTGCTTCGAGAAGGCTTCTGTTTGCTTGTAGAGATCAAGCTGCGCCAGACAAAGCACCATGAAAGTCGACACAAAGCAGGGGAAAAATAATCTGATGCCGCGCCGAAACATCGAGGAACTGGTGTTCTTCATCAGAGCCTCATGTTGTTGGGCGTGCATCAACTTGATCGGTTTGAAAGATAGAGCAAAGCCCGAGACGACAAAGAAGATGGCGACCATGGGTGGGCCGGAATATAAGAGGCGCACGATGGGAAGTCGCAATATGGAGTCGTTGGTGTTTTCGACCGAGGTCGATCTTGACGAGCTGGCTCTAGCCCCATATGCGTGTCCAACGTCGAAAGAGCCATATGTGAGATGGCAGATGAATACAACAAAGGCGGCGAGACCACGCATGCCATCGAGGAATATGGTGGAGGAAAGGCCGACACCTCCATCTTGTCCGGATTTTGGATTGATATGTAAGAAGCTTGGAGATAGCACACTCAAATATCGAATCAAACATCTGACCAAGAGTCTGATCTGGGAGATAAGAGTACGGGTGAAGATGCCGCCCGTGGTGGTGACATGACTATGGCCATGTTCTTCGTCCGAGTATAAAGGATGCTTCTCATCAAAGTATAATTCTGTGGCAATATCGACACTGCACCTGGATGAACCTGACCTTGAAGAACCCATGTTGGGAGGGAGTGACTGAAGAAGGAGAGAACGGGTCTCCCTTTGTCAGAGTGTGAAAGTCACACTATCAGGATGAGCGAGATCGGAACAAGACTCATTTGCCCATCTTCCCAGATTCAGATGCACGGATTACCTAGTTCTTCAGTCATTGGGGAGCCTCCCCCAGGACCACTTCACTGTTCCTCCTCGGGGCATTGCTAGGAGTTTCCGACAGGTCTTACCTTTTTGTGGGAACCATTCTCCACCCGAACCATGGGGATGTCGATCACGCATGGTGCCGTGGCATGTCGCCATCACTGGGAAGCGAGGACGGATGCGAACTCACAGTGAGTCTATCGTATCTTGGCTCTGCAAAGCAAGTACGGAGTACGAGTACAGCCCCGTTGCAGTCATGACAAGGATGCCACGAGAAGACAGTATTGATGTTCAGGAGAGGAGTCGAGAAGATAGAAACACAATGGTGTGGATCTCGAACTTGAAACAAGGCTGACCCGTTGGACCAGCAGTTCTGTGCTCTAAAGAGTACAGAGTTTGCAGGATTCTCGGCCCACGGGATTCAAGCCCTGCGACAATCATGCAAATCTCATGTGATAGACAGTCAAGTTTGACTTGTATGTCGATCTGTTTCATCTGACGAGGCGCCTTGACGCGTTGACAGGCGTTGACCAAAAGAAGAATGTCTGCCGAGTGGGGAGCCTTGTCTCTATCATTTCAGTACCACGTGATATCTGGTTGTTGGCGACATTGTCTTCATACATAATTGTATGCCTAGAGTAGAGGACACTGTAATGCTTTCGCTATACCTTCTCCTCATATCTATCAGGCCCTGCTTATTCGACTCCGCTGATCGTAATCATCTTCACTACCAGAGTCGCGTCTGTGGATAATCACCTGAGGATGTTGAATATCGCCTGGCGCACTTCGATGGTGATATACTCGTGGCCGGAATGAAGGTGGAGGGCGGTCCTCCGCAATGATCAATGAGGGCCTCTCACGCTCAACCTCACGTTCGCGCTCATAGGGCCGCCGTATTTCTTTTAGTTCATTTTCCCTAACGACATCATCCATATGCTGGTCGGTGCGGATGACAAGCGGCGGAGCTGGTGGTGCTGGGCCAGGACCCTTAGGACCAGGGACAGGGCGACCGGTGCCATATAACGAGTCGTCGTCGCTGTCATCTCGAACGTTTGGTTGACGCCGATTACGCTCTTTGAACCTCACGTACTGTGCACGTTCGGGACTGATGTGTTTCTCGTCCTGGTAGAATGCCGAAGGGTACTCAGAATGTCGTCGTTCTCGCTCTCGAGCTCTGTCGTATGGTCTCGTCGGATATGGCTCGAATCTCGAAGCCTGACGGTAGCTGCCTGGTTCAGGATAATAGCTGTGTGACCTACTTCGGACATAAGGGTCTTCGTAGCCAAAGGTGCGTGGTCCATGGGATTGCCCTGCCATCGTTGACCCCAGGAGACTGGTCTCTGCTTTCAAGCGACTGCCTTGTCTCCGAGACATGGACTTTACCAGTATTTCGTCCTCCTCTTCGCTGCGCTCACTTGCACTAGACTCGACCATAGTCCGCCGACTGAGGGTTTCACGTTTGCGGGCTTCACTTCTGCGACGACTGTTCCCACTTTCGTCTCTTCGGACAAACTCATCTCCACTGTGATCGCTCCCAGCCTCGTCGTCCTCGAGAGGGACAGCAGGCTTCACCTTTGGCGCAAAGATTGGTTCCCGGGTACCTTCAGGCAAAGGCACCACGCGGACACCATACTCCTCTTCGATGATGCTGCACATCTCCAGAATATCATCCATTTTATCATCCTCATGTTCTTCCTGAGCAGAGGGCTCATGATGAGTGCCTGAACTTTGACGCAATTCATGGCGATATCGACGTCTCTCGTTACGGGAGGCTGCTTGCTTGGCTTCGAGTTCGGCGGCCGCGGCATCTGCCTCGGCCTGTATTTGCTCCAGGACCATTCGTCGTCGTGCTTGTAATTGTTCACGAGACATGTCCAACCCCACAGTCCGGGATGAGGCTTGACGCATCCGAGGTGACTGAGCCCTCCGAAACCGACGTACCGAAGCGTCACTATGGTCATCATCTGGATGGAGAGCTCCGGATGCAGTGATGATGGGTGGGGAGGGTGGAGGAGACGGGGTCGGAGATCGTGGAGGACGACGACCTGGGCCACTGGAATCGGATCCGTCACTCAAAGGAGACCCAGATTGTCGCCCAGGAGGCCTGATCTCTATTACTTGAGGTCCAGATCCAGACGAGGGAGTATCTGGTGCAGGCAGAGCCAGGAGTGGCCGTCGTGGATAGTCGCCATCAGTATCGGATGTCCTTTCCAAGTCCACAATCTCGACTCGTGATGCTGATGGCTTACTGGTCGACTTTTTGCGGACCAGATACATTCTGTCACTTTTTCGCCCTCCCGATCCAAGAGGGGCTCGAGACCTGGATCGGGAGCGTACTCGAGTGGTGGTTTTGGTCGTCTTAGTAAATTTTTGCTTGCCTCCTGTACTGCCAGATCCGCTCGGCCTCGAGTTGAAGGGAGCACCGCCATTCATCAAGTGTAAAGCATATGCAATGATCTCCTCCTCGAGGTCCGGCGTGAGATCTGTCCTGCGGGCAATTGCTTCTTTGAAAGCGAGTTGCCTTCCCACTGCCTTCCAGTCACGAAGTGGATCAACCACAATGACAGGGGCGCCGCCATCTGGACCTGAACCTCCTCCTCTGCCACCACCAGAGCGACCACCACCACCACCTCCTCCACCTCCCTTCCCACTACCACAAGCACAACTGCAGCCACCACTCCCATGACCACTCAGCTGCATCAAAAAGCCAACATTCACCAAGCCAATATGCGTCAAGCTCGTCAAGTAGATGTTGACGCTCTGGGCAGGCAACACTAGCTTGTCTCGAAAAGCCTGCTTATCGGCCATAGCAAACCAATACTTGGCCCATGTCTTTGCAACAATCTGCTTCAAACGCATTCCGAGCCTCCTCCAACCCCTGCGTCGGAGTCCATCCCTTCCAAGGTCCTTTTCTACCAATCTCCAACACTTTGCAATGAATTCATTCAGCTCCTTCATGTTAAGTCGGGTGTTCTTGACCAGGGTCTCTAGATCGGTCGCCTGGTCAGCGGTGATGTATTTGTACAGTGCATCGCGGCAGGAAGGGGAGTTGAGAGAGTTGACGCAGATCAAAAGGCATTCGGCCTCGGCTCGGAGACCGACAAAGTCGTCTTGAGCTGATCGAATGTCGTTGGCAAAGTTGGCGATGCGGACTGCAAGATCCCACAAGCCCACAACTGTGTTGGCAAAGTCTGCCATGATATGACTGACCAAGACGGTAGAATTCACAAGCAAAAGGATGGAAACGAAACGAGCAAACAATTGTGTGCTCTGTCTGGAGATGGCTCGCTCAAACAGGCCTTCCGTCACACAACTGTCAGGTGAAGAGGTTGTGGCACCAGAAGCACGAATGGGCTGCCAATCCCTCGGTGCCTTTGCGATTGTTCTGATGTCAGGCGTGCAGCATGACTGATGTCGACCACAGGGAGCGAAATGAGGACTTGACGAGCACTGAATCAACAAATATTGCGAGAAAGCGAAGGTTCAACAAAGCCTTTCAGCCTCACGATCAGGAAACTTGTGAGGACGGTCGAAAGGACGGACGATGCGAGCCTGATTGTCGCGTACGAGTAAGCCACTGGCGCGGCATCCTGCACGAGGAATTGGGACCTAATAGTCAAGTAGGTAACTAAGCATACCAGATTAGACTTTGCTTCTGCGAGCCACGATGCAAAGAGTCCAGATCTCTGCGAGTGACCAGTGAGCTTTTTCCAGGTGGAAAGTGGGAAGTCATTACTGAGGCTGCGTCGTTGGCATCGGTGCGGCTGGATAGGACGGGCGTACGCTAATGCAGCTCATGCAAGGGATGGGCGGTTAACCACCGCTATGGTGCTTCTTACTGTAGGGTTTGACACATGGAAAAGGCTTGGGGCCATTATTGAAACTGTCGCGAGGACATGTTGCCATTTTTGAGATGTAGTGCGGTGGGTAGTTGGGAGGTTGAACAAATGAGGGAAACAGAAAAAAGAGAAGAAAGGAATTTTGGGAAGATGCGTTCAGGAACACCTGAAGTTTCCGAGGTTACCAGGCAGGCACGCAGGCAAGACTCAGGTGGGGTGCTGCCAAAAGTCTGAGGGGCGTCCCGGCCCCTTGGCCCCTCGGGCCCCCAAATCTGCCTCAATTTAGGGGCGCAATAAGGCCCGAGGCGGCCCACAAAGCAGATGTGCCGCCGGTAACCAATTTGGCGTGTGCCTAAATTAATAGCAAATCGGTGGCCTTAACTAAGCTTAATACCCCAACAATAAACTACTAAGTACCTTACCTAGGTAGGTAACTTAGAGCGCTGGGATTTGTTCACCACCACAAGGTATAGTCTCAGAAGTCGCATGCGACTTGACGAATGACTGGAGGAGAATCTTGCTCGAAACTGAAAGGGGTGGATTGGGATAGTTTACATATGTACGGAGTCTAGCGTCTAGGTAAAAGTAATAGGCCGGCTCGTAGTGTCCCAGAGCCATCTATCCATCAAACACCGAATGATTCATTTCAAGGCCATAATCCTTAGCCATCTTCCTCATCTGCTCATCCATGTCCTCGTCCATACCTTTACCCCGGCCCAGACGCTGTCTGATCCACGAGTACCACCAGAAGGCATCGGTCGCCAGAAGCACAACCTTGAAAAGGATGTGACTACCGTAGAATCTCCATCGCTCTGACCATGTCAGTTGTAAATCCTCGGTCAATGCCCTCGACGCCCAGTTGCCAGTAATCTTGATCCGGTTGACCGGACTGCCCAAGTACTGGTTGTTCCCCTGCACGATACGTAAGTTGCGGCCAATAAAGATCAACTCCCGTGGCCACTTGGTCTCATCGCCGAGAATCTCGCGAATCCCCTTGCGCATCGCTTGTTGCATCTCGTACTGCCGGCGATTCCTCTCATATTTGCTGATGCCCTTGATTCGGTTGGACACAGTCATGTCACCGCCTTCGTACGGTCGCATCAGCGTGGCTGAGGCAAAAATATCTGCATTGTTGACACCCCATTGCGACACAACCTCCTTCAAGGTCTTGTTGTCAAAGATCATGAGCGACTTCCAAAAGAGAGAGTACTGATGCCGGAACTGTGGTGACATATGGATGTAGAGGCCATGGTCGATCAACACTAGTTCGGAACGGCCATTAGGAAGACGACGGATAAAGATGTTGCCCGGATGAGGGTCACAATGCACCCATCCCCACAGGAACATTTGGGCTGAGAACAGGTCTACCATGGTGGTCATGACTTCTTGCAGGTCGAGGCCTAGTCCACCTTTACCATCCTTTCCTTTGTAGAACGTCCGATCGGGCTTGACTTCTGCGTCCTGTGACGAGCGAGCTTGCAATTGTGGAGTTGGTGTTGGAGTACCAGGAGGATCAAGCGGTGTGCCGTGGCAACCAGGGCTACCAGATCGCCATCCACCCTTCCAGGGTCGTGTGATGCCTTCTTTGTCCCAAAGACGGACACCTTCAATCCACTCGGCAGTCATGACACGTTTGGTGGTCAGATCATCATAGACCTTGGGTATGTAGACCCGATCACGAAGGCGTGGTTCGCCCTTGACGAATTCTGCCATCTGCCGGGAGTTTTTGGCTTCGTTCTGGAAGTCACACTCTAGTTCGATGCGTTCACTGATGTAGGGAACCAAGGTGTAGAGGGGAAGATCGAACCACCAGGTGTATATTTTGGTCACCACCTTGAAAGCCCACAAGTCCCAGGCGACTTGCTGGGCAATCTCACGTTTTTGAATCTTGATTGCCACCTCTCGGCCGTCCTTCAGTCGAGCCCAATGTACTTGTGCCACACTGGCACTGGCCCGGGCTTTTCGTTCCATCACCCCGGCCTCCGGATCGCCGTCAAATGAGATACCAAAAACTTCCTCTGGTGTCTTTCCGCCAAAGTCTTCCATGATGACCTTCCTCACTTGTGCCCAATCGTTCTGTGGGGCATCGTCGAACATCTTGCTAAACATCTTCTGAAACTCAGGCGGGAGGATGGCGGTCTGCATGGCCATGGCCTGTCCCATCTTGAGATACAGCCCGCCATTGGTCTGGAGGAGGTTGACAAGCCTGACTGCATTGCGCATGTGGACCTCGGTGATGTCGTCTGCAAAGGGGGGGTTCTCACGAAAATTGATCTTGTAATCGAGGGCAGTGGTGAGACCGGCGGCAAACGTTCTCGTGCATCGAGTGAGACAGGAAGCGTAGAACTGGGTGTCAAGAACATAGGCGACACCAGTGAACAAGGTGAGGTATGCCAATCTTCGAGACCATTTTCGGATTCTTTTATACTGTTTCGCAGGAGCGGCTTTTCCCAGAGATTCAGGTGTGGGCGGCGTGAAAGCCCGCATGAGATGTGACTGGGAGAAGGATCGAAGTTGAGAAGGGGCTTGCCATTGCGAGGCACCTGACCGGGGAGGCCGTCTCGAGATTGTCGTTACCAGGGGCCTGAAGGAGGAAAGGCAGTTAGCGCAGATGCGCCCGCCTATTGGAGGCATGATTGTCGACGGTGGAGGGAGGCACCGATGAGAAAGAAGGTCACGAGGAAGACGGGATCAAAGACATTGAGGTCGAAGGTATGAGGTCTAGTCAACTCTAGGTGAGCATGAACAATGAAAATTGGGATTTATTGGTTTGAATGCTGCCTGCGATAGCGAGGAAAGAATTAAGTAAGATGCCAATTACAATCATGACGACTTGGACTTCGATCGGACAATCTCCGAACTCCCAAGAACTGCGGAAATGCTTCGCTACGCAAAATCGGGCTCGGAGGTGAATACGAGATGCCAAGTCTTGCCTTATTGGGTGTAGGGTCGGGGTACGGCGAAGTAAGTGACGTCGTAGGCTTACAGTGGAGCATTATGACACTATCTACTAAAATTAGGTCAGCATCTAAGTGTGACAGCCTCGTAGCATCTGTAACCCATAACGACAAGTTGATCATCTCAATACATCTCTCGTTCTTCTCATGCGCCAGCAGTATCCAGGTGATGTCAATGTTTTCACTTGGGCTTTCCACTCGTCCTGGCCCATGGCTGTTGCATCTTTCTGGCTCTCTGGAATTGGCTCGTGCCTGTCCCCTTGCTAGATGGATATGTTATTAAACAACAGAGACGGCCAATATCTCTAAAGCCATGTTCTTGGCAAGTCGAGATCAACGGATGGAGATGATTACTCCAAATCAACAATGAAGCCGGTAGAGTTGTCCACGAAGCATTTCAAGGCTGTCTTTGTAATATCAATCGGTTTTGTCGGATTTTGACAAGTAACTCCGCAGATTGGGGATAAATGAGGGGGGAAATGTCCTCTGACCAACCAATCACGTCGTCATATTTTCGTCCGTCCGATCGAATGACAGCATCGTCCCACGGCAATAACATCAACCCTCCCGAGGGCAAATGGCTATGTCCTCCGCCGCGGACGACGGATATTGGAAAGTGCCTATCTAGGACTAGAACGACATCCTTAGAGATGCGAAAATATATAGTCACTGTAGACTCCTCTCTCACAGATCTCCTCACCAGCAATCTACTCTAGAGTCCCACCAATATACCTCCAAAACATATCACAATGGCCTCTCCAAAACTCCCCACCAGAAAGCTGGGAAAGGATGGTCCTGAAGTCACCGCCCTTGGCTTTGGTGCCATGGGTCTGAGTGCTTATTATGGCCCTCCCAAGCCTGATGAAGAGCGCCTTGCCATGCTCGACCATGTCTATGCCTCGGGCGAACGTTTCTGGGACAGCGCAGATATCTATCTTGACAACGAGGATCTACTGGGAACGTGGTTCAAGGCCAATCCAGGGAAGCGTGAGACCATCTTCCTTGCGACCAAATTCGCCAACTATGTCGACCCCGTCACCAAGCAGCGTAAGGTCAGGAATGATCCAGAGTACATGAAGGCATGCATCGAAAAATCTTTGAAGCGACTTGGGGTCGATCATGTTGATCTCTACTATGCCCACAGAATCCAGGCCGACCAACCCATTGAGGTCACGATCAAAGCCATGAAAGAGCTTCAGGACGCCGGCAAGATTCGACACATCGGCCTCAGTGAATGCAGTGCCGATACGCTGAGAAGAGCGAGTAAGGTAGCTCATATCGCTGCCATCCAAGTGGAATACAGCCCCTGCGCCTTGGAAATTGAAGATCCTCAATTTGATGTTTTGAAGGCTGCACGAGAGACTGGCACCGCCATTGTGGCATACTCTCCCTTGGGCCGTGGCTTCTTCACGGGTTCCATCAAGTCGCGAGATGATTTCGAAGAAGGAGACTTCCGATTATACGCGCCACGATTCAGCGAAGAGAACTTTGCCAGCAATCTCAAGTTGGTGGATGAATTCGTCGCTTTGGCAAAGGAAAAGGGCGTCACCCCAGGCCAACTGGTCCTCGCATGGCTCATGGCTCAAGGTGATGACATCATTCCAATCCCTGGAACCACGAGAATCAAAAATTTTGACGAAAACATGGGTGCTCTCAAAGTCAATGTCACCAAGGAAGACAATGATAGAATTCGCAAAGCGATCTCAAAGGTTGAGATCAAAGGCGGAAGATACCCCGAAGCATTCGCTAGTGCTCTATATGTGTCGACCGTTCCCCTCAAATAGGGTAGAATGGGGATTTGATGAACCAAAAAGTAAGGTTGAGTTGAGAGTTCCGGGTATGTTGTTCTAGTGGAGAATCATATAGTCTGGGTATGTTCCATCCAGCTTAAACCAATCCAAGACTACCGTACGCCAACCATTCGCATTCCTCATGTATCGTACAAGGCTCATTTTGATATTTTGTCACCGTAAGGCAATCATTCGATACTCTTCATCTTTGGAACTTCCCATTTCCTGCTTGGACCAAGATTGTTCTGGGTGAACTGTGGCTTCTTGGGTTGATTCCGTAGAAATAGGTGGTAGTTGCCCCGCACTCGGCTCACCGCCCTTCGTGTTTGAATTGCTTGATGATCAAGTTTGATGCTGTTGTAAGTGAAACTGAAACGAGCACCGGATGGCATGGTGAATGAGGTTGGGATGGAAGTATTAGGACGGTGGATTGGTGGATTGGTGGATTGGTGGATTGGAAGGCTGAGGTCAAGATGTAAGTGGTGATTTATCTCTGGACAATGGACTTGAGGACTCGCTTGTCTTGCACCGTCCTCGCATATAGAGTCTTTGCTTCCTTTGGTGTTGCTTGCAAGGGCTGAAAGAGAGTCTGATCGTCGGTCGTCCTGAATCTGTCATCGATAACAGTTTCAAAACCGCGGAGAAGTCGCGGCTCGCCGCACCTTCCGGGTTAGGCCCTCACACAAGTCCCCAATCAGTCGTCGCTTCATCGATTTGGTGCATCTGGACCATCTGGACCATCTGGCCCCTAGTCTCCCGTCCTTGATCTCAAGTATTGTATTGAGCGTCCTCGTCTTCAATCCTCGATACGATATCCGACAGCCCAACACCAACTCACTTCTGTACCCTCACTCTCGCCCAATCTGTCAAACTCCATCCAACGGTCTACTCAACATGGATCCCTTTTCAGGAGAAGGCGGTACGTCTGCTTCCATCCACATGTTACCCTTGGTTCAAATACTCATGACATCTCTCCAGAACTTCTCAATATAAGCACAGCCTTCTACACACACTCCTACCAGGCTGTTCTGGACTTTGAAACCTCCAGTCTCTCTGCCGAGAACCAAAAAAACGCCCAAATCCTCAAGTACCGAGCCCAGATCGCATTAGGGCAATCGTCCTCAGTCCTCTCAACCCTCAAATCTCCCAAAGATGCTGCCTCTAAAGCGATCGTGGCTCTAGCCCAACAAAAATCAGACCCTTCAACAGCACTAGCTACAGCAACAGCCCTTGCCGAGTCAGATCCAGAAGATGCGATCGTCCAGGTCGTAGCTGGCACCGTGCTTACCGCAGCTGGAGAATACGCTCAAGCCATTGACCTTCTCAGCAAGCATCAGGGTAGCCTGGAGGCCGTCGCTTTACTCACACAAATACATTTGATCCAGAACCGAACCGATCTTGCCGTCAAGGAAGTCCAGGCGGCGAAAAGATGGGCTCAAGATTCCCTGTTGATCAATTTGGCCGAGGCTTGGACAAATTTGAGGGAAGGTCCCAGCGACAAGTATCAATCCGCGTTTTACGTCTACGAGGAGCTGGCCAATACTCCTGGAAATACATCCCCAACCTCTATTGTTGGCCAAGCAGTGGCTGAAATTCAATTGGGTCGAACAGAAGAAGCACAAGCCGCGTTACAACAAGCGCTTGCTTCTGACAATGTCGATGTCGAGGCCATTGCCAACAGCGTTGTTCTCTCAAGTGTGCTTGGGAAGAAGCCAGAAGCTGTCCAAGAGTTGCTGAAGCAATTGGCAGACAAGGATAAAGAGCATGCTCTGTTACGAGATATCGCGGAAAAGAGTGACGCTTTTGACACGGCTGCTGCAAAATATAGCGCAAAGGCAACGGCTTGAAGGGGCTAATCTCTTGAAATTTCCATCTTGCGACATCTTAAAAGGATATCAGTCGCTACCACGGGACACCCAACAAGACCAGCATGACTTCAAGCTCTCTCCGGCAAATCAGTTGTGCGCAAGTCGACAGATGATGGAACTTGTCAATCAAAAGAGACGATCTCGCTTCGGAGTAAATCGAACCACGCACTCTAGTCCCATTCTCCTGGGACGTGTCTAGACCCAGAGCAAAGGACAGCGATGTCGCCGCGATATGAACACAACGAGTGATGAGAGATGACATAAGGTTACAGACGGAAGATGAGCCATCTCGAGGTCGTGATACCAATTAGGCTCTGTAGGCTCTGCAATTCTTCCTGCAGGAGAACTGACTAGTCCAAGCATCATGCAATGATAGAAGCCTTAGGCTCACTTTCTCCCCAAAATGACATTACCATGCCTCATAAGCTGCATCACTTTCATTTCTCCGTAATCAACCACCATTCCTGCTTGCAACGTCTAGTGTACACAAGACCCAGACTTGGGCCCTCATTAGAGTAGCAAGCCAAGTCTGCACCAACCAACTCCAGATCATGCTTGACCCATGACCATGACCAATGAATGACCAATGAAGAGGCCCGCTTCATTAACTCGCAAAACCACCCAGTAGCGCCACGAACACAACCACATCCAGTGCGCAGCTACCACCTAACCAAAACCGCTGTCTCCGATACAAATGCCATGCCATGCCGGACCAACCCAGCCCATCCCATTCCGTTCCGTTCTATCAACCAGCCGAAGACAAACTATTCGATTTCCTCGCCTTATTCGCCGCCGCCGGGGTGGAACCCGCATTCTGAACCGCCGGCTTAATCCTCGTGGTGTCAACAAGTGCTGGAAACGCCTCCGCAAAAACCGGACCCAGGGACCAATTCTCCAACCTCCGAATATGACGTTCAAACACCGGATTGATGACTGGATCTTTATCCTCGGCCGTGGAAATCAAACAATCGACCTGATCATATGGCCAATTGACATTCAAATCCGAAGTGTAGGGAATAAACCAGTTTTCGAAACTGTAATCCTGATGATTGGCGACTAACTTATCGCGCATGCGTGGCCAGGGAATATGTTCGATCCAGGCGGGATGGGGGGTGAAGATTTGAGCGGCAGTGGGTCGCATCCATTCGGGCACACGTACGTAGTTCTCTGGTGTAGGATTGATTTGCCATCGCATTTGCATGAACATACAGAACAACACGGCGATTTGTTCGGGGAGGTTGGCGATGTTGGGGAATTTACTGATGATGTCGGTCATCAGTTGAGAGAGCGGGTCGAGGTTGTGGGTGTGGTTGGCGCTGGGGTTGAGGAGGGACGAGACCGATGGGTAGGAGGGGTTGAATGACGGGCTGGAGGCGTCGTTGGTGCTGGGATCGCCTCGGCGGGAATGGAGGAAGTTGAGGAGGAGGCCGTCGAGAGGACAAGTTGGCGGGATGTTCTTGGGAAGGGAGAGCCATGGTGTGTTGGTGTGTTCGGAGAGGTTGGGTGAGATGTTGGGATACACGGAGCGGCGGGATGGGGATGTTACGGAGGGAGGGCCAGTGGGAGGGAGGTTTGAAGGGCGCTGTCCGAGGTTGTCGAGGAGGAAGTTGAATGATAATCGTTCTCCCGACTCGTTCAACTCGAGTCCTCGTTGGAGATTGTCTCTCTGATGTGAGAGGGCGTCTCGTGACGCTTGCCATTGTCTATTGTCCCCGGAATCTACCGCACCAAATGGATTTGAGTAGGAGCCGTTCGATGGGTCTGGTAGATAGGCATCTGTTGACACAACTGCATTATTGCCAAATGCGTTTTCCTGTTGGTCGAGGCCGGCTTGGACATTGTGCTGAGCAGCAGTGGCGAGATCTGAAAGTGTTTTGTTAGTGCTGAGGAACGATTGCAGAGATGGTTTAGATCTGTGTCGTACCTGTCAAGCCTTGAGCACCCACGATCGGCTGAAGGATAGACATGATGGAAGCCAAGCGTCTCCGAATCTCATCATTTTCCGCTTGTATGGCATCTTTCTGACGAATGACCACCTGAAGCTCTTGGTATGGTTGTTGTGAAGTCAACTCTTGAATTCTACGCTCCAACGACTCGATTTGCTGCTTGGTGCGTTCACGAATGGCACGTTGGGCTTCACGATCGTTGGCGCGCTTTTTGGCCAGTTGATCTGGGGTCAGACTGGCGACACCGCGGGAGCTCGAGGTGGCTTTCCTCTTGCGACCTGCCTGGGCCGGGGAGGTGGGAGTTTGACCGGCATTTGGGGAGGAGGTATTGGAGGGGTCTAGATCAGGTGGTAGTGTCACGTCGACCATGATGATGCTGGTCACAGAGCGACAACCAGTAGATTTCCTGCCCTTGGCGCACCTGCAGGTCGAATGACTCGAAGTGGATGATTGTGATTGTAGAAGTCTTCATCTAGAGGGAATTGATTTGAGTCATGTACCTGACTTAGCGCCATTTCACTAGGGGCGTTAATGCCTTGGCATATACGGTGAATCTAGATATCATGATAGTGGAATATTTACGGTGGAACTGGAAATCACAATCATGTACTCTCTCGAGGCTGATGATTTCAGGGGGTTGTAGCGTTATGGTGTGAGATGTTAAGATTCTATGATCATATGCTGCCATGTGCAGGCACGACCAGCTAACTGAGATTAACTTGCAATAACTAAATGCGAACAAACGAAAACCTCGCCACCTGCGTAACGCCCTGTTGAAATCAAATGAAGACCAATTCCAATTTCTGTTTCATGATGTGTCTTTCCCCCTCAGCTCAGAAAGAAAATTTTTCGAAAAGCAGTTGAACTTGTGACTTTCGGTGCCAGCCCGGGTGTGTGCAGCAAGCTCGAATGACAACTTTGAGATATGAAAGATCGTTCGTTTTCGTTTTGGTGTGTGTCGTTAAATCTCAATTTGTGTCAATCACAAAAATATGAGAAACTCTGTGCAGCATAAAAAGAAATAAAGAGAAAACAAAACAGCAAGCCATGACTTGAGGTCCATCAGCGGACGCATCAGTGTCTCCATTTCATGACATCCAAGAACCTCTGCCTCGTTCAATTCCAAAGGTCTTGATGCTCTACTTCAAAGTCAGCAATCTTCACTTGCAATGTGATACCTGCGGGGATAGCATACCTGGTTGTCGTGCAAGATACTAAGCGCTGATCCAGTGGTTGGTGTGCTCACATTTGTCAGGGACGTCGACCATCACCGGGTATGTGACAGGAGGCAAGGCGTCAATTGCGACAGCCACTTCTTGATGAAAGATCTTCTCTGCCTCAGCTTCATTGCCAAAGTAGTCGTCTGTCGTGGCGAACACATGTTGTTCAGGGACCTCACTGAACATTGGCCTATCCAGTTGGCTGACTTTTGCCTTGAGCCATGCGACTTGGGAATAGGCATCCATGTGACCTTCTTCGCCACTTGCCAAATCCATAGTGCGCCATGGGATATGTTCACCATTAAACTGGGCAAGGTGTTTGTTACGACGTCGATCGAGCAATCTGCCATTGATCTTGACGACACGCATGACGTCTTCATCCTGTAACTCCCGATCATACTCCAACTTCTCCACGCTGTACTCGAATCCGATGAAACTGAGTTGGCCTGTTGGGAATGCAATAGCATCGGTTCGGGACAAGTTGTCTCCAATAAGCGATTCAGGCTGGTTGGTTGTAGCGATTGCAGTCTTATTGCCGATCATCCTTGCCAGTAGCGCATAGCTACCAAAATGGAAGTTATCGTAGATATGAAAACGTTCCAGACTCTTTGGAAGTGCGTTGAAAAAAGCCTCTGGGGTCCAAGGTGAATCGATATCAAAGTGAAGCTCCAGCGATTGGAGTGAATTGAGACGTGGGACACTTGTGTTGAAAGCATACATTAGTCTGCCCATTTCATGCATGTTGTCGTGGATCATGTCATGAAAACAGATCCGCAAGTTTCGAAGATTGCTCACACCCGGCAAGATAGAAATGATCCGGGCAAGGTCCAAGGTCCAAGTACGGTGGTATGAAGCTGCTCTTTGGTAATCACCGCTAGGCACAATCAGGGTAAGCGATTCCAATGTCATACCAGTCGCCGTAATCATACCGCAGACGTCAAAAGTGCCGTTGAAAGTGACGTTGAGTTCTTGCATAGGTACAGAGTGGACGATGGGCTTGAGCAGGGGACCGATCATGTTTCGGACCTGCCGATTCTCTGTGTATCCGTCATGCAGCATTGTTCTGTGATCAGCACTGATAACCAGCTTTTCTAAGCATGGCTTATTGGCGAGAACATGATTCTTGAGTAGTGGTACATTGAGATTGTCCAAAACCAGTGTCCGAAGGTTGAAGAGTTGAGGAAGCGTCTGAAGTAGCGTGAGCTTCTTGTTCCATCTTTGACCAGCGACCCACAAGTTCTCTGTGTTGTGTGGCATCAGGGACTGGTCGAACTTTCCACATGCTGGGTGCTTAGAGCTGGTTCGCACTCCAAGAGCATCATTGCCAACGCAATAGATTCGGAGATCCTCAAGATTGGGAGCCAGTCCTTTGAGGCAATGAGAAAACCTCGCAAAGATGCCCGGGTCCATGTCATGGCGAAGTTCAACATGAAGCGATTTAAAATCGTCCCATGCACTGTATGTGGTAAGAGGCCCACTGAGCCAAGTCTCGATCTTGTTGTGCGGCACCAAAAAGGGTGGGACACCATCGTCTACCTCATGATAGAGTTGTCGACAAGTTTGTCCCAAGCTCTTGTAGGCGCAAGTGGGTTGTCCAAGCAAGTCTGGGCGCGCTTGGTGTTGCGTATCAATCCTGATAATTTTATAGATACGCTCTCGAATCTCTCTTGGAAGACCAAGAAGATGGAGACGGCCATAAGATAGCGACTCTGGGGCGATGTTCCTAGTTCTCGGATTGGGGAGGGCGGCCTTTCCGCTTGTGAAGGCAGAGATCAAAACCATCTTGACTGCTGTTGCAAGCTTGAAGAAGGATAATGTGAAGGATAGATCAACTGAGGAGGAGAAGGGCAAAGAGAATAGGAAAGCCCAAGCACCAAACGACAAGAACTGCTGTCGCTTCTAGTCCGTCTTGAGATCTTGTGAGGTCTTGAGTGAGAGTGAAAGTTTGGGGGAAAGAGAAAAAGAGAAAGAAACAAACGCCTAAAATAAGATGACTTAAATAATATGATGGCGATAGGCAGCGCAGCAGGAAAGTGTTCGCTGACTCGTCGACTCATTGATTTGAGTCACCATTGAGAGATGAATGATATTGAAAGACATCTGAAACATCAGAGACAAAGTCTCATTGGCCATGCACAGCAGTAACGCAGTACAGTAACGCAAGACTTGTGAATATTGTGAAGGTTATGCGCTCACCATGATTGAACCAGAGCCGAACTGCTCCGCATTCTTGCCATCTTGCAAATGCTCTTGCTCGTTGACATGATTTGAACCATAAGCACCGATCCACGGTTCTCTGACCGACTTACCTAACCTATGAGAAGTTTTGAAAATCTCTGTATATCTTTCAACGTCTCACCATCAGAAGTTCGTTGCAGGCCCGAGTCGTGAAGTGGGGGAACAGCAGTCACCGCACTGTGAACACTGCTGACATCTTGTACGTCTGCGTTTGATCTGATTAAACCTGCACATGTCGAGGCTGAAAAATGTTGTCTGATCTGAGACTTGTCTAGGAATTCAAGTTAAGATGAGAGTTGACATGTTGTAGAAGAAGACATGTCGTTGATATTCAGATCACGTGCTTCATCGATCAACCTTCCTCTTCAGGACAGCATCAAATAATCTCCCGAAGACTTTCCACAAGGACGAACCATCATATTCAGTCTCAGTGCCCAGCGACCCTTTGTTAAATTCTTGACGACGCTGGCTGGTGACCGCAGCGTGGTCAGAATATGATGTGATGTGGAAGAGCTTACAACTGTCGCAGTCAGTGCGTTCGCTGTCCACTCGTCCTTCCACTGCCGCTACTCTCAGTCGCAGATCCGCTACTTCGAATTCGCGCCTTGACCTACAGGCCATTGATACAAAATGGCAGCAATTATGGGCTTTACAGGGGGATACGCCGAATTCTCCACGCTCCCCAAAGAAATCCTACGTCCTCCCCATGTTCGCGTATCCATCGGGATCGCTTCACATGGGCCATCTACGGGTCTATACCATCTCCGACGTGATTGCTAGATACCGCCGGATGCAAGGATATCAGGTGCTACATCCTACAGGATGGGACGCGTTTGGTCTGCCAGCTGAGAATGCTGCTATTGAAAGAGGAATAGACCCAGCTGTTTGGACCGAGGAGAATATTGTCAAGATGAAGAAACAGCTTCAGAGCATGAATACCACCTTTGATTGGGACGCCGTAGGTTGGCATATGAGGATGGTCTATCATAGTCGCTGATTATCTGTCTGTAGGAAATCTCAACATGTTCTCCTTCGTTCTACAAACATACCCAAAGCATCTTCTTGAAGCTATATTCTAAAGGGCTTGCGTACCAAGCCGAGGCACTGGTTAACTATGATCCTGTGGACAAGACTGTGCTTGCCAACGAGCAGGTCGACAGTCAAGGGAGATCATGGCGCTCTGGGGCTTTGGTTCAACAGATGAAGCTCCGCCAGTGGTTTTTCCGCATTACCTCTTTCAAGGAATTCTTGTTGAAAGATTTGGATTATCTCGGTCAGAACGACAAGTGGCCGAGTCGAGTTCTTACCCAGCAGAGGAACTGGATTGGCAAGTCTTCTGGAGCTCGCATTAAATTCAATCTCCAGGATCCCTCTGGATTACTGACACCCGTCCACGTGTTCACCACCAGACCAGACACAATATTTGGGGTCAAGTTCATCACGCTGTCATTGAGCCACCCACTTGTACTGAAATTGGTCTCGACCACACCTGGTTTGCAACAATTTCTTGACAAGAGAGCAACATTTGCGCCTGATTCCAAAGAGGGGTTCGAATTGCCTCTTCGCGCTCTGAGCCCGCTCTCCGAAGTGATGGGCGCACCCCTTGAGACAATTCCTGTCTTTACCGCGCCATATGTTCTCGAAGGCTATGGCGATGGGGCGGTGATGGGTGTTCCTGCTCATGACTCGCGGGATCTAGGATTTTGGAAAGTTCACAGACCAGAGGAAGCAATTCCCATGGTAGTGACGGGCTCGCAGCCTCCTCCCTCTCTCCGTGTACACCCCAACGACATGACGGAAGCTTTCACGAGCCCCGGGACGCTGACTTCATTATGTGGACAATTTGCCGGGCTGTCTAGTCAGGAGGGATCCTCTCAAATACTTCAGCTTCTTCAAAAGACTGATTCGGCTTCTCCTTTTGAGACTTGGCGTCTTCGAGACTGGCTTGTGAGTCGTCAGAGGTACTGGGGCACTCCCATTCCCATCATACACTGTGCCGAATGTGGCACAGTTCCGGTTCCAGAAGATGATCTGCCAGTTGAGTTGCCACGACTTGATGCGTCATTCAAAGGACAAAGAGGCAACCCGTTGGACAAAATTCAAGAATGGGTCAATTGTCAATGTCCACAATGCCACGGGCCTGCTAAAAGAGAAACAGACACCATGGATACTTTTGTGGACTCGTCGTGGTATTTTCTGCGCTTCCCTGACCCACAGAATACAAAAGAGCCTTTTTCACAGCAGTCTGCCTCAGAGATGGTCCCTGTTGATACATATATTGGAGGCGTCGAGCATGCTATTCTGCATCTACTCTATGCCCGATTCATGTACAAGTTTCTCTGCGGCGAAGGTCTAATTGATGGCACAAAGGGCCAGGCAGAGCCTTTTCAAAGTCTGATCGCCCAGGGGATGGTCCACGGTAAGACGTTTTCTGACCCCGACACAGGCCGGTTCTTGCTCCCAAACGAATTGGAAGAGACCGAGCAGGGGATGATCGTCAAAGCCACTAAGAAAGCCCCGACACTCACATGGGAGAAAATGTCCAAGAGTAAGCACAATGGTGTTGATCCTTCGGTTTGCATCGAAAAGTTCGGAGCAGATGCCTTGAGGGCACACATATTGTTTGCTGCCCCTGTTAGTGAGGTCTTGCAGTGGGATGAAGAGAAGATTGTGGGTATCCAGAGGTGGCTCGGCAGAGTTTGGCGTATTGTCAATGATCTTGCTGCTCTTGCCACCGCAAAGGAGATGGACACAGTTGAGCTCGATGTAGCGCAGATGAGTGAAGTGGATGCTAATGCTGTTCTTCTCACTCATGGAACCCGGGGAAACATTGTTGAGACATTTTCCAACAACATCTACAGTTTGAATACTGCTATTTCGGATCTAATAAAACTCACCAATGGACTTCACGACACAGGTGTATCGAATCTTAGTCCCCAGGTCGCCAACATCGCGGTTAAGGAGCTCCTAAAGATGATGGCGCCTATTACTCCTGCCTTCTCAGAAGAATGTTGGGAGGTGATCAGCAGCAGAGGCCCCCACACAAGCATCTTCGAAGAAACGTTTGTCACCCCGATCCTTTCTGAGGAACAAGAATCCGCTTTACGAAATCGGCGCACAACTATGGTCTGTGCAGTGCAGATCAACGGCAAGATGCGGTTCACTGCAGACATTCCACCTCCCAAGGAAGGACATGAAGCGCTCAGCAAGGCCGACAGAGAAACCGAGATCGTGTCGGCAGTGCTCAAGACCAAGAGTGGTCAGTCATGGTTGACTGAGAAACACGACTGGGAGAAGAGGAAGAGAGTGGTGGTGGTTGGTGGTGGCAAGGTGCTGAACGTAGTGTTCTGATCATTGATACCACTGACTTGCCCACCTGGAAACCCAACTCACACTTGAGTGTGGGAAGAACCTTTTCCTCTGCTAGAGGGTGCCCAAGTTGCCACCAAGGTCTCGATAGTTGGACGATGTTTTGGGACAATCAAAAGAAGAATGTTGTAACACTAAGATACATAGAAAGACTGTACAATAATTGATGTAAAATACCATTCTAGTCTCGATCTGATCGAAATCCCCGACCTAGTAGGCTGAGAGAACATGATATCACCCGAATATTCACAATATCAGAGCTCTTGTCCCATTTCTAGCGACATCGAGATCTCGACTTTGGACCAAAGAAGCCCCGAAGTTTACCCGTGACCAAATTTCCGTCTTCCTTGACGACGACACACCCGCAGCCACAATTTCTCGCCAGACACACTCAGCAGCGAGCATCTTTGCGCTGACCATATCCATCTCATAATGAGACTACTACTTCCCCGGCCTCCTGGGCTTTGGGGTCACACATCTCGCACGCGGTCTCGCATGGTGCAGCGGCGATTCTTTGCGGCTGTAGCAGACGCCGTCAGGTAAAGACAACCCCATCATTTCCAACTACGGGCAAATTATTGACATGATGCAGGCCATACGATGTCATCGTCATTGGTGGCGGCCACGCAGGAACCGAAGCGTCTGCAGCGGCTGCCCGCGCAGGAGCCCGGACTGCGCTCGTCACTCCATCCCTCTCGAATCTCGGCGTTTGCTCATGCAATCCCAGCATCGGAGGTATCGGCAAAGGGACCATGATCCGCGAAATCGACGCCTTGGACGGAGTTGCCGGACGAGTCACCGACAAAGCTGGGATTCAGTTTCGAATGTTGAACATGAGAAAAGGTCCCGCCGTGTGGGGTCCGCGGGCGCAGATCGATCGAGACTTGTACAAGAAACATATGCGAGAAGAGATGCTATCAACACCAAATTTGAGCGTGATTGAGGGCAAGGTGGCGGATATTGTGGTTTCCAAGGACCAACTCGATCCTGAGGACAAAGTCGTCACCGGTCGCATTACTGGCATTCGATTGGAAGATGGTCAAGTCATCCCAACGGGTAATGTGGTCATCACCACAGGCACTTTTTTGGGCGGCGAGATCCATATAGGCCTCGAAGCCTACCCGGCCGGTCGATTGGGAGAAGCTGCCACATTTGGATTGAGCAAATCATTACGAAGCGCCGGATTTACCCTTGGACGGCTGAAGACAGGAACGCCGCCGCGACTCGACGCCGACTCGATTAATTTCAAAGCCCTTCAAATCCAACCTGGAGACAACCCTCCGAACCCATTCTCTTTCCTCAACGAAAAAGTGGAAATCCCCGCGGAAGACCAACGACACTGCTGGACCACATACACAAATGAAGCCACACACGATATCGTGAGGGCCAACCTCGACAAAACAATCCACATCCGAGAAACAGTCCGAGGTCCACGATATTGCCCATCACTCGAATCAAAAATCATTAAATTCAGCCACAAGCCTCAACATATGATCTGGCTTGAGCCTGAAGGTCTTGAACCTAATAAAGTCATCTATCCCAATGGGTTGAGCATGACCATCCCCGCTGACGCACAATACACCATGTTGAAAACAATACAAGGTCTAGAGAATGTTAAAATGCTCCAACCAGGCTACGGAGTAGAGTATGATTATATCGATCCTCGAAACCTATCTCCCACTCTCCAGACAAAACTCATCAAAGGACTATTCCTTGCAGGCCAAATCAACGGCACCACCGGCTACGAAGAAGCCGCCGCACAGGGGATTGTCGCCGGTCTGAACGCGGCATTGTCCGCCCTCGGAAAACCAGCCTTCACATTAAGTCGAGCAGAAGCATTCATCGGAATCCTCATCGACGACCTTATCACCAAAGGCGTCTCCGAACCATATCGAATGTTCACCAGCAGAAGCGAATATCGAATGAGTTGTCGATCAGACAACGCCGACCTGCGTCTGACAGAAAAAGGACGACTTGCCGGCGTAGTCGGCGACCAACGATGGAAACACTTCACCGAAACCCGCGACCAAATGGCCGAACTCCAGAACCGACTGGAATCCGTGTCCCACTCGACGCAAGACTGGATGAAATACGGATTTAACCCACGAGTCGACGCCACCAAACGCACCGCGTTCGATTTACTTCGCATGCAAGATGTCGATATGGACCGACTTTTAGATTCGACTCCATCTCTAGAAACCGATTCGGCCGCCTACCCGACTCGAATCAAGGAAAGAGTACGCATTGAAAGTAACTACGCACCATATATCACTCGACAACAGAGATTAGCCGATTCATTTCAACGCGACGAATCTCTCTTACTGCCAAGTGACATCGATTATAGTGCGATTCATGGTTTGAGTTATGGCGAAATCGAAGTCCTCAAGCTCGTGAGACCGGAAAGTATCGGTATGGCGAGACGGGTCGAGGGTGTGACTCCAACGGGCGCGTTGCGTTTGTTGGCATATGTCAGGAAACAACGACGGTCGGATGATAGCGAGGCAGCTCATAACAATGAGACGGAGCAATCCGGTCTGGAGGCGACGCCTTGAACAAGACGAGTATGAAGAAGGTCAGCATGTATCATATATCATATATCATATATCATATGAGCGGGCAGAGATATGAAAAATGAAATTTTGTATATTAAGGTTCTTCTGGCCATTCAAGACCAAATGTAGATATCAAACTCCCTATCTTCTTCCCTTCCTTCTCTTCCCCCATTTCTCAATACTCATCAACACCTAGCGTGGCTCCCTCCACAGATACATACATGTTCTTCCAAATAAAAAACATCGCTTAGTCATCACTCTCCTAAATCCTCCACCAATCACACACGACATTTTTTTCCCAGGCACGATCCAGAACCTCAACCTCGTTTCATGATCTCGTTGTCCTCTATATTTCTTTTCTTTCCCAACCCACCAGCCTGATTAGATTGATCGACTCTGTGGCACCAGTCTCCCTTTCCATTTTGTTTGTCTCTTCTAGTTGTACAGATACCAAGTCACACACATTGTGTCAGCACATCCCATCGAGTATTATCATCCGTACCAACATAACAGCAGCAGTATCATCATCACGTGTCTTGTTTTCATCCTTTCGAGATACTTGGGGGACTCGAAAAGACGGACCGGACCGATCGACTACAGGAACCGGGAATTTAAAATGTTGATAGCCGCATCGAATTCTTCATAGTCGAATCAGTCACGCGACAATATTGGTTTATTGGTTATTGGACTTTGTCGAACTGGGGAGGTCAGCCGCCGTGAGCCGGAAGCCGGAGCAGAGCAATGATGTATCTCAACGGCAGATCAGCAGCCATGCGAATGTCGCATCGATCACTTCATCTCGTTGAGGGATCTTCTTTCAGATATGGTCCTCATTCGGCGCGGTCGTGGTCGACCTCCACAGCTTCAGTTTCATTTCTCAACCCATTGCCGGTGCGGTCACGTCAGCCGGCAACATCGCTCTGGCGACGAGCTTCAACGTGTCTCCCTCTGCAGCGCACGAAACCATCGTCTGCTCGGTTTGCCTCGTCTGGATCAGGGTCTCCCTCTAAAGATCCTGTCAAGGCTGCGACTAAGGAGAAAAGGTACGTCTACGTTCCGTTCAATGTCTTGGAGTCCTTGCAGCGCCTTCGTCAAATATCATATGATACCATGGATCGCTTGTCATAATCGCTAACGCACGATTTAATCTACCAGTCCGCTAGCTCCATCCAAGATACTCCAAAAGCTACCAAAACTCGCGCCAACGACACACGAGAACATCTATACCCTTCCAAATTTTCTGACCTTTACGCGACTGCTTGCTGCCCCTGCGGTTGGGTATTTCGTCATCAATTCTCAACCTATCGTCGCGCTTTCGTTGTTTTTCTACGCCGGCGTCACCGACGCCGTTGACGGGTATCTCGCGCGGAGATACAACTCGCAAACTGTTGTGGGAACCGTCATTGATCCCATGGCCGACAAAGCCCTGATGACCATCGCCGTCGTCAGTCTGACAGTTCAAGGCATTCTCCCCTTATGGGTGAGTGTCATCATTCTGGGAAGAGATGTCGCTCTAGCCATCTCGGCCATTTATTTCCGCTGGATCAGTCTGCCCCCTCCAAAGACCTTCTCTCGTTACTGGGATTTTTCCCTCCCATCAGCAGAAGTCCACCCCACAGAGATCTCCAAGATCAATACCTTCTTGCAGCTACTCTTGGTTGGTAATGCAATGCTTTTGCCGGTATTGCCAACGACGTTGGTTGAAGCATGGAACCTTGTTGGTGTCTTCGAAGGCTGGTGTGGTCTTGTAGCCACGACTACCATATGGAGTGGTCTCAGTTATATCGGCAACAAGGATGCGGTCAAAATCCTGAGCAAGGAAGAAAGTGAACGGCGACAGAAAAATGGTCTAGAAGAGCGTTCCAACAAAAGTTAAATTTAGGGTTCGACGCTGCAGATAACACCCTGGCTTCATGAGACCTCCAGCAGTCGTTCTCCTTGCAGTAAAGAGCATCATTGGTGATAGCATGGATGGTCAGATTGGTGGGTCTTCGATTCTTCAAAATCAGTCTTCTGGTAGACTGTCAAAAGAGTCCATGTATATTAGACAGCACATTCGTCATCATATTCAATCATCGTCCGACTGCTCTCCCTAAGCGTGCACTTGCCGTTGTTGCCGGTTGATCAGGCCAGCTGCCAACGGCATCGTCCACTTCTTGCAGGAACATTTCGGAATTCACCACGCCTGTACCTCCAAGAACCACTCGGATCCCTGGAACGCTGGCATTGACCTGTGCTACCACTCTGGCCTCTTCATACGTAACTCCACCCACCATAAAGACCACAATGTCCTGTGGCTTATCTCGGGTGTGTCCCATGCCTTCGAGGAAGGGATACTGCAATTCCTTGAGTCTGCCTTTGATCAAGTTTTGCAGAGTATTTTCCAGGCGGGGCGAATGCTGAGTGTAGACATTTTCGACGCCTTTCAAGTTGAGATTTCGGCGAAAGTTGGAAAAGGGAGACGATGCACTCTCAAAGAGATCAGAGAAGCCGCCGGCAACTGGGGCGGGTTGAAGGCTGTGGTGGTATGCGAGCACCGTCGGAATGATGCTCAGTTTGTTAGGAGAAATGTCGGCGACAGTCGTGAGAAGGTCCAAGAGGATAGGCAAAGCATTGTTTGGACTCTTCTCGTAACGGATGGCATACAGTGCCACTAAGCGGATTTTATTGTCAGGCGGAATTGAAGGATTTTGAATGTGTTTTTGTAAGGTTTTGAGATCCACTGCATGGTTGTCATTGCAGACCAGAGATTGTTCCAGCTCAGACACATCGAGAAGTTGGTCCGCTGATACACGCCTGGACAGTTCACTAACGAGAGCCACGTGCTTGGAGACGTTGCCGGACAATTTGCGGAACTCTGGATATTCTTCGACGAAGCGCTTCATGTCACTGATGGATTCAATCTGGGCGCTTGACTTTGTGCGTGCCTGGTACTGATCGACGTATTCTTTGATATTTCCGCCCAAGTCGCCGAAATTCTGATACATGTTTTTCTTGAAGAAGGGGTCCTGGTCCTGTGTCAGGACAATCTCTTTGAGTTCTGGGCGAATATCAGGCACCGCGCTGAGATCAACGCGGCCATTGTGAATTCCCATCAACTCATGAACCTGGGCTTGGTAGGTCCACTGGGTGAGAAGGGGGGTGATGGGGTCGTCTCGACGATCCAGTATGAGAAGGATGGGCGGTGTATCAGGCTTCCGGAAATCGAACAGAGTATCTTCCTGAGTGATCTGGTAGCGTACTTCGGTCGCAAGTTTCTTGGCCATAAGGGAGTTCTTTTGGTAGCGAATGAGGGGGTTTTTCTTCAAGGAGAGGAGCAGGGCAACGACGCCTTCAGTGGTACGCTGGAGAGAGTCCGTGTTCCATATATCGGGGCTGTGGGACCAGAGACGGTGTTTGGGAAATGCGAGGTTCAACGACATCAAGTCGGAATTGATGACAATATAGTCTGCGAAGTATTCCTGTACACTTTTGACGACTTCGTGATCATCTGCTTCTGCCAATCGCTCCAACGAGGACTTTTTCACAATGTTGGAAAAGTAGATGGAGTATTCGCCATATTTTGGTTCTCTCAGCTCGTCGATGAGATATTGGAGGGAATCGGGAGACGGCCTGACAAAGGCGAGACAGCGTAGATGTCTCATTCTCTCTCGTTGGGCATTCTCAATCCTGTCCACCAGAAAGACTTCGTGTTTGAGCAAAGCGGATTGGGTGATAGCGGTGGAAACTATTGAGACGGTATCGGAGTCGAGGAGGAGAATCTTCATCTTGGAGCTTTGAGATGCAGCAGCCCCTTCGCCTACACCGGCGATTTTGGAGATGTAGGTCTGGACTGCTGCTGCGACATCCATGGCGAATCGAGTTGTGGCAGACAGCGGGGAATATGGTAGGGGGAAGATTAGGAGGAATCCAGGCCAATAGCTGACATCATAAGATCATTACTGAGAGGGCGGCTGTGGTATGTTGCGAGCAATGCGGTGTGGTGTGTGAGGTGAGGTGCGTTCGATGGAGATGCGGTGTCGGTGTCGTGATGTGTCTGGCGGCGGGGAAGGAGCGAAGGAGGGAAGGAGCGCACGTGGATGATGGGTGCCTGCACGAGCAACAAACAGGCAAGAGCGACAAAAATGTAAAGGAAGGCGCGTCCAAGGTCTGAAGACCAGGTGCAGTTGGTCACAACGACAATGCGCAGCTGATGAGAGATGCAATATCAGTCAACCTACTTACAACAGGTCTCATGTCGTTTGGAGAAGCCATCTGGCAGTCTGATCAACCTATGACTTGGGCGAGGGGCCAGAGTGACCCTCAAACCCCTGCATTGTCTCGGGCCCTCGGGCGCATGGGTCAACAAAGAGGGTTGGCCGATGACATCGTCTCCTTCCTCGAATCTTGTCCCTCAACTTCCCCACGTTTTTGCCGCGTTCACATTCCTTGCTTCGTTCATGTCTCTATATCAATTACAGCAATGACGACGACTCGACCGTTATAATCTGCAACGCCTCACTGTCATTCCTTCGTGGATTCTTCTCATCGTCAGTTTGTCTGTCTTGACAATATGATTCCGGGACTCAATGCTCGTGAGAATTCCAAAGATTCCCCATCCTCTGTGATCAGTTGACTGATATTTTTTTAAAGCATTCGAAGCAGTTTCCAAGTCCATTGGTGCTGCTACCGACGAGCTCAAGCTGATATTCTGTTTCCTCGTCTCCTACCCGCTCGCTGCCCTCCTCAAACGCATACCCGACAATAGGCCTCAGTACAAAAACCTCTTCATCGTCGCCGTTTCCTTGTTCTTCTTCACCGGCCTCTTTGATCTCCACGATGGCCTACGAACATTCCTATATTCTGCAGCCGGAACATATGCCATTACGAGATGGATCGATGGTAGTCTCATGCCATGGCTGAACTTTGTCTATTTGGTACATACCCTAATCCCTGGACGCTCAACTACCATTGCTAATAGCTTCGTTCGCAGATGGGTTACATGTCAATATCTCACATAGTCAGACAAAGACTGAACGACCCGAGCGCAGTGGACATCACAGGAGGTCAGATGGTCCTTGTCATCAAGCTCTCATCATATGGTTGGAATGTCCATGACGGCCGACTAGACCCCAAACTCATGACAGATACACAAAAGGATCGAGCCGTGTACACAATCCCTAGTTTACTCGACTATGCAGGTTATGTCTTTTTCTTCCCCAGCCTTTGGACCGGTCCGGCTTTTGATTTTGTCGACTACCAACGGTGGCTGCAGACCAGTATGTTTGATGTTCCCCCAGGAACCAAAGCTCCCCCCACAAAAGGAAAGAGGAGGATTCCACGATCCGGCACTCCAGCGATGTACAAGTTGGTTACCGGCTTGGTGTGGCTTGTCCTTTATCTAAAGTTCTCGGCCTGGTATAATGTGCCCCTCATTCTTAGTGACAAGTATATGTCTTGTTCCTTTCTTCGCCGGGTCTGGATCCTCCACATGCTCGGCTTCACCTCTCGCCTCAAGTACTACGCTGTTTGGACAATGACTGAAGGCGCTTGCATTCTCTCCGGACTGGGATACAATGGAACAGATCCTATCACCGGCAAAGCACGCTGGGACCGACTTGAGAATGTTGACGCTTGGGGTATTGAAACTGCCCAAAACTCGCGCGCATATCTTGACTCCTGGAACAAGAACACAAACAAATGGCTGAGAAATTACGTCTATCTTCGCGTCACACCAAAGGGCAAGAAACCGGGGTTTAGGGCCACCCTGGCAACATTCATTACCTCGGCCTTCTGGCATGGATTTTATCCTGGATATTATCTGACCTTTGTTCTGGGTGCGTTCATTCAGACCGTGGCCAAGAACTTTCGACGATATGTTCGACCCTTCTTTCTCACGCCCGATGGTACCAAGCCAACCAAGTACAAGATCTACTATGACATTGCAAGCTACTTTATCACCCAAACGGCTTTCTGCTTCACCACTGCTCCATTTGTCATTCTTGGTTTCAACGACTCGATACTCGTCTGGGCGAGAGTTTACTTTTACGCAGTCATTGGCATCATCGTCTCTCTAGCCTTCTTTGCAAGCCCTGCAAAAGGCTATCTCATCCAGCGTCTCAAAAAACGCAATCATCCATATGTTCGCAAGACCATTTCACAGGAGACCAATTATCCACCATCTCTTGGTCTGCCCTCGGATCCTGTCCGCGAAATCGATGAGGCGATTGAGGAAATTAAACTTGAGGTGGAAGAAAGAAGAAGACGAGGCAGTAAAGTCACAATGCCAAGTGGGGAGAGCTTGAGAAGAGCGATCGAGGAAAGACTTGGCCAGCAGTTCGAACTGAAGATGGGACCAAAAGGACTCAAGATCGGAAGCACAGAGGGTGATCATGTGGATGGTGGCACCGCGATACAAGAAGCAGCAGACCGAACACAGCAGGCTGATATTTCAGGTGATGGAATTACCCCGAATCTAAGGCAAAGGAATGCTCGTAAATGAGACATTGGCTTGGAAAGGATTGTTTCCAGAAGGTGTTTATGTCAAACCTAACGAAATCCCAAGCATTATTTCACAGATGGCGTTCTTCTCATATTTTCACCAACCACTTAGCCCTGGCGGCAATCGGATAACATTACGAGGAGTGGAGAGAAAGGTCTTTTATGATTCATAATCCAACACAATCTCGACGAATTGACTTCCATCCATACTCCCGCTATCCTAACAGACCCTTCCGAGTTGATCACCGCTAAAAAATGCGACAATGACAAGTGATCGCTAGGTGTGCATGATTCGATCTGCATCGACAAGGTCTTCCTTCGTCCATTCCTCTGTCGCTCCTCAGCCGTTCCTTTCTTTGGATCCGCAACGATAAAATCATCTTCCGATCTTTACGATCGAGAACAACCGATAACAATCACATTCAAAGCCCAAAGTGGCAAGAAGAAAGAAAGCAAAACCCAGAATCGACAAGAAAATGATTGTGATGGTTTCCATGGTTGTCTCTCTTCTTGTTGGTGCTGATATCAAGTGTGATCAGGTGAAGTGAGATAGATGGATGGGTGGATGGGTGGATGGGTGGTCGGTGCGCGAGTGAAGAAAAGAGATGTTTCTGGAGGATGCTCGTGTGCAGACTCGAGAATCGAGAATCGAGACTTGATTTAAGGAAGGAAAGGGAGAGATTTAGTTAGATAGGATATAAACCTGTGTGGATGTATATACAGATCACCCTTCCACATCATCTTATCTCAACAACCCAAAGCAATCCCCCCCCCCTGGAGTTATTAATTGCAGAAAACAGAGTTCAAAGTCCTCCAAGAAGAAATCGAACCACTAAATCACGAATACCTTACGTTTGAACTTGCAAACCTAGTATGGCATACCTTAGGTAGCATATTGGGTCGGCCACTCTACACGGAGGACCAATGGATGTAGATTAAATTCAAGCGGACTGCGGATTTGAACTTTAATGAACTTAACTTAGCAGTAACAACTTGAGTTACTAACAAAACTAGGACCTACAAGTGTAGTAATTATCATTAACTTGTTGATTCACATGGATTTCATGTTAGGTTAGGTCGACTAGCTATATGCCTACCTACTGTACATGAGGGAATGAATGTCTGATGGTCTGGCTTGTCTGGCTTGTCTGGCTCAGTGGAGTGGCGTGGCGTGGCGGAGCGGGACTTGAGTGAATGAGTGAGGGAACAAATAAGCGTACTGTAACGCGCGTAAATCATAATAATAATTATAAATAAGCCTTGGGTTGAATCCATGGAGTTCATGCTAGGTACTATAGTGGTCCATGATTGATTTACACATAGGAGAGCAACATATTTTCCAGTGTGTATGATATCGAAATATTGGAGATACATGAGTCATTTTACTTAGAATCGAAGAAAAATCTGCTGTGGTGCTGAGATGAGATATCTCGGTTGCATGCAGTGTAAGGTGTGAGTGCGCAATGCGAGTGCGCATATGAATTGGGTGCTCCTTAGAGGGGGCCGGACGACGGGGATTGGGGATAAAGGGAAACGATGAGCGGATGAAGTTTGGGTTGGGGGAACAATGAATAATTATTGACCTTCGGCACTGTAAGTGCCTACCATAGGTACCTAAAGTGCAGGGCTGCAGTTGCACCTGCAAGGCTGAGACGACACCTGCCAGGTGCCAGTAAGTAGGGTCACACAACCGTACTGGCAAAAGCCCCGGGAAAGAAGAAAAATAGGTGGGAATGGGCGGTAAGTACCTATAGTTGAAGGAATCCCCCGGGGGCCGAGGGGCTTGCATCCGGGTGCACCCAAGTTGGGTGAGAGGCTATGACGGGCGAAACCCCATGTTAATTGTCCAACCACCAAAAACCCACCAAAAAAGACAAAAGATAAAAAAAGAATGCAAAACAAAAGTTCCATGCAGAATATGCATGCATCTACGTACATACAGTAGATGGATGATGATCGCAAATCTTTCGTCATCTTTAGATTTAACTTCGACGGCGGAGGGAAGAAGCGAAGAACAAGAAGATGTCGACAAAAGATTAAAAACAGGAGACTCAAGTTAGGGAGATGTTTGACTTTTGGTCAAAGTTTGGGTGACTGAGTTTGGGCGGCACGAGGGCTCTCGGGCCCGAACAGGCACCAGATTTAAGCGAAATGCTTGACTTTTTGCACCGAAAACGAACGTTCAACAGTATACGAGAAGCGCCCAGGGCCTAAAATCTGACCACAGGAGGGGAGGGGCCGGGGCTCTCAGAGGTCGATAGGTCAAGCGCGTTTGTTGTTTGGCGGTTCTTTCGCCTAGGCACGGTTAATCGTTTACTCCTCGAACTGTAGGCCAGAGCACCCATAATCCCTTGAAGAGAACCTAGGTACCTAGGTACCAGGTAGAGTGACAAGGGAGAGAGGTGACCCAAGCCGCCGGCACCGCCTAGTAAACTAGGTTAGGGGTAAGCAGGAGGAGGTTCGGGGGTACCCAAAACTCTATGCGCCTGTGGAGGCTCCCGACTTGAACCCCCTAAGTTCGAACTTTAGGGCTGATGGACAGGGTATATAAGGCCTGAAAGTCTTGTCTTCCGGCTACCTTTGGGGCGCACCCACCCACGCGACCGGGGCTTGCCAAACAAGAAGACAACAAAAGTGTCTGTTCATTAGGCTTTGGAGCCTAATATTAGGCGACACCTGATCCATGTGGAGCCCCGTGGCAGTAGTGACAAGGCCCAATATGCCCATGCCACAACTCTAATAGACATTTTGCCAGCCGATCCATCGTGGGGAACGATGGAAGTGTGTTTTTTGTGTTTTGACTCTTGAGAAGTCTATTTCAATGTCATCTCTTGGGAGCATCAAAATAAGTCTAGGAGAAAAGACTGGCATAGAATTCTTGGGTTGGGAAAAAAGAACGATTCTTCGAGTTGCATGTTGTTTGTGGACCAGCCTAGTGTTAGTGTCTGGTCTGGGGTTCGAGGGCCGCGGCTAATAATAAGGGGGAGCCAGCCTGTTTCTCGATTGTTCTCATGACCGCTTCTCGCTATTGAGACCGTCATCACCAACCGAAAAGGTCAAAGTCATGAAAATGATCATGAAACGGGTTCAAATGACCACCTCTCAAGCTCTTACATTGCAAGATGCCATTTTGGACATAGGAGCGTACATTTTAAGGCTGACATCATGCAGGCTATGAGCATGTCTCCTGCAGGGTCCTCTATAGAGAGAATGTCCAACTAGGTCGGAATGGGTCGGCCATGTGATCTGATCTTCTTCACAGAGGTCCTTGTCTCATCGTCTCGGTAAAACGATGAGCAGATGTCGAGTCGAGAACATATCGACATGCAGAGCGAAGAACCACATGGTGGAAACACGGTAGTACTCTGTAGAGGAGTGCTTTGTGACATGACTCATGGACCCTCATCACCCGCAAAGCCGACCAATCCTTACTGATTTGGTCTGCAGCTTGGGCACTATGACCCGCGAGCCGCGGAATTGAACGCATAAGACGCTCGTACCTCAAGCCGAAGAACCGAGTTTACTCATCCCCCAAATCTCAACCGATCGTATCCCGCATGTCTGTCTCGATGCAGAAGTCGTAGAGCTCGACACATACGACAAGGCGGCGCGGTGCACATGACAAGGGTACGTTGGGCATGCTGTCAGCCTAGCAGTCAATATTTACACAGCAAAAGTACCTAAGTAGATAACACCCAATGCAGCATGCCGATCCCTGTGACAGGGAAGCCTCGGCGTGTTTTTGAGCAAAAAGTACATGAGTAAGCCAATATGAAGAAAAAAGAGTGGTATGACACTCCGTGATCTCCGTTGAAGAAGAAAAAGACTCATGCACGCGGACCATGGATCTGTCGATCGGCTTCTCATGTCCTTATAACATGCATCCAAAATGTGAATCTTTCTCCACATGGGATCAGTACGTAGTATTATTCAAGTACAAGGATGACTTGGCCAGTGATAGACAAGGACCACCCTGATTTGGGTCCGACACGGTGTCAGATCGAGTGCCAGGATTCGTACGGAGTAGATGCCAGCATGACGGGACGTGCCCGGAAACAGTCGCTTAGTAGGCTTTGTCGGACTGCCAGGGATCTGAATCGTTCACACACGACCAGCTGAAACAATGCCTGGATCTGGTCCCTGTACCTGAGGTCGTATAGACCAGTGTATTGATACTGCCTGAGCCAGTGCATCCTCGCTCACTAGCTGCTTCCATAGCTCAAAGGTCTCCTATACAATGGCCGAAGAGTATGATTCGCGTGTGAATTGGGGTCACGTTATGCTTAGCCATGGTCCATCGCCATGGAACCCTTGCCCAAGGGAAATAGAATGGGGTGTTACACCAACCTCTCCCCCTACAGGCTATTGCAAACGCATGTAGGACCTGGTCCCAGCCAAGAGGACCACGCGGAGCAACTCATCCTGGTGGTCTGTATGGAGCACATGTGCATGGCATTGTCCTCCACTCAAGATGGGAAAGCGAAATTCCCATCCCCATACTTGTAGCGTAGAACATGGGGCACACGGCACACCTGGGCCACCAAGACAACCATGACGGCAGAAAATGCTGGAGCTTGCCCTTATTGTCGTCAACTGAAGGCTGTCCACCCGTCAGGGACAAAGGGTAGTCTGTCTTGGTACCAGTCTAACGATCTTGTGCACTCGTCACAAATCCAACCATCTAGCTGGTCCTGGGGGCTATTGTCTCTAACTGTCTTAGCCCGCCCTTTCTGCCGAGGGATTCATTTTCCATTCCCACAAGGGCTTGGGCCTATCGAGACCAGCCTCTTTAGCTCAAAACGGCCAAGAGCTTGCAGAAATCTGCTTCACGGATGCGGCATGCTCTCCCGCACGCACCGCTGTCAGGGTGTCCAGTGGATTGGGCAAAAGCCCACGTCAGACTTTCTTAAATCCAGGCATGGCTGAACCGCTTGTAATGCCCACCATATTCAAGAAGACTGTCGTCTTGGTATCGTTGTTTTTATTAGTGTGTGGGCATGCTCCAATGGGTGCCGATCTTTTCTCATTCGCTTCGCAACCAGAAGCGGCCGGCTGCAGGGCCCAAACGCATACTAGTATCCTGTCCTGCAACTTGTCGTCTTACGCCTTTGCTTGGGTTGCGTAGCACTCGGTAGCCCAATTTCGCAACACGCACCAAAGATGGGCCGGGTTCTTCTGGTGGGCTCTTCTGGTGGGCACCCATTACTTAACCGTTGGCAAACCATATCTGCCTCAAACTTCCATGTCTTGCGTTAGTCCCGATCCCAGCCGAGAAGTCAGTTCTTCAGAACGGGTGCAGGCACCGTGGCACGACATGTGTCAGCCCGACAAACGAAACCTTGTCTGGGGTGGTACCTGGAAAAACCACCGAAATTTGCGTGGTTGCCGGTCAGTAACGGCCAGAGAAAGCCTAGGGCCCAAAGACTGCTAGCTTTGTCAAAATGCTTCGTAGTCCGGCTTTTGTGCTTCCATCATTATAAACAGAAGGAGTCAGCGCCATGGAGTAGGGTCTAAGTCTTTGGCGACCAACAACTTTGACACGCTGGGAGTTATTGAGAACTTAGTCCACAGCCATCGAGCGAAAAGAAGCCGACAATCTTCCCGCCTTCATAGGCTAGCAGGGACTGGAAGCATGAATTCACCGAAGCATGCTTCGAAGCCACATGCATGTCTCCAGCTATGGAAACCCGCTCCCAAGTCCCGGTAGTACTTCCGTTCATCACAAACTAGGCTAATCGTTGGAGCACCTTGCAGACTTGCATCCTGGATGCGTGGACAGGTGCGACTGAGCAACAAACGGCTGACTGACTCGGGAGAGACCCCAAATCGTGACAGGATCCGAGGAGCGGGATCCGACGGCAAAAAAGTCTTGAGTTTTTGGACAGAGTCTGACGGAGCGTGTGGAGATAGGCGATCCGTCAGCACCCAAGGACAAAGCCTGGCAAGCCTGTCTAACGAGGTTCATTAGGCGCAAAGAGAAAATCTCAATCACAAGCTGGATGGGCACAGGCTAACATTACTCCAACAAGTAATCCGCCAGGGGCTGATCGGCCTTGGCCAGGGAACCCCCCGAGAAGAAACGATATGCCTCGAGACGGAGAGCAGAAGGGAACGCCCGGCACTGAACAAAGGCACACCTATGTAAGCAGAATGTGTGCGCCATACGCATATGGGCAATCGCTGTGCGCATATTCGTACTCGTAGGCAGGATCCCTAAGTCTCAAGCAAGACTATGCATATGACGCAACGCTGGGTGGCCTCTCATCCCCACTGATGGTTCCAGCAGAAGCGGCTCGGGAAATTCGATAGCCGACTGAGGACAAGTCGGCTCTTTTGCCAACACAATCATGTTGAGCAAATACCTTGCACTGACTCGTAGGCACAGATAGGCCGCTACAAGACCCAACTGCAGTTCTCGGATGCTCGAGCCTCGCGCGAATCATAGCAGTTTCCTGATATATCCGGATTCGCAGGGATATGCTGAGGTTGAGTGGAGAATTATAATATCGATGGGGCGTCCATGGAAGTCCCAGTCGGCCAGGCCAGTCTCATCAGAGGGTGTACATATGGGCGACGATCGGGGCCAGATCGGACGAAGTGCATGTTAGTCGTGGCGTCGTCTGCTGGGAGTGAATTGACAACCCGGCCCCCTGGCCGGACTCTTGTTGATGAGGAGCCCTATGGAAGAGATTCCATGCATGACAGAGAGCAAGGATAGTGGGCCACCTTAGATTTATCAGGGTTAGCTTGGGACAGGGATTGGAATTCTGGCAACGACGCTGGTTCGTATCCGGAATGAGCTACCAACCTGTGGCACGTACACGAAGCACGGTCAATTAGCGGCCCTCGGCCACATCGACCAAGCTGGTGAATAGTAGGAATGATGTAACATGAAAGCGTGGATGGACTGTGTGAGGCATGCAAAGAGGGAAAAGAGCCACGACGGTTTTTGCCTGCGGATTTGCCTGCGGATTTGACTGTGCGAATGATCTCTGTAATCTGATCTCGAGGCAGGTGCCTTGCCCTTTTTACTTTCACCGTTTAAACTTTTGGCAGGCGCGACCCTCGATTCAAGCACACGTGACTCTACCTGCTCCCAATCGATCACAACACGCGTAGGTTTATAACTTGACATCAATACTGGCAGTCTGGAGGGCTGAGGGCGCCAATCTCATTTACAATGGCGCTTGTAACCATGTCGAAATCCTGCATCCTGTCGCTTTTGGGACTAAACTGAACTCAGACTACAGCTGCTCGGCCTTCGCTTGTGAGAAGTCGGTACCATGACCAGAGCACCACTTCGCCACCATCCCTCCCCTCCCATGGATCCTATGCCGCTGGGCATTCCATCATTAAGCATGTACTTTTGCTCCCGGAGAGCCCGTGCCATGGCCAGTCATGTGACAAGACCATTTCCCATTCCGTTTGCTATATCCATGCACGAAAAAAACGTGTGCTTGCAAAATCAAAACATGTACATGGTACGTGGTCGGTCAAGAATCGCTAGCATGAAACTAGACCGCCAACACCGCGTGACCGCAAACCCTCATGGGCAAGCCAGGTGAAGTAATGGGTATATCCCAACGCCCTGCGAACAACTGCCGGGAAACAAAGAGTGACTTTCCATGACCAGTGGCCCACTTCCTTCGCTGAGTTTTCGTGTGGTGATGATACATGGGCAGGCCACTCTAAGTCGCGCGCCGCACTATTGCTGCTGAGGATGACTGCTGCCTCCCCACTGACCCAGTTGGGGCGGCTGTGAGTAGTGAGACTGTGAGATCGGTTGACCACCTCCATCAGGATAGTACCCGCTTCTGGGACTCTGATAGAGGTGTGACGGTGGTTGACCAGAGTCGCGTCGATCGTCGTATTTGACCTGACTCGGCGAAGGCTGGCTCTGCCTGGGATGATCCATAGGCGATGCCGTCGAATTCACTGGATATTGACCAGTGCGATACGAGACACTGCTTCTGGAATCCATTGACACAGGGCTTAAGTTGTTCAAGGGTCGCTGCATGTTCATTGGCGGGTACATGCTAGACTGAGGTTGGCCTATCGACGGTATACTGGTGGGTGTTGCAGGAATCGATTTCGAGGACGGTGGCAGAGAATTGCTCAATGAAGCGTAGCTTCGATTGTATGTCGATTGTTCATATTGACTGTATTCGTTTCGGTTGTTTTGTAAATGTGACGCAGTCACGGGTGACTGAAGGTAGGATCCCGTCATCGGGGAGACACCTATTGGGTAGGGTTGCCCGTTTGGTTGCTGGTTCATCGGTGGATAGCTTTGAGGCATGTAATATTGCTGCTGCTGTTGTTGCTGGTGCTTGTAATCTGGGAGATAGCCTTGAGGGTTGACGCGATAGCCATAAGGAGCCTGGCCACCTTCGACTTCGTCGGCATCTTCGAGGGGAGACCGGAAGCTCTGCTTCGATGTGAGCTCTGGCCGTGGGCGTATATACTGGAGATTGTCCGTCTGTGAAGGAGTGCGCAACGCATTGGAGATGACGTCGTTGACATTGTAGTAGCTGACCAGGTGGTGAGTGACGCCTTGAACGGTCACACTCATCGTTTTCTTCACCAGCCCGTCCTGCTTGAACCCGTACGAGTCCACAAGTGAGCCGATGAGTTGTCGTTCGACTTCAGAGGCTGTGCGGTCTCCGCTGTTTGCTCCGTACGCCGAGGATTGACTCCCGTCGGAAAAACTACCATCAGGTCGAGGGTACGGTTCCCCAGGACGGCTAGGACGTCGTTGTTGTTTCTTCATCGCGCGCTTCTTCTCGCCTGGAGGAAAGGGCTTGTCGAGTTCGCGGTAAACTAGGAAATTGCCTAGGATACGGCTTGGGCTCCAGGTGACTCCGTCCGTCCATCTCTTGATCCCAGAGGCATTCTCTTCATAGATGAAGACGCAGCCGCTTCGGATTAGGCTATTGCGTTCGCGGTCGTGCGGCCTTCGTGGAACATGTGAGAGGTGTCCTTGGAGGCATGCCTCAAATAGAATGAGGGCATCCTGTGTCGTAGCAACATGGCCTTGGAACGTCGGCTGCAGCGCCGCGCCGCCTGTTGACATGATGAAGCAATGTCGAGAGAATTCAAAGTATCGAGTGAAGTTGATGGCAGCCTTGTAGGAGAGTTTGGTGCGGAGAGGTTTAATCTTAAGCGAAACTCAGAACCGAGATGTTAGAGCTTAGGGGCGCCAAGGTTGAAGGTTTAGTGAGGCGTGAGACCTTGAGGAAAGTTGGATGAAGAAGGCGTGAAGTCAACCTGGGAACTGGACAGACGATATACGGTTGGTGTGAGAAGTGAGAGTGCTGGGCCTGTGCGGTCAGGGACACCAGTTGGGTTTGGCCAGGGTGAGCAGCCAGTATAGAAAAGATGGCAAAGTGTCAGGAAACAGAAAGTCGATTCCAAGCAACGTAAAGCGACTTGGACGAAAGCATCCGACACTGGAGAGAATTGGTGTGTTATTCCCTGACGTGTGTAGCGTAGCGCCGAGGGAGAACAATAATGAAAGCTCAGATGTCTCGGTGACCTCGTATGGAAGGTAATCTGCGTAATCTGCGTAACTTACAGTCAAATGACGGACAAGAATGCAGCATGGACGCCGCAAGGTGATCCGCACAAACTTTGACTTTGGAGTGGTTTGGAACAAGTCACGCTTTTGGCTGGAGTAAGTTTTCTAAGTTCAAGGAACCGTGATGGATAGTTTTGAGGCGTTTATGAGGGGTTGATCTTTCAGTCAAGGATGAGGGGACCCCCGAGACTTGACCTCATTGCCAAATGACTATTCCGTAGTTGAAGTCAAGGACCCGCCAGTCTAGTCCACGGCGCCAAGTCGAGTTGTCAACAAGTGTCCGCACAGAAAGCTGTAGGTCAATGGCTTGTTGGCTAATAGATTTTGCAACCAAGGTTTCCTTCTGACTTGATTCCGTTGGCAACGCAGGCAACGGTGGTTGGAGTTGCGATACTCAGCTGGAAGGTGGGAACCTGCGACCTTGGAGGCAAACGCGGACTGTGACTAAGGGAAGAAGGCAGCTGAAGCTAGCGGGGACTTGTAGGCCGGCTGTGGTTGGAAGGAAGAGTGAGCAGGTGTTTAAAGTGGCGAATATTTCAGGTGAAGGGGAGGTGCTACGAGGCCTGTGAATCTTGCTGGTTTTCCCCAAGTGTGTGTTGAGTGGTGGTCACAGGGAAAGCAGCTCGGACAGTCGTCGTGGCCTGAGTGCATGAACACGATCCCGATGGCATAGAGATGCTAGGAGGAGATTTGTCGGGTTAGAGGGCGAGCGTCCGCCCTGTGATTTTGGAGGGAGCGGTGGAGCAATACCGAGTACAGAGGTGGTCAAAGAGTCAGCGCCCAGGGGGTGGGCCAATTACTCAAGGCTGAGGATGCACCGTCAAGTGTCTGTGGCCGGGATTGAGAGCGAGCGGGGTCTTGACTTTGGCCGATTTAAGTCTTGCTAGAGCGACAGGGGCGATAGCCTTTCGGGAGGCCGGGGGAGGGTTGATAGTCTGCGACCAAGGTGAGAATGCGGGCGGAGACAGCCAGAAGATATGGTTGGATTTAGGCCCGCCGAAGATGGAGCATGAAAGGATTGGCGATGTGACTAAAAGCTGCATGTCATTACTCGTGCAATATCGGGACTAGGTTGTCATGCTGGCCTGTACGAGGTGAGGCGTGCGAGGAATGGGATGAGAAGGAGACAGAGAGATGAAGCGATGAGACGACGTCTCAAGGTGACATGCCGATCTAGGTGTGCCGAGTTATTGACGGGAGAAGGATGGAAGGCGCAAGTTGTCTCGACAAATTACAATTCTCCTTGAAGCCTGCTCCTGCCTAATGTTCCGTAGTTTGCGTTTTTTGGTAAATCAAGCAAGAGCGTCGATCGTGCTCGGTGCGACGGGGGACCCAGGCCGAGGGGCACTTTCGCGAGGCGCCAGGCACGACTCCTCGCCTGAGCGGTCCCTGTAGGTCCACCGGCAGAAGCAGGCAGAACGACACCTTGGGGGTGCGTAGGGGCCCTCGGGCGTCGTCACGACTCGCGACTCGCAGATTTTACAGGACATATGGAGTACTGCACAGGCGAGGAACCCCACCCCTGGAACCATCCCCCACCATAAACCGAGGCAGTCCCTTACCGTAGTTGCTGTTTTAGGTGTCCAGAGCCGGGGGAACGGCTCCAGGCAGTGCGACAGTTCTGTTGTCGCCTCCATCATGGCTAGAATGGTTCCGCCGGGCCATCGTCGTAAATTCTCTCTTCAGACTCTGTTATGGTGGTAGAGCGACTACTCAGTACGGCTACACCCGCCCAAAGGCCGAACCATCTACCACCCGGAAAACATGCATTGGTGGAATTTTAGAGCCGACTCAAGTCGCTAAGCGACGAGTTTTGACAGCATGGATCCATAAGATGTCGCTGGGTCGAAGAAATGACAAGTTATAGAAGGACCCGAGGTCTCCAGGTTGAACCTCAGGGAATTGCAGCATTCAGTGTCAAGAAATGTTCTGATGATTGAAGAAAGGAGAAGATGCGCATGCCAGATGCCTGAATTGGGCCATTCGGCGTCGCATGGCGGGTCATGTTTACTTACTCCGTAGCACTCGTATGCATTGTGCGTCCTTCGTAGGTACGATGTTCCTCGCATAATCTGCGCGCGGTTTTGGTACGACATTTGGCCGTTCAGCACTTCAACCGCGGCGGCGTTTCGAAATAAATCAACGTTGCCAGCATTCATATGGAACAACGTGTTTCTCCGGCAAGCATGGACACCCGCGACACCTCTTGAAACCCATGACCATGTTTCTCGAATCGAAACTGGTGGCGATCGCCAACCGACCAATGTTGGACCGAGTTGACCGTTGACTACAAAGCACTTGAGGCGCCTCTGGACACCCGCCACGGGCTCCCACTACTGACCTCATATGCAAGCTTGAGATATCCACCTCAAGTGGTTAGTTGAAATCTGCATGATTGTCTGCAGTTGGGGTTTGGTGGCGTTCAGCCCTGTAGAAGTTCGTAACGGTTGACTACCGTGGCTGACTTTCGTAGTTGGCATATCTCTCCCGTGCGTAAGCAACCACAACAACTCGCGCGATATCAAATCTCAGCTTGTCAAGAATACGGCGGACTCGGTACTTGGGGTGGTGGAAATGAAACGTCATCTCCCTCTTGCATTTTGATTCAACAGAGCAGCGGTGGCACTCTTGATTCAAAGTTTACCACTGTGTCAAGTGGCACGTGCTGAGATGACTTACTCCGTAAGTTGTAGTGGGCGTGAATGGGGCAGAGACCCTGAAGAATTGGACACGTCTAGGCCAGGCCTCAAGCCATTATTAAAGTGTGGGCGGTTTGGCGAAAGTGGCTACTGACCAAGATAGGAAGGCGGACATCATAGTGTGCATTTGACGAGGTTGTCCGTCCTCTGCTTTCAAAGGTGACGATGTAAACAATCAAGTTAGCAGAGATCGCGACATACTGAAGCCATGGTCATCCCCAAGCATGATCAGGAAGATTTATGAAATCAGGGAGAGATGGTAAAGCGGCATAATCGAAAAAGATTCGTTTTCTGTTGGGGACTTCCAAACAGGAGCAGGGGCAGTGGCAGTTGCATGATAGCTCTGAGTCCAAGAAGCATTGCAGGCAAGAACTAAGGTACTCGGTATTTACTATACTGAGCACCTACAGGCTACAGACATCATGCACCACGCCGAAGCAGGCCGAGGGGCGCCAAAAGTGCTCACCTATTGGCAGGGCTATTTGGCCATGTTGGTCGTGAATTGCAGGTACCAAGTACTGGGATCTTCACAATAAATGAACCGGGATTGAACAGGGTGGAGTTTGCATAGCCACAATGTCCATGCGAACGAGGATCATGCTTACCTGTTAGGACCCATGTCCACGCTGCTGGTGGAACAGTTGACCCAGGAGCTTGGTTCTTGTAAAGTTGACACCCGGAGGTAACATGGGTTGGCGGTGCCGTGTAAGGATGTTTCAGCGCAACAGGCGCACACTGAGGGCTTGAGAATTACATCAAGATCCTGGAATGGCGGTCCTTGTCTGTCTGACGTCTGTGGTAGCCTAGACTCTACCATTTGGATGGGCTCGAGCTCGTAGTCGGTGGCTTCCGAGCACCAATCAACAGCAGCATGATGAACCAGAATGAAGTGGAGGACGATGAAGCCGGCAAGTCGGTATAGATAGGCGGGCAGATAGGGATCTTGGGGGTGGTAGAGGATTTATGGGTACGCATTTTCGATCACTCAGGCGTGAGCTTCCGAGTGTGCCAGGCATTACTACTGGTGGAATGCTGGCTAGGGATTTTTGTAACGGGGGTGGTTAGACCCAATAGTGAATGAGGTACCAGTGGACTTAGGTAATGGTCGCAAGACCCTCGGGCAATTCGGCCTTATTATTCCAAGACCCATGTGCCTACTGTACCTAGCTTGCATCGCCATTCGGCCTTGCGAATCGGTCGCTATCCACTACACCACAATCGAGGATGCAGAACAGCAAGCCATTCTTGCTCTTTCTTCTGTTCACGATTGTCGCGCATGGCTTGTGATCTGTGCTCGATCGAGGAGGGGCCATGAAATCGCCGCGGGAGAAAGAGGCTTCGTCTCCATAACGGTGACATGCCGGGGCATGTGCCCATCTCCTTTTGACAACCCGTCGAGGTCGTTGCATGCCACAGATTGACCAGGACCAAAGCGGGTCAACATTGACTGCGCCTCCTTGAGATTCTGCAATGGGACATGCGTCAAATGCCGATCGGGTCCCTTCCATCGGATTTCCATCTCGTCTGTGCGGAGGCGAACATGGTATGTAATGACCAGGACCTAATTAATTCGTGAGATGCGACCATTAGGACGCGTACGACGCAATCAGAAATGGAAATCTCCTGTCGTCTACCATGCCGTAGGGTTATCCTGTTATATGTATGTAACATGCACATGAATGTCGGTCGAAGATGTGATTGATCGCCACAAAACTATAGGTGGATTGGTGGTGGTGGCTGGAACCTCTCTGTAACTGGGGTGGTGCATGCTGCCTTCATGTAGATCAGATTGAGTGTACGAGTAGACCTTTTTGTCGCTTGACCATTTTGCTTGTACGTCCCCTTATTACCAACCGTCTGTGGTCAGGATACTTTTTCCTCAAGCTTCGCTCGTGGCTGGTCTGCAGGGGTTCCCCACAACTAACAAAACCATCACGAGCAAACTGACTTTGTAGACTTTCTCTGTTGCTTATATCATTCTGCCACAGATCAAGTTTCGTAAATGATCCAGTCGTGGAGCGTGGTCGGAGGCTAGAACACGCTGTGAATTCCAGTCTGGACATTTCTGGTCCAAACCACTCAAGCATGTGAATAGATTGAGAGAGGGGGAGAATCAGAGCGGATCTGCTTGAATCGGTCTGTACTAAGATGGCACGGATGGATACTGCAGGATTTTCTCACTGGTTGGTATGATGTTGTGGCTTCGATATGACTCATGCTACGGCAACACACACATATGGAGTAGTCATCGAACAGCGGTAGGAGGTACCTCGTCGTTGCACCTTGGGCCAGTGGTGCCTGGCTTTTCTGTCGTGGCTCGTGGCCTACGTGGCTACCTAGTCGAAAAAGTCGAGTCCAATCACGAGGGTACTACGGAGTACTACAACTACTACACAGTACTGAAATTGCAGATTGCTCACGGCGGGTCTCAGCGTTATTCTCAATCGTGACTTCGCGTATGCAACAATGACCCTGGTGCTCTGGAGGTAGCTGAGTACTCATTCGTGATGCGTTCACCGCACACACACGCCCTCTCGCGAGCATCCACATACGAGAGGCTGGTGTCCGATCAGATATCCACGTCCTGAAGCTGCTCGTTGCAACCCCATCTCAATGCTCCACTACCATAGGACTTCAGCGACTGGTGGTTAACATGGTCGAAGTCGCTAGGTGGACTCAAACCCATCCACTGATCGCCGGGCCTGGACCTGAGAGAGAGGGTCAAGATGGATCCTCTCTCGAACATGATAAGCGTGATCAGCAATAAATCAAACGCCATCCACGGATGTCGGCAGACGTGCGTCGTTAGAGATCTCAATTATGGGCATGCGGAACTGACCTTTTTTGTATAGGATCGGCATTTGATCATCGCTGCGAGGTATGTCTGTCACGCTGTGTCTGTGTCTGCGTCTTGCGTCGGCTGCCACGCCTGCACACTCCGTACAGTACCCCTCCAGGCAGCCAGGGCGGCCAGGGGGGCTGCTGACATACCCATGCACGCCTGTGGATTGTTCGGCACGCTGCCCGCGTGATTTTGGGGGGAGCTGCGGGCTCCCCCCTCTACGTACGGAGTAAGTACGGAGTAGCTACAGCAAGTAGGTGCGGGTAGTGGGAGGAGGCAGGGCGTAAGTTATGACCAAGACCAGTTGTAATGCTGAAACAGACCCCCCGACCTCACCGGAAGTGCTCTTGTGGGCACCCGGAGTGTTGAAGCATCGTGGCGGGTGCGCTTTTATCCCTCATAGCTTTGTGGCTGCCCCTCGAGACCCAGGGCCCTGGTCCGGCTCAACCTGTCACGCAGGTCGAGTCTGTCACTGATACTGAACAAGCCTTGATGCTCGGGACCTCAACAATCAACAACTTTACGCCCACCAGACACTGTGGAGAGCCCCAGGCGCCCCCAACCTGCTCTTTAAAGCTGCCTCTGCAGATACTCCAGCACCGATAACAACAAACACAGCAACGTGGACAGTAGGTAAGTAGCAGCAGACAAACTGTGCAACAATAGCCGATTTCCCCTGCATACTAACTACCAATCTGGCGTAATTGTGGTGGCAGCCATCGTTCTTGCCTCTGGAGTTCTCGGTCTCTTTCTGCAGTTGCATCCCATCAAAGGTGCCTCCTTCCTCGTCCTCGTCCTCCTCACACCCCACACACCCAGGATCTACCCTGGCCGCCCACGTTGATTCTCTTTCTCCTTTGACTTGCTCGTCGACACTCACCGATGCCATTTGACTTTCGCCAAACAATACCCATGCAGGCTCTCTGGCATCACATGCGTTTCCTGAGCACGCCTGTTACCTGCACATCGTCAACTATGCCATTTGTGACGCTGACAGGCATTCTCACGACCCCAGTGTTGTCGTCTGAGTTCTGAGTTCTGCATTCTGAATTCAATCTGTAGCAGGGTTGGAGCAATCCGCTCCGTCAAAGATCTAGAACTCTACTCGTGTGGGAGGGATCTACCGAAAGCTAACACTGTCCAGCTCAAGCAGTCCTATCAACTCATATCTGAGTCAATGCCGCGAGAACCCCGAAAAAAACCAAGGTCTGCCTCCGTCCTGTGCGACCAGTCCTGTGGGATATCTCATAGGCACAGGCACTGTCCCACCAAACACTGCCCTCAAGGAGTCCTTTCCTTCATCTACAACCTGCTCGTGTTCACCAGACATCTCCTCGTTCTCTGCAGAGACTGGAACGATGACTCCACACTCCCAGTTGCGACAGTTCAATTTAAGACTCTTTCCATTCCTGTCCTGGACAAGTTGCCCCCTACAGAAAACAAGTGTGGAGTTAGCCCAAAGTCTGTTATCCCAAGATGTCAGGAAGTGAAATTGAAAGAAGCTCCAAGACTTGAACGTTTTGAACGCCCAGTGTCTGTATTTGCAGTTGCAACCGGCTCCTCCCGCATCACCGCCTCGAAAAGAGAAAACTCAAGGGAGGCGGCTCTTACCATGCACTTTCAGACGCATTAGCAGAGCCAACATAAGCCCAGCCTCTAATTTTGACATTCTTGCCAGTGTCAACAGGAGATGGGAATCGTACAAAAATCATCTGTGAAGGGTCAGTGCCTCTGGAGCCCAGAACTCAGGAGTCCGGCGAACTTGCAACGTTCGACCCACCTTGTTATGCATGAGTAACCCAGCTCGGCTTGAGATACAATCTCTAACGAGGTCTCTTGGAAATTGACTGCCATCAAACCATTTCTGCGACGTGCATATTGTACCTGCACAGCCAGGCCCACCCTTGGAGGCTCTAACAGTAGTATCGCTAGGGAAGTATAGTCGTAGGTTGGAGTGCCAACCACGCCCGACAGTTGAGCTCCGGCCCACCGCAACGCTCGTCTTTGTGGTCCGTTGCAAGTACCCCTTCATACCATCGTCACCCTGGGCTGCAAAGTAGAGCGAAGCGACAAAGTCGTTATTGAGGCTGCCCATGGACGAGGCCACAATGTCGACTTGGATGTTCTCGTCGGTCCCGAGTCCTAATTCCTTGACAGTACGACCCAAGCCACAGACTCCTGTATCACGCCATTGTCGCCCTGTGTGTGCCCCGCCCACGGTATGCACGAAGCCGAGTTGTTCAGTCTTCGTGAAGTCGAACCGCCCCAGTTTGTCAATGACATCTTCTGGCACCATCTGCGCCCGCAAGAATGAAGAGAGGGATCTGTGGAAAGCTGTCTGATCATGCTTACCGTAGAGGTCTGGTCTCGTTGCATTGTTACCATTTTTGACATGGTCCTGCTGACACGCCCTTATCATAGGCAGGTCGATGATGAACGCCGTATTTTCCATGACACCCCCAACTCCCCAGTCGGTCGAGGTGAGGTTAGCCGTTGGGACCACGACGCGACAGCGAGGACCCGCCCAGGAGGTGCCACTACATGGTTCTGTGGTCTGCTGGCCGTCCATGTCGTCTGCATCATAGAACAAGAGCATCAATTTACTGTGCATGCAATTGACCAACCCGTCCATGGGTGGGAAGCAGAGTCGGACATTGGGCACACCCTCGAAATCCTGGCGGAGTGCTTCACGCTGTGGGGGCGTTTTTGCATGCATCACAAGCTGGAACTTGGTCCGAGTCGTTGCAAAATGAGGTAGCAGCCAGTCAAAATCCCAAATGAAGCTGGACAGTAGACATGAGGTCAAACTCTCTTTCGGACCGACGACTTGACTGAAAGATATCGTGTTTGTGGACGGAAACCCGGCAATGTAAGTTTGGAGCACGCGACCAGCAGGGTAGAAGCTATCGCGACTGGCTTCGAGGCTGTGTCTGAGGTTCGATGAACTGGTATCAATGGACATCAATTGAGTCGCAGCAACACCACCAGCCGTGAGTCGTCTTCTGACGGGTGGAGGGGAGACGCTGGCTGGACTGGCAGTCCTCGAATTATGTTGTCCATTCTCAGACGTTATGTCCCGCCGACGGGCATCAAGCGAACTGTCGCCCGGCTGTTGATCTGTCCGCTTCCGCTTTAGTCTGGCTTGACGCTCTTGCTCCATCTGATGACGGTTGAGTGTCTGCAGATTGAAGGTGGTGGCTGAAGTTGACAGAGCACCAGGGTTCAATCCATCTCCCGCAACATTGGTGTTTGACATGGTGAGTGTCTGGGTTACATTGTTTCGCACAGTATCTTGTGATCTCTGTGGTGGCGATCCAGACTTTTCATGATCAGAGGTAGGGTTGTTTGGCGTTTCTAGAGACAGAGCAATTGCGCGGCGAAGGTCTTCATCTTCGTCCGAGTCAAGGTTTAAGATATTTTCTGTCAAGTCAATAGGTGCTGGATTCGCGGCAGATGAACTTGGATCAGTACCTTTACGCAGTGACTGTCTGATCGGGATCCCCACTGTGTTGGTATTGTCGTTACTGCTCACTGGTCGAGTTGGGTTATCTTGGACCTGACCATCTTGCTGCTTCCTCGTCTCGCTCCCAGCCCATTTCTTTCCAAGATCGGTAGGTCCGCCGCCTTTCAGGCACATGATTTCTTTGAAGCAGATATCCTTGGCTTCCTCGATATTTTTGGCCCTATTGGCTTTGCGGGCAATGCCGTCTTTAACAGCCCCGATGATAGAGCACCGTGAGTACATGGTTTCGCCTCTGCCAAGGAAAACGGGTGTGTTTGTATCCCCAATGCTCCGATTTCTGATGGTTGTTTGATCCGATGCGAGGCCACTGGGCGCATACACAGGAGACTCAGGCAGTGAGTAATCGTCATCGTCGTCGAGAAGGAGAATTGCGTCGCTAGTGCCACTCCCTGAGGACTGAGGGTGCGGTCTGCCAGTCGGCGATTCGTTGGTGGCTGTGATGACGACGTCTGGAGTGCTCCTCGTCTCACTTGTTGGTGAGTCAACGGAGTCAAGGTCAAGATCAATGGCGGCCTCGTAGTCGGCAGTCAAGTCAACAAAACCCTGGGAGCTGTGTGTTGGAGGCATGATGGGTTCAAGAATGAGATCGACGTGGTTTGATGAATAAGTCGTGACCCGACGCGGTCTTATGTGACAATCTACCAATCGTGGTTTGAGCCGTGTCAACCGCCGGCTTTTCTGGGTCAGAGACTGTGCCTTGAAAGTCAAGTTTGCTTGGCTATCCAGAAAAGATGGATGTGAGGTTGAATGATGTTCGCGGGTTGAGCCAGCAGGGAAAGCTAGACGAACAGACTCATGGACAGATGGTCGGATATGTGATTGTGAAAGAGGGTGTGGTAAATGTTTGAGTGACGGCGAAACCTGAGAATTTAGTCTAAAGATGGAGATGAGACTGGCAGTCCAAACACAGAGGTCTGATCTTGAGTTTGCGGGGATCATGTAGTAGTTGTTACACAAGAGGACAGACTCCAAATGCGTAGGCACAAGGCACCCAGGAACGTTGAGGCAGTCTAGCCCAGGCGGATCATGTCTGCGAAACCTGCTTTGACAGTAACGGCTAGGTACTGAACAATGAATGTTAGACCTTGATAGTATTCTTTCGCATCCAAGACTGTGAAATCATGTGAAGAAAACTCAGGATGGTGATAGAAACAGGTGGTGCAATGGCTTGTCTGATTGAAAGTTTGGTGATGGACCGTGACTGACGCGAGGGCGAAATAAGGGCAACTGAGTAAGACAAGTCTCAAAAGGGCGAAGAGACTGCCGATGTAGTAAAATGGACAATGTCTCACAGAACAAAGACAGAGACATACGATAAGACAGTCTTGTGAGGTCAATAAACTGAGGTTGAAGCACAAAGACGATGTGACGAGGTGACTTTGTAGCCAATCAGGGTGATGTTTTGCTCCAGGCGCCAGCGCTGCCTAATTTGTAAACTCACGAGGATCTTCTTCATGGGCATGCTTTCTTAGGTATCCAGGATAGCAACTTACAGGGGTTGTTCAGGCCGAGGGGGCTTCCCATGCGCCTAGAAGATGACTGGAGGACGCCTGGGGACCAAACTTTAGGGGATGGCTTTCCCCGCCTCAGTCTTAGTAACGAGGGTCCTCGGGTTGGGGTAGGTACCTACTGTAGGTACTTAAATGGTGGTCGACAGCCTTTCTCTGCCTGCAGCCTTACTGGAGTTCACTAATGCTTCATCCTTTTTGTTCTATCATACAGCATCGTCATTGTCTCTGCTTTATTCATGTAAGAAATACAACCCGTTAGTGGGTCTGAAGACGACTATGGGTTTGTGTCAGAACCCAACTTGCAAAATTGATCCCTTTGCTGCCCTCAGTCTCCGCTCATCAGTCCAAGAAATTCTGCCCGGTCAGACTATTCGGCCGAATGCGTATGCGATTGTCAACACACACCAGGAATCTACCACGCGCCCTTTGTCCACCGCTCACATTCATTTGATCGATAAATATCGTTGCCTAGACGCTCAAAGTACAGGCTTCGGTAGTCCCGCTAGGAGCACTCTGTATTTTCCACCGTGTTTGGCGTACGACCATCGGGCCTTCAGACGCGTTGCTTTCCCCCTTAATGACTCACTGGACACCGGAGCGAGCACCTATCTCTTTTCTGTGCAATAACAGAACCCCTGCGTCAAATCACTCAAATTGACTGAGATGGTGACCAACAACAATACCTCCCGTCTTTCTCCTCCACCTTCACGTGGTGTGGCAGGATGGCTTTTCGCCATCGCCTATCTCATCTGCTCTGTGCTGGCATTTTTCGAGATTCGGTACGCAGCTGTCAAAACTGGACTCGCTGATGATATTGCAACTATTGTCGAAACTCGTCGGTTGATTGACAGAGACGTACCCCTGCGTTCTTCGTGGACTGGCATTGCATCCCTGGATGAGGGCATTAGTACCCTGGTGGCAGCCTTCATCGCTGGGCCTACGGGCTGGGACAAGGGGTTCCAGTTACATATGTTCTACTTCCTGGTTTCCTTCTTCCCGGTCATAGCTATTTGGACGGTAGAGAGCGTTAGGAAGGGAAACAAGGGAGCTTTGATTAGCTTGTATGTCCTGGGAAGCTTCCTTTTGGAGCGAATAGCGTGAGAATACTGACTTTGAGCCTTTCAACAGTACGAGCTTGTTCGCAATCTTCTACCAAACCGTCGGTGGAGCAATCATCATCCCTCTTTATTACCTGGCCTATCTTTTCAACACCAGGAAATCCGAATATTGGTCATCCTTCCAGCGACAAGTGCCCATTAGCTACAGCAAAGCATTACTCCCGTCCTTGATGCTCGGATATTTTATTCCCACTCTTCTCCTATTCGCTTGGCCACTTCTGGATTCAGATCCGGAATATAAAGTAACGCAGCTTTTGATCGTTCTATGGCAACCCACTCCATTACTGGCCAATCTGCTGTTATTCCTTCTCTACAAGTTTAACTCGGCCACAGCATCTCCGGCTTTCTCGAACCCCAAATCCAAAACAGCCGACGTTCCCAGTCTCGCGACACTGTACAAACTACTCTACATCGTGGCTCTTATCGCTCATATCTTCACCATCAGCGTCGTATTCTTGTCTACCGATCCACTTCATTCATTCTCCCATGTCTTTGTAAGGCCTCAAGAATGGGGACAATCCGGCATGATCAAGGGTCTACACATTATCTTTCAAGCGGATTACAATCTCATCTTTCTGTCATCTACCATCTGGGCTTTTCAGGCGGTATGGGATTTGAAGAGGACAGGGCTAGCCCGAGTATCATTGCTCAAAGCGGCGGTCTTGATTATTGTACATTCTCTCATATGTGGTCCTGCGGCTTCCCTCGCTGCGGTGTGGTATTGGAGGGAACACAAATTTGCGGAAATCGACGATAAAACGGCTTGAAATGGATGAGCAGGTCCGGATCATGCCACGGGTTTACCTCTCTTCTTTTTATGGTGCAGACAAGACTGCGACTTCGAAGGACTCTTTTCCAGAAGCTCGTTGACATCCTTTTCCATGCATAGGGATGGAGATTTGTGCTAGGACAGGCTTCCGACACACCTATCAAGACAAAATTCCCAATGTGCAAGCAGCACAGGTATTTGAGCCATGTACTGGCTTGCCCTGCGGCTCAAGGATATTGGTCACCACCTATTCTATCTTCACCTTCAAGACTCTCCTTGGGGGATTGGAATAGATTGTACTCCATACATACTTTGTAGACACTCTGTCTTGCGGATTACGGCGCCAAGTTGATCCGGTGCCGACTTCACTCCTGCACGCGGGGAAATCTCATGATGATTTTGGGCAGACACGGCAGGTGCGTAAGTGGAGCGCGTGAATACGGGGAAAGAACAGGCAGGCAACCAGGAATCCAAACACCTTGGCCGTATGCACCTTCCTTCATTGATGTAGCCTTTCTCAATTTGAACACTGTGTCTTTTTCTCCAGTGTGTGTAACAGATACGAGAACCTCAAACTGGGACAATGACACAATCACTTACCATCATCTTGATCTTCTAACCCTCAACCTCAGGCAGTATCTATCTATCTTTCTGTGGGTTGCGTGTCGAGCACAGTCAGTCACCAACACCTCCGATCCAACCCCCAAGGCCGCATGAAGACCTGAAGACACATATCACCATAATGTACATACTCTCTCGCAGCACAACACTACTTCTCCTATGTCTCTTACTCAGCGACACAGTCATCTCCGGCAAAGTCACCAACCCCAAACGCGTACCCAAAAATGCCGTTCTCCTCTCAAAAGTATCTGCCCTGACCGTCCGAGCTGGCAAGAAAACTACCGCTCGGAGAACCAGTGCCGTACCACAGTTGAAATGTGTGGGACCCTCACATATCTGCAAACTCTACGAAATCGACGTCATGCGTTGCAAGAATGAAGGCGCTGACTATGATCCAAACAACATTCAATGGAGTTGTCAAGCGTCCTTGCCGGAGGAATTCAAACTTGGATCAACGGATGTTTCTTGTGAGGGATACGAGAGTAGTGATGATCCTTATGTCTTATCTGGAAGTTGTGGCGTCGAGTATAGATTGCTCTTGACGGAGAAAGGTGAGCAGAGATATGGTGGTGGGTCGAATAAGTTTTGGAATTTTGGATCGCAAGACTACGAGCGCATTCCTGAGGACGATGGGGGAAAGTGGGCGGGAAGGATCTTCATGATCTTGTTCCTTGGAGTGCTATTCCTGATCTTACGAAGTATGTTCAATGCATGGCGAACACGAAATCCACGAGATCCTCGTCCTCGAGGTGGTGGCGGTGGGTTTGGCTGGGGAGGCGGAGGTGGTGGTGATAATGACCCACCTCCTCCATACGACCCTCGACCCTCTCCGTGGCCTAGAAAAGCGTCGTGGTTTTCAGGCACGCGGTATTCTTCGGGTTCGAGTAGTCGAGCACCGCAACAAGGTTGGCAGCCGGGATTTTGGACTGGCGCTGCTGCTGGGGCTGCCGGCGGCTATCTTGCTGGAAGAGGCAGCCAGGCACGAACGCAGCAGCCTCAAAGGGAATCATGGTTTGGGGGAGGTGGTGGAGCCGGTCCTTCACTTCCTCGAGTTCCACGAAGCTCGTCGGGTTCATCGAGTTCGAGATATGAAAGTACCGGCTTTGGGGGAACATCGCGACGATAGACGGATGACATAATGAGGATAAGGAGAAGAATGATTGATCTTTTGGATAGGTATTATACTGCTCAACAGGAACGGTTATCCAAGCGAGGCTCCTTCTTGTCGATCGACCCTTGAGTCATGTCTTTCGATCATCATCATATTCATAGGCCCCGGGACCCCTTCTCATACACAAGATACGATCCCTTCGTTCCCTCTCTTTTCACCATCTCATATCATATATCCTCTCCTATCTCCGTATCATACCCTACCACACCACACCATCCCACCCCATCCATCCCTCACACCATCTATCTATTCATTACAAAGACACGAACACTCCGGCACAGGACAAACGCGATGTTTATCAAACCACAATTTCGCATGTGTGGCATGATGACCATGAGCACATTTAACACACAGAACTGTAAACCTCGACATCGTAGCATCCCATCTACGAGTCGCTTCTTCGCGCCGATGTTGATCATCGACCTCTGCTAGCGTTAGATCCATGTCGACGATAGCTGATTCCGAGCCACGTCGTCCTCCAGCCTCTCCTACCGCGGCAGCGGGCGGATGAGAAAGAGGCTCACTGGATGATGTAGATGTGGATGATAAATGTGGTTTCGTTGTCGTCGTCGTCGTCGATGCCGACACTTTTTCTGTAGTCATGGTTGCCGTCGTTGTCGGTTTAGGACGAGGCGATTCATTACGACTCGGTGGTCCTGTTCCCGTGCCTGTGCCTGTTCCTGCTGTGTCACCTCGGGACCTAGCAGTCATCATAGCACTCCCGCCAGTTCTTAGTGCTGTCTGTACACTGCCTGCAATACTGGCGCTGAGATCCACACTCCCGTCCTTGACACCGGTGCCAGTGATGGAACCGTTAGCTTTATTCCTGTCTTGTTGTTGTTGTTGTCGTTGTTGATGGTGCTGTTGCGTGTACCATTTCAGATATGATTCGTCGGGAACCCCGAGCCATAAATCACATACGCCACAGCGAGGGAGATGGCGGCCGCATTTCGGACATACTGTTCCAATCGCGGCGGCTTTTTCTTTCGTTAATGGATGTTTAGCCATTTCCATCGTCTTGGGTTCTCCGGATGTGTCGTTGGCAGAGGCAGAAGTGGCAGCGTCGCCGCCGTGTCCGAAATTCTGGCTAGAGCGTGCGATTCCTTGTGCGCAGAATCCGCATACGAGCTTGACTTGTTGTTTTGCCGCTGGTACCAGTCCGCGTCCAGATTCATCGACGGCTGCGCTCTGACAGGCAATGTCGAAGCGGACACGGTCGAATTTCAAGTTCCATGAGTTGATCCAGTGTCGGTATGTCTCCCTCCACGCTGTAAATGTGCGTACGACTTTTTCGTCGTCGACGTACCGTGGTATAGCGGGGCAAAGCGCCAACACTGCGGTCTGCAAGTCTCCAAAATGCCGTACGTAGTTTGCCATAAGCTCGAATGCTTCCTGTGAGGCGGTGCCGGTGAGGATGACGCCTTCGATGTCGCCTCTGGAGATCGCGTCTCGTGTGGCGTGAGAGATGTACTGGGTTAATTTGGAGTCGTCGAGATGTCGTAGCGCTATGCATATACGGTATTTAAGGGGTAGAGATTCTTCTTCCACAACGCTGGCCCAGTCGCCAGAGCGCACGTATGTGAGGATCGCGCGTGCAAATGGATCAGTGAGGTCTTCCGCTAGAGATGCAATCGTCTCGGTCCAATCGTCCTCAGTGTTGCTGTCGTCGTCTGTTGATATCGCACCCTCCTCGTTCCTGCGCCCTCGTTTGGCGGCACCTGCAATGGCCATGGCGAGCATCTTGTGGGGTTGACTGGCGTTGGCACTCCGTAGCGCCTTGTACGCATACTTGCGGTGTGAGGTGAACATGGCCAATGCTGCGGCTTTGGCTACTTGGTCCTTCTGCTGGACGAGGTGATCGACAATCGCTTCAACTTGCTTTTCGGACCATGCTAAGCCGGAAACATGTAGACATATCAGTCGGTTCGCGAGATACTCCGTGGTTACGCTTTGTAATGGGGGAATGTTGAGCCGTCGAACGAGGTTTTCCATGATCTTGGCCAGTTTGTGGGAGGTTGGTCCCAGTGTTCGGTTCTTTGGGTTGACATCCTCCATCCACAAGCCATAAACACCCATGTAAGATAGATCGAAGTTGTCCTGCGTCATATTACCGTGTCGGGCAACCTTTCCAGCCAGCTCGACCCATGCCCACAATCGTTGAAGCCAATGTGAGTCGGTGACAATAGCTTTGTTTTTGGTGGCATTCAGAAGATAGCCTGCCTCGCATCGAAGTCGCTGTGTTGACGTGAGAGTCAGGACGTCATTAAGCGGGATATTCTCTTCGTAATATCCAAGATCCGAGTGCCATTCTTGGTCTTCTAAGCTCGATGCTCTCTTGTTGGTGGAGCTCTTGGACTGTCGTGCTTGCTTGATCTGTTTTTTCAGCTTATTTTCTTGCTGTGCTTGACCACGAACGCGTCTTAGAGCTTCTCCAGGGTCCGGGGTGCTGGAGACTGCTTCATCCACCAGTAGACTACCCTTGAAGAACTGACCGATCGACGATAGCGAACTGGGCTCTGGTAATGGCCGCGTGGCCACGATGTTGATATGACCATGTCCGTCAAGAGTCATGATCTGTGGTTGGCCCTGTCTGTCGATAGCCGTGGTGAAGTCAAAGGACACCACACGAGCTTTTTCATCTTTTGCAGTGGAAGTGTTTGAATATGGCGGGGCGATTTCTTGGACACGATCGAGGAAGATATCCTGAGGTGGCATCGAATCCCAAGAAGAGTCGTTCTCAGGGTCATGGCCGTTGTGATGGGTGGGAGGGGTGTATTCTTTTGTGATGGTATATGTCTTCAGGTGGCCGGTGCTGGACAAGACGCCCAAACAACCGCGTTGAGATTTGCTGAATCGGAGACTCCAGATGACCCCTGGGACTTGGACCGGATTCTGAAATTCGAGTGACACCTCGGGCTGTCTGGACTCTGGCGGGGTACCAGTACCAAAGCTCATGTGCGGAGGATTGACTCGTGATATCATGCGTCTGTCCCAGACACAGATGGCAGGATCGTTGTTTGGGTAGCAAGACGCAAAGTAATTCTCATCGTGCCAATCAATTGCCAGGTTATGTACACAACGTGTGGAGAACTGCAATCCATTTCCCGCAGCAGGTTCCCGCAGGTCATACAGTCTGACGAATTGGCCTTTGACGCCAGCCACCAGCAGCTGCGGGTCATTGTGGAAGAACTTCAAACTCGTGATGGGCTCACCGCTAGCGAACTTGTGGATAGGTTCGGCGTAGCTTTTGACGAAACCTTTTGAGCCTGCAGGTGGAAGTCGTTGGTTAAAGTCCCAAATATTGAGACAAAAGTCGGTGCGGACTCTGTCCAGACCAGCGGCCAGGAGATTCTGAGTGTTGAGAGCCACCGCATTGCACAGTCGTTGACTCCGTACCTGGAACGAGAGAGAGTCTTGCTGGCCTTCTGCAATGTTGAGCAATGTTGCCTCCCCGCCAGCCTGTCCCACCACCACCAGATCCTCGTGGATAGGGTGCCAATCAAATGCCCTGAAAGCGGGAACCTTAGTGGAGGTGTGAATCGTCTCATATTCGACGTCTGTTTTTGTTTGGCTGGTTACTTTGCATAGCTTGAAAGACTTTCCAATCACATCAACGTGCAGGAAGCGCTGTTCCGAGTTCTGGACCGAATTAACTGAAAACCGTATGGCGGACTCCATGCTGGGCAATGGATGTAGTGAGAGATGTTTTCATGATTCGATAGTCGTCAACCATTTGCAAGTGTCAGCCCAAAGACAGAACAAGCCATGCTACTGGTGAGTTGTCAGCAAGCTTCTTGATTCTGAAATGCATATAGTGGGACGTTGATGCGAACGCGACATCGACATCGACATGTCGCTGTGGCGGAAGAGGTCTATGCCTCGATTTGGATTAGTGTACTTGAGGCGGTGAACGATAAATCTGGCAGAATATTTTCCCCGACAAGTTCGAGATCGCAGTTTCTTGCTTGGGATTTGAACTTGGAAAAGACCATGCAAGACACGCTGCCTATTAGTTCCTCCCTGGCCTGGTCGACTTTTGACGAAGGCAGCAATTAGGGGTTTTTGAGTCTTTCTCCCACGAGGACCGATTGAATTCTTGTATCGACACAACAAGGTTCTCGAGGCTGGATTGTCCAGACCTCAGATCATTGATCTTCGTAAACACAGCCTGCAATGTCTCTAATATCTGGCAGCGAAATGGAAGGCCAGCATTATCAGAGCCGGAAACGTCCTCGTGACACGGACGATGTTGATGGACCAGGAGATGAACCACGCACCCACAAACAACCCAAGAATCGATCACAACAGAACCATTTCCAAAAATCTTCCATTCATGCGCACCGAATATCATACAACCCTCGCCTATCGCCCGAAAAATCCGGAATCACCAAGAAGAAGTCGAAGAGCGAACGGAAAAAGAATCCTTCATCTCGAATCCATTCCCTCAAAAAGCAACTTGCGAAAGCCGAGAACATGCCCATGACGATCCGGCAAGAGAAAGAACGAGAGCTTGCAGCCCTAGTTAACGAGCAAAGCAAGAAGATGGTATCAAAAGCTGGCAAGAAGAATCTCCAGAAATATCATTTTGTGCGGTTCGTTGAACGGAAAAAGGCGGAGCGGACATTGAAAAAGTTACAACAACAACTAGAGTCAATTGAGGAGCGAGATGATACAGCCAAAGAGAGCTTAGGCCAAAGTCTTCACGAAGCGGAAGTGGATGTAAACTACACAAAGTATGCACCCCTGGCAGAAAAGTATATTAGTCTCTACGCCGACGAATCCAGGGATCAGAAACGCGAGCCAGATTCAACTGAAGCAAGCAAGCCTCCAATGTGGTATGAGGTGGAGAAACGCATGCTTGAAGGCGAGAAGAGTCTCGAAGCGTTGCGGGAGGGCAAGTCATCAAGTGAGAGCAAGTCAGATAAGGACTTGGGTACGGTTGGCAGGAAGCAAGGCTCTCGGGAGAACAAAAAGAAACTTGAGGACCAATCAGAAGAGTCCGCCGATGCCGATACACAGATGCACGAGGCTGACAATCCTGCCGAGGACGATGAAGAGAACTCAAGTGATGGAGGATTCTTTGAACGGTAAAGATTTTTCATTCTAGACCGAATGACTATGAGCTTGATGAACGGAATACCCAATGAAGTCTGCTTGAAGTTGAAAAATAGTGAGCCACTTAGGCGAATGGACACCAGCGATGGCATGGAATCTGTCAACGGCGAGTTCCGTTGAATGGTTTTCAAAATGTCTCTAAATGTCTCTTTTGGTGTTTGATAAGAACAATGTACGACGTACGATGTACGTTGTACGCGAGCCAGCTGGTGCCTTTCTGCGCTCACACGTGCACCGCCACATCTGAAATCAGATAAAGCAACTTCTACCAAGAACTCTTACTCCAATTCTATTGGCTGGATTTCAACGTTTGATATAGCTCGGACCATCGTTGTCGTGACGTACTGGCACGATTGGTCAAGTGGTGCGACAAAATCGTCATTTTGACAGTCTATCGATTGATAGCTAGGCAACATTCATAAACCTCCTCGGGGTATATCCTATCATTCCCTTTCTCATTTCGCCAATTCGACTTCCATCTTCATCACTTACTCTGTTGTCCACGAAACGTTCACTCGACACTACTGGAGTTCAACATGTCACCTCCCGATTACACACTACTCAACGAGAGAGCCTCTCTCCTCCATGAAAAGGCCGTCGTGGTAGAGACACTCCCTTACCCCGCCACCTACAGAGTGGTTCAACGTAAACGCTCAAGCTGTTGCAGCAGAGTCTGCTCCTTCGTTCTCATCCTCCTCGCAACCCTACTTGCCATCGGCTTCCTAGCCCGTGGCCGAATATTCAATAGCATAACTCGAGAATGCGACAGAATCTCACACCAATACCTGGCATATTATGAGGATCCCGGTCACCAACATCCTCTCCCACCAATCGATGATTGGAAGCCATTCGAAGGCACCACCCATTTCGAACTCGACCCTGCCGAGGCCTCTGGTGTTGCGATCAAAGGATCCCAAGTCTTCGGCAAAGTCGTCTTCGACACCTCCAAACTATCCGACAAAGTCGTGATTGATCTCGACATCAAGACCAACAAGAAAGACGAGAACGGTGATGTTGTGGTCAAGGAAGAAAATGGATTTCTCTCCATCTACACACCCAAGGAAGGCGAACTCGAAACTCACACAGCAGTCAAGATTCAGATTCCTTCCAACATCATCGGAGCCTTTGGCCTGCCCAGATTCCAAGTCGATGCCCCTCGTCACATGATCGATTACAGCGAACTCCCCGAATCACTCGAGATCGGCACCTTCGCCGTTCGGGTTGGCAAAGGCTTCGTAAAGCCCGGTCCAGTGCATACCAACGAGACGATCGTCGCGGTTGGAAGAGGTGTCATCCGTGGATCATTGACCCAGGCCCGTGACACAACGAACATCGACGTCGGCCGCGGAAATGTCACCTTGACCATCCCTACCATCAGTTCAGGCGAAGAAGGCAAGACATTCGTACATCTCGGCAACGGCCACCTAAAGGGTGATTTCGCCATCTACAATTCAACGTTCCTCGACGTCGCCCATGGTTCGATCTACGTGTCCGCCTCGTTCAAACATGCCAAGACACGAGCTGAGTTCTCGACTAAGATCGCATCAGGCGACTCGAGGGTTTACGTCAATTCAATTGCATCGGAGAGATTGCTCAGGGCTGATCATACTTCTATTGCCGGTGATCAATTGATCACATACCCGTCGAACTTCCAGGGAACGGTCGATGCAAGAGGTATTGCTGGCGATATCAAGCTTTCTGGAAAGGAACTCGATGTTGAGAAGGTGGTTGGTGGTCTTGTTGGAAAGCAGGGTGACAGTGAGAGGAACTTGGTCAATGTCAAGACAGTGAAAGGGGCTCTGGATATTCTCGTCGGTGACGAGTAATTGCCAGCCTCGTCCGTCTTGGCCCTGGTTGGGAGAAACATTATGCTATACGACTAAAGCAACGTAGCAAGAGCTGCGGTTTTTTAAAAGTCTTTTGAAGCGAAATTGGAAATGGTCCAATATGTATTACCAGCGACTTTATATGAATGAATATATACCCTGATGATCTTTTATACTTGATTTGGATTCCTCTTCCTACTCAGTTTCTATTCAAAAGTGTCAGTGATGAATGAAGAGGCTCTGTTGTCAAGTCCTCGCCACCGGAGACAGACGTCCTCTACCTCCTCTCTTGTCTGTCCCCCACATTCCCCTCATGTCAGCTCAGCTCAACTTAAGTTAAGTCTAGGACACGTTTCACCGTGAATCCCGTTCAAGACAGTAACAACAAAGGAGGTTCCTAGGAATTCATAGAATGAGGACAGACACCTGACTCACACTTGACAGCTCACAACTCAACCAGAAACATGTGGACAAAGAACAGGTATTTTTCTTTATCCACCAAGACATGGTCGTTATTCCTTCAATCAAGGCTGTGGTGTCAATGTCTTACCTTGACACCACTGGCTGAGTTGTGGAAATCGACGAAATGTTCTGTTTAAGTAGCATGGTTGATCTTGATGTTGATCTTCATCTTAATTGTTCACCATAAGCTTCATTTGACTTGATCTCAACCAGAATCAATCTTGATACGGTGTTGAATCTTGAGTCGTAACAATAAAACACAAGCAGACTACTTCTTCAGTATATCATCACAGATCAACTGATCCACACCTGAGCGGTTCAGTTCGCCGATCCAATTCATCGATTCAGTCCACTCAACACCATAACACAAAACACCACAATAGAGATAGTGATGGCGATCCCAGACCACCAACAGCACAATGCTCCACTACCTCACCAGGACAAAATCTGTCGCCTTTCCCATACCTCACTTCCACGACTCGACACCCGTAACGCCCCACCATATATCACACGACGAATTCCCGAGCCGACGTATCAGATGCTTCCTATCTGTGGCGGTGGGAGGGACGATGCCATGCCAGTTCCTCTGTCATATTATGGAGGAGCAAGATTCGTTGATATTGATGCTGATGCTGATTCTGATGCTGATAATGATGTTGACGCTGACGCTGACATTGACGCTGACTATGACGCCGACACCGAGGAGGATTCAAGCTGTGATCTAGAAGAAAAGGATGGTGTTGTGGTCGAGGAGACCAAGATCATGGCCATTACCATCACCATGACCGAGATCGATACGGAGATTGAGATTAAGATTGAGACCAAGATCGAAAGCAAGATCGAGGACGAGATCGAGACCACTCAAGAGCAAGTGCAAGAGCAAGTGCAAGTGCAAGAGCAAGTGCAAGAGCAAACAGAAGATCAAGCAGACTCACCAGCGGAATCAGAACTTTCCAACGACCACGATCCTCCCTCCAGCGCCACCACTCTCCTTACGTCCACACCAGTCCGTCGATCTTGGTCAACCATCTACGATCATCTTCGTGATCATCTCCATCTAATCGAACACATGACTCGAATCTCTTGGGTGGCGACGACATTCATCGCGACATGTGCGTATTATGCTGTTAATGGTCCACCAAAATGATGGTCATGATCGTTGAGTGATGCTGAGTGCTGACTGCTAACGCGATGATCATGCTCTTGGTGAGATGATATTGTTGCAGTGTGCTTAAATGGGGATTATGGGGTCAATGGGACTAGGGTTAAGGCTAGGACTAGGACTGGAGAATTGAGCTGGAGTTGAAGTTGGAATGATTCATGAAGTGAGATGGAACGTGTGAAAGTGTAAGAAGGAGAGGGCCTTGCAAAAACAGCAAGATGGAGAAAAGTCTACTCCATAAGAGTGAGAAACGAAGGAATGTCGAGCGTCAAGCGAGGTATACACATAACAACTTCCGTACACATCTGCATCTGATTTGTTGATGGGGTCAAGAATAGAAGAGAAGTAAATCATAAGAAAAGAGCCAACCCACTCTCAATTCCAGTAATGGCCTGGCAAACAACGGGACAGACACACTCATCCTGGACTCCGTACTCATTCATCGCTCCACAATTGCCAATATGCAGTCCTGAGTCGACCTTCCACGTAGATCCATTCTCAGACCCATGTATAAGTAGGTAGTTGTTGTATTCAGAGACAAAGCCGGCGTGTTGTATTTTTTTCATTGCCAGAGGACTCCTAAGGAGAGGAAAGTGGTTCTTGGATGAAGCAAGTTGTGGCAAGTTGTGACGAAACCAGGGACGCGAAGGAAGACCACAACCACAAGGCTGACTGGACTGACTGACTGACTTGGCCACCCTAGGTATGTATGTAGGTTGGGGGCCGAGACAGAAACTAAATACTTAGTACGGAGTACTCGCAGGTACTAAATATACATACGGAGTATACGAATATGGACACCGGTCAATTTAACGACCAATAACATCACAGTAAATCGGACGTTGTCAACAAATCCACCGAATCGAATCCGTGTGTCAACAAAGAGACAACAACACAAAAGGCCGACTCTCAGCCGAGTCGTAGTTTAGCGCACTTGACCAAAACTTTTGAACAATGTTATCTCACACTATCAGTTTCAAAACAAAACAGGATTAATCAATTCAATTAATCAGTAGTCGTCAAGGTAGAATCAAGTTACTGGTCATACAGATGACAGATTTCGCCCATTCTTCTGCCACTGTTCTCTGCTCCATGGCGTATCAGTCCAATGACGATAGATTAGATCCTCCTTGAAGATGGTTGAAGATCTTGTCCTTTCCTCTTTATTCAGCAAATCCGATGTAGCACATAGCTACCCGTGATCTTGCTATCTTCTCGTTTGCCAGGGGTAGTTGCAAATAAATGACCATCACATAAAAGTGTATTTATCAATCCCCCAATCCCCAATCCACCAGTTCTCCTCCACATAGATAACCCACAACCCCCCCAAAAATGCCTTTTCAAAATCCCACAACGCCGTGGCCGCTCATGATGACATAGCAAATTCTCCGACATAGAGGCATAGATACAGGGCGAGATGGATTGATTATATTATTGTAGAATTTTGATTGTCGTCAATTCAGGTGTATGATTTGCTTCATCGAGGACCGGGGCCTCGAGCGGTTCCTGGGAATGGTGGAGGAGGTCCGGTTGGCCTACCGTCGGGTCCAAATCCTGGTTTACCTCCTGGTCCTCCAGGGGGACCTTGAGCTCCTGGGCCGCCGGGTGGTCCACCAGGGCCTCCAGGGCCTCCAGGTCCTTTACCTGGTCCTCCTGGTCCTCCTGGGCCGCCGGGACCGCCAGGTGGTCCCTTAGCTGCGAGACTGCTTCGCTTTCGAAGTTTCTCACCAAACATCCACAACAGGATAGGAGTAGGGAAGCCAATGCCGATGGCGGCAATGGCCAACACCGTGTTACCCCAGCCGAATCCAAGGGAATCGTACATGATGGGTGCGAAAATGGGAAAGCCAAAGCCAGCTAGGGATCGCAACACCGTGACGGCAGCGACCGCCGATGCAGCCATTCGAGCGTATGTGTCGACGAGGTAGGTGGTGACACACTGGAACGCTGCAATCGTGCCAATGCCGAAGATGAAAGAGCCAATATTGGGGACAATCCAGTGAGTCTTGGCCTGCGCGGCCCAACCGTAGGTCAAGAGACCAATGGGAGTGAGGAGCGAGAAAGGAATGACCAAGGGCATGCGGTACTCAGGCTTACCCATACCGCGAGGATCCTTCTTCTTGAGCTTCTGGTAGATGACATCAGACGACTTGCCGCAAATGGGAGCGCCGAAAAAGAATCCCAAACCGAGTGAGATATAGTTAAGACCTGAAATACCAAGGCTCTGGCCGTAGACATCTCGGTACAGAGTGGGGAAGGTGGACAAGGCCAAGTACAGGACACCATATGAGAAGGCCATGTAGAGTGCCATGACTTGGACAATGGGTTGGGTGAACAACATGCCGAAAGCGCGTCCCATGGTCTTGACCACCTTTTTCCATACCGGTTGGTCGACCTCAGACTCACCCGCAGCAAAGTAGCGTGAATCACCAGTCTGCTTACGGATCATCTTTGCCTTCTTGTGTAGAATGTAAGGTGCATAGGTTTCCTGGAACTTCCAGAATCCGATCAAGAGGATAATGACAGTGGTACCGGAGCAGGCATGGAACATGTATCGCCAGTTGGACTTTTCAGCGACCCAAGCACCGACAATGGGACCCACGGCAGGTCCCAAGAGTGGGCCCATGGCATAGAGACCCATGGCCTTTCCACGTTCCTCGGGTTTGAACAAGTCTCCGAGGACACCACCACCGATTGCCAAAGGTGCGGAGCCTCCGAGACCCGACAAAAAGCGGAATGCGAGCAGCTGCTCTTTGTTCTGGGCAAAACCGCAGGCAATGTTGAAGGCGAGGAAAACCACATTCGAGAGTTGAAGGACAATGACGCGTCCATACAGTTCGGAAAGAGGGCCCAAGAACATGGGACCAATGGCATAAGCCAAGACGAAGATGGAGAGAACAATCTGACCTAAAATCTTCTGGCTGGGGGGAATGTTAAAGTCTTCCATGATCTGTGGAATGGCGGGAGCAACCATGGACGAAGCCAAGGGAGACAGGAATGTGAAGGCTGCAGTAAGAGCTGTAACAGTCCACTTCTGCTTGCTCGTCCAATTCTTAGGGTCCAGAGGGTCGTTTGGTCCATTAAATTTGACCTTGAAACGCGTCAGTATCTTCAGCAAAAGGCAGGCTAGAGTTAATTGGACATACCTCGAATTCGTTTGAGGGCTTCTCTTTGGGCAGGAACGGCGTTGGCGTTGTCGGACCGTTCTGTGCCTCCAAGTCAAACTTGGTAGGATCCTTTCTCTCAGATGACATGGCGGGAGCTCCTTGCATACCATGACCGTGGCCATGATCCTCCTCACAAGTACACCACGATTCATGCGAGTGTTTAGAGTGCGGTCGGTTGAGAGGGGGAGACATCATCATCGAAAGGGGTCGTTTCTCATCTCGTGGGTAAGAGTTGTGCAAGGTGTTCATGGCGAGAGTCTCTTCTGACTGAGTGGGATAACGAGGTACGGACTGATCATACAGAGAGTCATTGTTGTTCAGGTAACCTTCCGCAAGGAGTCTCTGATTGGCAACGAAATCCTGATTGCGATCGAGGTACTGTTCATCACTAACGAGTCGCGAATCACGCGTCCGGAAAGAAGGGGCATACGAGGCCAAAGAGTCGGGTCTGTGTTGTTGAGACTGCATTGAGCCACGGTCGTCGTAGTGGCCGACATGGTAGTCTGGTCCATCATCATATAGGACGGCAAAAGTGGTCTCACTTTCGGCGCGATCAGAGCCTGGAGAGGGCTCTGCGGGTAAGGATCGATGTCGATAGGGCTCGGAGGAGTTGAGTCTTCGTAAGGATGGGAATCTCGAGTTGAGAGCAGGCTGTGAAAGGGGTCGCAGCATGCTATTGCTGCTCTGGTCGTCTTGATCCATCTCCGGGGACGACGCTGACGAGAAGGGGTTCTGGTAAGTTTGGTTGTTGTGATCAGCCGGGGCGGCGGAGGTTGTTATGACGGCGGGAGGTGGTTGAAGTGAGTTGGGACGCGAGTGGGAGTCGTAACCTTGGGCGACTTCCCAGCTGTCCCAAGCGTTGGAATTCGCCAGCGTTGGTTGTAATGAATGTGACGGTTTCAGATTGATGTATTCAAAAGCGCGGTGCCCCAAGACTAACAGAGACGTGTCTAGGGGATAAGAGCGAGGAAGGGTAGCGAGGGCGAGGTCCCAAGGTCAGATTGGGAATATAGACAAAGCGAGTGTCAGGGAAAAGTCGAAGGACAGCTGAGGGCGGGAATAGGACTGGAGAAATGAGGAACGAAGGAGTAAGAGCAACAGATGTGTCAAGGAAGGAGGAGTAAGGCAAGCTGGCAAGGTAGGGAAATAGAAGTGAGGATAAGAAAAGATCCGCCGCCGAGCGACGAGGATTAGGGAACCAGGGTACAAGCGTGAGAAGGGGAGTCGGACGAGTGAGGATGGAGCGAAACAGCCCACAAGGGGAAGAGAAAATAGGGCAGAGGGGGGAGATGCACCCCCAATCCTGTCTATCGTTCGCTCCTACACGCTGATCCATGCCTCCAACGGCGGGCTGTGGTTGCCTGCACACCGTGGGCGCTGGGCGCCGGGCGGTGGGCTGTGGGCTGTGGAAAGATGGGCAGTCGACGGTCCGAGGTGGACACAGGACAACTGGGCTGGTGAACAGTGGGTGGACACTTGTTGGGCTGAGCCTATCGTGGGTGCTCCAGGCTAACTTTCGGGTAGGATCACTAGGGCTGTGGGCAACGGGCTCTGGTACCACGGCACGCTTAGTTTACACTATTGTCCCATGCGGAATAGTCTCTGACCGCCTAGTGAGGATTGTGGTAGCTTGAATTTCTCACTTTTCCTTTCAGCCATGGTAATATTACCGGACGCTTGCTGAGGAAAGAGGCATTTGGCCCTTCTTCGAGACTCGATCTTAGCGTGCTAGGTGTCGAGTGCCCTACACCCAGAGCTCGGATACTACAATGCTGATACACCGCCAGCAATACGGACACGACACAGGTGACATTGGGGGCTGATAAATCATACGTCGCCGGAGACCCTGGTAGCATGGTATCCGGGTAGCAGACCTTCAGATGTTTTGTTTTCTGTCACGAACACAAGGAGGACGGACAGAGCAGCTTCAGGTGTGCAATGATAGAGTTGTAACGCGGGGGGCTGGTCGACAGGACAATTCAGGGTTTAGCTTCTGCAACTCGATCCAAACCCCAATGGTGAAGTCATTAGTGGTGGGCGTTAGTACCACCAGAGGGGGAAATCGGTCACAAGGTTTGAGCGATCAGTTGCCTGCCACCTGACACGAACCGCTTATCCATATGCCTACAGTGCTACAGGATGCACCTATTTCTACTAGCTCTTTAACTAGCAGGTAGGTCATCGAGGTCGCATATTGATGATGCAACAATAATAATCCCACGTTCCAACTGCAACATGCTATCTTTTGGTGAAGCTAGAATAAGACCTACTGCACATGCAGTGTTTGTGTTCCATAACCATGACCATGATCATGTTGAATCTGCGCAAGGTCAACAACAGTCGTTGTGTTTGACAAGACGATGGCAGCTGGTCAAAGTGAGGACTGTATCATTGGGTGGCCGCTCTAGGGTCGCATGGTCATCTACGGAGTACTGGGCGACGGTGGCGCCTGTGTGTATGAGATGGTATTGAGAGGTAACGAAAGACGATTAAGCTCAAGGTGCCTGCTAGTCAAGGCTCATTGTTTCTAAATCAGAGTCCGTAGCGCATCTGACTAGTGGTGAAAAGGGGGTCCAGGTGGAGCTGAGGAGCCACTTGACCTTGCGCCGCAATCTCAAGGCCGGGTACCGAGCCAGGGTTAACCCTGAGACGAAAGAGGCTCTCTCCCTGGCTCTCCACGGTGTTAATGCCCCGACCACCCGATGACAGGCGGCCTTGCGTCAGTAGGATTGTCCTTGATTGGCAGGACTTTCCTGGGTGTAATTCCACCTCCCATCTCCTTGATCGTCGTCTCCAGAAAACAAGCTTGGTGATGGGCGGGCGCCTGTGCATTTGGCCTCTAACACTTCCACGCAGGAGCCCTGGTGCCCCAAGCCCAACGCCTCAACTGTCACATCATATTATAATTGATCTCTCGTGCAGAGTTGTTTTGAAGGTCCGAGTTTTCCCAAGTGTCAACAAACAAACCACGAGGGCATGGCATGGGCATGGCAACTTCCACACGGCTTTGCGTGATCATCAACATGGCCTGGAACCATACCAACAAGTTGGATGCGCGGGTGCTCAAAAACCAACAACGGTCAACAGTCAACAGGGTCCCAGAGCCCATGTTTCCACCCAAACTGCGCTGCAATCCACCCTTGGTCACCTTAATTTCTCCCAGTCTTGGCGAACCCCCGTGCCCCCTTGATTCACGCTCTTTGAGAAGAACCTCATTACGAAATTCACTGCACCAGGAAATTGTGCTTGGCCACGCTGGCTCTGGTCTGGAGATGCCGTACGGGGCAGAATCCACAGGTGATTAATCTTCCTGGCGAACGTGATTCAGCCGGCGCGTTCTCGCTTCAGATAAGATACGCGGTCAAATTTCTAGAGATTTGTTGGCCACAGTAGGGATACGCACCCAGCACTTTACCCATGGTAGTGCGCATATGCGCACTTACTCCGTACAGTAGGTATAATTACGTGGTCCCCAGAGTAGCCACTCATTTGCACGCGTTTCATCATGACTTGGCGCGTCGAATCTTTGTTCGCCCCAATCTCTCCTTTGAAAAAGTTCAGAATCCTTTGACCCATGGGCCCAGAATATTTGTTCAGTTGTTAGTCAGCCGTTGGTTCCTCATCATCTATCCCTTTTCGATATGATTGACCCTTTCAGCCTCACCGAGTCATGGTGATTTTGGGACTTTCGTGTACGGCCCCCAGTGGCCTGTTGGACTTTGGAAATCATCACGGGGTAATGTTTTCGCGTATAAGTTGCCACCTCCTATTGGGTGCACCACACTGCATGAAGCTTTCCCTAAGCACATGTCTGTTGTGCCTGTCTGTTGTGCCCTCATATTTCTCCCCATGAGATCATTATCAGACGATATTGTTTCAAGTTTCAAACCTGTCTACTGTAACTAAAGCCACGGTGTATCACGCACCCTGGAACATTGGGTCTCGATTTCTCAAGTTCTGCATGACATGAAATCAGGCCAATCAATTTCCTACGTGCATGCGAGAATGGCCAGCGGGCATGAAGGGGATAGTACAGGTTGTTCCGCACTTTGCCGTGTCTGGTTCCAACCTGCGCTTGCGGGGTTACAACGGACACGTCCCATTGTCCCAAGTGGGATGGAACGTGGAAGTTCAAGGAAAGACCAGTCGTGCCACCTTGGAACCAAGGACTGAACTCAAGGAAGAAACCTGCAGGTCAACAACCGGGACAAGTCACACACTGAACCCATTCTTGAACCCACTTAAAGAAATTCTGCCTTGGTGGCCTTGGCCCATGACGTTCTTTTTTTGGGAATTTTGATCCGTGTGGATTGACTCCAGCATGGGGGCTTTCTGTCTCTGGAGACTGTACCTCGTTTCACACGCTTGTTCAACATCTAGACTGCCGTGGCTACCCACTGGGAATTTCGGTCACTCTGGTTGAGGCTACATGAAGCGAAAATACCAGAGTGTGAACCCGAAGTGGCGGCACCGTGTGTTGTCAAAGGGTCGGACACGGCGAACTTGAACCCCCGATCTATGACGAGCGATGTCACCGGAAGATGAGGCTGCTGAGTTGCTGTACTCCGTACCTCGAGGCCGTGGGTTTCAGGGCTCCAGGCTTCAGCCACCAAGAATCAGCTTGAGCGGGGCACCAACTTTGCATCTTAGGTAAGTATACGATACACCTCGTGGAGGAGAGGAGACCGGCATGGCTTGTCTCACAAATCCACAATCCAGATATCACACCGATGATGTCCCACGCTGTTCCTTTCCGTCACCCTGCTGGCAGGGCTGACAGCCTGGCACAGTTTAGGCATGCATGCCAAGCAAAGGATTGACTTTTGTCCGGCCGGTGAGACGATCATCTAAAAAAAGAACCATGACTTTCGGGATGATGTGATTGACCCATTAACATTATTGTGCCGCAGAATGGCACAGACGAGGCCTGAATTGATCGCTGAAAACATGCTTTTGGGCCGAGGGCAGTCATTATGATTAATCCTCAGCGCAGTAGCGATCGGCGACCTTGAAGAGGCATCGTCGCTGGAGTTGATGGCGTTGCTGCACCTCAATGAGAGAGTGCGGGACATGGGTACCTACGGAGTAGGTAGGTTGGTACCTAAGAGAAGGCCGAGGGCCACCAATAGTAGGTTTGCTAAGTACCACGACATAACCAGTGTCGGGTGCCACCTCAACCCCACCCCAAATCCCCAGCCACTACGATAGATTGAGTGCACCAAGAGGATTACCTATCGTCGAGATGTGTATCTCAAAGTCTCAGCATATCACCATCACTGCATCGCACAATTGCCGCTCCTGATAGGAATCCAAGCCCGCCAGTCCTTGGCCACTCTGATAAGGACATGTAAACTATCACACTACATCTCATTCCCACCATTTTGACCATCTGATCGGAGGTTCAAGACCTACTATCGTTGAACTAACGGGTTGTGCCTTGTGTTAGTTGAGTTGGCATGCATGCATGTCTAGATACCTAGATAGGTACTAGACACCTAAGATACTCACGATACTGTAAGTCGCCTTGTTAAGAAGTAACCTTAGCGAACCCAACCTTAGTGACCCCCAGTCCCCTCATCAAGTTACTCCGTAAAGACTGCAATTGGCATATGCAAGTCATGAAGCAGGCCACGGAGTACTGTATCTTTGACCCTTCGGATCCTATGAACCATTCGTTTTCCAGCATACAAACTCATCCTTACCATCGCTTATCCAAAAGCTACAGAAGCCACCAGATAGCCTTAGGATGTTGGCTTGGAAATGGCTTGACATTGTCTTGAAAGTTGTACCTAATCATGCAAGCTAGGACATCAAGCCCCTGTAGGATTGGATTCCATCAATTCGATTGTCCGTTACCCTGCGTTGTTCTGCATTGCGGTTGCCTGAAGTGAACATGGTTTCCGTGTGATGGCCCATGGGTTGCGGGAGAGAACGGTCAAAGCGACCTGCGACATGCATGACCACAACCATGACCACCTGAAAGGCTACATTTTCATACATGTGAAGTAGGTAGTACCTAGCATCATGGAAGTAGCTAAGGTAGGTAGTAGATACTAGGTACCTACCTGATCATGTGAACTATACCAACGCATTCCTTTCTCTCGTGTCTCCTCTCAACATGAATTCTACTGACTTGCCAGGTATCTCCTTGCAGCTCCGTCCCAGTCCCCGCTTCGCTTCGAAGCTGGCATATTCCGTCGTCTACATTCATGTTTCTGCAGAACATCCCAACCTCTTTTGAGTCTTGAATCTTCAACCTTTTGCATCAACGTTGTTCCTATCTGTGGAGATCACAATAAGAGACCACTCGGTACCATATTCTTATCACATGATCGTCGATCTTGTTTTGTCATCACTCCACTACTCGTAGATACCTGCACTTGTGAGCTGTACAAGACGACATTATCACATCAACTTTGTTCCTGTTGGACCTAACTAAGGCACGCTGGTCACCGGAAGAAAAAGTGGCATTCAGCTAGCCAAAGTCGAATGTGATGAAAGCCACTGCGTGCCTGGTGGAAACAAGCGTTGGTGGGGGATTATGGTATGTAGGTATGTACTAGAGGTCAAGTCTGCAGGCAAGCAAGCAAGCAAGCGAGCATTCCCAAAAGTCTAATATCCATCCAGGTCTGCATGATGATGATGATGATATTCACAATTGATCTCCTTTCCAGTGCCCTGTACACGTATTTCTCCGCAACCCATACTCCCGTCCGTAATGATGGACCAGCCGTGACCAGTCATGTCGATTGATATTCCTCTTGTCTCTCACCCAACGCATCATCCCGTCCTTTACGAAACCTTCCTTCGGCTTTCCGTTCCCGCCGCGCATGGAAAGAGCTTTGCATGCATGCATGCATGAACGTACCCTGAACGTACAGGAGACATTGATACAATCCTCCCGTGCACGTTAGGTAGGTATCTACGGAGTATCTATCCCGCACCTTGCCCCCACCACCTCACCCTCCATGCTCCTAAACCCCCCTCCCTTCCCTTCCCTCCCCTCGAACCGTATCCATGCATTCAAAGCGTCATCATCGATTGTCATCGTCATCGGTCATCGTTCCTGAATCTTTTCACAGCACACTCTTCGCTCACACCCAACAAATCATCCTCATAGTCATGATGCATTTGATTCAGATGATCATCCGAAAACAGTACCTCAGCGGCTTAATCGTCTCAAGCCTTTTTTCTTCTTGAATTCAATGCCCTTTTTTGTATCAAGGTTTAAGAACGTACATGGCAGAAGACAGGATAGTGTGGACATGGATTCTTTCCTACTGCCTAAAATAGTCCGACACATTTTTCAACAAGGGACAAGGCTATCGTCGACTTTTACTTTGGATGAGATGTCGTGCATGTTCGTATATCATATCATGTCGTATGTTGTGCATTGTCTACTATCTATTATCTACAGGACGTCTCTATCCCGTCCCTGTCTGTAATGACAATTAACGATCAACGACGATCGTTGTTCTGAGTCAAGCATTCCATGTCCGTCCCGTATATCGTCGACGTCGGCAGGGGTCTCAAGATCGAAGTCGAACTCCACCTCGACCTCGACCTCGAACCTTTGGGTATGCATGTACGACGGAAATGGCAAATGTTCACAACTAACTTACAAGGGTCCGACTTGACTACCGTCGCGGTATCGTCGTAATCTTACAATATATTCATATTCGTATTCGTGTTTGTCGTTGACGATCATTGAGCTTGTCCTCGACAGTAGTAACGATACTGATGATACGATGACCTTGGTGTTTTGAAAACCCAACCCCCGCCCTCGCTACTGACTTACCAGACCCTTGAACCCCTCTCTAGATACGGCAAACCGGTCCGCTACCCATGACTGGTAACTGTGTTCGTGACTATGAAGTTAGGTTATGGTGGTGCACGGCCCCGCAACTTGTCGCTTATCTCGAGACTCGGATCCGCAAACCAGCCTCTTGGATTTGATTGCTTGATGAAAATAAACCAATCAAAGGCAATGTTACTCCAACCACCAGCCTCTTGGTTTTTCAATCCCGTTCTAGATTGAATTGAGATTGTATACACAAGGATAAACAACACGGAATTGAAATGGTTTATTGGTCTGACATTATTGCTGCGTCTCTGACATGTCGCCTATTCCATAGTATTGATTTTATTATGCTCTGGTTGGCGGGAGGGCCGGTCCAAGACTGCCAGGAAGCGTTCTTGGGCATACTCCGTAGAATCCGGCGGTGTCCCGCTGATATCGTCAATTTTGACCCTGTTCCAATACACAGGGTGCGGGTGCCGGCAGCCACATAGATGGTTTTCAATGCAACGGAGATCAAGCGAGGGATCTCGATTTGGTGACTCTTCTGTGGTTCGTGGGTTGGTTTTGTTAGGGAAAAACGACTGCCGGCACTTTGTGTCGATGTTCATGTCCACCTGACCCTGTTGTTGTGGCGTAACGGCCTCTCCGTTAGATGTGTTGCTTGCATGAATCTTCAACATGACTGGCATAATTTCCCTGTGGGTCTTGCATCGATCAAGGGTCCAGCATGCAGACAGCCCTGGACGATGTTGTAGAATATCATCACCACTGCGCATGTGAAGAATTTGCCGGGGCAATTCGAAAGCCGGGAACCATCTTGGTAGAGATGGTACTCCATCTCGGGGAGCAGACTCGCAAGCTTATCGAGAACCAGGAGTTGCAGCGTCCGTATATCCTGACGATTGCAGGTAGACTCCCCCTAGGATGAGGAGGCACATGTCATGTCGTTCGTTGTTCGACAGTTCCAGTCACTGTCACCACCAAAACCATCGCCATCATGCCGTGTTCGAGCGTCCTCGGCCCCCAAGCAACGATGATCGAGGTGTGTAGGTAGTCCTCCCGGTGGTGATTCAAGGCAGACTTCCCCAAACATGCGAGTCCAGATGTGTGTTGGGCTAGTTTTAATCTTACTTATTGATCACATTGCCCTTTGCATCTCGATCCTTGTTTGCTCTCCAAACACCCTCTTCCATTTCACCAGTATCAGCAAACCATTCCTTCTTCCAGATTTCGGCGCGGGCTTTGACCCGCTCGAGGATTTCCTCTGCGCCCTTCCAGCCAGCAGCGCGGTGACCGCTGCTGACTGAGACGGCAATGCTCTCTTCTTCGACCTTGACTTCTCCCAGACGATGGACAATGGCAATCTTCTCTAACCCATGTTTTCTCTGCACGTCCTCGGCGATTGCATGGAGCGACTTCAATGCCAGTGAGGGGTAGGCCTGGTATGAGAGTCGAGACACCGGTCGAGAGTCAAAGTTGTCCCGAGTCGTGCCCAGAAACAGTACGTTGGCTCCTGCGGTCGGTGAACGTGTGAACTGTAGGTATTTTGGAATATCAAGCGGCGTGTAGACCAGAGAGATGAATATGGTCGGCGATTCTAGGCTTTGTGGGAAGTTGGCGGGGTCGAGGATCGATGAGGGTTTGGAGGTCGAGGTTTGGGCCGGTGTTGCTGATACTGATGCGGACGATGCTGTTTCATGATTCGAGACAAGCTGCGACGATGTTGCCTCGGTGGTCATGGTTGTGATGTGGCCTGGTTGCTGAATGAGATTTGGTCGTGGTTCAGATGGAACAAGAAAAACAAGGTATTCGACGTAATTCCACGTCTAAGCCCAACAGTCACAAGAGAAGAAGAGAAAGAGAAGAGAAATGAGATTGCAGTTCTGTCGTCCTAAAGTCTTTTTTATTTTCTTTCTTTCTTTTTCTCGTGTTGTTACAATCCGGGGAAACGTTCTGGCATAAATTGTTGGCGAATGACGCAGGTGCGGGCAACGGCGATGACGAGTTGCAGGAAGGCGCGAACCCCACGAATCCCAGCGATAGGAAATTTGAGACAATTAAATTTTATGTGTGATAGGATATCACCGGAAACTGATTGAGTTGAGTTGGTGTAGATTATATGTTATAGTAACATCAATAATCACTACTACTCAAGTGAACATCAGTCATCTCCGAACCTCGGAATCGCAAAACGAAGCAAAATCAATTCACGAGTTTGAGATCTCTTGAGATCCCCCACTCCTGATTATGAGGCGTCTGAGGCTTACTTGAACACACCGTATCCCACGCTCTGTCCCAAGATCATGGCCAGCACCGACGACTGATCATGTGTCGAACCAACATCTTCTTTTGGTGTCATGTTGTCGGGGGTTTTGATGCCATTCGCCAGAGGCAGCCGTATCCCCTTGGGCCCATTACCACGGTCGACTGTCCTTCCAAGGGATTAATTGGTCTGATCTGATCAGGAGATGCAACTCATGATATACAAATCCAATCCCACATCTCGAATCGTCTCCCTATCCTAAGGAAACCAATAATGACCCATCCCTTTGTCCCATGTGTCCATCCCATCCGTCCCCCCGTCGTCGTTGTTGCTTGTCTCCTACTCGGCCCACTCACCGCCCCTCTTCCCTGTCCATTTCGCTGAAAATGATTAAAATACACCTCAACCAACACCATCAACTGGAGCCACGTTCATGAATCGTCTGTCTCACCGCCTTGTTTGCCCTGTCGTGATTTCCCACTCAGACGTGGTGTTTGTGTGAATTCTAGAATCCTCGCACCCGCCCTGCATTCCACATGTCCTCTTGTAGCACTCTGCCTTTCCTCTTGCAGAAGTTGATCGCTCGACAATTCATTTCAAGGGGCGGCCTAGCATTCGGATTGGGTGCTGGCTTTATGCACCTCGGCCGACGGCGTCGTCTTGGGTGCCCGGATCTTTTTTCATGGCCGACATTCTTCCTTGCTCGACTATTATGTATTATGTGCGTGCCATGCATGTCCTGTTTGCCCTTGTCGTAACTATAAAGGGTTCATGATTGTGCGTCAGACCTCGGTTGAACTGTGGCAGATGTTTCTTGTTGGTACAGCTTCAATCATTCAATTATGATATGATACAGTAGCATCCTATACAATCATTGTCTAGAGAAGTGGAGTTGAGCAAGTCCAGCGACATAAATCCTTTGGTCCACGCCATGTCGTCCATTGTACAAGCCATTTTGCCCAAATGAGGCCAAATCTATCCTCATCCTCACCTGTTTCCTTGACACTCACGCTCACGCTTTCCCCTTTGCGGCCATCTCCTTGGCTGCTTGCTCTTTGGCCAAGTTCTGCTCAGCGATATACGGTAAAGGTGTTCTGTCAATTGGCTTCTTTTCCTTGGTCCAGTCCTTGATGTGGTCCAGCACGATCGCTGCCGCACTCTCCGGCGTGTCTTGTCGACCAATACACTCCACAAAATCACCTTCCGGGTCCATCACATAGAAGTAGATACTGTGGTCCACTAGGTAGTCCTCCTCTCCCGGCTTGAGTTCCGGCGGTGTTGAGAAGTATACACGATATTGTTTACACACATCTTTGGTTTGCTCCCAGGTCCCCACCAGACCCTTAATCGACGGATGGAATTCGTCCAGGTATGCTCGGAGCACCTCCGGGGTATCGCGGTTCGGGTCGCAAGAGATGAATATTGATTGTAGGCAATTCGGAGCCTTTTCTTGGATAATGTCAATCGCAAGCCCCATCTTGTCGAGCTCGTCGGGACAGATGTCGGGACAGTGGCTGAAGCCGAAATATATCTGCGACAGATCCCCTCAGTCAGTACACTTGCATTGTGCCTTACTTGTTGCAAACTGTGAGCGCCAGACATACCATGGAGTATTTGCCCAGTAAAATCTTCTCCGTAGCATCATTGCCTTCGGTATCCTTCAGTGTAAAGGGACCTCCGACCTTGGGCTTGCCGTATCCTTTGCTCATTTCCACAATTCTCTTTCTTTCCAATCTCGCCTTCTCATACCGGAAATAGAACACCATACATGCTCCCACGCTGACGAAGAGGATGGCTGATCTGAGTGAGAAGGGCTATCCCATAGAAATTGTCAGAGAGCAAGACTCTGGAGTGGAGACATACCGCGAGCGGCTATACGTACACCTGTGCGATTGTATAGCTTGGCCTTTTGCACATTCGGCCGTGCGTTGGACGACGAGAAGCTTCGCGCTTGTCGACATGTTGATGAAACTAGCTGCGCTCGAGTGAGCACCTTTGTATGAGACAGTGGTCTGATCGATGTGTGAAATGAGGATGCGAGTATGCTTTTCGCTCCAAAGCTATTCGATGATGAGACCAATCTTCGGGCGGCCCGACTGAAAGATGGAAGGGACCCCGACATGTTGGCTCTTCCTCAAGAGAAGTATTTCGAGACTAACGAGATATTCATCGACGAGTAAATGACTTCTGAGGGTCGAGGCAAGAAGGTGGTTGCATGCGGAGAATTTGTCATCGGATCAAATGTCTTGAGGCGCAGATCGTTCGGCGGATTATCTGCGCGAGTTATGCACAAGATGCATGAGGATCGCCTGCTCCACAATCATTCATCATCCTCTTCTGAAGGTCTCAACAACGAAGCATCAAGAACATCATTACTATGATACTCATCTTATCACAATAGTCCAAAATTCGAAATTATCTCGACGCCGGTGCTATGTCTGAATATATGCACAATCATGTTCATCAGCCAATCATACGCTCAATCCAATCTCGAACTCCTGACCAGTGACCACCCGCACGTTGCTCCACATCGAGTTTCTTCAATCCTCGGATAGTCTCAATGGGCCTTTGAGATTTGACTTGTTGCTCGCCAATGAATGAGCCATGTAATCCATAGGTCACCCTTTGGGTCAGTTCCACGCGACAGACCACAGTCTTCATGTCCCGCGCATCAATCACCCAAAGCTCACTGACAGCATCCGGTGGACACTCGCCGTCCTGATCTAGTTGTGATTCATCAAAAACGTAAGTCAAGAGCCAACCATCATCTTCTCGGTAAGCACCCTTGCGCGCGACGAAGCGAGGCTCCTGAGCATACCAGCCAGGGGGCAGCTGAAAGATGGAAATGGGGTCGTCACTGATAGTAGAACTGAGAATCTCTTCCACTGTCCGAGTGTCCACACATCCTGTAACTGGGGTCATATGAGGATCCTTCTTTCCACGCCTGATCAAAGCCTCTGCATTAATCTTGACGAGACAGTTGATCTTGACGGCGCGGCCTAGAGCAGCCCCAAACGAGCCCTCGGATGTTGAGCAGCCATAAACGTATTTGGTTGGATTCATGGCCATGTCTTCCCGTGTGCTAGGAAACTCAAACGGGATTGCAGAGAGCGCAAATTGATATATGATGCGATTCGAGTCCGCGGTATTCAAAGAGAATTGGTAGTAGTAAAGGCGGCATTGCTCGGGTTCCTGATCCTGTCCAAACACAGGTGAGGTGAGTTGAGGCGCAGCAATATCGCCAGCAGAAAACACCAGGGAGGCAGAAGTAAGGCGGCACGCTAACATGTTGACTGCTGTGGTACTGACTTCTCCAGTGAAATTATGAACCAAGGTATCGTCCCAGGTGTTAGCTGTATGAAAGATGCAACAAGCATCGGTCTCAAACCAACGCACTTCTTGAGGTGACTGGCGCGGAAAGACGCCGAATCGGGCTTTTGCCGTCGGGTCATAGGCAACGACAGGTCTATTTTTGACCAAATTGACGGGATCCAGAGACAAGGGCAAATCCATGATGACAGTGTTTCTCATTGAGACCCCAAAGTCATGCATCATTTTGGCTGATGTGATGCCAGGGACCGGAGCGTTGAGAAGCCTTGTTGGTGTTTCAAAAGGGGTGGTAGCAGCGATGGGGGGATGAGTTGCTGGAATAATGGAATAGTGCACATAAGGTGGAACAAAGGTCGAGTGGAAAAGGATCAATTCCTGGGTCTGGGGGTCAACACGAGGATGTGCAGTGGTCCATTCTTTCATGAATCCCAACAGCCCGTCACCGCCAAAACCCGAGCCATCCTCCCCGTCAGGTTCGCCTTCTGCTTTCTTTCCATTGTACCATCCTACTGTCTCCAAGCCAGGAAGAGCGATGCGCATGGGTGGTCCAGACTCGCAGGTAGCGAGCGCCCTCCCATCATGAAACAGAAATCCTGTATTGGCAACACTGATTCGACGGATGGCTTGTTGAGACCCTGGGAGTCTAGACAGAATGACGAGGGCAAGGGTGCGAAAGACAAGGGAGAAGATTCTGAAGAGTGAGGAAAGAGGGTTGACCAGGGTGGCAATGCTAGGAAGAATGGGGGTCTGGAGGTGTTTGGAGCAGATGGAAGACAAATAGACGTCTGTGAGGATGTACTGATTGACAAATTCGGGTTGGACGCCGTCAGAGGTTCTGGTAAAGGCGACACCGCTTAGCATTCCGTCTCCATCAAACCAGTGAGCATCTCGACCCAGGACTTCGTTGGTCACAGGATTGCCACCATTCCGTACATACTCACCACCGTACAACTCCTCAGGAATTGATCCTGAGTACTTGCAAGGTGTCAGAGGCTGTATCTGGTGGATGGGGGCAAAGTTGCCAGTCAGGTAAGGATGCGGACGGCGTGTCTTCTGTTTTCGAGACTTTGAATCCAAGATCGGACCATTCATGTTGGATATAGACCTGTCTTGCTGTTTGTAAGGATTGGACCATGTGGGACGAGTCTCGGGCATCGAGGTCATCGCCAATGGATGATAGAGTGAAGTGAAGTTGAGGCCATCAGAGGAGAATCGTGAACAAAAGGCTCTTCTGTTTGTTGCGGAAGGTGCCCTGGAGGAGAGGTACTGAAGAGGAAGGAACAATGGAAGACGGTCGTACCTGCTCTTGCAGTGTCTGGACAGAAATCTGGAAGGAACCATCCATTACCGGACCCAAAGGGCAAGAACAATCCACTTCATGCTTTTGGCATTATTTTATATACCTATCGAACGTGCCTTTGAGTATTAGGTAGGTATGCACGGCTTTGGCAAGGAGCCTAGAATACTTGATTGCTATACTACGCGCTTATGATGGTGGTGGTGGCTCTGACATCATCATGGCTTCACTGCTCGGTGCGGAGAAGCCAGGAATACAAACTCGCACGGGCAACACTTTGCACATGATATCTTCCCAAGGCCCTCCATGGCCAGTAAAGTGTCAGTAGCCCCGGCCATCTGATCGTTGGCGCCATGCCTCGAGTGTGGCTGAACAGTGACAGATTAAAGCTCTTACATTTCTCCACCAGTGGATCTGTAACTCCATTTTGGACAATCTTTCAGGAATCGAGCGCGTCATGACATCCAGTTCAACTCTAAGCTTAGCCAACCCAGCCTTCATCGTAGAACACATGCAAAAGAATCTTCTCCGACTTTTCCATGGCCGTCCCGGACTCTATCTCCCACCGAATGTACTATTCTCATCGTTGGGTAGTCGCGACTGAGTTTAGAGACCGTTCCGCCCCTGGCATATTCGTCACAGCTCCCAATATTGCACTTGTTGGTATACCATGACATACACCAACGCATGTTGCTTGATACCAATTGACTCGAGCCGATGATCTTCTGTTTTAACTCTTCTTCTGAGCGGACTTTGACAGTTTAAGGCTCCGGCCGCCATGTATGACTATGCTTGGGTGTATGCCTCTCCGGACCTCCCATGCTCTTCGATCGTCACAATTTGCTGACCCCAAGCTATTGGTGACTAACAGGCATATCATTTATACCATACCGATTGCTATCATACTCAGTGTCATCCTAACGCCACTACTATCGCGGCGAGATATCTACAAAATATGCTTCCTTCAAGTCATTGCCGTGACATATACGATTCCATGGTACGTTTCCGTTCTGGCAATCCAAGTCGCTGTTTTGCTGACGATCAAAGGGATTCGTATCTGATTAGGACCAAAGTCTGGAGTGAGACTCACAGAACGCAACCTTCTCGGGCCACACTTGCTAAATCGCGATAGGCTATCCAAGTCAAGTAATCTTGGGTCCGACTTTGTTTGACATTCCTATCGAAGAGCTTTTCTTCTTTGCCATTCAGACATACATCGTGAGCAGACACTCTGATGCCTTTCTGGGGATCACATTGCTAATCCCTCACGCAGACAACATCTCTCCAAGTTATATTTACCAAATCCGTCGTGACAGCAGTCTATTTGCATGATGAATCCGACCTGACGGATCCCGTGGTTCCGACTCTGCGATCTATCAAGCGCCTGGGTCAAGTATTCTTCTTCTTTTGCTCAATCGCACCCGTTCTGCTGGGAGACGGCCACAGCAATGCCACCTACATGAGACTGATACTGGTATGGGCAGGCCCTGTCCTGCTTATGCTATGGACCTTTGCCTATCAGTTGCTCGTCACCTTGCCATGGACGAAAACATGGCTTCCCATTGCCCTTCCAACATTGTATCTATGGATTGTGGACACTCTTGCCCTTCGGAGGGGTACCTGGAGTATTGAGTCGGGAACCAAGCTTGGTATCCATTTATGGCCACATCTGGAAATTGAGGAAGCGGTCTTCTTCCTGCTGACCAACATGCTGGTAGCATGGGGTGCGATCGCTTACGACAATGCTGTTGGCATACTGGACGCTTTCCCTGAAGTGTTTCCTGAGGTTCCGGGTACCCCTTCACCGGTCCTCCTGTTGAAAGCTCTGTGCCTCCCTACGGCGAGGTATGACACTAGACGGATCCAAGGGTTGAACAACGCTTTGTCTGTGCTGGCAAAGAAGAGTCGATCTTTCTATCTTGCATCTGGTGTTTTCATGGGCAGATTGAGAATTGACTTGATCCTGCTCTATGGGTTTTGCCGTGTGGCAGATGATTTGATCGACAATGCGCCAACCCAAAAAGATGCAGTCACTTGGATTGAGAATTTTTCCCGTTTCTTGGACGCTATCTATGCCGGAAAGGCAGACGAGCAAGAGATACGAAGTTCTCTTGCCCCATTCCCAAAACAGGCACAATCAATCTTGGTTCTACTACCCAAAGAGAAACTGCCCTCAGCTCCTTTGTACGCCCTTTTGGATGGGTTTCGTATAGACCAGAACTTTTTGGCAGATGGACCAGATTCCAAAGTCGCCAATCCTCCTATTCGAACTTTAATCGATCTTCAACGATATGCGACATGTGTGGCAGCGACCATAGGCGAGCTGTGCCTGAGCCTTGTGTACTACCACGATCCCGACGGTGAAACAGACCCAAAGACACAACAAAGGTGCAAAATGGCAGGAGCACAGATGGGCCGAGCTCTCCAGTATGTCAACATTGTCCGGGATGTTATGACGGATGCTCAGCTCGACCGATCTTATATTCCATATGAATGGTGGGACAGCAGTCTCCCAGGCGAGCCTGACGCAGGCTGCGAGGAGTATGCCAACCAAGTGCTCGAACATCGAAAACGTATACTCGACATTGCGTTTACATTGTATGCTGAGAACCGGGATGCGATTGAAGTACTTCCAGAGTATGCTAGAGCGGGCATTAGAGTTGCTGTGGAGAGCTACATGGAGATAGGACGAGTGATACGGGATCGGATCTCCAAAGGTCAATCATTGGACTTTGACGGAGGCGGTCGACCAGGACGAGCCACGGTGCCCAAGAGCAGACGTGTGCTTGTGGGGTGGAGGGTCATGACTGGTTGGAGAGGTGCTTCTTGAGGCTGGAAGACAAACAGAATTGACACGAGAGAGATTCACAGGGTGGGCTAGGACAAGCGCTTGTCAAATAAATACACTCATAGCACCTTACGGATGACTTGATATTCGCCCATGGGTTGATTGTGGTGGGCGTTGGAGGAATCAACTCACCCAACTATTGATATAGAAGTATATGATTGGAACCAAAGTCACGTGTGGGGAAGATGCCCTGTGAAGTCCCTCCTGCCCTGCCCCTCGGCCCCTCTCTCCCCATCGCTCTTGCCCTAAAGTACATGGATGATGACAGGTAAGAAAAGAATTCTCATCGACTTAAAACATCCCATGTTCTTTTTATTGACATCTGTACATTTGTCTATCTTCTCCTTGACAATCTACCACGTGTCTCACCATCATCTGAGAACATGGAATTGAGACCCGCACCCGTTGAGGAGTGGACACCATGCCAATCCCTAGCCACCAAGTCATGTTGTCATTGACTTTTGGGCTGGCGCGACCAGAGCCTCCAGACATGTGATTGACTTCATCTTCCTGTCCTCTGCTTATTTCTCGCTCTCAAATCTTCAACTCACCATAGTAGAGGCATGAGTAAGCCTAAAAGTGTCATTGTCGTCGGTAAGTATTGCCTAGTCGTCTCTACTCGTCGTCATTCTCGCTGGTTAATACTAACCTATTCACAGGCGCCGGTGCTGGCGGCATCGCAAGTGCTGCCCGACTTGCCAAAGCCGGGTTCCGAGTCACGGTGATAGAAAAGAATGATCACACTGGTGGTCGATGCAGCTTGATCCATCATGACGGTCACCGTTTTGACCAAGGTCCTTCGTTGCTGCTCCTTCCAGATCTCTTCCGAGAAGCATTTATCGACCTTGACACTTCGCTAGAAGCTGAAGGCGTGGAACTACTCAAATGTGATCCCAACTACAACATCTGGTTTGGTGATGGCGAGAACATCGAGCTTTCCACCGACGTGTCCAAGATGAAGAAGGAAATTGAACGCTGGGAGGGCAAGGATGGCTTTGAGCGATACCTTGACTGGATGAGGGAGGCTCATGTTCACTATGAGGCCAGTGTTGTCCATGTGCTTCGAAAGAACTTTGCGTCCATCTGGGCCATGGCCCGACCGAGCTTCCTGCCGTATCTTCCAGCCCTGCATCCTTTCGAAAGTATTTGGGCTCGCGCCGCTCGCTACTTCAAGACCGAGAGGTTGCGCCGAGCCTTCACCTTCGGGAGCATGTACATGGGCATGAGTCCTTTTGATGCTCCTGGCACTTATAGTCTGCTGCAGTATACTGAACTCGCCGAGGGCATCTGGTCAGTCCCAGTCCTAACTCGTCTCTTGCCACACTGACATGATGTAGGTATCCCAGAGGTGGTTTCCACAAAGTCCTCGACGCCCTGGTCCGAGTTGGTGAGCGTTTTGGTGTCGAGTACCGCCTGTCATCCCCAGTGGCCCAAATCAACACGGATTTCCATTCCAAGCGAGCAACTGGAGTTACCCTGAAATCCGGAGAGGCTTTGAATGCAGATATTGTCTTGGTCAACGCAGATTTAGTCTATGCTTACAACCAGCTACTACCACATTCAGACCAAGCTTCCGCATTGTCCAAGAAGTCAGCCTCTTGCTCCAGCATATCATTCTACTGTAAGTATCTCCCAAACACTGCTCCTTGTTGATCTGACATATATCTCAGGGTCGATGGACACCGTAATCCCGGAGTTGCATACCCATAATGTCTTCCTGGCCGACGACTACAAAGACAGCTTCGATGACATCTTCAAACGGCAATTGATACCCAAAGAGCCTTCATTTTACGTCAATGTTCCCTCAAGGGTCGATCCCACAGCTGCTCCTGTTGGACGCGACAGTGTTGTCGTTCTGGTTCCTTGCGGACATCTGCTGGAAGGTCCGGCTTCACGTGGACTGAATCCATCAAGTTCTCAAGATTGGAATGCGATGGTCAACAAGGCCAGAGGCGCAGTCTTTGACATGGTTCTTTCTAGAACTGGTGTGAACCTTAAGTCGCACATTGTCAACGAAGTCATCAATACCCCATCATCGTGGAAGGAAAGATTCAATTTGGATAAAGGTGCCATCCTCGGCTTGAGTCATTCATTCTTCAATGTTCTCAGTTTTCGACCCAAGACCAAACACTCGGAGATTTCCAATCTCTACTTTGTCGGTGCAAGCACACATCCCGGAACCGGAGTGCCAATTGTGCTAGCTGGAAGCAAAATCACCACTGGCCAAATTCTCGATGACCTCGGTATGGTCAAGCCTTGGACAGCCGGCGGCCACATCACTAGAAGTGTCAGCAGCCTTGATCAGATAGGCTCCACTCCATTTGACCTCTCACGCACGATATTGGCACTGCTTTTGTTGTTGGCTTTGTCGCTGTACTTGTCTACAAGTCGGTAACGCTCTGGGGGATGATCGTCACGGAACAGCCGGATAGCAAGCACGCGTGACATGCGTGAAGAGCCTTGTCCGCTTAATGCTATACTTTAGGAGCCTCATCGCTTGGACTAAAGGCAGATCCGGGTACTGCCCTGCTACGATCTGCGTCTGAGCCAGCATTGAAAGAATTCACCGACCTTTAAGATACCCCTTGATAATAGAGTCAAGCTACCACAATCTAATAGAATCTTCACCTCGAACACGATTGATGCCGACTTTGGGTTTCTCATAGCGAAGTGATTCCTTGTCCAACGTTGAAAATCCGTCGGTCTCAATTGTTGCAAGACTGGCCCCGAGCCTGAAACTTGAGCCCGAGCCATCTGGTCTAGGAGCTTAAGCGTGGTAGCTGCGAGTATGTCCTGATGGTCACACCAGGATATGCAAACTTTCTTGACTAACCCTGAAAATAGCGAGTGGCGAAGACTCAATATTCACGCCGTCGAGCTGATAAGTTCACTTCTGCAAATAGAGGCATGTTCTGTCAGCGATGCCAGGTATTCCGGACAATGCGGCTCCGTTGGGTTGCTTGCTTTTAACAAGGAAGACATGACATCTCATGATCAGACGAATAGTAATTCCAAGCCAAGCTTCCATATCCGCGAGGCTGTCGGAAAACCCAAAAGCAGTGGAGAGAGAGGAAGTGGATGTGTCGATCCCATTAGTACAGGGCGCCATCAATCTACTTAGGGTAGACATGCATGAAGCGCGAGTGGTTTTTCTCACTCAACCCTTGGCGCGTTCAAGTCCTCCTCTTCTTCAATTGTCCGTATCCCCCTCCCCGGCACCAGCGGAAGACGATATTTTTTGGTCAACCAGAAAAAATGAGGAGTTCATCCTCTCGGACCTATCTTTTCCCTCCCAAGGCCACCAATTCATTCGGGGCCTCATGACCCTAATATGAGTCATGAGACGACTCTTGATGTGGGTTGACGTTTTCTACAGGTGAGAATGAGAGACTTGGCTGGGCAGTTAGAAGCCGACGACATCCGAGAGCCAACACTTTTCAACGACATGCCTTATTCGTTGGATCAGAGATCATACATCCCCGCTCAGCCCAAACCCAAGAAAATAACTGCATCAGGAGATTTTGTTGTCAGGCACTTCAGGCTAGACACTGACTATCTACCTACAGTTTGTAAGTACATTCCTTACCCACTGGATTCCTTACCCACTGGATCCCTCCACAACCATGAAATACGGCCCCGATTTGGGAGGCCACCACGGCCACCAGGCTACTCTCCACCACATCTGGTTGACGCCTTATGATGGGCTCCGCCGAAAAGGGTCATGATTAACCCTGTTTGAATGGATTCGTTTGTCATCCGGATCCTCGCTCGCCTTGTCCTTGTCCGACCCCATGACCCTGGCTGGGCCTTGCCTTGGCTTGCCTGGTCGAGTGGGTTTGAAGCCTTGCTGGCAAGGCGTGAGAGGATAGGAGGATTAGGACAGACACACCAGACCGGATAATTGCTTTGACATGCTATTCGGACAAACGATTTCGTGACATGGATGATGGACGATGGATGGATCCGGCATGACTCGATCAGGTTTTCATTGCATATTACCGAATCCCCGAGTCATCGGTTCATCGTGGGTGTCTTCTTGCGTCGAGCAGCAGCAGTCTCAGGTCAGACAACTGATTCGGAGTCAGCAGCAGCAGTACACGGAACCAAGATCAGACGTCACTCATTGCCTTCAATTTCTTTCTCCACTTCAATGTCCTCGTGAAGATACAAAAAGGTGAACGAGAAGAACCCCCTCGATCTGAGACTTTTCGTTCTCTAGGTCAGCCAGCACTTCACTTCCCTCTCAAAGTCTTCTCACTGCCTGATTCCACCTCTCCTCCCCTTCCAGTTCAGACCAATCCCATCCCAAGTCTATCTATCCCCCATACCCAATCAACAAAATGGGCAACCGAGCCGTCGAAATCAATGGTTTCACCAATACGGTGACAACTGATAACCACATCACCACACGTGGTTCATCATGGCTCTTCGCAGTCACTGCATTCATGGGCTTCTCGTCTCTTGTGTTCATGGGCTTGTCGTTCATGAAACCTCGAACCCAAAGACTCTTTCACTATCTCCTCGCCGCTTTGACTTTGATCTCGGCCATCGCCTATTTCTCTCAGGGATCTAATCTCGGCTGGACGGCAATTGAGGTCCAATGGTCCAGAAGCAATGCAAAGGTCGCGGGTGATATGCGACAGATTTTCTATGTTCGATATGTGAGTTTTGCAAAACACAAGGAGTTGAGTGCTCCTTTTACTGTTTCTGACATGGGTTCATCTTTCATGTATAGATTGACTATTTCATCACCATACCTCTCTTGTTGGCCACTCTTCTCTTGACAGCTGGACTCCCCACCCCAACTATCTGGTATACTCTTCTCATCAGCGAAGTCTTTGTCGTAACTCGTCTAGTCGGAGCTTTGGTCAAGAGTACTTACAAATGGGGTATGTCCATCCCCTTTTACCCGGCCCCCCTCCAATGTTATCACCACTAAGTAAGTAACCTTGTCCCAAACAGGATTCTTCACATTCGGCCTCTCCTCCCTGTTCTTCCTTCTCTACACCATCATCATCGAAGGCCGCGCCTACTCTCGCCCATTAGGCGCCGACCTGACCCGCCTCTACGGCATCCTCTCAATCTGGACCGCCTGCATCCTCCTGGTCTACCCCATCATCTGGGGTGTATCTGAAGGTGGAAACGTCATCCCCTTGGACTCGGAGATGATCGCCTACGGCATCTTGGATATCCTGACAAAACCCATCTTTGGTGCAGTTTTGCTCTGGGGGTTGAGAAACGTTGATCTCGAGCGTCTGGGCATTCAGGTTCGAGATGCTCATGAGGGCATTGCGACCGAGCCCGTCGCAGATGAGAAGAAGACGGAAGCGGATGTGAGTGCGGGTGTTGTGAATGGTGGTGGTAGTGGTGGTGTTGCGACGGCACCTCAAACTGTCTAAGTTAAGTCAGAGGGAATTCCAAAAGCATAGCTGTTTGGTCAACCCTTTCTGACCTTAGCATCACCCACCCATAGTGGTCAGGTCCAGGTCCCGATTTACCCTCCATTCTATCTTAATTTCTAATCCGGACTTCCACTTCCACCCAAGCCTCCGACTGCTCCGGACTAATATTACGAATTTTCAAGCTTGGAAGTCCCTAATGTCCCGAAGACTCCGAATACCCCTGCCACTGAAGACAGTCGTCTTGGATAATATCTAATACCAATCATCATCACTCGTTCCAGAATCATGGCTGTCATGTTATATCCCCTCTTTAGTCACTATCATGTTCCTGTCACTTGCTTGGATACCCCAAGGAAGCTAACTTGCATGAAAGGGAATCGCAATATATCTATATCTAAATATCAATATCAATATACCAATATACACCGTCTGCCTTATCCAGTTTACTGAAGTTCGATCGTTTAATTCAGAATAGAATTGAGTGGATCAATCATCTCGAACTGGACTGTGTTTGTCATATCCGTGAGGATGGGTTGTCTGTATTGGTTCATGTGTATATGTATATAGATATAGATATAGATATATGCCTCTGCACATACAGATCATGCACAGATCAAGGGCACCGCACCTATTTCTGTTTCTGTATGCCCTTCCAAAACTCAAACTCGCTGGTTCATAATGTCATCATATCTCCCATGTTCAATTAACAAGAAAGGGTCATCATAGAGAAAAGGGATTTTTAAAGGTCGTGTAACGAGGTTGCCACTTGAATCAGGGCTTCTTTCTTCTCCCCAACAATCCTGCCAGGCTGGGGTCACGCAACCCTGACTTGCCAACTTCTCAAATCATCCCTCAAATCCATTTCCATGACTTCAGTCCAATCATGTTCACCCCGGGCTCGTCGGTGATTGTGATGATGTTCCTGTAGACTGGCGGCCGCTTGTAATTGATGTTCAATGCTGGATCGGCCACTGATGGTACTGCCGACGCCGGGGCTGCCGTAGTTGAAAGTGGCGGATAAGCTCCCGACCTCACGGCCGTTGCTGTTGCCGTTGGCATTGCCATTGCCATTGCCATTCTCGCCACTGCCGCTTCGTTTATGGTCTGATCGGGAAGTGTGCGGAGTCATCTGGGGAGTGAGGTGTGAAGAAGAGGAGAAGGAGGAGGATGATGGATGTTGAGATTGTGGGTGTGGAGAGTGATGAGAATGATGGCTGTTGGTCAGGTGGGCGTCGCTGTTGTGACCACCACCCCGCCGGCTGGGGCGCGGTGTGTGGGAGTGACGAGAGGTGTCGCTCGAACTAGATCCCATACTCTCTTCGCGAGGACTTCCTCTTGAGCGGGAATTGCGATTCTTGTAAGATTTGTTGGATGGTCCTGGTCCACCGCCTCCATCGCCTCCAGCAAATAAATCCTCGATCAATTGGTCTGGAGCCAGTTCTCCAACCTGGCAAGCCCATGTTGCCGCCAGGGTCCGACGGTAGATGTCCTGGGCTTCACTCAATTCTCTCGTCTTGCTGGTGATACTGGGAATGTCTTCGCCCTCGCCGGCCTCGGTCGACAAAACACCTGCAATGCCTCCAATGACCATGGCGGACTTGAGAGGTGGTGCGATGAACGTCACATCGCCTTCGGTCTGTTTCATCTTGATGCTGATCTTGAGTGTACTGTTGACCTTGCTGTCCTGCAGTAGATATCTTCTGGTGATGGTGTCGTCCTCGCCATCGTCTTGTGGATCTCGCTCCCCGGCGGCCATGGCTTCAGGGATTCTGGTATACTCTGCGAGGTTTAATTTGACGTTGCCCAGATGAACTCTTCCTCCCCTTCCCCCATCGCTGTATTCTTGCAAGATCTCAAAGTGGATGTCGCATTCCTGTAACATCTGGTTCTTATCGATTGTGAGACGGACGGGGATCTCTTTGACATAGTCCCATGTTGCTTTGTGGTCTATGATATAGGCCTTGTCCGTGCGACCGCGGTGTTCGGCGGCATTGCTGGAGGAGAGATGCCACCGCACAGAGGCCGTACCGGCGACGAGGGGGACATTGGTGAGGTCGATAATGTTAAGGGTCAGGTCAAACTTGGGCTAGGTCGGGGTAAGCCGAGGTCAAGTGAGTACAGGAGGTCGGGTGGGATGTACCTTTCTATTCTTGGGGACTGTGAAAGCCAAATTGTTCAGCGCTTGTTTCCGGAGAAGAGTGGACATTGCGAATTCAAGATCGAGGGTAACATGACTTGAGTAAGATTCAGGGAAGATGGCGGAATGAAAGAGGCCAAAAGGGAAGAGGAAGATGTGAAGCATGTGCGGGAGGAACATTCAACAAAGAACTCACTCACCAAAGGCCTGCATTATGAACGACGAGATGGATTGGATGATGATGGCGGGTCAGGTTCGTATGGGTATCGGGTATTGCGCGTCACTGAGATGGGGAGGATGTAGGGTTTGGCTGATTGCACTGACTACCTGGGTCTAGGTAGGGAGGATGGAGAGACTGACGGCGGAGGAGTGAAGAGCGACAGGAGGGTGGATACGAGAACGGAGGAGTAACGGAGGAGGCTCTACTTAGACGCACTGACCCGCAGGAACTAGTAGAGGAGCAGAGGCCAAGTTCAGAGGAGGTGAGAGGATGACCCGGATTGGACGCAGTCAGACGTAAGCCCGTGCAGAGAGCACAGAATGTCCGATCCGAATCGAGCGAGAGTTGGAGGGGACCATGTCGCAACCTGTAAGAGTGCGCTGTGCCGCTGTAGATTTGGGTCGACGAACGATTGCGAGGATGAATAAAGAGAAGTGGATCAGGGAGATAGAGGCGTGAGAGATGAGAGGTGACTGAGAGGCGAGAGACGTAAACTGTACAGGTGCATGAGGTGGTAGTGAGGGGCCGAGGGGCAAGGAATTGTGCCGACAGGGTGGCCTGAAGTCTAGATCGATCCTAGAAGAAAGCTACTCCGTACAGTGACAATCAAAAGAGGAGAGCTGGTGGTGGTAGAAGGAATCAACGAACAAGGGTTCTCCGGTAGACAGCCACACAGTTCGCATCTGGAGCTTGTCCTTTGGTTCCCATGTTTCTGGTACCGATGGTTGGCAGCGTTAGTTTCTAAATTCCAGTTGGTGACTCGTAGTTTGGTTGGAAGCTTCATAATTTCGGCCGAATCACAACTTGAGTTCCCCGAGGTTCAATTTACGAGAGGACAAACTTCAAGTATATGCCGCATTCCAAACCTGCGCTGACATTGCCCAGGACCCAATCCGTTCGTGGTAATGCCTTGTGTGGACCTCACCCAACATCTGCTGACTCCTGAACGTTTTCATTGTCATCAATGTTATAATGAAAACCACATCATTGGCGGGGTGAATCACGTGATATATCCACATATCGGACACGACGAGAGTGGAATTTGTTGGAGGAACTTTGCAGCAAGTTATGTGTTTCCATTCCCTCGTACATGTCTCAAAGTGTACAAGCAATCTTCCCAGAAGGCTGTCATTTGTTCTATCCGATTATCAAATTGTTGATTGTAGTAGTATTCACATTGAAGAGGACACTCTATCCCAATCTAACCATCACCCCTCTAGAATTTGTGGACTTCCTCTTTGGTGTAGCCAAGTTCAGCCAGAATGCCTCCAATGCTGCCTTGGGTCCATCCGAAGCCACCTTTGGCACCAGCCACAGCCTCAATCATGGGAGGAGGCCCTGATACCAAGACTTTGTGGGATGTCCCGCTCAACTTATTGGGCACCACCTTGGCCAAGGTCTGTTTGGTCACGTAGCCTTGTTCGACGGTGCCATCACTGTCGGAACTTCGCTTGGTCACGGTGAAGATCCGCTTGAATTGATCGGGATACTTGGCGGCAAGCTCGTCGAATTCTTTGCGGAGTAGGATGTCCTCCTCCGTGTTGTTGGCATAGACAAGAGCTAGCTTGGTCTTGTCTTCGGGGTTGTTGAGAATGGCACGTGTCAATTGGTAGATGGGGGTAATTCCTGATCCGCCAGCAATCAAAGTCAGGCTGCTGAATTGATTTGGCTTGTAGTCAAACTCGTGCAGGGGTTTGAACTTCATTGAGTCACCGGGTTTCAGCGAGTGCATTTTGCCGGATCCCTTGCCATTGGGGTATTTCTTGACCATGAAAGTGACAGTTCCTGGTAGATCTAACACGAAAATTAGAAACTTGTTGAGAACTTCGTCCATTAATAAGCTTACCGTTGTCACTGACTGGGGTGTATGGTCGGAAGACTGGGATCCAGGCGCCTTCAGGAGTATGTCTGGTCAAAAGAGATGCTGCAGTCATCAGTATTGAGAGCTTGCGTTATAGTCTGAGGTAGCAACTCACTGATGGGAGAAACGCCAGTGACGGTTTGGTCGTCAGGTAGGGCAAATGTCAATTTCTTGACATTATGATTGTACTGCTCGGCGCTGAGGAGCTTCAGCTCGGTGAATCCCTTCCACTCCATTTTCTTCAACGCCGCTTTTGAATCAGAAGGTAGTGATTCAGCATGTACTTGATTGAAGAAGAAATGTGTCGACTGCCAGTGTTTATATCCGCTATAAGCCAGACCAGCCCCAACAGTGGTGGCGGCAGCGATCTTAAGCGAAGGTCGAATGTAAGATCCCATTGTGTAGAGATTGTTTCGAATTGAAGATGTGACAATGATGCAATATCGATTCTTGAAGCCGAAATCGTTTGCTGGTTGTGGTTGTCAGGTGTGTTTGATAGCTCAACCCCTGATTCTTGGGGTGATTTGGAAGAGATGGTCAAGAGTCAAAACAACGCTCAAAAGCTCAAAAAATCTATCAGGGAAAGGTGTCAAGAAAAGAGCTGACTCAATGTTGTTACAAAAGATGATGAATCAGAGTTTACACAAGTTTTCTTGCCGATAATGTGATGATGAGGATAAAGACGTTGAAAAAAACATTCTTGTTGACTCAAAATGTGTTGGAGATCGGCGTTGAGAGATTCCGCCCCGATGGCAGGCACAGGCTTAGGTGCCAACGTGTTCCTGCCTCGCCAGGCACAAATGGATCCTTTGGGCCCTTTGGTTCCTTCGGGCACCTTGGCCCGCCTGCACGGAGCCCGGACCAGCCCCTAGCGAGGTTTTCCAAGCCTGCCCGCGCCTGCCGCACGCCCGGATCGTCGCTGACATGCCCAGTCAATGCCCAAGTGGACCTCAGCTGCTACAATCAGCCCTCAAGCTTTCACAATCAAGCTTTGATCTAAAAATACTTTTGCTCAAAGGTGCCCAGGGTCTTACCCCGGAGCCATCTTTTTCCTTTTCGCCGACCCTGTCCTTTCGACCTTGTTCAACGGCCACGACGATGTTCCTGGGGTCGGCCAGTTGGTATGCTATCATATTTGAGAAAGAAACTGTGTCTGGATAACCGAGGACTGCCAGGTGGTGCAAGAGGACTCAATCCTCAACACGTGACGTAGACAGGTACCTGGCCACACCTTGAAGGATTGCTGACAGACACTGCGACTTCAACAAAAATAAAATCTGGGTTACTCAACTGAACCTGAACAGTACATGAAATAGCTGCAGTTGTCCTCGACGGCCGCAATAAACCAGGTAGTCACAGCTCTCATCCTTGTAGGCGGGTGCACAATACTTGCAGCCAAGATAGAAGTGATGACCTGACATCGCACACAAACAAGTGCAGCGCTGGAAACATATGATCATCAGTTGTAGCACCTATGTCATCTCTCTCGAGTCCATGGACAGGAATTCTTGGGAGCTCTTGGAGCCCAGGTCCCCACGTGATCTGCGGCCATAACCCATGAAGCGAAAAAGCTGATCGAAAGTTCAAGCCGCATGGTCAGCCACGTCAGCTCAGCCAGGTTCGATTCCTCCACAGCACAGCCACGAATGCAAGCAAGAGTCCAAGACTGGAAGTCCTGTATTTTGTATGTACCTAGTCACCTAGTCTGTAGACATTGGTACGCAGACTGCAAACCCCGGTCCCGCCTCTGTCGGCTCTCCCGAAAAGTCTTGGTATTCTTTTTCTGTACCGCACTTGGTCGTCATCAGTTTTGAGTAAATTCTGAAACATGCAAGCTTTCGAATTTTGAGTCTACCAACAAACGGTCGGCGGCTACTGGAACACCATGGATGAGCAAGCTCGAGAGACCCGGCTGTAGGGCCGACCCAAACGACCACCTGTGCTGTGTCACATGATGCTGGGCATTTCTATGAGGGAGGTTGACAGGGACCAATCAGATTGCCGAGCAGGGATGTTTCAAGAAGGTGGCATAACGACCTCCACTGTCAACGACCAATATATTTGCAGAAGTGCCTCCCGAACAGCATCACCTCAGCTAACTTCCGCCCACTAACTCGGCGGGCGAACGACACCGGGCCAGAACGCCCAACGACTGGTCGTTCTTTTCTGCCGCTCTACCAGTCATCGATCGTTGTCGCCCACGAGACATATCCTCGTGTAAGAATTGGCAAGATCTGCCGGAGTGCTCTTTTGCAGGGACCAGACCCAGGATTCAGAACCCTTTTCATTCACAATCCTGAAACATTGGATTAGTACCGAGCACTTGGGACTGCAAATGGCAACTCTGGTCTCGTTTGCTCTTGGAGATGGATGAGACGGTCGCGACCGTAGGAAGAGGGGGAGGAGTTAGAAAGGTCAGAGGTCGAGAGATGTTTCCATAGCCACATCCAACTGCGTTCGTGATCATCATGTCTCCTTTTCTAGTCTCGAGCATGGCGGAAATCCCTATGCGGTGGTTCATGTTTCATTCCCTTGAACATTGTCTATGAGCAAGATGATTCGATCGGAATCTAAGATTGACGAACAGCCCTGATTATCACCTGGAGCATGACGGGGACATCCAGGCTAGCCTGGCCTGGGATGCTCAACAGGAGATGACCCTTTGGGACAATTTCGTCTTCTGGAAGACTAGACCACCTAGGACGTGGGACTTCTGATGCAAAAGCAGCCGGATCGCACCCTTGGTAGTACCAAAAAGCCACGCGACGCCCGGAAATCCGGCCGCCACCACGGCACAGTGTTCCAAAGAAGAGTTTTTGATCAATGGGTTGAAGCTGGAGCATGGACAATTTCGGCGTTTGACAAAAGTTTTGACCTGGGCTGACTTGGCTGTTGATTGTGGGTGTACTTGACTTTCATCAAGTGATTTCCAGAAGAATTGGCCGTTGGACCAACTACCAGTCATGCACGGCGAAGGCATAGGAGATTTAGCACAGGAAAATGGACGGCGACCTTGCATATGCAGCTAAAGGATCGAGACATTCTGGGCAGACAAGATGTGGTTTGGACGGATGAGTAGGGGTTTCCTCCACCTGATCAGCTTCCGGATTCCGTCCAGCTCATGCACGATATGGTCTAAATAGGCTGAGCTGGAAAGAGACGGCGAAAAGGTCAAGCATATCCAGTGACAAGTGAGCATCCGAAGGCCAAGCGGACTTTTGACTCGAACTGTGCAAAAAGATGAGTTTGTCGATGGCTAGGACGTGCAGTAGTGCAGGATGCAAGTTGGATGCGGCGTGCAGCGGCCATTTGTCGATTCGTTGTAGGTTCGAGTGGAGACGTTCTGACCACGATGACATGACGGTTGGACGCGGGAGGATGGGACCATGGTGGCGGTGGTCTTCGGCCTCGCCTTGAGCGGCTAAGCCTAAATCATGATCCCTGCACTCTCGCACCTTGAGAGAGGTTCCTTCGTAAAAGAACGGACACGATGGAGTGAGTGGTGATGAAGATGATGGGGATTTCTGGATTGCGAGTCGCGAGCAGGACCCTGGTAACAGCCCTGGTCATTTTAGATGCCAGATGGAGAGTTGTGGACAATTTGATGGCTGGTGGTACAGTGGTACATTGGTACAGCGGTTGAATGGTCGGTGGTTGTAGTCACACAGAGTCATGCGCACCATCAGAACCTTGGGGTGCCTGTACCTGGTGGCAGGTCCGCGCCTTCGCCTTCCGCCGCTCCTTCCTGCTCCTCGTGGCCACGCAATGGCCGAGGAGAGAAGGGACGATCCAGTATCAGTATCCAGTAGCCATACGTGCCATGTACTGTACATCCAGTGCCTTGGTTCTTTGCCATCTGAGAGGCCTTTTGCTTGGAGATGCCACCCTGCCAATCTGTTCATCAACTACTGTCTCTGGCAAGATCATTATGGTCATTCCACCACGACCATGTCATGCAGGTCAGCCACATTGATCTCAGCTCACTCGAGTTCTGTGTCCCGGGGGAGATGAGTTGATGACAAGAAAGAGCATTGGTGCTAGAGTGTTGGGAGTAGTACCGTCTGTTAGTCGTACCAACAAGACAAGTCCTGCATCTGCAACTCACACTCGCTCTTGCCTTGTCCTCCGCTCGCTCGCCTCTCGTCTCGTCTCGTGGTTCCCACTTTTCACACTCTCACTCTCTCTTTCCTTCCTTCTGGTCTTCCCGTTCCGGCCCTGGCGTGCCTGCCCACTGCCAGTGCCCATGAATCCACTTCCCACACTCTGCATGCACATCCACGCATCCCATTCTGCATCCACTCATCCACTCATCCACTCCTTCCCCATGCCCTCCAACGACATGACTTTTGCTGCGCCCGCCCGTCCAGGTCCCAAGTTTAGTTTCTATTCCGCCCACCTATCATCCTCCTCACACACTGTTTTTCGCCTTCTGTCGTGATATAAGGTACGGCTCTCTCCTCCTCTTCTTTCTTTGCCTTTTTCGTCGTCCCCGCCTTTCTTACCTTTACCTCACCTCACCTGTCACCACGGCCTCTCTCCCACCACCATCTCCATCTCATCACCGTCCCTCAGTCTCTCTTCCCAGGCCGCGCACACTATTCCTCTAGCCGGGACCGCCAGTTGGTCCCCGCCTTTCGTACATCAATCGATCGACCATTTCGTTCCATCCGTCTTTTGTCCCGTCTACTTGTTTCACACAGGCAATCAGAAGCCCATTCCTAGGGAACAGTCCCGTAAACCAAGTCATAATGCCCACCATCCTACTGCCCGCCTCCGCGGCCGCTTTTGCACCACGGTCCACATGTAATGTCGTCCTCAACACAAAGGTCGAGCCATGGTTGACCGCCACTCTGAAACGAATCAACAAGATCAAGCGTCCTCTCAACAGCGTTCCTCAGCACACACGGTGTCTGACCGAAACACTGTCTTCAACAAACGCCATCTGGTCATTGTGCTCCTTGATGCTGCCCAAGGCTCCCGAGACCGAATTACGAAAAGACTCCAACCCGTTGGTCGAGGCCCTCTTCAACTATCAACTGGTTCACGTCGAAGCATATGTTGTTCACATCGACATGGTGTCGCAGAATGAAGTTGCCTTCAAGTTAACCTCGGACACGATTGATTCGCTGGTCGAGTATCACAAGGAAGTCTTTTCTATCGACACGGCCGCCAAGACCTGGTCTTGGTCTGAGAAGGAACAACAACTGAAGAAACTGCATGACGAGTTTGTACAGGCTGCCAACAAGTTTGTCTATCGCACGAGTGCTCTTGCCTTGGAGGGAATGGAAGAAGATGGCGCAGGAGAGCTCCTGTGTGGCCGAAGTGACGATGTTCGCCAGGCCATCATGGCACTCTATGTCCCACTTTTGCCTCCTCCTCCCAGGGTAGTGGATGTCATCCGACCCACGCCTCTCTTGCCTAGTTCAACTGGTGTCGACCAGTGGTGGCCCTCGCAGCATGTCGAAACCATGCAGCCAGCCCCGGTGGAAGCATGGAAGGTGGTTCCCTCAAGTCCCAGTCCTGTCTCATCATGTGACTCCCATCACAACATGTGGACAGGAGTGAGCATGAACGAGGTTCAGCTACCGTCACCCACGCCTTCCTTCAGCCAACCTTACTCTACCGCAACGTATTCGACCCCTCAATATTACAGCGCACCGGCGTTCTCGACACCTATGACTACCTCATCGTTTCCCTCCCTCCCTCTTCCAAGCATGTTGGCTCAACAACCTTGTAGCACCACAGCAAGCTTGAGCACGTTCGGCTGGGATCGGTATCAAGAGTACACCATGCCGTACGCGACGGCAATGTAACTATCAAAGTCGACGTCAAGGATCGGGCATGCCCGACTTGACACTTCTTAACTCTTCTTGAGAGGCAGTCACGCCGTCAACTGGGCCGTTTTCACATCTCCACGAGGCGACGACGGCAATGCATACGGGCAAACAAATCATGAGCATAAGGACTCTGGAGTTTACTGATTGAACTTAGCGATACAAGGATACCACTCTGCATTACACGGAACGGGGACACGGGATAATTAACGGGGACCATGGTTATTGTTTTGTTTTTGATCGCAAGCGTCTGGAATTTTGAATCTCTCATTTGTCAATCCTGTTGGACAACTTACAGCGGCTGGTCGGCTGATTAGTATTGGTTATGCAGAATATTCCTGGGTTGGATACCGTCCCGCATTTTCGCAAGAAGGGAAAGGCCTCGCGGCTGGGTTGCAGGGTTGGGATACCAACCCCGGGTATTTTGAGTGCCGCCGAGGTGGAGGCATCTTCAACTAGCCATGCAAGTCATGGCGATGTCGGAATTCTCCCACATGTCCATTCTCGGGGAGCCATTCACCGGATGATGGCTCCTGGGATGGGACGGCGGCAGGGTGACACTCTTCACATCGGGTATGAGTTGAGTGTTGCCTCACTGGAGCACTACTGGTTGACATACCAAGGTACGGTCATGATCGTATCGCCTTGCATCGCCCGTGGCGACGACGGCACATCCGAGGGTCTGTGACTCTCGGTGAACGAGAAAGAACGTGAGACCTTGGTCTTGCCAACTTGATAGACTACAGTGTATAGGGTCATCTCCTATAACCTCGACCAGGAGTCGAGGTCGCCTCGTCTACTGGATAGACTGAGGAATCGGATGCAGCAGGACTGTCCGAGGCGAAAGCCTCAATACATATAAGGATAATCTTACAAACAAAAATCAATCATTTTTTCAAGCCTGAAAACTCGCGAGATGGTCTATATTTGGCATTCTTCCCCTGTAATTGTGTCACCAGGTTGAGTTGGACTGTACTCGGTGCTTTTGGTCAGTATAGGGAGATGACGTTGGACCGGACGCTGGCGGAAGACTATCGTAAGTCCTGTGACACTAGGGGAATCTGATATCAAATCACGTGTCATCACGTGGAGTAACGATTAACCCGTGACATTTTCATATACGGATTGAGTGCGTGCGTCATCTTCTTCTCTGGGCGTCCTTTTGGTTTGCCGTCCTTGCCCGTGTGTTTCCAGCATTCCATGTCATCAGTTCTTTAGTTGACAAACCCAGACAGACAGAGTACCACAGTATCACAGTACCACATTACAACAGCCCCTACAACTCTACTCGTAATGCGCCACTCCCTCTGCTTCTCCCGCAGTCCGTCATTCTTGGTTGATGCGATTTCTGCCCAGTGTCCACCGGGCCCAAAATGCCAATTTGATCCAACGCTGTCTTGGAATCTCTTATACTCTCTTTGGTTGACATAAATGCCTCCATTTAATACGACAAGTGGCTACCAATTTGATCTAGATGTGCATCCACTTCCTTCGTACGAGATCCATCATTACCCCACGAAAAGCTGACTTACTTCCAAGTTCCAAGCAAGTTCCATGCGCTCCGAAGCTCCCAAACTTTCCGCTTTTATGGGCACTCGCCACTTATGTACTGGCTCGGGCCAACCTGGAACTGCATCGGGTCCCCAGTTGACCGTGCCTCCGTCTCAAGCTTCTCAGCCCTGCACAGTCATCATGTTGCATCATTTCCGTGATGATTCCAGTGACATTCCTAATATCCTCTCCCAATTCTAATCTTCCCACTGCAGCTCCTGGTTTGCGTATCTTCTGTCCCCTCTGCCTCGTTACTCATCCTTACATGGAAGCTTGATGTGTTTACATCATCCAGTCAGCTCATTTTGTCCTAGCCCCTCCTCCATCTAACCTTTTGAAGCAGTGTCTCCCCACTGCAACACCTGTATCTCGACGACCTGCTAACGACAACATCTATTCGACCTTTCACCACCTTTACAGGTCCGCCGTTTACGAATCATTTACCATGAACTTCATATGACCGATTCCCTTCTACGGCTTCCATCTGCGTCTGCATCAACACCAGAGTCTATACCTGGTCCTTGACCACCCGCTCCCATCATGGCCAGCCTTCATGCCGCCCTCAAATACCTCTCCCCTACCAAGTTCTCCGACGTTCCCAGCGAGCAGGAAGACCTAGATCCTCACCTTGCCGATTTATTCACTCATGTGCAGGCCATCGTCGAGTCCATCCCCATGCCAGACCCGGGTCCCTCACAGACCAACGTCCACACCCATGCCACTCACCCCGCAACCTCTGCCGCTGAGATGACCATTTCCTCCGCACGCAGTCCGCCCCCCGCTCCAGAACATCTTGCTCTACAAAAAGAATGGGGAAAGCCAATCAAGCTTTCGGCAAAAGAAAATCCCATGAATATGGCCGTCTACAAATTGGGTAGCAAGGACGGCAAGGGTGCTTGGTTTGCCCGGAGAAGTGTCCATGAGGGTTTGGGTTTCTCTCAGTTCAAGCGAGGGTTTGAACGCGAGTTCCCCACGTCGCTGGCGGTTCAAGGCGCGCCAGGCGAAGGCAACATTCGAGGAATTGGTGCTGAAACAAAGGTCGAAGATATCTCTGTACCGAATCGGGGCAGGATCGAAGTCTATCGCCTGAGTGCTCAATTCCCTGGTCCGACCACACCACGAGACTTTGTCACTTTGTTGGTTACTTCGTCAAAGGCAATGAAACCTCACGGCGATGCTCACAAATCCCCAGATCTTGTCCCTCGCCACTACATGATCGTCTCCAAGCCTTGTGACCACCCTGACACTCAACCCCGTGCGGGCTTCATTCGTGGCCAGTATGAGTCGGTCGAATTCATCCGTGAGATTCCCAGGAAGCTGAAGGCCTCGCAGTCAACAACTGATCTGAGCAAACTTGCTCATCTACGTCCTAGCTCACCAAATATGGATAATGATGCAGCAAATTCGACCAGCAGTCCCACACATGATCAGCAAAGGACCAACAAACACCTGTCCGTCGACACAGACCAATCTTCTGCTCTTAGAGAACTGTCTCCCTCCAGTCGGAAAAGAGGTGCCACTGTTGGATTTCCTGCTAACTCAGGAAGTCACACTGATGCTGCTCCTCACCATGATCCAGAAGATAACCCCGTAGAGTGGATCATGGTCACTCGTAGTGATCCTGGCGGCAGTGTTCCTCGTTTCATGGTGGAGAGAGGAACACCTTCCAGCATCTGTGCAGACGCGATCAAGTTCCTGGACTGGGCTTGTCAACGAGATGATGGCGACGAGGCCCTGGAAAGACCAGGTACTCAACGACGTGAGAGCTTCGCAAGTTGGCAAGCCAACGGCACTCTTGCAGGCATCCGTGAACACGAAGAAAGTCTCGGGTCGGCTATCGAGGAATCAGATAACTCAGAACCAACCACCCCCAAAGCCAACGAATCCAAAGCAGAACCCTTTCCGGATATCGAACCTGACAAACCAGAATCAGCCCCTCATTCGCCGTCGTCCCCTTCCCATATTCTCGCAGCTGTTTCCGAAACACTGACGGCGTACACCCCACAAGTTGTGCGTGACCATATCCCCTACCTCCATCCACACACAAATCCACCTCATGAGGAACCGGCCTCTCAAGTCAATGGAATCCGCGCAGCATCACAATTACCCCTCGAACAGTCACAGCCTGAAAGCTCCGATGATAGGGATGATGACGATGTGTCATCAATCATCTCCGCCACATCTTATGCCTCGGCCGATTCACACCTACCTTCATCCCCATCATTCTCGTCAAAGTCTCTCTCTCAGCAGACGAGCGAATCCCAAATCTTGACACAGCACAACAAAGAATTGACCAAGCTGGCGGAACGCAAAGCCACTATGGATGCCAAGATAGCACTTCAACGTGACAAGATCAACAGCCAGGCCAAACAGGACACGGAAAAGGAACAAGCTGCACTCAAGAAGGCTGAAGAGAAGCATGATCGGGAGCTGAAGAAAAGCGAAGAGAAATACAAAAAGGAAGTGGCCAAGCTTGAGCACAAAAAGGCCAAGGAGACCAAAAAGCAAGAAGAACGCCAAAGAAAACTGGCAGATAAGGATGAAAAAGCGAGACTGACTCGCGAACGTGACGAAGCACGGGCACAAGTGGAACTCCTCAAGACAGAGGGCGAAATCTTCCAACGACAAATTGGGGAACTACAAAGAGAAAACACGGCGTTGACGGCGAGGCTGGGGAAACTTGAGTTGGGAGCAAGCGGCAATGGAGGCCTCAGTGGAATCTCCACTCCAGCATTACTGGAAACACCTCCCAGCGCATCACGATTTCGAGGTCTGACCTTTGGCGAAGGCCGAAACCGCAGCTCCAGCACATTGACAAGGCTGATCAAACCCAAAGACCGCAGTGACACTCTTACTTCAGAAGGAAGTAGCAGCCAATTATCAAAAGGGTCATGATCATGGAGTGGAAGGAGTCGATTCAGTCGGATTGTATTGGTTGGTACTAGAAGCGAACTGCTATTTGCTATTTCAGCGAAGGAGCCGGCACTGGTGTTGAATCGGATTGGAATACTGCCTTGTCGTTTTTATTCTTTTGGTGTAATCCAATCTTGTTTCGTTTGGATTGGACGATGGAGATGATGAAGATGAACCAATTGACTTGACTGCCTAGGCTAGGCGCGGCTAGCGGATGGACCGATGAACGGCGCGAAGGAAAAGTAACCTTGTCTAACGGATGCGGGATATGATTGTAAATAAAGCATATGATGACATAGCAACCAGGTATATCCTAAAGTAAGTTCACACTCTTGTGCGTTCAGCCCCTTACTTCTACCGGTATCTCAGCCTCGCAAAGACTGTTCCAGACCTTTAAATCCCGCCGTCTCAAAGTCTTGCATCGTTTCCTTCCACAACCGAGAAGTGACTTGTTCGCCTTTGGGCGTATACATGAGAGAGGGGAATCTAGAAGAAAGGCAGGTTAGAATGGTGGACAAGAGGGACAAGGAAAGGAGACAAATAGCTCGACGTACGGAGTAACTTTAAAATTCATGATAAAAGACCCATGAATTTCCTCACCACGAGATGAAGAATTGATCGCATCAATATAAGTCCAAGCTGCCTCAGTCAAACTTCGGGCCGTAAAAGCCTTGAGAAACCACAAGATGATGCGAACCACCAAGGGCATATCACGATGTAATTGTGATCCACGAGTGAAACCGGGGTCGACGGCGGTGATGAGCACGTCTTTGGGATCGACGAGTCGGCTAAGTGATAGGACTAGCATCAGCTCCAGGGTTTTGGTCACGCTGTACCGTTCATATTGACCGCCAGAGCTGGACCAGATGGCTTTAGAGTCGAATGATGGGATTAACGGGTCGGCTTCATGGTTGGGAAATCCGGCGGACAGGGCTAGACCGGAGGAGACGATGGCGAGGCGAGGAGGAGGGGACCCAGACGTCGTGCGTTTCTTGCTACGCATGATGGGAACGAGGAGGATTGCTAGTAGTGCCGTTGATAGATAATTGGTCTGGAAGGTTTCCTCGTGGCCTGTGGACTTGTTGATGGCAAATTCGATCCTGCTGCAGGCGGCATTGAGGATTGCTACGTCGAGTCGTTCCAGTTTCGAACACTTTGCGCTAAAGTCTCGAATCGAGTCGTATGATAGCATGTCCAGTCGCCATACTTCAATCTTGGCTTTGGGGTATGCTTTGCGAAGTGGTGCCGCAGCTACCTCGCCTTTGTCGACTGACCGTACCGCGAGGATTAAGTGTGACGCCTGGAGTGACAACAGCACTCGTGCAGCCTCTAGTCCAATGCCCACATTGGCTCCTGTTACGATGACAGTCTGGTCATGGAATGATGTCCCTGGCGGAGGTCGGACTACTTTGGCGCGGAACTGTGTGTCGATGAACCGTTGGAAATTTCCTGCGTCGTAGGGAGGTAATGTGATAGACGACATTTTGTAATTGGGTATTTGTCAGTAGGGAATGGATTCAATAGATGGGACTGTCACTCGAGAGGACTTCAGGTTGGGTGGTCGTGGCCATTTTTATAAGTGTAGTCTGCGGCGTTGATGGCGAGAAATCTGCCACGGAGTGACTGACATTTTGGTCGTTGGGCTCGCAACTCGAACGGATGGTCTGAATCCATACCTAATAGAGGCCACATTCTGGACAGGTTGAATTGGTGACACAAGATCCCTGGTCAATGGTCAATGGTCAATGGTCTGTGCAATATGGGAGATGATGGAGGTGGAACCAAGGGAAGTCCAGAGATATGACGCTAAACCAAAAAGGGGAAACAAACTGGTCGGTGGCTTTGCTCTTTCCACTTCTTCCCAAACCTCCGGATGTGGAGCCGAATCAGCCGATGGATGCTGCGTGATATTCCAGAATCCATCATATCACAGGTTGAATCTTGAACAGGCACCGACCCATCAACCACAAGGCTAATGTATCCCCCGTTCCGCCGCCGCGGCTTTTGTGTCCTTTATCTCCTTGATCGATAATATCTAGTATCTATCATCCAGCCACGGGAGGTCTGGTTCTCTGAATGAAGTTTATTATGTCTCGCCTGTCTGTGCAGAGGCTGGGATATGGATCTTCTTCCTTTTCAGGAATATAATCTGGCCAACCATTTCTCCTGGTTTGAGACAATATCGACGACACTAAGCACTCACTACTCGGAGTACAGGCAATTACAGTCACTGCCATGACAAAGCAACTCACTTTCATACTTGCAGACGATGTCGGGCGGACACCGGACACCGACCGTCTCTTGATCCGGAGCCATGTGATGAAAGGGAAGAATCAAAAGGACACGTCTCGAAGGTCGATCAGGAAAGCGAAACAGAGGAAACGTACAAGTCTTGAACAGGTCGGCCACACTAGCGCAGTCAACCAGTGCAGCCATGATCATGGAGCATTACAGCGCAAACAGCTCTACGATCGCGCAGAGGAACGTTACAACTCGGCTCTAACGATCCACAGGCCTGTGGCATCTGAATTAGGGCTTGCAACCCTTGCGAGCCATGTCGATAGAGAGGCCCAGGAGTTGCTATGGAAATGTTAGTATTCTCTTGCTCCTGTTCACCCCTGCTCCGTGATCGTTTGACGAAATATCTAACATGATAGTAGTCTTCACCTATGATTGGATCGACAATGACGTCTTTCCCATGGATCGATGCGTCGCAGTCGAGAGACATAGTTTCGCCGAAAAGTTCGCATGGCTTTGCACAGATAACACTTTTCTTCAATTTATAATTCTGGCAAGCTCCTTCTCCCAGGACTTCTTCCAGAGGCAGGTCATGTCCGAGACAACGTCGTTACAATTGCAACGCACCCTCAAGCACTTGAACCGACAGTTGTCCTCCAATAATACTCGTTTACGAGACTCAACCTTATATGTGATTGTCAATTTGGCCTGGGTCGCCGATATCTCGGGGGACTCTCAGGCTGCTAAGGTCCACATGGCTGGCTTGGAGCAACTTGTCCATCTGAGGGGAGGTATGCAAGTATTGAAGTCTCAGAAAAAATTGCGTGTCAATGTTGAACGGTCAGTAACATGTCGTGCTCCTTGTCTTTCCTTGGAAGGCCACTGACCATGTGCCTTAGCTTTGGATTCTCCTGGGCGTTGAGCACAGGAGTGGTTCCCACATTTATGGAAGCGCCCCTCCATTGGGACTCTTTTTTCGACCGTTCATGGACTCTTCCCGAAGACGACCTTCCCATCCCCTTGAATGATGCGGTCTTTGCCACCATTGTCCGAGACTTCCGGTGTCTGGTTAGAATCATCAATGAGCACGCCAGAGCCAATCGACGCTTAGCAAATGAGGTCTTTCTGGAATCAGTCTCTTCCATCCAACATCGAATTCTGCATCTTCCGCCCATGTCACATGACCGCATCGCCGACTGTCTTCGTCTGGGCATGCTTGCGTATCTGACCACTGCATTCCGGGTTCTTGGAGGGACGAAACGGCCATACCGTCATCTAACGGCCCAATTTAAAACACAAATACAGACCCTCGAGCCAAAGACGCCATTTGAGATGGACATTCTCTGCTGGTTGGTAATGGTCGGGGTGATATGCTTGTTCGATACTAAGCAGCAATGGCTTATCCCGACCTGGACGGTGATCATCAAAAAATATCCTACATGGACTGAACTGAGGTCCCGTCTCTACAATATCACATGGATTGGCATCATCCATGATGAGCTAGGTGAAACAGCATTCGATGAACTCACTCGGTGGGTGGTCCGCTGAAGACTGTATCAATGCCTCTCTTATGATCAGACACTGTAATGAAGATTTGGTGATGGGTCCTGTAGCATATCTCAGACATCCGAGGAGGATGATCATGTCATATCACGTGTCAATGGAGATACTCGTGTATTGTAATTACATAAAATACATTTGCTTTCAGTGAGAAACTCCTCGCGAATGCGAAATACCAATTTACCGCATCAGGTTAGTCTCTCTATTTCCATCATTTAGTTTATGTGGAGTCCATCTTCCGCGCATCATGGACTTTTTCCTCATCGACACTCTACTCAGTCTGTGCCGCCGTCAATCCATGAGGCACTGAATGTCGACGTCTACATGTTTGCCCGTGTGACCAGACCGGCCCACGTCTGTTTAAGATGCCAATTACGCCTTCAGACTGAGACCCTGAGATTGTCTTCCCTACGTTCGCCTCCGTCAGTTTCAAGACTCCAAAGTACCGCAGCCGCGAAACAGGACGACGAAAAAGATGAACCTCGATCACTGCACGACCGACAATGGCACACAGGCCGGACAGCCTCTCTCGGCGTCACCTCGCTGGGTAAACCAGCCGAGGTCATCATTCTCCCCGCCGTTGATCGAAAGATCCCAACTCTACCGAAAGATCAAGAGAAGGACGATAATGCAGGCAGCCTTCAGGCCCACATCGACTCGGAAAACGAACCCTTGATTTCGGAGCAACTCATCGAGAACATTGACCAGGTTGCTCCCAAATTTGACCCCCGAGAAAGAAATCTGACTGTCGAAGAATACACCCAGTTGCGCCGCACTTTGACAGTCGGCTTTACCGTCCATCAACTCCGCTACTATGTCAAGTACAAGACATCCTCCAGGATTTCAAAGGCGCAGGAAAATCGCATTGAGACTATCAATCTTATCATCAAGGGAATTTGGGGTCACCTCTTGCCCGTGCGAGACGCCGACTCTGATAGAGAGATTGACAGATCTTTGCAGAAGATCAGTTATCGCCTTCACAAGCTCAAATACCAGTATATCCTCGCCAACAAAAACCCTTATTTCAAGGATGTCTTGGACACTTTGGCTAGGACTTTCGATGTCAAGATTGACCTTTATCGGAAAGACCGTATCGTGACGATCTCTGGCAGCGCCTACGACTGCAATGCCTGTTTAAAATCATTGGCAAAATACGTTAGCGACGTTACGATCACCCACATCTCCGCCGTCCGCGATCTTGCTGTGTTGAGTAACCCTGCATATCGGACCGCTACCAAGAGCTTCCTAGAAGGTCTCGGCCGCAAATACCAACTCACCATATACAAGAACCTCTCTGCAATCAAGATTTACCACTACAAAAATCTCGCCAATGTCGCACAGGCCGTCAGGGAAATCAGAAATGCCGGCGAGCCAAGGAGGTTCCCTCATCAGATACATGTGTGGCCTCAGAACCTCCAAGAGCAATCACTGCTTCAGCCTCACGCAGTTCCCGTCGAGGCCAACTTTGCCATTGCGCAGGGAGCTTGGGGGCGATTAACATCCACTGTCCCTGGAGCTCAACTACTAGACTCAAGCGAGGAGGAGAAAGTGTCCGAAGAACTCAAAGTCCTAGAGCAAAGTCTGGACGAATTTTTCTACGCCAACGAACTCTTGAGGCCGGTGACATCTCGAATGGACATGCATTACGACATGTCGGCTCATTTTGGAAAAGTCTTGTTTCGGACCTCACAGACTTTCACCGACATGTCAGGCGCTCAAGTTCCAGACCAGCATCTGAAACACCAGAAAGCTCTATCAGCCCCAAGTCGCGCTTCAGAGAGTGATGACAATGCCACTTTAAGCACCACCTCCGAAGAAAACGAAGTTGCCTCGTCGAATGATCAGCAGGCAGCTCTAGATTCGACCGAGTCAATGTCACAGACACAGACCGAGGACTCCTCTCAGTCAACCAATGAGTCGACCTCGACACCCCTTCTCAGTAATCCCACGTTCACTGGCCAGATCGGATATGCTGCACAGCAAATTGTGACGTTGGATCACTGGAAAGATGCCTCGTCCATGATCTCTGCTGGCAGCCCCTCAGGTTCTCAGGTACTGTTCCGAATCATTCTCCGTCCACCGGACCTTCAAAAAGGCATGGCCCCAACTCTAGAAATTCTAGGAACGTGTGAAGATTGGGGCCGAGGTGAGATCGAGATCACTCGCATCACTGCAATTCATGCAGAGAGAAGCTTCTTTCTGCTACTCCCAGACCAGAATGTGGACGTCAAGCTCGTGCGGCAGATGAAGCACGACATCTATTTCAAGGGAGTTGAAGTCAAACAAGCTTATGAAGGAGTGGTTGACATGCTGAAAGCCAATATTTCCAAGACTATGAATCTGAGAGCGCTGGAATCATTGTTTGTGCCAATACTCGAGATTCCGATGCCATCGGTACTACGAACCATGGTTTCCAAGATGAATGCGGCTATAGCCGCAGGGAAGGCGTTCAGTTATGGCAGGCGCAGGGAATTTGGCGACCACAAACTACTCAAGATTGAATACACTCAGAAGAGTGTGGAGATCTTGGATGTGGATCTTCGAACTATGCCTGTGAGTACGCCTGGCATGAAAGATGTGCCAATGGCACTGGAGTATATGACACACAGCGGCTCCAGGACTGTTTCTCACGATTTACGACTCTCCGAGCAACCGTTCCATGCCCGCAATTTCAAGACTCAGTTGACCTTGGGTGGTTTTGCCCATGCGGCCATACAAGTCGCGCGGCAACTAGGTCATCACCCCAGCTCCAAGCAGTTTGGCAGTTTGGAATTCCCACCGTTCCCAGAAAGCTGCCGTGCTCCGCCCTCTACAGCCGCTGTCGAGGATGTTATCATCAACGACCACAGGAAAGAAGCGCGTGAACGAGCGAAAGCTCGGAAAGCCTCTATCAGAGCAGAAATTGCTGCAAAAGCAGCTGCAAGCGCTGAGGCAGAAGGCGAAAAGGCAGACGCCGAAGGTACCCCTCAGGAACCACAACCATCTCCCCAGGCAGAAGACTCGACGTCGGGAGAAACTCTCAAGAAGAAGAGATCGACCAAGACGAAGGGACCGACCAAGAAAAAGCCCCCCGTGAAAATAAAGACGAAGAAAGAGAAGAGAGCTTCAACCAAGAAAAAGAAAGCGAAAGCGAAAGCGAAAGAAGCCAAGAAGGCTTAGGTCTCCAGCAGGCACCAGACGCCGACGTTGAGCCCACAGAAGTTGGTACAAGTCTGTGACATGAGGAATCCTCTTCACTCAAGCACCAGGATGCCCTTTTCAATCTCTAGAGATTGGTCCTAGGAATGTAACATAACCATACTAATGATTGTCCTGGAATACTATATGTATTATAAAGCATTACTGCCAACATTCAAAGGGGCAATGTGCACTACTACGTGGGTTTGATCTTTGTATTAACTAGATACCCACAGCACGCGGAGAGGGATGGGATCCAAATGACCCAAATCACAATCTTCTCTTTATCTTCTAGAGGCTAACATGTAGACCCTTTCCGATGTTCACCTCTTCCCGTTCGAAGTCATCATACCCTCCCCGTACTAGCAGTAAACCCACCATCAACTACAATCTTCTGCCCAGTGATATATCTAGCAGCAATAGAACTAGATAAAAAGACAACAGCATTGGCAACATCAGCAGACGAACCCATCCTTCCCATTGGGACCTGATTGTGTCGTTTATTGACAAAACCCTCATAATCGCCCGCCGCATACTTATCCGCCAACCTATGCACCAGCGGCGTAAAGATCAATCCCGGCACGACAGTATTGACACGCACACCCCGATCCGCATATATGACAGCCGTGTGTTTCGAAAACTGTGTCACCGCCGCCTTCAACGCCGAGTACGCCACTTGAGGCTTTCCCACATATCGAAGACCAGCGACACTAGAAATATTGACAATCGCACCACCCACGCCATTTCGATTCTGCTGACTCGCCTGTTTCTCCATAATCGGCAATACGAGATGAGTTGTCAGATAGACAGATTTCAGATTAACGTCGACCTGGGCGTCAAAGACGCGTTCTTCCATTTCCGCCGGTCCACCAGGTTCGCTTCTCCCCACATTATTGATGAGAATGTCGATGGAGCCAGCACATCCAGGGAAGAGATCTTCTTGTCGACCAGTCTGGACGAAGGCTTCGACTTGGTCTGCTTTTGTGACGTCGGCGGCCATCACGTGGATGACTGCTCCTGGCACGGCAGCTTCGATTCGTGATTTGGTCCGTCGTGCGGCATCCATGTTTAAATCGCATCCCATGATCTTGACGCCGTTGCGGGCCAGTGCTAGTGCGATGGCGGCGCCGTTGCCCCAGTTGTCCGTCTTCTCGTCATCAGGTCCGCCTTCTTGTCCGATCCCTGTGATGAGTGCGACTTTGCCGGCGAGATCTGGGTAAATGGGTTGGTTAGGTGAGCTGCTCATGGTTAATGTGTTAATGTCGTCGACTGAGGGGATTAATAAATTAATTTATTACTCAATGTCAGAGATTGAGAGAGCCATTCATTCCTTTCGTGGATTTAAATGCATTAGAAACTCTTACAGATTTATCCTCACCTACCGATGCTGTGCTCCTCCCACAATAACCGCGGCTCGTAAATACAGAGAGTATCTCCGACGATTATTACCCCATAAACTGTCTGATCTACAGCAAAACGCTGATTGACTAGTACAGTATGGAGCTGCGGAGAACTCGAGAGGGAGAGGGAGCATACAAGACGCGAATGATGCTTCTCCGAGAGAGAATTCGGAAATTATGTAATATATGACCAATAATATTCGGCGGAGCACAGAGTCCACAGATGGCAACCAGACGGTAAAGTCAAAACTGTAGTCTCGGTTATAGCGGCGGGTACTATGGCTATCAGGAGGCCGACTTCGGTGTGACATGTCCTCGCCGCCCTTAGCACCACCCACACTCCCCCTTTTCTTGAACTGTCAAAAACTTGGGCTTAGACGTTGAAAGAAAACAGTAAGGCTGATCTTCTATCCACAGTAGTCCTTCTATGTGTACTCGATAGAAGATGAAACAATGTTGGAATCAACGACCAACTGACCACGACCACCGCGAGGGCATTGTCTTATTTACATATATACACCCCATCACCAGTCCCATCCCCTACACATACTTCATTCAACCAGCGTGTGTCTTAAGACAGAAGATCTTCAATCAACTACTCCGTACTCCGTAAATAATCACTTGATCGGCGCCGTCAACGTCTTTTTTCTGACAGGTGCCAACCACCCCCCTTGATCCACCAGGCTTCAACAAACTGAACCTATGCTGAACCTTCCATCGTCCTTTTGTTTCCCATCGTGCCTTGTGCACGGTCTATCCGACACCACTTCCAGCCGTGTGCCAAGGTGTCCCAAGGCTCACGACAGGACCAAGCACACTCATCGACATCGCCATTTACCGGATTCTGTCGTATCTTCAGGAGGCTTGGTAGATTGCCTACTTTCTCTGACGGGCCGTTCAAGCCCAATGTCTCCCATGTTATGCCCAGTAAGTGCTTGGTTATATTGTGTGGTTTTGGAGTGAAATGGATGGATCCACGGGGGGTGTGCGCGTGCGTGATGCGCGTGTCTGAATGAGAGGAGAGGGAGAGGGGAAGAAGGGGATGAGAGGAGAAGGTAATGGTCAAATATGAAAAGAACTATGCCCAGACAACGACTAGGTCTGCTCTTTTCCCGGCTTGTCTGGTTGGGTATTTTCTGTACGTCCAGTCAGTCAGTCATAGATACAAGATTGACTTTGTCTTTGTCTTGTTTCTTCCTTCTTGATATATCATCAGCAGCTGTTGCCGTGCTGTGCACTTCATCACCTCCATTCCCCCCGCCGTCGAATCAATATGGGTCTCTTCAATAGAACAAGAGACGACCAGACCGTGGATTCTCCTTCAGAAGAACCTGTGGAATATACACCAGTACAGTTGAAAGAGATTGAAGGTCGATATCCCGACCAAGATGACGAAGACGACACCAATGGTGAAGATGGCGACGACATCGACCTCGACGGCGATGACTTGGACACTGAGAAACAAACCACGCTCCTACCCACACCTCGATGGAAACGCTTCACCACATACAATTCACAATTCAAATCCCACCTCATCGCCGCCCTACCCAGATACTGCCAGCCCGGCGGATTGAAGAACAAAAAGAAACTGCACGCAACTTCATATCTCGACGCTCTTCGCGGCTATGCCGCCTGGATTGTCTTCATGTTCCATACCTTCAACACATACGACCCGTCATGGCGACTCCAGCCGTTCATTTCCATCATCTTCGCTGGAAATGGCATGGTTGCTCTCTTCTTCGTGATTTCCGGCTATGTGCTAAGTTATCGCCTTCTGCAACATATCCGTAACCGAGCCGCCGTGCCGGTGTTGGAGAGTCTCGTGTCGTCGTTGTTTCGTCGATACCTCCGACTATACGGATCATGTGTTCTTTCACTCGTCATTGTATTCATCATGGTTCGATTGCGTTGGTACAACGGCATGGGTGACCTCTATATCCCGAGTTTCTTCGGTCAATTGGGCGATTTCTGTCTCAATACGTTTTTCTTCATCAATCCTTTCTCCGAGGTCAAGGGGTATTTCACCAACGAAGTCTTCATCAGCAAATACCTTGGTCCCATGTGGACGATTCCAGTCGAGTTTCGGGGCAGTGTCATTGTCTTTGTGTTTTTGGCTGCCGTGTGCAAACTCAGCACCCGGTCCAGAATGCTTCTGACTTGGTTGATCATCATCGTCTCCTATGGTTGGACGGATGTATATGTCGCCGAGTTCTTCATGGGCATGTTTGTCGCAGATCTGTCTCTGGGGAGAAACCCGGATCGATTGAAAAAGGCGGCCAATGCACCGGCGGATTCTCTTCCAAGTCACAGTCAAGAGATGCCCATTTCAGGAGCAACTTCTTCTTCCTCTTCTTCTTCCTCTTCTTCTTCCTCCTCAAGGTCCGCCCAGAGCATCCCCTCCAAAATCTTCTACTCTCTTCTCTTCATCCTCGCCATCTTCATCCTCGGACAACCCGACCAAACCGACCTCGGCGTGTGGGGACCCTTCCCATGGAAATTCTTAAAGTCCTGGATCCCCTGGTACTACAACTTCTCAGCCGGGATTTTCTTCTATCTAAGCATGGGATCGTTCTTCCTGATTCTCTCTCTCGACTCATACCGTACATTGCAGTTGCCTCTAGAGTGGGGTTTCAGCCAATACGTCGGAGACCTCAGTTTCGGTATCTACGCTCTTCACCCACCGTTGGCGTTTTGCTTCTATCGCGACTGGGCTGAGCCTCTGCGTGAGAAGTACCTGGGTACTTCGCCATGGGCGTATTTACCTGGCTTCCTTGCCATGACTTTGTTGGTCTTTACCGCGGCCGATTATTTCAATCGGTTGGATGGAAAGGTCGTCAAGTTTGGAAGATGGTTGCAGAGTAAGATGTTCCGATGGTAGGAATTTATTTTCAGCTATTAGAGTTGATATAGGAAATGTCTGGGTGTTGGGAGTCTGGTTCGTGGACTGGAGTTTTGGGATATCCTGTCTTGTCACAACGTTGAATCATGAAGAGAAGCAGGGCTGTATCTGCCTTGTACCTGGTGGTGCTCCTTCTCGAGAGAAAACGAAACTTCCCTATTGCATTGCGTGGATATACTGCCCTCAAGGCTCGAGATCGAGCTGCCTCATCAGTCACAAAATAAATAAAACGGCAATGAGAAAAGGAATCAAAGAAATCAAACACAATCGAAACAGTTTCTTGCCTTTGTCTGGTATACCTCTAGACAGACCTATACGCTCTGGAATGATTCAAAAGTCAGTAATCAAGTCACACCTGAGTAGGCAGCAAGAATCGAGGATTCAATCCAGGTTCGTGAATGTGTTTCTTTTCGTCTGTCAAGTCATATGATCTGGAATCAATCCCCAAAAATCCATTGGTCCAGATTCACCATTCATAATGCTAATCATCGAGTGCAAAGGTTGGAATCTTGAATTGTAGCCTGTGGGAAGAAATCGAAGAGCATTGACCCAGCCGAGCTGAGGGATCAGAATTGATCTAGAGAGAAGAGAAGCACATTAGTAACCAGCATAAGCCGGATCACACAGGAGGACAAAAACTCACCCAAAGTCATGCTCATGCTAACATCGGTGCTCTCGACCATCAAGGTAAACTCTTCAAAACTGATTTTGCCATCGCCGTCTTTGTCGGCCTCCATGATTGTCTTGTCAACAATCTGTTGCAACTGTTGATCCTTCAAATTGCTGCCCACCATCATCTTGAGCACGATGAAGAGTTCTCCATTGGAGATATATCCGTCACGGTCAATATCGTACACCTTGAATGCGAACTTGAGTTTCTCCTCTTTGTTGCCTTTGGAGCTGAAGGCCGAAAGACCGAGGACGAACTCTTGGAAGTCAACATCGCCGCCACCATCTTCGTCAAAAATGGCAATCATTCTATTTGCAGCGACGGTGGTCAGTATCTGGATATCCTTGGACGGGCCGGGTATATGGAGATAGGTGTGGGCGGATAGATGACATGTGCAATAGTTGCATACCTTGTCGCCAATGGGTTCGATGATACTTGTGGTAATGACAAGAACTCCTCTCGTTCAATGGTTCCGCTGTTGTCCTGTAGAATGCCAATGTCAATCTCTTGGACAAGTCTAGCTTCCTCTTGAGACTCTCCATACCTTGTCCAGTTTCATAAATCGCTTGCGCAGTCTGTCGACTTCATCTCGGTCAACTGTTGTAAAGAGCTTGTCAGCAAGTGTTCAGCTAGCCCCCATCTCCCCACTCCCGACAGCGTACAAATCACTCCTCCGACTCTTGTACAGGATGGTCGGACATACAATTTGAGAAGGACACAATATTGTCCAGGATCTGAGTGCCAGTAATGGTTTGCCTTCTTCGGGATTCGTAGAGTGCAGCATTATTGGGTTCGGGCTGGGTCCCAGCTTGCGCGCCAAATGCAGGCGTTGACATGATGGGCGGATGGGCAACGGTCTATAAAGTATTGAGGAGAGAGTGATGATGTAGGGTGCGGGTACGGTAGCGGTAAGAAAGGTATTGGAGTGGAAGGGAGGGAGCGGCGGCAAAAGAGCGAGTTGAAGTCGAAGTCGGCGATTGTAGATTCAACGATGGAGTGAGCACAGTGAGGTATGCACAGTGATAGAATCCGTGTTTCTTTTTAGCACAAGGCAGACAAGGCTCCAGTTTCAGGCTTGAAGTCAGCCGCAGAATGGTCACTATGATCCAGACCGCATTCAATGCCCAAGGTTCTGGAGACACGCGAGGCGAGGGGGAATGGATGTGTCATGAGCCAATCCCAATCCTCTCAAGTCGGACTCCGAAAATAATCCAGGACGAAGGATCTCACTAGCCACGTTTAGCCACAAAGACATTACCTAGCCACATAGTGATACAAGCTTTACTACTTCTGGACTCATCGATCAGGGGCTGCCAAGACCAGAATCAGTTGCGCACAGAGAATTTATGCGCCTGTGCGTATCCAACTACTGAAGGCGTGAACATCTGTTGCGTTCACATGCTATCCATCATAAAATCATTCATGAGTAGCAGAGCAGATACATATGTACAGACGCAAGCTGAAATGATAAGATTTGAAAGTCGAGACACTCTATTTCACCCTCTTTTCATCACGTAGCTAAGGTACCTCTTTCGCGGCCGATATCATGTCACGGTGAGCTGTTGTTCCACCAGGCCAGACCTGCGCTCGAGAAATCATAGCAGTAACAAACAACCACTTTCCTCTACCTCACACACGTCGGGCGTGCAAGAAAGGTGCAGCCAAGTCGGGCTGTCGTTTACGGCGCCTGACAGGAGTTGAGTCTCCACTAATAATAAACCTCAGGCCAGCAAAGCACCAAGAAGATCATCAACGGAGGCGGCACTCCCTATCGCACATAGCTTAGCCTGCCCGTCATGGGCACCTTTGAGCCTATCGCTGCCCTGGTTAGGAGGAAGTATGGCGCCTCCACCCCCGCCCGTAACCCATGCCCAGGCCCGAAGACGACGCCGCCCAGCACCCAGTTTCCCAGATTGACTGGCGGACTGCCTAGCTGTGTTGTGAAGTTACTGACCTACAAAGTAAGGCCCTGCCTGGCTGCAACTGCGCCTTTGGGACCAAAAGCGCCTTTGGGTCCATTTATGTGGCGTAGACTAGTCATGCTGCCAAGGAGGGCTAGTAACCAGTGAAATTTGGCGGTGACAGGCCCACTGGCACCAGCTGTTTTTGGCTAGTCACCATCATAAGGCCAGGATAGAACTTTTTGGTAGAGATCTTAAGAATAAAGCCTTTATCACCTACTAAAATCGCGATATTCATCGCTTTTGAGGTGTTTTGGCTCGTGGAAATAGATGATATTGACTCTCTAGCTCTCCTTCTACATCGCCGGCGCCGCCGGCACCTTATTTTCATACTTATTCTCGTATATCTTACTTAGAGAGCGCATCGATATAATCGACTAGCGACAATTCGTATAAATCCACGCCGAGGATATGAAAATTTACTCGATTAGCGTACTTAGCCGGCGTTAATATTTACCGATCTTGGCCTTTCTATCTTAATATTCGATGCCCTAGTAGAGTAGGTATAATGGCACTCTAAACTCACCGATAGTTAATTTATACGCCTTAAGGAGAAGGTGGCTATCTTCCTATATATCTATCGCTATAATATTAGCCACTACGTAGTTCGGCGAGTATTTTCTCGGTCTTCCTAGGCTATTTTAGCGGCGTTTAATGGCTATCTTAAGGCCTTCCTTAGGCTATATAATAGCTAAGTTAAATAGCTAACTAAGGTCGACCCGGTACCGCTAAAGATCCTGTCAAATCCTAAGTAGTATCCCTATTTTAAGGACTACGTTGGAGCGCTCGATGGGACTTATATCTACGCCTAGCTATCTCATAAAGCGCTCGGCGAATAAGGTATTAGTCCTTAGAGGAATAGGAAAGGAATTCTCACCTAAAATGTCCTCGGTATAGCCTTATTTAACATTAAATTCTAGTGTCTCTTTACCGGATATGAAGGCTCAGCGTATAACTGTACTGTCCTAAAGGCAGTACTCGCTAGAGGAGTCTTCCGCCCACCGAAAGGGCGATATTTCCTTACCGATACTGGCTATTTTAATGCTCCTTTCATTATAACGCTATTTAAGGGTATTCGATATTATTTAAAGGAGTAGATGAGAGAGGGTGTTGAGAGACTATAGAATAGAGAAGAACTCTTTAATCTCCGCCACTCCTTAGCTAGGAACGCCGTAGAGAGGATCTTTAGTATCTTTAAGAGGAAGTTTCAGATTATAGGGGGTAAGAATAAGTACTTAATCACCCAGTAAATCGACCTCGTTATCGCTCTAGGCGCTATCTTTAATTTTATCGTTAATTGTGACCGTAAGACCGATAATGACTTCCTAGTGGGTAATAGGGAGGTTCTCGGCAGGCATACACCGCCGGAAGAGCCTCTTTTTTAGGGAATTAGTAATAGATAAGCTAGGAGAGAGATGGAGAAGCTAAGGCTATCTATCGTAACTGCAATATAGGAGGATTACTAGTAATATTCATCTATCTTAGTCTAGGAGGAGGTTCGCGAGGTTATCGACTAGGAGTAAAATAATAATCACGTAACTAGAGACGTTAAATTAGAGTTTTTCCTTAGCGGTATTGACTAATTAGAGGGCGTGAATTTCTGCGCTAGACCTAAATAGGTATAGTAAGTTAACCTTATACTATCTTATCCTAACCTAACTCCTTAATTTTAGCCTATACTAGTAAGTCGCTCTCTAATTTTGCCTCGTAACCACGCCTCTTGATATTCAGGATATATATTCAACGCCTTAAATTAATTTAGAAATATACCTACGATATTAATTATAGTAAGAAACTCCTCTATTGTTAGTAAATCCTTGAATTTATAGACCTCTTAGAGGGCCTATTGTTGAGGATCCTCCTGGGATTAAGGTGCCGCTCGCCGTATAGTAATCTCCTAGCTGAGTTGAGATTCACGCTCTATAGACTCCTAGAGAACCCTAATTAACTAGTTAAAGCTATTAGTCTCTATTCTTACTCGCTTATTACTAGTAGATAAGGATAAAGGCGCGATTGTTAAGAGTGTATTTAGTAAGGTAAGCGAGACCGATATCGAGATAGAATCATCTAACTAAGTTGATAATTTATCGCTAAATTGGAATATTAGTAAGGTTGACTAACTATCGACGGGTTTAATAGCTTTATCCTTATCCTTATCCTCCTCCTCCTTATTAATATCTCGCCGCCGCTTTCTTCCTACGCCTCCTACGCCTCCTCCTCCTCTTATAAGACTCCCAGTTACTATTAAGCGGCTAAATATCTCCTCCAACTTAGCCCGATATAGTATAGAATAAGTACGGAACTATAGGTATTTCTTAGTATTGTTATTTAGCGCGAGAGCCTCCTAAACTTCGGGCTTAGCGTAGAACCTACTAGTGGCCTTATTATATATAAAGCTAGTCTTATTAATAAGGGTATAAAAGTTCGACTAATAGCCCTTCTAAAGAGCCCTTTTGGCGTTGAGTCTATTAACTGTGGCTAAGGGATACAAAAACTATATTTTAAGGGTGCAATCCCGCTAAAATTCGTTCTTGAATCGCTCGCCGCATCGCCTAGTGCGGATACCGTCGAGAATTAACCGTAGATAGGCCCTCTCCTTATTAGTAGTCTAGGACTGGCCTGGTATGATCGAGAGATATAAAATATAATAGATCAACGCTAAATTAACGCCAAAAATGGCCCAAAAATGGCCTAAAAACACGCGATTTTAGGGCCTAAACAGAGAGTCAGCGCCTAAAGGCGATAAAAAGGCGGATGTGGCGACCCCTGTATCGCCTTTAGCCTAGTAGGGGTGGCATTCACACTATGTCTACGCTAATTCTGCTAAGTAAAGCCTATGTCCCACCAAAATCATCAGCGCTGTTGCAGCCAGGCAGTGACTGACCAAAGGCGCTGGTAAAGGCGTTGACAGGGGTTGAAGCACTTGTACAGGCGCCTTTGGCGTCAGCCAGGCAGGGCCTAAGTAGTAGTAACAGGCAAAGTGGTGTACTCCGTAGTCATAAAGGTGCACCGCAGAAATGAGTCCAGGCGGCAGTCAGACAGAACAGGTCGAAGGCCGAGTCGAGTCGCCAGCCTGGGTCTGACTCACCCTCCCTCCCTCCCTTCCTTCTCGCTTTTCCCCTGCCCCAAGCGTCGCCAGAGTCAAATCCGCCTAGACTCCCGTAGCCAGCCCAGTCAGTAGTGGTCAATAACGATAATAATAATTATTTATCCTCTGGCCGGTTCCTTTTTCCCAGTCTCAGCAGGGTCCAAGCCCCCAGCTGGCCTCTACGGAGTAGATTGTTACCCACCGACGCACGCACGGCACCAATCTCACATTGCTCCTAACCAACTAATTGGGCGACCCCCTTCACACTCGTACCCTCCGTCATCTCTCCTCCCCTCTTTGCACCCACCCGTCCTTCCCCAAACACACGACCCAACCAACCCAAACCCAACCCAATTCTCCAAGCTTCACCTCGCCCTCCCACCCTACTACTCACTGCACTTCACCCAACCCTACCAGCCATCAACCCGAAAATTCTTCAACCATCACAATCAACACCACAACAACACAATTTTATCATTGTGAAGCAATAATCCATCTCAGTGGATCAAGCGCTACATTTTCATATCAATTTTGTCAATTGTTTATGCTGTGTTGACATTGATCTAATTTTTGAAGTGGTGGTGCTGCACCTTCTGGCGTTGTTGGTCGGTCCTCCTCTCTCTATGAGGTTGACCCGACCTCCCACCTAAAAAAGCGTCCATGTCACGCGCGACAGGCAGGCACACCCGCCCCAAAAAACTCAACGCCAAACAAAATGTCCAGATTTTTCGTGAGGATCAAGTCGAACCTCAACCCGACTATGATTCCCAACGAGCTCAGATAGAAACCGGTGTTGAAAAGGCAGAGGAAGCCGTAAGTCCTTGATCCTCCCCTTCCTGCCTCTCTTTCCCCTTGCCTTTACACCCCCCAAAACTTTTTCGTTTTGGTTGTTACCTGTCCTTTTCGACCCATGCTTAGTCATCCGATCTTGGCAACATCAACCAATCAAACATCACGACTGATTCTCTCTAGGAATACCATCTTCAACAAGCCATCAAGGCTAGCCATGTTGCAAAAGCAGATGCAAAGATCAAAGACGCGTACATCCCAACTCCACCTACCATCGCCAGTGATGTCAAATATGATCTCCTGTATCCGGCAGGCTTTCAACAGCCTGCCACATACATTCGCTCCTCTGCCACTGTCGAAGATTGTGCCGGAGTGGCATATTGCATGGACGAAGAAGATGAACTTGCCTTGAAATTGATAAACGCAAAGGCGTTAAATGGCCAACCTGTTTGTTCCGAAGATCAATTCGAAGAGGTCATGAACTTCTTTGAAGAAACTGCCCAGACAAAACAACCTTTTGCCGTGGTCGATAGTCCACCTGTCTTACCTTTAGAAGAATTGCAAGATCAATTCGATGACAGCACACCTGCTCATGTGCGCACATTTTCCAGAGTCATCTACGAACACTGGAAAACACGACGCTCAACCACAGGAAACCGTGGTCTCGCCCCTCGGTTGAAGTTTGAGACTGGTGCAGAGACTGATGACTCGGATCCATACGTGACTTTCCGCCGAAGAGAACTCCGACAGATTCGAAAGACGAGGAATCGTGATGCACAGAGTGCCGAGAAACTGCGGAAACTCCGCATGGAACTCGAGACGGCTCGTGCCATGTTGAATGCGGTCAAACGCAGGGAGATCCTTCGTAAGGAACAACTGGAGCTTGAGCGACTTGTCTTTGAGCAGCGTTTGGCCTTCCGTGACACCAAGAGAAAGCTGGGCATTAAGGGTGACGATGAACTTCTCATCAACCAAAAGGTATGTCTTGACAAACCCCAGACATGCAAACGCATCAAGGAGAACGTAACTGACCTGTTGCAACAGAAGCAGAAGGTAAACCCTGCGATGAATCCCAATCAAGCTGCTCTTGCCCAACAACTTCGTATGCCCATGGCTCCTGGTACCAGTTCAGAGCTGCGAACTCTGGAGGACGTCACTGCCGCCAAGGAACGCGAGATGGAGAAGGAGATCCAGACCAATGTCGAAAAGCATATCCGGTGGAACGAAGGCTTTGTCGATAAGACGTTGGCACCACTCACCCCCGAAGCCGAACCTGACTATCTTGAGCCAATCGACCATTTCCGAGAAGCCATTGCCACCAGTATTTATCTTCCAACACCGCCAGCTAGTATTTCGGATGAGGAATCCAATGGCCCAGAAGTGGCGAATAAGCAGGCCAAGCATATCTCGAGGCCACCGACGCCGCCAATTAGATATGCTTCACCTCCCAGCGAAGAGCATGGTGAAAGCATGCCGGCTTTTAGGAGGAGAGTCGGTAGAGGAGGTCGGATCATGCTCGATCGAAAGTTTACTCGGCCCAAACGAAGTGCGGCTGAGGACGATCGGTGGCGTTTCGACTCGGACAATGATGATGACTCCGACACAGACATGACGGATGACAGTCTTGCACGAATGGTGCAACGTGCATATCTCAACGTCAGCAGTCGACCGTCGGAAACCCAAGCCCAAGCCATGAGAAAGGCACAGCTCGAAGCTGGTGGGCCCAGTCATTCATCACCTTCAGCCCCCTCGGTGACCATCACGGCACCATCTTGACATGTTCCAAGGAGAGCATTGTCTGTTTTGATTTCCACAAGTTGTCGAGAGCACAATTTCAAAAACTCTCCCCCTCTCATCTCAGGGCCCAGGGATCCAGATTGCTGAGACTGTCAGGGTCCAGGCAACAGCCCATTTTGCACTCGGCGCCATGTCTGACTGCTGATCGGCTATTGCAATCCAGGGTGATAGAACGGCTTATGTCGGAGTAAGGATCCCTGATGAGGTCTGGCAATCCTAGAACCATCAGCATGTATCTGTGTACATAGTATGAACGAGGCCAGCGCCATCGTCTCAATCCGAAAGAATTAAAAACTTTCTCCAATCTTGCACTGTGGGCATCATGTGCGTTTGTTGTCATCGACGAGCAGTCTTCTTCGATTGTTGATTGTTGTCCGACATGTGCTTGCGTTTGTTCGATCCGTTTGTAGTGGCGATTTCCTGGGTCTTACGACTGATATGCTCTCGACACAAGGCCAGCATTTGATGTAAAATCTCTTTTTCACCCACACGGACTTGCAAAGCCATGAAGACACGATTCGGCTTGGTGTCTGGAGTTGCGATTTCTTCGAGAGTGGTGTCACCGTTGCGCAATCTTTGCAAGAGCTCGCGGTCGGATTCGAGAGTGGTGGAATATTCAGTCAATCTCTTTGTCAATGCAGCTTGCAACAAGGCTGCTTCTTCGATTGTGACCGCGTCTTTTGGCTTGTTCATCCATCCATTGTCTTGGTCATGAGAAGCCAATGCTCGAAGTAGCATGTGCAATTGTCCAGGGATGGCGTCACCAAGCTCTTTCACCTCTGGTTCTGATGGACGTGGGATAGCATACCCATCATCCAACAGTCCGAGTTCGTCAAGCTGGTCTGCGCGCTTCTGCCATGCCTGACTCGCAGCATCTTTGCCAGGGTTTTTGTTTGCAACCTCGAGTAGCAGGTCGTAGGATATTTCCACCACATCGTACTGTGAGTAATTTTCTGTCACATAGCCGTACATACGAAGGAGGTCAGATCTTGGCAGGGGTCCGTAGTCGTTGAAAATCTGGTCTCCAGCTTTGATGGGTTTGGTGGATTTCATGATGAGGAAATCGGATTCTTGGAAAAGTCGGGCCTGTGTACTGGTTAGATTTTGAGGGGACAGATTGGGAGATGGGAACTGACATTGTTTCTGTCGGCGTCTGCATTGAGCATGTCCGCGAAAGGAACCATGCCCTTGGATGGCTCATCCTCGTCGTCTTCCTCGAACTCATCTTCCTGATTCGCCGGCTGGGATTTATCGTCGTCATCATCATGGTCGATGTCAAAGGCATATGCCATGATCAGACTACCAGCCATATGAGCAAGGCTTATCAGTGTAGAGATTTTCTCTCCGTCACTTGAGCCAGAGATAGGAAAGAGTTCTGGGTGTTTTAGCATGACTGGGATGATGGTCTCTTTCCATGACTCTTCAGCGCCAGCCCTGCCAATCTTCTCGATGACGGCGCTTGCTTGAAGTTGTGCCAATTCTTGGTCGTTCCAAAACATCAGGCTGTCAAAGGCTGTAGGCAGGACTTGGAAGTATGGATACCATGGGGAAGCCTCTCTGCGCAGATACTCGTAGATGATCGTGACGATGAGAGGCGGCCATGACCCAATATCACCGAGGGAATCGAAGACATGCGTTGGGATACTCGAGGTGGGAACGGTAAGCACTAGGTTGCGTGGGACAGCAAATAGCTCCTCGTCCTCTTCGATATCCTGAGTGGCCACTGGTACAAATCAGTCAGTCAGTGTCCAGCGATGGAAACCTCGAGAGATGAGCCTACCAGCCCCTCGTCCTGCATGTTGAGACCTCAAGTCCTCGAGTTGAATCTTGGAACTCAACCGAGTATCGTGAGATGAAGTAAACCAATTGAGAAAATTGGTGGTTTTCTGAGCAAAGTCTTGAGCCGTAGGAGCAGAATACTCGCTCAACATAGTGATAAATGCCTAAGAATATTGCTAAACGAGCAATAGACGTCAGTGAGAAGGATAACAAGGATATGTGGTTGTGTGAGAAAGTCAGGGTAGCGCATGGATGGTGGGAGGGAAACACATAAGAGAGGACTGTCGCCAAGGCACTAACCGACACCCTCGTTTGAGGAAGTCGGTCTATTACAGATGTCCTATTGGTGGGGATATGTGGGTCGCTATCATCATGTCCCGCCTCCTTCAACCTGAGTCACACAATACAGGAGTTGACAGTTGTGAGAAATACTCAGGATTGATGTGTGAGACGATAAGTATTGTGACGGGATGGGCATCGAAAGGAGTTGGTGTGAGTTTTTTCCGTTGGAAGGGGAGTTTACCTGGTCACAAGGAACTCTCAAAAGACGGCGTTGAACTCCGGTGCGAGTTTATCCTTACCCGCAGATTCTACGGTGGACCAAATCAGGTCTGAACATATACGGTGCCAGTGTACACGACTCTGGCACGTACATGCACAGGTTAGTCATCATGAATAATATCAAAATCCTGTCTTTGAAAGAAGATTGTCAAGTCTCATTATATCATATGTGGAAAGGTCTCTGGCAACTGTGGTTCGTGAATACAAAGAATAAATCCAGTGGTTGAATACTGATATTGTCATGTGCATTTATTCAGTGGAGCATTCACGTCCATTGTCCGCCACAGGGTCCTCAGCCTTGTCAGACGGGGCAAATTTGTCAGATCAAAAAGATTGGATATGTCCAAGTCATTTTTGCCTGTCTACATGACGAATAAACTGACGACCATTGACTCCGAATCTGGCATTGACATCAAAGGTTCTCCTATTTGACGGTTTCAAGAGCGACTTACCGATTCAGCATTTCATGTCTAGGGGAGAGTGGTCACCAACAACACCAGTATCTCTCCAAACATCGAACATCAAAAACAGTACGTACCATCCTGAGGATCTGACTCAGAGTCTGCCCTTCGAAGGGTGGCAAGCAAGTGGACCTGGCTCTCTCTGAATTCATACACCTTCATCAACCCATAAGCCATAATCTTTAGACCATCACCACCATGATCTCCATCGGCCTCGAAGGCAGTGCCAACAAACTCGGCGTTGGCATCATCCAACACAACCCGAAAGGCGGACCCGCCACGGTCCTCGCAAATCTACGCCATACATACCACTCACCACCCGGCCAAGGCTTCTTACCTAAAGACACTGCCCTTCACCACCGAAGCCATGTCGTATCACTAGTTCTCAACGCCCTCTCCATGGCCAAAGTCCCGCTCTCAGCCATCACATGTATTTCCTACACCAAAGGCCCCGGAATGGGAGCACCACTACAATCAGTCGCACTCGCGGCCCGAACATTATCCCTACTCTGGTCAATCCCCATCATCGGCGTCAATCACTGTATTGGACACATTGAAATGGGTCGTGAGATCACAGGCGCAACTAATCCTGTGGTGTTGTATGTATCTGGCGGAAACACGCAGGTCATAGCCTATACGGCGAACAGATATCGGATTTTCGGCGAGACGCTTGATATTGCAGTGGGGAATTGTCTGGATCGATTTGCGCGTACGTTGGGGATTCCTAATGATCCCGCGCCGGGGTATAATATCGAGCAGTTGGCCAAGCGATCGGTCGATGAAAATGGGAATCTCGGTCCGGAGAGAGTGCTGCTTGATTTGCCGTATGCGGTCAAGGGGATGGATTGTTCGTTCTCGGGCATTTTGGCACGGATTGATGAATTGGCGCATCAGATGAAGAATGGGACTTTATTTGCACCGACTAACTCGACGAATTCGAAAGAACTGGATGAGACTTCTCAGAAAGATACTACTCCGGTCTCTATCACACCGTCTGATCTTTGTTTCTCGTTGCAAGAAACCATCTTTGCCATGTTGGTTGAGATCACCGAGCGGGCCATGGCGCACGTGGGGGCTTCGGATGTTCTGATCGTCGGAGGTGTTGGTTGCAATGAGCGAATACAGGAGATGATGGGTCAGATGGCTCGTGATCGTGGTGGCGACGTCTATGCCACGGATGAGCGCTTCTGCATCGACAACGGAATCATGATTGCTCATGCCGGACTGTTGGAGTTCAACTCTACTGGGCGTGAGGGCTGGGCTATCGATGATACATCCTGTACTCAGAGATTCAGGACGGATGAGGTCTGGGTTGGGTGGAGGGATGATTGAAGTGGGAGACGAAAAGATTCAGACGTCTTGATCACATTATCTAACTACAAGATGTCGGTCCTATCTGCTGTCTCTGCGACAGCTCACCAAAGACACGGTCCAAATCAAGCGACAAGGTGCTTGAATCCTGCGCAAGTCAAGCCTTGTGAGAAGAGAGTTCTTTGGTCGTCCTTTTTCCGTGGAAAAGGTGGATTATAGTAAGAATTCAGCCCAAGCTCATCTATCACGGCCAAATCCTTGGCCAAGGACCAAATGCATCACACTGGATCGATGGCCCCTCGACATCAGATTCAAACCAGTCTATTCATGATCGTCATGTATTCATCATGCGGCACAATGTGATGACCTCATTGTGGCCGCAACCTCAAAAGACTCCAATCCTCGTTCGCTGGAACGGCAATTGGGATAACAGAAACCGAGCAAATGCTCTGGTGAAGCAGCCAGACCTAGCCTTCTTGCCTGAATTTTGGTACCGGCTTGAAGGAAATGGTGGTGACATACTACGGATTGATTAGCGTGGGAGACTCAACAGATGATCAAGGCAAACTCACCTTCTTCTTGTACCTGGTGGTGACACTGGTGGCTAGTACGCCGTTCTTGACGCTACTGGTCATAAGATGGTTTAGAACAGTGTGATTGGGTAATGTCAGAACACTGTTGTCATCCTTGACTGGTAAGATGCCGTTCAAGATGGAGCGACTGAGGAACAGAGGGAGCGTCGGTGGACCAGAAATATCAGTGAGGATCTTTTGAGCGGCTTGATAGCGTGGGTCATCCTCAGGTAGTTCAATATCGATCAAGGCCTGAGGAATGATTTGACGAAAGTCACCTGGAGCGATTTCTTCGGCGTGGACAGAGTCTGTATCGGATTCTGCTGGTGAAGACGTCTCGAACCGCGATTGATCTTGGTCATCGGATGAAAGGCCTGGGATTGGTTTTTGACCGGGCTGTGCACTTTCTCTCCGAGTCTTAGAAAGATCTTCTGTGGCAATCTCGATATAATTGACTAGGAAATTGTTGAAGTCGACGGCTGTTGGCAGTGAAGGACTAGTGACCATTTCCCCGTCGACGACGAATTTCAGATGATGAGTTCCCGAGGGAAGATTGATGGTGGTGTACATTCCTGTGGCATTTTTTCTATCAAGCAAAGTCAGCGTGAGTCGATGACTGGGAAAAGATGACTGAAAGCGGTAAACCTCAAGGGTGATCCCTTTCCGAGACATCGTAGAAGAGTCGAGAGACCCGAAGGAGAAGGGGCAAGTAAGAAGAAGAACAAAGAGGTTTCAATCTGGACTAACCTTGGATGAAGTCTGTATTTCTTGTCCCAATTGGCAAAAGTTCCAGTGACGTAGACTTTATGACCTGGGTGATTCCATTCGATGACAGTGGGAACGGTTCGCGACACATCTTGCGCAAATGGTTGTAATTCATCCTCGACGTCTTCTTCAGTGGTAGTCTGACTTAGCATGGAACTTTTCCTCCGCAGCGTGGGTTCGACGGGAGAGATAGGGTCGTCATTATCGAATATAGGAACATCGGCATTGCTTTTGTCGACTGGTAACAGAGTGGGAGATTCGGGAATTGCAACGTCAGCGATGGGAAGGGGAAGTCTGGGAGGGCGAGTTCTCGCGACTGGGGTATATCTTCGATCGACATAGGCATTGCGCTGTTCCTCGAGTCTTTCGTCAAAGGTATCTTGTTTACTTCTTGAAGCGGGCATAGCTATGGGAGTGGAGGTTTGTGGGACTGTGATGGGGGATTGAGATTGAGATGGCGATTGGCGTTGAGCGGGAGAATCCTGCTTGGGATCTCTCTTCGACCTCGAGGCCGACCTTTCGATCATCTTGCCAACCTTGGCATACTGTTCGGGGGAAGAAGTTTGCTGAAGGTACTGATGCAGAGCGGGTTGGTCGAGATGTTGAGAGGTAGTGTGGGCAACTGCGATTTCTTGGGAAGCGGAAGGGTCGATTGGTGTGGCTCTCCCATGTGAAAGAGCTTGAATGGAGACTCTGCGATTGATCTTCCGGTCACGGTCTTTGTCGGTGTGAAGGGTGTTTGATCTTGTAGGAGCGGACGAAGAGGTTTTCTCGTTGGATTGCTGATTGCCCATGGTTGTGGTGAAGACGACTGCAAGGTTAAAATGACAAGACGAATGTGGATGTTAGGTTGGTTGAGACTGTCGCTAGTGTAGCATGTGGGAGCAGCGGATGGATGGAGAGATAGATGGGGATGGGGTAGTGGGTGAGGGCCGAGGGGCTGAAATTGTGGGTGGGTCGATGCTGCTAAGGAGACAGGAAATCTGAGGAGAATTTGGTCGGGTCCAGCACGATTACCATGGAGTGGAAAGAGATGGAGGAGGCGAGGTTGGTGGTGAGGTTAAGATGAAGGACAAGGAAGAGAGGTGGAAAGTGAAATATTTGGAGAGTATGGAGGAGGCACTGGAGCAACGACTACCGCAACCGTACCTAAGATTCTGACTGGAAGTTGACTGACTACCTTACTTCAATTAGAGCGTAAGTCTGTGCAGATCTCAAATTTAGCGGAGGGAGTAATTCCGGTCAAGTTTAGGAAGAAATCAAAAGCAACTCAAGAATCAAATGAGGGGGACTTGAAACTCGACAACGATAACTCGACGAAGAATTGATCCATTTTCTAGTTGGAGTTGAGCGTCTGGAGGGGTCGAGGGGTGCCTCAGGCTAGGACATTTACTCCATTGATTAAAGACTTAAGGGTGACACAAAGCCCGCAATTACCAATTATATCGCCTAAATCAGCCCAATTGGTAGCCCGGGGCCCTAGATGCCCCCTCGGCCCTGAAAGGTAAGGTACCTTTCTTAGTAACGCTCGTTAAGCAGTCGAAGTCCTTAGAATGCTAACTTACCTTAGCTAAGAGGCGATATTCATTCCCCCTCTTCCGCTTAACTTAGGTACCAGATGAAGCCCAAGGCTCTCTCGACCCCCACCGGAATTGTAGTTCCAGGCTTGGTGGCGGAGAGCATTCGAGGGGCCCTCAGGTCTCTGCTCCCTCAGTCCAAGCAAGGCCTGGGTCTTTCCCTCCAGCGTCATCATTACATCACTCCGGGATGCTGTAGATCTCTGTCTTCATTGCCCCTAATTCCTTCCTCCGGAAAATTTCCCTTCTTCATCCATGCATATAAGCAGGGAGAAAATAACGACCTTGTGACCACTTCGAATGTTGCACAGGCTCGTGTTTGATCGTGGACGGACCGAAGATAACCGAGTCGAAGATCGAGAACAATGGACAAGCCGGAGTTGAACTGGACCGAAGACTGGGTCCCTCACTGGTACCTGCGTTATGGTTTGATTGGGGGGAGCCTCTAGGGGCATTCTAGGTGAAGAGTCCCTAATATGCAAGGGGGGAGTCGCCTAAGAAGATAGGCATTGCACCCGTATTAGCCCCCATATCATCTACTTTTTAATATGCCTGTGGTTGAGTTTACAACACTTTCACGTCCTTGTCACGTGACAACAGTTCAATACTTGCAGCCAGTCCCTCCTCGTTACCTCAACTTCTAACACATGGTTGCCATCTACGCATTTAACTGTCACTCGCCAGCCAATTTCATGAAACCCATGTCATGATCAACCACATGCCAAACTTACTCTGAGGCTTTCAGTTCATATTCAGTAGGTGGGAATTTAACGCGTTCAGATTCCTGTTCGATCAACCTCCTACACCCGCCTTCATGGTCCCTTGGGACGCATCATGACCATCTTCAATCTCGCGTCATGAATTCCATCACCAGCAGCAGCCAGGATCTCACCCCGTCCACCCCTCCAGCCTGGCTAGCCATAACCATTACACTCCTCTACTACATTGTGTATCCAATCTTCCTGGTCCTCAAGGCACTATTATACATTTTACTGGTCCTGTCTACACCCTTTATATACATTGGCCGACTTCTCCTCGACCTCTTCACCCTCCCATGGCGCATCTTCACTCGCTTCGAGGTATCTTCTCCCTAACGCTACCCAGATCCATACACCATGTTGATTGCGGCACTGACCATTATCAGGCGCTTTGGTATTTCCTCGGTAGTGCTGTGGCGATCGGCCTCGTTCTCGGCTTGACCCTCCATTTGACGATGCGCATATTTATTCTTGTCTTTCACCTCGATCAAAAGTCTCCTTCCGCGCCTCAAAGTACATCCATGCCAAAACCCATACCCGCCACGGGTCACGACGCCGCATCGTACCGAAAAGCAAGAGAGGGGAAGAAGAAACAGGCTCAGGCCCAAGAGCAGGAATCTCTTGTGGCCCAGGCCAAGATGCTAGCCTCACAACCATTGATTCAAGAGGTGGTTCGTGAAGCGAGGAAGATGCCGTTGTCGACAGGTTCGCTCAGTCCGCTGGGCCCACCAAGTCCAAGTGCATTGCCTCCTTCATTCAAGGGCCTCGGCTTGTCGCAAGAGACGATTCTCGAGCACACCGACGAGGAAGACGATGATTCGGTCTTCTGACCCAGGTATCCTTTGCGCTCATCGCAACCCAGCTTTGACCAGAGCTGCCTGAAACATGTCCTTACACCGCACTCGACTTCCCAACCGCGCACACAGGAGAAATGCGCCACTGAGTTTGCGATGCAGACTGTAGGTCTCCTCAGGTGGCGGAGCCAATCGTTCCCGAAGCATCACGGGGATCAAGTCCCTCACTCGATCCGTAATGGTCTGGCCTTTGAAGTCATAGACATCGGGCGCCCAATCCATAAAGGGCTCAGCCAAGGTCATGACAGAGTCCAAATGCGCCTTGGTCATCGCTTTTGACTCGTATCCCGTTAGATACCCCAGCTGTATAGAATAGTCAACACAACTTTTGCGATCTTCACGTGCTGCCGCTTCCAACACTCGTGTGTACAGGTCAACAAACTTGGCATCAAACTCTCGAGATGCACCAAAGTCCAACAATTCCAACTTGTTGGTCTCGCTGTTGTAGAGGAAATTGGTCCAGTTGGGATCTGTTTGCATATAGCGAAATTCGGTGATCTCTCTCAGGCACAGGCGCAGGATCTGGGTCCCTATCCAGTCCTTTTGCTCTTGACTAAAGTTTTGCACCTTGGTCACTGCCACACCGTCCATCCGCTGCATGGTCAAGACTTGCTTCCCTGAAGCCTCAGGGATGATTCGTGGCACCGTGAATATATCGGTTTCGTCTGCTAGCAACTCCCTGAACTTGTTCGCTCCTTGAGCTTCGCGGACATAATCACACTCCCAGGCCAACTCGGTGCGGGCGTTAGCTATCGTCTTGTCCAGGTAGAGACCTTTCGGTAGAAGCCGTGATGCTGTCAGGAGGAGGGAGAGATTGTTCAGATCGGACGAGATCGAGTCGGCAACACCAGGGTATTGCACTTTCACTGCCACTCTCTGGCCGTCCTGTAATACGGCGCCGTGTACCTGGCCAATTGAGGCAGCAGCCATGGGTCGGTCGTCGAATTGGGAGAACAAGTCCTTCCACTTCGGACCAAGGTCCTTCTCTATAACCGCATCTCGTTGAGACGCTGGCATATAGTCCGCACTATCCTGGACGCGCTGTAAGACTTGATGGATTGCAGGCGGTAATAATTTCGAATCTTGAAAACTCATCATCTGGCCCATCTTCAAGGCGGCACCTCGCATCTTGGACAGCTTGGCCACTAGCCTCTCCATATTGGCAGCACTGAGAACCAGTGATCCATTGGGCCCACCGGCTCGACTGATGCTTTCGCTGACGGCTCCGAATGCCATGGATGCTGCGAGGCCTCCATATTCAAATAGGCGGGAGACCCGGGATGAGGGGACACGGGACTCGCGCATCTGGTATGGTTGCGGTGATGCTGGGAACGATTGTTGAGAAGTGTTCGTCTACATCTGTTAGTTCGATCAGTCGCGGATGTCATGCTTTAGATTCTGGTTGCCCATATACCGTGTCAACGTACATTCGAACTCCGCGCATCCTTGCTAATGTCGGACGCAAGCTGCCTAATGCTCTGTGCATCTGCGTCCGCCGCAGCCGCCGCTGAGTCCTTCTGCCTTAGAGTCCTTAGGCTATGAAATTCCCTCTTCGAGGGCCCACCTACTCCCCCCGGCGCATACTTGGCCTTGACGCCAAACATTTTTGCAGTCTTGGGGCTGTGAAACAAATTTGCCAGCACTTCAGCTGACGGCTCGTCGGCCAACGCATCTCGGCCTTTTGCTCCGGAGTAATATACATCGGCATTAATACCTGGTGGAATGTGTGAATCGCCCTCTTGCACATCGTTCTCAGTTTTGGGGACACGGACGCGAGGGAGTGCGGACAGGACGGGAGTTGAGGATTCCGGTGGTTGATAGAAGACGTCTTGTTCCTGCTCGACCGCGAATTCACTCTGGCCGGATGTTTCTCCAGGAGTAGGAGGCTCGGCACTTGTGGAGGGAATCTGGTATTCCGATTGGCGTTGGGCGAAACGTGCTTGGTCGGGGGAGAGAGGGGAGGTCCGAGGGGTGGGAATGGTGGATTCTTGGGACGATATGGCGGACAGACTGTCTCGGGTATGCTGAGAGTCTAGAGGATTCTGATTTGGTTCTCCAACAGGGCGTCGGTTGAAGGTGATACCATCAGTCGTGTTTTCACCAATGGGACTGTCCTGGGGAGGAATGGTGCCATCTGGCAGCGGGTGTCGTTGTGCTTTTGCTTGTTCAACATTCAAATCTTCAGAAGGAGGTTGGTCCTGTGACGAGTTTGTATCCGACCGTGTGTAGAAATGGTCCTGCTGTATACCTTCTCTGGGCGGCTGTGAAGAGGAAGAGGAAGCGAAACGGGAAGCTGCGGCGGTCACTGATGGTCCCTGGGTTTGGACAGCCTTGAGGATAGAGGATGATTGCCCGTATAATTTGGCTTGTGAGAGGCGGATGTCGAGATGTTTGGCCGCGATGTTGCGGCTAGCATTGAAGAGGGCCAGAGCATCTAGGATCCGTTTGCCAGACATGATCAAGGGCTGGGAGGGGGCAACGAAAGAAGGATAATGCTCATTCCATGGCTCGGGCAAATAATAGTCCTATTTTAGACAGAACCAGCGGTACTGATCAATGTTGGTGGGACATGGAGGTGCTGTGTTGTAGTGGAAGTGCTGTTTGAGTTGCAGACGGAATTTCAATTTCATCATCGTTTTTGTACCTGCACCTGCACCTGCACCTTCCTCCGCCCCGAGTACGAGGTCGAAGGGAGATCGATCGGCGCTAACCATTTCTGGGAATCCACCATGGTCGTATCTGTGGTGCTTTGGTTCTCCCAACTCCCTCTACAGCATATGTACTGTCTCTTCTCTTGTCTAAGATACGCAGTCATACACAGGTTTTTGATGCTAGTGCTAGCTACAACAAAGCTAAAATCGCAACCGGGTGTACTTAAGTACCTTGTCAGGCCTCCCAGATCCTCATCACGTGATTCGATATCACCAACCTTGGCAACCGATATCATTCCGCCCTCGAGTCCTTCCTCCTTTCCTTCCTCTATCAAGCAGCGGAGCTTCTCTGCCGCAGGACAGGCAAAAGCTAATCGTGTGATTGTGATTAACAGGCGCCGCTGGAACTTCGACCCTGGGTCATGTTACACGAGCTACATAACTGTCCCCCGTTCAACGAGATCCACGACAACATGAGGTCCCGCCGACCATGACAACGTCTCCTCTGGGTAAGCATTCATGATATCAACGACAACCTGACTCTTCAATGAACGCCACCGACACCAGCGCCTTGCGTGCGCACATTGCGACTCTTGAAGCCCAGCTCCAGGCCACTAAATCATTACTTTCCACAATCGAAAGCACGGCGAAAGACGAGCCCGATGGATCATTCTCCTCCAACCCCATCACCCTACCTATCACCCCTTCTCTACATAATCTGATGCTACTCTCCGACTCAGCCATGCCACTTGGCTCATTTGCATATTCTAGCGGACTCGAATCGTTTCTTATCCACAATAAACCCAGCTCCGCCAGCAGTGCCAGTCAACCACCACTATCCCAATTCCACCGGTTCCTCAACCTCTCAGTCCAATCTGTCGCCTACACAACCATCCCATACGTGCTAGCTGCCTTTCGCGACCCTTTGGACCTGATGGATCTTGACAATGACCTCGATGCCTCAACTCCATGTACTGTCGCTCGAAGGGCAAGTATCGCCCAGGGTCGGGCCCTTCTTTCAGTCTGGGAAAAGGCTTTTCTCCGAACTGCTCGCTCGCAGTTCGAAACCCACGACCAGGTTATCACCGCCATCGAGGTCTTTTCACGCGATTTGAAGCTCTCCGCCATTTCGAATTCGTCTTCGACCTCGTTGCCAGCGGTCAACGGCCATCTCGCACCATTATGGGGTGTGATTAGTCTTGCTCTGGGGCTTAACCTCGAAGAATCTGGATATCTGTTCCTGCTCAACCATGCCAAAGCCGTTGTCAGTGCAGCTGTCAGAGCTTCCGTCATGGGGCCTTACATGGCGCAAACTGTGCTGGCAGGCAAACCTCTTCAAGATCTGATTCGCGGTGCCCTCGAGAAGGTGTGGCGCCTGACGCCTGAAGATGCAGGCCAGGTCGTTCCATGTCTTGACCTATGGGTTGGGAGACACGAATTACTGTATTCAAGGATATTCAATTCATAGTTCTTGTTTTATATAGCAGGCGAGTTCTGCCAGAATAGATGTACATATAGCCGAGCTAATATGAATCTTGGGTCCGCATATGCAGATCAACATCAATATGATTACATTGGAATCGTGACATGATTCCATAAGCATGATAACATTAAGCTTTGACCTTGAAGCCCTTCGCATCGGCAACGTCTCCAGAAAAATCAGATCCCAACATTCATCAATGCGCTCATCAACATTTCATCGACCAACTTCATCAACCGGACCGATTTGTTCTTCCACTCCTTCAATAGGATGTTTAACCCTCTTGCTTTGGCGACCCCGGCCGACCGACTCCTTTGTCTGTCTCCGAGTTTGGTGCTGGGACTGAGGCTGGGCATGGGGCTGTTGCTGCTTCTTCTTGCTGACCACATTCGACGTAACTTGATCTGCCGTGACGGACATCTGGTCCCTTCTGGTAGGTGGTATACCTTCGACATTGGCGACAATATTACCATCCTCATCGACTTCCGTAGTTGGGAGAGCAATGTCGGCTGGATCGGGTTCGACGTTATCGATCAGACCTTCATCGCGACGTCGTTGTTCGTCTTCGTCTCGCAGCCTCTTTTCCTCAGCGTCCAGCTCAGCCTGTAGAGCGGTAGGATCCAGTAGAATATGTTCCGTCATTTTTGTGTACTCGTCTGTGTCCACGGGCTCCTGTGCATCGACGCAGCGCTTGACCCGGAGGCCATTCACCCGTAGTTCGGCCATGTATTTTAACTTGATCTGGCGTCTGTCGAAGCTGGGGAAGAAATTCGCGATCATGCCAAAATCGGTCCCGAACCATCGTAGCCCTTTGTAGAACAACTCGGTCTTGTCTTCGTCCCACTTCGTCCCCCTGCGAAGCCCAGCATGTTTACCGACCGTCCCTTGGTTGACATATCTGTATATCCGGTCGTCGTCGCGCGCAGCGGTCGCATCTTCAATGACTGCCCTTTCCACATCGGCACCAAATGCTATTTCTCTGGACTCGGCCGCCACCACAATCTGTCCGTTAACAATAATCTGCTTTGGCACTTGAAGAGCAGTGGTCGCCGGGGAAGGTGCAACTTCTTGCCTTCCGCCATGTCGGCCTCTCCCTGCAGCTTCACGTCGACGTTCGATGTCTTCCTTTCGTCGCTGTTTGATCTCGGTCCAGTTCTCTTGCAACAACTTTTCCGTCTCGGACTTTTTGCCCATTCGTGGCGGATCTCGCGCCAAAGTACTCATAGAAGTCCTGACATCGGTCTTCATACTCTCTGCATTTTCTGGAGTCGATTTGCGGGAGTTGCGAGATCTGTTACCCGTGTCGCTGTCTATCACTTGATTGGCTAGGTCCTCAAGTGCCTTCTTCCGCGTTCTTTTTTTCCGAGCTGCTTTTACCGTCCCAGTTGGTTCTTCGTCTTCTCCCTCGTCATGCTCAGCATCTACAGCGTTTGTCGCAGACCGTCTGCTGCGGAGAGGCTGCGTATTATTGGCGATCGAGTTTGCAAGTTCAGAGACCGCCGCGGCCTGAGATGTGGCATCTTGTAATAGAATGTCAGACGTGCGCGATTCGCTGCGACGGAAGCGCGGGCCGCTGCGGAGGATTGAGGTGAGGTTCTCCGACAAAGTTGCTGAATCTTGCGATTGGATAGATGTGTCACGATGTGCTTCTGTCGTCTTGCGTCGCTTGGATGGACCCTCTTGCGATCTCGTTTCCCCATCAACCTCTCCATCCTGCAACGAGTTGTCTGACGGCGCAGGTGTAGGTTCCGTTGTTATTCTCGGCCTCGATCTCGTAGAAGGCGCTTTTGAAGCGGTGATGGTAGGGATTATGTCCTGTGGATCGGTATCGGTGTATGTGCTGGATGGGACAATAGTTATACCTTGACCAGGACGTTTTGGCGGATATACCTCGACCGAGATGGATGGTGCAATATCAGCATGGTAGTCTGGAGATGATCTTAATGTTGAGTCGGGAGGGGTGGGATCCGAGAGAAGCGGGATTGAAGGGGGATCGAGGTTAGACTCTGCCGACACTCCATAGGTTTCTTCATCTGTGGGCGCATCCTCGACCACATCGAAGCCTGGACTCGGCGCATGACTTTCTGGCGTAAGAGAAGGAGGGGCGGAAGGCCTTGTGCCAGGGCGAGTGACGTTACGTCGCGGCGCAGCCTTTGGCACGATCTTCTGGCCCGGTTTGCGGACGACAGAAGAGAAAGTAGACATGATTTGAGAGAAAAGCACTTGTGTTTAGGCGACAGCGTTTGTTGTTCCCAATTATCGAGGCACCACTTCCCGTGTCGCAGAGTCCCACAGTGTGTAATTTTTACAATCGTCGACAATTTCTGCCGGTATTCTCGTTCGAAACATGTTTGTCATGGACTAGGAGTCCGTTGGTGACCTGGGTGGAAAGGGAAGAGAGGATTCGATTCGATGGATGTTTATGGGGAAAAGAGAATTGTGGCGGAAGTGCTGTGCCACACGCGGGACATCGCCAAGCCCTTAATGACTCTTAGCGTCCCATGAGTAGAGATCTCCCCTTGAAACACACCATGGGAGGCATAAAGATTTATCTATCAGTCCCTCTGAACAATTTCTCGACAGCGTATGTCCTGGCAGGGGCATGAGGACATTAAGAGGCTTGCATAAAACGACATTAATAACAAATTTGGATTCATCAAGCTGTTTATAGATGATGTCTTGAATGGGAGAGTAAGAGATCCTAGAATACTTTCATTTTGTAGATTTCAACTTTGAAGACCTTGGACGCTTATTCTCCGGCTCATGAAGCCATTCAGTCTTGAAGATGGTCCCAGGCGACAACAAGTCGTTGATACGCGTGTGATGTGAAGCAAGAACGCGACACAGCGGCGGTTAGTATTAACGCCAAGACACTAAATTCCAACAATGGACTAGCGTGGTGAAGGGTGTGGCTGAAATGTCTTTTCCCAAAATGGAGTGGCGTCTTCTTCCTCAATCAAAGGATCTCGTCGCCTTTTCAACCCTCGAAGTTTCGTCTTTTCTCTGCTCCCTCAACGACAATCCCATTGTCACCGCGTCCAGCACGGTCGGATTCATCCTCATTCGCTTCAAGGACTACTAGGCCAGAGTTTGCCACGTCCCAGAAGAGCCATCGGACTGATGACGGCCATCGAAGCACCCGTTCCCCTCTCATCGTCTCCGAGTTTTGTCAAGATGGAAGAGCGAAAGAGACCCAGCCCTTATGACCAGATCGAATCCGCTCCTCCGGCCAAAAAGCAGGCCACCTCTGCCAATGGCGCCTCCAAATCCCATAAAGACGATGACATGCCCTGGAAGGATGACCTCGAGGTAAGATCCAGCTTTTAATTTTTAGCCCTGCGCCCTCAACAAATCTGACCTGCGACAACACGTGCTAACCAATCTTTCTTTTCGCAGAGATTTCAGAAAGATGCCATCTACCGTCAAATGCAAGAGTACAAGCGTGAAAAGAACACCCTCGAGTCACAATTAAAAGAAATGCGCAAGAAGTCCCGATATCATGATGACCATCTCCGTATCATCGATTCTTGGTTTCAACAAGTGGTTGATGAGATCAAGGTCATTGCACAAGGCGATGACGATGTAGACATGGACGCTTCCTCGTCACCGTCGTCGCTACTGTTTGGTGATCAAGAACAATTCGAAGAACACTTGCGCAACCGATCAAAAGAAATCAAATCTGTGATCTCGAGATTGTTCCAACCTTCAAAAGCCTGTGCGCCGGACGTAACTGAGTTACAATCTCGTATTGGTCGGCTACTGGCCGCCGAAAAGGGTCACGTGGTCGAACTGCGGAGGTTAGAAGCCGAGAAAGAAGACCTGGAAAATCGACTGGAGAATGCCTCGTTAAGATACATGATGGCGGAAAAGAAGATTGACCGGGCCAAAAGTGTCACCGTGGCTAAGCTTGAGAAACAGGCTCTTCTTGGAGGCGCCAAGTCAGCCCATGAAGAGAGCGGACCGGTGAAGCGGGAAGAAAGCACTACCAACGGCACCTCAGACAATTCAGAAGAGTTGGCGGAAATGGAAAAGGAGTTGAATAAGACGACAGCGGTCGCGGAGAAGCAGAAGGAACAGCTTGAAAAGCTAGAAGAAGAAAACGCCAAGTTAACCGCACAGCTCACTGAACTGACAGCCAAATCAGCAATCACAACGGATGAAGATTACGCCAAAACCGAATTATTCAAACAGTTAAAATCTCAGCATGAAGATGTTATCAAACGTATCAATAACCTGGAGGCGACCAACACTGAACTGAGAGAAGAGGCTCAGAAATTACGATCAGAGCGATCTGCCTATCAGATTCAACTGGAGAACGAAGCCAGGAATGCCGTTGCCGAGAAAGAGTCGCTCTTAGCAGCATCAGAATCTAATTTGGCGCGAATCCGGCATAACCGAGATGAACTGCTGGCAGATCAAGCTGTTAAAAAGGCATCTCTGGATCAAGAGCAGGAGGCAATCAAGAAAATGGCCGATCTGGTATCGGCTCAAGAAGATCGAATCAAAGCACTGGAATCGGAAACACAGCGTTTGTCCGGAAACTCGGTTCAAATGCTCGTGGATAATGCAGAGCTGGACTCTGTCAGCATTGACGAACTGCGGACTAAATATCGTGAACTCTCGCGAAATTACACGCTCCTCAACGGAGAGCTGAGTTCCATGTCGACCGCCTTCACCAAAGCATCTCGCACGGCGGGGCAAAAGGTTTCGGAGTTTGCAGCGCTGGAAGAGAAGGTAGTACGTCTACTGGCAGAGAAAGCCAAAGCGGACCAGAAATATTTTGCGGCGATGAAGAGCAAGGAAACCCGAGATGGAGAAATCCGGACGTTGCGATTGCAGAATTCAAAGTCGGCCGAAGTGGTGGCTGCGTTGAAAGATTCTGAAGCGGCTAGTCGAGGGCTGTTGTCGACACTGGAGAAACAGCTTTCGGAGCTGAAAGAAGTGTTGAACGCAAAGACCAATGAGCATCGAAATGTTCAGCAACAGAACATGACCCAAGCTCTCGAGGTAACGCGCTTGACGAATCAAGCCAACGAACTCAAATCTCAACTCGCTGTCAAAGACGCCAAGGTGGCTTCGGTATCATCTCTTTGCAGAACGGCTGAAGCAGAAGTGGAGGAAGTCAAATCTCATCTCAAAGACACCAGACGACATTTAGAGCTGTGGAAGAGCAAGTCGGGACAATCGGAGCAGTATGAAGTGCTACGACAGTTTGCGTATTGCAACATCTGCAAGCGAAACTTGAAGAACACAGTCATCAAGACATGCGGTCACACATTCTGCAATGACTGCGTCGAGGAGAGACTGACAAGTCGGTCAAGGAAATGTCCCAATTGTGGAAAGAGTTTTGGCAGCAACGACCACATGCGCATCACCCTTTAGTCGGTATGCACCGTGTGTGGTGGGATGGGAGCTGTTCTGGAATCTCCTCCCTAAACCTCAGTATGTGACCAGCCAAACCTGACACAGATTCTGTACGAATATATCCATTTTCACATCCTCATCGACTCCTGACGTTTCGATCCCCTCAGAAGATGGGCGAGTTGAATCGATCCAACGAGTATACAAAATTCTTCTCTCGGTCGCTAGTCGTTGAGTGATTGCCCGGCCACATCATGTGTGTTGGACGAGGGTCGAGCATTGGATATGACGCCTCGTCTATCATTATGATGTGGGCAGGGATTGCAGCAGCATGGGTCGCAATCCATGCTGACGTATGACCATTGCGGGAGGATACTGAGATGGATGTCAACCGTACAGTAATACGATGCGTCACTCGTCTGCGGCAAGGAATTGACGCGAAGGTGTCCGACCTTCGGAGAACGCATTCCGGCGTCAGGGAGATAAGATAGGTGTGAGATGTACTATAGCACAAAACAACCATTTTGACCGGACCATGCCACTGATGGTAGGTTGACATGTTGCAAAATGTCGACGTGTGGTTTTGTAGATGGTTGAATCATACAGACATGTCCACGTCTCTAGGCTCCTGCTTCACAGAAGGTGTAATGGAGGTCGTTTTCTTCAAGTCAGGAAAACTATCGTCCATCTTATCGTCAGCGTCATCGTCATCAACATCATCTTCTGGAGCGCCAGCATCATCGTCTTGATCATCATCTTCATCGTCCTCATCGCCGTCTTTCTCCTCAAAACCCTCAAGGGGCGGGAAGGCAAGATGTTTCCAATCTTCAATCTCTTCGGTGATGGTCTTCAGACGGTCACGGATGCTCTCGACAGCGTAGTTGCCCAGCAGTAGTCTCAGGGGCGGGTAGCTGCAGTGGCCTAATTGCCAGACCAGCTCGGCTGCTTTGACGCTGCTGACTGGTTGGTTCTCGCCCATCCATTGTAGAGTGCGTTTGGCGTGCGCTGCTGGTGAGTCTTTGGTCGTGTACGGCTCGGATGGTTTTGCGACTTTGAAATGTCCGAAGATGGGTAGTGCTGACGCCTTGCTCGTGCTGTTGTTGGTTTTGGCCTGAGTGGATGTATGGTTGTTGTTGGTGATGGCAGTGGAGTTGCCGGCTGTTAGTGGTTGGATTGGAGTGTCGTCGCGGCGAAGATGGCCTGGTTCCACAAGGGTAGGGCGAATGTTGAAGCCGTCGACTTCGTAGAGCATACTTTCAATCAACCCCTCGACGGCATATTTACTGGCGCAGTAGAGTCCCTGGCCTGGCACGCCCAGACTGCCCGAGGTAGAGCTGAGAATGAGATAGCGGCCGTATTGGCGTCGGCGAAAGTAGGGTAGAGAGAGCTGGATGATATTCAGGGTGCCCATGAAATTGGTCTCGAATTGATTTCGAATTTCAGCCTCGTCTTGGTCTTCGCAGGCACCAATGACGCCGTAGCCAGTAGAATTCGCGATGATGTCGACGCGACCAAAATGAGCAATGGTCTTTTCAATGACTGCCGCGACGGTGGAGCGAATGCGCACGTCGCAGAGCAGTCCAAGATACCGAGAGGGGTCAGGGTGCCAATTTTGCACTGAGGCTTGAGTGTCCACGAGGCATTGACCGACGGCTGTGACATGGTCATTGTGCTGTAAAGCTGCTTTGGTCATGGATCGACCCATATGCCCGGTGGCACCAAAGATGATCCATACTTTTGGTTTGGGAGGGTTGGATGGACTAGGAGGTTTGGTGGTGGCAGGAAGGGAGAGTTGAGAAGTAGAGGTCCAACGGGTGATGGTGTTGGGAGACCGCTCCTCCATGATGATGGAGAATGAGGCGTTGTTTGATGGCGAGATGAAGAAACCAGACAGTCAGGTTCTATCCACTTATTAAGTATTTCTAGCCTACCTTAGGGTGGGCTTGAAGATGTTGGAACACTCGTGTTTTGCTGGAGAGGTGAGGTGAAGTTTAGCAACGGTCCCACGTGACTACCGGAGATGACACCTGCGCTGTTCCAAAGGTAAGGCAGTGGAGAGGTTAACAGTATTGAATACGCGCAATGATGAACTCGTCGTGTATTCAAGAGCCTGGTGAAGGTGACGCGATGGATGGGACGAGAGAGAAATTGATGTACATGTGCAAGATATCTGTCAAGGAGCCAATAGACGATAGGCAATGGGCATGCCTTGGGCCCTCAGCCCCGCCTTCAAGCTGTGTGAAACTTCTACTATAGGCATCTTGGAGGCTGGGAGGCCACCCCTCATAGAGTTACATTAGGCACTCAGTCGGTGCCTAGATGCCTAGAGTAGCCCCTCGGCCCATCAACCTGTCGCCAATGGCTCCCCTCGTCCAAACCCCGAGGCACCTGATCTCACGTCATGTCCCCGCACTGCACCGGAGGAAAAAAAGTTGTGGTCAGCGGCAATGAATCGTCACTGGCTGCGGCATCAATGGCGCCACAGGCGACCAAACACAAAACATCTTCTTCCAACGTGGGTTGTTGCACCTTTTGATTGTTTCACTCATCAGTCGAACAACCTCTTCCTCTTGTCTTTCCTCTTACCCCCCTCTATCTAGTTCGCATTTCATTCTAGTCCTCACGAGGTCTCTGCGCGACAAAAGTTCCACCATAAAAATGAAGGCATATTGGTTTGACAATTTGGAGGTGCGTCATTGTCTCTCTGCGCTGTTCCCGACGTCTTACTCATTATCCACAACAGGGCGATCAACGCGAGAACCATGACTCTGGTCGTGAGATTGACCCAGCCTACCTAGCCAAACTAGGGGTTCTTTATCACCACGCTCCCGAACTCGCGACCGTGGACGGCATTGCCAAAGAGCGAGAATATAAACACCGTGATGAGATTACGGTCAGCCCAGATGCCATGGGTGCTATCTACGAAGACAAAGTCAAGTCATTCTTCCACGAACACTTACACGAAGATGAAGAGATCCGCTACATTCGAGATGGCGCAGGGTACTTTGACGTGCGCAGCGAAGGGGACGACTGGGTGCGAATTCGGTTGGAGAAAGATGATTTGATTATTTTGCCTGCGGGCATTTACCATCGCTTCACAACCGATGAGAAAAATGTAAGTGACATTAAGGCCGACAGGGAAAGAGACACAGATGACTGACTTGACCATTTGCAACAGTATATCAAGGCAATGCGATTGTTCAAGGACGAGCCGAAATGGACTCCGCTGAACCGTGGGCCCGAGACAGATGCCAATCAACATCGCCTACAGTATTTGGACAGGAAACATTGATTTGCTACCAGTCCTGAGGACACGATTATGATGACTTGTTTGCTGGAGCTGATTGGGCATGAGTGACTGCGGGTCTAAGATAGGTATATCAAAAGTCTATGTCTATCTATACCATTGGGCCCTACGAGAATCCATGGGGATTATAAGAATTCCTATTGTAGTACTGGGTAAATGCAGACAACATGAGTATGTAGGAATGATGGTTGTTCTTGGCGCTTACTTGATCTCCTACTCGTGCTGCCTTTGTCGTTCACTGCTGCGATTTCCTAGCCTAGCAGGTCCCTACTTAAAGCAGTATTCCGGGGCTGAGGGGCCAATTTGCACGCCTATCGGCCCAGTTCCCAGGCGGCATCCCTGTTCATTCTCGGTAATCATAGTTGAAGCGCTAAGTACTTAGTAAGGACTGGCTGTGTGTGGTTGACAATCCAGCAGGAGCCCGGGAGGATCGTCAAGACTTCATCATGCTTCATTGCTTCGGGACTAATGCCACCGAGGGGAGTTAGGGCATTTTCCACGTGGGACATGGCTCCAATCTTCCCGCCTACAAGCGTGGTCTATCCCCTGCATCTGACTCTAGGATACGACGACTTCACAACATTTGTGACAATGCACTTCGTGTGGTTGCAGACACAACAATATTATTACCGTATTTGGACCTGCCTACACACCCATATTCGCTGCATCGGTCCAAATCAGATCCGTGAAGGTTCGTTCCAAGATTATACTATCCAGAGTCGCACTCGAGAGTTTCGCAATTCCCTCCCCAGTTTCCTTATTGACTCCAGCATGGGCATGATCCTGTAGTATACTCGTAGTAATGTCGGACTAGTTAGACCAGTGACTCATGCCAACTATTCCAACCTAAGTATGTAGCCTAAACGTTTCTTCATGCGCTGAGAGATTGAGAACTTGGATTCAACTGAGGTAGGTTAGGTACCCAGCCAGATCTACAGTGCTAGATAATAGGCAGGGAACCTACATTTACTTGCACACTGGCTGTCATTGCCCTTGCCAAGGGTAGGCAGGGAGCTTCTCCTCTTTCCCCGGAATCGGACATCGAGGATTGTTCTTGCGATTTTACACGCGTGCCTGCCTTGCCTCCCGCCCTAACCAGGCACCTGCACATCATCGTATTTTTCTCCCCTCCTCCTCATCCACAACCACCAACCATCATCAGCATTTTATTGTTCCTCTTGTTTTCGTCCCGTGTTTCACCTTCACCGCATAGCCTAGCGACCCAGATTCACCCCATGTCATGTGCTCTTCCTATCTAGCCCTACTTTTCCTCGCCTAATATAGAGACCACCCCTCATCTTCTCAATCCCAGAAATCGTCTATACCATACGCAAGCTGCTGACACATCTATCTGGTCTTCTAACGCGACAACACGAGACTTGCGCCGTTATTCCATCTTCACGAACTTAGCTCCCGTAGCCTCTTTCCAGCCTCGAATCTGATATAGGCCCTCGACCTGCGGTTTCGGAACCCGACTTTCCCGCCCAAAACGACTTTCAATTTAACCAAGGACTGTCACCAAATCGGTATTCAACTTCACTCTGCATGATCACAACCCGTCGACACGATGGCTTCGGCCCCTCTGAACTCGCGAAATCGGTCTCATGACGAGTCCAACCTCGGTCTCAAGACCAAATCCCAGGCCCAAAGTCGGTACATGTTTGTGGAATATGCCGCTCCAGCTCCCCCACCCCCACTAGGCACCAAGAGACGCCGTGGTGGACCGAGTGAAGTTCGTGCCCACATCACCAAGGAATTCCATCGTCGTCTACGAGTCAAACGTTTGGGATCTCTGAATCCCCTTCCGCTCAGAGGTGATGATACGTCCGATCCTCCAATGCCACCGCCTCCTACACACAATGATCAAGTCCTTGCCACCGTTTCAACCTCATTACCTGACCGAACTTTGTCGAAGCACTTGAACGTAGAGGAACACCATGAGGAGCATGACGCTGTTCCCCCTGAGAAAGGTAATGCAACGTCTCTTCTGTCTGACGACTCTTCAGACGACCCTCAGAGGATAGGTTCAACCGGTAGACCGCCTCAGGGAGCCATCTCTCCCACCCTTTCAGCAAGTCCCTTGCTCGGAGAGTCCAACGTGGATCCATTCGAGGTTCTGCCATTCAGTACTGCGCCAAGCTTCATTCAGCATGTTCTCAAGCATGGTATGTCTCCACGCAACGCTGTCTATAAAATTGATGATTCTCATCCCCGCACCTTGCTGCTCACTATTCATGCATGACTATATGACTTTTTGGTGTCTAACTTGCTACCCACTTTAGCCGTCGTCCATTCATGGCCTCAAACTGTCCCGGCGCGGAACAACAGTACAGCCAATCCTGTTTCTTCAAAGTGGTTCAGCTTCGCCATGGAATCCCCAATTGCATTCCATAGCCTCGTCTATGCGACTACTCTCCACGTCCTAAACGCCCACAACGGTCAGGAGCTCACCAGCGACGCACCAGTCCTCCGGCTCAGTCACAAAGTCACAACGATCAATTTGATCAAGGAATCTCTAGCCACGCTGACTGGGCCCCCCACTGACGCCCTCCTGATGGCTGTCATCGTCCTTACCATTCATGGCCATCGAGACGACACCGTTTATCTCGACGTCCACCCCCAAAGCCCTCTTGCAAAAGCCCAGTTTCTCAATGTCTACGGGAATATGATTCATGACGAGGCTCACTTCAAGTGGATCGTGTATTTGATCGCGCACAAAGGTGGCTTGGATGCCATCGAACTATATGGTTTCGCCGATATTGTGGCGCTGTAAGTCTGCGCCTACCATCCTGCGATATGCCTTGGCTAGAAGCAACGGATCCTAGCCCAGGTCTCTCCATTGCAGATGATGTAAGCTAATTCGTAATGCAGGTGTGACATTTACTTTGCGTCGAAATATGTGTGCCCGGCCGTCTTCCCACTCCGCAGACCGCCAATCAATCTGGTCGATAGTGGCAAGCACATCCATGATTCCCTCAGTATCGAACTCGATGCTCGACTCGGCAATGGCTTCAAGTTCTTGCACGCAATTCCTGGAGGAAACTTGCTCATCCCTATCCTCGAAGCTTTCTGTCAAGTCACCGTCGCACTGGACCATTACTCGCGAGGAGGACCTACTGCCCCAGACATGGTCGACTTGGTGGAAGCTCGGAATTCAGCACAACACCAACTATTGAGTCAAATGCCCCCTCCAGACGTAGAGACATCAGATGGACCCGGCGCCATTATCCAGGCATGTCGACTTGCTACCCTTGTCTTCAGTGACATGGTCATTTTCCCCGTCCCTCCCATGCAAGGCGTCAAACCTCGACTCGCCTCCATGCTGAAAAAGGCGCTCGAGGGATGTGCTGCCTCCCGCAATGGTTCTTCCTATGCATATATGTTATTATGGGCAACCAGCCTCGGCGCCATCTCGGCTAGCTTCACTCCGGATCGACCATGGTATGTCGAGCAGCTGTCACAGCAGGTACTGCTCCTAGGTATCGACCAGTGGTCATCGATGGAATTCGCTTTGTCCAAATTTCTCTGGTGGTCGCCAGTGTGCAACGAGCCGGGGGAGAAACTATGGCGTGAAGTATGTTCTTCGCTGTGAGCAAGACGAATCGTGAGAAGGGGGAGACTATCTCGATTCTCCCATCGTCCAGGATCAGTCGTAAGACGCTGGCGAGGGTATCTCTTCACGCAGGGAGAGCTCCAGGCATGGCCATCATAGGCTGGGGTGTTGGAGGATCCTCTTCCGTAACGATGGCCTGGCTGTTGGAACGAACATGCCCGTTGCGGAACCTAAGACCTTGGAACAGACGTTCAGTCTCTTCTTGGCTGGGGAAGTTGTCGTCCGGGCGGGTCTCCCTCTTCTCGGGGAAGGAAGTAGCCCGATGTTCGTCCTGGGTGGGGGGACGCTCGTCTTCTTGGCCCTCGCGAACCCTGACCTTTCCCATGCGAGGCCACATTCCTGGCAAGGGTACGACCTGGACACGTGGTTCAACGACTCTCTCCTCGAACCAAGCTTGAGCGCGAGCTTCGACAAGTTGGGCAATCTTGGGCACATCTTGCAACCGAGTTCGAGAGCCAATCAAGCTCCGAACAGAAAGATCGAGGCGGTAGTCGGGAAGAAAGGAAAAGGCGAGGTTAGTCTTTGGTTTGCTGGTAGCAGAACCTTGTTTGTCCGAGGTGTCAGGGTCATCTTGGGTGGCTGGCACAAAGCTGATGGACAAGGTGCCTGAGAATCTGACAACAGAAACAGCCAAAGCAACAGGCAGGACAGCGGAAAATGGTTTGGGGTAATTGAGAATCAGAGCAGTTTCGATAGCCAGGGTCAGATTGTCATCGGACAAGTCGACATCCATCAGGGCTTGTAATCTTCCACCGGTGCCTGAAGGGCCACTGGAGGCATCGTCTTCCATAGCAATGACTCGGACGTTGCTAAAGATGGGGAATTCTTCGCCCATTGAAATTTCTGTAATCTTGATCTGATCGATGAACGAAGGGCGTTTGTCGGGGTTGTTCATGGCCGCCTCCAAACTGGCGAGGATCATGGGTGCGCCTCCACTAGATGCATCACGCAGATTGTATGCTGTCTGTCGATACTGTGCTATGGCCTGAGCCGTGAGCACATTAAACCAATCGAGACTTTCCGGCTGATGAGTCGAATGGGGTTTATTGTGATGTGAGTGATGATTATGGTTGTGCTCGTTGTGGTGTTGTTGTTGATGATGATGATGATGTTGACTCTGTGCGCCGACACCTCCAGCCGAATTCTTCCCCCCAAATCCCGCGCCATTAGTTGTATGACTACTCGCCCCCTGCGGCGACCCAAACCGACTCACACTCGGAATCTGATAATATGTCTTCCTCAGAATCGAATCAATATCCGTCGCCGTGGTCGGCACCGGTCTCAACACGTTAGTGGAACTAGCCTTATTTCGCAACGACTGCTGTTGCGCCGACGTCCGCGAACTCGCTAGACTGTGTAGTGAAGGTGATCGGATATGTTGCGGATTGGGGAATTTGGATCGGTGTGTGGATTGAGAACGAGAGTGAAAATGCGATTGGGATTGAGATGATGATGGCTTGTTTCGAATGGGTGGTGCTTCTCCGAATATAAAGAATTTGATGAATGCTCCAATTAATAAAACCACGGAGAGTTGCCCGAGCAGGAGGCCTTGAGTGAATGTGAGTGTTGTGGACATGGTGTGATGCGTGATATGGTATATGTTATATGAGGGGAGCGGGAGGGAGGGAGGGGTGTGCTCGCGAGCGCGTATGGAGCTACCAGTGTCGTGCGATACAGCGAGGGAAGAAGAGGGAGAAGGAGGCAAAAGGTTCAGGTGCTTGTTTATGATATTTTCGCTCGAGGCAATATTTCAGGGTCGTGTTGAATCCATTCCTCCGCAGTGGTGGTCTGGTTGTAGTTGTACCATGGATGTAAATGATTCCCTCCTCTTGAAGTCGTTGTGTTGCGTGATGCGGTCCAAAGGATTGTCCTTGCTCTACCTCGACCCTTGAGTGGGTGTTCTCACCAGGTAAAGAGATATGGTGGGGTATAATATGGCGGTGTCAGGTGTCGTGTCGTCGCGGTGGATGAGCTGCGGTTCCTCGGTCGTGGGTCAACGGGAACTCAATGTCAATTAACGTCAATGTCCTCCTTCCTCTCGGGCACACACAAAACTTTCATAGCACAGCGCACCACAGCACAGACGTCATTTCATTTCCCCCCGTATTTGTTTGGTCTGTTTGCAGTTTAGTTTAGTGCACCTGACTTAACCGAGAACGAGCTTGCAGGTTTGCCGACATTAGTCTGTACTAAGTCTTTACATCTTCTGCCTTGGCTTAGGGACCTCATCTAGGTATGTTGTCTCTACAATATGGTAGATCGAATGTTCTAATTATCCTGGTACATGTTGGTATGGGACGCAGATTCAATAGAAAAATACTATGTACTGGATGTTCATTCTGAGAAGATACCGCCATCATCGAATCACCTTTCTGAGCCCTTTGCCCGCCCACCCATCCATCCATTCATCAGCCCTTTCTCGTCAACTATGTCTGGTCGTGAGGCGTATTGAACAACCTATCTTTGATTTTTTCGAGTTTTGATTTCTGAGGCTGCTCGTCGTCACCTTTGTCCTCGCCATATGCCTTGGATGAATCTGTTCCGGATCTCTGAGATCCTAATCCTCTCCCTTCCCCTTCAACCACCTCGTCCCTCCCCATTCCACGATCTGGAGCTCCCGATCCAATTTCGTCAGTGTATGCTGTTTGATCACGTCCTCCCTTTCCCATACCATCCTCATTCGGCCTCGTGTCTGGACCTCCGGCGTCCAGGCCTTCTTCTCTAGTGGATCTTCCTACATCTCGACCACCAGTGCCCATTCCCTCCTCGCCCATGCTGCCACCATAATCTCGTCCCCCAGCTCCCATTCCTTCTTCACTGGAGACGCCTAGATCTGCTCGACCACTTCCCATGCCGTCTTCAAAGGTTCCTCGATCAGCCATGTTTGGATTGGATATGGTTTTCGATGAGATGGGCAGTTGCGATCTTTACCCAGATATGCTGTTTTTGGTCTGTAGGTATCGTTCTGTTGATTGATCTCTGGACAGGTGTGAGATGCAATAGAAGGATATCAACGAGAGACCTATTGTGAGGAGTACTGACATCCCATTCATGGTTATATAGAAACCTTCGAATCCCCCCATCAAAACACACAAACGTCATTGCCGGACCACCGGCGGTCGAGATGCAGGGATTCCCCGCGATTTTACATGCAACAACCCTCCAATGTTGTGGTCAAGGTCAAATAAACGCAACCTTCAAGACTCGTAAAATGACTTTCTCCGCAACCTTGACATTGTCATAGGTGAGTTCTGGTCCAGTGCCAGACTAATTAGGTGGAGAAGGATATCTCTACCATTCTGGCGATCAGTTGATATGCATGTTCGCCAGACGGTAACCCACTGTGAATGTTTGATTATTAGGTGTCTATATGCACAGCCTTGTCATTTTGGACCTATAACCAATCAATTATATCCAGTAAAGGTCGTTACTGGTGTCTAAGATGGTCTAAATTGACCCAAATCAGGCATAGTGCCCGCATCCTATCCCCCGATCGCAGCCTTGCCCTTTTTCCTTGTTCATGAGCTAGGTACCAACAGTCCACACAATGTGGCACGGAAAGATATAGGCACTTTGGTCAATGGAAGATACATAAGATGATGCATGGTTTCTCGACCAAGATCCTAACTCTAATCATCAGACGCCCAATGACCAACGTGGAATGTCTCGCCTTGGTCGAAACTACCATCTTGCCTCACTCTCTTATTACCTCTTACCAACCAAGTAAATCTCAGCTGATGCTCATTTGGCTCCAATTTTGGGTCCAAGTCTTGGCCCAGATAATTACAGCTATAAAGAAACTTGTGAACACTTTTGTCTAATGGCGAGGTCGAGTCAGCCAGCCAGTCGTCTTTCTGATCACTTCCAATCCACATCTGACAATCTTCGGGCTCCCTATCCGCCACCAGACGAGTCCCATCAGGAACAACCAAGCATTTCAATATGAAGCGATGGTCCTCAAAGTCAGGCGTCGCTTCTCGGCGCCAGAAGAAGTGTACCAAGCTACTGCCCAAGCACGCGATCTCGATCTTACCATCAGATCCTGGCAAGTTTATGGACCCAGCGTCTCGAGTGTCTATCCACGACTCGGGACCACCAAGAACAATGTACGCCTCTTCCAGGACTGAAAATGTTACAATGCAACCCGTACCGGGCGTGACGCTAATTTTCATTTCGCTGCACAGTCCTGGATCGAACATTTGTATTCCCTCATGCGCTAAAAACACATTGGCGTTCGCCGTCCAAGGTAGACGACACATAGAAGGGCCCAATATGCTTTTGTCGACGTCAGGACGTATCTCGTTGGTCGACTGGTCGACATATCTCCCATGTGGTGGGGGTAGTGGGTCCATGTTTTTTCAACGTACTGGAATGTTGTTCTAAGTTGTAATAGAACACCTAAGTCTCAGTGTTTCAACTTTCACTCTAATATATATTTATTGGCTGGTTTAGTAAGGAGAGATGGATTGGAAAGAGCAATAAATATCTCGAGTTGGTAGAAAGTCATGGATGAAGTAGTTTGATCATTATAGGAGAAACCTCTGACGAAGGCGTTAAAGGTGACTGTCATGTCAACGACCACAATACTCATCCGTATCAGCCGTTGGAAAATCCATCCATTCGACGAAAACACTGTTTGGTTGCATCACGCTGATTACACTTGCAAGAACTCGAAATTCCTCTGGCTCACTCACTGTAAGAGTTAACCTCCTTTGAGCTGTTTACCTTTTTGCAGCTGTCGTGAGGCAATCTATGGAGATCGTGTCAATTGCCATCGACGAAACTGTTAGAATCTCACAGGTTGACTATGTCAAATGGCTATCCACAGTGTGAAGGCAGACACGGTGGCTCAATCTCAACCTCTTGTTTTCAGAGAAGATACCGCGAACCTGATCAGGAGTAGCACGTGCTGTGCGCTTAAGGTTGTTACGTTTCAAAAGAATGATGCTTTACTGCTTTTCCATAACAGACGACCCACAGTTAGTCTCGTAGATTTCTATTATTTATTCATTCGACTAAAGTACCTATCTAGGTACCTATCTGATACACAGAAAGGAGACAACTGTCATTGGCTGAGATCAGTCAACCCAAGGCTGTGTAGATTCAGGGGTATGTGGGTCTTGGATTTAAGAGGATCTTCAGTGCAGAATCAATAGAGATAATCACTCTAATCTAACTCCCACCCCAGGCATCACATCTCTCCAAAACTGATACTTTGTACAGTTTTGATTATCCCTCAAGACCCCCTGAAGGTACACTAATAATACATGTCCCGAAATCCAACCCATAAATCACCACAACAATGGATCAGTGAAAATCTCATCTGCTTCAGACAAAAGAATGTCCAAAGTCTCGCCCTTGGCGACAAGGTTTCCCCACTCGTCATATACATTACTACAATCCACATACGACGAACCAGAGTTATCGCGATTATACACCGAAAAGCGATTGCGTCCACGCGGATAACCATCTTTTGTAGGTAAGTGACGCTCTGGATCATCTTCGTAGGACCACAAGGGAGGGGGTCTGGTCGACACGCGCTCATCAGCGAGAACGGTATGTCCAATCCACATACGGACATCACGATCACCGGGCTTCCCATGTGTAAAGAAACGGTAATCGTCGTTGACAACCATACACTTCAACTTGACGGCGAGAGGGAATTCGCGACCTTCTTTGTCGACCACAGGGATGCGGAATGGCATGTATGACGTTCCGAAACAGAGGAAACTGCGCAGCATGGGGACCGGATCCTCGCGTCTGTCCGGGTTATAGTCATAGCGTGGAACCGTGACCATGATTTCCAATCCTCTGCGCTTGGCTTCTTCCACCGGTGTGGCTTTATCCGTGAACATGTCGACACGTAGTCTCTCCCCTCGTTGTCGGTACGCTTCTTCCAACAAGTCGATTCGCACAATACATCCTCGTCCGGGGGACATACATATCTTCTGTGCCTGTCCCGACACACCGCCCGGCATCTTCACATCTTCCAGATATACTTCGTGGTTCCACCCGGGAAGCATATCATTCTCCGACTTGGGTCCAAAGAACTTGACGTCGATCACTTCTTCCGATTCATCCACAAAATGGTTTTTCTTTTCCACGGCAGGTCGGACATCCCAACGGCTCTTGTATGGCTTTGTTGATGATGATGATGATGAGGACTCGGCCTGCATGTCCTCGGGCGGGATTTCTCCCTCTTTCCCTTTCCCTTTCCCTTTCCCTTTGCCTTGAACCTCCTCAAGCATTTGAGCTGCCGGCCCGCCCATGCCGGCATCGTCAATCCCTAATCCTCTCAGATGATCTGGGTTGAGACCCGAGTTTCGTCTTTGTCTTCTGGAGCTAGATGACCTGCGTTGCTCCTCCATCATTCTCTGATACTGGTGTCCACCAACCATTGTGTGGGTACCGGCGCGGTGGGTGAAGGCGCTCCGCGCTTTTGATTATCGGACGCGTTTCTTTTTGGGAAAGGCAATCTTTGGTCTTGTGTGATGTATCAGACAAGCAAGCTTCGGGTCTTGCACACTGTTACACAGATTGGTTCTTTGTTCAAGATTAGAGAAGTTTGTGTAAGGGAGAAAAAAAAGGAGGTTGCAAAATCGCCTTGTAGGGCAAGAGGTTATATACATCTTGTTCGAGTCAATCATATCGTCGTTGACTATGGTGTAAACAGATGGACAGCCTGTATGACTTGATCAAGTGGATGATTGACTGTCGGTGGACTCAGACTCTTTAAAAGTCATTTTGGTGGTCGTCATTAACGCAACAGTCACGATAAAAGGGTGATCCGATCTGCTTTCCAAACGAAAACGAAACTGAACTTGTTATGTATATGCGATTATGTACTGATATTGATGGTGAAGCCCAAGGCTGGGCGAGACATGCAAAGATCCGCTGTACTATGACAATGGGTTTAGGGCTTTGAGTTTCTCGGTAGATAGGTTCATACGAGCTCTCTAGGACTTATTGGCGGGATATATACTGGATCCAGCATGGCGAGGATGGTATATCAATTATCAGTGCAAGGAGATTCACAGAACAGACAACTCAGGCAGACGGTCATATACAATTATATTGCTGGATGATTGTAGAGACAACGACGGTATAATTCTATCTCTACCAAACCATCCAAAGGTATTCCCCCTCCCCTTTTACCTACCAGAATAATGACCTGGCCTAATCGTCTCCGTTGAATCATCACTATCATCACTGTCCTCATCCTCATCGCCATCACTGTATTCATCATCAGTGTCCTCATCCCCCTCAAATCCCCATATCCCTCCCCTCGCATGAATCGACGCATTCTCGCTGAGCACTTCATCCGGACACCCCCTAATCCTATAGTACGGACCAAGATGCGGTACCACGTCGCCATTCTCTTCCCTCCTATGATCACACTGGACCAACCAATCCGTACTAGAAACCTGCGTAATCCCATTCCCCGGCATGCCCGTCGGCGGAAAGTCACCACATCCGATCCACATAACAACCCCGTCTTTCGCAGAAGTCGGTCCCGGAAGAATAGAGCAGTTCTCTGCCGTGACTAGACACGGGAGATTGAGACGGAATAAAAATGGCTGTTTGTCGTTGGAACGACGGGATTTCAGTAGGAAAGGAATCTTGGATTTTGCCGCGATTTCAATGGTATGTTGTTTGCCCCAGGAGTCGTGGATCATGATGTTGATGTGCACATCTGGGTTCAAGGGGTCGATGGGTTCGATGTTTAGATTGTGGGTGTTGTTTTGGTACGCGAATTGGAGGAATTCGCGGGTTACAATGCAGCCTTTGCCCAGGGAGATGCAGGCACCGAGGTACGGGAAGAGGTCTTTGGCGTTGGGTTCGTCGTGGATTGGGAATACTTGCATATTGCACATTGGGAGTTGTGGGTTGATTGGTCCTGCGAGGAGAGTGTCGATGAATTCGAGTTCGGAGCCCGGTGAGCCGACCATGAAGGTTTCCTCTAACGGTGGGAGAGCCTCGGTACCCTCTGCTCCCTGGTCGGTCTTTGATGTTGACGAAGGCATGTCTTTGTGTGGATGATGGAGGAGAAGAATCCCCCCCTTGAAAAGCCTTGAAGAGTTGAAACCTGTGGACAAACCACTATCTCAGAATGCCAGTATTGGGTCTTTGCTAGTAGATCGGCTGTTTCCTGGCAGAGAACAAATATCGAGCGCCATGCGAGAAAATATGGCATGGGAGAGTTGATATTTATACCATTTTCAGAAACGAAAAGTTGCAAACCCTGACCTGGGCGGAGTTGGTGAGTCTTGTCTTGATATGGCGTGTCAGAAGACTTGGATATGAAGCTTCGCACTCAAGTGACCGAGTGAACTCATCTGAATAGCTAAACATATGTCGGTCATGGCCTGTTGGAAAGCTATGACAGTATAAGAGTGACAGGATAGTGGAGCCTAGCTTTGACTGCACCTAATCTGTCGTGTAATGAACAGAAAGGACTGTGCAAACACTGCCAGGTGTGAAGGAGAATGTATCACGTAGCTGGTGTTGGGTTGGACTGACATTGTTTGCGGAACCTTGGTCTGAATGTGTGACAATGAGTTTTGATCTCAAGTCCATTTATGGGATTAATTTGCCCGGGTGACCATATTTCGGTGAGCGGTCTTCAAAGAGACTGAGAACGTCGGTGCTGGTAATTTCGTTAATTCATCATTGCCGCGGCGAAGGATTGCTGGGAAATATCTGCCTGTGTTGTAAAGGATAGCTGACTGAAGTCCTGGTTCATGGGCATCTGTGGACGCACAGTGGCATTGTTGAGAGTATGAAATAGCAACAGTGAGCTCACGAGAGAACATCAAGTCGCAGATCTGGTATGTGACATGTTTTGAAGAATAAATATTAGGTATCATTCGTTATTTTCGGTCAAGAGAGCCGAACAGAGGCGGCTGCTCCATCAGCTTTCTACAATTTGTTCTCAGAGCCCGACCACTCTGTCTTGACGGAGAGAAAACTGTCATCGCCATCAAATTTCCATCAGAGAGAATTGCATTGGCTCAATCAACATCGGCATGTAAAACATCATCATCATGACGAGGCCGAACCAGTGCGGGTATATCGGTTTTCGACATCCTTTCTTGACAGGCCAAGCTGTGACTTGGGCAGACCCATCGACTCGAGGAATGCCACACTTTCAGTCCATTCCAGATTCTTCCTTTTCATATCCCATTTCAGTTCCTCGGCCATGAGGTCAATCACGGCCGGTAAAGCTTCCAAAGCAGCTTGTGCATTGAGGAATGCTAACCTTGTCCGTCGAGCGAGTACATCGACTGCCCGCTGAGCAAACTCATGTCGCACAGCATACCGAACCTCACCATCGATGAAGGGGTATAATTGAGAAATTCTTTTGCCTCGAAGGGGAAATCGTACGTTGGTAGGACTCGATAAAGCGGCAACGGTCCATGCTCGATCGCCATATGCTTCTGATAAATGTTTGGCAACTTCGGTTTCGATGCCGAAATGCTGTATTAGGTTGATGAACAGAGTTTTGGAATAGCCATGAGCCCCTGCCAGTCGAACTTGGTGGGTCTGACACGTACCGCCCAGAGGAGCAGCATCGTCAATTGCTTCTGTCCCACTGACTCGTGTGGGAGAAGTGATGGGTTGAGTTTGGAGTTTGAATTGGGTGATGGCTTCATCGACGGCATCTTCGGCCATCTGGCGATATGTCGTCCATTTACCACCAGCACAGGTGAGTAGACCAGAGTCTGATACAGTGACAAGATGATTGCGCACCAGCGACTCGGTATTTTTCGCCTTGGGATCCTTGACTAGAGGGCGAATGCCGGACCAAGCGGCCAGGACATCCTTGCGTCTAACATTGATGTCTGGAGACAGATAATGTTTGATCTCATTCAAGATCCAGTCAATTTCATCCTCTCCCGCAACAGGTTCGCGACTAATGTCGCATGGCGCATCAGTTGTCCCAGCAATAGTATTTCCTTGCCATGGTAGGAAGAAAATGACTCTTCCATCTGATGTGGCAGGGTCGATCAGACCCATGGAATTCTTCTGGGGGCTGTAATAGCCTGGAAGGACGATGTGGACGCCAGAACTTGGGGCGACAATCTCCTGGACGGTGTGATCGTCCATTTTCCGGATGGAATCACAGAATGGACCGGTGGCATTGATGATGCCTCTAGCCCTGATCTTGATGGGAGGTGCGGGAGACCCATTTTTCTCCGCGATGACATCCTTGACAACGGCTCCATTGAGCTTTCCCTCACGATCTTTGGTCAAGCTCGTCACCTCGAGATGGTTGACAACGGTGGCGCCATAAAGTGCTGCGGTGGTGGCGATGGAGATATTCATGCGACTGTCATTATGAGCACCGTCGTAGTATACCAACGCTCCAACGAGATTATCCTTCCTCAGCATAGGAAAAGCATCTAATGCTTTGCTTTTCGTTAGGAAGTAACTCGTCTCGATGCCCTCGCTGCCAGCCAGGAAATCATAGAATTTGGTCCCAGCCCAGAAATAAGGAGCCTGCCACCATTTCTGGATAGGGATCATGATGGGTAACCAGGAGGATAAGTGAGGTGCTGTGTCAAGGAAGTATTTTCTTTCTCTTAGGGCTTCTCGAACCAGCGAGTATTGGTTGTAGTCGAGTTCCCAAACGGCTTTCTCGAGGTAGCGAACTCCACCATGGACAAGTTTTGTGCTTTTACTACTTGTTCCAGCAGCAAAGTCATCGCGCTCGACCAAGGCGACTTTCAAACCGCGAGTGGCAGCGTCAAGAGCGATACCAGAGCCTGTTGCACCCCCTCCAATGACAAGGAGGTCATATTGATCATCTGAAGAGTCGTCTGTCTCTGCAGATATGTCTGCCACGCTCCATCCACCTTTTAATCTTGCAAAACCATTCTGAAGTTTCTGCCTGACAGATGTTTCCGTTGGTGTTTTATTCTGAGATGCACCACTCCTGGCAAGCTCTGCTATCTGTTCGGCGCGTGATCTTATTACGGGGAATTCTGGAATGAGAAATGATCCGTCTGCGGCTCGAGGAACGGGGACAATGGCACCCTGTGACCCAGGGACGTTGATGGGACGATATGAGACATAAATGACCACCCCACCGAGTCCAGCCAGAGCACCAGCGGAGTATAGCAAAGGTTTGAGAAATCGGCGGCCGGAGGATGGTAACACTCGACTAGCGAGGGGTGCCATTTTAGGAAGAACGAGTCGTGTCGTTTCGAGGGAGTGGGTTCGAGGGACAAAGTAAGTCTAGGAGCAGGTGAGTTTGGTCGAAACTGCCTCTATGCCGACGCTCTTGGTGTCGTGGTTCTCATTGCGATCAGCATGAACCACGTGCCAATTGCAGGATTGTTGGCAACGAGGCCCAGTATGTATTTTGAGACAACGGAAACGGGAATTGTCGAACTTGTCGTGGTTCAATGGGAGGCTTTTACAATCCACCTTTTGCACCATGTAACCAAGGCGAGTCTGGGATAGAGACAGACAACCAACAAGACGACTCGGAGAGTGACGTAAAAGTTGGAAGAGGGACAATGACACGTCCGAGAGGCCTGCTCTTGGTCACCAGGGCCAGAAAAGATATAAATATTAGGCACAGAAAGATATTGTAATGGCACCGGGGATGAAGATCGACGGTGTTGGCCAGATCCCAATACAGAACGATAGATGATAACTTGGGGGTCAAGACTGGGGACCGTTCGGGGAGGTTGGGGGGAGGTGAGAGGAGATGAGGAGTAGTGAGGGTGAGTGTAACGTGTCGAGAGTGAGGGCGGGCACTGAGGTAACGGAAGTTATGGAGAGAGCGAGGGCGAGAGCGAGAGATGGAGAGGTCTGTGGTTAGGAGTTGTCAAGGTCACGAAGGTCTAGCGAACGAGGGTGAGGACAGGACGAAGGCGGGCGCGGGAGACGGCGGCGTCATACTTTTGTGTTTGGCGACTCACGACCGAGTTGGAAGGGGAATTTGATGCATGTCGGCGATGGAAAGACCGAAAATATGGATACAAGCATGGGGATAGTGCGCTGATTGCCGATTATGATTGGCCAGATGTTGACCACCTTTTCTTGGCCGAGGATGTGATCATGTGATTTCTATCTTCCCCTTGGTTTTCCCTTTCTGCACATGCAAGCAGCAAATTGATAGTCGAATCAGTCGAGTCCGTTAGTCAGCTCGTCAGAAGCAACGATGGTTCGATGATACGGAGTACGGACTAGATGAGATCAAATAAGAATCGAGGTCGCACAGCTGCTCCTTCTTCATGATCCTCGGATTTGCATCTTTAGGAGGGATTTGGAGGGATTTGTCGGTGCCCAATTTGTTCATCACCTGACTCCATCTCGATAAATTCGGAATAACATGTGAAAGCAACTCACACACGTGCAAGTAGCAACTCTTTCAACCCACAACACAAGGCAATTTTCATTCTTCGGTTCATATACAATTCAACGCTCTCAAGCATGTGCTGTGTCATGTGCTCAATGGGTATTTTCAATAGCATAACTTTTAGCCCATTCCCTCGAGCGAGCTATGCATTTTGCTATTTTCCTGTTTTCCTGTGCCTTTTTGATGCATATGTCCTTGATCGTCCAACACATACTCCGTAGTTGTTCCAAGTCTTGTCGTGGCTACAAAGGGTTCATCATGAGGTTGAGACCATTACGCATGTCCATTGACGTTGCCGTCAACCTCAGCTGCCTTTTGTTCCAATGCCTCAATGTCAATCTTTTGTGCCACCACGCTCCCCATATTCGGCTCATTGTTGAAGTTGGAAGGAGTATGTACATTCCTCAACGGGCTGATAGGGCTGTCGCTGCCATTCAAATTTAATCGTTCCAAAGCCTCAAGCTCAGCCTCGGAAAATTGACGGAGATGTTTTGGTCGGAACGGTGTCGGCGTTGAAACTCGTGATGTCAGGAACTAAAGACAAACATTAGCCTTATTATTCTCGACCCCTTCCTTATTCGTGTCCACTTACCGAGCTAGCCGCACTCAAGAGCGCAATCAAAGATGCCTGGACCACATCCTCATGGATACCAACACCCCAGACCTTCTCGTGAGAGTTGCTCGCCGTACATTCTATGTAGGTTGCAGCTTTGACTTCTCGGCCTTCACCAATGGCATGCTCTTTGTAGTCCGCGACATCAAGGTCGATTCCCAATGAATGCAAAGCATTGGCCAAAGACGAGATGGCTCCATTGCCTACACCGACGATAGGGTGTTGGACTCCATCAATGGCAATGACACCTGCAAACTGTCGCTTGGCGGTCGACGTGTTTTGAGCTTGCGTCGTGGTCGATGGTTGAGGTGCCGCCGCGGTTTTCGATGCTGGGGTCGGAGACGCCGTCCGCACCGCAGTGATGTTGTAGTCCACAAGGGTGAACCGGGGGTTCTTCTTCAGATGATAAGACTCCTCAAACAGAGCTTGAATCTCCCGAGGAAGCAACTCTCGACCTTTGGAGTCGGCTTCCTTTTGTACAATTTTGCTGAATGCAATTTGGAGGCCACGAGGGAGGTCCAGCTCGAGACTTCTCTGAATAACCCATGCAACTCCACCTTTGCCAGATTGCGAATTGACCCGAATGATGGCTTCATATGTCCGCCCAATATCTTGGGGATCAAGGGGCAAGTATGGCACCTGCCAAGGATCCTCTCTCCCAATCTTGTTCGTCTTTCTCACGTTAAAACCTTTCTTGATCGCATCTTGATGTGATCCGCTGAAAGCACAAACCACCAATTGGCCACCGTATGGCCATCTCTCGTTGACGGGAATCTTGGTCGACTCTTCGCAAACCCGAATGACCTTGTTGATGTCGCTGAAGTCGATGTTGGGCCAAACACCTTGGGTGTAGAGATTCAATGCCAACGTTACCAAATCCACATTCCCAGTTCTCTCGCCATTACCGAACAGGGTTCCTTCCACCCGGTCTGCACCGGCCATTTGTGCCAACTCAGCGGCCGCAACTGCACAGCCCCGATCGTTGTGTGGATGGACCGAGACACAGAACTTCTCCCGTTCCGTCATATGTGTGCAAAAGTACTCCACTTGGTCGGCAAACACATTGGGAGTGGCCATCTCGACCGTCGCAGGTAAATTAAAAATCAGCTTCGAATCTTCGGTCGGCTCCCACGCAGCTTTGACCGCTTCGCAAACCCGCACAGCATATTCCGGAGATGTGTCGGAGAAGGTCTCGGGGCTAAACTCATACAACCACTCGGTGCCCGCTTGGCTCGGGTCGTCTTTGGTAATTGAACGGGCAAATTTTGTACACTTGACCGCGAGTTCGAGGGTCTCCTCTTCAGACATGCCGAAGACGATTTTTCGGAAGCAATCGCTCGTGGCGAGGTAGAGATGTAGGATGGCCTTTTTGGCGCCTCGGAGGGACTCAACAGTGCGACGGATGAAGTCTTCTCGACACGGCGATAGGACTTGGAGGTATACATCGTCCGGAACCACCCCAGGGGTGTCAACTAAGCCTCGTGTAAAGTCGTAGTCTGTCTGCGAGGCCGAGGGAAAAGAGACTTCGATTTCCTTGTAGCCCAACTCGACCAGCATCTTAAAGAAGCGGAGTTTTTGTTCTCCGTCCTACGTTTGAGGTCAGAAACAGATCCTGTTATGACAAACAATGTTGGGGTTGTACCATAGGGTCAACCAAAGACTGGTTTCCATCTCTTAGATCGGTTGCGAGCCATCGTGGAGGGGTATCGTTGGTTTTGGATGGCCACTGTCGGTTGGGCAGGTCAAGCGGTTTAAATTTGCGGTATTTCTTCCATGGTTCCCGAAGCCTGCACAATGACACTCGTGTTAGAATGGCTGAGTAGCAAGTAAGACATTAAATCAGGCGGTGCACTCACATGGGCATATTGGCGTTGGAGAGACGAGCGGTGGGCCGGAGAGAGAGGCCAAGCAGCGGATGGATAGTTCTGTTTTGAGTAGTGGTTTGAGAGGAAAGTGAAGAGTCGGCTGTATCAGAAAATGAAATCAGAGGTTCAAGATGACTTCTTAAAGTAAATAAGAAGTCTGGTCGACCAAAAGAACAATATGAGTCAAACTTCTCAGATGTAGGTCAGGTCACTTGTTGGAGAGAGGAATGGCAAATTCTTGAAAGGTGGGGGGCTGACGGCAAAGTAGCGACAACTTTGTAGAAGCCTCATTGGCTGTGGGTACAGTAATTGACGCTAACGGCTTTGGCATTTGAGGGGTGGCCGCTAGAAGGCCATGCGGACGTTTTCCCATTGGATACTGTCGAAGCCTTAGTAGAGGAGTAGCCTCCCCGGTATATTTGACCAACCAGAGCCAGTCTTTCCGCCCTGCGGTTCTCTTCTAACGTGATTTTATTAAAGGTGCGATGCCTCAGGTTCAAATCTCAAGTCAACCTCCACGCCTCAACAGGGATGCATACCAACTTCCTATATTGTGTATATGAACACTGCGCCAATTTAATAAGAGATTAGAATACTTTCATGTTTTCATCGACCCATTCAGAACACGCGCCCACTCTGCACCAACATTTTTCTCATCAACGTCAACAACAATGCCGTGGATAACCGAGCCACCCGCTATTCCCACCGAGCTGGCTTCATCCTATATGATTCATTCATCTAGTTCTGTTCCAGGTCGCGGTAGAGCATATGGTCACTTTGATTCGCTATCGAAACATCATGTTGATACATCACACCCATCCTGAGGGTTCTCCCCTGAGCCTTTGCGTCCTATACAGCTGATCCATACATCATAACTCAGTCATGTACTCTCCTCATTGAAACTTGCTGACCATTTGCCTGTCTCCATCATTTCAAAATTGATACACCTCCGTCCGTAGGAGTACCTTTGGAATCCTTCCCAAGGCTTCCTCTATCCGATGAAGACGACGCAACCCTAGCAATGCCTCTCCCTTCATCACCCAATCCTCGGCCTGGGGACGTCGAGCTGCGCTTTCTCTTCGACACACTCGAATAAGAGCGACTTCGAACGGAACCAGCATAAGTTTCGTTTGCCGCATAGTTAGCTGCCTTATGCGGGTCTAGTTGTCGCTGCACATGATTCGCACCATCACTTGTATTTTGTTCCAGATTCGGTGGTATGTCTGTTGGACTGTGCCCGGCTGTCGGATCTGCGCAACTCTCTTCATTCCCTGCTCGATTTTCCATGTTACTTGTTCCATGACTCGAGCCTCGCGACGTTGTCTCGAGCATCCCCAGGCTATCTCTAATCCGGCCAATTGGCAACTGTGAGTGCGTCGCAACTCCAGTTGACCGGGGTGAATTGGTCGGCGCATGGATCCCGTGTCCAGGAGTATTCTCAGCCCAGAGTTCCTTCATCAATCGGGCCTGTTGAGCTGGACTTAGTATTTGCACAATCTCTCGGGGGTTGGCTTGCATCATGTGTTTAACGAAGTCATCGCGTGGGTAATCAACCCCAGACATGGATGTATGCGATCGGCTGTGCTCAGCTCGACCAGTGCCATAGTCTGGCATTGATATATCTTGGCTGCTGCGCCTTAGTCCAGCCTTCAATACTCTCGTTGCAATGGGCTGCGGCCCAGTGAAGGGGTCGTCGCTAGCCAATGTCTGGAGTCTTGAGAACTCGGCCCCAGATGGTGACCCAGATTTGCCCATATAGCTAATGCTGGGTCTTGGGTTTGGGCCGAGAGAAACATGGGCATTGAGCCTTCGTTGGAACCCGTCATAGAAATTGGTCCGGGGTCGTGTGTCTGCTCTGACAGTGGATGGTTTGGAAGGTGAGTGAGAATGCAATTGGTGGTTGAGAATGGGAGAGGTGGGCAACCTGGAGCTGATAGGTGCTGGCCGAGACGGTTGCTTGATGATCCTCCCAAACATGCGCATACTGGGCCAAGCAATACCCGAAAACTGGAGTACATCTGACAACCCATATTAGTCGGGAATCGGCAGTATGGCTGGACCTACCTAAGGGGGCATGTTGAAATGAGAAAGACACGACATCTCGCAGTCGATCCAGCCTCAAGTTTGAGTCTACCATGGTGTAATCTTCCCGAATTATACCTTCAGCGATCACGAGCTTGATCCGTCCTATGACATCGCCTGGCTCCCAGTGCGGTTGTTGCATGACCGATTTATGGAATGGAGGGAAGAGCAACGGTTCTCCTTGTATCCCAGAGTCTTCTAACTTATCATTAGAAGGGAAATAGATTGAGAATTGTCAGACCTACCAATCACTTCGGGCCATGCATTTTCTTGATCGAATAAGCGCTGGCTATAGGAAGACCGGTCAGCCAAGTGGTGTAAAATGGTCTGGATCTAGTGAGTGAACCTCTGGAGAACTCCATCAACGTAGATTCGTGCTTCGAAAGCAGTCTTCTCCTCCGGTGTCTTGTAAGCGCGTAGAATGCTAGAGGCAACTGGCTTCTGCCAGCTGTGGACTGAGATTCGAAACGGCGTCCCGTGCTCCAAGCTGGTGATGAAGCAAGTCATACTGGGCACGAGTGTCATGGATTCAAAGGTATTTGGGTTCGTCTCTGGCGCGGCTTGGAACGTGGATATACGCACATCTGCTGAGGCGTTAGTAGATATAGCTATAATTGGAACATGTCGCTTTTTGCACTGACTCTGGTCCAGAGCAAAACACTTTGTGTCAAACTCTTGTACCGGAACTCGAGACTCCGCCGGAAAGAGCAATACGTCCCAATCCTGGTATCGCATATTGGGCTGTTTGGATACGAAATCAAATGTCTCCGAGACCTGTCGGATGTCCTGGGGCTTAGCTTGATGGTTTACATCGTACAGCCATGGGGTCAGGGCAACAAAGAAGGGGATACGTCAAGACAAGATGCGCTTGACGACCAAGGGAAATGATCCAGATGGCCAGGTGAAATGAGATGTGGATGGGAGTTAAGCATGCAACCGACGGCCGCAGGTGCGACCAGAACATGCCACGTCGCTGCATTTTCCAGGAGTGAATGTGAAGGTACGAACGGTGGTGTTGTCAACGCGCTCCTTCCAACTAAGTGTATCCTCAAATGCGAAAGCGCGAGGGACGATAGAGACGCCCCTTCCAAAGAGCGAGTTGCCAAATTGCCTGGGATAAGGTAGGCGCCATCGCCATTACCGTCAACTCACGCAGACTTCATGGTCCAACCTCAGCATCAGCGAACAAACAGAAATGAAATGAAAATGAAATGTGAAAGATACCTTGTTGGTCAAGCCACGCAGTTCTACTAACTTGAAATAAGATAAGAGAAACCAGACCCAGGCAGAATACAAACTGGTCAACGCCATGCGTCCTTCGATACAGGTGTCTTCCCGCATGCATGCTTTTCGCCACTGCCGTGGCCACAACGAGACCAAGACAAGAAAACTGCCAGAGGGAGGCGCTCGATTGATTCACTTTGCTCGCCCCAAAATGCCTGAATACATGTTGTCCATCTTCAAATCAACAGCTGACCGGTGCTTCGTCAAAGGTGCACAAGAATCACACTCGGTCAACAGCATGCACCGGTCTGTCGCGGCCCTCCTCAGCTCCATCCTCGAATCTCGAGCTATGTCCATGTCAATAATTCATTTTCATCTGAGTAGCGGGTATCGTCGGCAATAATGGAACCATCCCCCACAGCAGAATATCCGTCGATGTTATGCTGCCCACCCTGTTTCCCGTGCCTTGAATGCCCACGGCGTCCCTGATTCACAACGCCGGAATATTAAATGATACACATAGTCTTGCAAGTCTTGACACTAGTCGCCCGTCGCATCAAGTCCGAAATCCCCACCAACGCCGATGCCGCCATCAAAATTAAAGGTGTCGTCGTTGGTCGTATTGAGAAAGCTGTCAAAGTCAAAGTTTTCCAAAACGTCACTATTCTCCAACGTGCTGAAGTCGAGATTGAATCCCTGGTCTGGGGCAAAGTCCGAGAAGGAATTCTGTTGCATATCAGGTTGATGTAGCGGCTGACTGGGGGGCATGGTTTGATTCGCAGCAGCGGGGGCGGACGCCGTGTTGGATATGCCCTGACCACCAGCCTTGCCTCCCGAATTGAATCCTTGGCCAGGATGCACCGGTGTGATTGGTGTCGATGGTGCCGGTGTTGCTGGCGGCTCGGTCTCCGAGCTTGGAGCATTGGCAGTAGAGTTCTTCTTAGCTGGACGCTTCTTGTTGCTGGACTCGTCCTTGCCCTTTTTGGTCTTAGGCGCCGCCTTGTTAGATGTCGAAGGCGTCGGAGGGGCGTTCGAGCTCTGGGGAGAAGCGCCTTGGTTGCGTTGGGCGTTATTCCCAGCGGGTGCCTGGGGGGGTGGCATTTCGTTCCGCTGGCCAGGTGTCCCCATTGGTTGGGGCTGACCCTGTGAGGGCTGTTGCACCATGGGTTGTCCACCTGGGAATTGACCGCCCATCCCTCTTTGTTGTTGCTGCTGTTGTTGACGAGCCAGCGCTTGTTGCATGTCCATGGTCGGTGGTCTCATATTAGGTCCACCCGGCCCGACCATTCCTTGTTGATCCTTCATGAACATGGCTTGGTTAAAGTCCGTACCGGGCATGTTGTTCATGAAATTCATGCCCGCAGGAGAACGTCCCGCCAGGTCACCAGCGGACGGAGATGCTGGCATACCTCCCATCTGGGGTGTCCTCTTCATCTGATCCACAGGATTTGGTGAGGTTCCGGTACGACCACTGCCCGATGGTGACATGCCACCAGGCATCATGGGCTGTCCATCTCTATTGACGGCGCTGTCTTGCTCCTGCCTTGCCATCATCAATCTCTTTTTATTTTGTTGCTCCAACAACATCAATTGCATCTGATAATCTTGAAGAGCGTGGTTGCCACTCTGCCCTCCGCCAGGGGCACCTTGCATCTGCTGGCCGGCCATTCGCTGATTGTACATCTCCATTTGCATGCTGTCGGTGAATTGTGCTTGATTCATGCCCTGCATCATCGGGGACCCGGCGTTGGCCATGTTCATCATGCCGTTAGCCATTCCGGGCTGCATTGTGGTCAGTTCAGGTAACTCCAGTCAGAACGTGCTTAGACTCACCGGTAAGGGTTTCTGTGGTGGCATAGCACCATTCTGTCGGAACTGAGGGTTATTCATATTGGGATTGAACGCGTTTTGAATCATCATATTCTGGGGTGGCACAACAGGCATCGCTGGTCGACCATTGGGCATCATGCCTGCGTTGAATTGTTGGCCCTCAAGACGAGGCCTCTTTGACGGCGAGCCACCATTTTCGCCTTCGGCGGGAGGAGAGTTTCGACCATTCATGTCAGCGTCGGCTTCACCCCGCTGCATGTTTTGCTGTTGTTGTAGCATGGCAGCTTGTTTGTTGAATTGTGCCATCTGCTGAGGCGTCCTGTGCGCAGTTAGGACCGGTATTTCATGGGGGCATGCAACAGAGGTGCTCACATCTTTGCCGCGCTGGGAACATTGCCATTCATCATGCCGTTTCGTGCCATCCCCGCACGCATGAATTGATTTGGCATCATGCCTGGGCCGCGGGCGAGGTTCTGGTTTTGCTGGTTCTCACGCATCCGTTGCATATTCTATGAGGGTTAGCGCAGGCTGTTCGGCGCGGCGAGGACATGGTGACATACCTGATGCTGGATAAGATACTGGGCAGCGGCACCAACATTGGCACCTTGGCCACCTTTCTTCTGATGGGCGGCGAACAGGTCGGAAAAGATGCAGAACCATTCAAAGAGAAAGCCGCTCCCCGGACTGTTGCCATCTCCCGCATGGGCAGGTCGTGGCAAATCGTCTGGGATGTCGTCCTTAGCATCCGTGTCCATCGAATCGGCATCTACGCCGTTGACTTCGTTGTCCTTGCGGCGACCTGGACTTGGCTTAACTGGGGGTCTGGTGCGGATCTCAAGGCCCTTCTCGGCTAGAATGTTTCTAGCAAGTTCATAATGTCCGAGTTTGATGAAATATTCATAGATGTAGGTATTCAACTGGACCTTGATCGCTTCTGTGGATGCACCACCATTGTTACCCGGGATGGCGGGACTCCCACTGTTCACCATCATCATGTTGCCCCCAACTGGGCCACCAGCCACGCCTGGGTTCATCTGTGTCATGTTCATCGTCACCAGAGTATTATGCAGAGGCACCAATGGGATGATTGGACACTAAGAACCCAAATGCACAGCAGAGGGTGGCTTGTGGACAAGGTTATGGGTTGTATGAGAGCTGGCCGAGTGGGTCGGATGTGAGAAGGTTGAGCAGCGCTCGTGGAGTGCGGAGAGTCGGTCGCGCAAACTGACAGCGACTTCAGGAAGCGAACAACATAAACATTTCCGTTTGAAGACAAGGGTGATGTAGGTCAATGAGATCGCAGGCAGGTGTTGGCTAAGAGCCAGAGGTAAAGAGGTTGAGAGGTAGGAGAGTTCGGCTGTGAGACGAAACGCGACCGCAACAAAATGAGACGGGCTGGGGAGCCGGCTATATTAGCCAAGTAAAGTGCAAGTGCCTCTTTAAGTCACCAGAGGGCATCAAGAGCCTGCTCAGTGTGGTGTGCAGAGATGCAGGCTCGAAGGAAAGAAGGAGTATGAGAGGAAGCAATATTGGTGCAACAAGGAGATGGAAGATGTTGTCTGATGAGGCGAGTTGATGGAGTGATGGACGGTCGGGAAGAGAAAGTAGGTAGTCAGCGGCCGACGGAGTTTGGTGGACTGGTGAGCTGCAAGAGGGAGATGCGAGGGAGTGAGAGTAGAGTGAGTTGAGGGAAATCAGGCTGGCTGGTCGGAAAAAGCGCAGTTCAACCTTGCACTCGACACCGTTCTGACCGTTCTGACCGTTCTGCCCTCCCAAATATTGGTGGTGCAGTCTCAGTCTCTAAGACTCTCAGGCTTCAATTGCCCGACCCCTCGGGGGCTGGTTGGGCGCCGTGGTCAATTTTGTTGATGCTCTATGGTGCCCGACACCTCTGAACCAGATAAAGACATTCAATAATGCGAGTAAATTTCAGAACATTGCCCGAGTGTGTCTCAACCACCAAATCTCGAGGGATGGGGGGTAGACTACGGTGACGATATAGGGGTGGGTAGACGCCCAAATGCCTTCCTGGGTGCCTAAAGGCCTCTGAAATCGGTTGCACCAAAGCACAGCAGCGAGTGGGGAGCCACAAGGCGGAAGTCCGTGATTGAAGAGTTGCTGGATGAGCGGTGGGCGACTCAGAGCACGAACTCCCCATCTATGGTGCTCTTCAGTGCGTATTGCGCAGCACGCTATGACAGGATTGGGGCGACTCATGGTGGGGTGGTGGCTTGGCGCTTTGGCTCAAAACCTCGCACCTCCAACTTCGAGCTTTCTTCCAAGGGAACGGGGTGTGAAACAAATTGCTGACTGGTGAACCGCCGAGAGACAAAAGTTCACAATATTGCCCGTGAAACTTAAAGAGTCCACTACGGATTTCCGCTATAGAACTCTCTGCTTTGCGGATTGATACATCTTCGTTTGGGACTATTTGTCCAGGCATAGGATGTTGATGTGTAGCTCTTGCCTTATCATTGCCCCCCCACAATATGAAACAATATACGATTCAGGGGTATTTCATAACAGCCGTTATGGTCTTGTGTGTTCTCCTTATTCGATCCTGACACCCCTCATAATCCTCCTCGCAGGAAAAGGGGGACGAATCACGTGAGTTGATACAACAGACATTCTTCATCTTGCGACAAGTTCTAGGGAGTCATCGGAAACCCTTACCAGGACTACTCGTCATCTGGAGGCATCTCGTCTTCAATATAACGAATAAGAGTCACACGCATCTCAGTAACATCATTCCCTCGAAGCACATCGCTCACGAACCGAGCTTCAATCGATGTTTGAACCTGCTGAGTGTTAACCAATGGTCCTGCCTTTATGGAACCATTCAGTTTAAAGTATCTTACCATTTCCAAAGCACCTCGTAGGACTCCGCAAAGAATGTTGGAAAACCAGAGGCCATCTTGCGCGCGACCATCGTCCGGAAGTTCGACGAAATCAGCCAGCGGATTCTCGTCGAATATGAGAGAGAATTGTTTGTTGTCCGCTGTCCAGTTTGTGACGGTCGGTGTGATGTTGAGAAAGATTTTGAATCCGACCTGCTCATGTATGAGTGGAATGGGCTGGATCTCGGCATGGGCATCCCGTCTCATCTCACCTTGGAGATCATTTCAGCGGTGTCTTTGAAGTTTCCGCAACGACCCGTGTTTGATTTGGCGAGAAAATCCTCAATGAGCCGCATTCCAATATTGTAACCCATTTTGTCCAGTTGTTGATTGACCTGAGCGTAATCGTACTCATAGTCGATGCAAAGTTGAGACACAATTGTCCCATAGGTCAGGGTCACCAGCTCAGCATTGACCTTGTCAACCCGCGTCCTGCACGGTAGTGAGTAAGCTACAACTTGGGAAATTGATTCTGCTTACTTCCACACCCTGTTACTGTTAACATATACATTCGAGCAAGGATTGTAGTGGTTGGCTTACTCTTCGCCCAGACGAGAAGCCTTCTGGCTTGTCGCCATCCTATTTGTGGTTTCACTACCGACACATGCGCATTTCAAAGGGCAGATGGGCCAGTGGTACTTTTCAAATGCAACGCTTTGATGAAATTGGCTTCGTTGGTTGACACTGAACGTTTGATTGAAAAGATGTTTGAATATCCAAGCCGCCTACCCTCGACGTAGCCCCATGCCAAGAAATAATCGGCTAAATGTTAATCCTCTACCGATCGGCTCTTCTTCGGTGGATTCATCGCAGCCTTCGTCGCAGAGCAAAAAGTTGACATCGAAACATCAACTCGATCGTCGCAGTCTGCGGGTCGTATCCTCGCTCAATTAAATCTTCACTTGCCGCAGATTATTCTTCATCTTCCACCGCTCGCTATACACCGCGATCATGATGCCGTCGATCAAAAGGCAAGCTTCAGACAGCTTTAGTCAACCACATGCCCTGGTGAAGCGACAAAAGTCCAATTCGGATCTACACGATGGAAGGGCAGTGGCAGTTGCAGGCAAGGATGCGAATGGCGCTCTCGTTTCGTCGGCACGTCTTCATTTCACTCTCCGGATGAATAATTGCTAATGTTGAGCAGAATCTGCGGACCAGTGCATTGGCTGCTCCTATTATGGAGTTAACAGGTAGGCTCTAATTGATTATCGCAGCTTGAGTTGAAACTATTCCTTGACACAGGTCACTCCGGAGAGATATTCGCCACGAGATTCGATGCTGCAGGACAACACATTGCCTCGGGGTCAATGGATCGCTCTATCCTTCTTTGGAACACATACGGACAATGCGACAACTACGGGACATTGACGGGCCACAAAGGCGCGGTGTTGGATCTTCAATGGTCTCGCGATTCAAGAACATTATATTCCGCTTCAGCAGACATGACGGTGGCCAGCTGGGACTTGGAGACTGGACTACGGATACGAAAACATATCGGCCATGAAGAGGTCATCAACTGTCTGGACGTGAGCCGACGTGGCCAGGATCTTCTGTTGAGCGGCAGCGATGACGGTTGCATTGGTATTTGGGATCCTCGACAAAAATCTGCTGTCGACTATATCGAGACGGATTTCCCCATTACGGCCGTTGCATTGGCAGAGCAGGGTCACGAGATATATTCTGGGGGCATCGACAACGACATCAAAGTCTGGGATGCTCGAAAAATGGAAGTGTCATACACTTTGAGTGGCCATACGGACACCATCACATCACTGGAAATATCTCCGGATTCACAAACGCTGTTATCAAACTCGCACGACTCAACAGTACGGACGTGGGACATTCGACCATTTGCCCCGGCTGATCGAGGAGTGCGCACGTACGATGGCGCACCAGCAGGCTTGGAAAAGAACTTGATCCGAGCAAGTTGGAGTGCCAAGGGCGACAAGATCGCTGCAGGGTCGGGCGACCGTACAGTGGTTGTTTGGGATACTAAGTCTGCCAAGTTACTGTACAAGCTTCCTGGACACAAAGGAACAGTAAACGATGTACGGTTCTCACCGACAGAGGAGCCCATCAGTGAGTCATTCTGCTTCAATCGGCGTCCGATTGCTAATGATCTGTTTCCAGTTGTTTCTTGCTCTACTGATCGGAATCTGATTCTCGGCGAGCTTGGGAGATGAGAGAAGGACAACACAATCCAGCAATCCACGTACTATGTGAGCAATAGTTCAATAAGTATGGGATTATGTACCAGTCAGCATATGCGTTGCCAAAGTCGTTGCCAGTCTCGCCCCACGGTTTTGGGATGGCTGTTCTGCATTCGAAAGACTCTGATCGACGACCTATCTGCACTGGGGTGCAAACTCTTACAGAAACACCGTGTCATGCATAACCCAAGACAACTCTGTTGCATTTTTACAGTCAACGGCATGAACAAGGCATCGAGTCCTGCAACTATCCTCGAGCAGTGGATGTCGCGAAGCTGAGAAGCTGGCTGTTGACCTCAGCACCTAGGTCCCGGGAAGACTTGTTCGTTTGCGACGGAGATGTAAAGATTCCACTTCTGAAGGGGACAAGTCGAAAGTTGACGAAGGCGATATCGAAGGCGATATCGACAGCCTGAGGATATGATGACTGACTTGGATTCAAGTCCCGTGACTTCGCCTCCAAACATGCCAAGCTTCTACGAGGGTGTGAGGGCGTGGTGGCTCTTTCCTGAGTTGATTGGATGGCGGCACTTGCCCACAACGCGTCCCTCAGAACATTCATGTTTCAGGACGCGTGCATCATCCACGAGGTATGCGATGTATACGGAGTATGCACACACGGTCGTCACTCAGATAGAGATCAGATACATGTGTCCGTCAATGACTGAACTAACATGTCAGAGGTGACACCTGTTGACCTGTCAATTCATGAACATATGCGCAATCTGGGTTGCTGATGATGTTTCAATTCCATACGCCTGTGCATTGCACTCTCGTCCTCAGTCCTTCCTCCTTTCCACTGGCCGTGGAAAGATTTCAGGTTTGTACAAGACAGATCCAGGCAGTGGACACCTTAGTGGCCTGTTCTTCGCTTAGCTTGTTGTGCGTGATGCTCCGCGATACAGTTATGGCTCTCGACGCGATCGCAAACAGTCAACACTTAGGCCGTGAGGCGTCGTGTCTACTCAATTGAAGTCTTAAAAGCATCATCTCCTCGACTGGTCTGGTTAATAATCACCAGAACGACTACAGACACTTCGCTTGTCTCCCTAAGCAAAATGTACGCTTCTTCCGGACGACCAGAGCCAACATTTCTTGCTCCCCCAGCTCCCGACCAAGCTCGAAGTAGCATCATCAGTAACCTTTCGCGCTTTTGGAAATCTCGAGCAGTAGCGCCCATTGCTGATACAGCATCTGATTTACCTGCAAGATCAGTGGTAGTGCCTCTTTTCATGTCAGCGTCGAGGTCTTCTGGTCGAAACAATCTCTTCGCAAGGGGTGCTCTTCCAATGGGCTATGCGGCGGCAAGATCAGGCCCACCAACCTCTGTTTCTGATGTTCCACAGCCCCTTCGTGTCCGGGCGCAACCATCTGCGCACCATGATGAGGAAGGATCCGACATGTATGGACCAGACACAGGGCATGATGCTGTGGACGAGTCCGTCTTGGCTTCAACTACTCGTTCCCAGAGGCATATCAACGCCGCTGGCTCACGCAGGAGTCCCCATTCTGGGGGAACGCGCAGTGTACCGAGTGCCCGAAGCAATGCACGAAGTGCAAGAAGCGGACGCACTAGAAGCCAAAACTCCCACAATTCTCGAATGAGTACGCGAAGCCGACGAATATTCTCGAGACGAGCATATCGCGATCGCCGAGTCAATGCAAAGGCAAAGATATGCTTTGCATTTGGCATTACATTGATTGTTGCGGCCATCATATGTAAGCAGCAGGGCTAGTGGAGATTGATTTAACCCATCTTCTAACCGTTCGCAGATTTGGTGCTCGCATTCACAGGCATCGCCCGCAACACGACTTTTCATGTCTTGTCGATCCTGTTTATCTTGGTCTTGACAGGAGTCTTCTGTCATCAGCTTGTTCGGATGTTTATGCTCATCAAGGCGCCACGACGACATGCCCTGACTGCTGCTCAGAGGCGCCGGCATGCCACCCGAGAAAGGTCGAGAAAATATCGGCAACAGGTCGAGGAAACCATTCCTGAAAAACCAATACAGATCCATATGGCGAGTGACCATGGGTATGAGCGAGACCTCGAGGCAGCCACCGAGGTACATGTTCAACCACCACCACCAGTGTATGGAAATGTTCGGGAAAGCATTGTAAGTGCCGAGCAGGCCTCCAGATGATGCGGTGAACAGTATTGACTGACGGTCCTGGAAATAGCGAATGAATCCAGATTACATCCATTGGAGACATGTCCCTCCTTCTCCACTGACGCCCAGCTACGATGAAGCAGTGGGAGACATCCAACCGAGTGCGGGATACCGACCTCCGAGCTATCTGTCTGAAGGAGGGGTGAGCGAAATGGTGGAGAGCCAAAGCCGTGATGTGGATGCTGCTCTCGGCCACATTCATCCATTGGAGAGAGAGCGAATACGTAATCTGACTGTTGATGCTTTGGAAGGCCGGAATCGGATCTGAAGTGCCAGTTGCACTCGCTCAGGGAGTAGCCGTTGCTATGACTATGCTGCAGTGTTTTGATTTCGAGAATCCCTTTCTTCGAACAATCTTCACGGCAATGTAAATGCCATCCACAACAATGATGCACGTGGATGTTGTGTACACACATTCAGCAGAAAACGCGTATGGAACAGAGTTGTTTTGATTTCTTCATTGTACTAAACTACCGAGGATATTCATTATGCCCTTTTTGGTGTCATTCAAGCCCTTCAAAAGGGGCTGAATACTGGGTATCATCTCCGCATGGGATCTGGCTCCTGATGAACTCCGGTCGTATCTTGTTATGGGCGTTAAGATATCAGCACCTAGTGCTTAGCGGCCTCCTTGTGGACATCGGCCTTGCGGTTGTGGGTTTGCTCGTCAACCTTGTCCGAGATGGCATCTCCGGCGGCTTGGGCACGGGTAGAGAGGCTGGCGTTTCCGTCCTTGGCAACCTGGGGATGAGTTAATAACTGTGTCGAATGGTGGGTTATAAGCTGCTGATGCATACCTCCTTGTTGGCCTCCTTGGAAGCGGTGGCTCCACCACCTTGGATGGTCTCAGAGACGTAGTTGGCGGCGTTCCTAATGTCGCGTGGTTAGTATGGGTTTGGAGGGTGATGGTTTGGACAAGCCTCTAGGCCAGGGGACAGAGCCAGGAGTGACCACAGGGTGGGACTCACTTGATGGTATCCATTGCGATTGAGTGTGTGTTTCGACTGAATTAGTCTTGTGATTGTGTAGTTTGTCAAGATTGTATTTGGGATTGCTTGTTGTAGATGCCAAAGAAAGATGGTCACTTTGCAAGGAGACAACGATGTTTATATATCCATGGACCCCTCAATTCTCACGGACAGCTCGGTCCAGGCACAGCGGTGACCACCTTGGTCACCTGGCCTTTTGCATCCACAGTAAACCTTGAAGCATTGTATCTGTGTCCAAACCAACGTCATAGTATTCATCGAGATGGACGATGACGTCGAGGAATAGAGCCACAATCTGGGGCAATGAACCAATCATGTGCGAATAAATGTTTCAGCCACAGACACTAGTCTAGATCCGGATCTATCCAGTCTCTGTCTGACGACATCGGTGGCGGCGCCATTTACACCACAAAAGAAAGGTGTTTGGTGCAAACAAGTCCATGTCAGACAAAGGACTGTGGCCCCAGGAACGTGCCTCGGTCGGTCGCCAATAGAATCTCGTCTCCCCTCCAACGCTGACGTCGTTTTCTCATTTTTACCATCCTTGCAAGTTGGAAATCGATCCAATCCCATCCTGCTTCCTCGATTTTCTTTGTCGTTTCTCGATCTGAGGTCGATCACTGCCTCGCACAGATTTCAGCTCAGCCTCTGACCTCCACATATGTGTTGAGTCCAGGCTGGCCTGTTTACTTGCGTGCATAGGTACCAAGTGCGAAGCTAGCCTAATAAAATATGATGCCTTCAGTGTGCTTTCTTGGAAGGTACAACACGCAGACCTGTCCGGTTCTCAAGCTGCGCAGCCATTGGCCATGTTGGAACGTCTAATTTTCTTTCATTTGTTTGTACGTACAGAACATTGGTCTCCCTTGTTGACCTACGTAATAGATGTAGGTAATTTGTCGTTTCCAGACATGGTACACGTGTTTATGAGTAGCTCGTTCTTAGTCGTTGTGGACAAAAAGACTGTTACTCTTTCAAGTGAAGGGGTATCACAGTCGGCCTTTGTCTAACCTAACTTCGGCACACTTCACACTTGATTTCTTCAACCGTCTCCTCTTCATCCTTCGTATGGAGACACAAATACTGATCTAGCAGTTGAAAGTCACGTCTTGGCGACTTGCGTGATATCCCACGTGCAGCTGACGCTTCTATTCTATACCTAAAGTGTTCGCCCTAGGCCCACGCTATACCCATAATATAGCGACCAAAAGAGTTCCCTTACGAATCATACCTTCTTTGCTATACACGTGCATGCTAACATGTCCTTTTGGTCCAGTTGCTCAACTCTGCCTATTGTGGCACCCTCCACACCGTTGACCATGTCCAGAGGTACAAGTACAGGACCATTGGTTCTGCTTCGTTGCAAATGTCGGTTCGACCTGTTAAACTCTCTTTTGCGAGCGAACCAGAAGTTCCCAAGGTTCCTATTCCCTGAGTCAGCTAACTATTCAACTGGACCTGTCCCTTGATTATGCTTGTTAAGCCCGTTCTAGGCTTGCTTGCTGCAAGCTTTGCAGCCGCAACCCCAGCCCCGAGAGCCGTCGATGCTGTCAAGACCACTGTCATCAACGGCCAGCAGTATGTATATGAGAGCCTAGCAGGCTATGGATATACTCCTGCGAACTCACGTGACAAGTTTGGTGACACGGCGGCAGGTCTCGGTTCCAGTGCTGTCCTAGATCTCAAGACATGGACCAAAGACAAGAAGACTGGGGTCTACTCCGGCATCTTGTGGGCTCTTCCTGACCGTGGTTGGAACACTGAGGGTACTCTCAATTACCAGCCTAGGCTGCACAAGTTCTCCATCACTTTCAACCCCAACTATACTTCTACGGTTGACAGCCCTAGCAAGCCAAATCTCCATTTCGAATATCTCGACTCCATTCTCTTCACGGATCCTGAAGGAACTCCCATCACTGGTATCGATGCCGATGCAACCGGACCATACTTGACCTTCCCTGGGTTCCCTGATCTGCCATCCGCAACCTACAGTGGCGATGGGTTTGGGGGTGAGGGACCCGGCGGTCACCGTGTTACACTTGACCCTGAAGGTCTCGTTCTCAACGCGGACAAGTCTTTCTGGGTTTCAGACGAATATGGCCCCTACATCTACCACTTCTCCCCTGAGGGCCAACTGATCAGTGCCATCCGACCACCACCAGCCGTGATCCCCCAGCGAAACAACAGCGACTCGTTCTCAGCCAACAGTTCACCTCGATATGACCCTGACCTTCAAGTCGTTCCTGCACAGAACCCTACCGGTCGAGCTAACAACCAGGGCCTCGAAGGTCTAACCGCCTCGCCAGACGGCAAGACCTTGTATGCTCTCCTCCAGTCAGCCCTCGACCAGGATGGTGGCCTCAATGCGACCCATCGTCGCTATGCTCGCTTCCTCGAGTATGATGTTAGTGACCCGGCCAACCCAATCTACAAGAGCGAGCATGTTGTTCCTCTTCCCCGCATTCTCAACAACACTCGAGTGGCAGCTCAGTCGGCCATTCATTACCTCAGTCCCACTCGCTTCTTGGTTCTTTCTCGCGACTCAGGACGCGGTCATGGCTTGGACAATTCCAACTCGACCTACCGTCAGATTGACATTTTCGATATTTCCAACGCGACGGATATCAAAGGCCCCACATTTGATTCGACCACAGGTTCCATTGCCACCAACGGCACTCTCAACTCTTCAATCATCCCTGCAACGTACGACTCCTGGATCAACTTCAACCTCAATTCCCAGCTCAATCGATTTGGCTTGCACAATGGCGGTGAACAAGATGCTGGTCTCTTGAACGAGAAGTGGGAGAGCATCGTCCTTGCTCCTGTCAACCCCAAATCTGGATGGCTCGATTGGAAATCAAGCAAGCAGTCCGCTGAGGACTACTTTGTCATTAGTCTTAGCGACAACGATTTTATCACTCAGAATGGATTCACCAACGGTGGACAACTGGCTTATGCCGACGAGAGTGGCTTTGATCTTGACAATCAGGCTCTGGTGTTCAAAGTCAAGATCCCTTCTTCGTGAGGAGTACTGATGATCACCAGGAAGTAAGCATTCATAAGGAGAGCATGAGAAGAGCATTGCACTCCGTCCATCTCAGTGATTTTTCGCCCCACGCTAAATCATTTTTCAATTCAGTCAACGTGGTGCACGCTGAACACCACGAACCATAAAAGTAAAATAATGAATTGCTCTGAGCACAACTTAACCTTATGCATCATAACGATACTCAATGATTAAAGCAGTCTCCCTAACTCAACTCAGGAGAATGCCATCGATAGCGAATCTTCCAATGCCAAAGTACCGTTACAATGCATTTTGCCAATTTCAACTTCTAGGATGTGATAACAGAGAATCGTTCTCTGATTCGATGAGGTGGATCAAGCTTATACGTGAAATTAAACCCTTTTGGATCTCTTCGCTGTAGGCCTTCGGGCATTCCCACGGGCGCCATGATGCTTAAGGGCCCCTCCAATCTCAGCGTTGCATAGCGATCATCCTGCCTATTTAAGTTACGCTCCAATCGTTTATCTATACCCAACCACGCCTTCCGCCCAGTCAACTCTCTTGAATCTTGTTTGCAGATCCATGTCTTCTGCCCTCAAGCTCAAGGCTTCATATTTATGTATCTTCACATGGGTCTCGTCACGGTGGTCTCCTGTTCGGCAGTGGCCGAATGCTGCTAACAATCGTGAGGTCTCTGCATGGCCTCTATGTCTGTACATAAAGCGAAGCCACATACACCTTCAACGGACTTTTTGTCCTCTCTACTCAGCTAAGTAGTCCTCATCTGCAGGACGTCCATTCATTTGAACCCATTGCTAGTCATTGGTATCTGTCATCATGAAACTCTCACTCTCACTTCTACGCATCAGCGTAGCATTACTTTGTCCTGTCTTCGTCACATCCCAATCCATTGCTGAAATCAACGGGAATAAGTTCCTTTCGCCCTATCGAAATCAACCCGTATCAAATGTCACAGGTCTGGTGACAGCCATTGGGCCAAGCGGTTTCTGGATGCGATCGACAACTCCTGACAAGGATGTCCGAACCTCAGAATCTATCTACGTCTATGGCGCTCTGCCTACCAACGCGACTGTTGCAACGGGCGATATCATCATCCTGGACGGCCGTGTGACCGAGTATCGGTCGTCGGCAGCCTACTTATTCCTAACTGAAATCACGCAGCCGAGTAACATCAGGACACTCTCGCGAGCGAAAAAGGTCGAACCTGTGGAACTTGGAAAGAAGGACACGAAACCGCCCACGGAGCAATTCTCTTCGCTTGATGGTGGAGACGTTTTTGCTCTGCCTAACAATGCTAGCCTCATCTCTGTGGTAAACCCAGTCCTCGAGCCCGGCAAATTTGGCCTCGACTTCTGGGAGAGTCTCTCAGGCGAGCTCGTCAAAATCAAGAAACCCGTGGCCGCTAGCAAACCTAACAACTTTGGCGACACTTGGGTCACAGGCAACTGGAAATTGACTAGCGAGAACAACAGGGGAGGGGTGACATTGACTTCAGGTGATGGAAACCCAGAAGCAATTCTCATCGGAAGCCCTCTGGATGGATCGAGCAACCCCGCTGGGACAAAGTTGGGAGACAAGCTCGACGATATTGTTGGCGTCGTCACCCAGGCCTTCGGTTTCTACCGTGTTCTTCCCCTGACTGCCGTGGTGACTGAGAAATCAGAAAAGCCCGCGCTGCCAAAAGGTGTTGACTGGAAATCTGGCGGCAGTTGTAAGAAGTTCACGGTTGGGGTATACAACGTGGAGAATCTGGCGCCAACATCTCCATGGCTACCCGACATAGCTGGCCATATTGTGAAATATCTCAACTCACCCGACCTCTTGTTCCTGCAAGAGGTGCAAGACAGCAATGGTCCCACCAACGACGATGTGGTGTCTGCCAACGTCACGTATGAAACACTCATCGCGTCCATCGTCGATCAAAAGGGAGTGAATTACAACTACATCGACATTGATCCCGTTGACGACCAAGATGGTGGACAGCCTGGAGGTAACATTCGCACTGGCTATCTCTACAACCCTGCCGTCATCAAACTGAAGAACATCAACCCAGGAAGTGCCATTGACGCCAACCAAGTCCTTGCAGGGCCAAGTCTAAAGTTCAATCCTGGCCGTATTGATCCTGCAAATCCGGCCTGGCAAGCATCGCGGAAACCGCTTGTCGCACAGTGGGAAACGGTCAAAGACAAATCCACTCTGTTCACGGTCAACGTCCACTTCAGCTCCAAAGGTGGCAGCTCGTCAATCGAGGGCGATGCGAGGCCACCAGTGAACGGCGGTGTTGCAGCCCGTATCGCGCAAGCAAACATCACTGCCAGCTTCATTTCTGAAATTCTGCGTCAAGACGCCCAGGCTAACATTATAGCCGCTGGTGACTTTAATGAATTTTCTATCGTTCGACCTCTGCAGAACTTTGTCGCTGTTTCTGGGCTGAAAGATCTCGACGAGGTAGCCAAGATCAAACCCACAGAACGATACACGTACCTCTTTGATATGAACAGTCAGCAATTAGACCATGTATACGTCAGCCCCAGGATCGCTGCTGCAAAACCGGACTATGAACACGTCCATGTCAATACTTGGGTTAGCTCAGCGGATGAGATCTCCGATCACGATCCAAGTGTAGCCAGAGTGAACATATGTTAGGAATATGGAGAATGAGTCAGGACCTCTCGGATGCTTCAGAAGCGGAGTGCACTCGATACCGCGGTGGCGATAGATTGCCTAACCACTGAGGGCCTCAATAATATAATAATGTCAAGGCCTTTCCTTCTAGGTTAGGGTTCTGAGATGATGACTACCGATCGATTACACATCCTGAATGGATCTTGTCAACCATGCCCATCCAAAATGGTATTTCAAGTAACCTAACTTGAACGGTGTTTCGTCTCCCAAACGCGTGGTAGCCATGGCTGTAGTCAACAACTCGACTAATTTTGGTAAAGGGTGATATCTCGAACTCACAATCCGTCCTAAAAAGGATGTCTGTCACATTGGGCAGTGAAATCATTATTTCCCTCACTCAATACCGAATCAGCCTAGGCACTGGATTTTCAGTTCCGAGGCAACCAGCAAAAGCCCTATAGTTTGAAGGGCCCCCAAGGCCCTCGGGGGGCGTCAGGCGCTGAGTCAGGTCACGAACCCGCCAGCCCGCCAGTAATTTTGGATCTTTTAATCCTAGAAGCTACGAATTCGTATTTATGCCTTAGTGTCTGGCCCTGATTACTGGTGTGGGTTGCCGTATTTGCCCGAGCCAGAACTGATCAAATGATACCCTTTGGCTGCGAACTGCTATCTGCCAGTCCAGCCATCATGAGCTTGCTTTTTCATGGTCGTGACTAACGGTCTATCCCGTACGCACACTAGGTGTGGCGTCAGGCAATCCCATCCCTCGTCGACCCCGGCTGTCCGGATTTGCAACGTGGGTCCTCTGATGGCTCACGATATAGCGATCATCTGCCACCCTTGGATAGTGTCTCGACTCTCCAGCCTCAGGCTTGTTCCGCAGTGTCACTGGACTGTTGTCCTGTTTCGAATCATGTGAAGGTATTTGTCCCGCATTGGCTCGTACGACATAGGCCCTAAACGTTGTTCGTATAAAAGGTCAAGGTGAAGCCTCAAAGCCCAAGCCTAACCCCGCGGCGCTACATCTTAAACAATCGGCATATCTTAAAATCCTCATCGAGAATTAACTTGCCGACCGAGATTGAAATCCAAGTACATCATCACCTGAGTTGCGCTTAGATCCCCTGTCAATCGCATCAGCTCTCATACAGGGCACTTTCCGATATCAATGGCGGATCTTAGCGGCATCACAGTCTGGGATTTCGCTTATCGCAACGGTCAATGTACGTTGACATGCCGATCAAATTCATTTGGCAGTCCAGAATCCGAGACAGAGACACAATGTCCAATTCGACAACAGAATAAATCGAGCGACGGGTTCTTCCCCGGCACCCCCACCACCACAGCAGTTGATTCTGAACCATCGCGATCCAAACCCCGATCGATCATCCGGAGCATATCTAATCGAGAGTCGCAAAGCAAGCAGCAAGACCCCTTAACGCAGCGGCGGTCGTATCTCCTGTCACTCCCCAATCCGTCTTGCACCTACTACAGGCATGTGGTCACCACCGTGTCGACGATGCTCATGACGCCATATACCCAGCTAGTCCTTCTCGTGCCCCAATCCGATATCGTTTGTCCCAAAGTCTGTGTACTGAGTCGACTTCCTAAGGCTGTTGGGAGTGGGATCAGGATTCTTCCAGTCCCACCTTCGACCACTATGGAGTGCTCGTCAGACAATGCCGACCACTGCGATGATGATAGCAGTGGTGCTGGCAAGGTCTCTGATATGGATGAAATCGGAATGATGGCCAAGAGAATTTCAAAATATGCCAAAGTAAAGAGCTTTGACGGATATCTGCCCCTGCAGGAAACTCGCGCTTGTTGGTATTTTCTGGAGAAGGTCGGCAAGGAAGTCAGCAGATTAGGCGGGAAGTGATGAATTCACGGCCATGATTTTACATGATGATTGTAGAAGGAGCTGGCCTTTGCCTCGACAGACTGTTGGAAGGAGGCGAGGACCGAGGACCTGTTTACCTTTTCTTGAGAGGATGGCACTCTGTTCAATGCTATTAATCATCGAAGATTCAGAGTCCAAATGGGTAAGGCCTCAGAGTCTATATTCGTGTGGCTTCATATCTGACTGACCTTGCAACCAGGTAGGCCGTCAATCGGAAGTCGGACGACTTCTGTCACTCCTGAAGAGCAAACAACCAGCCCAAGCGGAGCATTTTTATAAACCAGCCAATTCTTTGGATAAAGGAGCCTGGCATGTGTCAGATCAGTACTCCTTCGCAAGAGTACTGGAATGCATTGCTGGCTCTTATGTCTTGGTCCGTTCAGGACCCAGTCATGACCTTTTATGGAACTGAAACCTGCATCTGTCAAGGTCAGGGCCAACGGCCAGAGTACGGATACAAGCGGTGATGGCCGAGGGGCCGAGGGGCTCATCCAAGCGCTTATTATCACCATTCTCTAGGCGCACACCACTAATTACGGAGTAGATTACCGAAGCCTCGCTTGAGCCTCTTGGCCTTCATGGGTCCGTCCAGCGTGATGAAAAGTATTCCACGTGGGTTTTGCCTGTTTGTCTTATGGGGAACAACTCGTTAGAGACATTCTGTACAACACCAATTTAAGAGAGAGTCCCAGGTTCTGGCACGAGCTTTTCACTTCTCAAATCGCCATCGAGTATGTCAATCTTCAAGGTTCTTGAGGAGGGTGCCTTAAGGTAACACGATGCTTTGGACTGGGGACTTCCTGTCTGCCAATCACTTGTGTCCCCAGCCCGACCACCACAGCGAGTCCGTCTGCAGATCTACCACCAATATACAAGCACAGACAGTCCAGTGACTTTCCGAGCAAGAAGTTGTACCTAAAAGCCAAGAAGATCCGCCCCTTGGCGATGCCTTCATCCCGCTCCAATTTCTCCACATAAGTCTCAACGGGCGTTCTCCGAGGCAGATTTCGAGTTCAAAGACTGGCCCCCACTGGGCATCCGACGCCGGACGAGGCTCAAGGAGAGGGTCTCAAGAATTGATGTGCGTTGATATAGCTCTGAACAGCTAGCGCCGAGAGCCGGCGTCTTTGACGGTTGGAATTGGGAGTAGTCATAGAAATGGATGGCTGTGTTCTTCTTCGCTGCGACTCCTCATCTATGTTTTGCGAGAATCATGCGCCTGCGTGAATTCATGCGCGACAGCAGAAATCGGCTGTTCGATACCTCGACATAATGGCTTCTCAGATATACACTGGTCCTTGGATCAATTGGAGTCAAGGATGGGTCCACGGCGCGACTATCACGCTCAGTCAAAGAAATGGAGGCTTGTTGATGGCTTTCCTGGCTACTTTTGTCACCATTGTCGGAAATGAATTGTGGAAGATCATCTGCTATATCCTACATCAAGTCCGATCGAAAAGCGGTAGCCAGGATGGCTTGTATCACCAACAACAAGTCATTCTACGAACATCACCCACCCCAGGAACGGCTGCTTGGGTATATTTGAAGCAAATATGGCCTTGGAGGCGACGAGCTCCGCATGCTTTCTGGAGAATATTCCCCTGGGCGATCCTCAGTCTGGTTTATCTGGCGGCGATTGGCGTTGCCGCGATCTTCTCGTCCGAGATCTCAAAGAGCGCAGGGAGCCTGAGATTGATGACTTCAGATAATTGTGGTATGTGGACATTGGACGCCGACTCGGAATATAGTCAGGAGGCTTTCCTAGTCAAATCAACTAATGACAGGTACGTGTGAGATGGGTGATGGGTCGCATCTGTTTTACCAGCTGGCTGACGATATGGTAATAGTCTCGTTTCCGCGACGTACGCGAAAGCTTGCTACGGAGGTCAGACGGACCAAGAGACCTGTGGAAAATACCCCGTCCCTTCAATCACATGGGAATCAAATGAAAACGCCGCGTGCCCATTTGCATCAGGCGTGTGCGTGGATGGCGACTCGGCAGCATTCGAAATGACATCAAAGAAGATTGATAGCCACTCTGACCTGGGAGTCAATGCGCCAAAGTCTCAGAGAGTTCTCTTCCAGAAGCGGACAACCTGCGCACCACTCCTTACAGCGGATTTTGTCGAAGTGAAAAACGCGTCAAATTCGCCATACGCAAGAGGGGACGATATTGTGGCCGAATACCACTTCGGCCCTATCTATGGAGCTACGAACGAGACCTTCTGGTACAACGACCATGCCGTCTATGATCAAAATGGCTATACACTACACTCCTTCCAGGCGACTGCCGGGTCTCCGATCTCAGTTGGTGCCTTTGTTCCAGTGCCTGCTGTCAATACCACAGATGCAGATCTCTCTTTGGTGTTCGTTGCAGCAAACTCTGTTTGGTATAGTGAACCCTGCGAGGACGCCGTTTTCAGTGCCAATGATCCACTTGCGGTAGGTGAAAGAGTTGTCTACCGACCAGACTACTGGGTGGTTCCGCTTGGATGTGCTGAACAATATCGGGTCTGCAATCCTCAAACAGATGCATGTACACCGTATTTGGGTGTCACTCAATTGCACGACAGTCTCTTTGATAGCGCGCCAGAGGGACTGGATTTCAGCACGATACAAAGAGCAACCATCTTCCGCATGATCCATTCTCTTCAAGTTTCGACCGTGTACTACGCGACCTTTACTCGCCTTGGGTCAGCGCTGCGAGCGAGTGAGACGCTGTCAGCACTGACACAACGCTATCTCCCACCCAATCAGTGGCACATCGAGGTCGGATCCTGGTTCGATGCCGGTCTTGCAAGACTCCAATTGCGAGTTCAAGAATATGCAACAGGCCCGGCCTCTGTACCACGTGGATCTACCATCTCGAGACCTGATCGCTTGAACCTTGCAGATCTCCCTTGGTACGCCATGTGCGGATCACAACTTGTCAATGATGCGTCGACCACGATGAGCTTCTCCGTGCTAGGAATGAGCATTCTTCTCTGCTTGGGCGTGCTCATCATATCCATATCCTTCTCTATCGACACTGTCGTTGGGTGGATACAACTCAAGCTGAGCAAGGGACTACATCCTCGAATGGAGTGGCTCGTCACCGACAGATTAGTTATGCAGCAACTGTTATACCAGGAGATGGGACAAAGTCATTGGGACGTCAGCCTCGGTGTGCCGGTCACGACACGACCAGACAAATTTGTCGGGGTAGCGACAAGAGAACTAGAGAGGGAAAGGATGGGCCAGATGTATACGCCAGACGGTCCTGTTCCACTTGCAGTACACGAGACGCCATTATCGAAGAATCATGGCCGATAACCTTGAGATTGCTGCGAAAATCATGTAACATGTATACTAGGTACATACCTATTTCACACCATAATTGAATGCTTCCTAAAATGGTCACATGACTAAGATCAGCCTTGTTAATGACAAACTGTCTTGGGTCGTACATCATCTCTTCTGTCATCCGTCATGTTCAATCATTTAACTGAGAACTTCCACACTAAACCTTACATGACTTGATCTATCATTGACTGATTGAGATCGTCAAGTAAAATATCCAGAGAAAAGGGACAGCCGCCGCCCAAGATGTCGCTTCCTATGCCGACACCCACCAACCCGCCCCTCCCCCTCACCAACTACAAAGTGATATCATTCGACATCTACGGCAGCCTGATCGAATACAAGGGACATATATTGAAATCGTTCCAACCACTGCTCTCACGCTTACCAGCAACATCGCCGTACCTGAATGATGCGCCATTGACCAGCGAGGTTCCAGATTCGGCTACAGTTGGATCGATCGAGTTTCTCAAACTATTTCAACAAGAAGAAGATGCCATCAAGTTGGAAAAACCAGTGAAACGATTCGACGAGATTCTTGCTGAAATATGGAGACGAATCGCACGGGAGTTACAGGTCGAGGGTGACGACATTGAAAAGGAAGCCGCCCATTTCGGCAGTGAAGCTGTTATTGGATCATGGCCTACATTTCCAGGAACGCTGGAGGCGCTACAGTCGTTGAGCAAGCATTACAAATTAGTTGCATTGTCCAACATCGACAAGTATGCGTGGTCAATCACCGATTCAGCCCCCGCCAGTCGGCTGGGCGATGTTTCTTGGTGGAAGGTCTTCACGGCGGAGGATTTTGGCGATGATGCCGCCCGAGCAGATGAGATCAAGTTGGAGACGGTGATTGATTATGCGCTTTTAAACGGATTTCAGAAACATGAAATCCTACATGTCGCTCAGAGTCTCGGCCATGACCAGGCTCCTGCAAAACGCCTGGGCTTGAGTAGTGTCTGGCTGGTGGGCGATGGTCCTAGGTGGGGAAAGCAGGCTGAGAGTAAGATGGCACTTGAGAAGAATCTCGTCGGTTATGCTTGGAGACATCAGGATCTTAAGGGTTTTGCTGAAGAGGTAGAAAGGGCTTTTGGTGACAAGTCTTAGTCAAAGTCACTTCTTGAGAAAGGGAGAGGTGGTTCAAAAGTTCCATCGAAGTAGCTTCTAACTATGAATACATGTCGTGCGAGTTTACAACCCTCGTACATAATTTCCCTACATCACTCATTGCGCTCTAGGCTTATATCAGAACTCTGAACCCGGAATGTCCGACTTGATTCACATACTCTTACACGTGAACCGCCAACGCAATGGCTTCGACCGCCACAACCACTAACAGCACTAAGACTTGGTCTTCTCAGGTTTGAGGAAGGGAGTCGAGGCCATGGCCGGACCAGGATCCATAACAGGACCAACGTCCAAAGCCGGACCAGCATCCACGGCAGGACCAATGTTCAAAGGCGGTGGAACCATCACAGGCGGAGGTGCTGGTGCGAAGTCTACACCTTGGCCACGCCAGAACTGCACTCCCAAACCGCCACCATATGGAGTCTCGCTCTGCCAGCGGATCTCCTTGTCGGCACACTCGAAACGCATATCCCAGTCGATTCCCCAGCGTCGCCAGATATTGGGAATGAGGAACTCGCCTGTGATTCCGCCGATTCCAGACTCGGTCGCCGCGGATGTCAGGTGTTGATATGTGACGCCCAAAACCGCCCCAATATCTAGCCACTCACTGTCACTGACGGCAACCTCGATCTGTGGTGTTGACCGGCTAGCTTTGAATTCAAACATGGGCACCGCAATCAGGCTGTCGAAATGTCTTGGGCCGTACCCATTGAAGCGATCTTCGCCACCACGCAGGGCAGTGTGCGCGACGAGGTTCACTCGGAGACGTTTCAAAAAGATCTGAGGCGTCGGAACGTAGTCAGGGTGAGAGTTTTCAGGGGGTGGAACTTTTTCTAATCGGCGACCTTTTTCGTCTTTCTCATAAGGGTCATTGACCGGCGCCGGTAATGGTGATGTAGGTGGCGGTAGGCCTGTGGTTTCGCCAATACCGCCCGCCAGTCGCCGCACATTTATTGCAAATGGGAGTGTTGTATCAGGGGGAAGGTCGAGCCACAGGACTTCAGGCGCCTGGAATGTGATGCCAACAGCTAACCACGGAAGACGATCCTTCTTCATAACACTGCGCATCTGTTCGCGAAATGATAATTTAGTAGTTTGGTGGCTTGGCAGAAGACGTAACGACCGGACTACGTCTTCGTAGGCTAGATGTTGGGGCTGGATGGGATTCTGGGGAGGCCCTGCTGGGTTGTACAGAGGAAGGTCGACGACTGATTCGGCTGGGCCAAGCACACCGAAGAGTTTTCTGGCTCCACCAGAGAGGTCGGGTACGGTGGCACGTAAGGTATAGCGCACCGAGGCTGTTGCACTTTCGTTCGAGAACTGACTGTCACTAAAGCTGTTCATGGTATCTGGCAGTGGTTGTGGTGGCGGGACTTTGTGTGGAGGGTCATAGCCAAGAGACCCAGGAAAGCAGCCGGAAGGCTGGAAGCAGTTCGAGTTGTGTGAATCGATACTGGGAGGTGGCTGTGGTTCAGAATGTGTTGGAATGCGGAACTCAAATGGGAATACAAGGGTGCCGCCATCTTCACCTCGACGAGAGGCGGCGATTTGAAAAGTGGACTGATCAAGAATATGGTGGTGAGTGAACAGGAGGCATTTCGATTCGTATACATATGTCGTGTATTGGCTCTGGCTATCATTAGGCCGTGGCTACTGGGAGAAAGAACCACTTACCTGATGTCGATGTTGGTGGCTGGATCGAAAGTTGTTGGTCTGCTGTCGCCGCGTGATCTTGACCTTGGACCGGCCGTAGAAATTGAGGAAAACGCGAGTTACGTTGTTCCTTTGCTCCGTCTTGCTGATCTTCACTTGGATCTCCCCTTTGACAATAGAATTTGTGGGTATTGGACGGCCATCAAAGCCATCCACGAAGATCTTCACTGACATTCTGACTTGCTTGAGCCTTAGACGTAACGAGGATTGTGGAATCTTTACATTCCTTCAGGTTACTCGAGATCTCGAAGCCCTTGAGTGTTTGTGGATGGCGGCGTGAGATGTTCGGTCCAGACTGTCCACTGATACGAGCTTCGAAAGGCAGGGCTCGTAGGGAATATCCGAGCTATGTGACCGCTCTCTAGCGCGTTGTAGGTGTTAGTTTATATGTATATGAGGTCACTGAAGACGAGGTTCAAGGCTTCTCAATCGTAGCTCGCACTATAGCAATATGCTAGAGCAAAGGAGGGTAAGACTTTGTTCAAGTATGATTGAGGATTGCTCTCATTGTGGGATCCGAAAGGTACGTGGGTTCTCATAGCTAATAATAAATCCTTAAGAAGTGCCAGTCAGCCTTGGGGGCCGATCCGTCGCGGCGCCGAGAAGAGGATCGGCAACATGTCGTTCGTCATAGCCACAGCAGGTTGATAGGTCACAAGACCATGGGAAGGATTGAGATTTTGTTCAGTAGACATGGTATGCCATGCATCAGGAAGAGGAACGGGCGGATTTAAGGAGTGAGGCGAACATGAGGATCATGTTAAGCGAATGTCGAAAGCTCGTGAAGTCAGTGAGGTCAAGAATAGCATGTGGAAGTCCACGTGACAACCAACTCACATGACAAATGCGAGTCATGTAAGATATAACAGAGAGGTTGGAGCGATTCAATCAACTATTATCACGTGTATCTACACGTGACTGTCCCATTTTTTGAGCAAGTCTCTCAATGTCTGTTGTCTTTTCTTTACAACCTCGTCGACGACGACTCAGAAGATCGCTCAGCTCTCACAATCGGACTTCTAATGTCCCATACCCTACACCAAGCCCTTGAATGCAAAAATGGATTACTGGGAAGTTCATCTTTTCGACCATTCGTATTCGGTGCTTGGGGATTTGGCCTAGCGCGCCTAATTGGACGACAGCCGTTCTATCTCCTACGCGAACCAAGACGAGACGTCAACTTTATCGGTACTTTGATAATTCACGTCCAAAGAGTCCATTCGAGAACCTACAACAAGGCTTCATAAGATCAAATATCTCCAACATGTCGTTGCGGACACAGTCCATAGCAAGGTTCTGAGACCACCCGCTGTACCACAGAAAGCGACGACCATCGCACAGATACTGCTTATCATGAGATCACCCCAGCCATGTCAACCAAGTCCGGGAAAGAGACCGCCTTCAAATCCATGAACTCCAAACCTCGATCACGGCCACCGAGTCTCTTGGCTTGTATTCCATGTCGAAAAAGCCATGTGAAATGCGACGGTCAAAAACCATTGTGTAGCAGATGTCAAAGTCGCAAGAGCAGCTGTTTCTGGGTCGACTCGAACCGTGGGTATCGCCATCATCGCAAGCCGGCGCCGTTGGGAAATTCCTCAATTCGCTCACAGGAGAGAGCTAACACCAACACCACCGCAACAGCGCCAGCAGAAACAACATCAGTGAAGCCCCCATTTCCTGGGCCTAATGTTGATGTATTTGAACAGGAGCAATACGACCTGCACGAAGCCGTGCAAGCCAGACAACTGACATACGAGGAAATATTCCAACACGACAGCAATGACTTGTTTCTAGCATCACTATCCTTGGATCCCCAGCAATTCGATATACCAGCCATTGCCGATCAACAAGAACCAAATCAACCTCCAATGACCAATGCCCCCTGGACGTCGACGGTGGCACAGCCGAATATTGACAACCTTTTGGACTCCAACTCCGAAAATGACCTAGTCGGGCTGTTCTATCGCTACTTCCATAGAGCTCACCCATTCCTAGCGCCGTGGCAACTATACAAACAAGATCCATCAGTCCTTCCCGCCCCTCTACTCGCAGTCGTCCTGTATGTTGCATCACACTATACCTCAGCGGCCGATACAGCGGCATTAGACGCCACAGCAAAGTCCATTCTGAACCCGGATGTGTCTGAAGACGGATTCAAAGTCCAGGGTCTGGCCTTATATGCATTGGTGAAATATGCGAGAGCAGAGCAGGAAACCGGTTCCATCGCGCTCGACATGGCTGTCGAATTAGCGTTGAGACTTGGTATGAATCGAGAGAGCTATGCCATTGTCAATGGGCAAACTCATCCGATCATGCACGAGACCTGGCGCCGCACATGGTGGTCGCTGTTTGCTATCGAAGGTATTACCACTGCCATCGGTGGCCAGCCTCATCCATTCCGCACATATTCGGTCGCCTCAGACGTGGCTTTGCCAGGCCCTGACGATGACTATGACAATCTTATCTACCCGCCTATTGGCCCCATATATACCCTGTCCAATATGCAGGAGCGGATGTTCATGGACCTGGGAGTCCATTTCTCCTCGTTTGCATATGTGGTCGAGGCGGCGCATAACCTTGGAGCGGTGCTGGCGTTGCCTCGCAACAGCGACAGTTACATTCATAACAGTACGATCAACAATAGTCGCACCGAGACCGAGACCAGCATCGATGCACAAGTCGAGGCTATAGACGCAAAGCTAGCCAGCTTCCAACTATCGCTCCCACCAGACAAACGCGACCCCTTGCACGAGGACACGACCATCGACCAGACGTTGCTATGGGCACACCTGATCATCAATTGGGCGGGAATACTACTACACCGGCCACGGTCATCGTTGACATTCATGCGCAGCCACTACCGCACCATTTGCACGCGAGACGACGGTGGTCGCGATGCAGTGGGAATTCCTGTTCTGGAGTATACTTCACACACGGCCAAAGCTCTACGGGCCGCCCATGCTGTCGTCAATCTTGCCTCCCTGCAACCTTGTATGGCTTCGTGTACTCCGACCTTGATGTGTGGTCTGACTGCAGCGGCCACCGTCCATTTGCCCGCGTATGCTATCGTCCATTGTCCGGACCAGGCGGTCGCCATCAAGGAGCGTTTGCAATTGGGTATTGCCGCGTTGGCCTCGTTTGGTGATTTCTGGCCACGTGCTACTATTGCGAGGTCGCAGATTGCTCGGTTTGCTCATGATATCCTGACAAAGCCGACTTTGTTTGTCGATAGTACTGGTCCAGGTCCCATGCCAATGGTGTCTGTGGAAGCGGTTCAACCGATGGGCTGTGATGCCTCTTTTGATAATGACCAGTGGATGGAGAATCTCATCCAAGCTGAACTGGCTGGTATTTATGATGATGACGGTAGTGATGACGGACTAGATGAAAACTCATACTTATACGTGAACACGGCGTGAGCGATTCGACTTTCTGGGCATTGATTAACAAGGCATTGGCTTGAAGCTAATATGATTCGGAAATGGCTACAATGTGGCCACCCTTCAATCATTAAAAGCCGAGGAAATGATAACTTGCAGTCCCACCCGCCTGCTGAAGCCAAACCATGATGCATTCGTCATTTCGTCTCATCTTTGTCGTATGCTTTCCTTTCACCCAAAGGTCATGTGCGCCACCAACTCCGTGCTTCAAGAGTCACATTCACAAGCTCCATGCTCATTCCGGCCTGAAGCAATCCCAGCAATAGAACACCAGACATTCGTCACACTGGTACAGCACTTCTTTTGCATCTTCCGCATCTTCCAACGGAGCTTGATCTTCGCCGTCGGCCAAATATGCAGACTGGGCAATCTTCATGTCCTTGAAACAAGCCATGCATCGAACTATGATTTCGGGCTGATCGTGTGGAACATTATAAAGCCAAAGCGGGGGCATTTTTTCGCGGGTGAATCTTCCAAAGGAATTATGGGCACATCCCCACGAATCAGCCCAGCCCTCGCTAGGCTCTGCCCCAAAATCTTCACCAGCTAACTCCCATCTTCTCGCACCTGGGTGGTCAAGGTTGGCGAATGAGTCCATCTGAATTTCAGGAGATGCCGACTGCTGAGTTTCTGCTGGTGCCGGCTGCTCCGTCGCAGCGACCGGTGTAGTTTGCGTAGGATGTTCCTCAACGACTGGTTGAGGGGTCTCGTCAAGCGTCTCTGGAGTCCGGGCTGAAGCATCTGGTTCTGTCTCTTCGACACTCTGCATTGGAACATCCTCGTCTCGATAGTCAGCCTGATCCCCGTCGACATCACCTCCTTCGACCTGACAAGCCTCGCTGCACTCGACGATAGATCGGCGACAGTCCCAACACCAATGAGCACCACAATGGCATTTGATGTGTGAACAGCCATACATCCTGGCCACAGCAATGCCACATTTGGGACACACTTTATACTTGAATTTCTTCAGCATTGCGAGAAGTGGGTCGGATGTTTGGCAAGCATGCGCGCCATTGGCATCAGCATCTGCATCGCTCAGCTGCTTGCACTTGACACAAACACTCCGTGCGCAAGTCGGACATTTGACAGTGTCACTGTTCTCCGAGATCAGACGTTTGGAGATGAAAGCAGAGCAAGTTGCGACTGGGCAGTAGAGGGGGTGAGGATTGGATTTCTCTTCAAATCTGGACATGTACTTGTTGAGATCAGCTTCGGGCACTAGTCCTCGTGCAACGTCAAAATGCCAGGACGACCCACAACAGGTCACGGGGAAAAGAGTCGTGTCCCGAAGGGCAGCGGAGAATTGATTGCGGAGACAAGTATGACATCTGGCGGAACGACAATGTCGACATGGGGTGGTGTAGTTGGCGACAACCTCCTCCAGGCAAACGCCGCACTTGATGGGTTTGGATGTAGGTTTCGTTTCGTCGAGGCTGGAAGCTGTGAAGGACTGGGAAATAGGTTCAGGAGCGACGGTCGATACGTCCATTTCAGTGACGATCTCCCTGTCTTCTGTATTGAGGGGTAAAGGGATAATCGGCCCAGAAGTCGAAATGGTCGGTGATGGAGGGTTGTTGCCGAGGCTGGAGGTTAGGTGAGGCTCTGGCAAGCCAGGGAGAGGGTCTTGCAACAAGGACGGATCAAGCTGGTCAAAGGAATGGCGGCGTGGTCCAAGAAGAAGGGAAATTGATGGTGCGGTGCAAAAGTCGAGGTCGTTGGTGGTGTAGTTAATGGTGCAGGAGCGAGTGAGGCTCGCTGCTGGCGTTGGCGGGGCAGTCACTTGATGACGCCTGCGCGAGAAGGCGCGAGTGAGAAGAGAACATGCCATGATTGTAATGGCAGTGTCGATCTGAAACCCGACGGATGAGATGGCGTATATCGAATATCGAACTGGTTCTACATGGATAAGTTGTAAGAAAAGTAGATATAATAATTCAAGTTGAACAAGGGATGAGCAAGTCTGATCTTCTTTATACTCTTCAATGTACCACCTAATCTACCAACACACAATTGCGCGAGGCTCCATTTTGAGTCATGCTGGCCATGGAAGTCTGGGTCCATGGGAACAGGCAACCAGAGATCCCAATGCTCATTGGTAGGTCGCTCGCAGGATGGCTGCAGGCTGAGCAGTTGTGCCTGAAAGAATGTCTGCCTGGGGACAATTCAGCCATGGTGTGACCAGTGGGATCCCACTAAGCGGACTTGCTTTTCTGACTGTATGTGACTTTGAACAAATAGCAGGACTAGACTTATTTCTTGTCATCAAGTTCCTCTCAAAGGATGTATTGTAATTGACGGCCACATGATACACTGGCCAGCGCTATTGGTCTAGTATGAAGGCAATGAGTCAAGAGTAACTTGTATTGATATAGTGAGGTTGGAACCAACTTTGGCTGGAACGGAGAAACCTACCCACCGAGATAACTGACTGCCCCACCTGCCTTAAGTACCAAGTCACGACGCGTCTCTCTTGGTCCGCTCTTTCCTTGCGACTATCAAATCGACGCGTCCGCTCCTCCCGTGACTCCCTCCCCATTTTTCCCAATATGACCCAGCACGTGCCAGGGACCACAGTCGGACGTTGAGAAGTTACGCTCTGGCTCACTGCGCAGTTACGACATTGGTGTCTTCTCGCTACCAGATCAAGTCTTTTCTACTCATCCCCTCTGGTCTAGCAATCATGCCTCCAAAGCGAAGAGCCGCAGACATCTCCCGCGACCCGTCATCCTCTGAAGATGAAGAAACCGTCCGACCAAGCCGACGCCGACATGTCCAGTCTAGTGAGGAAGAAGAACAAGAAGAACAAAACAATTCCGATGCTTCAGTCAACTCAGATCTTGGTGCCTCGCAAATCGGACCTCGTGTCCACCAGAGAGCGTTGATCAAGAAGCTCGTGCGACTGGCCCTGGCCACGGAATACTCTCGTACCCCTCTGCGAAGAAACGACATTACGACCAAAATCTTCAAGGATGGCAGCGGTTACAGGGCGGGATCCTCGCGCAATTTCCGTGCCATTTTTGACGGTGCCCAGGCAATTCTGAAAGACACGTTTGGAATGCAGCTGGTGGAACTTCCCGCAAGAGAGAAGACCAGCTTAAGAGACCGACGCAATGCCACCACACAGACCAAAAGCACCACATCCACCACCAAGAACTGGATCCTAACCTCCATCCTCCCACCACAATTGAAAACCAACCCAACAATCATCCAACCAACACAAGCTCCTAGTGTTCCAATTGAGTCATCCTACACCGCCTTGTACACATTTATCATCTCCCTCCTCTACCTCAACAACAACTCTCTCACAGATCAGAAACTCATTCGATATCTCAAGCGAGTGAACGCCGATGCTCAAACTCCTGTCGGGAATCTCGATAAGGTTCTGCAGCGGATGCAGCGGGATGGCTACCTGGACAAACGACGAGACACAGTCATGGGGGAGGAGGTGGTTGAATGGTACGTGGGACCCAGGGGTAAGGTGGAAGTGGGAGCAAAGGGAGTAGCAGGGCTCGTTCGGAGTGTCTATGGTCACGGAGCGGTGCCCTTGAGTGGGAGACCTCGTGGTGCTGCTGGGGAAGGACAGTCTGACGCCCCGCCCCTCGTCAAAATGGAAGAGGAAGAGCTCGAATCCAGATTGTTAAGAAGCCTAGGCGTCAAAATCGACACGGGTCGCAAGTCTCAGACTCAACAAGCCATCAATGTTGACACCAATGAGGAGGACGAAGAAAACGATAATGACGCTCATGATCGACGGCGGAATGTCAAAACAGAGGCCGGACCTTCGAGGAGGCAGACCAGAGCGGGCCCTGCTCGAGCACGTACTGGAAGGCGGAGACGACCAGCCGATGATGACGACTCAGATAGTATCTAAGAAAAGTCTTCGATACCCTGGCTATGAATGGATAGTACATGATATGATAGATGATTGTTTTGCTAACACTGAGTATGACCATGATCATGACCGTTATATCCCTCCTTTCTTTCCAAATTCTCTCCCTTCAATCCTCTAGCAGATTTCAAGATCTCAAAGTCCTTGATATTGGGCATGATTTCCATCCACGTCGGAGAAGAGCTCAGGCGTGAATGTGATGGATTTCGCCTTTTTGCCATCCACTCGCGAAAATTAGATTAGGCACGAGGGCAGGCACCTTCCATTCCCACTTAGTGCAACGAGCAACAAACAACGGAAGTTACACACCTGCACCTACCTCAAGTTTTCGGTTCTTAGGTACCTATAAATCTGAAAGACGCGCCTGCCTCTAGTTGGAATGGAAGTTTGGGCAGACACGCAGACACATAATCTCCAGGCACACTATAAATCCAACATTCCACAAATCCAAGCGCAAACACAGAATGCACATCCACGTTTATTCGGAATACCTAGGTAGTATGCAGTTAGGCTCTTCGCATTAAACCATTCATGCTAGGTCTATCAACCCTCATCCATTGACTGACTCTCCACGCTATGCATTTGCCCAGGCCCACACCCGTGCCCATGGTGCATGTGTCCAGCAGGTCAAAAACTCCAAACAACGTCACTATGAGGGCGGAAGAAAGTCTATGGAGGTTTTTTAAAAAAAGAACAACAAGACAAAGTGGTTGGTAAGCCGAGCATGAGCATGATGTACACATCGCATCGTCTCGCCCCCGCATGGTCTTCCATGAGGACTGTTACCTGGGGCAGACAACTCAACAGACTGGCTGACCTAGTGAGCCCGACTTTGACGCGTGAATCATGTGGCAAGAGATCGATGGAGTTCGTCTAGATCTTGATGTCAAATGGGCGAGCCTTTTTGAGAGGTAGAGGTCGAGGCCGTTTCTGCGGGTCGTTATGGTCCGGCGTGGACGCCACTTCCCCCCAATTCGACATCGATCGTGTTCGTGTGTCCGCTCGGTCGATTTGGAACATAACGGGGCCCCATGTGTCGGCTCGAACTGATTCAGGAGTACTCGACAATGGTTTGTTGCGTTTCCCTGGTCTGGAATCAACCAAACGGCGAGAACCCACCCCGTCCACCACCACCGTTGGCAAAGCGGAAACCACCAGCTCCACCTGGGAATCCTCCTCCTCCATGGCCACCACCGCCGCCCATTCCGTTCATCATGTTGAACAGCATCTCAGGGTCGATCTGAACTCCTCCGCCCATACCGCCCATACCACCACCGAATCCACCAGGGAATCCACCACCGCCCATACCAGGTTCCATTAGATCAGCTCCGGTGTCAAACATGTGTCTCTTTTGAGGATCCAGCAATGTCTCCTTGGCCTCGAGGCAGTCTTTGAACTCCTCTTCTTTGGCTTTGTCACCCATGGTTTTGTCAGGATGGAGTAAGGCCGCTTTCCGCTTGTAGGCACGTTCAATCTCCTTGTCGCCGGCATCCTTGTCCACCCCAAGAATCTTATACCAGTCCTTGCGCTTGGACTTTTTGAGTTCTAGCTCAGCGTTACGCAGTTCCTTGGCAAGGTCGGCGTCGCTTGGGTATTCTTCTGTCAGCGCCTTGTAATCCTTGACGGCCTGTTCCCAGTCACCTGATTCACCAGTGACTTTGGCACGGGTCCGCTTAGCCTTGATGTAAGTGGGATCGAGTTTGAGCGCTTGGTCACAATCACTTCGGGCCTCGTCGTATTCCTTGATCTTGATGCGTGCCATGGCTCGGTTGCCGAGGAGTTTAGCATTGGTGACTTTGTTGCTGGGGTCGATCGTGAGGGCTTCGGTATATGCGGTGACGGCATCGGAGAATTTGCCGCGCTTGAATAAATCGTTGGCGGCGGTGCGAGCCCGATCGAGTTTCTTCATGGTACGAAGACAGTTGCGAGCATCGGCATTGTCGGGGTCGAGGTTGAGGGCTTGCCGGAAGTGGTCCTCTGCTCGTTCATAGTCGGATTTGCCCTGGCGGGGTTTGTCGTCTTTCAAGTACAAGGCTCGGCCGGCAACGGCAATGGCTTCTGCATCCATGGGGTTGTCTCGCATAAGGCTCTGAGCAATTGCCTGCACCTCTCCAAGAGCATTGACGGTACCAATCTTGAGATTTGCCCGGGCCCGTAGGATTTGCCAGCTTCGCGGGGTTGGGGTGCCTGCGCCGAGAGTCTGTTTGGCCTGATCGATGCTCCACAGAGCCATATTTCCATTGCCATCCTCAGAATTAATTTGCTTTTCGGCAAGCTCTATTGATGACAAAGCCTTGCGGGCTGCAGCGGTGTCGGTAACAGAGGCATCTGGGATTTTGGCGTATGTATCAAGCGCTGCTTCAGGGCGGCCGAGAGAAGTGTAGATTCGGGCGAGGCGATGGAGAATCTTGTGGTTGTCGGGGTCTAATCGGTTAGCCTGTAACGAATCGCCGAGGGCCAGAGAATATTTGTTGGCGGAGATGTAAGCGGCCGCTCGGTTTGAGAGATAGGTTGGGTTTGAAGGTTCTGCTTCGACGGCTGTCACAGATTTGTCAGCTACAATTTCTCATACCAATATTTTGAAAGCGAGTGTAGCACCTTTTGTGTATTCAGCGATTGCTCGCTCATAGTCCTTTGCCTTGAAGAATTTGTTGCCGGCGGCCTTGCACGCTTCTGGATCGACCTTGGGTGGCGGAGGGGCCTTGTGCGGTGGGGGAGTTGGGCTTCGATCGTCTGAACCGTTGGCGGTGCCATTGGTACCATCGTCACTGGACTGCTCAGGGAAGGCGCCGGGGGCGTCTCTTGAGGGAGTGGCGGGTGGTGAGGAATGTTCGCCATTCATATTGGCTGGCTGCGGATCTGAATTTTCTGGGGCGGACATATCTCTATCGACCGACATGGAGGCCCGACTGTTGGCCTCTTCTTTGGCCATGTGAGCCGTGTACAATCTGTGCAGTTGGTCTGGGGGAAGGTTGAGAGGGTGAGTGTCAGGATCGGGGTCGTGCTTGGAGGGTTTTTTCTTATCACGTTCTCGGGCCTTGTCGTTCTTCTTGGGGGATTTTGACTTCGGCATAAATGGAGATGGAAGTGGCCCAGTCGGATTGGTCCACTGTTTCCGAGAGCGTGAAGGTGAAGGCGAGGGTGAAGGTGAGGAGCCGGAGCCGTGTGGGTGCGGGAGTGTGCTTGGCCGAGTGCGAATGACAGTGGGAGTGGGAAAAGCAGTGGCAGAGGTGGCGGTTGGGGGTGCTGGGTAAGGGCTCCCCGGCTGCAAATGGGCGGCGGAGGAACCCGAGTGCAGGTGAATGGTGGCCTTGAGTGGGGCGCTTTGCCCACCTAAGGTTGAGCCTTTGGTGGCAGCGTTGGGCGCCGTGGCTGGACCACCCGCCGTGCCGCTCCCGCCTACGGTTGTGCCTGTACCTGTGCCTGTGACAGTTTCCGCACGTCTGCCAGAAATGCCAGGCCGATAAAGATGTTTAGGTTTCGGCTTGGAATCATGTATCTCTCGGCCTTGATCTTGTGTTTTGCCTCTCTCTTTATCTCTTTCTCTTTCTCTATCTCTCGACGTTGTGACCTTGTCAACCGTAGGGGACGCGACGGCGGGAGAGTCAAACGAGCGTAAGAGGGAACGGAGATTCTCCTCGGTCAAGGGTGCTGCTTTGCTGGAGCCACGCTTGGACTCTTCGCTCAACAACTCGAGGGGAGATGTGTAGGAGATGGAACGACTTTTGGAAGGCAGTTTGGCGGTGGGTGAGGGAGAACGAGGCCTGCTGCCTTGAGCGAAATGCAGATTTGTTGGTTTGATGTTGAGAGGGTCGTGCAATGGCGATACACGAGTGTTTGTTGGTGGACGACTTTTCTTTGCCCAGGAAGATGGCTGTTGAGAGACTGAGTGTAAGTCTGGCTCTGGCTGCAGGCCCTTCGGCTGTGTTGCTGGTGTTGGTACTACTCCCCGGGGGTAGTAGGCTGTTGGACGCTGCTGAGGAGTGCCGCCTGCACCTTCGCCTGCGCCTGCGCCTGATGCTCGAGAGGCCCTACTGTGTCCCCTCCTGGCTGGACCAGGGTTGTCCTCTCCAATCGTCAGGGAGATTTCATCGAAATGTCTAGAACTTTGGCCTCGTTGGACACGTTCATTGCCAATCGGGGGCCGAGAAGGGTCTTGTTGGCCGCTCTTAGCACCGGCACCAGTTCCGGGTTGGGTATCCTGGCGTGTCTGGTGGACATGGTCCTCTAGAGACTGGCTATCGCCATCTCCAGCAGCCCTGCTAGCCTGGCCATGGTGCGTCGGCTTCATGGCCCCACTGGCTCTCACTGGCTTCCGCTGGTCCATTGTCAGTCGATCACCGTCATCAAACATCGCTTGTGTTCTCGCTTCTCTTCGTTGCTTTGTGTCTTCTCTCCCTCCTCCGGCCAATCGACCAGGAGCCATAACGGATCTAGACTTCTGCGAAAGATCATTTTTTCTTGTGTTGATGAAGGCACTGTCGCGAACCTGTCAAAGCTGAAAAGAAGATAAAGATCTGATGAGATCGATAGCTTAAGGAAGGACAACAGGTGAGTCAAAGGCACAAGACACGTCACGAAATCCCGTGATGATGGAAAAATATATATCCAAACTGGTGTTTAAGCCAAAAGTCTGCCCACATCATGTGAAAACGTAACAACACTCATGGTAGCTCACAACTGATCTACTTTCAGTATTGCTCTCTCGTTCCAGTTTTGCTTGTTTGGAGCCAGACCAGCCAACAAGCCAACCCCTGCACAGAGCCATTAAATAGACCTGATTTTCGTCTTCTCTTTCTCTGATACTAGTACAGCAATCCAGTTTGCACCGTCTTGACCTATGTCCAATATTCCGACCTATATCAACGAAAATTACGATGCATGACCACCAGCACTCCCCCTAACCGACGCCAAACACATCTTTCTAGTTCCCCCGTAGGATCAGCATCTTGGATCTTCTGCATACAGGCCTTTCATTCCTAGTGTCGGACTGGGTTAGACAATTTCGAAGAAAACATGTAGGTAATGGACAAATCTGGAGAGGATCCTGGGGAGGGTCATCGAAAGGGCCCTGGAGAGATTTTGGAGAGGGAGATGCGATGGAAATTTAGGATGAATATTTTGGCTTGTTTTTTATTCAGCAAGGCCTCTTCATACTGTTGTGTTTCAGATTGAGAGGTGAAAAGTTGATTGTCTCTCCTCGTGGCCAACGGGGAGCCCTTCGCTATCTATACTGTGACCAGGGGCTGCGGTCCTGGTCTCTAAACTCTACACTACGAGGCAGAAAGATGCCACACATGCTCTATATTTTGACGTAGTTTTCGTGTCTGGTTCTTGCTTGGACACTTTTCACGTGACATGGTGTGATGTTGCCAAGGTGCGCCAGCCTAATATGGTTAGTATTGTTTATTCTTGACGTAGCGTCTTCCCCAATCCCGTTTGATCTCAACATCTCGTCTATCAACCAACCCACTCCTCCGAATAAATCCATGCCAAACCTCTCCTCCACTGGAGTCCACGGACCACCTCTATCCTGACACGACATACTTTAAAACAACTGTCTCTGTCATTGTTCGTGACATACGACTAGCCCACCTAGTTTGCCTGCCATGGCTACTCCTCGTCGCCGTTCTGCGCGACTCAGCAAGTCTGCACAACAAAAGGTATGGAGTGATTGGTTGACCTCGCGTAGAAACCAGTTTTCTGCGAGCCTTGGACCTCTGATCATCTTTCAACGTACATCTGCAAGTAGCACGAAGCTGACAGACGTATATAGCACTCTTCACCTCGAAAAGTGCCATCTTCTGCGCACCTAGAATCACTCGTTGAGAGAGACGAAACACCCGAAGCCAATCAGCCACAATCAATCGAAAATGTATTGTCGAGTCCCGCGTCGCCAACAAGCATCAAGTCTCATCTCTCCAAACTCTCCAAACTAAAGACACCTCAAACAATGCCACGGGTAGATCGAGGTGAAATGCATCCACAGCTCATGCATCAATCTACTGCTAAAGCACCGGATTCTGGTCTTAAGCTTGGTTTTGTGGACCTGCCCTTGCAGGCACCCCGGTCCATTGCCAGTGCACAGAACACCCCCTCCAAATCCCGAACGAGCACTCCAGTCAACTTGTCCTCTACGAAGTTCAGTTTCAACTTTGGAGCAGAAGCCCAGTTGAGTGCTGAGGCGCAGGAGTTGATGGACACGGTGCGAGAAGAAGCGGCCAAGATCAAGGCTCAGATGCAGGCGGAGAAAGAAGCACAACAGAAGAAAGACGACGAAGCTGAGGCTGCGTATGGTGGCACAAATGCGTCCGGGAGAAGAATTGTCAAACCAAAGGGCAAGGTTGGTCGATTCAGTGACATTCATATGGCACAGTTCAAAAAAATGGATTCAATCGCAGATCACCCGTCCTCGTTTCGAAGCAAACCCGGATTCGCTCAGCCTACCACCATGTCCCTCAAGAGAAGTGGCTCCAAGGCTGGACTTGATGAGGTAGAGAGACCTCGCACTGCTGGCAAGGGAACCCCTGGAAGACTTCCACCACCATTCTTGGGCCGTCCAACTTCTGTCAGTCCTTTCAAATCAATTCCGCAAGTATCGGATCGTATTGAAGCCACGGGTTCGGCTAAAAGAGCCCGCCAATCTGAATTTCACGACGTCTCGGCCAGTCGACCAGCGGAACAGCAATCTCCTGCCAAATCAAATCTCCCTCGACCGGTTCCCAGTAGTTTGCTGTCTCCAACCAAGGCATCCTTGGCTCGTTCAGCAGGTCCGAGTCAGTTGCCAGTTGCCTCGCCGTTGAAATCACATAGCCTTTCTAGGACTGCTAGTGTCAAGTCACTGCGAACCACATCGTCTATTCCTACCACCAGACCACCGTCTTCACAGGGATTGGGCAGCTCCAAAACTATTGATGCCGTTTCTACGAATTCGATCTTTGAGAGACAATCGCCCAAGAAAAGGGTCGCACCGTCGTCAGAAACAGTGAAGCAGAGCTCATTAGAATCGTACAAATCCGCGGACGTGACAACCACAAACGCCAAAACTGTTTCAACCTCCAAGCTTCCGATGCTGTCTGGGCTCAAGTCAATTCTTCGGCACGGTCGAAAATCCAATGCTGCACCGTCGATCGAAAATCGGCCTGGTACACCGAAGCGACCCAACACCGCGAATGCTGATAGTGGCTCAGTGAGAAAGGTTGACTTCACCCCCAGCGTCAAATCGAGATATGCAGTTAAGCTGGCGGCAGGCAGTCCCAGTCCAGCGAAAATGCCTCATCTGACCCCCGGGAAGCCTCCCGTGGTTCCATACGATCCCGCTGCATATATCATGCAGGATGACGATGGTGATGAAAACTGGGAAGATGCAGAGAGCGAGATTGACTATCCTCAACTACCACCACTGGGGTCCAGTCCTGCTGCCCAGGAAATGGGGAAATCCTTTGACATCAAGGCCAAGGAGCACAATCGTCGTGAATCCAAGGAGTTCAAGTCGATTTTCACGACGCTCCATCATCCTTCTCGCCCTTCCACCTTGACATCGGTTAACACGACGGTCAATCAGACGGGGCCAACTATTCATGCTAATAAAATTATGCGTTCCCCGAGTAATCCTCACATGTCCAAGCCATCCCCCAACACCATCCGATACGTTCAGGGCTCAGGTGCCACAGAGATTGTCCAACCTTTCGAGGATGCCCACGTCAAAACCATGCCTCACGGTCTGCCCGGTAAAAAGCGACGCCGCGAGTCGACCTTGTCAGATGATGATGATGATGATTTCGGACCGGAAAACAAAGAGAACCGACGAATGTCGATCATGCCCAAGGTTCCTGGTGGGTGGGAGGACTCGTTGAAGCTGGACGAAGTGGATGATGAAGGAGCCAAGCGTGGAGGCAAACGAGCGAAGTTTGTGCCCGCAGAAACCACCCCAGCCGCGATGCCCCCGACGAACGAGAAGAAGAAGCCACGGGCGAGCTCGGCTCGAGAAATGGCCAAACAGAATGCTAAGGACCGCAAGGGTAAGGGAATTTTGAGCCTCAGTCGCTTGAATATGTTGAGCCGCCCCAAGCAGAGATCTTAAGCGAAGAGATCTTTGCGGAGGTGTAAGGGGGGTAGTTCTCCGATGAGAAGTAATTAGATGAAGAAGAATCATGGGTATGAAGAACTCGCAGCGAATTGAGCACAGGACAGCTTCGGAGAATGGAGTCATTTTTTTCGGATTCTGGTATGGGTATTGGGACAACAGGACATGACCAAAAGTTTGCTTATCTTTGGGACGTGATTGTGGAGTATTGGATTCATGGGTCGCTCTCCTTGGACAGGCATCCGAGGAGCTAAGTTGGGATGGATGGGATACACGATGGGTGTTGGAGGAGTGCATTTGGGTCAAGGGGGTTGCTTGGGGAGTCGACGACGATGTCAAGAGTACCACTGCTGCTGCTGTTATTGTAGTTGTTTAGAACATCATGAACAGACCCTTGTCCCGGTCATCTAAGAGATCTCCATTGAATCCGATATGTCCAAGGCACGTTATATCACACGTGCGTGTATGCGCTATCTCCATGGGCTCAAGAAGATTCTCCATGTCCTTTCCATTTATATTTGCCTCTTCTGTCGCTCTACGCCTGTGGCCATACCAGTCACTATCCGTTTTAACCATCCTGCCAGCCAGCCAGCTATCCGCCAGTCCATCGCATACAATCCATATATTGTTATCACTCCTTGTCCGCGCCATTGGGCTGCTGGTGTCCCAAAAACCTATCTCCACATGTACAGACTGTGTATAGTAATACAACTGACAAACCAGGCTTGCATCTTCGAAACAGCTTGACCAATCCATCTGTACGCCGAGCAATCCTTTTTCAAACAACCATGTCTTCCGTTCCAACCGTACAATAATGCCTTTGTCCGTCCACCTGGCGTGGATATCACCAGACTCACGTTTCCTCAAGTCAACACATGTTTAGGGAGGGATTGAGCGGCCACTGATGCGACCGATACGGGATCATCAGATCTAACTCTTCCAGAGTAAGTGTCGTGGGCTTCGCTTGCTGCGCAGACATGACGTCGTATAATGAAGCCAGGTGTGTGTTATTCTCATCAGTCCTGCCGTTTCCTTCTCGATAGGAAGGGAAGTCGAAGGTGAATAGAATGTATAAGTATTTATTCCCTCCGGCGCGCAAGGGAGAGGTTCGCGGCTTGCCCTGCAACCTTTTGAAAACTTCATTGAAAATAAGGGTCGTGGCTCTCGAGGCTGGGATCGGTCGAAGCGGCGATCATTGCTGTCCCGTGGAGAATTCAAGGAAATGGAAGCTGGGCAGTTGTATATGTAGAGGAAACCGAGTTGTTGGAACAATAATGAAGTGTGACGAGGCCCTTTGCTAATACACGGCTTCTAGCAAGTAGATGACGCCAAAGACCAGAAACGCAATCGCACCGCCCATAGTTACTGGACATATGATTAGTATGATGTAGAGAAGACACCACCAGAGAATTGGGAAAAAGAGCCACTTACCAGTTCGAAGGCTCACTTTACCAGCAATCGCCTTGCCTCCTAGGACCGCCACGCCGGTACAAATACAATGTCCGCCCAATGCGCCAGCAGTAACCCACCAATAGTCCTGTCCTGCTGCCATGGCAATGGTGGCAATTTGAGATCGATCACCCCATTCACCCAAGAAAGTCATGATGAAGGTCTGTACCCACGCAGGGCTCAATAGGAGCGAAAACAGGTTGTTGACACCAGTTGCAAAGTTGCGGAGAGAAGATTGCCTCGACGGCGAAGATTCCCGGGAACTAGCTGGGCTTTCAGGGGGAGAAGGGAGACGACTATTAGTATGTTTCCTTCCAGTACCACCGCGGCCGGCTTCCAGAGCATACGGCGAGATGTTGGATGAGCGCCTGCGGGCATGTCGTCTTTGTTCTTGCTCTTTCTCTTCCAATTCCATTTCGACTTCTTTCATCTCCTCACTGACACCCTCGTCGGGACTGATGCCACGTGCTTCGATCAGCATTTTGACACCAAAGACCAAGAAGAGACCGGCTGCAGCGAAGTTGGTCACTGTTTTGGGGATCAAAGTTGGGACAGCGTGACCCAGGACGGCCGAGAGGACGGTCATGGCGACGAGGGCCGAAAAGGCTGCCGTGAAGACGACCAAGCGGGGATGTCGCATCGCCATCAAGGCTGCAACGAGGAAAGTCTTGTCGCCAATCTCGGAGAAGAGAATCATAGTGAAGGAGAGTAGTAAGGAATGAAGCGGCTGAATAACAGCTGGCTCATGTTCGTCGTGCTTGGATGCTTTTCCAGAGTCTGGGTCTTGGAGGAGAGCATTATCTTTGGGCGAGGATGGATTCTGAGGGTGAGGAATATCGTGTGGTTTCTCGGGCAGATCAGCGGGGGTCTAGGGAATTTGTCAGTGAGAGTGAAGATGGATGTTATGAGGGTTGGCGTTACCTTTAAGATGCTCTTAGGATCTTCAGCAGTTGGTATTTTGACCTCCTCTTGCTCTTGACTATGTGGACGCGCATCCTTTGGAGGATCGGGCTTCTTATCGGAAAGAAATCCTGGTTTGCCTTTTCCAGAGATGCCGCCCTCTGTGCCTCTTGTTCCTTCAGCAGGCTTGGAACTATGTCGATCGTCCATTACTGCATCGTTGGATTGGGGGATATCTCCTTTTGAGTATTGCTCTTTCTTGATGGGTTTCTCTGGCACAGTCTCGGTGTCGTCGGAAAGTTGCTTCTTTCTTGATCGCTCCGCACCAGTCTCTACAAAGGGGCCATCATGAGGCATGCCATCCCTGCCATCCACAGGAGCATGCTCAGTTCCAATTGGAGCTGACTTTCCGCCCACTACTGCCAGGGGCAGGGAATCCTTCAGATGTCTGGTATTCTGGATAAACTTGTCTACTGACACGTCTCGAGGCTGTGAGTTTGTCGAGTGACTGGTGGCTAGGGAGGAGAGGAGAAAGAGGAGAAAAGGAGTGTGGCGAACCATGATCCTCATGGTCGCGTGAGGCGAGGGAAGATGTATGGAGGGATGGAGATGAACACGTTGAAAGTCGTCAGAAGAGTGGAGGATTTCGGAGGGACTCGTTGGGAGAGGTGCAACAAAAGGCTGTCTAGGAGATAGCTGGTCAACCAGGGACCTGGAAGGAAATCTGGGTGTTGGAAAAGTCCCAGGGCCTGAAAGCTGTCAAGATTGTCTGTTGCAAAGTGGCAGCTTTGGGATGTGGCTTTTTCTCAATTGATCGGGGGTGTGAGCGGCGTTCAATGATAGACTTGTTGAACTTTGGTCAGGGTGTCCACATCTGGGGGTGGCAGAGATGCATAATCCCTGCCGGTTTCAATCTCCATTAAGACTTTAAGTAGCGTAGTAGATGGGGGCGTCCGACCTTTTGTTGGTGGGAGAATCTGATTCCTCAGCCCTTGGATTCCTTTTCCCTGCGTTCAAGCTTTTCTAGATGGAGTTGATATCGGCCAATCATAGACGAGGTTTTTCCCGCAGCCTCGTGAGATCTTAGCCCAATAAACTGCCATCATTGGCTAGCCTTGTTCTATTGAATTCTTAGTATAATTTTCTGATATAAATCTGATCATGTCTTCTCATAAGAATCAGCGATGCACGCACATATTTGCCTCAAATTGAGTTGAAACCCGACTATTCTCATGCATCATTACTCCCACTATCACAATGCCTAAAGATCATAAGCGCAAACGGGAATCCTCCGACCAGAAATCTCGAAAGTCCCCGAAAGTTGACACAGAGGAAAATCCAGTCGATATTGATACCTCTAAACCTACTGCCGTCTTCAAACCGACAGGTCCTCGTTCTCATACACTAAGCATTGCTCTGCCAGGGAGTGTCATTGCCAATGCCAAGTCTCACGATCAGAAGACATATCTTGCTGGACAGATAGGAAGAGCTCTAGCCGTTTTCTGTGTCGATGAAATTGTCATCTTCGACGATGAAGACGCCGCCGCTCAAAAATCGCGTCGAGTGGTGGGCGACAACGACTATACCGCATTCTCTCATCCAAATCATTTCCTAGCACACATTCTCTCGTTTCTGGAAACACCACCTCATCTACGCAAAACACTCTTCCCCATGCATCCCAACCTTCGAACTGCAGGGACTTTACCTAGCCTAGACATGCCACATCATCTAAGGGCCAATGAGTTTTGCGAATATCGAGAAGGTGTCACACTGGCGCCGTCAGCTGGAACCCAGGGCTCCTTGGTCGACGTTGGACTCGCTGAGCCATGGTCAGTGGAGGATCAAGATATCCCTCCAGGCACCCGGGTCACGCTTCGCCTCGACAGCTCTGACTCCACAGCAGCATCAGCAGTCTCTCCCAGTACTCCACGAGAGGAATCAGGTTATTACTGGGGCTACACAGTACGTTCTTGCGACAGCTTGTCCAATGTCTTCACGGAGTGCCCTTTCGATGGAGGGTATGACATTTCTTTTGGAACGTCAGAACGAGGCACCTCTTTGGAAGACACCATGGGTCAATTCGGTCTTGTTGGTCCTGATGCTCCCAATTTTGAACATGTCTTGGTTGTCTTTGGTGGAGTTGCAGGCCTCGAGACTGCGGCTAGGAACGACTCTGCTCTCCAGCAAATGCGAATCAATGGCAACAACGTCAGTGAATTGTTTGATCACTGGATAAATGTCCTCCCTGGACAGGGTAGTCGAACCATTCGAACTGAGGAGGCTGTTTGGCTTGGATTGATGGGATTAAAGCCTTTTGTCAATAGCCTTGGTAACAAAGTTTGAATCAACTGGCCCCGACTTCTGACTTGGTTACATCCACCACTACTAGGCTTACATTTTCATGGCATGTCTAGGAGTCTCTGTAGAACAACTATCAGATTCATCAACGATGTCAACTCGGCTTATGTGGCCAACTCATATCAAACATCATCTGTAAATGCAACACACCCCGCCTTGATGCTCTTGATTACGTGAAAAGGATATTTCACCGAGCTAAACTCTAACTCGCACGGCTGGTTGTCGATCTCTCCGTCATAGGCAGCACTATGCAGGGAATGCCTAGGCACCACAATTCTGACATCCCAGGCAATATTGAATCCCATCTTCTATATGAGTGACGGTTTAGATCATATAATGCCCAGCAGGTTCATCAAGGGCCATTCTTCTCGTGGCCAGTGAACTTGGCCATCATGTCCGTCTTCTCAGAAAACAGTTCAGACTCATCCTTTGGTCCTGTTTCTGATGCTCGATCGTTCGATTTCACTCTTCTATTTGAAGATACAATCCTTACAATTGTTCCAGCTGGAGTATTCCTGGTGGCGGCTGGGGTACGGACGGCATGGCTCATCAACAAACCCAACACAGTTACATCCTCATTTAGCCGCCTGACCAAATTGGTAAAGACTTATAGTCCCGTCTCAATTCTGCACACTGACTACTAATCAGGTGATACTTTCGGCCTTTGCAACCACCCAGTTGACGGTCCTCGTCTCAAGAATTAGCAATCTAGACGTGGGAACCAAGGCATCTATACCTGCCACCGCCCTCGACTTCACTGCAGCTTGTGCCTTGTTCCTGCTCTCCTGCTTCGAACATTCTCGCTCGGTCACGCCATCGACCATTATCGGTTTATATTTGCTGATATCTGTTCCGTTTGACGCGGTCAGACTTCGGACCTACTTCCTTCTAGACGTCTTTGGCTCTCGTGGTTTGGCCAATTTACTGTCTCTGTCCCTGGCCATCAAGCTAATTGTCCTGATCGCCGAAGCCATTGAGAAGCGAAGTATTCTTCTTGAGCCCTACCGCGACCTGCCACCTGAAGCGACCAGTGGAATCTACAACAAAACTGTCTTCTGGTGGTTGAACCCCCTACTCAGTCTTGGGTTCCGCACAACTCTGCGGACGGATGACTTGTTTACTCTGGATAAAACGCTGTCTTCTGCTGATACTCACAAAAGGTTTCAGCGCGAATGGTCATCGACTAAGGTCGTTGGCCGATTTAGCCTTTTGTTGACCACGGCCAAAGTGCTGAAATGGCAACTTCTTATCTCAGCCATTCCTCGATTGTGTCTATCGGCAGCCAGATTCACACAACCATTTCTCGCTCGCCAGACCATCAATTTCGTCGCCCACCAAGAGCAACCTTCTGCAAATGGATGGGGTTTAGTCGGGGCTTACTTCCTCATCTACCTCGTTCAGGCAATCTCAACAGCAGCCTACAGACATCTCTTGAATCGATGTGTCACTCAGGTGCGAGGTGGCTTGGTCTCACTGTTATACAACAAAACAGCCGAGTTACGTATGGGAACAGTGGACCCCACGGCTTCTTTGACGTTGATGTCATCTGATATTCAACGCATGACGGAGACATTGATACTGGTCCACGACTTGTGGTGTAGTGTCATCGAAATCGGGATCGCAATGTTTTTGCTGTATCTCGATCTCGGTGCAGGGTGCGCAGGCCCAGCCATTGTTTACGTTCTCCAGCTCGTGGGAACTGCTTGGGCGACCAATGTCATTTCAGCCTATCAGAAGAGCTGGCTCAATGCCATTCAGACTCGTGTAAGCTTTACCTCGAGTCTGCTGCACTCTATGAGAAACGTCAAGCTTCTCGGGATGTCATCCATCATCAAAGACCGCACTCAGAACCTCCGCGTGGACGAAGTCAACGAGTGCAAGAAGTACCGCTTCATCAACAATTTTATCATCCTATTCCAGAACTCCGCTGGTATCTTTGCGCCGTTTGCGGCATTTCTTTTCTCCTACCTCCAATCACGGTCAACGAACCAATCTCTGAATTTAGCCACATCGTTCAGCATTCTCACTATCCTTCGCCTGGCCGAGGTTCCACTGAATGTCATATGTTATTCTGCACCGCATGTGGCATCCTCTATAGCATGTTTCGAACGAATCCAACACTATCTTCTTGCTGATTCTTGGCATGATAACCGACTCTCCTTGACCAAGTCTACGGATGCTAGCGACCCCTGGGAAAGTGAAATCCTGGGCCCTGGTGCTCTCGAAATGAGTCGGCTGAGTGGCGAGAGACGTACTTTAGCGACCGAAGCCGTATCGTTGAAAGATTGCTCGTTTGGATGGAATAGAGAGGATATCATCTTGAAAGATATCGATGCGACTATACACTGTGGATCCCTTACTATGATCATTGGTCCAGTTGGGTGCGGAAAGTCTACTCTTTTGAAAGGGATTCTGGGAGAGACCCCAGTAACCCAAGGATTCGTTTACCTTCGGAATAAATCTATTGCCTTTGCTGATCAGGAACCGTGGATCCAGAATGCCACGATCAGAGACGCTATAAGAGGTCCACGTGCTTGGGAGGATCGACCGCTTGACCGCCCATGGTATCAAGAGGTGATCAATTGTTGCGGGCTCGCTGAAGACATTGTGGCTTTCCCACTTGGAGATATGACCTTGATTGGCTCCAAGGGAATCTCCTTGAGCGGCGGACAGAAGCAAAGATTGGCACTTGCCAGGGCACTGTACACAAAGGCAGAGATTTTACTCCTTGACGACGTCTTTTCTGGACTGGACAAGGACACTGAGGAGCACATATTCAAGAAGCTTTTCAGCAAATCGGGTCCCTTGCGCAGAATGGGCACAACCGTGATCATGGTAACTCATGCCGTTCATCGTCTTTCACACGCGGATATGATCCTGAGTGTTGGCGAAACGGGTCAAATCACAGAACGAGGGCCATTATCGGTACTACTCCAAGGATCTGGATATGTGCAAAGTCTCAACCTCAAGGCTAAGCAACGCAGTAATGAACAGGAAGAAAGTCATGCAGCCGAGCCAGAGAATACTAGCTCTTTGTTCAAGACGAGATCATCATTGACTACCACCAGCGTTGAAGACAATGAAGCCCGGGATCTAATACGTCGGACCGGTGAGTGGTCTAGTTACAAGCACTGGTTTAAATCCTGCGGATATGTTTCCAGCCTTCTGTCTCTCCTGGAAGCCAGCCTATGGATGGTAGCTGTTCAGACACCCGGTGTGCTTGTCAAAATATTCTCTCACAGCATGAGCAGCGACTCCGGTCAGTCATCGTCATCGTCGGCTGCCACAACATTCATAACTCTCTTTGGTGTAACCACCATCATTGCTTCACTCTCAGTCCTTGGAGTTGCCTGGCAGATCTTCTTGGACATGGTGCCTCGGAGTGCTCAATTTCTACACCTCAACCTGCTGGAATCGGTGGTCAACGCGCCGCTTTCCTTCTTTACCAGAACCGATGTTGGCACCATCACGAACCGTTTCAGTCAAGATATGGGTTTGGTTGATGCCGACCTGCCATACTCCTACGCCGACTTTGTTCTGTCACTGGTGTCTTGTGTGGCTGGTATAGCGCTGATGTCAGCATCGGGGTCCGGCTACTTTGCAGCCATTATTCCAGTGCTCCTTGGATCTTTATACGTAATCCAGAAGTACTACCTTCGAACTAGTCGACAAATGCGGCTCTTGGATCTCGAAGAAAAAGCGCCTCTGTACACGCTCTTTGGAGAGACGGCCGCTGGTCTCGCCAGTATCCGGGCCTTTGGCTGGACAGATCGATTTGCGGACAGAAATCTTGTCTTGCTCGATCGAAGCCAGCGCCCATTCTACCTCATGTTCTGCATCCAGCGGTGGCTGGCTCTCGTTCTAGATCTCCTGGTCGCCGGCCTCGTTACTGTACTGGTCATTATCGTTGTAGTCCGCAGGGACTCGATGGACCCTGGGCTTGTCGGTCTCGGTCTTCTCAGTGCTGTCAGTCTAAGCAACAGTTTGACGGAATTGGTCAAAACCTGGACCTCACTCGAGACGAGTGTTGGTGCCATCAGTCGTTTGCAGGAGTTTGCGCGGACTACCGAATCAGAGCACAAACCCTCCGAAATCCAAACTGTCCGTCCGACCTGGCCTGAGAATGGCGAAGTCGACTTCCGTGGATTTGAAGCTAGCTATTCGATTCAATCACCATTGGTTCTGAGAGATATCGACCTCAGAATCAGACTGGGGGAGAAAATCGGTATTTGCGGCCGATCTGGAAGTGGCAAAAGCTCAATGTTAGCAAGCCTGTTCCATCTACTAGAGTTTCGAAATGGGAGCATCGTTGTTGATGGCGTTGACGCGTCGACCATCCCCCGGGAGACATTACGATCTAGGTTGAATGTTATTCCACAAGAACCGTGGTGGGTGACGACGGAAACGGTACGATTTAATATGGATCCTTGGGGTGCCAATGACGCCGCTGGCAAAACTCCACTGGCACGAGACGCCGACTTTATCTCTGCCCTGAAGAAGTGTCAGATCTGGCAAGTTATCGAGGACAAAGGAGGTCTTGACGCCGTCATGACACCAGAGTTTCTAAGTCATGGTCAACGCCAATTGTTCTGTCTGGCTCGTGCTATCCTACGAGAGAGCAAGGTCGTTGTTTTGGACGAGGTCAGCGCGAGTGTTGATCTAAAGACAGACCTGGTCATGCAACAGGTTATCAAGGAGTGCTTTGAGAGCTGTACCGTTATCTCCGTGGCCCATCGCCTCAACACAATTGATGATGGTGATCGGGTGGTAGTTCTCCATCAAGGTCGGATAGTTGAGGTTGGTGATCCACAACTTCTGTTGAGAGCGTCCAAGAGTCGCTTTAAGGAGCTTTATGAGACATGATAGACGCTAAAGTAGACAAGTATTTTGGTATTGCACCTATGACGGTTTTAATGTTTTTACCTGGTAGGTATAGGTTCATAAACCATACTCTAAGCCACCGCGACGAAAAAGTTCTTCTCGCCCTCCTTGGGATGGACAGTTCCCATCTTCAAGATATCGTCTCCAACGGCAAGCCTGAGTCGCTCGGCAGTAGCAGGACTATCCAAAATCAAATGTTCGGTGACTCCGTTATCCTTGCGTGCGCTGACAAGAGCGTCCCTAAGGGCAAACAAGACGGTGGCCCCAAAGAACAACGGTGGCTCACCGATGCCCTTGCTGCTCTGGATCGATCTCAAGTGACTCCACGAAACTCCCTGGAGGAAGCTGACATTGAAACTCTGAGGAATGTCGGAGAAACCGGGGATCTTGTATGTGCCAGGTCCTCGGGTGAAGAGCTCGCCCTTTTGGGTCCATAGCGATTCTTCCATGGTGAACAGCCCCTGTCCTTGCACAAAGGCTCCCTCAATCTGGCCGTAGTCAATGGCAGGGTTGATCGACCGTCCCACATCCATCTTTATATCTGTCCTCAACACAGTGTGATCTCCTGTGAGAAGATCGAGTTCCACTTCACTGCATGCAACGCCCTGTTTCAGTTGATCAGTAAAATGCATTATTGGATAAGTGGTCGTGGAGATATGAGCAAGTGCACTTACCTGCGTGAAATAGTAATACATCGGCTTGACCGTGTCTGGGTCATAATTGCCCCAGATGTAGCCAATCTTAGGCATCTTCCAGAAGCCCGAGGCTGATAGATTGACGCGATCCAAGTAGGCAGCGTGGGCGATCGTTTTCATGTCCGCATCAGCACCAAATTTATCCCAGTAGGGCTTCAGCCGCTCGTTGAGCTGGTCACAGGCATCTTTGACCGCCATGCCGTTTAGGTCGCTACCGCTGCTGGCGGCAGTCGGCGAGACATTTGCCGTGTAGTAGGATGACGTGTCGGAGGTGTATATAGCATCAATGGGGACGTTGAGCTCCTGCGCCGCCACCTGGCACATTTTGGTATATAGACCCTGGCCCATCTCGGTGCCGCCGTGATGCAGAAGGACACTGCCATCGGCGAAGATCTTGACAGCGGCACTCGCCTGATTCAGGTGGATGGCCGTCGCAAAGCTGATGCCAAATTTGGATGGACACATACTGATGCCACGTTTCTTCCACTTGTTTTTCCGGTTAAATTCGTCCACGTCGGCTCGTCGTTTCTCGTAGTCGCACTCCTTTCGAAGCTCTGAGAATAGCTGTGGAATATGCCAATCCTCGTCAATCTTCTGCATGAACGGGGTCAACTCGTTCGGCTTGTAAAGATTCTTGAGTCTCAGCTCGTCAACGGACATGTTGAGACCTTCAGCGACTTGTGTCATGTATGTTTCGGCGATGAACATGGCCTGTGGGCCACCAAATCCTCGGTAGGCTGTGTTAGAGTGAGTGTTGGTCTTGCAAACGAATCCTTTAATATGTGCGTGTTCGAATGAGTACACATTGTCGACGTGCGTACAGCAGCGGTCCTATATCAAAGATTAGCTTTAACGAGAGAGATATTATCAGATCATGGACGTACCATAACGGCAGTGCTCATATCATATGAGAACCCGGCATTGTTGTAGATGTCGGCGTCCAATGCTTTCAATGTACCATCGTTCATGACACCGACCCGATATCGCGCTTGGAACGGGTGTCGTTGTCCGCTGGTCATCATATCCTCATCTCTGTTGAGCATGCATCGCACTGGCCGGTTCACCTTCTTTGCAGCGATGGCAAGCGCACAAGCAATGGGGACGCTTCGAGATTCTTTTCCTCCAAACCCGCCGCCCATACGCTTAACTCTGGCGTTGATGCGATTGCTAGGGACTCCAGTCACGAGACTCACGAATTCTTGGGTTTCCATCCTGATAGACAGTTAGCGCTCTTAAGCAAGGTTGGTCCAGTAGATCTTACGTGTTTTGTGTTGACGACCAGACTTCCATGGATCCATCCTCCGTTTGGGGAACGGCCATAGCAGCATTTGTTTCGAGATAAAAATGTTCTTGTCCTCCCATCCTGACAGTTCCTTCAAAGACACGGTCACACTCGGCAAAGACATCCTCCATGGTGTCATTGATGGCAGCCCCTATTCGTAGCTGTCTACCATGTGGGAAGAAGCTGTTAGCCTCGATCGCCTCGTCAATGGTTAGGATCGTTGGCAAGTCTTCGTAGACCACCCTGACCAGTTTTGCAGCTTTCTGAGCTTGGATTGCTGTCTCGGCGTAAACCAAACCAATGACCTGCCCATGCGAATGAACCTCGCCATCGGCGAAGAAGGGCTCATCCTTCTTGATGGAGCCCCAGCAGTTCTGCGTAGGAGTCAAGTCATTCTTGTCAACGTAGCCTACCGCAAGACCTGGCCCGATAGCTCCTGACCAATCTACTTCCAGCAGCTTAGCGTGGGCACGCTGAGAAAACACGAACGCTCCGTACAATTGCTGGCTCTGGTACGGAATGTCATCGATATATTCGGCTTCTCCAGTGTTCTGCTTCAACGCTGATAGATGTGGAATTTGTTTCCCAACGACACGCTGCTCATGTGGGTTGTAGTCGTCCCGCGTGCCAGACGAAATTCCTCGGTGGATCTCATCAATCAGGTCTTTGTCGACGTGGCCCAGTTTGAGATCTGATAGCACTTCATGCCAGAATCGGAAGAAGAATGATAGAGCGAGTGTCACTCGATAGGTCGCCATGCCACCAGGGACCCCATAATTCAGATTGAACTCGTCTCGCAATGTTTTCAGTCCGATCTGAAGAGTGGCAGGAGTGTGCCACTTTTGGCCAGCGAGAGCTTTTTGTGTCTTTCGTGCGAGAACCGTCATCGGCGCCATGCCGCCATATGCCATGGAGATGTCCTCAACTTTGCCATCATCGTCCAACCGCACCTTGAACGCCGCTGTCACAATGGCAATGTCATCATCCTTACGCTTTGCTTGCTTGTAGGCTTTTGTGATCTCCGAAACGCCCACAGGAGGAATTGGGATTTTTATCTTGGCGATAACAGCATCTGGTGGCAAGCTGGTCTTTCGGTAAGAAACGAAAAATGAATCCATGGGCAGAATAATTTCTCCCCGGCTCTTGCTCGTTGCTACAACCGTTGCACCAGACGCCATTAAAACAGGGTTCATGTCCGAGATGGGGGATGCCGTAGCGATGTTTCCAGCCAAGGAGGCAGCATTGCGGATTTGGCGACCAGCAAAGTATCGCAGTTGTTTCCGGCACGCTTCTAGAACCTGTCCCCGTTGTCCCAGTCTGCCAGCGAGACTTTTGCAAGCGGATTCCAGATCTGTCAACGTCGTATTGCCTCCCACAATGAGTTCAGTCATGTTTTCCAACTCCGCCTCAGTCTCAGGAACGTTCATTTCGATCAGGTCGCCGACATCTCCGATGTAAACCATGACTGCAAACTTGGAGGCCTTGAAACGAACTTCAATCTGGACCTCGCTGGAACCTCCGACGAGTTTGGCACTCGGGTCGATGGATTTTATCGCGAGCAATTGCGCAAGTGAAGTAGGACGAAGCCATATTTTTTCAGAGTCGCCGTAACAAATAGGAACCTGTTCGAATTTGCGTAGCGCTGGAGGAAATACCAACTCTGTCGATGGTACGTATGGTTTCAGGTTCTGGTACAAAGTCGATTGCCCGGCTTTAGATGGTGGTGAAGGCGTTAGATCCGTTTCAGTTTTCACGCCCTCACCTTCCTGGCCTGGTGGAGGCTCGCGGTCTCTTGACTTGACGGGCAGTCCATATTTGGTCCCAGTCGTTGCACCGTTTACTCTTTCCGGGCTCGAGCTATACAATGATGTTTTCGAACTCTGTCCAGACTCTGTGTCAGACGATGAGGATACACTTGCGTCCTGACTGCATGAGTTCTCGGTCGATTCTTGGGAAGAAGCTGGTCTGTCCCTGCAGCAGCCACCTGGTCTCCCGCAGGAAACTGGCTTCTGTTTCAGGACATCAGGTATGTCTTCAGCAACGTATGTGGGGCCATCGGTTTTGTCAGTTGGGATCGCTTCGTCCAGACCATCTTCGACGATCTTGCCGCCAAGATCTTCCACAATAAATGTCTTCGCTGCCGTAAGTATCGGTTTGTAACCAGTGCACCTACAAAGGTTTCCATCAAGATGGCCTTCCATTTCGATTGTGCTGGCCGACAGGAGGAAAGCTTTGGATACTGGATCCCATGCGTTCCGAATCATTGCGTACAAGGACATGACAATTCCTGGTGTGCAAAAACCACATCTGAATCCCTAAGTTAATCAAAGCAAGGTTCTGCGGCGAGTGGTCAAACATACTGCGAACCATGTAGCTTGGCTATCCTTTCCTGTAAAGGATGGGGGTTATCGACGTTTCCTAAACCTTCAACCGTGATCAAGTGCTTTCCAACAACTGAATGAAACAGTTAGCAATATGTCTGCTCTGGAGTCATCACCGGGTCTCGCACCTCCAACCAAGGGAAACAGGCACGCATTCACGGCAAGATGCTTAAGTCTTTTGGGATCTTTGGGGTTGACGCTTTGAAGCACGACTGTACATGCGCCGCATCCTCCCTCCCCACAGCCCAATTTGGTGCCCGCGAAGCCCTGGCGAGACCTGACAAAGTCTAGTAAAGTCCATTCGGGATTAGGATTATGAAGAATGACCTTTTGGCCATTCATGTAAAACACCAAGTCGGATTCAAACTCATGTTCGACAAGAGCCTGGAACTTTTCAAAGGGCCCAGGTGCAGGTTGGCGCTTCAATTGGAATGGGAGCGTCATTTTGCCTGTGGCCCTGCACCATCAGAGATTCTACGACAAAGGGAGAGATGACATTGTCAAATATCTGGCTCCCTTTTGGGATACGATCCCGACCCAAAGTGAACATTCCGCGAGCGGGGTCAAGGTTGCATCCGTCCATTGTTTGGTATCTGATATGAAAAACAATGACATTATTCGCTGTCCAAGTCAAAGTGAATGCCCTTCTAGAATGGGTGTCAAGAAGCTAGAAAGGCCACCCCGGCAGATCATGTCTTGGGCGGACTTGTGCGTTCATACATATGATAGATCGTACAAGGGATTTATTCCACTTGAAAATGCCTGGAGGACTCAATGGTTGTGCCTCATCCCCCACTCTTGAAGAATGGGGTGCCAACGCACGCTAATCAAGATGCCCACTTTCGGAAACTCTGGGACTCATCCGTGTGTCACCTTTCAGAAGCTAGCATCCCATCGTTGCCATCTCTGCACGATGCTTGGTGGAATTAAGAAGCGATTGGTCCACTCCTGCATGAGATAGATCTACAGAGTAGCCTGGTGGGTACCCATAAGTGGATAGTTGCAATTGCGCCGTGAGTAATGTCAAGGGTTCGGGCACGAAATCTGGAGTCGGGCATTCTGCGATTGTTCTGTTCTTTTTCTCGAGGAAGAAAAACTAGAAACCTCGAGAATTGAACAAAACAGACAAATCGCCATTCCCAATCTACCTGCCTGCCTACCTACCTACCAATTTACCAGACATCAAACATCGTTAAGCAGACATGCCTACGAGAACTTCGCCAACGGGGTTCCGCCCACTGGAGGACACTTTGCTGTTCAAGCCGCTGAAGCTCGGCAGCATCAGCCTCGAGCATCGAGTCATGATGGCGCCATTGACTCGTATGCGAGGCACCAAGTTGTCTGATGGCATTTGGATTCCTGGTGATCTACATGTCGAGTACTACTCTCAAAGAGCCAGCAAAGGCGGCTTCCAATTGACGGAGGCGTGCCCGATCAGCCGTTATGTGAGTCTTGAAAAATTGCGGGAAAATCGTTGTCTAACAATCGCACCTAGTCTTGCGGATATCCCGGGGTTCCTGGTATCTTTACTCCGGAGCAGATCGCAGGCTGGAAACGAGTGACGGACGCCGTTCATGCTAAGGGCGGCTTCATCTTCCTTCAGCTCTGGCATGTTGGTCGCGCCACTGTTCCATCATTGCTCGATGGCAAGGACTGTGTCAGTGCGAGCAATATTCCCATCTCCGGCAAGGCATTGGATGGCTCTGAATATGGCGCAACACCTCCAAAGGCCATGTCAATTGAAGAGATCCAGGACACGGTCAAGGAATTTTCCGCTGCGGCTAAACGAGCCATGCAAGCTGGATTCGACGGTGTGGAGATACATGGGTTAGTGCCATGGATAAGATAGTGACGAAGCATTGCTAACCAAGGCGCAGGGCTAATGGCTATCTCCTCGACCAGTTCCTTCACGACAATGTCAACGTCCGGACTGACATCTATGGCGGATCTATTGAGAACCGCTGTCGATTCCCCATTGAAGTCATCAAGGCGGTCACTGAGGCCGTTGGAGCAGACAAGACCGGCATCCGCCTGAGTCCGTACAATTACTTCCAGGATACACGCGACTCGAACCCCAATGCCCACTGGGCTTACCTGTGCGAACAACTAGCATCACTCCCCACCGAACATCGTTTGTCTTATGTTCACATGGTGGAGCCACGATTCGACGAGGTTTTGGACGAGAGCGCCAAATTATCATCTCTTGCTGAGACAGCCACAACTGCCAGAGCCACTGAAGGAAAGCCGTCTCTCGTGCCTTTCCGGCAGATCCTGCTGAAGGGAGACATCAAGTTCATTGCGGCAGGCAATTTCAATGCCGAAAATGCGGCTCCCAAACTTGAGTCTGGTGACGCAGACGCCATCATCTTTGGAAGGTGGTTCATCGCAAACCCTGACCTTCCCTTCAGGCTCGCTGCAGGCCTGCCTCTAAACCCCTACGACCGCAACACCTTCTATGGCGCTGATCCTCCGGAAAAGGGATACACTGACTATCCATTTTACAAGGCGGTCGAAGCTACCGCATGAAGGTCGCATCTTTGACCAAAAAAGGATGGGGATTATTGGACCGTAAGCATTTAGACACGTTTTGTTTGATAGATAGAGGACACGAGCGTTGCATTTCGTTGCTCAAGAGCGCAACGACGGAGTTCGACTCGGACCGTCTGGGGCATCTTGGCCTCCTAAGGTTGTGCGATTCTGGCAAAATTCCATGCTCAAGAAGGTCAAACACGAGCTTCGTAGGTAGTGGTGGGCGAGCATTTGCATAGACTCAAAAAACCCGTAGTCATCAGGATAGCGAAAACTCTCCCAGCTACCCTAGCGATACCTAATTTGCTGAATGGAGATGCCCGTAGTCGTTATCACCTGCCAAGTGACTGATTCTCCAGGCCGTCCCACCGCTCAACCTTGACCTAAACCGGGATGGCTATCTAACTAATTGAAGTTAAGGTATTTTGGCCAGTGCGGGCTGTCGTACAAGGGCGTTGGTCGCCCCAGAAGCTCTGGAACCCTCCCAAGGTCCATAGCCAGTCCAGGTGGCGTCTCGGGGACTGTCGATATCTGCTTTCTCTTATCTTCTAGGGTTCCCCAGCTTTCTGGCCCTTTGCAAGCCTCCTCTTGGAGAGTGCCCAGATCATCTCCCACGTCCGTCCACCCGATCATTCATCATCTCAGCCCTCTACAAAGAATCTTTTGACGGCTTTTGTTGAATTTGCTGGCTCAAAGACCTCATCGCCAATCAATGCCAATTCCCTGTGCGTTTCAGTGATGCCGATTCGAACTGCCCGTCTTATTTGTACCCGACTCGCATCATGACATCCACAGTAAAGCCAAAGAAATACGTCTGTACATGGGAGGATTGCGACAAAGCGTTCACACGATCCGACCACCTCCATAGACACCTCTTGAACCATGGTATGGGAGACAGCACATGTCCAAGATGCAGCCTGCATTTCAAGAGGCCCGATCTATTAGGTATGGCTTTTTATCTACTCACGCCTGCACTGGCTGACAGGGAACTATAGATAGGCACATGGCTCGCCATAAACAAAAGGACGAAGAAGCTGGGGGCGAAGGTTTGGGGGTCATCGAAAGCCGTAAGAAGCTCTGGCGCGACAAGGATGGAAAAATCGTGAGCAAGCGACCCTCACAGGTGGATTCTTCCGACCAGCCAGCAAAGAAAAAAGCAACACAGCCTCAGAATAATGGCTTCCCGGACCAAACAGCACTTCATGCAGAACCTCTTTCGCCGCCCAAATCCATGCGCAGCGCAGAGTCCTTCGACCATATGACTGGTCAGATGCCAGAGCTGGACTACCATGACTTTGCTGAATCTCTACCTGGTCCCGATATGTTTGACTTTTTGGCCAATTCGTCCTGGGGTATTCAACCTATGCAAGCTTCTTTGAACTCACAAAATGGAATGTCTTTCGAAGACCCTTTTAACGCTGATACCGGTAAGTTTTTCTAATTGCTACCGAGGCCGATTGGATTGGGGCTGAACAACATGCAGCTAGCAGCTTCAACATGCCCTTCACGACAATGAACAATTACAACTGGCTATTTGACGTTGACAATAGTTCACAACTTCCCATAAACACCGACCAAAACGTGAGCTACAACTCGGCCAATCAACAAAGCAGCAAGCAAGAGTCAACGCCTTATCAAATGAGCGGGACAACCTCAGTTAACCATCACTTGGTGCAAGACTCTTTCAATGGAGACTCGTCCAGTTTAATGCATCCAATGTCCTCGTTGGAGACCGGGCATGTCTTCCAGGAACCTTCGTCCCAAGGGGGATTTCAAATCATCCCAAATGGAATGCAGACCATGCCGGTCGCATCAACAATTTCACCAATCTCTATGCCACCCGAATCAGACACCACGAGTCCATCGAATGACACGAGCCAGGGATATGGCGAAACGTCTCAGAACGATCGAGAATTAATGCTGCACTCTTCCCGTTTAATTGATCAAGATCTTCACTCTCAGTCTTCTTCCTTCCTGCCACCAGCTTTCGTCCCGGACATTGGACCAAGGAGCATGCCTACCATGGACGAAGTGTCTCGGAACCAAATACTGGACCTGCTTGTCAAGGCAAATCCAAGAACCCCAGATGGACTAGAGATTGGTCGCGACCATCCTCTTTTGACGCTTTCTGCCATGCAAAACTACCTTGATCTCTTCTTCTCGAGATTCAATGTGGCATATCCTTTACTGCATCAGGCTACATTTGACCCTTCGCAGACAGAGCCTTTGTTGCTATTAGCAGTCATCTCCCTCGGAGCGACTTACAGCGAGAAGTCAATTCACCGACTAGCAGTCTGTATACATGATGTGCTTCGAGCACAGATCTTCCAACACTCTGCCTTTTCGGCTGAGCCCGAACTGTGGATGTTGCAGACGATCTTACTAGTGGAATGCTTCGGAAAATCCCGAGCTGGCCAGAAACAACATGACATGGCTCACTTGTTTCATGGGCTTCTGATAAAGTAGGTGCTTCACTCTTTTCTGTCTGATTATACGCTAAACTTTGATAGCCTCATCCGGAGAAGCGATTGTCAAACCGTTCGACAGCCAGTCTTTGCAGATGGAGTCGGTGACCTTGAGACAAAGTGGCGGAAAGCCATTGATGTGGAACTTCGGAGGAGGTAACGTTTGACGTTTTCAGCGTCTGCGAAGACACGCTGACATGAATTAGGCTCGCATTTCTTTGCTTCTTGTGGGATACACAACACGCAGTGCTGTTTTCACAGTCCTTGTGCATGTCATCATTTGAACTCCGTACCTCGTTGCCTTGCAATCAAGCAACATGGGAGGCGCGGTCGGCCGAGGAGTGGTGGAAACACGCCCGGAAGGAACAAGAGGTTTCTTATCTCGCTGTTCTTAAAGCATACGTCAATCCAGACTCGGGCACACCGATCCCGCCTCTCAGCGCGCTTTCACGCCTGCTGATTCTCCATGGTCTAATGTCCATCCAGTGGGATATGAAGAGGAGAGATCAAACGTCCCTAGGTAAGATAGCTTGCTCACAATCCATTGATCACGTCTACTAACTTTTGTCATAGGTGTTGGAAATGCAAATTCGAGCAATTCTGAGCAACCCAAATGGCAGGACCGGCTTGCTCAATCGTACAACGCCTGGAAAGCCGATTTCGACACATATTGCATGAATGTCTCCTTTGCTTTGGACAGCCCAGCCAAAAAGGCCGAATTCACCCGCTTCAGCACATCGACTATTGCCATCTACCATGCCGCTCACATCACTCTTAACGTTGAAATCCTCGACCTCCAGATATACGCAGGAGCTCGTCATATCATCGGCCGCCCAGTCACTCGAGCAGACTATGGTCGGTCGCGGCGAATCGTGAAGGACTGGGCAAAGCCTGGTGGGTCAACGCCCGCTACAAAGGCTGCCTGGCATGCTGCCCACTTGTTACGGGACGGCATTATGAACCTGGACAATTGGGACGTCAACAACGCCTTCCATTACCCATGGTGCTTGTACCTTTCAACACTGACCTGCTGGGCGTTCCATTTCGCCAATGCGTCGACCAAAGTCAAGGGGGCCTCATCCAGCTCACGCAGTGACCGTGCCAGCAGCACGGCTGAGTCCCCTGGAGACGCCGCCAGCTCTCACGATGGAATCGTCTGGCACGCGAAGGCCGAGATGAATGCCCTGGTCAGCAGCATGACGAGTGTGGTTCCCGAGGATCTCTGGAGAGTCATTGGCCGTTACTCAACTTCGGGCCTGACTGCTGTCATGGCTAAACATTTGAGTAATGTGAGATGGGCCGTTGTTCACGAAGGCATGAAAGTGCTGCGCGGGTTGGTACCTGAGCGGTCCATAAACGAGTATGATAGCTTCTTGAGATAGTATTGTAAGTTCTAATGCAGCTGTATTATGGTAAGGCAGATTGGTTGGGATCTCTTATGATTGGTGGCCATCATAGGTCAGAGCTCTAGCTGTATAGCAATGATATCTAAAAGTCCAAGTCGAGGTCGCCGGTGGCATGCCACGATCTACTTCTTCAACAACTTCTCGATTACTGCCGCTACTCCAAGCACCTTCTCCTCCTCAAATCTCCGTCCAACGATCTGCAAACCAACTGGATGACCGTCCATAGAATCTGCATCGTATATTCCCCAGTTCCACGAGTCATAGTCGTTCCTAGGCTCGTACTTGGTCGTAGGAAGTGCATCCTTGGACTTGTCCGCGACTCCAGCCGGAAACGAGAGCGCTGTATAGTCGAGAAAGTTCCAGACCTTGGTATAGCCAACCCACCGGCAAGTCCTGTGCGGCACGGCTGTATGCGGCATAGTTGGCATGAGAATCACATCGACGGGCTCGTTTGTTGAGGGAGTTCGTATCCTATTCCACTTGTCGCTATATGCATTTTGTGCGGCAAGTTTTCTCTTATTGAGCTGCCAGTAGTCGAACACAGAAACAGGTTTGCCACGATTTACCAGTGCCTGAACGTGTGGAATGAATGGTTCTCCGCTAGCTTCGACTTCACGCCGTACATCTTCTCCACCATCGACAGTGTAGAAAAGGTCCTGCTCATTATTAGATCTTCTCTCGGAATACTTGGGGAAATTTCATACCATAATCTCGATGCAATTCCGGTGTCCCTCGGAATCCCATGGCACAATCTCATGGCCTGCAGATTTCAGCTTGGCTTCTACTTCCTTCAACACTCGCTCAATCGGTGGGTGAACCTTCACGACACCATCGTCGACCAAAACGCCTATTCTCAGAGGTCTTGACTGGACATCCTGGAACATTTGTTCACGCCAGGGTATAGGGGCGACGCGGGGATCCATTAGCCATGGCTTCGAATCGAGAATGCTCTGCATGACCAGATTCACAGTGGACAGACTTCTTGCCAATGGACCTATCGCCGACGGAACATGCTCTTGACCTTCTGTGGATACGGGCACGCCTCTATATGGCAGACGGATACTCTAGTGTTGATATCAGTAGCCATTCAACAGAAACAATGTCACAAACTTTGCGCACCGTTGGCTTGAGGCCCCAGAGGCCGTTGATATGGCTGGGAATGCGGATTGATCCACCAATGTCAGTCCCCCATCCGATCATTGAGCCTTGCATCGAGAGGAGAGCCCCCTCACCACCTGTTGAGCCTCCAGGGGTGAAATCAGGGTTGAGAGGGTTGGTCGTAAGGCCCCACAAGGGACATTCGGTTTCGCACCACTACATCAGAGTCAGCTTTTTGCTCCACGATCTTCCATGCTGCGGCATTTCGAACCATGATGCTTTGCGGAAGATTTGTTTTAGCTATGATCACGGCACCCAGGTCCCGGAGGATCTTCACGACCACGCCATCCTCTTCCGCCGGTTGATATGCGCGTGACACGTAGCCGATAGTAGAATCGACTCCTTTGACATCGAACTGGTCTTTAAGCGTGACTGGTATCCCGTGCAAAGGTCCCACAAGTTTTCCATTTGCACTGAAAAACTCGTCCAGTCGATCAGCATCCTTGACAGCGCTGTCGAAGAGTACCTCCGTGAGGCAATTCACCTGGGATAAACCATCAGCTGGGTCTTGCTGTACCGAAACAAATGCAACTCACTTGCTGGTGCACTTGGGCGGCCCTGTGGTGGCATGTCAACTTTGATCTTTGACATGAGAAACAGACCCTACCTCTGAACATATCTCCTAATCACATCTCCTGCACGCAGCTCTCCAGTCGCATATCGCGACGTCAAATCGTCGATACTTTTGATACTCAACACATCAACTGAGAGTTCGTGATCGGCATTGCCCGTCTCCAACCACGGCGCAATTAAGGCTGTTCGAGCCTCTCGCTTGCGACGAACAACGTCTTCCCACGCAGAGATTGACGTTGAACCCATATCTCTCCACCGTCTATTCGGTGTCACTCAAGACCTGTCGGCCCAGTCACACCACCGTTCACAAGTCGACGTTCCCTTGTGGTGTTATCACACTATACGGGCTGTACAGGCGTTGAGTTTGTGGGCCGACCAGGTAACGATGCCTGTGATGCGTACACGAGATAAACTCGAATTTCACCCGTCGTACCCCTCGTGGGCCTCCGAAAATGACATTCGAGAATTGGAGAGCAACAATCGAGGCCTGATTAAGCATTAGGACCCACGGACTGAGAACTATAGGGCCGAGGGGCATCCGAGCGCCACTAGGTAAGGTTTCTTAAGGGTCGTACACTCGTACCTAAATGTTCTAGGCGGGCCAGCATACCTATAGCTGCTTGGCTCTCAGGTGACATCCCCCATCGTCGGCCTTCGGTCAATCAATAATCTTCATCTTCTTGACATACACACCGGGCCCCAAGAGTGGGGAGGCGTTGACCACGTCCTTGAGGCGGTTCCATATTAGCCATGGAGGGTTCAAACTCACCCAAGACGTTTAGTACTCCAGCAGCATCAAGTTCACATCCTGAGCCCATTGGACACGACGAAAACCTGGTGGAGACCAATTCAAGGCTACTGAAGCGAGCCTTGCCAGATAATCTCGACGAGCAACCACAACCTCCTCTCATGAAGCGTCTTCGATCACAAGTATCGCCGACAATGTCTCCAAGCGCAGATAATGATGGTTTGGCTATCAACGGTGAGAATCATGCCGTCAACGGGGTAAATGTCGAGAATGTCGTTATCGTTGGAGCAGGCCCAGCCGGGTTGATGTTAGGGTATGTTCACGGTCCTGCCAACAATATCGACTCTCTTCCACAACTCTGACAATTATCAACAGGTCAAACCTGGCGAGATATGGTATCAAATCAAGACTACTCGACGACCGAGAGGACAAAACCTCAACCGGGCGCGCCGATGGACTTCAGCCAAAATCGATAGAAACCTTCCGCCAGTTAAGGCTTGCCGATTCTCTCTTGGCCAAAGGTGTCAAGATTTACGACATTTGCTTCTGGGTAAATCCAAATCTGCACTTCTGATACCAAACCAGTAAAGATACTGATGATGTTTTCAAGAATGCAACGGCAACAGAACCATTACATCGCACTGGTCGAGAGGTTCATTATCCTTCTCAAGTTGACGTCAAAGACCCGTTCATTTTACTCGTGCATCAAGGAATGGTCGAGGACATTTTCATTGAAGACATGAGGGAGCGCGGAATTGAGGTTCAAAGAAGCTCCCCCTTCACGCATTACACTGCAGAGGCAGATATCCACGAGCCCATTAAAGCCTTTTACAAGGACAACAAGTCTGGCTCTGTACAGTCAGTACAAACGCACTACCTTGTTGGATGCGATGGAGCCCACTCAAACGTCCGCAAGAGCATACCTGGTGCTCAAATGGTGGGCGAAAGTAGCAATTCAAAGTGGGGTGTACTCGACGGTAAGTCTACCTGCTCAAAGAAGATTCCACTTGACTGATATCATTCTAGGTGTCATTGAGACCGATTTTCCTGATCTGTGGAGCAAGGTCGTGATTCACTCGGAAACCGCCGGTACTGTCCTATGCATTCCTCGAGAAAGGAACATGACCAGACTGTACATTGAGCTGGATCGCTCTCTGAACGATGCGGTTCCGGCAGAAGCAACGCAGGAACTCGTTATGAAGAAGGCCCAACAGATCATGGCTCCTTTTAATGTCACCTGGTCCACTGTTGAATGGTTTGGCGTCTATAAAGTCGGCCAGAGAGTGGCCAGCACCTTTACCGACGAAACTGAGCGGGTTTTCATCACAGGAGATGCAGGTCATACCCACAGCCCTAAAGCAGCACAGGGAATGAACACGTCAATGCACGACAGCTTCAACTTGTCTTGGAAGCTCAATCTTGCCATTCGTGGCCTTGCATCACCAGCGCTTCTGGCCACTTATCAGGATGAACGAAGAAAGATTGCCCAGGACTTGATCAACTTTGACTTCGAGCACGCAGCCGCATTTTCAGTTGGTGACTCGAAAGCGTTGGCGGACAACTTTAATACAAATGTTGGATTCATCTCAGGCGTGGGTGCGAAGTATTCTGCCAACGCTCTAAACTACCCCGAGCTCAGCCCAAGAGGTGTCTTGCGCGCCGGCGAGCTGCTGGCGCCTGCCAGAGTCAACCGATATATTGACGCCAATCCTGTCGACATCCAGCTAGACATTCCCATGTTGGGTCAATTCCGGGTCTACTTCTTCATCCCTAGCATCCACACCGCCGCCAAATTCCTTTCTGGTGTCTCTCAGTACATCACTTCCACCGCCTCGGTATTGGGACGGTCGTCGCTCGCTGCTGCAAAGTCTTATGCCACCCTCAACCTGCCATCTGTAGAATCTGACGAATTCACACAGCCGGCACGATATACGACCGTGTCCAAGCTCTTCACACCGGCAGTGGTAACAACAATGCCGAAGGCCCAGTTCGAGATCGGAGATCTTCCTTCGGCACTGCAAAAGAGCCGCTGGACCTTGTACCTTGACGACCTCAAGGATGTATCAACGGAGAAGAACTGTACCGAGAAATGGATCGGCTCGTTGGCCGCCGAGGAAGTTGCGATCTTGAACGTCCGGCCGGATGGTTATGTCGGCAGTATCCAACGGTTTGATGCGAATGGTGACGGTGCCGATGCTTGTTTGTGGTTAGATCAATACTATGGAGGCTTTTTGCGCGCTTAGACAGAGATAGATATACCGTACAGAGACCTTGTTATAAAGACCATAGAAAGGTCGTCATATCTTCATTCTAATCTTGAAAATCTATACAAAATCAAGGATTATATGTGCCTTCCCTGTGCAATTACCATTTGGTCACACCTCCGTCGACGCAAACATCTTGCCCGGTCATATATGAACTTGCATCGCTTGCGAGAAACACACACGCACCCCTAATATCATCGGGTTCTGCGACTCTATGGTTCATGATCTCGTCCTTCCAACTCTCCAGCAAATGGGGAAACTGGGAGACCGATTAGTATTTGCGAGACCTCGGCGGGCATGGACATACTGGAGCAGTCATTTCTGTTCGGACATAACCTGGAGAAATCGAGTTGACTCGAATACCCTAGAGTCAAAATTAGCGAGGTTCCAAACCCACCGAGATAAAGTCCTACATATTGATGCATCTCAGCGGCGATTGCTGGGCACATGGCTCTCACGGCGCCTTTTGTGCCACAGTAAGCTGTGGACAGTTGACTTCTGATGGCCATGTAACTGGCAATGCTGGCCACAAGGATGATGCTGCCACACTTGGTGCCGTTCTCAATCATCTGTTTTGCAGCAAGTTGAGCCGTATGATAGACACCCATAACGTTCACGCCGATCAACTTCTGATGTTCCTCAAACGAAGTCTCCAAGAAGCCCAGGTTGCGATTGATACCTGCACAAGGAACACATATGTCAAGCTTGGCCCCGAAATCTGCCTTGAAAGATGCAAATCCTTCTTCCAGGCTTTCTTTGCTGCTGACATCGACTCTAAAATCATCGAGATCAGCAACCGACCACGCCCTTACAATCCCATCCTCCCAGAACGCACCTGTAGTACTTTGTTTTCACGCCATACGTCTTCTCAATCTCGTAGTAGGCTTCAACAGGATCAATAACGTCGAAAATGGCTACATCAGCACCAGCCTCTGCAAGGCCTTGGGCGAATGCGAGCCCACATCCACGTGCACCTCCTGTTACCAGAGCAGTCCGGCCTTTCAAAGAGAACTATGATGTCGTCAGCCCCTGAGATGACAGTACACTAATTGATCGTCGACAGACTCACTCGGCTCATCATGAAAGTCACGTGCGAGGATCACGTTGTCTTCTCAGCAATGCAATAATGGAAACTTGGTCTAGAAATTTTCTCTCCCTCACAATGTATCATAATAGTTGGTAAAACTTCTAATCATGGATGATTGGCGGGAATAAGCACAGTTCCCGACTGATTTCCGACAGCGTTGGGGATACTTTCTTGATGCCCCATCCTTGAGTTTGTATGCACGGGTGGAAACTAAGCATCGCGCCGGCGAATGACCCGGAAGTTCAACAGCAAATGCCGGAGAATTTGGGGGACTTGTTTTCTGGGTCTGCTCGCAGGATGTGGATGCTGCCATGGCACCCAAGCGTCATTGCCACAGGTACAATTGCACAACGCAGATCTCCGCGAAGAGGTCCCTGATGACGCTGTGTTTGGTTGACAAATGAGATCGAGCAAATCAGGAGGGTCCAAAATAATTCTCTGACTGTTTACCCAACGTTGCACATCCAGTCTGCTTTTTCTGATTGCTCTTCAAAGACTTGCAAGTATAGCCACGTGGAAATAGATCTGCGTCAGTTAACGTCAGAGACTTGAAGACAAGTCAACCTTGCGTATTATCAGTGACACTTGATCCTCTACTGGACGATAACCACCAACATGGGCAAAAAGCGAGTTCTCGTAAGCTACGGTGTTGACATCGATGCTGTCGCCGGCTGGCTTGGTTCATATGGTGGCGAAGACTCGACGAGTGATATTAGCAGAGGTCAGTGACTGCGGCCTTCCTCTGTAACGCAAATCAGGCTCACAGTTCCAATAACAGGAATGTTTGCTGGTACTCACGGAACTCGGAGATTACTGAAACTGTTCGACAAGTACAACATTAAAGCGACATGGTTCATCCCAGGCCACTCCCTAGAAACATTCCCTGAAGAATGCGCGATGGTTCGTGATGCTGGCCATGAGATTGGCCTGCATGGATATTCGCATGAGAACCCATCGGACATGACATTTGAGCAGCAGAAGGACGTACTGGATCACACTTTCAAACTACTCACAAATTTCTGCGGCAAGCCTCCCCGTGGCAGTGTTGCGCCATGGTGGGAGGTGAGCGAAGCCGGCACCGAGCTGTTGCTGAGCTATGGGATCGAGTACGACCACTCCATGGGCCACGAAGACTGTCAGATGTACTGGCTTCGGACGGGGGATACTTGGACCAAAATAGATTACACCAAGAAGGCTAAGGATTGGATGAAACCTCTCGTCAAGGGCAAACACACCGGCTTGGTTGAGATCCCGGGTAGTTGGTACATCGATGATCTGCCTCCAATGATGTTCATCAAGAACTCAGCCAACAGCCATGGATGGGTGAATCCAAGAGATGTGGAAGACATTTGGAAGGTAAGTTGAGGATCTACTGGCCTAGCCTGGAAATCTAACCTTGAGATCTCAAACAGGACCACTTCGACTACTACTATCGCGAATACGACGAGTTCGTCTTCCCAATGACGATTCACCCAGATGTATCTGGCAGACCTCACGTGCTTCTCATGCATGAAAGGTTTTAATATTCTACCAACGTCTAGAGAAGTAATACTGATCATGTGCAGGATCATTGAGCATATCAACAAACATGAAGGTGTGGAATGGGTCACCATGGAGCAGATGTGTGACGACTTCAAGAGCAAGAACACTGCCCCGGCGGGAGGATTGATGCCAGCTACAAGAGAAGAGGTAGAGAAGAAATATCTGTCATCTTAAGGAGGCATCACGATTAACAATGGTTTTCGTTACTATCGAGATGGCTTGAGACCCGTCAGCCTTGTCACGTGTTTCGCTTTTTGCTTATTGCATTCAAAACAGAAATGCTCCGGAGGATATCAGAGAGAGCCCTACGGTGGATCATCACAGCTATCTCTTCTATAGCCCATCAAATATCAGACACCCATCCACCAAAACATGTGTAACATACTATATTGTCACACCATCGCCTTCCCATCGTACAAAACGTAAATGGACACTTGTGTCTGTTTACGTTTTGGATTGCCGAATGCTGTGTCACAGCACATGGCAATCTCTCCAGATATCCTACACATCAAGCTCGGCAGCAGTATTGCCCCACCCTTGGCCTCTAGGTTTCCAATCTTTCATCCCCCACTCTTGAATGATTTGATCCAGTTTGTACACCATCAGGTGGTGTGGGCCAGAACATGTGTCTTCGAGACGGACATGACGGGTCACACGGTCAACCGACCTATTAGTTTTGCTTGATAATTCTACTCTTATGCACTTCAATAAACCCCTGCCAAACCTTACAATGAACTGATGTTGGGGAAGTGGAGCAAAGACTGATAAGCCACTGACCAGGATCAGGTGAATATTATTATGCGTACTTGTAATCAAGCTTATCGGCGAGCCAGTGGTGTGAAAGCGTACATCCAGATGTTATCAGCCTGGTTACCCAACCAATACTCCTCTTTTCGTTGGACAAATTGGCGGCAACTCAATTCCATTGCCGTACATCGACATATCGTGCGTGATGCGTACATCACAAACACGATCCAATCCTACATGACATACCCGCTTCGGGATGAAAATACCCATTAAGAGACCACGTCCAAGATTCGGGTTAGACAGTCAACGGTGGGAACATTGTGCTTAATAAGTTTTCAATTGGGGCTTCCCAGAATCATTGCCCTTTTCCTGCGAGCAGACCAGAAGGTGAGAAACAATTGCGACGATACCAGTGAGATCTCCAACTGGCACTCTCACTCAAAGACGTACAGGCTTTGTGCCTCAACAAACGAAATTGATTTCTCGTCCTCATCACCCACCAGAACCATCCTAATCCCAGCCATTTCGAGCACTCACCAGGACCGTCGCCAACATGTCACCAATCCCTGTCCGCGAGAAACAAAATCGCGATGCGTCGACTAAGCTCGACATCATAGTCGTCGGTGCCGGACTGGGAGGCATCGGTGCAGCCATTGCGCTCCTCCTCGCAGGCCATTCAGTCCACATCTTTGAAGCGGCGACAGAAATCGGCGAAGTCGGCGCCGGTATTCAAGTGCTACCCAACAGTTCTAGAGTCCTACAATCATGGGGCATGCGGGGAATGCTTGAGGACTACGCGACCAAGCCAAAACGAGTCAACATGCTGGGATGGAAGGGAAACCTCATCTCGTACATGGACACCGAAGAGTCTGCTTCAGCCTATCCAGGCACATACTACTGGGATTTCCACCGCGCCAACTTGCACAAGTGTCTCTTGGACAGAGCTATTGAGCTAGGAGCAGAGATCAAAGTCTCAGCCCGCGTCGTGGACGTCCAAATCGCCGGTGATGATGCGCAAACTGCAACTGTGGTGCTGGCGTCCGGAGAAAGTTTTGTCACCGACCTTGTTGTCGGCGCTGACGGTATCAATTCGAATCTTCGAGAGATCTTCCTCGGACGACCCGATCCACCCACACCAACTGGCGACCTGGCATATCGTCTCCTTCTCTCCACGAAAGAGATTTTAAAGGACCCCGAACTCGCTCCATTTGTCACAGACCCACAAGTCAACTACTGGCTCGGACCTGACGCGCACGCAGTCAACTATGTGCTCAGAGGAGGCGAGCTGTTCAACATGGTGCTTCTGGTGCCAGACGACATGCCCCTCGGCGGTGCCAACACTCTCGAAGGTAATGTGGAGGAGATGAGGGCTTTGTACAAGGATTGGGACCCACGCATCCCCAAGCTTCTCAAGTTGTGCGAATCAGTGTACAAATGGCGGCTGCAGATCAGAATAGGGATGGACTCTTGGAGCCACCCGTCAGGAACCTTTACCATGCTCGGAGATGCAGTGCATGCCACATTACCATATCTTGCCTCAGGCGCTGGCATGTGTCTGGAAGATGCGGCAGTCTTGGGTGAGCTGTTCTCTCGCGCACCCAACCCTAGAGACCCTCAGGTCAAGAAAGAATTGCTCTCCATTTATGAAACCTGTCGCAAGGAACGCACAGAGATGGTTGTCAAGCGAGGAAATCTCCAACAGCATCTGTACCATCTGCATGATGGACCGGAGCAGCAAGAGAGAGACCGAAAGATTATGGCCAAAGAGCAAGGCGAGGCTCTGGCCTGGAGAGATTCCGGACTGGCACCCAAGTTATTGGGCTACCAGGTTGAGAAAGACGTGAGTCCATTCTGTTTCGCTTTGGGAGAGGCAATAACTAACTCTTGGTTCAGGTCGATCAATACTGGCCACCTCCTAGCCTGTCATCTAGCTTGCAGTCTCGATTGTAAGCTGTCGTCTTAGGACCATTTCGATGAGGACATGGCGACCCTAACGATCTGGTATGATGTTTAGTTGAAGATGACATCTCTGCGGGCCTACACCATTCTGCATTTCGGCCATTTATGTCGAGAAGAAACACATACAGGACACCAGCGGTCGGAGTTGGCGAGCATTGAGAACTGTTTTTGAGCATGGGGACCGGAGATTATTACCGGCTACTGAAAGGAAATGAAACCACAAACGAACCTCTGAAAATGAGGACGTCCCCACCTGCGACGTGGGCTTTCCAGACTTTCCAGAAGATCTCCTGGCATGGTCATTCAGCCTTACTAGTCTTGGAAGGAAGGGGAGATACAAAAATCAAACGGCTGACATTCGAATGATAAATTGGAGCACTTGGGGCGGGGGAGACAAACTGCGCCGCGGCGGCCAATGCCCGCGGGCCAACTGCGTGACTGTGGTGGAGGAGCGGTCCATATTTGTAGCGTGGAATTTCTCGTTGAGCCATGCCAGCGGCCATGGGAATATCATCACGGTAATCTGGACGAGCAGAGCTATCTATGCTAGATCTACGATTACATTAGCTGAGATCTGTGGCCTAAGGCCAAGGGCCTCGGCCTTGTTTTTGTTTAGCCTCTGGTTCAATCAGCATTGAGAATCTTTCAATAAGCGCCCGGGGCTTGCGCGTTTCGGCGAACTCCTACCGGGGGACCGCCCCGCCATCTCATCGATCTCGACTTCCATTGGGTGATCAAGCTTATCAGAACCCATTTTACGAGGTGCGCAGCAGGACAAGATAAATAAAATCTTCTCAAATGGCGGCGACGATGATTCATAGAAAGAAGGAAAGGAAGATAGGCAGACAGATTCATAGATTTTGGACCACGTCAACAAAGACTCTTCCCTAGTTTCTTCATCAAGCATTTTCACGATAAACAGCACTCATAACATTCCGAAAGGCAATAATCATTTTCTCAGCGAGGTACAACGATGGCTCCATCAACAGCTCAGGATGTTGCGTCGGCGATTCTAAGCGTGACCGAGAAGTCGATTGTGCCCCTAACGGCAGCCCAAGTGTCACAAGGATCCAAATTGTTTGGGGCGGCGATCCTTGAGAGGTCGAATTTATCGCTGGTGATTGCGGAGACCAACAACGAACGCGAGTCACCGTTGCTGCATGGCGAGATCAACTGTATCCAACAATTCTTCAAGATCCCCAAGACAGACAGGCCTGAGACCAAGGATTGTATCTTCTTCGCGACTCATGAGCCTTGCTCTCTGTGTCTGAGTGGCATTACCTGGTCCGGCTTTAATGAATTCTACTACATGTTCACGTACGAGGACAGTCGTGACCTATTTGGGATTCCCTGTGAGTGCAAGACTGGACGATTTCGAGGAGGTGATGGGCTAATTCGCTTTGTGCAGACGACATCGATATCTTGCAGTCAGTGTATCGAGTAAGAGCGCCCAATGACACGGACGAGTCGTTGGAGGCTCGGCCGCTGTACAATCGCACCAACAAATTCTTCAAGGCGCGTTCGCTGGCGGATCTGATCAATGATGTGGAGGATGCCCAGGCCAAGGCGGATCTCCAGGGAGAGCTGGCCCGGATCAAGAAGCTATACGATTCATTGAGTTCCACGTATCAGGATGGCAAACAGGCGGGAACTGCCTCGAGCAGTTTCTTCTCTTAAAGGTGTGACAGGGACTTATGTTCAATGTTGGAAAGGCAATAAGGACCACGCAAGGTGTTTAGGAGTTGGCAACATCCATTGCAGAATTGGATACCAAATATTGGTCGCATTCAAACCATGAGACTTTCAGATAAGCTAAGCAACAATCGTTTTGACGAGTGGACAAATGACCACCACCAAGTGCAAAGCCTGTTGACATCTGTCCATCAATATCTCAGATATATCCCGCCGATCCTGAGTCGTGCCATCTGGTCACTAGGTCGGTCGTTGGAAATATCCCATTGCAGCCCCTCACAGGGTCGTTGACATTGAGAGTCCATACCAGAAGGTGACTGGGGGGCTGATTGTGATCGTCATTTAGGTGTCTCCTCGGGAGCTTTGTGACACACTGCTTCAATATTGTGCCCCGCCGGACTGATGAGAAATGCGCCATAGTAGTCAGGACGGTAGTTAGCTCGAGGACCTGGGGCGCCATTGTCCACGACGCCAGCCACTTTGAGTCCTTGGACATGGAACTTGTCAACGTCTTGGTGATCTATCGCACGACATGTCAATTTGGATCATGTATGTTGGTCAAGGCGGGGAAAGGGAGATGAGCCTACTTTTCGCAGTCAGAGCTATATGTATCCGCTGGATAGTGGCGCCGTCGGGAATTGGGCGTTGCTGGGCATCATATCCCCCAACCCAGAGAAAGCTTCCTGTATCATCTCCGAGGCCAACGACGCCAGGGGCCGGGCGAGCATACTCTCTCAGACCCATGTGCGCAAACGCTGTGAGGAGGAAGGTCGCCTCATCATCCACTTTGGAAAATGGGGTGATGAGGCATATATGATCAAGGGGCATAATGATGATGGTTCTTCAGAAAATCCCCAGTCAAGTAAAAATGTTAGTAATTATTTCAGGTCTGACTTTTGAATCTGGTTAATCTGGTTCATCGAGGAGAGACGGGAGCAGGCGTGGGAGGGGTAGAGAGGACTAAATAGCATTTCTGAGCATGGTCATGACTGAATTACCTACCTACCTATCCGGGCACAGGACTTGACGACAAACCGGTGGTCTCAGCTTCCAACACCTTTCCAAGAGAGAAAATGTCAGGAGAGCGGGAATAAAAGTCGGTCAATCCTCAAATCCACGTGCTATCGCGTGCATTTCGTGTGTCCACTCGTGAAGCCGAGGATAGAAGCCTGGCTATTGAGGGTTTAGTCTCGATATTTCACGCGTGGCACCAGGCAGCAGTTGGGCTGGCCGAGGCAGTGATTGGTAGAATGGCTGTTGGTGCCTGGATGAGGAGTTGAGATTGGCGGGGTTCTGACGCAAAGCAAGTCTCTACTCCGTCATTTGGCCTTGAGAGCCGGACAATTTCTACTCCGAATGGATTGAATTATGATGAAAACAAAGAGTCTCAGTTATAGAAAAGACCCAGGATGATAAATAGACTAGAATGAGTTCACAGGTGCTGCCCTAGCAAGGCAGAAAGATCGCTAGCTGCGTGGCTAGCCGACTTCTCTCGAGGGATTTTGTACCGTACTATACTTGCGTTGCTGCATAGGCCGTCGTTGCGGTCCAGTTGGTCTTGAGCGGGAATTGTACATCGAGTCTCCCAGGCAATACTCATATCACGTGCTACGACTTTCCATCAATTCACCAAACGCTCAATTGCTCGAAGGAAGGAGCGACCTACGGAGTAAGTAGTTTGAAGCCCAGGGCCGGGAAGGCACCCCCGCACAACCTTCCATCTCCTCATCCTCCTCCTCCAACAGTAGTACTCCGTAGACTGACCTCCTCTTCTCCCTCTGTTTCTCCTCCTCCAACGCTACTCCCTCCCCAGGCGACCTCATTCCGTTGCTAACCGTGAGAGTATGCCGTCCCTCAAAAGAAATCAAGCTTCATGCGAGCGGTTGGAAGGCCGGCGCCTTAACCACCCCCCCAATCCTTACCCCATAGTCCGTGTCCTCGTCCACCACTTACAGTCAACCAATTTCACATTGCAATGATTCAATGCAATCTAGGACTCGAATTGTCAACCTCAAGACAGATACATCACAACACAGAGCGAAGTGTTGATGATCTGACCTCTCCTTCTTTCGCCTCGCCCCAATCACCATGTCACCCTCTATTTCCGTGACCGAGATCATCAAGCACAACACTCCGTCCTCAGCATGGATCGTCATTGATAACATTGTCTGGGATGTGACCGAGTTCGCCCCAAATCATCCTGGCGGTGTCGATGTAATACTCGAGTACCTCGGCCAAGATGCAAGCATAGCATACAATGAAGTGCATGCGCCATCACTTGTGTCGAGGCATCTCTCTCCTGACAAGCGAATAGGTCAGGTCGATCAGTCCAGCATCACCGATGAATGGAGAGCGCAATTCCAATCAGCCGAGACTGTTGAGGGAACCACTGCAAACAGCGACACTACGGGGCCTCCGCCTCTAGAGGCTATCTTGAACATGTACGATTTCGAAGATGCTGCCAAAGCCACAGTATCTGCCAAAACTTGGGCGTACTACTCCGGCGCCGCCAACGACAGCCTCTCGTACGCTGCCAACATAGACTGGTACCGCAAGATCTGGTTTCGCCCTCGAGTTCTCACAGGTGTCAAGGATGTCGACACCACGACTACCATTCTCGGCCAAAAGTATAGCATGCCCATCTTTTCCTCTCCTGCGTCTTTGGCCAAACTATCTCATCCAGATGGGGAATTGGCCATGGCCCGTGGGGCTGTCGCCAAAGGCACCACCATCTGCGTGTGCAATGGTGCGAGTTACTCGCTACGCGAGATCACTGAAGTCATGCCTGACAACTATCCAAAGTTCTATCAGTTGTACTTCAATAAAGACCGTCGGGTGACAAAGAAGCTCATGAAAGAAGTCATCAGTCTCAAGCCCCGAGCGATTCTAGCAACAGTCGACTTGCCCGTCGTCGGCAAGAGGGAGGCGGACGAACGAATCAAGATTGATGCAAGCTACAAGCCCCGAAAACACCTTCAAGTCACGGTCTTGCCAACGGACAATAAAGGCACAGGGCTCGCTCGTGCCACCGGCAGCTTCATTGATCCTGATGTCAAGTGGGAAGATATCAGATGGTTAATCAACTTGTCCGACATTCCTGTCTTTATCAAAGGTGTTCAGTGTGCAGCTGATGCCAAAAAGGCGTTGGAAGTTGGCTGTAAGGGGATCTACATTTCCAACCACGGCGGTCGTGCGGTCGATACCGCGCCCCCAAGTATCCTGACTCTATTGGAGATTCAGGCCAATTGCCCAGAAGTTCTTGAGGAAATGGAGGTGTTCATCGACGGTGGTGTTCGGAGAGGTACTGATGTATTGAAGGCAATCTGTCTGGGAGCAAGTGCCGTATGTCTCGGTCGGCCGTTTCTACACGCCCTCACCTATGGCCAGGCCGGGATGGAAAAGGCACTGGAGATTCTGCAAGATGAGTTGGCGACAGCCATGCAAATGGTGGGTATCACACGACTGGACCAGGCGCATCCAGGACTTTTGAACACGGCCGAGATTGATCGGTACGTCATCCGAGGCGATGCCCATCCATGGGCAAGGAAGGTGGTGCGGAAGGTAAAGTTGTGACAAGATATGAGAGCTTGCCCCAGTCCAAAAGAGAAAACATCATGCATTTGGTGCTGGTGGTGAAAGAATCTGGATCTGTATGCAACTAGACATTGCGGGGACCGTCATACTTGCAACTCTACCTAAACTATCAGATATGATCATGACTATCGCTAGCCTCTCACATGCCATTGCCAATCATTCAGCGTGAAATTCCACCTCAAGATTGGCCTTGACTTCCATGACCTGAGGTTCAAAATCAATGCCAATGCCAATGCCAAAGCTCTCAGACGACGTCTTTCTATACGCAGCTTGCATCACTCGGCCCTCAAAGTACAAGTGCTGCTGAGAATCCTGAATCTTGACCGGCGTCACCTGTGTCCGACCAATAACCTCTGCATAGTTGTTGGCACGCTGGATAGCATGTCGAAGGGCATCGGTCCTTGCCTGTTCTTCCAAAGCCGCTTGCTTTTCATCTGTGAGCTTCCACGTGATTCCCTGAAGACTGACAAAGTTGATGTCGGAAAAGTAAACGACCATCTTGCCCAGAAGAAGAAAGTCTCGAAAATGAATCTCAATGGTGGTGTTGGCACGATAGACTTTTTGTCCTGTCGAGATGCCGTCCTTGTCCATCTCGTCGCCATACGACGTCGACAATGACGCAATCGAATAGAAGCTGATGGGTGCCTCTGGCGAAATGTCACCGTTACTGAGACGAGGACATGACTCATCCAGTCGTGTCTGAAGCTGAGTCACCGTGTTCACCACATCGTTGGATGCTACCTTCTGCTCTTTCCCCCATGATGCAACCTCGAGTGTGAGAACTGCACGCTCTGCTGGACTTCGGAGAGTCGCACTGCCTTGAATGCTGATGACTGTGGGTGCCATTTCAATCTTGATTGATGATCTGAGTTATTTGGAAAGCTTGATTAACTTAGTAGTGGGTGTCACAAATACAAGTATAGCCACGGAATTTGGAGGAGCAGAAAGATACGCCCGTCGAAAGATTGCCTTTTATCCATACAAACAGACTTAGTCAAGACTATGTGTGGCAAGATGGTCTTCAGCTTGCCACTGAGGCTGGGTTTGTGGCCTCAGCTTTTGATGCCATGCACGTCAAAGTCACACGTCGCTCACGTGGCCGCCCAAGATAGGTCGGTCGCCAAGGAAGGAACGCGCTGGACTTCGCCTGCCTGAGCGCCCGAGGCCTTCCCCAGGAAAAGTACTCATCACGTGATGTCATTTTTGTAGTGAGATTGGCTTCACTTTTGCAAGTATTCTCTTTATGTTCAATTTGGCTCTCACAGAAGGTCAATAACCTATCATGACCGAGAAGGACGAGAACCAGCCATGTACTCTCGAACCAGATTGGCTTCCGACTGCAATCGCTCTTGAGTGATCCAATATGGGCGTGGGAGGTTTGTAGCCTCAAGAGAAGGAATATCTCCTCGGATCAAAGAAGCCACTGCAGTCGAGCATCCGAGAATTTGGGGCATGCCATGGCCTGTAAAGCCCGCTGAAATGAAGAGACCTGGTTTGTTGGGTACTTCTCCCACGTACGGCTTCAGGTCGGCTGCGTAACCCATGATTCCCGTCCAGATATCGGTCACTTGTGCGCCAGACTCCTCCCATCCACTAAAGAGTCGTTGCATGTAATTGTCAAAGTATTCTTCTGCGCCAGCGACCATCTGTGAGTCATTCGCATTGCCTAGCCAATTGTCATCGTCGCGCAAGACGACTTGTTTGGCCCCGCCCACAATGATGCTGCCATCAGTTCTGGGAATCAGATAGTCGTACTCTTGTGGACCAAATCGAATGCTGTATGTGTTGTTCAGATGTGGTGCCACTTTACCTTGATTGGGAACCGCAATTCTACAAGCAACACCCTTGACGGGGGTGATCCTGTTCTCCATGTCTGGGAGTAAATTCGAGGTGTACGCGTTGGTTGTGAGCAATACCTTCTTTGCAGCGATTGTGCCCCGAGGGGTCTTCAAAATCCAACGGCCATCAGAATTGGACGACTGATCCATTGACAAGACTGGCGTGAATGTCTGCAGGTTTGCTCCCCATTCTAGACAACGACGCCATAGATGAGAAACGAGTTTATAGGGCCAGACCGAACCTGCGGTGAATGAGAACAAGAGTAACGTTCCTTTGACTCCAGAGATCTGCTCTGCCTTTGCAGGATCTGTGACAACATACAAATCGTCAGGAAACTCGAATCCATCCCGTTTCAAGGACTCAAAGGTTGCTAAAACTGTTTTAGCAACTTCTGGGTCGGTGTAGACATCCATGCCCCGAGTGAGCACGAAATCGCAATCAATAGACTCCTTCTCAACCAGCCTTTTGACATCCCAGACCTGATCAAATTCGTACTCGAGCAGCTTTCGAGCCGTCTTGGTGCCATAGGTCTTTTCGTTGTACGATGCGAGGCTATACGAGGCTGGCTTGAGATGTCCACCATTGCGTCCGGTGGCACCAGAACAAGTATCTCGGGCTTCTAGCACGACTACCGAGGGTCTGCGGCCGTCATCCTTTTCTAGGATATGGTAGGCTGCAGCGGCTCCTGAGTAGCCGGATCCAATGATGACAACATCGGCTTCACTGGGTAATTCTGGTGTTGTTCGATGTTGCGAGAGACCACTCTCATAGGACAGCCAATACGGTGGGAGAGGATTGTCAGGTAGATTGTGCATTTTTCTTTTCGATCTTTTGGTGCCTTTGATGTTCCAAACACAAAACACAAAAATGGTCAATGTTGTGACAGAGTGCCTGGAAGAAACCCCTCTGAAGCTTACCTTGATCAGACCAAAGACTATTTTATGATACTTCAGTAAATCAATCAAATATCTTGTCGAAGGGCGGGGTGCGCACATGTGCGTGTATCAAGCACAACACAGACTTGTCACACGTAGGACATTCGCGATGATGATGAATGGGTTAAACACATTCTTCTTGGGGAATCAAGTCTCGAGTCATGGTTGATGGCTTCGGCGGGACGATCTTACTCGCCAAATTATCAACAATCTTAAGAGCGACCGAGACTCTTTGACTATTCCCCGTCGATACCCTTGCTCTCTTCCCCTCTCCCAGGCAAAAGGGACACTCTGTCTCAACAGTTTCAAGAACACAATCCTGTATCCGTTAATGACCCAATTTTCAAGCTAATAATCATTCTCAAAGCTACGACGTTCAAACGACTCAGTGCTATTCCGTGATACCGTGGCATTCAGGCAGGATACCCAATGCCATCCAACTTTCAAGGGGTACCTAGGCGGCGCCACCCTGCCCACATTTGAGCCGTGGCGCCCGCCATCGCCCTAGGGTCTCAGTTTGTCTCGAGGGCCTGTTCTCGTATTTGGACTCTCAGATCCCTCATCCCCGGATTTTGTCGATGCCGTGCGCAATATCCTCGTCGTCTTACGAGCTCGACCTCTATGGGACACGGGAAGTCCAAGAAAGAGGATCCGTTCTACCAAGGAAAGTATTTAGGTGAGTTTCATGTTCTCGTGAGAGCTTCTTGGAACAATGGCTTTGGCAACTGCATCAATTGAACGACCATTGATCCATCATCATCATCCTGTTAAGGAGGCACAGGGGGCATTTTAACCACCCCTAGCGTGTGCGCAAGTTCATCGAAAACCAACCCACGGGGTATGTCTGCTCCGTGTGCCTCGCCTCGAGGATTCCAAATGCGACTCGAGAAAAACTCGCAAGCTTGAAGCCATGGTTATGGTCAGCGCAAAAGCCGCTTGACAATTGTCTGTGGACTGACGAGCCGATCTTCGGTGCGACCAACGCCACTCTCAACGGGGATATGTGGCCTATAGTCTCCTTCGATGCATTCAGTATAACTCATCATAGTAGTAGTACCAAGTGCTCCCGACGACAAGAACAGTATGATGATGATATCAATGGTCCTCTGCGCCCATGGGCTGATTGCCGTATCTACAGTAGAAGTTCATGCCATAAGCGTGCAAAGACCATGGTTCATGGAGTTCGACGACTCAGATGATTCAGAAATGCCAACTTCAAGGGTCCTGGGGTCAAGGCGCACGCAATTCCTTCCTAGGTCAACCCAAAAGTTGATTCTACATACGGAGTATGAGTAGTAGCGAACCTTATGTGCAGCACCTACCAAGTTGCCATGCGACGATAATGGAACAATGGAACTATTCTTTTATTGCCGGACCTCCGTGCTCAATATTGGTGTTTGGCCCATATCATGACAGGGGCCAGAAGCACGCAACCAAGCAATTGTCCCAGATTTGATCGCATTGCGTTTGATTTCTGGAGACGTGAGGCTCCTTGGTCTGTACGCACCACACGATCTAGGAGTGGGGTTGCCTCTACCATGCCGTGCACGTCCATACCCTGACAGGGACGCCGCTTAAGCCGGCAATTCTTCTTCCTTCTTTCACCAACCAGCCGGCCTTCCTCCATGTTCCACTAGCCTGTCACAAAGTGCTCTCCAAGCGTCGCAGATCTTGCAAAACCACGCGAGATCAAGGGCCAGGCCAGCCTTTGAGTTACACGGACAGGATGAGGTATTGGACACCAGTTGACGGCAATGTACATTTGTCTTGCAGGCGTCTAGTCCAACCACCATTAACCAGAATCTGTGTATACAAAGTGCTGCAACAGAATCTTCTGGTCAATTGCAGTCTGCAGGCGGAAATTGATTTTTGGTCAAATTGGCGGCTAAACACAGTCAAGCCGCCTCCAGTTGAAGGGGAAACGCAGGTCAAGGCCCGAACCGAAAGTGCGAGCATGACCACACGGCCTGGGCAACTATCAAGGTTGCAAGGCCCTGTACGTACAGAGTAGAGAGGCACGAGATGGGCGTTTGGAGCACGAGAGCAGAACCATTGTCTTGTTGGCTCCACTCGTCAACCTTGGACAAATCAGCACTGGATCGCAAAGGAGAGAAATCTCGACTGTGTGACCATGGAGTCTCTCTAGCGTCTATTGGCTTTTTCATGCAGATTGTGTTTCCAGTAGGTTTGGCGCGTTCCTGACCTAAAGCTGCATTAGCAACACCCTCCAGAGCCGCTGAGCGAGTCTAAAACCTCCTAGTCAGGTACCACGAGCGCCACTGGCGTCTCAGGTGGAGACATCGGGAAATTTGGCATGGCTTGCATTGGTCGCTGGTCTGAGCTCATCATATTCGACGAGGCTCAACCCTGGTGCAATCAATCCAAACAAGCCAGTCAAACAGCACTCTGAAGCTAGCGATCAAATGCAATCTGGCTACCAACAGTACCTTGCCGCGCTGGCCCATCAGGTCGACCTTCCGGCCTATGGTGTGCTGCTAGCCTCTGACTTTCTGCTGGCAAGCTCTTATCCAACAACTCAACAGCTCTGCTGCTAGTCTCCTACCGACCCAGGTCCTGACGACAAGGCGATAGCTTCTGGGGTCTCTACCCATCTCCGCCATGTCTTAGCGTGCCCTTGGGTGTCCTGGCCCCATCACATATACCCTCCTCCATGCTGCTCTGGACGATCAACACCTCCCTCCTCCACAGCGTCGTGGTGTATACCTGATTTTTGTCCCTTGTGACAGCGTCTCGCTGTCGTCCGAAGTACTGAGCTCCCTCTCAGCCTGTTGAACCTGTACAGCCTTTTGTTTATACAACACTGAGCAGCGCTCTCTCACCAGCTTCCGCGAATCGCTACTATACCAAACAACAAGGACCTCGAGGATCCAACAGTTTTCGCAACCAAACTTGCCACATATCGCACGCCTGCGATCGACCACTCTTTACCCATTGACGAGAATCAATCGCCATCCGCAAGATCATATGCTTTCGACCTAGCATACAATCAAATCACACTGCGACGATGCGCTTCTCAACCATCTTGACGACAGCCGTAGCTTTGCTACTGGCCCCGACCGCCCTGGCCGACCCTCCATCAGGGGCATCTTGGGGCAGCGAAACCACTATCACCATTACATCTTCATATGAAACCACTTTGACCGTCACAAAGACTTTGACTTGGGCAAACGTCACACTGACCAGCACGATCTCAAGTCCGCACAATGCGACCACAATCGCCGTCTCAACGACTGGTCCCGCCAAGACGACTGGATCATCAGTCCCAACTACGACGACCCCATTAATTGCTGCAGCTACCGGAGCCGCAAACAACAATCAAGTGAACCTCGCCATGGCCGGTATTGCCGGAGCCGCTGTCATGGTCTTGGGGTCATTATAACCCTAGCCCAGAGGTTCGATATGGATGTGCCCAGCATTCAATCGCTTCAATCACGTTTCTTTCCATTTCTTGACAGTGTCAACCTTGCAAGAGCACGAGGTTGCTCATGCGGTGCACTTTGCACCGATTTGTTATGCTTTCGATACCCCACGCAGTTTGACCTCTGTGAGAGAGGTAGCAGGTGGACGGAGGAGCAGCGGCTTTGAGATGGTCATCGACCCTAGCTGGTCGCCCTCTCTACGAGTAGAGAGCAATTTCAGAGGATCGCCAACGAAACGCCCGGGGCGTGGACGTGGAAGGCATCGGTGTGCATGTCATTTTCAACAGTCGAGAACAGGCAATCATGCAGCATACGACATGTACGATACTGGCTGGCCTCGAAGCCCAGGATCGCGACCGACCGAGGACAGGGTGTGGAGCTATTTGGGGACGGAGGATTATGGAGAGGAACATGGGCATTTATCAAATTGGACACCATGGACACGACTGATATGATGAATATATTTCGCCCTTGTGAGCGTGCAAGCGAGTCCAGTTTCTAATTGATATTGCATTCAATGTTTACATTCTTGAGTGAATATGTACCACCCCAGTTGAATGTACGATAGCAGATAGGCATTGCACACTTGTAATCGAAGTTTTGGTCGCCGTGTATCGCTGTTGATATCCCTGTTGCACATCTATTGAGTTGACTCGTATAACGATCGTCGAGCGATCGTCAAGAAGCCCCCTCGGCCGCTTCCAGAAGCCACCTCGAGCACGCTGCACCTCGTCCGGGAACCAGGGTCGCCATGACCCGCTCATGACGATCAAAGGCCACCGCTTCCAGCCACTTTGGTCAAATTCTCCACTGGCATTCAGATTCCAAGGGCCGGGTCATGAGATTTCGTCTACACAGACCACTCTCTGTGCCCAGCATCGATCGAGACCGTAACTACTCCGTAATTCGAACACCTGTGTGAAGCTCGGCGTGCTCGTGGAGCAAGTGCAGTTTGTTTACACTCACCACAATTAAATTTCATATGACGTTGATTGCATGCGGCGCGTGCTCCGCTGTCACGGTAGTTGCTGACAGCGACCATGACAGGTGTTCGGCGCACGTCTCTTGGACGGGCCGCTTCGCAAGTGCAACTTCTTGAGATTCTGGCTCCATGTCAGAGCCCGGAGAGTCAATTCCGAAAGAGAAGGGCAGCCTTGTTCTGAGAGAGGTTCTCGGTGTCTATAATCTCATTTACTCCGTAGTAAGGAGAGTATGATAATCTTGAATTATATTCGCTATCCCAACTATGTAGAAGTAGTTGGACGTACTTTTCCCTTGGGCTCGTTGATTGAACGTCATCTTGCCAAACTGTGATCGCACATTACTTGAGCTTTGTCCAAGGTATTGGTGGAATATGTGATACCGCCATATTATTCCTTTCAGAATGCTTCGTACGCACCTTACGAGCCCTCGTTCATATACGGAGTACTAGAAACAGGCAAGTACCTCAACACCGTGGACTGCAGCTTCCCTGGCCAAAATGACCATTCCTGATACGGTCATGCAACCGCCATCTGCCAAGACACGTCGGATGCCTAACCAAAAACCCTCTAGACAAGTTGTCAGTCGCGTGCTCAAGGAAGCCGCGGGTCAACAGACACACACACCCACCCACGCGTCACAATGACTTTTGCTGCGGTTTCTTATCTTTTCCTGCATCTGATATTCACCACACATTGCTGTGGCATCATCCATCGAGGGTGTCCCTGAATTCATCAGGAGCCTATCTCGGTGTTCATCTCGTCGTTCATCTCGTCCTGCACTCGAGTGTCACACGTCCTGTCCCTCTCCTCTCTTCACATCCCCGCCACCATGGATGACCTTGATCTCCCTCCCATGCCTTCTTCTGCTCGCAAGAGCGCTGAACCACAATCTGCCCACCTTTCTTCGGCCTTTCTCCGCAAGAGATCTCGTGCCAACTATGACGATGACGATGTCGGGACTTCCAGTGACCCGGCACTCTTCTCCAGCGACGAACAAGCCCCTGGTGCTGAGAACTATGTCATGGGCAAGCGAAAGAAACACACCTACCAGGGTTCTTGGTGGAGTCACCGTCAACGCACCGGCAACGGTAAAAAGCGTGAGTTCCGGAGAAATTACGACTCGGGCATATTCATGGGAAGTGAGACAAGTGATGGCTCTCTTTCCAGTGACTCGTTCGGACTAGAAGATGAGTTCCTGAGAGATCAACAAACGACAAGGCCCAGAAGTCGGTTTTCTGTCAGCGAGTCCTCGCAAACAACCCCCAAGGCAATCAAAATCCAAACCCGCATGCAAACATCCACCATACCACCAGAACACGAAACAGTCACGGAGATTGTCACCCAAGCACTTGAGCTGGGCAAAGAAGAAGTCGATCTATCGTACGTTGGCTTTTTCATTCTAAAACCCCCAGTCCTGTCAAGCTGACTTCCCGCTAGGTCCTTGTCTTTGTCGACTCTGCCAGACCAAGTTTCGGACCTGCGAACTCTTTGCAAACAAGCAGAGATTGTCCCCGGCATGCTTGACATTGGCAGCAATTTCGAATCAAAACTACAACTGTACCTGGCTAGTAACCTGCTCACTCAGTTTCCTTCCCCTATCCTCGACCTACAAAACCTCCGAGTACTTTCCCTTCGCAACAACAATCTTACGATAATCCCTCCCACAATTCGAGAATTGGTCAACCTGGAAGTTTTGAATGTCGCCAGCAACCAACTCCGAGAACTTCCTTTCGAGCTGATCGAACTTGCAAGATTCCACAACCTTTCTAAAATCATCTGCAACCCCAATCCTTGGTATCTTGACGAGGCGCATTCGGCAGACGACCCACAAGCGCTTAACATGCCATGTGAGACGATGTTTATGCCTGAGTCCAAGTCGCCTGGCACGATCCTGGTCCGTGCAAAAGTTCAATCATTGGCCCCTGGAGATGTCAAAGAAGTACAGCAGTCATCAGCGCCGTCTCTTACAGAACTTGTACTTCGACAGCTTTCCAAGACTGTTTCACGATCACAACCGGACCTTAGCACGTTTATGCCTTCCGACACGCCACAGAGTATCCTTGAACCGTTGAGTTTGATCCACTCTCAACCAGGCAGGCAATGTACGCGATGTCACCGAAACATTGTCATCCCCCACAGAGCATGGTTGGAGTGGTGGAGCATGGAAAAAGAGGAGCGGGAACCGTCCTCGTTCCGAATGGATTATGTCCCATTTCGACGATTTCTATGTTCCAAAAATTGTCATTCAAGTGATAATGAATGGTGCAGAGATACCCACGACGAAAGTCTGAAGTGATGATAATCAATCCATTGCTTGGTACGATGGGAGTCAATTTGAACAAGCTACACAGCTGTGGTATGAGAAAAGTAGGATATCTGTGAAAGGAGCAGCGGCAATGAATACGTGGGGCACATTGGAAGGCAAATGGTGTTATCTCGTGCTTGAGCAGTCACAAGACAAGTTGAAACGTCATGGTTCAACGAACTAATAGTCCTTTAGGGATAATTGTGACAGAATATGAAAGCGTCTGCTCAAAGCGATAACTTTTCGTAAGGATGTTATTCATAGCCTCATGACTTCATGCCTCGAGGTACAGAATGAGGTTGAGCTGGAATTCTCCAACGTGGGAACCATCCTCGGTCACTTCAATGTGACATTAACCCCGTCACCGAGGATCTGAACTGATCTCCCATTTTCATCGAGACTCCTCCGGCCAGCCTCCAAGATGGCAGTAGTGTAGACAGTGTTCCTCAACGTAGGCAAACCTCTCCGATTCAGCTCGTCCAACGTGACCTTTCCATCATTGACGGCAGTGACAGCATCGATGAATTTCTCAAAACTGACATATCCATAACCAGACTGACCATTGAAATTCCCCTCCTCATCCGGAGCATAACGCATATAAAACGGATTATACCACTTCAAAGCCGAAGAAGAGCCTATCTCCGCCTCATCCAACACCTCATACCCACGCTTCGCCTGGTTCACATTAATCTCACCCTTTGAGGCAATATAATGAAAATGTTGCTGCGAATGAACCCCGGCCTGTAAAGGCGCGGTCCACGAAGCGGTAAAGATTCCTGTCGCACGCTTCCCACTACCACCACCATCACCACCATCATCGCCATCTCTCGTCCAATCAACCAGTAATGTGATGGTGTCCTCCGTGCCAGCAACACATCCGACTGAGGTGGCGATACCACTACTTGCACTCGCCCGTACCGTCGATGGTCGCCATCCGGCATCTCGAACCAGCCATTCGCAGATATCCACGTGGTGCGAATTGAGGTAGTAGGAGATATCCGAATCACGGCCCGCCCAGGCCTTGAAGGTCTCGAGTTGCGATTTCGGTTGGGACATGTAACTGTAGAAATAGTTGAAGTCGCCGAGATTCCGAGCCCGGAACCGTGCATCCTGGTAAGCTGGGTCGAATCGTTTATGGTGTTCAATGTAGACGAAGACGCCGTGTTCGTCCGCTAGGGAGATCAATTCTAGATGGTGGGAGAGGAGTTGGGTTGCAGGTTTGGTGATCATCACGTGGATCGACCGTTCGATCGCATACCGTGCGATATCGTAGTGTGTCGAGTCGGGTGTGAAGATGGTGATGGCGGATCCGGTCGGTAGGGCGTCGATTGCTCTCTTGTATGCATCTGGGTCGGTTTCCTCATCGCTAGGGTATGATGTGAATGAAACGTCTAGTCCGTTGTATGCTTGTTGGATGTTCTGTTCCAGGTGTTGCCGGATAGCAGGGAATTTTCTCCCGGATACTCCGACCATTGAGAGGTCAGATACTTTGCCTCGTCGTCGGAGGTCGAATACTGTGGAGGTGTGAGAGGTGTGGTTAGAGGGTCTGGATCAGGGGTAGACAAAAGGGAAGCCCAATATGAGAACACTTACATGTTAATCCCACAACGCCAACTTTCTTGTCCGAAGTCGACGCTGACCCTGCCACGAACCCTGTCGTGTACTCGCCCGTTCCAACCATGAGGACTGCTGGGGGTGCCATGTTGGATTTGGGGAGAGGAGTGAATCTGCTGGAGATGAAACCAGGATTTTGATCTACTCAGAATTGTGAAGGGTGTTGCTGAGTCTGTGTGTTTTGGTAGGAAAGGGGTTGAAGATGGGTGACTTGTCACAGGTAGATATACTTGTTCGCTCAAGGACTTCACTTTGGGTACCATACAGTGAATTCGGTCAACGAAGTGGTAAGTCGTTTTTGTTGATGTTGATGTTGTTCAACTTTTAATTGTATATAGTGGAAATTTATACATTTTAAGTGTCCGATCGAGGGCTCCAATTGAACCTGATAAGGCAGCAGGACCTTTGTACTAATTTACCCGGCGATTCAAACTCTTGTAGTGATCAGCTCAACCCCCGCAACGACATGAGCCAAGGCTATCGGCGTTTGAATCGAATTGAGCAGATGATATAATGTACATGTACATCGATATATTTCCTGTTGATTTGGGCCACATGCGCAAAGTGCCTTTTGACGGTTCAGGAAAGTCGTGGTAAACCCCCACTCACTAATTAAGGTCGGGACCCCTCAGGCCAAACCTGCCCCCGAGGCCCCCAACTTGGGCTGGTAGGGGTGGCGGGGTAGTGAGGATGATCAGGTTAGGGGATGAGGGGATTTGATGTTAGAAGGCAACATGAATTCCAATTCTTCTTACTATATAGCCTCTTGCCTATAACCAGACCGTGTAGCACCTTCCTCAAACACTTGGGCCAATGAATCCACCGCTTCACGTTTCAAAGTTCCTTCCTTCTACGAGTATTTCGAACGTCATTGTCACGTGGAATATCCAGTGATCACGTTTCATGCATTTACTACGGAGTACCTTCATGGCCCCCTCCCAAATCGAAGATCCATGTAACTTCGTATGTATGTGCTATAAATCCCGGGGAAGGACCAACTCCTCCGCAATGGGCCGAGATAGGAACATGGATCGAGTTCAATGTGACCCAAGAAGTGCGTGGTCAACTCGCTATAATTCGATATCTCCTGACTTACTCTTACTCATGAGGGAATTAACTGGCTAATGCTACTGCTTTTGGAATCCATATTGTCAATGCTGAACACGTCTCCTTGGGTATAGCTGCTTGACTCTCTAAGTAGTGGTCAGACGAGATACGACAATGGTTCGTGCTGGAGCCTTAACCCCGGATCCTATCGCCTTGTCCTTTTGTATTGTAGTATCATGACTGCGTGGTTTGTGGTTTAAACTCGTAATTGAGAATCACACTGCCTTGTCGAACATAGGGCGTCGAGTTCAATTACTCAGTTAGTGCACGTCCTGACGCGCGGGCAGACTGAGTCAGACTATAATGACGTTGGAAGTCATCCCTAGGCCTGAACCTTAAGTCAACGAAAGATGCTCATAGCGAGCCTCGGGGCTTAGAACTGATTTGAAATGCACTACCTATTTGGGAAATTCTGGGCGACATGTCTACTGTCCTAAGAGAATGGATCACTAGGTATCATTCAATCTCGAAAATACTGGTGTTGATGTGTCGTCGCGATAACTCGTGATGACCTCGCGAAACTCATCGTCGTTGTCCCACGAGGAGTCAATGGACGAGGCTATGGAACATCATCAGAATTTGGTCCAAGTACTGCAGAAAAGCCGTTGGAGCCTTGATTCCAAAACTCACGTCATATCTCTCTCTCTCCCTGGATGATAGCATTGTCCTTCAATATTTGGGATTAAGGTTGGGACCAGCGAGGGTTGTTAAGTCAAGGTGTCGTCGGCGGTGCTGTTTAAACACAAACTCACGAGAGTCGCCACACGCTGGACCTTAACGGGACCAAATTTGATACGGGGATTCCATTATTGCTTAGATAAGATTCAGAGTTCATCTAGGCAATCGCATATGATGGTGAAGATGACTCGCCTTGGTAGAGGGATTCCAGTTCGGCGGGAGGAGCATTCCCTCCCCGGGAGACAAACCAATCAGGTTCTGCTGATTGCTCGCCTTTCCTCATTGGGACACGAATCTGGTAAGCACCTTAACCTCAGCAGCAAATACAAATGGCTGTCTTGAAATTTGGGATGGCTTCGAACGCCTTGGCTCACTCCACGTGCCATTGGTCGGCTGATGGCATGGCCATGCTCGTAACAATGGATCCTTCTCATCCTGGAGAAAAGCTGAAAGTAATACTGCCCAATTAACGCGCTCGGAGCATTTGGTCCCTGCCTGGGTCCAAAGTACCCGCACCTTGTAGATATATGTGTTCTTGAACATGAAGAGAAGATTCCATAATCTCATACCGCGGCGATGACCAGCTGGGTTTTGCCAGAGCCGCTGCTGTATATGTATACCAGGCTATATATCACTTGCCATCAGATCTTCGCCAAGCACTCACCATCAATCACCTTGGTTATAAAATTCCATAAGAATACCGTCTTCGCTTGGCCTATCCGCAGTCATGATTCATCCCGGCCAGGCAGCACACATATTCACCTGCAAGGAAACTAAAATGAGTAAACGAACAACCCAGTCCAGTATGCCAATTGGTCGACCACGTCTGCCAGGCACCGAGTTCGAGAGGGCTCAAGCACGTCGAGAAAAGGTCCGCGCAAATGTTCAGGCCTTTCGAAAGAGACAGAAAGAAAAAAGAGTATTGAATCAGGCCGAGGACGGTGACGAGGAAAATCTGGTCCTCCAGGTCCCTGACGACAATGCTCAAGATAGTGACCCCTTCCTCAGTTGCACCGACGAGTCTCCTGGGAGTACTTCTTCGACTCCAAACCCACCTATATATCAGAATCTTCCGGCCCCAAAGGACCAGAATCGAGAATCGTGGTTATGGGCAATCCCCTTTGAAATGGGGGTTAACCTTGGCGACTCCTTCACCACAAGTACGTTGGCTGCGGCTCTCCAGTATGATTCCCTGGTGGCAGACAGTCCTTCAGCAATCTTTGGCTCGGGCACCGATAGCAAGATCACTATCAAGTGCGCAACGTGGACGGCGTCGACGTCGCTGGAGGGACAAAGTCAAGAGGCGGGGGTTTTGATTGAGGCAGCCTTAGGTGCTGCTCTTGCCATTGCTGGCCGGGATGGAGATAATCAAGCCACGCCACTTTATGCCACACATGTGCAGAACAGAGCATTGCGGCGGCTTCGATGTTGCCTGCGTCAATATGAACAAGGGGAGTCGAGCGTCGATGCAGTATTACTGTCCTTAACTGCCCTTACCTGTGCCATGTCCGAGCTGGCGGCAAACCGATCCTGGGACAATTTCAACCGTCATCTTCTTGGGATTGGTGCACTGATCTCGCACAGCGGTCTCGCTATGCTCAAGTCACCAGCGGGATTGGAGAACTTCCATGGCTACCGTGCTCTCCAAATCCCCTTTCTCTTCATGAATCGTCACACTACCTTTCTCTCGAGCTCTGAATGGATGAGATTCCCATCCAGAGTGGCTAAAAGCACTACACGCGACCCTCTACAATCATTAGTCGACATCGCATTGGGCATCTTACCGGACATTGTCAAGCAAGACGTAGCCACGAAGCGCAATTTGCCTCTTCTCTCAGAGAGGTTGCAACGAGCGATGGAAGTGATGGCAGAGTTGGACTCCTGGGAGAGGCGTCTCCGGAAACGACATCAAACTGCGCTGTATGTTGAAAGGCCAGCCATCTGGAAAGGGTTGCATGACCTTACATTTGAGTTCGTGGTGCCATCTTCGGCAATTGCTTTTGCCATGTACACAGCCCTCCGGATCCACGTTGCGAGCTTCATGGCAAACGTGTCTGAGGAGATTCATTCGCTCAAGCACGAAGCTTGGGTGGATCCGAATATGGCAGTGCAGCAGGCCCTATACTGGTCTCATATTGCCTGTCAGTGCATCGAGTCCTTCCACGTCACTGCTGCCGATTTTGGAGGTCGAGTTGTGAGCTTGTGGCCACTGGAGACAGCCTGGGAACTATTCTCTCGACTGGGGACGGAAAAGTCAATGGATATGTCCAAGGAGACTGCATGGTGTCGATCAGTTGCCGAGAGACTTGCTCTCCGTGGCATTCCGCCATATCGATGGAGATAACGACGGGAGACAGCTGGATAGACAATCTGCTAGGATAGAACGGCGTGGGATCATTCGGAAGGCCGATCGGCGACGTTGCAAAGTGATGCGCAGAGCACAGCCCCCGTGGAGTATTTGTCTGGCGTAATTTCAGCGGATCCGGGGTCAGTTCATGTTGCTCGAGAGTATTTGACTTTTGGACACTGGTCAAGGCTTGCTAAAGGGTGGGATGAATGTGGGAGTAGGCTGAGAAAGGAAGGAAAACGAGGCCACAAGTCGAAGGGCCATAGTGTAGATTCCTACGAACCCATCGACTCAGCCTCTGTAGAACCGGTCACACTATGATGATACATACATGTTTGAAGATCGAGAATGGTAGTCGGAGTCCGATTGGTGAGAGTGTCCTCAAACTTCCATGGCAACGGGCCTGTGCCTGAATGTAGGAAGGCCACGGTGAAACATTGAAATTGTTGAGAGAAATTCCTGACGCGAAACGATAGGCAGATGCAGGTCCAGCCGGAGTTGGCCTGCAGCTATGCTGAAGTCAAATCTGAGGAATCGTGGGAGTCTCCGATGGTGACAAAAAAATTGATTGTCGGTTGAAATCGTTGGGTTTGCTCCGCCACTTTAGGTGGCGAGGCTATAGTGCAGGCGGCCGAGTTTCTTGTCAGACAGGTGCATAGGCTGCATTTGAAGAGCTACTTTACTACCCAATTCTGGGCAAAAGTCTGGCTGTGGCTAGCAGAAATGTCGCCGTCATGACGTGAGAGTATTTCAAAATGTGGCTGGAATATCACGTGATTGTGGCTGAAGTGGCTGAGACGCTTTGATTTCAGATTTCAGCGTTGCAAAGTCTGCTGCGCGGGTCCAGGCCCGTCAGTGTCAGATTCGAGTCGAGCACCCAGGCAACCCATGCCAATCATCACTGTGCTTCAGGGCTCCAGCTCACAAGAACCTGGTGGCCTTGACATCACCTCGATCACCCAGTGTCCGGGTCCAGAACTCGTGGAGTATCTGGCTAGCCTGTTGGTCTGGTCTCCGTCCGATCCCAAATCACCGTGAGATCCTCCCCCCACAATGTCTCCCACTAATCTCGTCATCATGGCTAGACTGCCGTTCCTCTATTCTCCGAACGAAACTTATCACTTCTACTGTAGCTCAAAGTTTGAGTTAGGGTCTGACCTCTCTGACGGTCGATGAACGAGAGAGCCAGTCCGATCCCAGAGATCAAGACATGTTGCAATGACGAAATCCAAGAGGAGAACAAGAGAAGCCAAGCCATAATTTACCTCAAGCCAAGCCAAATTCCCGCCTCCTAGCAAGCCCGAAGTGCCCTGGTCAGTTAAGGAACTGGGAAATGTCACTCGCTTAGATCTGGTTTGCTCGGGGGAGTTACTGGTGCTTGATCCAATCCTGAGGGACAAGGTCTTTAGAGGACTAGAGGTAGGCGAGGGATGGAGAAATCAAGAAAATGGCCATTGACAATTACTTGTACTGGGTGACTGGCACACCGACTGTAACTTGGGTCCCCAGTCGACTGAAAGACATTATTGTGGCGTCGACATATTATACCTGTGGACCAACAACACCACCCTAGGGGCATTTGGGTTGGCATCCGGCCACTACGGTTGTCGCCGCCGTGGGCATGGTCTGTACTCCGTCGTGTCCGTACACATTTCAGGCACCACAGGATTATGACCCGAAAATCCTGTCCAAGAATCAAGCGATTATCTTGGAATCAGAGGACAGATAACATCGTACATCCAAGCAGCGCCAAAGGATCAAACCTGGGCGAAGGAAAAGCTCGACAATCTGGAGACCACCGATTGAGCTTCAACGATACGTTTTATTAAACAACTCCTGGGCGCTTCTCTAGACCGAAGAGGTTTACCGCCCGGTTGTTTTTCAACTGGTCTCCTTTTTGATTGGTCAGACCCCCGTTGCCTAGATGGACACCTCTTTGCACAGCCCCCTGGCCAAGAATTGACCCCAGCATACTTTCGCTGACCTCGACTCCTCATGTGTTGCCCCAAAGGAGCGTTCAACATCACGTCCACAAATTGTCATCTGTTGCCCAAATCCTCCATTTGACCTTGAGGCATTGCAAAACCTTCGTTTTGCCAGCTGTGTTGTCCAAGGGCAACTAGGCCTCCGTTATATACCAGAGAGCGCCTTGCATCCTCCTCTGGTAGGCGATTTCATTTCAGCCCCTGGACCTCGCCCACGTTGTTGTTGTGATCTGGATAAACAAGGCCAACTCTTGGGACATGTTAACCGCCGTGTCAACGCCTCGAGGCTCTGTTTTCTAAAGTCGGCCATCTCTACATCTTTGAATTAAAACAACACCCACCATGGGTGATACCGCCAGTTCTGCGCCCCCGCAGATTCGACTGGACACGTCGGTGAGTACTCATCTCCCTGAGCACCATGCCCAGCCATGTTCCGAAACTGACGATTTCCTAGAACGTGTCAGAGCAACCAGAGCCATCATCGTCACCCATATCACCGGGAACAACGACACACAGAAGAGGTCTGAGTATATCAACACCTCCTCAGACCGCCATCGATGAGGGCTCTTTTCTGTCTCCCACAACTCCAGACCGGAAACAGCAATTCGATGGATCGACGTTGAATTCTCGGTCTGGGTCCATTCAATCGGGCCCAACTCGGATTCGATCGAACTCGGGCATGTCGGCCACTTCGAGCGTCACTTTTCATTCCAAGACCAGCCTCGAATTTGATTCCCCCGAAGATGCCTTACGACCGGACAAGGGCACCGAACGGGATTTTGACGACCGAGACTCTCCATTTGCCTTTTCACCCGGGATGCTCAACAAGCTCCTCAATCCAAAGTCATTGTCAGCATTCAAAGCCTTGGGTGGTCTTAGAGGCATCGAGAAAGGTTTGAGGACGAGCGTAACTGCTGGACTTTCGACAGATGAAACTCGGCTTTCAGGTCGAGTATCTTTCGATGAGGCTACCACTATTTCCTCCGAAAAGGGTTTCTCAGATGTTCCCGTCGCTGAAGAGGATCCTCCTGTCTCGGGACAGGCGAGCCAAGTACAGGGCCAATTCGAAGACCGAATACGTATATTTCGGGACAATCGCCTACCGGAGAGGAAACCAGATGGGATTCTGCTGCTCATTTGGAGAGCGTACAACGACAAAATCCTCATTCTTCTCACCATTGCTGCCGTTGTTTCCCTCGCCCTGGGCATTTACGAAAGTGTCTCGGGTGAGTCTAGCGTCGACTGGGTCGAGGGTGTGGCTATTTGCGTTGCCATCATCATCGTGGTAACCGTAGGCGCTGCAAACGACTGGCAAAAGGAACGCCAATTTGTCAAGCTCAACAAGCGGAAAGACGATCGTGAGGTCAAAGTCATTCGCTCTGGCAAGTCTGTCATGGTTTCAGTTCACGACATCACAGTGGGAGATGTGCTTCACCTCGAACCAGGGGATGCTATCCCCGCCGATGGTGTCTTTATTACCGGCCACGGTGTCAAATGTGACGAATCATCGGCTACAGGTGAATCAGACCAGATGAAAAAGACCCCTGGAGATGAAGTATGGCTTCGCATCCAGGATGGCACTGCAACTGCAAAACTCGATCCTTTCATCATCAGTGGATCCAAGGTTCTTGAGGGTGTCGGCACATATCTTGTCACCAGCGTCGGGACTAATAGCTCCTATGGAAAGATCTTGATGAGTCTCCAAACCGACAACGACCCTACACCCTTGCAAGTTAAACTTGGAAAACTCGCCAATTGGATCGGTGGCCTCGGCTCAGCTGCTGCCATTCTACTCTTCTTCGTGCTTCTCTTCAAATTTGTGGGTCATCTCAACAACGACCCACGACCGAGCCCGGAAAAGGCACAAGAATTCCTGGATATTCTGATTGTTGCAATCACCGTCATTGTCGTCGCTGTCCCGGAAGGCTTGCCCTTAGCGGTTACACTAGCGCTCGCCTTTGCAACAACCCGTATGCTGAAAGAGAACAACCTCGTCCGCGAACTCCGCGCTTGCGAGACGATGGGCAATGCTACAACAATCTGCTCCGACAAGACTGGCACTTTGACACAGAATAGGATGACAGTGGTTGCAGGCACGCTTGGAACGACAGACAAGTTTGCGTCCTCACACTCGGAGGAGAAGTCTGATGCCATCAGTTTTTCGACCATGTTTCAAAAACTCGGGCCCGAAGTCAGGGACCTCCTTCGTGTATCACTTACTCTGAACAGCACTGCTTTCGAGGGAGAAGAGAATGGCGTCGCGACCTTCATTGGCTCGAAGACTGAGGTCGCGCTGTTGACTCTGGCCAAAGAAAACTTGGGGCTGGATAATCTCGCAGCGGAACGGTCAAGCTACAAAGTCAAGCAGCTGATCCCTTTCGACTCGGCGCGCAAGTGCATGGGTATTGTCATCAAAATCAATGGCGTATATCGCCTTCTGGTCAAGGGTGCCGCGGAGATTATGCTTTCTCATGCTACCAAAACAATCTCGAACATTGCCGAAAAGCACTATCACGTCGATGACCTCACCGCCGAAGATCGTGAAGCCACTGCGCAGACTATCGACCAATATGCCCAGCACTCTCTCCGGACCATTGGTATACTGTACAAAGACTTCCAGCAATGGCCACCTGTAGGCGCCAAGACGATGGAGGAAGACCCAAAGATGGCCCAATTTGACGACATCTTCAACGATATGATCTGGATCGGCGTCGTTGGAATTCACGATCCTCTTCGTGACGGTGTGATTGAGGCTGTGTCTCAATGCCAAAAGTCTGGTGTGATTGTCCGTATGGTCACTGGCGACAATATTACCACCGCACGTGCTATCGCAATGGACTGTGGCATTTTACGTGAAGGCGAAGACACCATCGTTATGGAAGGGCCGAAATTTCGACAACTGTCGGTCGAGGAAATGGACGAGATCCTTCCGCGTCTCCGAGTCCTGGCGCGTTCATCCCCCGAAGACAAGCGGATCCTGGTCGGCCGCCTAAAGCACCTTGGTGAAACTGTTGCTGTCACTGGTGATGGTACAAATGACGGACCTGCCTTGAAAATGGCCGACGTCGGCTTCAGTATGGGCATCGCTGGTACCGAAGTTGCCAAAGAGGCATCGTCCATCATCCTTCTCGACGACAATTTCTCCTCTACCATCACAGCCCTTATGTGGGGAAGGGCAGTCAACGATGCAGTCAAGAAATTCTTACAATTTCAAATCACAGTCAACATCACCGCAGTGGTTTTGACCTTTGTTTCTGCCGTCTCGAGTGAGTCCAACCATTCGGTCCTGACCGCTGTTCAGCTTCTCTGGGTCAACCTAATTATGGATACCCTGGCAGCACTTGCGCTTGCCACGGATGCTCCAACTCAAAAGATCCTCGAAAGGCCACCACAGCCTAAATCCGAGTCGCTCATCACCATCAACATGTGGAAGATGATTATCGGCCAAGCCATTTATCAACTCGTCGTCACCTTTACGCTTTACTTCGCGGGTATGAGGATCCTGAGCTACGAAGGTCCACAACAACGAACAGAGCTCGACACAGTCGTCTTTAACGCATTTGTGTGGATGCAGATCTTCAACGAGTTCAACAACAGACGCTTGGACAACAAATTCAACATCTTTGAGAACATCCACAAGAACTTCTGGTTCCAAGGTATCAACTGCATCATGGTTGGAGGTCAGATCATGATCATCTTCATTGGTGGGCGAGCCTTCAGTATCACCCGCCTGAACGGCACTCAATGGGCTATATCTCTTTTGTGTGCTGCTCCCTGTTTGCTGTGGGCGATCTTGGTCCGCCTTTTCCCCGATGCTTGGTTTGCTGTCGTCTTCAATGGTTGTGTGAGCGCACTAGCTTTCTTCCTCCGACCAATCTGGAAGGTGATGCACATCATCTTCCACCCTGTCGCGGAGGTTTTCCGATCTGCCAGTCGCTTCATAAAGCGACAATTCCGCAAGAACAAGTCAAACGAAGACGAGAAGCCGGATGTCGAGCGTCCCTCGTCGAGTCTCACAGGTCGTCAATCTCAGGGCGTGGATGAAAAGACCGGCGTGCCTTCGATGCCGACCTTTGCAGCATCCGACCCCACCAACGTGAGCCCGAATATTGAGAGCAACAATGGCACAAACGATCACCATGTGAGCGACATACCCGTTCCCTCCGTTTCTGTTACAGAACCGAAATGAACGTTGGAATACGTACCAACATCAAAGAACATATCACTTGGACTCGGCAACCGAAAGTCCAGACCGCACCATTGCCACAGGTAAACCGGAAATATCAAACTTGGGTCGCCTTGCACAGTTTGCCGAAGCGCCCGTCCTTGGGTCTTAAACATGTTGACCTACGCAGGCATGTCGCGGAGAACGTCAACCTGCGGGGAGCTTCGAGCCAGCGCGAGCCCGCTACCTTCACAGAGTGATCGTTCTCCGCGATTTCCAGGTCTTCAAGACTGCCTGTGGCACCATCACCCAAATGACTAGCGACGTCATTGAAGACGCCAAAGTCATAGAGGTTTGCTCATACCGAGCACACTTCTCCATCTACCCCTTCGACATCCCGGAGACTGTCATCCTGCCCGGGGGAGAAGGGCGGTTCAAGCCAACCCGAGTCTGCGACCATCAAGAGAGTGGACGAAGGAAGATCACCATCGTTCCATGCGCCGATTCATCAAAACGCATCCAACGAATCACGATGTAACATTACTCACCCACGGTAAAAGTGGGGCTAAAGATGGCGTTCTAGGTTGAGAAACTGGAGAGAAAGAAAAGAGCGAAATGAAGCCACGAAATGGGACTGGTCGTCGCAGAGACACGGTAGCCAGGTAGGAGTTGGCTTCGAGGAGTGTTCATCTCGTTATCTTTGGCATCATTTCGATTATGTTTTGCATTTTGGGAAAATCTCACATCAGATAAACCTAGCGGGAGTCGGCGTACGATGTTTCTGGGACGAGGGTCCACGTACAGAATGACCCTGGAGGCGGCCGGCGTTTGATTTAGGCGCAAGGGCGGACGGGAATTGCGATAGAAAAAGCAGAAGATGGAGTCGGAAGCAAAAACATTGGCGTTGTGATCTGGAATTATCAAGATATGCGGTAGATATGCAGCAGGAAAATATGTAGTCATGCAGAAATGGATGAATATGCAACGTCCCACAAAATTTTCGATGCCCCTTGCGCACTCAAGTGAATGATGGTCGCAGACGTACTGAGGTATGCCTCTTTGATTTGCCACCAACAACGATTTGTGGTAGCTACGACAAACGAGCTCATGATGCATTTGTGGAAAGAATCGAGGGAACACGAGTGGATATGCGGTGCAACGAAATCTAAATGCAATGAGAACATCTTCAGGGTTTTCATTGGCACTGTATCTGGATTCTGTACATAGTTTCCATGCCTTGCCTGTGGTAGCCATGGCTTCTCTCGAGCTACAATTTTCGCCGTCGTTCCCAACCTGAATCTGCAAAACCCAATGCTCTTGATGCCCAAGCGGTGTATAATGGGGCGCAGGTTGTGGCGGTTGAGCTGTCGAACGATAGGTTTGGAGATACAAACGTCAACAGCGATCCCACTTGATGGGTCAACCCCAGGTGTGAGGCGACCAATCCGTAAACAGCAGTGGTACCAGAGGGAGCATCGTATTAGTTGTGTCTGGACCCGTCTTCTGGTCGGTGAAATAGATTCGGACCAGAGAAAATGCATGAACTCGCGCCTCGTAGGTGAAACAATTTTAAGGCGACATCAAAGTTCCGAGCTACCATTCCAGCACTCGATAGCATCAGAAAGATTTTCAGGGGCTTGCGCACCACAAGGAGAGCGGGAATAGATGGCCCTGAAGGTGTGATGTGAGCAAAGCGAGGCGCACATTTGTTGGTCCTCATCATGTTGCCTTTTCCATCTGTTAGTCGATCTTACATCCTTTGTGATCACGGCCAAACTCCTAGAGGATGAACCGAAACAAGAAGAACCAACTATTGGAAATCCTTTTGCCTTCTGTTCCTGTTGTGTTTTCAGACCCCGCTCAACCTCGTATTGGATCCATCAAGCCTTTTGTCCACCGCTAGTTATTATAGGCATAAGCATACCTCGCTCAGCCACTCCACCAACAACTGTGTGGCGTGCAGTTCGCAGCATCCCACCAGTCGAACTGGTTTTTGGTCGAACGTCTTTCGATGCGCCTTGGAGCCATACAGCAGGTATCACGTAACCACTGACTACAGCCCTCGCTAGAGAGCTCCAAGTTCCAAAAGATTCGCCGCAGCAACAGAATGTCTTTGTCTTTGGGGAGAGTCTGGCCTTCGGGAGCTAGTGGTGAGTCGAAGCGGGTCGCATTTCATTCAGCTAGCCATCGTGCGCAGAGGTACGGAGTACACATATTTTTCAGCCTGCGCTTACCTCGGGCAAGACTCTGCAAGCATCGTAGCAAAGACTTGGCAATTACTTACTGTCTCTGCATTTCTGGATCACTTAACGCGGTATCATGAAATTGGTGGATGGGGCGTATGCCATCTCTCAAGATTGGCAATGTCATGGCATCTTGAATATATAGTGTCGATCGACCGTTAAAAGCACACAGCAACACAACAATGAAAGGATGATCTTCAACACTTGTCTTGGCATATATAGGTTATGGTCCCATCACGAGTGGCACCAGGTCCAGGCTATGTGAGTAAAATGAGCAATGTCGTCTAGGAAGATTATGAGGTCCAAGCACCATGATGGGATCCATTGGTCAATCATCTGGTCAGTATGTAAGAGGTGCACTGAGATGATGACTGCTGTCGCAGCAGCCTTGGCATCAACATGTCAACGCCCTGCTATATTTATGATTGACGGCGGACCGTGCGTCGTGGAGGCAGATGTCCACTGCGGCGGCGGGGCCTGTTGAGTCAAGCAAAGTTGTCGGGAGTCTGTGCGTCTTCAATCAAAGTCGATCAGTATTTATTGCTCTTGACAATGAGCCCAGCCACACGACGGGAGCTTCCAGACGTTCGAGACGGGCATCGTCATCGGCGTTGTAGGAGACGTTGTTGGCAGAAGCAAAATTTGACCCAGGGCATAAGATACCAACCGCAGAATGGGAAATAAAAAATTGAACTGACCGCCTTGGGGCTAAAGTCCACCGTCGACCTAGAGGTCGACAGACAGCAGTGAGAGGCCTCCAACAACATGAATCATCATGTCCTTTGACGGCAGCAAACGGGCACCGAATGACACCAACTTGCATGCTTGGCGACAATCATAAAGGCTTTCGTTACCATATCATATGACAGTTTGATGCATGCCAAGTCAGCCATCAGTCGGCCTTGACGCCGTGAGTCCAGGTCAGTCAGCCCTTGACCGTCGACTAGTGGTAGATATACGGAGTAGGCATGGATAGAATAGGGCCGTGCATTGCTCCGCCGACTCGGAAGGCAGCAAGGGACTTGCAGTGGCGGTGGAAAACGGCCCTAGCCAGAGGGATCGTGCGTCTCAAGCCCACGTGAAGGACGCCCGGGATTGCGGAGAATAACAAGCGGCATGTTACACGAGCCCATAGAGACCCGTGGGCCGTGGCACGTTTGGTTCTTGGATTTTTCTTCGCACCCGTCCTTGCAGAAAAACAAGCAAAATGGATGGAATATAGCAAGAAGTTGTGGCAATGTCTCAATGCAAAAATACCCCTCTGCCCCAATCTCTCGTATACGGAGTCCTGGTTGGTGTGGCTGAACCCCTATAAATAGCAAAGATGCGCTAAACAAGCGAGCGTAGAGCCGGAGCAGAGGGCCAATGAGAAGCGTCAATAAAGCCTTGGCATATCCACTTAGAAGGCTGCCAAACATTTTGAGACTCACTTTTCGCTTATCAACTGACACGCAATTGGGCTGGACTTGCCCACGAACCTTCCGTAGACTGTTGGGCTTGCAGAACCAATGCATGCATTTCCTTGGCCCGACGACGAAGGAGAGATAGTAACAAGATGCGGGATGACATGCACTCAAGCCTGGGGCGGTCAAAAAATACAGTGATCCTTCCTACCAAGGACAATCCAAGAAAATTGTTTGCCGTGGGATCCATGACAAGAGAATAACTGCATTCAATGTCGCTCGTATAGAAGCGCCATGTAGTGGGTGTCACTTGCATGAGAAATGTCTTGCTCAACCCGCCACCCCACGGCACGCCACTGCAGTTGAAGATAGAGTTATTTCGGGGTTTCCACGGTTTCTCATGTGCCCCGCGTAGGCCACCCACTATGGAGTACAGTGACAAGAAAATCAAGTCTCTGGTACACTGAGAACGGGGCAGGTCGCAATAACTCCAAGAAGTCCCAAATACACGGTCAATCGTCAATAGTCGTGTTGTATGTATGCAAGCTTGTTTAGGTGGTGTGAACTTCTTGGCTCAGCCGCAACATCGCCACCTCTACTGTAGGATTCCCACTAGAGCGGATGTTCCTGCAGATGTTGGGTTAGGTCAGGTCCTGGTTCTAATCCTAATATAGAATTCACAGAGCGGAGGGTGGTGTGCAAAATCAGTGGACAGGATACCGTCAGACGCCTTACCGAGAGACCCAGTCACGCCAGTTACCAGCACCACGATGCATAATGGCGAAAAAGACGGTCAACTCAACGAGGAGTGGAGTTCCATTATGGCCCTTTCGGCTGGCAGAAAAAATCCTTGGTTTGGCTCGGCTTCTGCGAGTTCTACAGCACAGTACAACCCTAAAAGTCTCCAGGTGGCCGATCAGGCGGCCTCACTGGATTGAGAAAGGGTCCTGGGACCACTGTTTGGTTCGGCGAAAATGTCCCACCAGACTCCAGACCATCCACCTGATGCGACACCTGCCCGCAATTCCAGGGCTACCGGACGATGGTCAGCGAGACACCAGCTAGTGCCGACTGCGATGATTGCACTTCTGTCCCCGGGTCTTTTTGAGAAAGGTGGGAGTAGATGACGAGATTGCGATATCAGATCGTGCATCCTCGAGCCTGGTTTGGCGTGTGCTTGATATGCTAGTCAACAGCCCGAGGATTGCTTAGAGAAGGAGAAGATTGCTTCCACAAGCGACCCATCCCACCAGGCTCTCCAATCACCAGTCAGTCAGAGGCCCCCTCGGCCTTTTGCCAAGGTTAGCGGGTCGGTTGGTCTCCTGGTCGTCAAACGCTATCATCTGTCTTACCCTTGGCGGAGACCCACCACCGCCCCCTGACACTCTCTCCGAGCACAACATTAGGCCCAATGCCTGGTGGTCCAACAGTTCACCAGGGCACGGTCGCTGGCTCCATCCACACCCTCGACTCCCTCCAAATTTGGGAGAGGCACGAGAGGGTCAAAGGCCTGACGAGAAATGGTCCTCGCTCCTTCGTCAATTTGCATCACAACAAAAAGCCGGGGCCATGACGTTTGCTTGGTTTATTGATTGATTATTGCGACGACCATTTACCCAGCCAATCTGCCCATGTCAATCAGCGGGACTGATCTTTGATTCTCAAGACACCAGCCCAGCCTTCTCTGTCAGGTCTCTGGTCGCTGGTCGCTGACACGCGGGAGATGGCAGAGTTGAGAATACGGAGTAGTGCTGCTCAGCCTGTTGTGGTCTTGGGCTGTTGCTAAATTGTCGCGGGTTTTCCGCTTGGAACGAGGCGGGGGCCTGTGCCATTGGTTCATGACTTCCCACGCGATGTCGTCTGGTCTCCCCAAGCTACCAGGGCTGGGGCGGAATCCTTGTCATCTTGCAGGGATCCATACGCTAATGCAAACTTAAACAACGGCATCGTGGCGCCGCAAATCCCCTGCCTCCTTGTCACAACTCAAGCCCAGTCTCATCTGGACTCTTTGGACAGATACAGCCGCAAGGACCGTTGCTAGTCCCAGTAATCTTGTCAGCTAACCGAAATCGTTGCAATGCTGTCCTGGGAATCCTGGATTATAATATTCACCCCGACCTCGACCTTGGGGTTGCATACATCTTCTCCTGTATTCATTGTCGTCCTTTTGCCATACATTACTTGCAACTTTCCCCTTCCACCCTGAAGGGTTCACTCGCTTTCTTCTCTGTTGCATATTGTTCCTCGTTACATATTATTAGTCGGCACGATGGGTGTCTCCAAGCTCATCGCTGCGTTTTCCTTACTGTCACTCGCTGCCTTCTCCAATGCCGCTCCTCAACCGAGAGCCCTTAATAAACGCGCCGATGTCGTTCCCTTCGAAGTCACACTCACCGAGGAGGACTACTCACCAATTGGTGGAGCTGGTCGCCCAATGATCATGATCAATGGCACCTTCCCTGGTCCTCAGCTGAAGGCCAAGGTCGGCGACCAGGTCGAATTCCTCGTCCACAACGAACTTTCCGAAGCGACAACCATCCATTTCCACGGTATCGTGCAACAGGACACTGCCTGGTCCGATGGTGTCCCAGGTCTTACCCAGTCGCCCATTGAGCCTGGCGAGTCATTCCTGTACAAATGGACTGCCGACGCCTCAGGTGTTTACTTCTACCACGCTCATTTCCGCGGCCAGATCCAGGATGGTCTCTATGGTGCCATCGTCATTGACCCTGCGGATGACGCCGAGAAGCCTTTCCACTTGATTTCCAACGACTCTGCCGTGGTCAAGCAAGCCGAAGAAGCCGACTTGAACATCGTGCCCGTTTTCGTTTCTGATTACAACAGACACACCTCCAAGGAGTTCTACGAGTACCAGACCTTGGCCAACGTCGATATCGCTTGTGCCGATGCCATCATTGTCAACGGCAAGGGTTCGCAATACTGCTTGTCGCGTGAGGAAATCACCGCCTACACCAACCCCAAGGTTGCCAACTTGTTGGCCGCTGTTGACCCACCTCAGCTGACCGACAAGGGCTGCCTCCCTGGTAACTTGCCCGCCACTCAAGGAAACTTCACCTTCAACCTAGCTGCGATCCCCGATGATGTCTACTCCACGTGTGTGGGATCTGAGGGTGCCTTGGAAATCATTGAGGTCGATCCCGCCAAGGGCTTCGCTGCTTTGACCTTCATCAACCCCGGTGGCTACGAAATCCTCAAGTTCACCATCGATGCTCACAAATTCTGGGTCTACGGCGCTGACGGTGGATACGTTACTCCTCAATTGGTCGACCAAGTCGTTGTCAACAACGGTGACCGATACTCGATCCTGGTTCCCCTGGACCAAAACCCCGCCGACTACTCGATCCGTGTTGCCAACAACGGTCTCAACCAGGTCATTAGTGGCTTCGCCGTCATGAGCTACAAGGGATCGTTCGGAGCTGCCAGCGAAGACCCCAATGCTTTGGCCAAGATCAACTTTGCCGGTACCAACTTGACCCAATTGGTTTCCTTCAATGACAACAAGGCCGCTCCTTACCCACCATCCGTTCCTGCCCCAAGCGCCGATGTCACCTACATCTTCAATATCAAGAAGCTCGGCCAACCATTCGCTGCCTACGACTGGACTCTCAGCGGCGTCAACGCCTTCAACGCCAGCTTGGAGGAGGTTGAGCCTTTGATCTACCAAGACCCCAGCGACATCCCCACCACCGATCTACACATCAAGACCACCATGGGACAATGGGTTGATCTGATTGTCAGAACTCAAGGCCCTCTCGCTCAACCCCATCCTATGCACAAGCACTCCAACAAGGCTTACGTTCTCGGAAAGGGAACAGGCCCATGGAACTGGACCTCCGTTGCTGAGGCTGCTGAGGTTCTCCCCGCTGGCACCTTCAACTTTGTCAACCCTCCTTACCGTGACAGTGTACGTATTCCCCAGACAACACATCTCAAAGCCCATGCAGAAAGCTAACTTTCGTTTCTCTAGTACACCACCACTCCCGCCGAGCAAAACAGCACCTGGATGGCACTTCGATACGAAGTCGTCAACCCCGGCCCATTCTTGTTCCATTGCCATATGCAAACCCACATGAGCGGTGGTATGGCACTTGCCTTCTTGGACGGAGTTGATCAATGGCCAGAACTGCCCGAGGAGTATGCCAACGGCGGCAACGGCATTGGAAACTCATCGACGCCCATGAAATTGAAGAAGAAGAAGAGGACGCACCCTGTTTCATAAGTTGACGAAATGTCTCCGCATGCACGCATACAAATCATCTATCACACATCTTTTCTGCTGGATGTTTTTGTTACATATGGGCAGGGAATTGATACCAAAAAACTTTCTGGTTTGGGGAAAACAGAAAGTCGATTTTGTCCTTTGATGCATTATTGAGCCCTCTATCTGGGTCTGAGTGCGTGTGCATATATATTAACGACGGCGTTGGGATCTTGTTCCCTCATATCTATTATAATTATTCCCTTGGATGCTCTCCCATTCATTCAATTCTCTCCCAACTCCGTCAAACCAAGGCGGTTCCCCTCTCCTCTTTTTCCTTTTCGTGTTGGGAGAAGAGGGTGGCCTGACTTTTCACTCGCCCATCTCGCCAGTTTCTGCGAATATATGCCTCATGTAATCATGGATGACCCGGGCAGATGTGTGGATATATGGATGAGCCCGTGACGAGATTCAATAATAATCTACCCTTTGCATCATTCGAACTAGAATCACGAGAAAGATCCTAACACACCTGCCGCAGTTCTCGAGTTTTTGTGCCATTTGCCAATGCGACCTATGTCACCGACCTATTTGGATTGTGGAGGGTCTTGACTAGATGGTGCAACGGAGCACGACATGATCGATCTAGATCCAGCAGGTGGCATACTGGGGAAGAGACGGTTTCAGTCCAGTATACTTCCGAAAAACCTGTCATTTTCGTTCTATGCAGGGCACAAGAACGCCACGCCATCAATGGTAGATAATTCTCCGATCTACTGACTACATACTCCGTACTTTACACAACATCATGGACTTCATGGTGTTGGATGTGTATGTGGACAAACAGAAGCCATTCATCTACCTCATAGCCTTGTAGGGTATTGCTAAACAGATGATGAAATTTGAAAAGAGACTGCGGCATTTCACGATTCTTGGCCAGTGTCAGATTGTCTTTGTAGTTGCTCGTCTTACGTACAAGGAAGGTCCTTGAAAAATGTACCCCAGGTCTCGTGGCACGAGGGCAATTGCGGCATTAGTATGTTTGAGTATGCGAAGGTGGATGTGTGGCTAAAACCTCATACTTAGGCGCCTCGGGCTACCTTACCTTGACCCCAACTTTCGACGCAAAGGATAGGATTCCCCGTCTACGCGTATGGCTACGACTTTTTATTCTGGTGTTACACATTGGCAGTGTCATGCGCGTTTGACGTTGTTGCAGTTCATTATACCCTGCAGGCTGCAAGTGTTCGCCATGGCACTCGAGTAGACACATATCCGTACATACGTGTGCCCATCAACTTGTGTTACCAACACTATTGGGAGGACAAGTCGACGGCCGTATCAACAGCCTACGACGCGAACCTCTAAGGACCTAGCTGACTTGAACACTGTAGCATGATCGCATACCCAGATGCTTGCGATGATTGTAAGCTTCACACGTGATCATCCTCTGTCCGTGACGTGATGGGCCGAAAAGCAATTTCTCCTGAAAATCCTTCTTTACTCCCGTATTCGCGACTCCACCAAACACAGAAGTATCCACATAGAGCCTAACGGGTCAAGGTATACCCCTGTTGTTTATTCTGACAGCACTTTCGCTAACATCATTGATGCGAGCTAAAATTCTGAGGCCCGGCTTATCCCCAATGTCAGTGCATGGGTTATGAAATTGCGCCAAGGGCGCTTTTTCTTCCTTATTCAACCAGTACTGTCGTTCTTGATTCGCACGACACTTCTGTCTTGGGTGCTGGTTGCCCTACAGATATGTAGAAGTCGGGTAGTATCAGGGCACGGCGCATTCCTATGTCCTAAAAGTAGGTAAAAGGCACAGAGAAATCACGCTTCCTGCCGAGTATCGCGAGCCTTGCTGCTGATATATTGTTGCGATTTGCACCAAACTTTGGTACAGAAATACTATCTACCATCGACAATACTCCGTACTCGGTAGACAGCCAGTGCACACACTCCATTCACAGTAGTAACTAGCATAGCTAAATTAGTTAGATTACCCATGGCCGTCACCCGATCTGACGAGATCAATCGGCAGTGTTGCATGCAATCTACGGAATACGACCTGCGATCATCTGCCATTTTCAATCTGGGTATAAACCCTTGGAACTCGTCTCGGTACGCTTTGGTCTGTTTGCTAGACTGCACGCTATTCTTTGGGAACTGAACCACCCCTAGAGGAAACTGGGCGCCGCCAAAATGCTTGGTCGAGTCTTGATTCTTCGCTTCTGGTCTTGGTATGATCTAAGTCCAGAATCCAGAAGGACGCCGTGGACGCCTCCCCGTATTCCAGCTTGAAGCTAAGGCCCACACCCACGCGTTGAGTGATCCAGACATGGAATCTAGAATGGCGCCGTGTCGCCGTCTGGACCTTGTGTGGCTGCCACGATGAAAGAAAGTCGTCCAAATACTGGCTGACTTGATGAAGTCTAATAAGTCACCCCTTTCGTCAACATCTGATACACCATAATTCAGAACCACCAGTCTACCTGTAGTATTAGTGCTCGACTAATCACTATGCGAACGACTATCAAAAGCCTCGCATCAAATTGCCTGTAAGCAAATCCATCCATCTGAAATACGAGCGCCATTCGCTCTTCCTCTGCGCCGCCCTCACATGGCCTGCGTGTCACGTCGCTGGACGAAGCAGCTGGTGACAATAAGCAACCTCAGAGTTGAGAGAGACTTGACTCAGTCTCACAAATGTCAGCAGGCCAAGTTTACTTCGGTAGCATTACTTGTAACCTGCTCTTGCATGCCCTGAAATTCATAGCCTTGATTTCACCATCCATCCTCGACGCGTTGCGACACATGCCACCATTCATCCCATTTCATCCCCTGGTCTCCTCGAGATACCGTTGAAGGTTGAGAGGTTATGAACTTCCATGTACTTAAGCTGTTGGTTCAACATTAGAGGTGATAAATCATTGTGTGAGAGGATTGCACCTACCACTTCATTCGTAATTGCGCGGTTTTGCACCTTCCTCGGGCATGACTTCCAGTACCTGCTATCCAACCCTAGAACTGCCCCGGCTTCTCTACGTATACGGCGATAGTTCAGCGTCGGCCTCGCGTCAGTACCAAGACAGGCCACCGTAGCGTCTCGCAGCGCCGCGAGGATATTTTCTTGAGAAGGCATCGACCCAGTCTTATTCTGCGAAGACTTGCTTTCTGCGGTACAGGTGGGAGCAGCAGGCCTCGCTACTGTATCTCGTGCTGAGACCTCATCTGCAGCCGATGATGCCATGCCAACTGACAAGAGCCTCTCACCGCCATCGGTCGGGAGCCGAGATCGGATCTTCAGATTGACAATATCATTTCTGACGATAACGGCCATATCATTGTGGACGTCCAAGATTCCCGGAGGCGAGAAAATCAAGGCTCGACCAGTATTCAACGAAGCAATCGTCTGAAAGAGCTCTGCGTTATGCTCACTGTGCAATCGAACACTAGCGACCTGCTCAGTGAGCGTCCGATACCAGGTTGGCGAGTTAAAGTGATGTAGAATTGTGACGTCAAACAACTCCAAAAGTTTGGGAGATAATGTTGGCTCTTGGGCAGCGACCATCACCCGTGTCGCAAGGTGTGTCTGATGTCGAATGATTGAAGCAACCTGCTTGGTGAGTCTCTCGGCTTCGCCGCTCTGAGTAAGGTACTATATATTGTCAGTCTGACGTTGTCACTCTGTGGATCCTAACTCACTCGGTCAGCCTGATCCAGGGCCACGATTCTGCCACATTCGCCTCTCTTCTCCATGAACAAGGACAGACATTGTGCAAACAAAGCACAAGCGTCTCCTTCATTGATGAACGGGCAGGTGAGATCCACGATCGTCAAAGTTCCTGGGGCAGGAGTGAACATGGTGTCCAAAACGTCGTTGGCGTCCGCGCTTTGATCTCTTCCAGCGAGGAATGTTTCAATAAGCTGCAGCCGGAGGCTAACCACGCCTGCGTCCATCCGAAAAAAGCCTTTTCTTTCCAAGCGTGCGGTGAAATCAAGGTAATCGAGGCCAGCGCCTGGACCCTTCTCGCGAGCTATATCGCGTAGAGTCTTGCACAAGACTTCCATGCAGAGCGGGATCTTGTCGATACCATCCATTGTCATGAACGACATGATACTAGCGACTGTCAAGTGGGACTCTTTCATATACAGAGGTAGAACTTCTGGTTTCATCCCGTTCTCTGCAAGTCCTGGCAGCCCTTGATACAACTTCTCCATCTCAGTCAAATGGCTGGGCGAAACCAACACGCGAACTGGGACACCTAATGCACAGAGATAGGCAGCTCGACAGAGTTGCGTTGTGGAAGAGCTTGTAAAGCGGTCATAGTGAAAGACCACACCTGCTAGCGGTGTGGGATTTCTTCCCGCTGGAGAAGACTTCAGGAGTGAATTTTCCAGAAAGCATGCGAGGGTGTGACTTTTGCCAGAGCCCTGGGAGCCACAGATGAATGCTGACCAGGGTGCATTTGTATTGAAAAAGATCAAGTCTTCATCCGGATTGTGTGGAGGACATGGACGTTCAGCCTGACGGGTGGCAGTATTTTTTCGTACGCCCAGCAGACCAAAATGTGGAAATGCCACTAGATCAGACGACCCAAGAGCTTGCATTCCCCGTCTCTTCAGTGTTTTGCGTACATCATTCGAGAAGAATGGAATGTTTTTGAGATATTGGAAGACCTGTCGATTATCCAGACTTGCATTGAAGTCATATTCGTCAGAGAGATCGTGGGTTTTGCCCTGCAAAAGGCTTTGATAGCCAGCCATTTCCTCAAGAGAGCCACTGGTTTGAGAGTCATTTGTGTCGGCGCTTCGTGGATCTAGGCGAGGGCCCAGGCCAGCATTTGGCAACGATCTCGCACGACGACGAGTTCGGCCTCTGGAGCGAGCTTGGGGTTGCTTGCCCTATCGAGTTGTTAGCAGGGGTTTCGGTGTCGTGAGCAGATAACACTGTTACAGAATACGCATAGCGATGGGTACCGTGATGAATCATTGTTCCATGGGATGTTGACATTGTGGAGGTACCGGCGGAAGATTTCGAGATGCCTAGAGGAATCTCTTCCTGTTTGATGGTTGGAATTGTTGCACCATGTGACATCGTCAAGATCAGACACGCAAAGGAAAAAAGCCAGGCGGTGTAGAAAGAGGAATAAAGGAATACCGTGAGTGAATAGGATACGGGGCAGAGAGAATGAAAAATAAGAGAACAACCGGATGAATTTGATGAAGAGTTGCAGTGGTAGAGGGAGAACAGAGAGTAGGAAATGGGAAGAGGTTTTGCGTGTGCGTGTGCGCAGACGCCGAGAAGTGAGGAAATGGTGGTTTCCTAACATATTCTGCCAGATCTCCTTCCAGGCGCGTCTTGCCAGGCAGTCCCTGGCGCTGATGGCAAGTCAACCGTCAAAGGATCATCACGGCGTGTGAGTGTCACAATTGCAATTGTTTGAAACAAGACCCAACATGTGCGAGATATCCACTAGAAGGTGAAAACGATTGAGATACAATGCGATGCTGGCAAAGTAAGATCAAGGGTATCAAAGGGTCAGGACTCCAACTTATAACACAGCATCGAGGGCATTATGGCAGCACACTCCTTTTTCCCTTTATCCAGATCAATATCATTCATGCGCGGGCGCAGGTTCGCTGCCCAGCCCTTGTTGAGGCACACTGCTTCCCAGATTACCGACACCTCCTGAATGAGCACCTGCTCCTGTGGATGCACCCTGATCGGCATATGTAGTATTACCAGGTAGTCCACCGGTAGTGAGTGTGTTTCCATTTCTAGTTGTCGTTCCTTGTTGATTGAATCCTCCAGAAGGGTAAGTCGATACATCAGATTCACCAGCTGTGGCACTTGAACCAACACCAGACTCAGGTGCCGGCTCGGTACGTTGTGTCGACCTCATAGCCGTCGCCTGCGCCGACCCTGTATCAGAAACGGCTCCAGTCACTGGAACATCTCCATCTGTGGACGTAGATGCATCCGTGGTGGTGGGTACTTCATGACGGCTTTTCCTGAAGCGAGTATCGGCTTGACTCATGTCTGCGATTCCTCTCTCTTTAATGGCTTTGTCCTTGGCCTCGCCAACTCCATCCTGGAACGCCGTGTCGACGGATTCGTTGAATTGGCCACGTAGAGCATCGCCGGCGCCTCGGATGCCTTTGATGGCTGACTTGACATCACCGAGGATGCTGCCTCCTTTAGGCTGTCCACTTTCTGCCATGACTTTATGGTGTCTGGGAGAGAGTTAGAGTATGAGGAATAGGAATGTCTGTGTGCGAGTTAATTGATTTGGATGATGAAGGAGATAGGAATGCGATGAATGACTAAAGAGCAAGTTTGGTGCTTTCAAGACGTTGCATGAGACGATTCGCTTTTAAAGATACCGAAGGTATGACGACAGCCATGACATTGAACCCTACCTGGGTACATGCTGTTGCACGGATGGGCAGCCATATTGCCAGTGCAAGTTTCTTGGTGGACGAGAACGACGCGTGGACCAGACGATGTCATCAATGACATGTTCATCAATGACATCTTCCAGGAGAAAGCGGAGGAGGTCTTGGCAGGCACACCCGGAAACTCTGCCGAAGGTCATGTACGGAGTACAGATCGATTACTAAGCCCAGGACTGGAGTACTTTGGCACCAAATACTTCATTGCTGAGTCAGCTTCATCCTGATGTAGGGTCTATAAAGTTACCTTTGCCAGATGAGCCGGGTGCCAGAGAGTACCTAGTAGTTCTTAGAGCTCTGGAGACGACTTAGGTATAGTCCCAGTCACAACTTTCTGCGGAGGTATAGTCCTTAACCTGCAAGGATCCCCTTTGTAAGCCAGAGGACATTCGTGCCAACATATCAACCACAGTTCCGCCAAATCTATATATGTGCCTTCGTATGTAGTTGGATGGCTTGCTACTTGGTTTCTTCGAATGCCCAAGTCTCTCATGAGGTACAACTTGGTGAAGCCACATAGTTCTACTATCATGTACCATGGAATGTCCAACTAGAGCTTGTCAGGAAGTATCGTTGCCTAGTGTGGTGAGTTGAGTCTGATCAAACTTTTCCTCAACTCCGTAGCGCGTCATGTGGTGTACATACTGTAGACTGGTTGTTGCACATCATAGGTGAACCTGTTGTCTGGTGTTTCAGTAATGAACTAACTGAATGACTTCGCCTCGTCGTCCCATCCCACGATCAGAGGCATGGTCCACTTCCTCCATAGGTCAGATATACTTAAGAGGTCCCGTTCCTGTTTGCTTTCATTGTCTACCATCCTTTTCAAAATTCATTTAAGCGCTGAAGATTTGATCGTTGCTTCTCAACATGTATACTTGAGCGATTTCTTGTCAAGCGTTGTCATTTTCAACATCAGGCACTTGGAACCAAACCACCCCGCCATTCACCACCCTTACTTCCCTAGTCATGGCCGACACCATCCCTACTCGACTACTCATCATCTCAGATACACATGGAGAGGACTTCGACTCCAACACCAGGCCACAACAACGGGCTGATGTCGTCCTTCACTGTGGCGACCTGACAGACGGATCCAAGCTAGAAGAATTTCACACCGCGCTCAATATGCTTCGGAGCATCGACGCACCCCTCAAACTCATAATACCTGGGAATCACGACTTTACAATGGACCGCGATGCATTCACGACAAAAGTGGCAGAAGCAAAACAACCCTTAAATCCCGAACTTGTTGCTCAAGAGTATGGCAGAGTCGGACAAGCACAGCAGCTGTTCGATGACTCCAAGGACGAAGGTATCGTCTTTCTGCACGAGGGTACACATCAATTCACTCTCAATAATGGAGCTATGCTGACCATTTATGCAAGCCCATACACTCCAGCCTTGGGTGCATGGGGTTTCCAATATCATCCCAATCACGGCCGTCGCTTTGACATCCAGGGGGGCACAGACATTGTCATGACTCATGGCCCGCCAAAAGGGATTATGGATTTCACTTCTAGTCGTGAAAGGGCGGGCTGCACTGACCTTTTCGCAGCTGTTGCCCAGGCCCGACCTCGAGTTCACTGCTTCGGCCATATTCATGAGGGCTGGGGCGCCAAATTGGTCACCTGGAAAGACAGCGGCATCAACGAACCCTCTCGCTTCACATCGATCGACAACAACAACTCTTCCGTCATCGAAAACCTCAACACACTCAAGAAGATAAAATTCGACTCTAACGACATTGTGGAGGAAAAGCAAGCAAAGGTGGAGCAATTAAGACAGCACAGATGCGCATCAACTAGTCACTGTGCTCAGGATGAGTATCCACTTGTGGCAGGCAGTCAGACGCTGTTTGTCAATGCCGCAATCATGGGAGATGGAGATGTTGTACAGAGACCCTGGCTCGTCGACATTGAATTGCCGAAGCAAGGAGGGAATGTCGGCGACTGAAGGCATCTGCAGCCAACATAGAAAGGAATATACAGTAGTATAAACATGACAAAATTCATTGGCTCGTTCATCAAGTGGTCTTCGCGAAGCATACCAGATAAAGACTAGAACTTAGTGCTTAGTCCCCTGCTGATGGGAGAAAAGATGGATGCCTGACGCGTCCCTATATTCAACGTTCCAGACTAGACTCGTTACGGTGGTGTCTTGAGGACTTCCGAAGACAAGGCAGATTTTGAAATTCTCCGAACCAATCGATATCTACGAACAGCTCCCTATTAAGATTCTTCAACATCATCATCGGCACGGTCCACCAAGTCGCTGCTCAAATAATTTTATGTCATAGGAAAGAATAATGTAGAAGCCTGCGTATCTGCCAATCGACAGTGTCCGGGTGGGGATCAAAGATGATCCGGCAATTACTATCATCGATGACACGACGAGGCATTCACGAGGCTGATCCTGATACAGTCCACACGCAGTTTGATTTGACTTTTAGACTCTCAAGGGTTCCCGGGTGAAACGGCACGAATATCCCAAAGTGCGGTAGGTACGCGAGATGTTGATCAAGCCATCTGACCCTGTGTGCCTGTCTACTTGCGGGCATGCTGCAATCTTGCGATCGTCTCCTATTCAGCCAATTGTGTCACATCACGCTCTGGCTCGTATCGGGCAGCCCTGTAATACGTCGTCGCCTGCGCAAGGCTCATTCCTGGCATGATTCGGTGACCCTGTTGCTGCAATTTTGACTTTGAATCTGGTCTTCTTCATGTTCTACACTCGTGCACTGAAATAGAACAAACTTATTGTACCTACTTCTGAAATTATGCTGCCTGGCGTGGCAGACTATTTAGAGCCATGCTCACCCGAGAAACAAGCATGATAGACAAGTCTTACATCAACATCACAGTACCCACTTCACCAAGCCTTGAGTCCTAGACCAGAGCCCCAAGTCTCACAGATCCACCGCCATGGTTCACCCTGTGGAAGGCTCCTTCTACGTGTACGCTCCTGTCAAGGGCCCGTCCATTGCCTTCGCAGTTCTCTTCGCCATTTCCGGCGTTCTACACATCTGGCAGAACAACCTCAAATACAGGTCATGGCGTATTGGCCTCTTGCTACCCTGGGCAGCCATATTATTTGTGGTCGGCTTCAGCATGCGCGAGTATGGAGCATATCATTATGGTAACATGGGCCTATTCATCGCCAGTACTGTTCTTCTCTTTGTCGCTCCACCGGTCTACCAAGGTGCCAACTATTTCATCTTTGGCCGTATCCTCTATTACCTTCCCTATCTGTCCCCTCTGCACCCTGGACGAGTGTGGACAACGTTTATCACATTAGACACCATAGATGGGATTCTGGCAGGCAACGGCGCTGCAATCGCCGCCAATCCAGACAACAGTCCCGGAAAGCTCAACACGGGAAAAATTCTAGTGAAGCTGTCACTGTTCCTCCTGTTGGGCATGTTCCTCGCCTTTCTGGCGCTCATTGTTATCTTTCACCGACGATGTATCGCTGCAGGGGTGTTCAACCACAAGGCCAAGGTCATCATCTATGAGCTTTATGCATCGAGCTTCCTCATTCTTCTTCGCAACTGTTTCCGCACCGCCTCCTTCTTCTACCCCTGGTACTCGACGGCTAACGGAGAAGAATGGCCCTTCTGGGTCTTTGAGGCCGTGCCCATGCTCATCAACACCTTCCTGTTGAATGTCTACCCACCTGCCAAATATCTACCTCGAAATCATAAGACCTACCTCGCAAAAGACGGCGTGACCGAGCTTGAAGGACCAGGCATGGTCGACAAGCGACCATTTATCTACACCCTGATCGACCCCTTTGATATCGGTGGCCTGATCACCGGCCAGGACAACAAGAACAAGTTCTGGGAGAAGGATGGGATAGGCGGTCCAAAAGAAGAGGAGCAAGCAATACAGCATACTACAACTCTAGCAGGAGAAGCAGCGAACCAGAAGGTTTGATTCGGGTATAAATGGGATGAGGCAAGTCTTTGTTGAGAATTTTGTCTTGTCTAACTAGACATCTTTCAGAGAGGATGGAAAGGAACTCGGCCTATGGAGTAGGCACACCAGCCCTGCTGGCTCCTGCCTGATCTAACTCCTGCCCAGGTGCAATTGTTGATGTATTCTAGGCAGGGACGGCCTAACAGTCTTGAGAGAGAAAAAAGATGTGGGATTCGTTGTACTGTGCATCCTGGTGTGGTTCTCACATAGCATCGGAGGTAGCGTGGTAGTCGCATTTTCTTTTAATGCATTGCCCTGACAACACATCTCCTGTTGACCAGGCAAGAGTTGCAAACATAACTTGAGTATTTGGTGACAAGTTTTTGGCTTAGGCATCAACACGTGAACACAGATGAGGCATATTATTGATCACGTGGCTCAATATAGTCGCGTGACTTTAAACCTCGGTTCAGGTGAGGCAGTTGACTTTCGGGACACTACGCCGTGTCGACGACAAACGATGAAGCCGACCATAAACCCTAGATCATGTATCACAAGTCACATCCGTCTAACCGATGGATATATCTTTGAGAATCATCGTCGCTTGTTCTGCGCTCTTATAGAGAAAATCATGCCCCATCAGAGACCTTGATCTACATACAGTACATGAAATCGGTTGTCCTTCAAAGTATGCTGGTGTTTGCGCTGCACTTTTCATCCTCCACAATATCAGGTTCAGAGCTCGGTCAACAGCAGATTATCCACTTTCTCTCACCGAATTGAAATCCCAAACACTGACCGTGACTGAGTCATTCCAGAATCCCAATTATTATCACACTCGCCAGCGTGTTTAAGTTGTATCAATTGTCGTGGGGTATTGTGTTTGGACAGTGACATCATCCTCGCTTAGGCTCTGAGAAGGGTTTGTCTTCAGCCGTATTGTTATCCGACAACATGCCACCGAGCACAACCAACGGCACTGCCGCAGATGCGGCCGAGGAGTATTTCCAGACCAATCCTCCGCCAAAAGCGTTGGCCAGCCATCAAGCTCTCGCCCGCGAGTTTGTTCAGTATCATCATGAGACAAGTCCGGGGAGAAGGATGGTGTTAGTGACATCGGGTGGGACGACGGTGCCGCTTGAGAATCAGACAGTACGATTTATCGACAATTTCTCGGCTGGAACTCGAGGTGCGACTTCGGCGGAATATTTCCTCAAGAATGGCTACGCGGTCATCTTCCTGCACCGGCAATTCAGTCTTTTGCCGTACTCACGGCATTACAGCCACAGCACCAATTGCTTTCTGGATTTCATGGACGAGGACGGACCAGAGGGAGGCGTGGTGGTGCGCAAGGAGTATCAGGAAAAGATGAGGCGGGTGCTGGAAGAGTATCACTACGCTAAACAGAACCGTCTGTTGCTCCTGCTGCCCTTCACCACGGTGACGGAATATCTCTTTGAACTCCGTGGTCTCGCTGAGATCATGCGTCCGATTGGTAGCGGGGCATTGTTCTATCTCGCAGCCGCCGTATCAGATTTCTTCATCCCACGTGAGCGGATGGAAGAACACAAGATCCAGTCGCGTGAAGACAACACAGGAGGGGTGGGTTCGGGCAACAGTCGGCAGCTGGTCATCAACCTGGACCCGGTGCCCAAGTTTCTGAACAACTTGGTGCAGTCATGGGCACCGACGGGCAGTATGGTGGTCAGTTTCAAACTGGAGACGGATCCAAATCTTCTGGTGGCAAAGGCCGAGCAGGCCTTGCAACGGTATCAGCATGACTTGGTCATTGGCAACCTCCTCACCACCCGAAAATGGGAAGTGGTGTTTGTCACTCGAGATGGCGGAGAACACTGGATCCGGGTACCCAAGACGCGCAGATCCAAGAGTTTTTCAGGTATTGAGGCCGACATTGGCACGGCTGAACGCAAGCACGAAGAACATCATGTCGATCTGGAGGGAGGTAAGGTGACCGAAGGGATGGAGATTGAAAGCCTGATCATCCCCGAGTTAGCCTATCTACATGGAGAGACGATGAAGCAGAGAGCAGAGCAGAGCGCGTGAAAAGTGACTGAATGGGTTGGAAAAGGAGGATGTTGTCCAATTCAATCCGTGGACTAGGCCTTTCACAATCATTAAAGGTGGTGATGGACCCTGGCATGACAGGGTGATCGATGGTGGGACGATTGACAACCGTTGGAAATGTCCGTGGAGGTATCGTTGTAGTGGATCAGATGTTACGTTTGAGCCTAATTATCTCTCCAGGATACGATTTGGCCGGCTTCAGTAGCTGTCTTGAGCCCAAAGTACAATCGTTGCCGACTGCCGCTGGTGTCCTTGACAAGGCGAATGGATGGGATTATGCACAATAAATACAATGCTTGGTAGCAGAGGACGGGATGAAACTCGTGCACAAGTACATAAGGACGTGATCATTTCCTCACTCACAGCGAATTTGGACGGCCAGAATAGGCGAGGTGTGCCTGGGCAAGAGCCCGAGGCGCCCGAGGCCCTAAACGGTGATAGACTGGTACGGGCTTTGCTTGTGTGCCGGGCCCTTCAACCCCGCACCGCGCCTAGATTCCCAGTAAGGTAAGGCTCCCGTTCGCCTGGGTTGCGCCGTTACCGTCTGCAGCAGTGCAGCCACAGGCAGGGCATCCAGCACTAATAATAACAGATCGATCTCCATGGTCCGAGATCGATCGATCTCATCTGAGATGGTTAGCTCGCACAATACGCACACTGAGGATAGGTTGTTTTGGACAAAACGCACTGTATATTTGAGCAGCATCTGTCATTTAGGCTGAATGAGACTGACTTGAAGACTTTCGCTAGATCAGTGGGTGGTGAGTGGCATAAGGCGCGATTGTCATGAGGTTTCTGGTCGTTGACGTTGTCAAATTCCCTCGGCCAGGATGGTTAGATGCATCTTGCACAGTACTCCGTACTTACCTAGAGAAGAGGTTTGGCGGTCAGAAAACTCACCGAGAAAGTGTGCACGGCAGCTAAGCTTGTAGCTTGAAGCCTACACAAGCGGGAGGCCCCTATGCCCCTCTGGCCCTCTGGCCCTCCACCCCATCCTTACCTAGGTATCTAGGCCGATCCTTCACCTCCAAGCCTACCCCCTCTAGCCTAGTAGACGGAAGATTTGGAGCAGCAAAGACAAAGTCTCGGTGGCGTGTTTTGGCCAAACTCATCCCACCTGTCAGGTTCTGGCGATCGACCAGTGTTGTGACAGCTGGCGCTTTATCAGCCAGTTGGAAGACACACGGAGAGAAAGTCGTCCGAGATGGGATACGAAAATGTCAGTTCCATGTCAACTTCAGTTTGAGAGAAGCCATGCGATTGGAGAGCAAGGCAGGTACAACGATCCAACCACACCACCACGATGTAATAATGAGGAAACTACGACTGACTGGCAGTGAGTGCCTGCGTACGACTAGTGGAGAGTAGACTGCTAGAATTGGTGCCTGCCCTACCCTCCATCAGCAGGCGCATCGAAAACACACTCAACAACTTGAATGTACCTGTCGCCCGTTGATGGATTTTATTGAGTTGGACTTGATGATACTAGGTACTACCTATGTACCTTGTTCAACGACAGGATTTGAATGATTGACATATATACTTATGACGTTTTGTTTGTTTCCGCCAACCCCTCCTTTGCTTGGAAGTTTTGAGCTACCTAGACACACACCTAGACTAAAGTACCTGTCGTGCCCTGTCCAACTTGGTGACCATGTATGTACTGATAATCACACTCGGTGTAAATTCCATCCATGCGCCGTCAATCCAATTCTTGAAACTGTGTCTCTGACCAGGTTTTGGAATCTCTTTCTCGCTAACCCTTCCAATTGAATTGTCGTCTCCCCTCACAACTCCATCTGCAAATTACAGTCAGTCTATTGAGTCTTCACACTCCCCAATCAAGGTCTCTTGCTTCGTCCAACAGGTACTCTGATCACATCCTTCCTGTGTCCCATGCCATTGTCACTCATCTCGCTTATTTTGCTCGCCTACGTCTTATCTCCCTGTTCTCATTTGGCCCGATCTGGCACAAACTAAAGTGCCGCTCGTTACAAGCTTTTCTCTGTCCATCTTCTCAACCTCGTTGTCCCATTTTGTCCCTCATTGCCCTGTCCGTGTTCCCCTAGCAGCCAAGGATATGGCCCTACGCGTCATGCCTACGGTAATTATTAGCCCTTTGGGCGTCTGGCGATGACGAAGTAGTGCCTCCTCGGCCCGTTCTGTGGCTTCCTCATCCAACCCCACCGTCCCAAAGTTCCACAAGAAAAGCGAGCCCCTCCACCAACTCGACCAATTCGAGCGATCTTCAAACCAAGTCAGCCGTTCCCGAAACCTCGGTGTTGGGCCCCGGCAACCTGGCAAGCATCTATCCTTGTCCTGAGAATCCGCAATCCAGTACAGAACCGCTGCCATCATCATCAGCATCATCATTCAAGATTCATCCACCGCCTTGAACCACATTACTTACTGCTCCTGCCGCTGCTGTCACTTCTTTTACCCGTCCTCCTCCACACGACCGACCTCTCGCTGCACTTTCAACTCTTCATCCTTTCCTTCGTGTCGTTGACCAACACATCGGCATCCTATCAATTTTTGATGCCGTGGGCGCCTGGCTCCAATTTCCTGAACCCGACCTGCCTGCCTGAGCGACCGTTGTGACATATGCGAACATCAGCCATCAGCCATCCGCGTTCCAGACCGAACCTGCCTTTGATCTCGCCCCACACCATCCACCCTGCACCTTCTGCAGAGACATTCGGAGTTACTCAACTGAATCGAGTCACCCCAGTACCATCGACTTCTCCCCTGTCACTCTTTTGTCTCCCCAGTCGCACATCCACCCCTCACAAACCAACCTGCTCTTGTCCTGACAATTGCACCCACCCGTCGCCCTTGTGCGACAAGACCCTCTCGTTGACCATGAGAAAGCCTTGAGTCGGCCTCCCCTCGTCGCATGAGAAGCATGCCAGTCACTCGACAAGAATGGCCCATACGGCCAGTGCCAGCCATGTCGCCCATGGACCTGCATTGGACCCAAGACTATTTTATGAATAAAGAACACCGGCTTGACTTTCAGAAGCGCGATGATGGACATGACGACAACTACGATGAAGCTCTTTACAACTCCACTGTTCTCCAGTTGCCTGCCCATGTGTCCGAGGACGACCTGGACGAGCGCGTCGCAGAAGACGCCAAAGGACTCGGTTTGTTGCCTTTTCGACCTATGTTGGACATCGACGACATCACCTCCTCAGTGTCTACCATAACCATAGCCTCCGACTCGCCGAACCAAGGCCCCAGATCTATTCAATCTCAATCAACCCCGCCTACCTCTTGTGCTTCCAGTGAACATCGCCCAGCCATCCAACCTTCTCGCTCGTCCGAAAAACCCCTCTCAGGCCCTCTCACCGTGCCTCATTTGTCAGACGCAGAGAAGCGGAGGAGGTCACCGTTTGCCAGAGGGTTTCGAAGAATGGCAGGCTTTCGAAAACGAAGGTTCACCGGAAACTCTTCCTCCACCCTCACCAGCATCAACAGCGACGTCGACACCCAGGTGAGCGAGAAGCCCTCTGTCAACAGCATTCCAAAACGTACTCCATCCGACCAATCGAGCACGAGCTCATGGTCGCACCGTCCTTCTCCTCCTCCCGCCCGTCCTAGCCATGACGATCAAATGACCCAAGATCGCGAGGCTCTTCAACGCAGCACGGAATGTAAAGAGATTCTCGATCTACGCATGAAGCAGTTGGAAGAAAAGGCTCGCTTCCTTGAGTATCAGGTTTTTCTCCTGTCTCAGCTTCATTCCCGACGTGACAGTGCCAAAGACCGTCGAAGAGTTGACCAGGACAGAATCATTGCCGAGCACATCGAAAAGGTAACATGACCATTTACTGACGAGTGGGTGCGTGCTGACACAAATCATAGAGAGATCATGCAGTTGAAGAGCTAGAGGCCCGGCAGCTGGAGGAGGAGATGAAGATTCAGGAAGAGCACGACCTGGAAAAACGGGCGGTGCTTTTCCGGTTACGACACATGGAAGCATATTGCCAGAACCCCACGCCACCGACGACTCCAGTAGATGTTACGTCCGGAAGAACCTCGGTGGAAGTCCCCCTCCCTGAACGCAAAGTGACAGAAAAGGACTACCACAATCTAGCTCAGCAATATCGTGAGCGTGATGCGATGGATACATTGCATAAGTCCAAGATCAACGTTCTGCGGGGCAAGCAGAAGAGGGCGGTGGAAAACCTGATGAATCGCAGAGACTTGGAAATTGAAAAGCTGGAACGAGATCAGCAAAAAGAACTAGCAGCGATTGACAGCGAATATGCGTCTCAAGAACATCAGCTGCTCATGGGATTGAGTACCAGGAAAGCACGGTTGGAAGCTCGTTGGCGGACGCAGGCAACCATTCAACGCACACGAATGGAGAAGATGACTGGGGAGAGATTTGCTCCTTTGCCGGATGTGACGGTGCAGGAATCAGATCGGAAGGACGCAGCATGCGAGTCTGGCTGATTGGTGAGTTTGACTTGGTTGATTTGGCTGTCCGTCTTTTGTTTGACGCGGATCTGTGCAATTACGGTTATGATTTTGGAAGATACCCTTGACTTTGCATGGCTGTATAGCATCCTTGTGGTCTATTTTCTTTCTTTGGAAGGGAAAAGGACACGGGCATATCGGGAACGCATTTGGGCGCAGGGACATTTTGAGGGAGGCATCGAACAGGAACCAGAGCTGATGGCGGCAGTTTGTGTATGACAACCAGAGAATCGATATTGCAAGTTGATGATAGTGTGCAGAAGATGTGAATGAGATGTGTTTCTGTTTGATGAAACCTGGCAGCATCGAGTTTGTTTTCCTGGCGGTGATATGGATGTTCTACAGTGGTATTTGCAGGCCTACCGGCATAATTATTAGGGCAGCCATGGCACGGGGGAGGCGCCTCGGGCCCTAAGGTAGACGCTATAGGCATGCCCCTGACACCTCTGAAAGAGGGAATCGCTGCCCATAAGCACCGCCCGCAAATATTCCCCTTAACTCTGCTCTGCTGCTACTTCAGGCTCCTATTATCATCAACACCACTATCGACACATCACCCTCACCATGACCACCACCACCACCACCATCATCATCAACATCACTGCTATTATCTTCAACACTACTACTGTCATATATCTCCTCCATCCCTCACTAGTCCCCTCCCTTGACAACCATTCCTTTGACATTCCTCAGCTCGTGTCTGACTCCACCCTCATACAACGTGACCCCTTCCCACCTCCTCTAACTCACTTTCCTTTGTTCGTTGCCATTATCTTGTGTCCCACTCTCTCTTTGTCTCATGCTGTCTCCTTCTGCTTTCAGCCTTTGATGCTGCCATTTTGCCAATCAGTCAAATTTGGTTACACAAATCCCTCTCCTTCTGCAGCTGTCATCATGACGACCATTTGCCTGGTAGGTCTTGCATCTAAATCTGAGACTGTTTGGTTCAAATTTGCCTGCCCAAACTCACATTCCTCTCCCGTCTGTCGCACAAGACATTCATCGCGTAAACGGCCAGTAGGAAAATCCTTTTGTTCTGAGTCAGCCAAGGTCTATCACCATGTCAGCCAACGCTGCCGCCCTCGAGGTCCTGTTGTCTCCAGTCCCCAACTATCGCAACGTCCCCACCATCTCCATCTGCTCTCACGAGATTCCTTTGCCAGCATACTGGCGCATCAGCGAACTCCTGACCGCGGGGGAATCCCCTGATACGATCGTCACCTTGATCCTTCAACATTCAGGCGTGCGGACGCGCAAAGTAGTCGAGACCATCGTCCAGAATATTGCCGACAATCAAAAGTCCATGGAAATCCCCGTTAGATCCAAGAGAGCATTCCGAGAGAATGAGAGAGAGCTGGAGGCTGATAGAGGAAGAGGAAGAGGTCCAGTGAACCGAATCAGCTTGTTTCTAGGAAAGAAGCCCAAGGCATCAGATCGAGCAAGTACTTATTCAATCCCCAGTGCTCCTGCCAAGACTGCATTGCAGCTTCAGAAGGAGAGGGAGAGAAATGCAAAAGCAGTGACTGATGCTAGGTTACAAAAGGCCGACCAAGAGGAGAAGACTTTGCTAACAACAGCAATGAACTTGGCCAGCAGGAGGGATTCATTGTTGAAAGAGCGACGAGAGAACCACGAGGATGCTGCCGACGACCAATTGCAGAGAGACAAGACTATGGCTGCCATCGATCTGGAGATGCAAAAGACCTTGCAGAGACATGCCGAGGTTGAGATGGAGAAGGAGTTTGTAAAGCGGATGATGCACTTGATCGGCAATGATGTCGAGGCGAGGGTCTAGGGACAATGCTTTCGAGAACCCAGTCTCACCACTCATCCCAGCTTGCCCAGCCCGAATTGGAGGCCCCAACACACACAGCAGCAGGGCCATCAACAGATTGCCGACGAAGTACCAACCTACTTTTGACTCAGCTCAGTCAGGCGCACTGTTTCGACCACCGCATCACTAACAGCGGGCCGGACCCCTTTTCTCTCCAAGGCGAGAATCGATCTGACAGTAAAGCCATTGGGGATCAACATGGACCTCTTGAGTTGGGCATTATCGTAGCCCTCGCCAAGTAAAGCACCATACCCACGCATAGATTGCCCGACAACATCGAGCATCTGCTGCCGGGGCACTCCAGCCGCGGCGCCGCCGTCGACCAATGCATCGATCAGAATCGTCATCAATCCATGCGTCGTGGCGGAGACGGCCATGGTGCGATCGAGGAGGTGGCTGGGAACTGGAATGATACGACCGAGCGGAGCAAGGATGCCTTGGACGAGATCCTGTACGTCCGCAGGCAGAGTCTCACCTTCGTCTTCCGCGAGCAAAGTAGCTGATTCACCCACTTGAGCTCCGATGGAGGGCATCGCGCTTACGATGTGTGTCCCTTGAGACTTTGAGTCACCCACATGAGCCTCAATCTGCGAGCGAGTGATGCCGGCGAGTATGCTGATGATGAGCTTCCCTTTAAAGGCCTGTGCAAGACCTGGCTCGCTCAAAACTGTCTCTGTTTGGTCTGGTGGGAAGCTCAAGATGACAACATCGGATCGCCTGGCAGCTTCGACATTGCCTCCATGGGAGATGTGCAATCGGTCTTTGTACCGCGCAAACTCGTCGGCCAATTTCGAGACACTACTTGATCTCGAGACGGTGGCTTCTAATCTGAGGATCTGTAATGGCGAGGTCGAGCTTGCGCTTTGTAGTAGGCGGGTCAAGATGATCCGTCCCATTTGCCCTAGACATTGTTCGTCAGATGGTTGCTCGTGGGCATTGCTTTCCTTGGCCTACTCACCACAGCCGAGTAAAGCAAGCGTTGCCATGTTGGCCAGTTCCCCCAAGGAAATTATGCGTGTAGAGCTAATACAAACAATCTATCAGTAAGCCAAAACATGTTAAATCAATATTCCCGTTGGATTTTGCCCCTGTTGCATGAATCACTCGCCCCTAAGTACTTCTGAATCGGAGTATTATCCGACTGGCTTAGACATGAGTGGCCTTATCACGTGACGAGATTCCTCGAGTCAACCATTCGAGTGCAAGTATCTTTCGATGTTTACTAGGTAGTCATGTCTACAGCGGATATTGGGTATATGATAAGCGATGGCCCAAGTGGGCGAACCACGCCAACGGCCTATTCATGTTTCATATGCTGAATTTGACAATTAACGGCGGGCTGGATCGCTCATCTGCGAAGCCGTAGAGGTAAGGTAGATATAGCATATATATAAATCAGTCATAAATCATAGCTTTGCATAAATCTGAGGACCTCTCTTGCGCCTCGTCTCAGACTGATCGACATTCTTCCACAGACCGTACAGGCCTTCCTTTGAAGTTCCCAGAATAGGATCCTTCTCCGGCTTAGACACTGACCAAGATTCCTCGAAGCTGCCAACATCCTCGCCACCAAGGGAGAAGTCCCAACTGCCACAGTTCTTGGGATAGGCGCCAATCATGGTGAACCCCTCAAGGGTAATCTGAGCGAGGGCGGATTTAATGTCATCGGCCTCGATGCCCCTGCCATGACCCGGCGTCAACAAAGCAAACGGCGCCCCAGGGCTAGTGTTGAACGTCTTGTGCGCCACGCCAGCAGGGATCAAGAAGACGTCTCCGGCTTCTGCTTGCAACTCGATTCCGCCTTTCTCGCATGCTCCTTCGTATGTGCTTTTCTGTAGGTCGTCTGATAGATCTGCCGCTCCAAACCGAATCGTCGCCTTGCCAGACAGTACGGCCATGCATTCATGGATTCGTGAGTGATAATGCGACTCTTGAGTTGGCCCATACCGGAATATCCATTGCGTCTTCCAGTCGTTGTGGTCAAACACTTCGTGGATCTTGGATGGAGTCCGGCTAGCGCCTTCTTTGAGGATCCCTCGGTAATGAAGTAATGGCTGTGGACTGTTGGGCACCAACTTCGTGGGCCGAAGGTGGTATTTTTTGACCTCGACCATGACTTACTTCTTCTCAAGGAGCCGTGTTATCTGCCCACAGTTTCTGCTTTGCCTCTTGTTCAATGTTGTTGCTGAGATGAGGGAAAGCCAACATGAACGACCGAGATAGCCTTTGTACGTCAATCTTGGATGATGTTATTCCCCTCCCACCGCCTCCCCGCCACGCCAAACTCCGCTCGATCGTAAGGCGCACTCAATGTTCACGTGATCGGGTTCTCATCCGCAAGGTGCATTCAATCATTTGTCCTGGAGTGGGAAAAATATACCAAATACGACCATCGCCACTGTTGGAGAGGATTGCTCCACACGGTCGAGGTCTTGAGGGTTCTGCGGGCACGACGTGGTTGTAAGACAACACATGATGTCTTTACGTTAGAAAATGTCTTTGTTTAGATACTAGATAACGAACGGAGAAATGTTGTTGAAGTAAAATCCTAAGAAAGACTCCAAGTGTTCTTTCATCGTAAATAACTCCATTTATGACCACTGCATATCGGTATTTCCCATATCAAAATTGCCCATATTGCCCACATCCAAAGCAGTCACCAACTCCATAATCTGACCTCCAGACAACGCCTCATGAAGATGCCAATTATCAAAGAACGGATCTCCAAGACTGGGAAAGCTTGGAGGGTCAAAAGTCTGTGCTTGAGCCGGTGAAGTCATCGTCAGCGCCGCTGTCGTGCTTGTCGCATCTCTCTGCTGGACTTCTTCGTCATTCAACATATTGACAAGATCTTCGATCTCGGCTTTTCTCTGCGTCGCCAAAACATTCCCGTGCAATGCAATGAAATCCAACACTTCAATCAGAGCGCCAAACCATTCTCGCGTAAAGGACAGTTTGGGATGGACTTTGGAAGCCATCTCGAGAACAAATCCAGCTGAGGCGGCGCTTTCTAGATCAAATGGAAAGAAAACATCTTCTCGCACATTGGGTTAGCGCCTGATTGTGCATGACATCGCGTTGCCGACGAGGAAAAGGGACTTACCAAGAAGATCGTGTTGCTTTAGTTGAGCTAGGATCGAGACGATTTGTGTAGCCGAATCGATACACACCTGTATTAACCCCTTCATCGTCGAAGACAGCGGACGGGACTGCGACAATGCAGAGCCCTCGAGGCGCTGCTTGAGGGCGTAGAACAGTACAGGTCTCGATGTCACGAGAATGCACTGCCCAGTCGTGAGTTTGCGATAGAATCACAACGATACTGACATGACTTACCTGGTGATAGGCAAGGTTGACATGGGCTGCTATCCTCGACACCTCTCCAAAGCAGCTGTCTGAGAATTTCTTCAATTCCGCTGACAGACCTGCTATGCCTTTGAGAACTGCACGTGTCCTGGTGACAAACGTCTTGTTCAGCTCTCCACGAGAACTATAAACAGCTGTCATCGCATCAGCAATGTCCATGCGTGTCCATTGGTAGGTCAATCAAGAGGGAGCGAACATACTGCTAATCACTCTGCCTTGCAGCTGACAGATCTTGACATACAACTTGCGTGCAATGGCGCCTTCGTCGGCGCCTTCGCCAGCAGTCGGCACCGGCACTGTGATGTCTTCATCGTGTAAAGCGGCTGGAACTCCATATGAAGAAGAGAATCGCCTGTCCAACATGTAGACTGTCCACCATAATCGGCGGCACCGCTCTATGAGTTGCTCACTACCCACCCCAGGTTGCATGACCTTGTGCAACCCGTATGATTGAGCCATGCGCAATGCTTGACCAATCTGCATTCCTGTCAGTTCCATCCTGGGAGGGAGATTCCACAGATTTGACTTACGTAGATGTGCGCCGCACATCGATGATCGATTGATTGTAGGTACAGTGCGATAGCACACAGAATCTCCGTGGCGTCGATTGGCTCTTCTGCAAGATGAGTGATATCTGGAAGCAACCGCAAGGCTCGAGTGAGCAGGTGTGAGCCAGCACTGGTGACATTCTGCGAGGCTGCCGGTTGAGATCTAGAAACCAATGCCTTTCCAAGTGCCATGATGACCAGGTACTGGATGAACCAGATCGGTTTGGCTCGAGCGTACAGCAATGGGCTCTTGTAGAACTCGTGCACCGACTTGGTGAACTCGTGCTCATCAAACAGGTAAAACAAAGGATTAGTTCGGAATTTGACGGACTGCAGGTAGTACAACGATACGTCTAGCGAAGGCAGACCGGACATGTCGGATTCTGTAAAGTGGTATAATTCTTCAAACGGCAATCTGTAAGCATCTCCCTCGACGTACATCTCACCGCGAGGCACCCGGTTTTTGGACAGCGGGCTCTGGTGTGCCAGTTCCAGTACCTGCTGCGTAAAAGACCAGGTCGACGAATGGCCCAGGTACCGCAATCGTCCGGAAATCGAGATATACGCCGCTTGGTCTCTGACCAGCGGGTTGACCACGCCAGAGTAATCATCAGGAGTGCCGGGTTCGTCTTGAGACCGGTTTTCGTCCAGCGCCTGTCCGTCCCGCGGGGTCAGGCCATTCCACGTCGCGGTCTCGTCTTGCTCCGTAGCGTCCCTATCGTCGTAGACCGAATGTTCAAACTGGGTGGTGTCGTTGATGGTGGTTGTGTTATTGTCAGCACTGCGGCTGCCATCGGGCGATTGGGACGTATGTCCACGCGAGGCCGTTATCAAGGTCGATGAACCTCGTTGTTGGCTTTCGAGTTCCACGACTCTGCTTTTGAGTTCCTGCAGAAACCTATTTCGTGAAAAAGAAACACGCACACAGCATCAGCCATTGGCGTTTCCATATCCTCAGCACTATGTCGCTGCCACCCACCTCTCCGAAACCACCACTTTCTTATCATCCGCGCCAAAGACGCAATCCAAACCACGGTAATCGCATCGTCTGCACGGCTGCGAGCCAGAACACTTGATCTTGTGCTGGCGGCATCTCAAACACGCGTTCGCGACTCGGCGACGTTCGCGCACGGCAACTTCAGCCATGCTCACATTTGTCCAACAAAAGTCATACCTGCGTCATCCATTGGAATTGCATGAAGTCAGCATCTTGATCCTCGGGTGGACATGGGACGTTGTGAAAAGGAAGACTTGAGTGCTTCTGGAACCCCCGCACCGAAGGTTGCCAAGGTCGCTATCAAGAAAGGGACAAAGTACGAGATAAGCACTCAGGCAGCCTTGGAATCTTGGGTTTAGCGGTGCTGAGTTAGCTTGTCACGCTTGTGTCATGGCGTTCCTGAAGGGAGATTTCGTCCACAGCTTTCTAGGAAACAAGGTCCTGATCTATCTCGTCGTTTATCATCTGACCTTTGAACCGCGATAAGCTAGCGACGAGTGCAACGCAGATATCACAGTAGAGAGAGTGATCAGTCAATTCTCTCCGATAAGACTGAATACAAGACGCAAAATCGAGATGTAAATCGTAAATGGCCCGACCGGTCCGAATGTAGAGCCAGATTGACATGCTCTATCATTCAGTGCTTTTCATTGTCACCTGTGGAGTCTTCATTGTGCATACTCATGACTTTGCACCCAACGAACGAACGCTCCTCGAAACTCCCAATGGGTGCACGGTTACACTACCCGAGCCCTTCAGCATTGACATGACAGCATCTCGGCAACGGATCCCGAGCGTGGGAAATTATACCTTCTTTGGGAAGATAGATACTCTCCAAGCTCCGCAAGCGTGTGTCCTCGGTGGGTTTACACCTCAGATGATGAATGACCAGACCATCGATTGCGTCTTGCAGAGCCCAATGTCTATGGAATATGGGCTGTCGTAGTTTTTAGGTGGGTTTCTTGGAGGGCAAGATGTCCCAATACCGTATGCAGAAGCCATGCCACCTGACTGTCTGTCGATTTGCCCCATGCAACCAAGGCTTGCTCGAATGACTTGTCCAGGCGATACAAGACAGAAATTCTTATCTGCATCGGTGCTTCCCGTTATATAAGTATTTTCTAGGTATAGGATTAAAGTGTTAATCTCGTTTATCCTCCCAAAGGCTTGCTCACTTATCAAGCGCAATTAAGCTACACTAGATTTCGACCAGCCATGGGGTCGATCGGTTACGATTACGACTTTATCAAGCCAAGTTCCACCTCAAACGCCAGCCGACCGATTGACGAGGCTCGTCCCCTGAAGGTCATCTATATCGGGGCCGGTGTGTCCGGGATCCTTGCCGCCATTGAATTTCTTAAAGCAGTGCCTTCGCTCGAGTTGGTCATATACGAAAAGAACCCTGAAGTCGGTGGAACGTGGTACGAGAACAAGTAAGTGAATAAAGACCATCAAGGTGAGACGACTCGGCTGACCCCCCTCGAATGTAGATATCCAGGATGTGCTTGTGGTAAGTGGCCGACTGATGTGGTTCAAGTGTAACCAAAACTGAATCGTTATCAGACATCCCCTCTCATGCTTACCAATTGAGTTTTGAATCATGGACGGAATGGAGCCAGTTCTATTCCGGTGCACCAGAAATCCTGCAATACTGGAAAATGGTGGCGGAGAAATACCGTGTTCGCGATTTCGTGCGGTTTCAACACAAGTGCGTGGAAGCCAGATGGGACGAATCCAGATCAAAGTGGACGACAAAATTCTTGAGGCTTGACTCAGCAGAACCTTCAATCGTCGAAGACGAGGCTGATGTGCTCATCACTGGAACTGGTCTTTTGAACGACTGGAAATGGCCTTCAATTGAAGGTTTGCAAGATTTCAAAGGACCTCTCTTACATACTGCCAATTGGGACGAAAGCTTTGACGTCACGGTGAGTTTCTTGAATAATCTGCCAATCGTTGGTTGGCTCTAATAGGACGACAGGGTAAGAAGGTGGCCGTCATCGGTGCTGGAAGCAGTGGCATTCAAGTTGTGCCGGCGATTGTCAACAAGGTTTCTGCCATGGACCACTATGTACGAGGCAAGACATGGAGTAAGTCTCACCACCGACCTGGATCTACCAGTGGATTACCGAGTCTTTTCGCCATGACATCAAATGATCTACTAACGAGAACCTCAGTCTCCACTCAGTTTAGCCAGGACCTGTTGGAAGAAACAACTCACAATCAGTCATCAAATTTCGACTACAGCCAAGAACAAAAGCAACAGTGGAGGGATGATCCGAAGAGCTATATCAAGTATCGAAAAGACATGGAATTTGGACTACAGAGCACTTATGACAACGTCAAACTTGGCAGCCAGAGCCACGCAAGGGGACGACGAAACTATGAAAGACACATGAGAGAACGGCTATCGGCCAAACCAGAACTGGCCGAGCAACTCATTCCAGACTTTCCACCACTCTGCAAACGACTCACCCCAGGTCCTGGATATTTGGAGGCCCTGATGCAATCACACGTCGCGCTAATTTCGCAATCAATAGTCAGTGTCGATGCCAAAGGGATCACGACTGCCGATGGTGTCTATCGACAGGTGGATGCAATCATTTGTGCCACCGGGTTCGAGACATCTCCCGGTCAAGGCTTCCCCATCTACGGAGAGGATGGAGTCAACCTCCGCGAAAAGTACGCCGTACGGCCCAAAACCTATCTAGGATTGTGCACCAACAACTTTCCCAACTTTTTCCAGTCCCTGGGGCCAAATTCCTTCCAAGGTGCTGGCACCTTGCTCGTCATGATGGAGCAAGCGCACAAGTACATGGCACAGATCCTTCGCCGCATGGCTTATGGTGACCTGAAAACGATCCAGCCGAAGAAAAGACAGGTGGAGAATTTCACATCTTACTGTGACAAGTATTTTGAAAACACTGTTTACACGGCCGGGTGTGCGAGCTGGTACACGACAAAGTTGAAAGACCCTACTGGTGCTGGAAATGGAGCTACCAAAGTCACGGCGTTGTGGCCCGGTAGCAGTGTTCACTATTTGCGAGCCATGGAGTCGGTGAGGTGGGAAGACTATGAATTGGAGAATATAGATACCTCAGACTTTGGATGGTTTGGGAATGGGAGGACCGTGGGAGAAGTTGGTGTCACCCAGGATGCCGAAGCTCTGACCTGGTATCTGAATCAAACCAACTTTTTGGGCGACCTCTATGTGGACAGCAACGCATCTGAGATTATACCGTCGAATAATGGCTTCGTGGAGGACAGCAAGCCTCAGATACAGGAAAAGGTCGATCTTCTCGATGTCACTGTCCCTAGAATCGAGCCAGAGGCTACATATACACAGGATGACCTGGCGAGAAGTGAGGTCAAAGGGGAGGTGCTTGACATTCAAAGCCAACCTCTACTCCACTTGAATGGCTGGAATGATGAGAAGGGCACAAAGATCGAATCCATCCATCATATTGCTACTCCAGTTTAGGGTAGCGACCAAAGAAACATTATAGATAATTTGAAAAGAGGATATTCCATACCTACACCTTCGATCGGTCTGGGATAGGAGTATTGGTCTAAACTGGACTGGCGCAATTTTTTCCTTCTAGGCATCAAACGGCCCCCCGAGGCTTCGTGCTGTGGGCACTATTCCTCGAGGCAAACTTTCGTAAGGGATTAGCACGTACCTTAAGCAGCCCCGGGTTATACATCCCAGGGCCACCGACATCTTCGCGTGCGTTACGACGGCCTCCTAGTGAGAGGCTCGCCACGGGATCACCGTAGCTAATTATTAGCCTTAGGCTCCCCCGTACCAGATTGTCTCGCCCGCAGTCACCCACAACTTGATTGACTGCTGGACTAGTACCATGTATAGGCACTGTTGACCCCATTGAGCTTCTAGTTCAGGGTCTTCTTTCCCCGCTGATTCTGCCAAGCCCGTTCCCTTGGCTGTGGTTTCGCTAGATAGTAGATAGGGACAGTGGGAATCTCGTTAATCCATTCATGCGCGTCACTAATTAGATGACGAGGCATTTGGCTACCTATAAGTAAATTGTTAGTATTAATTCGTAATAAACAGAAGATATAGTGTGAACGTACCTTAAGAGCACTTAATACGTTGGCTTTCGCCACCGAGTTGACTATATCTTATGCCCATCACAGGTACACAGGACGTGTTGTTGTGATGAACCCACCACCATTTAGTCGTTGAACTGCATCCTTAGGCCCCGAAAGGCCCGTAGGACTTGGCTGCAGATTATCCATTGTTACATCTCAACCGTTGTTACCATACCCTAGGTCATTACCTTTGGGATGACCTCAGCGTATCTGAGGACAATTCCTCCCGTAGATTCAAAGTCCGACTCTCGTTTGCTCTCATTGACTATTTAACAGCAACTGACGTACCTCCCGACGAGCAGGCGAGAATCATTGAGTAGTCAAGGAGGCAAATGAGTGTGGGATATCACGTGCCGACCTCAGGCTGGTCACGTGCAGATCCTCGACTCTCTATCTTCTCCGTGCTTCACTTCTCTCCCACAGATTAAACTAGTCACCAAACACACGTTCGAAGTGTTTGTTACCTCTCGTGATGTCTATCGAAATTTTCGCCATGGAAACGTCTGACTGCCTCGAGGTATTCTTTCGCGCGTTGCCTCGAAGACACCCAAGAGTCGGACACACTTCACTTGTTGACCGACAGTGATTCTCGTCTACTGTAACCAAGGTATCGTATGATTTACATTCGTCCTTTGACAAAGATTGAACATAAAGAGGTCAGACAAGGCTCTTTGTCGGTGAACAATGAAGACTCGAGAGGACATCAAAGGATCTTTGTTCCTCTACAGAACTCTTCCGTGGCAGGGACAAAGGCTTCCTCGAACACAGTTCTCTCTTTTAAGCCGTGTAAACATGTTGCTCTCCTCTTTTCTCTTCTCATATAAGTGTTTCAAGGACAGGGACACACTCTTCGAAGCATATTGTGCCACTCCTGCTAGCCTTAATCAACATGTTCTTCGACATCGACGAAATCCAGTCGGAGGTCTTGCATGACTTGAAATGGCCTCGTCTATTGCTGAAATCGACAAACGAAGTTATTAGTGTTGCTATGGCGAAGCGACTCATTTTTCTGGCCTGCAACGGATACGCGGCCGAGGAAATCATTGCAAAATTCAAAGAAGAATGGGACCGAGAGATCGAGGAGGAAGCGCTGGAGGATCTCATCGAGCGCAATTTTGAGGTGACTGATCTTCCTCTCCCCTCAGGCGAGCATGTGATTGCAATGACTAACTCACCGATTGACCATCCGGACTTGGCCCACGGCCTCGTGCTCCCGTCTGGCATTTATTATGTGATTGTTGACAATGCCAACGAGGGTACTGGCTTTATTGCACGTCACCTGAAGCTGACCTTTGGCCTGAACACAGACGAAGACGAGATCGCTGAGGTCGTTAATCAATATATCGACTCTCTTCCCCGCGACATCGACGGTGTTCCGATTATGCCTCTTCGTTCAGCTCGACCCCGACATCCCGGCCACCGCCTTGATTCACTGCCAACTGAATCATCTCCGTCGCAGGATAGACGAAGCTCATTCAATGTGCCACCGCCCCAATACTCCCCACCACCTGTTTATAAGGGATTGACACTGCGGCATCCCCGCCAAGTCAACGACACCAACGAACACCTTCCCCCATTTTACCCAACTGAGTCGCTTCCTGAGGCACCCAGCTACTCCGGTGGCAGTAGTCCACCCGCGTATAGCGAAGGAGTGAGCTTGGCCATTGACCCTGGTCAACCTGCGAGCAGTCGACCAGCAACGACAGGTAGATCGTCAATCACAACAACTCAGACCATCGAGGACTTTTCTAGACTGACAGTGAGCACACAGGAGCAGGCAGGTCCGGACCTGCCACTGGAAAAGAGAGGCTACTGGCCCCCAACCACTCCGTCGAGCTCTGAAAAGTACTCGAGGGAAGACGTTATCGAATACCTGTTCTCTAAAGTTCCTGACGATGATGAAGGACGAAACGAACAATTGTTCATCCCATTTCAACCTCTCGACGGTACACGGATCAGAAAGTTCATCTCGGAAGGTCCTGAACGACGTATTGCGAACCGCCATCTAGACTGGACAAAATACCGCAACATCAACTTCACCGAGCCGACGCCACTCGAGTTCATCGATCTCCACTTGGGCTCCACGGTCAAGGCATTGTTTGAAGAGTTTCGACGAAATACAGTTATCAATCTTGAGTACAAGGACCGAAATCCTCCCTCCTGGAATGCGAATCTTCTGGCCCAGACAATTCGATTGAGAGACAAGTCACCCTTGAAGACAGAAGTCGTGAGCACTGAAATCACCGCGGAGATTGTGATGGCGATGGAAGACTTCGAGGACCCTGTATTTGTGCACAAATTTGAGCGCGACCGGCGAGCGCACTTTAGATACAAGTTCGAGTCTTTCCGTTCTGTCGTTACGTATGCGTCGGTTTTGCGCCTCCTTAATTTGCTTGAGGAGTATGGAGCCCCTCATGAACTCCCAGATACCGAATCATTTGATCAGCGATTCCTAGACATTGTGCAGAGACTCTTCAAAGGACCTCAGGAACTTTCCAAAGTCCTGGAAATGCGGAATGGCCGTATACGCGACGGGTTCCACTCGTGGTGTGATGAGCTGTCGTCTTTCCCAGACTCTGAGGATCCAGGTCTGGAGGAACTTCGCGATGCCATGAAAGACGTCATCACTACGTTGAATGAATTTGATGGACACCTCGATCGTTGGCTCGAAGATAAGACCCATCAGTGGCCCCTTTGGAGTTTGAGCGGAGCTCTTCTCGACAAACTCACTTTAGCAGAGGTTCTGATTTTCCAGCGTGTGCTTATGACTGATTTGCCATCGAATCCCGAGGGGTCTCTTTGGCTCAATCGGTGGTACAAGGGATTTGGGGACGACACCAAACTTTTCAGCTCGACAAGCAGGGGCATCATCTCTGACATTCTCCATTTTCAAGCGATTCCATCTTTAGATGCTGTCGCGGCGTCAAGTCACATGTCCACGAAAGTGCTCGACATTCTTGACGTTCTGGAGCCATGGGAAATCGCGTCAAGTGCTCCCAACTGGAGACAGCGTATATCAGACGCGAGCGGAAAGCCAAACGTGAAAGTGATCCACCTCCGAAACCTCCTTCGGGTTGGCCTGCTGCAGTTGTACTCGTACACTCTGACGTTGAAACAGCCTGTGGATCCTAAAGACGAAAGACAGTTGAAGAATGAGCGCGTTTTGCGTAGCTATGCAGATATGCCGCAGAATAGCGACGAACCTCCTGTCACAGCTCAAGGCCTCAACCCAGAGGCGATGGAGCGTTTGACCGCGGCATGGCTTGAAGGCCAGCGGCTCAGTTCTCAACCTGCATCCTCCGCGTCCACAGACGGCGAACCACAGACACCCGAGAGATCATCCGCGAGGCATTCGCAGCCGCCTTCAGGAACGCGGAGACGAGCTTCATTAGCTTCACTTCCTGACCATGAGCCAATCAGACGTGATTTCTCCGTGGTGGCCGAGTTTGCGAACACAGTCGACACAAATTTCATGGGTCCCATCGTGGTTGATGAGCGCTCAGTCAGCCCTCGCACTATCCCTATGGAGGTCGATGAGCGGCCCGTCAGCCCTCGCACTATCCCTATGGAGGTCGATGAGCGCCCCGTCAGCCCTCGTACTATCCCTATCGAGGTCACGGTCTACACTGGAGTGGGACAGGTTTTCTTCCGAAAGAGACAACTGCGCCTCAAGTTTGCGTATATGCTGCAGAAGGCCCTGATTGATGAGTGCAGCAGACTCGAGGATGAAAGACGGCGGAGTGTGCCTGCCAGTTAGGTAAGTGAAATGTTACGATAGGGCTAACATCCAGGGCGGGATCTAGTGTAGAGCATAGGTAGGTATTCTGGCTTCGGTAAGTCGCAGGTTAGTCCAGCAACAGGTGAGTCTGGAAATGATATGCATGTCCACGAAGCCACGTGACGGTACAGACAACCTCAAAAGTTTCTTCGCAGAATCATAACCAGTCGTATACATTGAGACAGACGTTCGAGTAGTAAAAATGTGAAAGGGTAAGAGACGGACAATGGTCATCTATTATAAACGAGGTGGACGAACAACCACTTGACTGGGCCGCCGTTCGCGTCTCGAATGGCAGGCATTGACATTCTGCACTGTCCGTACATGGATGTGTGTTAGAGCCATAGACTCTATGCCGGGCTACCAGGTATTAAGTGTGACATGGGTAGCAGTCATGGGTGCTTAGTAGATGAAAGGCGCTGATTTCAAGAAAGTGGGTCGAAGCAAACATACCAGTCTAAAGTTGTACTCCGTACATGAGGCAAGTTTCCTTTGAGATTATTTTGTAAGTATTACTTTCGATCAATTGAAGTGTCTTTGAAGTACAGATTATGCTCCTTTCCGCGTGGGGGCCTATTTCGGACGGCCCTCTATACGCGAAGGGACTCGATACTATGTCCTGCCGCTCTCCTGATAACCAATCCCGACTCAAAGGTATTCTTGGAGCCTAGAGACGGGCAATGGCGAGGAATAATTCCGCCAACCAGGCTAGAAATGAATCGGAACAGATGGGGGTTCGGTCAGCTCCATAGGCATGTATGCACAAGTAGTGTGCGTACTTTACCCCCATGAAACGAAGCGGATTGTGGCGGAGACTCCGGATCTTTGACAAGCGAGGTCACCCAGGAGTGATGACATGTCTGCCGTGCGGGTTAGTTCTGCAGAGATTGCACAAAAGAATAGATGGTCCAATGCTCATTGCTTGGTGTACTGACATGGCGTCTTCTGAGGTAGCATCGCGGCCCAGAGTCAACGCTCCACATGAGATCCTTCATCGCTCCTTCCCTGTTTCTCCATTCCCTAAAGGCTCTTTCCCTAATTGCCATTCCAAGGCTATGGATGCCAAGCATGAGATCCTTGGCGCCACAATTCTTCCATTCGCCTCCTCGACCTCATCTCATCACCGCCTCTCTACACGACCTGTGTAGAGGTTCACATGCTGCCTAGGCAGTCTCTTTCGATCCGTGGAAGCAGCCAAATAATCTGTCTTGCAATTCGAGCCATCCTCTTGAGAAACTGACATTCGCAATCTATCGCCAAATCGCGACATTTAGGTCTCGGCCTGAGATCCAACGAGGATTCATCATGCCCCTGTTCGGCCCCTTCCAGATATGTGCACCTAGTTCATCCATTGGCCAGTGCCTAGCCGGTATTTTGCCAATGGCCATCACGGGAGCTTGGGACTGCAAAGCTCGTTGAAGCGTTGTCCTCGTTCTTGGACCCATGCCACCGGCCTTAGCAAATTGCTGTCCAATCACTGCATTTCGGCAGCTCTGTTTTGTTGACAGCCTGACACTATCACCTGGCACAAGAAATAGGAGTCCGGGGCTTCTGGAAGCAACAGTGGAACCTTCAGTAAGCCTTATCTGGAAAAGTTTGGCTTTCGTGGCTCACAGCTTGTTCGTTGCCTGGGGTTGAAATGTCGGCATTTGTCTGATGTGATCCCTCAGCGAGTGCCCCGGCCAATTGCATGGTCGTTTGCAGCCATTGCCGGCGTCCTAAGTCTAGAATTCCTCCCTCTCACCAGGCTCATACCACTTTGACAGGACTTTTGATTTCTGCAACGCCAACTCTCGCTTTGCCCTTCTTTGGCGGCCAGTGGCCTTCGAGCTTACCCCTTCCGGCGGCTCCTGTCGGACCATGGTACCATTTATGCCATGGCCACTCTGAGCCCTTTCGAGCCTCCCCATGTTTGACCTGTCTTCGTCGGCTACACACGCTTACACGCCGTCTCCACAGTGGACGATGGCTTCATTCAGCAGTACTTCCCAAAAGTACTCCCAACCAAGTTCTGGCAAGTTCCAATAATGATCATCACCCCAGATCATCACGCTCGACCCACCTTTGCTCCTTGCCATTGCCTACGGATCTCGTAACCGCCATTTACAAACAGTTCGGTATGATCTCTACCCCATCCACAGCGGCCCTAGCCGTTTCCTCCCCGGATTGTGGGCGTCTCCAGGCCTCCTCGATAGTGATTCTTGCCCATGGTAGCAAATAATATCACTTCTCCCACGCCCCTGCCATGCACTGGACTCACCCCACTCACTCATCACTCTTGTCTGGAGTTGTGTGTATTTGTATGTACACTGCGTACGCATATCGTTTTCACTTCAATGCCGTGCCAGACGGGGGATCCTTGAAGTTCCCCAGAGTCACGTTGTGCTTCTGACCAGGCCGAGCCATGTGCTTCGGACCCAACTACCGACACTTCACGACCCGAGGTCGAGAAAGCTCATGCACGCTTGAGATCTGTGTCAGCCGATACGGCCTCTCCATTGTCATTCATTCACTGCATCGCTATCCTGGGCTTGCTCTCGGATCCGAAATAACCTTGGCTTCATGATATAAGGTCCCATACAACCCCCAGCTCTCACGCCGTACTCTTTCTGCAGTCACCCCATTCACTATCATTCCTTAGGATTCGTAGTCTTCACTCGAGCAACATGTCCGCCTTGTCCGACACAAAGCCTGACCTCGACTCTAAGGAGGCACTAGAGGCAGAGATTCCAGTCAGCACGACCTATGAACATGGCACTGGAAGACAGCCCTTCAATGAGGCTCAGACCAAGGCGTTGCTGAAGAAGCTCGACTGGCACATGATCCCATACCTGTCATTGCTGTAGGCTACTCCTGTGTCACACTTTGCCGCTTCTTCACTAACAAAAGGACCAAAGTTATCTTCTTTCATTCTTGGATAGAACCAATATCGGAAATGCCAGACTCTTTGGTTTGGAAGCATCTCTGAATCTCACAGGAAACCAATACAACACTGCTCTGAGTAAGATAGAACCCTAAATACCTATTCAGAATCCAAAAGACTGACCATGGATCCAGGTGTTTTCTGTAAGTGATTGAGCATATTTGAGCGCCCCAGCTGTGTACTTATGCCAGTCTAGTTGTTACGTATGTGCTCTTTGAGGTTCCGGCAAACATGTAAGTCTATTCTTCCTTGACGAGTCTGACCTCTGGCTCATCTGATTGTGCAGGATTCTCAAGAGATGGCGAGCATCCTACTGGTTTGGAACCATGATGATTGCATGGGGAATAGTGATGACGCTGATGGGTCTGGTCCATAACTTTGCTGGCCTCGTCGCTGCCCGAATCTTCCTTGGACTCACAGAGGCTGGTCTGTTTCCTGTGAGGCTCGACGTTCTCCAAACACAAAACTCTATAAACGCTAATCATGTTCCACAGGGTGTGAATCTTTATATTACTCTTTGGTACAAACGCAAGGAGTGCGCTTTCCGCGCAGCCATCTTCTTCTCTGCTGCTACAGTCGCAGGAGCCTTCGGTGGACTTCTCGCTCGAGGCATCAACGAAATGGATGGCACGGCCGGAAAAGCTGGCTGGGCGTGGATCTTCATCCTCGAAGGTCTCCTGACCGTGGTGGTTGCTGTTTCTGCTTTCTGGGCCATCTCCGACAGCCCTGAGACTGCCAAATTCTTGACTCCAGAGGAGAAGAAAGAAGTCACTGCTCGCCTCCATGACGACACTGACGGTCTTGCCGACTACTTTGACGTCAAATTCATGTGGGACGCTCTGCTTGACTACAGAATCTGGCTCCAGTGCTTGTAGGTCTCCTTTTTCTTTTTACATCAGCATGGAGAGAGATGTTGGGACTAACAAATCCTCGACAGCACTTACTTGGGCATGGTCACTTCGGTGTACTCATTCTCCCTTTTCTTGCCGACCATTATTGCCGCCATGGGCTACTCTGCCGCGAGATCTCAACTCCTGACTGTTCCTCCTTATGTCTTTGGCTGTATCGCCACTGTTTTCGCTGGATGGATCAGCGACAAGTACAACAAGCGGGCTATGTGAGTATCATCCTTGTTTCTACCCGTAGAAAGGCGCGCCAAATATCACTTTACTGACTCTCCACAGCTTCCTCTTGTTCCATGGGACCATCGCCCTCATTGGCTACATCCTCCTCATCTCCACTCACATTCCTGGAGCTCAATACACAGGCACTTTCCTTGCTGCTGCGGGCGTGTATCCCATGGTTCCAGTCTTGGTCATGTGGAATGGAAACAATGTTGGTGGGAGCGTCAAGCGTGGAGTCGCCATTGCCATGCAAGTCGGTGTCGGCAACTGCGGTGGTATCATCGCCTCTTTCATGTAAGTTCAGTGGAGAAAATGCGAGAGCCGCATCAAAAAGTTATGTTCAATTTTCGAGCAAATGGCTAACAATGGGCTTTCTCTCCACAGCTACCGAAGACAGGACAGACCCCGTTTCTTCATTGGCCACGGCGTCATCTTGGGGTGAGTTTTCCAACCGCTGCCGTATCTGGCAGATGTGAAAATATTAACAATTACTGATGGTATTCTCTATTTTCTAGATTCATCACCATGTCTGTTGTTCTCATCATCTTCCAATACTTCCATCTCGGAGCCATTAACCGTCAACGCGACCGCGACCACCCCAAGCCAGAAGACTACACGCCCGAGATGAAGGCACTTGAGGTTGACAAGGGAGATCGTGCGTCTTTCTTCCGGTATGCGCTGTGAAACCTGGACAGAATTCGGTCGGTCGGTCGACGTCATTGAATTCTCTCGTTGATAATGGTTTGATGGAGGTGACTTGTCATCTTCCAGCTTTTGTTGAGATCTCGATTCTCGACGATCAGCGATAAATACAGGACATTGGCGAGAGCTACTCAAAATATATTCTACCTACACAATCATGTGTAATAATCTTTGAAAACGCTTGTAGCGACCAAAAGCGCTTGATGGAAATTCAGACATTTGTAAATGCCAGACAGCGTATCCAAAATCGAGCTTGATGATGCATAGCAAATCTCAAGCCGAGTAATTCGCTCCAGACAAACGCGCAGAGAAAGGGGGCTGCCGTGCGAGAGCCACTCGGGCCTAATCGGCGTGATGCCATATGGTCAATGGAAACGAAACCCTTTGGCAAAGAAGAATGTTGGATCGTCACCAATACCGGACCTTGGGCCTGCCGTAGCCGAGACTCATGGCAAAGGGATATGCATGCATGAGGGGTCATGCTTAGAATCTTAGTAGAAACCATCGAAGCTGGGCAAACACTACCCCCGCGGTCCGACCTGCATACGGGTAATCACCAGCTGCCACAGGGCAAACAAGGACATGGGCCACAGGATTTGGCGAGGAATACCGATCCTCGGTCTCGGCCGGGTCGACCTCACGCTCTGCTCTTGCACCGCATATTCGCGAGATGTCGCAGGGGCCGGGGTGGAGTGGGCTGGGCTGGGGCAAAGTTTCCCCCGGGAATCCACGAGTGTCGCTTGTATTGTGGTGGAGCCAGGTTGTACCACCGTCCGACAAGGATAATGCACTTCGGTCGTGGAGGTCCACAAGTCGAACCTGATCCACGCAGCGCAGAACCAGGCGGCGTGGGCAGAGTAAGAGCACACGCAGGACTGGTCGATCACGGCTCACTGGCATCGCTGGGTGCTGTGCTCTGACCCCGCGCCGCGGTAGAATCCACGGATTCGTGGAGCCTTTGCAGTCTCGAAAGTAATTCATAGACCGGCGGCTCTCCCTCCCCAAGAACTCGTTCTTGTCCCAAAATGCGCTTATCGTCGGACCCAAGGACAATCGCTCGCAGGATCTTGCCATCGACGGATACTTTGATCAAGCCCAATCGGCCGTCAGACCAAACGATGCGTAAAGTCATATAATCGGCATTTTCCGCGTTGATCTCTTCGATCCCGTACTTTTCACTCGCAGCGTCGTCGTCGTTGTCGATACCATCTTCGGATAAGTCTGCAGCATCGAAATTCTTTGGCCGGGACCGGCCTTCTGCAAGCCCGAGTTCTTTGCGTAGCTGGTCCAATGCATCTCGCCTGAGAGTATACGACACGAGATCTCTCCGGACACATTGAATCAGGCCCTCGAGGTTTTGAGGCTGGGCGCTACCGTGAGAGTGTTCGGAACCTCCATAGCCTTCGTCGGTCAAGGGAAGGAAGGTTTGTTCATATCCATCCAACGGCACATACGCCGGGATAGTATGTCGATGAATGCGTATTTCGTCACTTGAAGGAGACACGCGCCGACAGAACATATAGTAGGGCTTCTCGACCAATCCACGACCGTTGCGAATATCGAGTCTGACCCCAAGGAGTGGATTCAGATGTTGGCATTCTGGACTCGGATCGTTGAAGCGGAAAGCAGTAACGCCGAAAGCCAGACGGTGTGAGTCAGATTTAGAGTGGTACAATGCAGATTTGAGAAGTACTGAGAGCTTGTCGTCATGGCTTCCTCGAGGTTCGGGCCTAGCACTGAGCCTCTCGATTTGAGCATGAACATCCGAGGATGATAGTATTGATTCTGCGAGGAAGCGGCGGCGCTCAATTAAGCGGTTTTCTACCGCATGGAATATTAATCCACATAAATTCTGAAATGAATTTGCAAGTTGGCTTACTCAAGTCCTTCAATTTCTGGATCTCATCATCATAAAAGTCATCGTTAGAGTCACTCGACGGGTTCGAAGGTGGGGGCGGTGGAGAGGCGACAAGAGCCATGCTGACAGCCACGAGATATTTGCTTGTTTTCAGTGTGCTATGATTGTGAGGACAATAGGAGAGTCATCTTGTAGAATGCCATGTCGTTGACATTGACGTTGGAGAGGGTGGGTTGTCGTGCTTGCCTCCGATGAGGTCCCAATGGCTTTGACGCGTGACGCGTGATCTCGTGACTACGGCGCGTCTTACTGCTGGTCACGTGCCAAGGGGGCCAATCTCCTCCCTCCAAACTTGACATCTGGCCTATTCACCTTTGTGACACCAGATTGGTCGGGCATCAACCATCGACCACAGGCAAACCTCTTTGAGAAGATTCTGGAGTGCAAGAACTTCACAAGTCATGGTTCTCTTACGTATCAGCCTCCCATAGTCGACCGTGGGCATTGGACAGTTCCTCATCCCTAGGGTCGAATTCTTCTCCACTCAATTGGCCTCTGGCGGAGCCCTTGGTCCATGACTTCACAAAAGCTCCAACCCACTTCTCAATTGGTGATTGTTCCTGGCTAGACTCTTTCCCACTTGGTGTCCCACCTCTTTGAGGACAACGAAGCCTTTTTCACGATTTGCCTCTTTCTCGCCGGTCACGCTCTCTATTTCCTTGCTGTCGCATGGATGCCTGACTCTCTTTCTGAGCCTCTGACCCTACCTTTTGGCCACCATCGCTCCTTTTCTAATGACGGCACTGTCCTTCCTTCCCACCACCCGAAACAGCCCCCATCTCCAGGAATCGAACTAGAAGACTTTGAACTCGACCGAGACATCCAAGACCCTTCGAGCGAATCCGAGAGCGAATCAGAGCGAGACACCTCTGTACAACAAGACACCGGCGCTGGAAGTTCCTCGTCACAGATGAAACGAACAAAATCCAAAAAGAACAAAGAAAAGCAGACCCCTTCCAGAACGAGTCTTCGAATCAAGACCGATCAGAACGGGCATGCGAATGGCCACGCCAACGGCGACATGGATTCACACATGGAGCTCAGACGCAAACACGTCTCGAGCAGCGACTCGGCATCAACCGCTTCGATGGTCATGTCCCGGGATGACTTCTCCCTAGATCACAACCCTCCTCCGCCCACCCCTCAGACACCTGGCATGGTCAACACCAGCTTCGCCGACCTCCCTCCAAACGACAAGAGGAATTTTCTTCTTCTCGTCCTTTTGTATTTTTTACAAGGCATTCCCATGGGTTTGGCCGCTGGGTCTGTGCCTTTTCTTCTCAAGAGCTATCTCTCCTACGGGCAGATTGGAATATTTTCACTGGCCATCTACCCTTATTCATTAAAGTTGTTGTGGAGTCCGATTGTGGACGCGGTCTGGAGTCGAAGATTTGGACGGAGAAAGAGTTGGATCACACCCATACAGACCATTTCCGGTCTGTCGATGATCTATCTAGGCGGCCAGATCGATGACATGATGAGAAAAGCCGGGGAGAACGATGGGTCTGGGGTCTGGGGATTCACATGGTGGTGGTTTTTGTTGGTGTTCCTCTGCGCGACACAAGACATCGCCGTGGATGGATGGGCTATTTCACTTCTTTCCATGCAAAACATGGCCTACGCCTCGACGGCTCAGACTGTGGGTCTGACAGCTGGCTCTTTCCTGTCGCACACCGTATTTCTTGCCTTGCAAGCTCCCGATTTTGCCAACGCCTGGTTCAGGTCTACTCCGAGCGAAGAGGGCTTGTTGAGCCTCGGCGGGTACATGGCTTTTTGGGGTTGGGTTTACTTGATCGTGACGGTCGGCTTGGCATTCTTGAAGAAGGAGGACAAGACGAATGAACGGGACGGTATCATGGAAGTCTATCGATCCATGTGGGCGGTGCTCAAACTCCCCAATATCCTCACCATCATCATTGTCCATCTCATCGCCAAATTGGGCTTCGTCACCAACGATGCTGTCACGAATCTGAAGCTACTGGACAAGGGATTTGGACAAGCAAATTTGGCGCTTGTTGTCCTGATTGACTTTCCATTTGAATTAAGTCTGGGTTATTATGCTGGGAAATGGTCGACGGAATATACCCCTCTAAGACTCTGGTGTTGGGCGTTTGTGGCAAGACTTGTGGCGGCAGTCTTCGCCCAGATCACGATTATGATCTATCCCACCGACTTGGGCCAAGCGGTGCCATTGTGGTATCTTTTGACCGTCATCGCTTCTCATGTCTATTCGACGTTCATGAGCACTATTATGTTTGTGGCGGCATCTGCCTTTCACGCGAGAATAGCCGATCCCGCGATTGGTGGTACCTACATGACCCTCCTCGCCACGTAAGTGCTCCCGCGCGATTATTTGTTGACAGCAAGCTAACTAAACCAACAGTGTCTCGAACCTAGGTGGCACATTCCCCAAGTTCTTCATCCTGAAATTTGTCGACATGTTCACCAAGGCGACATGTCTCCCTACCCCTGACCCGGCGGCTTTCACCAAAGCCCATCCGAACGTTCCACCTATTACGACAGCTTTTAGCTGCGCCCTTGAAGCCGACAAGAATATCTGTATCAAGGGCGGTGGCACATGTTTGATGCAACGCGATGGATACTACATCACCAATGTTATATTTGTGATTATCGGTGCCATCACTTTCTGGGCGTACATCGAGCGAAAGGCCTTAGCATTACAAGGACTGCCGTTACGGGCCTGGCGTGTTCAAGGCGAAGGAGGGTCATATTCGCGTGTTGCGAGTAGATGAGAGGATCTTGTGGCGATTTTGACCGACAATGACATGCACTAGTTGTTGTTGTACTATATATGTAGCGAGCTAGATTTAGATCAACTGGCAAACAATTATGAAGAAGGGACGAAAAGTCATTGGGATTTTCTGTTCAAGGATTTTGCAGACTTCTACCAGTTAAGACGTTTCCAAGGATTGAGATGTATCATAGAGGTCTCTCGAATAACATCGTTGCCCCAGACCTGTATTCGTGGAGGATGAAAGGAAAAGACGGAATTATTCAGCCTCGCACGTGACATTACCCCGCGTAGACTTTGATATAAATTCTTCCATAAATGATATGACTAAATTTAAAGTCCATGAACACTCCAACACCCACTCGATCGTATAGGCCTGGACATAGGCTGTTTAGTCTTGGATTCGATGTTGACGAACCATTCTCGGAAAAGAAGGATTTACTCTCATCATCCAAATTTAGCAACGTCTACAATCCGCGGCACGAATCGACCTAAACGTCAAATAAATTCCCCTCACTGAACTAAATTCTACCTATTACCAAACACTCTCAAAAGAAACCATGGCGAACCACGACCGGAACCACGATGATGATGAGCATGAGAATGAGCATGATAATGCGTATTCTCCACGCAGCAGCCCTTCTGCAAGCCATTCACCAACCCATTCACACGCTGCTCCATCAACGACAGTGACGACACCGGAGCAGAGTTCAGGATCAGACGATGATATCTGGGCGACATCATCAGTTGAGGAGGGGTTTGGTGGTGGTGGTGGTGGTGGTGAGGGGACTTGGCTAGGTGGACGCGATAACGACAACGACAACGATCAATCACGACCTATAAATACAACCACCACAATGACGACAGATGATTCGAACCATGACCGGCAATCCCATCAATTACCCCGAGAAAGAATTCTATCCGACATTCCCACACTACGTCGACAACACATGACGGATGGGTATCGGGAAGGACTAAGTATTGGTAAAGCCCAAGTTATGCAAGAAGGGTTCGATGTCGGGTATCCCGTTGGGGTTGAGATTGGAATGAGAGTAGGTGTGATTTTGGGTGTCTTGGAGGGGATTTTGGCTGCAGTTGTGAGAAAACAGCAGCAGAAGGCGTCGACATCGGGAGGAGGAGGAGGAGGAGCGAAGAAGAATTCAAGTGCGGTCTGTCTGGCTGTGGGTGTGGACCAAACCAGACTGAACGCGAACTCGAGCGGTACCAGTACCAATATCAGTCCCACATCAAGTCCCAACAGCATCAGCAACCCCGAATCCATCTTGACAAAATTACTCGAACGCGCAAAATCTCAACTCGCCATTACGGAATTGATGAAATGTCTGGATGATGAGAAAGTCGCCAGACTTGATGAGAATACTATCAACAGCAATGCCGGTAGTGGTGGTAGTTTACCGGCAGAAATTGAACAGATTGTCAGCGGATGGGACAAGTTAATTACAGATGCACTTGGTGGGAAAGATGATGTGCTGCAACAGAAGCAGTGAGACGATGGAGATAGAGTAATGCATAAGGGCCCAGCGCTCTTGAAAATAAGCTAGTTATGCACAGCCCACGGTCAAACCTACTAAGTTTATGTATGATACCCAAAAATATATGAGGATCACGATTCATGCTTGAATTGGGCAAGGAAACGAGGATATCTTCCCTTCGATTGAGCAATCCATAACCACTGAATCGTCCAGTCATCAACCTGTGTGTGGTTCCATAATTCATTTCTGGCGCCTACTTGGAATACATTACCCGTCTGTCCGGTGTTGACAAACAGGATCCCCTGCCAATGGCCTTGTATCATCATAACCTAGCATAACGCTCTCTAGCACCCTCGCGAGTACGATCTAGAAATGCTGAATAGTCGCCCTTGGTGTTACGTTCGGCTTCTGCAACAGCATCACCGACTTTACCACCCTGTGCGCCGAGTCCAACGCCAGCAACATATACATCTTGACTGATTGGAGCCTTCATTCCTTCCCCTGACGCCCCGAGTCCTTGACCGACTGTGTATCCCATCTTGCTGAGGAGGGAAGCACCCTTGGATTGTACCATAGGCGACGCCTCATCGTCGGACGAGCTTCTCGATGATTTGGGAATTCCAACCTGTTCGCCCTTTTTGTTTACTACCCCATAGACCTTGCGCCGTTCTTTGGCTCGATCGCGGTATTGAGAAGTTGGGGTCGCGATTGTCGATTTAACCTCATGCTTCTCAAGCTTGTGAACCGCTCTGGACACTCGGGCTGGATCTTGTAGATTTTTCCGGTGTAGCTCACTCAACCGTTCGTGTCGATTGACTTCCGGGGTTGATTGAAATTGTCGCATGCAAAGGTAGCAGCAATTTCTCTGTGGATCGGCAAACGACTGGAGAGGTGGGGCATCGTTATTTTCTGAAGCCGAGTCCTCATCCTTTTGCGAGTTCTTTCCGATTCCATGGAGTTCAGCATGTCGGTTGCTCCAGAACTGTAAATGGGAGGGTGCTGGCTTCTTTGATGCTGCGGCCTCTGGATCAGTCTGAGCTTTTCTCTTTTTCACCTTGTCCGAATCTTTGTTGGTCTTGGGTTTGTCCTCAGTTGCCGTTGACGACGGCGGTACAACGGTCATGTTGATTCCCAATTCTGATAGATATGCATTCTCATCCCAATATGCAAGTTTCATAGCCGGATTGCCCAGAGGGCTGAACGTGAATTTCTCCATCTCCCGCGATGGGTTGACGACTGGGACAAAAACTCCAGCGTGGATATAGCTGACTTGGACCTGTTTGGATGCAATGGTGAATCGGTCAAACGAGTTAAAGCGGATGAGAGCAGCTTGGGCGTCTTCTATCGAAGCATATTCTGCAAAGCCAAATCTCCAGCTTTCATTAGTTCTTCGATCTCGAGTTAAAAGGACTCGCCGTAAGGTGCCCTCTTTTGCGCCGAGATTTGCATCGCCAGTAGTCGAAGCAACCTTGGCGCCCTTCTTCGCCGACGGTTGATCTTGTTGAGTCTGCTGTGTTGATGGAGTAGGTTTGTTCAGCTTGGCGACACCTTTGGCGAACAGTTCTTCGCTGACCGAGGGTTCAATGCCTCGAAGGAGAAGAAATTGGGAGGGCGTGTTATCAGGAGAAGTGTCATTGTCGCCGACATTGGCTGGTTTTTCGAAAACGTCATAAGCAGGATCTAAAAAGTTAGTCGATCGCCAGATGAAATTGGTCATCTAAGGCACACCTGGTCTGTCGGTTTGACACCTGAAACATCGGGTTCGTGTAGAAAAGTTGTTGACCCGACACTGAGCCATTAGCTTGGAAACCAAAACCCGGTGGCAGTCTTACTGAAGGGCAAATCCAGTCAGGATCATCATTTTTGCTGGGCTCATTTCGTTCACGGCCGAACATTATTCGGACTCTGCAGGCATCTCCATTGGATCCGGTACTGTCGCCATAAAGATAGAGAATAGGATAATTCTGATCCATGAATGCTGTCGCATGGTCGATGGTAGAGAAACGGAGAAATCCAAATCCTCTTGATTGTCCTGCAGGTCGCCGTCAGGCAAAAATAGGCAAACAATTTGGGTCAACTCACGGCTCTGACGGTCTTTGATCACGCGAACGTCTTCCAATCCCTCAACACGATAGTGTTGATGTAATTCGGCGGAGATCTGTCCAAACCACCCAAGATCTTAGCGACATGTTTGATTCACGAGCAAACACTCATCATATCCGTTTGTGCAAGGGAACAAAATCGATTGGGAAAGCGAACATCGTTCTCAGTAAGGTGTGCGGCCAGCCCTTCCATCATTATTTCCTTGCTTGGCTTTTCCTTCTCCCGGCCACGACTGCGGCTGCGGCTGTGGCTGCGGCTGTGGTTGTAGCTCAGGGGACCTCGGGGGATGTCTCGATCATAGTACTGGCGACCACGACGAGGAGAGGGTGACCGGTAGTAGCCACGGTCGTCTTGGGTGTAGCGGGAGTCGCGTCCATCACGACTGTTGGGGGCATTACGGGCGGGACTCGAGCCTCGTCCTCGTATACGTAGCTCTTGCCTTGAGGGACCATTCATGGATCGAGACGCATCTTGGGACAGGGTATCAGTAAGCGGTTCAAAGCTCGGCGCCTCTCTCTGATCTATGGATTACCTTGCGGGGGACTCTTTCTGATATGGGGCGAGCCATAGTTGCGATTAGGTGACCGTGACCTTGACCGTGATCGGGACATGGATCGAGAGTATGATCGTGATCTTGGTCGGTCGTCATAAAAATCGTCTCGAGTTTGAGCGTAAGACGAGCCATAGTGAGAAGGTGGAGGGCCGCCTCGAGAACGGAACGAAGACATGGTTACTGTATGCAATACAGTCCCATCATGGGGAATCTTGAGTATAGCCAAGTTGCGCTGAATGTCTTTGTTGAAGAGCGCAGAAAGATGTCTAAGTTGTCATGAAGTAGTGAAGAGTACGGTTTCAGACACTCTCTACACAAGTAATCTTATGGTTCGCTGTAAATGTGGCTTCTGTTCTGCCGTAGAATCTTGGCGTCTCATGTGTCGAATCTTTGGCAATTCTTCGCTCGATGCTGTCATTGATTTACTCATACTTTTGTATCTATTTATCCTAGTATTGACAAGTGGCTTTTGTTTGCAAAAGTGGCTTGAACGGGATTCACCTCGACAATGTCCATAACCATATCGTAGACTCGTGGAGATTTTGACTTGCTGACACAAGATTGAATATGAATCAAGTCTTTCTTTTCATACCACATTCAGGCTTCTCCCTTGTGGCACCTGCAATTCTACGTCCCAGAAATCCCATCAGTGTCTTTCCGCCTCGTTCGACGCTGGTAGTTCTCCCAGATGATTTTGTGGATTTGTCCTCTTTGCTCTCTGTCGACTTGGTGGCTTCAATTTTTGCGCGAATCTCGTCCTCGACGGAAGGACCGAACTCTGTGACAGAAGGGGGAGCAGTCTGGGGTACAATGACTCTTCTGAGGAACCCGCCGCCAGTGAAAGGACTGAGCGGGCGCTTGTTCTTTTGAAGATCAAAGTTTGCTCCGTCGATGGTCACAGTCAATTGCTTGCGACGGCGCCGACTTTGTGGTGATTTGGTCGGAGAAGGTGAGGGTTCTTCCATGTCATCGAGGACCTTTTTTGACGACCGTGGAGAGCGAGAGGCTTGTGGTGATCTTGGAACGTTCGATACCAGCTCTTCGATACTGTCCTTGGTCTGCATGCTGAGGTTGTCGTCCGACTCTGCAAGTGATATTTGCTTGAGGGGTTGTGCAAGTTTGACTGGACTGGAGACTTGTGGCTCCTTGACTGTGCAAACAGATGCAGAAACTGAGGAGTTTGTAGCTGTTTCATTGCGATGCTCAAAAGTCTCAATGTTGTTGGCCTGATTCGAATCAACCGTCCACGCCACATTTGACTCATTCTCTTTACATTCGACATTGCTCGAATGTGAGCTGCCCGTGTCTGAGTATCCACCAGATGAAAAGGATGTTCGGAGGGGGGTCAATTGCGAGCGGGTGATTTCACCTATGAGGAGATCAGCCCGATTCTATCACTTTAATGGATTATTTCTCACCTAGTGGTCGACAGAAGAAGCGAAATACGGCATACGGCACATCCTTGGGATCCAGCAGCTGATACTTGTATCGTTTGGCTCGAATTTGAGGCTCGAGAAGACCGCTGTCAGCCAGACTAAGTAATGTCAGGTCACTGCGAAACGACAGTTCGTGACAAGAACATTCACTCACCGAAGACCATCACCGCGCTGACTTCCAACCGTGGCTGGATCCCTGTCAGGCTGCAGTCCTTTGACTCTCTGTCGGTGCTCGATTCGATGAACATTGATCTGGACACAGTCCTCCTTGAACGACTTGTCTTCTTGATATGGATGGTCAAGCTCGTCACCAAACTTCAAATATCGACTCCTAATTATATCTTGTCCCGTCACAAGGTGCTGGCCTTCGTATACCAAGGTGTACATCATCTTGCCGTGGTATCCCTGTTTTTCAGTGCAATCCCACGCAGTGACAGGGTTGTCGTTGACCGACAGCTTGAACAGGTAAGCAACACCTGGAGGATGGGGCCCTTCAACCGTGTACTCGAACCAGATCTGACATCCGGGGTTGATGGGAACATAACAGGATGAAATTGGGTAATGTGGTGAGGTCGAAGCAGGTGGTTGGTCTCCGGCGTGCTTGAGTTCTTGGTCAGCAGAGTCCAAATATTGAGGATCAGGAGGGCGAGAGTAGCGGAATTCTGGAAGTCTGCAGACATCAGATTGATTGATGATGCAGATCTCAACACCACGAGATTTGACCATTCTGCCAAGTTCTAGATACCAGTCCACAAGATGCAGGCAGATATGAGGGTTTCCAGGAACAGAAATGAGCTGTGTTGTGTTCGAAGGGGATAGGAATATGGAGGAAAGTGTTTCGCACAGCAAACTAAGCGCAGGTGCAGAAGGATTTGAGGCAAGATTTATTGTGGGAAGGAACGAACATGGAAAAAGGGAACAATGGTAGCAAGCACCTGCAGGTCGCTGTCTCTCTGTCGCCCACCACAGAGTGAGACACGTCGTGACCTGGACTTCACTAAAGACAAGACCAACGGGAAGGTTTTATGTATTTTCGCCTGATTGTATCTGTGCCTATGCACCGTTTAATCTGAAGTTTCTAACGTTGCCACTTCGACAAGCCATGGACCTCTCTGCTTCAAGGTCTTTGGAGTGCTTCGTTATTCCTGTGTCTGCTTAAAAGCCGTGGACTGGAGCTATGAACCGCCAAATTCCTGTCTGATCCCTTTAGACAGGATTCAGAATTTGTCCAGAAGTCATGCTTAAACAGCCGGTAGCCTGGTCGAGTTCCATCGGAATTAGATGCACAATCCAAATCTCCCATCAAGTTGAAACGGCGGTGCGATGGTCTACCGTCTCTTCTGAGACCTCGCATGGGGGGTGTGTTGGAATTCTGTGGATTCAATGGATGGAGTGAGTGCTGGCCTCCTGGGCTCTGCCTGCTATTCAATGCAGATCCCCAATCCTCGGGGGCATTTGCTTCATCTGAGGCAATTGAAGACCATGCAGACTCTGAGCGGCTTTCGGATATGAAGACAAAGTCTTCTTCGTCTTGAATGGAGGCGGCCGTCAGAGCTTCCTAGGTGCTCTGGTCACGGTTGGTCGGTGCATCCTCTGAATCTCCTACCGGCCAACCAAGTTCAATCTGGTCCTTCTCAGGTTCGACATAGATGAATTCGATCTCCTCGTAGTCCGGATTGTTGTTGAGGACATCGAACCAATCAAGCACGCTCCCCCAGCATTTAACCATGACATTCTCCGGATAAGAATCCTCCCCACTCGAATAGCAGTTGCAACCGTACACTTCTCTCCCGGGTACCGGGGCCTCGAGCTTCGAATCCGAGATGATATATGCTCGGCAGCGTTTGGAGATGAACTCGACAAAGTCAGGAGAAGCTCCTTGTTCAATCAAGTCTCGAACGTCATGTGCAGGGTTGAGGAAGCTGATGCCGTTGACGCGACCTGACCATTCTCTCCCTGGTCGACGATTAGACGTATCCAAAAGCATGTAGGACATGATAAACTCACAATTTTTCGAGAGATATTCCACAGCCGCCGCACCAGTGCACTCGCAGCCAATAATGTCCAACTTTGCGCCGCTCTTGAGCCGCGAGGGTAGAACGTGTTTGAAAAGATATTCAACGTGTTGGATGTAATCCTCGTTCCCCTCGATGACGTTCTTAGTCCTGTCTACTCTCATGGCCTCGTGCACCCCGCTCGGCCGGGGCAACTCTTGCCATTCGGTATCACTAACCGCTCGGCCGCCACCTCGATACCAGAGCAATTGACATGGGTTGGCGATGATGATGCCTGGAGTCGCTCGTTGTTGTTGATCATCTCGATTTGGGGCTGTAGTGAGGTTTTCGATGAATTCGACCATAGAACCATACTTGATGCCAGTCTCGCCGATGACGCGCCAAGCAAGCAAGCCTGGTTCATAGGCTCTCTCGCCAAAGTAGACAATGACACGGTCCTTGTTTGCAAGATCTTCCGAGACGAGGATTGGGACATGCTTGTCTGTCGCGGAGGCACCGAGAGGCAACCTGAGGGTCTCGAGATGGAGAAGATGCAGTCGATTCGTGACGATATTCCTGATTGCAGCTTTTGAGGGTCAGTGTCATGGTAGAGAGAGGTTCTTTGGCCGTGGAGACTCACAATTGTTAGCATTTTTATAAACTTGGTTCACACGCTCATTGACATTGATTTTGTGTTTGTATTTTGAATTGGGGTTTTTGATGGAGCGAATTTGGTCCTTGTCATTAACAAAGAAGCCTAACTTCTCCAAGTCGGGTGGAAATTGGGGATCTGGAGGAAGAGTGTGGGACAGACGATGAAACATGATGACGATGATGATATGAAGATGACGTTGATGTGGTATCTGTCACAATAAGATGTTGATGCTAACGACTGGTGAGATGTTGTGTTGTTCAAAGAAAAGGTGAGTCGAGTCGAAGTTCTTGCTTCGTGATGTGGCAGATCGAGTTGGAGTTGTGACAAAGAGTGAGAAAGAGTGCTCAGGCGGCAGGTGCGATGGGTTTTTTATGATTAACAGAAGGCGCGACTGAGAGTGATGGAATTGTTCAAATTGGAAAGAAGTGAAGTGAAATGCATCAGGCTGTCAAAGCAAGTAACCGTTATGGGTCGCCTGGAGTCATGGTCATGCCCAGTACCTAGATCATGCATGAATACATCTTATAGCAAATGCCATGCATGATATTCTTCTCATGTTCAGACCAATGACCGCCAAAGCCGATATCTTTACAAGACTGGTGGTAAAAACAATCATGTGTAGTCATTTGAGAGTTGTTCCAAGACCCCTCAAGGGTCACACCGCAGTCACTGATTGGCCGTTAGAGTCAGAAGTAATAACACATCAAGGTTGCGTTCATATCTGAGCATTCAACATCTCATTTATATAGGTACACTACCCTCATGCCGTTAAGCATATATTGCATCAAATACAGTAGCTGTCTTGGTGAGATCAGACTGACCACAGGTAATAGGCCCCTGGGCCGTCGCACACCAGCCTGCTTTCCCACACTGTTCTCGTCGTTGTGACACATCAATCAATGCCAGATTGCACAAAACCCAAACCCAAAGACCAAGCCCCATCTAAGTAATATGCAGTTATCCATCCATGATACTGTTACAGTATGGCCCGCGGGCCCCATCACTCGGCGTGGTCCACCGTAAGCCAGTCTCGTAATCAATCATGCAAAAGTCATAAAATGGGCCCTAATCTCACATTCCACCAAAATTCTTGCCATAAATGTCGTACACCTCCACTACTATAGCACCAGCTCGAGACGTTCCTCAAGTCCCTGCGCGTGCGACGCCAATACTGCTGCTTCGGCCAGAGTTGAAATTTGCGCCTCCTCCGATTGGGGCAAATCCTTTGGCGAGGTCAAAGCCTCCTTCACCATCGTCGTCATCGTCGTCTCCCTTGGGTGCTGGATTTGCATTGTTGACTGGCGGAGGAGGATTGACTCTGAAAGATGCAACTGGGTTGGTGGGAGCGGAAGCCTGGGTGACTGGAGAGAGTTTGGTTGCGAAACTGCTTCCTCGGCTTCGATTGAATCGATGCTCGTCGCTGCCGACACCGTTCTCCTTGGCGGGCGCCAATGGTGTGGCCTCCTTTCTGGCGCTCGAGCTTGATGTCGGCACCGCCTGGCTGCTTCGAGACGGCTTGCTCGGACTGCCCAACCCAGAGTCCAGCGGAGGAGGGCTCGAGCTCATGACATGACGTTCAATACCATTGGAACGTCGCTCGTCGTCCTTGACTGGCGAAATGTCTGGCAGCTGGTGACCCGGTGTCGTTCCCATCAAGCCTTTCCAGAACAGACCAGGCCCAGCGGGCGAGGACTCGGGCATAAACTTGCTGGGGGCAACCAGGGTGCTTGGTGGGGCCAGGCGTGGGTTCTGTCGCAGAGGAGCCGGGGTGACGATGCTATGCTGGGAGAGATGAAACGGTGTGTCCAGGTAAGAGGAAGACAATGTTGGGTTCGTGGGCGATCGATGCGGAGGAGGCACGGACGATGGCAAAGTATAGGCGGGTACATTGGAAGATCGAGGGGTGGGCCGGCCGAGGCCATGCGTCAATGGGGAATCATCAAGCTCTCCGTCGGGCAAGGTGTTCAAGGTATCTGCTCTTCTCCGCTGAGGAGTAATGGCTTCTTGGGGATGCTGGAATGGTGGAGCCAGAGTTGGTCCTGGAGGAAGACCAGGAACGAGGGAAGGGAATGGAGCATTGGGCTGACGTGGCGGATACCCAGGGCCGACATCTTTGGCCGAGAAGGAGCTGACCATAGAAGTGTCGTACCCAAGATTTTGCCCATTAGGTCCGCGAAAATTGGGATTGACATCCTTGGTCGAAGCAGGAGACGAGGGTGCGGAACCACCGCCTCGACGGGCTTGTTTCTTCCAGTATTCCTGGCGGAATTCGGGCGCAATCTGCCATTTCATGCCTTTGCCCGGTTCGTCGGTTCGTCGTGGCACCTTTTGGAAAGCCTTGTTCAAGGAGAGATTGTGTCGAATGGAGTTCTGTACACATATCAGTATCAGGCCACGCAAGCGAACGAGTGCAGACAAACCTGCCAACCACTGTTGGAATGTCTGTAAAACGCATATTTGTCGGCAATAAACGAGTAAATGTTACTCAAAGTCAACTTTTCCTCCTCGCTGGCAAAGATGGCCTGGGCGATCATGGTGGCGTAGCTGTACGGCGGCTTCAAATCTTTGGCCGAGTCGCGGCTGTAGTCAATCTCCTGAGTGCTTTCCATCATCATTCCTCGTCCATACATTGGAGACATGGGCATCTTGCTGTCGAACACGCCTCGTTGATTCTTGCCTCCGTCAACTTGAGATGGTGGTGTGGCATCGCGTCTGAAGTCGGGGGGCGCAGGGGCCAAAGAAGGGAATGCTTGGGTAGGAGGTTGCAGTGAAGGTTCAATCTTTGGAGCAGGATGGGCGTGGGTAGCGGGTACTTCTTCTCCCGCGGCCAACGCTTTTGCACGATCGATAAAGTAGGGGTCAATCTGCACCTTGTCACCGGGAGTGACAAACATCATCTGAGTGCCGGCGATTTCGAGAATATCGCCAGACTTGATATGCGCCCGCATCTCTTTCTTTACCAAGACATTGTTGAGTCGAATGCCATTACGGCCGTTGACTCGTACGTGCCAGCCACCTTCATCAGCAGGGTATTCTGCGTCATAAAAGATGGAGGCGTGATGGCGAGAGACAATCTTGCTCGGGCCAAGGTCTATATGAACTGGCAACGCGTCTTTGACATCGGCGACCGGACTGGAGGCGCCATTGATGGGCGGGCGATCGTCAGGAGGTCTTCCAAAGTTGATGGCCTGGTCTCGCACAAAATAGGTCCAATCGCGACCGGCGATTTTGGCATATGCAGAGACTTTCTGCGGACTGTTATTTTGTTCCTTGTCGTTTGAATATTGGACGCTGGCGACGGTTGCGTCTTTGGGCACGGAGAGGTAGGAGACTACCGAGTCGATCAAATCCGCTTGAGAGATTTCTTCTGTTTCATCGTCCGTGTCGGGGTTTGAGATTTGGTCACGGTCAGGTGAGGTAGAAAGTCGTCTGGGGGCAGCGCGGGTTCCGTTGACCTAGATGGTAGAGGATGGTTAATCAAGGTGAACTGAGTCAAAGGGAGATTTGGAAGATGGAGCAAGGTACCTTGCGCTTCTTGGATGAAGGTCGTGATGGTGAAGAATCTGGAAGGTCTGGCTCAGAAGACTCGAGCAGGTCCTGAGGCTTGCGACGAGCTTTGCGCTTCGATGGCGGCATGCTGTGAGACTGCCTGAAGATCGGGAGGGAAGAATGTCAAAGGTAGAGAGATAGGGCAGTCGTGCAAGGAGGAAAAACAAGGGAAAGGACAGTTATGGGGAAGAAGGTGGTGGTGATTGACAGATGGTGGTCCGTGTTGGACGGGCGCAGGCAAGGATAGGCTCTGGCGGATTTGAGGTTGCGAGATGGCGTAAAGATGGATATTTGCGACGTCAATGTTTTGGTTCTTGCGCAAGGATGTTATTGGCGATGGAAATAGTCAAAGATGGCAATTCCATGAGTACTCGAGGCCGTGACAGCAACTGGGATGAGGCAGATGAAGCAGATGTGGTATGAGTGGTGGAGGTGAAGCGAATGGCGTGGGCAGAGTGAGTTGTATACGTGGTTGTTTGTTGCCAGTGAAAGATAATAGGTGCGTGAGGGTCAGAATTGTTTGCAGAGACCGAAAGCGGGTGAAGGTTATACTCGAACGAGGCAGTGGGAATGGTGGTGGAACATGGGATTGTGCAGGACGTTGGAAGGTGTTGAGAGGTGTTGAGAGGTTGTTGTTTGGTGTCGTGTGGGAGGAGATGGATGAAGGCGAGGAGGGATTAGGGATGTTGAGTGACGGAAGCAATCAAGCGATGGTAGAGGATGGAATGGACTGGACGGATCAAGTGGTCGAAGTCATGGAACAAATAATGAAGTCAGAAAAGCCCAATCACTACAAGAACTACTAGGTACGAGTTTTAAGCTAACGACTAGAATGAGTGACGAAGGCGAAGAATAGAGCGTTTGTCAGTCAATGAGATTTAAACTCAGTAAGGCAAAGTGCCTGCAAGTGTTGACTTTTGCTCGATTTCTTCTCGCGTAATTGCGAATTGCACGCACACAGAGACGCGTCGGTGGAGGAGAATTAGTCGAGTTGGACGCCTAGGCTGGCCACTGGACCAACGAACTGCCACCCTACCAACCCTACCAACCTGGCCAGGATTTGGGGGGAACTGGGGAGGAAACACAAGTACTAGGCCGAGAGGGGCTCTTCATTGGGCTTGATCAACGGCTGAGGGGCTTCAGGCCATGGGATGACCTACCCTGGAACAAGTCATTGACAGAGCCAAAGTCATGGTCCACAGGCATGAATTACAGGTACGGGATAGGTAGGTAGGTACCTTACTTTTACAGTAACCACTACAGGTGGTTGGTAATAGGTAGCGTGGTACTTGGTGTGACTCAATGCCGACTCACGGGCCATCGATTCATCTCTCGACCTACTCCGTACAAGATCAGGATATGTCTTTGTCCTTTGACTCGATAGCCGGAGCCTGTGCGTCAGCCGAGCTGAAAAAGTGAAGGATGCGGTACAATACAGGTACCTATCCATATTATATGTAAAATTTAGCTCAAGAAAGAAACCTCCTTCGATCATGTAATGTATCTGTCAATCAAGACAGGTTGCACGGATAGGTATGCCACCCTGTCGTGCCTGTACGGTGGCACCTACATAGAATTGCCTGATCCTTCTTTGGAAACCTCCAAGGTAAACAAGACATGCAAGGCCGTGGTGAAACATGTCGTGGCCTGGCTGACACGGGCAGCAGAATTCAAGAGTCCACTTCAAAATGGGCGAGTGGGCACCCGGAAGTTCTCCCATTTCTGGCACTAAGTAGGTAGTAGAAGTCCAGTAGTTCTTCCACATGGCTACTGGTACTGTCGTAGTCTCCAACTGAAAGGACCAACCTAAACCGCCTTCTACACCACCATCTGGTAGTCCTACGCACAGAGAATTGCACAATTGGTATCGATCTGTCCCTTTTATTTTGTTTGGTGACGTTGCAGCACGCCTTGGTAAACAAACGGAGGATGCCGTGGCACTCACACTCGCACTGTAGGTGTACATGTGGATGGATGGCCGGACCCTCCAATATTACAAATTGTAGACTAAGATACCTACCCAGGTAGATCTCCTGGTAACACGACATTGGTATTGATGGTTCGCTTGTCCATTAGAAGACCACTTTTCCATGAACTTACAATTAAGTCTCTTTAACTGGTTCTTGCCTGTCAGTATCTACGGAGTACGCCTTTCTTCCAACTTGACTCCCGCGCCTCCCGTGCTCGTGGACAATACGGAAATAAGCGTACGGAGTAGGCGTCCGTATCAGGAGCCTCGCTTAATTCATAAGGCCGAAGCGATTGGCTTCCAGGGGCGCTCGGGTGGGCCAAGGACCCCCTCGGCCCTGAAGCACATGGAGCCAGGCTTCCAGTCCAGACTCCCACGCCTTTCTCGGAGATCTTGGTTTCGTACTTTTCGGATCTATCATCTCTCGCCACCATACTGGATTCTCTCCTGACAATCCAATCCAGCCCCATTGTTCTTTTCCCCCCTTTCATTCTAGCCAACCAAGTGCCACGGATTCCGACGATTCTCCATGTCAATAAACAATGCATGACGTCGAGTTGCAGTTCATTTTTGCCAAGGATATCCATCCTTACCCATCAACTCATCCCCGTATTTCCGCCATTTCTACTACTGGTCTCGTGACTTGGAACGTGAAACCAAAAAGGTCATATAATATGATACAAGAAATATACATCTCCACGTGTTACTATGTCTCGCCTTGAAGAAGTCTCTCTCCAGGTTCATACTAAATACACATAGCTATGCAGGTTGTACGGCGTTGTAATATGTTCAAGCTGCATTATAAACCGAAACGCCTCGCTCAAAGAAAATGCAAGTCAACCACCACCGTGTACGTCAAGGACACCGCCAGAATCGAGGGGGTCACTTGGTATGCGTCGTAAATCAGCCTTCGACCAAGTCCACGCCATCAATGCCGTAACCAAAATCAATAATCACCACCCTTCCGTCCTGGCTGGTGCACACAATCTTGCGATAATTGCTTTTGGCCGCGAGAATCCAGCTCGACGTCCATCCCTCAAAGTTGATCTGCAAGCCGCCATCCTCGTCGGATAAGCCCTGGGTGGCATTCCACACCTTGATCGAGTGATCGTAGCTGCCGCTGATGATGCGTGAGTTGGCCGTGTCCAAGTGAAGCGACCGTACCAGGTCACGGTGCCCTTTGAGCTCTCGGATCCGGCCGCCCGTCACAGTGTCGTATTCATAGATGACCTGATCGTTTCCGCCCGCGAAGATTGTCCTTCCGTTTTCCGAAAACTCGACACAGGCCAGACCACGGTCCTTGGACTGGAATTCTTTGATACAAACGCCATCTTCCAATCGCCACAGCTTGGACATGCCATCGCCACTAGCGCTGGCCAGCAAGTTTCCGCGAACCTGAACGGCGTTGACAGGGCCTCGATGTCCCGAGAGAGTCTGGAGTAGTCGCCCAGTACTTCGGTCCCAAACCTTGATCGTGGTGTCCTTGGAACAAGTCACAATTCGATGTTTGTCGATACAAACGTCCAAGACTCCAGCATGGTGGCCGATCAAGCGGAACATGGGCTGGTAATTGTCCTTGATCGACCAGACCAGGCAGGAAAAGTCTGAAGACCCCGTCACTAGAATTTCATCGTCATACTGCAGACACAGCACCGAGGCTTGGTGCCATAAGTTGATCTCGGTTGCAGGTGGGTCCGGGGAAGACACATCGGCCTTGAAAAAGGGGAGTACTCCCTGAGGCTCCACCGGGGGCGGGACTAGCTTTTGTCTTTCTCTCGGATTATTTGGCGGGCCCAGTTTTCGAATACATTGATATGTATGTGCGTCCCAAATTCGGATGGTGTTGTCCCTCGACCCTGTAATGATCTTGTGCTCGTCGAATTGGGCACAGTAGACACTGTCCTTGTGACCGTTTAGGTAGATGGCGGCAGCTTCACCATTCCTCCATCGCTTGTCGATCAAGGTTCGCACCTGGAACAGCTTGCGGAAGTCTTGTCCGGGTTTGTTCTTACCGAGACCCGCGGTATGTGACGAGAGCGTAGGTGCCTGGGATCCGTATTCTTGATAGAAGACCCGCTTCCATGCGGCTTGTGATTGAGAGAGTTCGTTCCATTTGCGAGACACCAAAGAGGCTTGCATCAAGGACTTGATGTCCAAGAAGGAAAGAATGTGCTCGAGCAATTCAGTCGCGAGTAGGGTGGTTGGATCTCGGCACAAGACATGAGTGTTTGCCGGAGAAGATTCACGGCTGGGGCGTGTATCTAGCACGATGCCGATGCCGCTCTCCGCGTCCTGCTCCACTTTGCTTTGGTCAACTTCCCGGGGCTCGTACGGGGGAAGTGGTGGTGTCCGCGAAGCATGGAAAAGCTCGTTTTGTGCAGCCGCGGCGGCCCTGGCGCCAGCGCCACCAAAGACCAGGTCAGAGAGCACTGGCTGTCCACGGTTGCGAGAACTTCGAAAAAGGGGATCGGTCGTGTCAATGGTTGGCTCCCTAAAGGTCTCCATCTGAAGCAACGGCAAAGAAGGTCTGCGTCTAGAAGGCAGGGACGAGAGTAGGCGACCTCGCGACTTTGGTGGGGCCATAACGGTATCGGAGAAATCTAACACGTCCTTAGGCGAGGGGCGAGTAGGGCCTTGGGGTCGTCTGTCGAGCAAGTCGTCCTTTTGCTTGCTAGTCTTGCTCTTGACTGTCAAGGACATCCTCCGAGTCAGAGACTTGAGTTCTGACATGCCGTGCTTGAATGATTGGGTCAAGGTGGAATAGCGCCGCTGATGCAGCGCAGGCGGAGGGGTTGAGTCGGAAGAGAAATCGGCAAAAGGGTCTGTAAAGTGATCGTTGGAATGTGGTTGGACGATATTTCCCTGGGGAAGAGAAAATCTCTGCCAGTCGAGCAAGTCGCAGGAGTTTGAGCTGGGAATGAAAGACATGCGAGTGACGGGTCGGGCAAGAGTAACGTAGTTGTCAGTCATATTGTCAAAGTCATAAGCCGTTCGGGGGCGCTCTCGAACGAGGACTGAAGTCCGACGTCGAGGGACAACGGTAGGTGGCTCATTGTGTGACATGGTGGGCGCAATATTGGGAAGAGAGTGGTGAATGTACCGGTGGACCGTCAAGAAGATGGATTTCAGTTCGACATAGAATCGAATTGCAAACAAAGGAGACGGGATTGCGAGGTCCCGGGGGGTGCAATCGTGGTGGAGGCAGAGAGTAGCGGTGTAACACAGGTGTGCGCAGGAGGCCCGGTGAGGCAAGACAAAAGTTGCAGATCAAGAAAACGATGGTGTATCTCTGAGCGGCAACAGCACGAGCCCAGAGCGTCGATGGGACAAAGGTCAGACGTCGAGATTGAGGGTAGAGGTCGGTAAAGGATGGAGAGGATGGAATGGTGGAGGTGAGGCAAACCAGAAAATTTGTTGATGCAGACAGAGTTTCTGCTTGTTTTGGTGGCGTGGGTGGACCAGAAAAAAGGTGGAGTGGAGATGGAGACTGGCCAGGTGCGGGAGCGGGTGCATATGACAGGCATGGATGGGGCGTAGATGGGCCGTGGATGGGTCATGAAGGGGTCCAACTCGCGCCTGGAGGAGTTGAGTTAATGCCTAGAAGTTACGACTAAGTACGGAGTAGTGGCCGAACGGGTGTTGCTTAGGCTCGAGTAGCTTCACAGCATTGTGGCTACATGATGCCAATAATGAATCCCCGTCTGCTCCGTACGCAAAAGCAATTAAGCAGTGGTTGGAGGGTGCATACGCCTATCAGGTCAAATTCCAGGCCATGAGTTCATCACAACAGAATCCAACTCATAATGAAGTGAAGCTGCAGCTTCTTTCGTCCTCACAACTCAGTCATACTAAGTAGTCTTAGGAGTAGCAAACATGTCTCGCTCCAACTTGTGGTGAGACTGAAAGCTCCTTGTAGCGTTGACCATTGTCTTGGTTGAATGTTCCAAGACAACAGCAATAACTGACAGTGGTAAGCTCCAGGCATTGTGCGTTGCCTAGGTGCCCGTCTTCGGCTAGGCGATCCTTGGAGGTCCCCCATGGAGGACAAGTTGCAAGGGCACAAGGGCTACCCAGAAACTACCTATGTACGCAGTACGTCTCTCAACATCAAGTGCCATCCAAGTTTTGTTAATTATAGAATGGCTAGATTCTACCTCCTGGAGTATTCATGCATCATCCCTGAATTTACGCATACCTTGACTCTGACACATTCTTCAATGTTTGAATGTGGCGTCGGAGCTTAGTTCATCTTGAATCTCTCGATCTCAACTGCGGGTTGATCCGGTGTTTCATGCACCATGCAAGGTCCAAGAATGGCAAAGCAACGGGCGAGGAGCCACTGGAAGATGTCCCTCCCAGGCTACTCGTAAGCACCCTGGAGTAGGTGACTTGGGTGACCCGCGAACTGGATTCGTCGGGCGCCTCAGGCGTCATCTGCTCCCTGTTTCCTTCTATCAAGCTTGATCCCCGTCAATCCCCATCAACTTCAAGGATTGTGTCTGTTCATGTCATCCTATCATCCTGGTCATTTTCCTCTGTTTCTTACTTTATTCGATCCTTCTGTGCCACTGTGCTTACTGCACGCATACCACGACTCGGAATTCTTGTTCCCAACATCTGTGATTATTCCGGCCAAGGAGGATTGCATTGCATCGAGTGATCCACACTGAACCACAGAACCACAGAACCACAGAACGACTCGCTCCGCGTCATGCCTCCCAAAATCCCTTTCCCCTACATTCTGTTCTTTCTCTGGATCGAGCCCGCCTCGACTCTGGTCGGCGCCTTTTACGCGTGGTTCAAACCATCCACCTACCTCGAGCTGCAGCATGCTGCATCTGCGCCCTCCATCTTAGGTCTGCCACTGGGGACCAACGTGGTCCTGCGTCAACTGGGCAATCTCTACCTTGCCTTTGCCTTTAATGAAGCGCTTGTTCTTCGAGCCACCAATGACCTCAACGTCTGGCGGGTCTTGTTGCTCGGACTCCTGATTGCCGACTTTGGCCATCTATACAGTTGCCTCCCTCTTGGTGTCACCGCCTATTACGACATCTACAATTGGAATGGAATTGACTATGGGAATTTCCTTTTTGTCTATGTTGGTGCCTTGACTAGAATCTGTTTCTTGTCTGGTGTGGGATTCTCTTCCTCTGCCAAGAAGCCAAAGTCAAAGGCCAAAAAGACGGTTCGAATCCAAGATGTCAGCGATAACAATGATATCAACACGACTGAACCGCTCTTTACTCCCACTCAGTTGAGCAAATCTCCAGCTCAAAGCACCAGAAGGAGAAAGAATAAAAAGTGAGACTGAGGGTTTGGTGCGATTCGCCGCGCCACCTCGAGACTGATTGATGTGACTTTATCTCCACATTTCCACCTGTCTTTTTGCGATCTAACTTACAACATTGCCGTCTGGAATCATGGGTCATATTTGCTTGTTCAAGTGAATTCAACAATCAAGGCTACATACCATCCGAACCATCGAGTTTCCAGTCGCTGTTACACGCGCCGAGCCAATCTCGGACGGACCAATTTGGGTGAGATCAAGCAACGCAGCTTTCCGCAAGTCACGGCCTGAAAAGTTCATATTCATCACCACTCCTGCCTTTCATTGACCCTTTCGCTCTCGTTTCCAATCGTAAATCAACCTGCTGCTGCGATAGCCACCACTGCCAACCTCTTGCCGCCCGACTTATCCTCAGGGATGTCCCAGAACCCAGTGGTCTGGCCAGCGATCTCTGCGTCGTTGTGCTTGCCATGACAGACACAGTTCCTGACGCTATCATACAGACCAGCTAGCTCCTCGTCCTTTTCGCCGCCAATCAATTCTCTCACATCGACGTCCACGGGCAGTTGTGGCGGCGAGACAGGTTCGTCTTCGTCTTCTGAAGACGATGACCCTTCAGAGTTGGACCGGATCATGCGTGGAGGTTGGGCCGAGGCCGACGCGAAGCGTTGAAGTGACAATCCTGAATCTTGATCAAGGTCTGGGTCTTGGTCGAGTTCATCGTCGGCCAGTTCGAGCGCCGCGTCTTCGTCGTCCGAATAGGCGTCGTGCAAGAGATGCTTGGATCTTCCGTGTGATGCTGCTGTCGTCGAAGAATTAGCGGCGATGGCTGGGATGTATGAATTTGGTTCATCGTAATCGTCAGATGAAGTGTCGTCCGAGTCATCGCTCTCAATGTACTCGTGTCTCGGCGCTGCGGGCGGTGGGGGTGAGCGTCGGCGTGTCGGCGAGTTGCTGCCGCTTGTGGAAGTCAGTTGAGACGGCCGCGCGTTGTTGTCGTGGAAGCTGATCCTCCGACCACTGGGGTTGGGTTCGGGTTCTACAGGTGTCGGCTTGGTTTCTGGGGCCGCCGGTTTCGGTGCTGTGCAGTCGTAGTGTGGATTGCCATCTTCACTAGGGGCTTTGCCTTCGATGAAATTGGATTTGGCGGAACGGTTCTCGATCTCGACTATGCGGAGCATGAGATTGTCGAGAGTAAAAGCGTGTCCCAGCACAAATCGCAGGTCGCGATCCCCACGCTTGGCAGAGAGATGTAATTTACACTGCGCCGTGTGTGCGAGACTGTAGGTGGATGAGGTGTTCAAGGGGCGAAGTTTGGACATTGTTTCGAGTGTCTCGTTTTGTAAATGTTAGGATTTGCCGCGAGTCTGGGCTCGCACGTTGAATGGTGCCACCAGAAAACGCGAAGCGCAATGGGAATGGGTTCAGTGTAGTTCGATGTGATGGATGGCGCTTTTGAGGTAATCGTGGAGGAATGTGGTCTCCGAGATAAGAGTCAGTAGATTAAAGATGATATTGACGTCAATTCAGATCCAAGTGTTGTTGTTCAACACCTGTCGATGATCTTGCGTTGGAGGCGGGGAGAGAAGAGAAAGCTATTTGGTTCAGTAATCAGCTGACCAGGGTTGATGTCGATGGCGATAGCGATAGCTTCAAGTGTCTCTGATATCGTCCAAGACGTCGATCTGGAAAGCTCAAGATAGTGAATGAGGACAAGGTGTCAAGTATCAAGATGAAAGATGAAAGATAGAAAAGAGTTGCCTTATCGTCTACAATCACAACGTTCTCACCTGTTGATGATCGCGTGCTGCTGAATGATCGAACGTCCGCGGTTACGAAGCGTTGAACTTCCATTAATTGTCGTTGCGGTTGGTTGTTCAGGCTGACAAATGGGATGAAAAGCTGACCAATTACCCGTCGTCAAATCCCGGCGCTTGTCCTATTCCGGAAATATTCAACCTTCTGCAGATTCCAGTAGAAACTCAGAGTGTTGCCTTGAAGAGCAACACGCACCGCATGCGACAACAAACATACGCGATCAACATGTGCGAGGCCATGGTTCGCTGATGTTGGATCACTCTAGCCTCGGCAATTCAAATCTAGAGGAGTTGAGAATGTTTGATATTATGTTAGCTCTTTATACATCTCCCGCTCTTGGTCCTTTGCTCCATTTAATGGGCACGAAAATACACCTCTTGTCTCCCACTTCTGGCCGGAGACCATCACAGTTCTGTTCAAGACATTGCCCATCAACCGACGCCTGCCCAGCAGAACCATGCTCTGTTGACCCGCCAGGCTGTGCTTTTTGTGTTGTACAAAATGTTCAAAGTTGGATGACTCGACCCCCAGATTCAGACGCTCGTTCCAACATGACAAGATCATCCTCGCCTTCGTCAATATAAGACATGGTAGTGTGCCTCAGATCCAAATCAGCACGTAGATCGCTTCCCGGCTTATTCGCTCAGTGGCTTAGGCTGCCGCCTTTCTTGACCCACGTGCTTTGGGGTTCAAAGACTTTTTCTTTTTGCTCGCAGAGCTCTTGCCGAGGTCTGCTCCTTCAATATATCTCACCAGCTCATCGATGCTTCTTGATTCTAGGGCCGGGTCGCCCGTGCCTGTGCGCAGGCTGGGCTCTGACGTAGCTGTCCTGCCCGACAAATTTGGTGCCGCAGTGGTTGCATTCTGAGGCTGCAACCTGGTCCCCATCCCACCCATACGAGGTAGCTGCCGTAAGCCTCCTATACGTCGAGTTTGCAACAGTTTCGCCTGCTTCGCAATTGACACAGCGTTCTGTGTCAACTGCTCCAGCCAGCTTTCCGCCTCCTTGGTGTTGCGGTCCGTGGGGCCCAGCTCCGCCAGGAAGATGCTATACGCATCACGCATTTTGTTGACGGCGCCTTTGGCATCTCCGTCGAGAGCCAGTGCTTGAGCTAGTTGGAAGAGAATCGTGGCGGCGTTGATGGATTGTGGCCCAAACAGCTCTTCGCAGACCTTGTAGCACGCTTCGAACCATTTGCGTGACTCTGGGTACTCTTTCAATGACTGCAACATGACGGCGGCGTTGTTCATGGTCGTAATCGAGTCGGGATGGCTGGGGCCGAAAATGATCTTCCACACCTCGAGTGCATGTCGCACATACTTCAAGGCTTGTCTGGTGTTGCCGACATGGTGCTCAAAGAGTGACAAATTCAGATAAGCCAAAATAGCATCATGCGAGTCGACGCCCAACGTTCTTTCCGTCACAATGACCGCTTTTCGTGCCAGTTCCACTGCGGCTTCCTTCTCATCCGTCTGGTAGTAGATAGTGGACAGGGAGTGGTACATCTTAGCCACCTCGGGGTGCAGGATGCCGTAGATCTGTTCGTGGAGGGACAAGCTCTCCAACACGAGTTCTTGTCCAAGCTGTTTTTGTCCCTGCGCGAGCGAGATCTTGCCTGCCTCGAGAGCTTCTTCGGCCAGTGCACTGCGAGGCGCAGCATCCTTGACAATCGGAGCAATGTTGACGATATCTCCTGGTGTAAAAGTCGTGCTGGGTTTAGCAGGAACCTTCTTGGCCAATGACTGATCGACGCCCTTCTTTTTCTTCTTCTTACTGCTCTCGTCGTTTGAACCTCCGTTGTTCGACTGTGTATCACTGCTGCTTCTTGCAGGCGAGAGATCGACAGCAAGGTGTGAGCCCGTCTTGAAGGTGTAATCTCTGGCAACAAGCTGCAGACCAAGTTTAAGGGCAATTTCACGGAGCAGAGGAAGGGGTTGCACAGTCGTCTGCCAATCACTCGGGAGTTGGTACCGATATCGGACGAGCACCTGTTTCTCTATGGCAGCTTTGAGACTCGTAGGGTTCACCTTCTCAAACGAGAAATCCCCATCGGGGTAGAGCGAACGAAGCTCCTCTTCGATTTCCGGTCGTGGCTTCGAGTTGTACTCCACTCCAAGCAGGCAATTGAGAAGATGTGCAAGGGCCGAAGCAGCGAAGACGGCGGGTAGATGGCGGAGGTGGCCGTTTGCAATGTGCTTGAATGCACGGGCAACCATTTCTTGCAGGACCACCCCGGAGAAGGCCTGGAGACGATGACCTTTGTCCAAAGAGGCTTGTGCAAGACGACCCAAGTATCGGATGTTGATGCCGCGTTTGTGCACAAGTTGACACAACGACTGTCCGTCCATGGGAAAACCAACATCACCATCGTGCAGGTCGGTGATCAGATCAGGTATGACTTTGACACGCAAAAAGTCGCAAACGGCACGGACATCTTTCTCATCGTTGGCAAGATCCTCCTTCTCCTCGTCCGTCTGCGGAATTTGCCCGCTGAATGAATCAGTGTTGAGTGCCAGTGTGAAATTGGAGATGTCGACCCTTTCCTGATCGAGGGCTGCTGCTTTCTTCTGCTCATCGCCTTCGGTCTTGTCGAGAGAATCGTTGGCCTCTTCCTGGGTGTCTGCCTTGGCGTGTTCGATGGCAGCGTTCTCGGTGCCCTGGCCGTTGGCTTTATTGGCCCGTCGTTTCTCGACTTCTGCGCGGACGTACTCCTGCATTTTGGTGCGCCAGTATGCTTCGACCAACTCGATTCTGAGAACGGACATGCGGTGGGGATACTTTTCACGGCCGTCCGCCTCCACCTCTTCCGACCAAGCGACGTCGAGAGGAGTGATACGATAGAGGTCCAGAACATACTTGCGGCCGTCGGTGCCAAGCAATCCCTTGGTTTCGACACTACCCTCCAGGTCATGGCGTTTGCCATCCTTGTCCCAGACGGCGTGCTTTTTGATGTGGAGTGCCTTGGACAGCTTCTCAAAAACGGGGACAAAGGCCTGGTTCTCGGTCACAATGTCTCTTCCCTCGACACCGCCATAGTCGATTTGATGTTCGCCTGGTTCCCGTTGCTTGAAGATGCCAGGCACAATGCTCTGGCCCACGATGCGTTTGCCGAGATAATCTACGACCACCGTGCCTGGAGTGAAGAGGCCGTTGATGTCCAACTGGTTGACAGCTTTGACACCGGCAACATCCTTGCCAACAGCGACTCTTGCCGCTTCATCACCGCCTTCGCTGGCAAAAGTCTGAACACCATCGGCACCAAAGGAGTAAAAGATGTTGTTGTAAATGAAGATCTGAGCATCGCGGCCTTCGGTGGGGTTCAAAGGTGCTACTTCGCCTCTTGCCACCAGAACAGCACCACGTGCAGCGGCGTCGTTGTAGTCGGCAAAGAGTTTGGAAGTAAGTCGTTCCCGGAACACCCGATCCTGGAGCAAGTCTCGCGGCAGCTCTCGGGTGGTTTGAAACTCTTCGTTCCAGTCTCGAAGATTTTCGGCGCCGTCCGCCCCACCGATCAAGTAGGCTTCCTGGGGTCGAGTTGGGTCGGACTGGTGCTGGCTGGTTTGAATGGCGGACTGGGGCACCAGCCACGGGTTCGCGGGGATGGCATTTTGGAAGGGAAAGGTTGTGAGGAGATCTTTTTGACCATTGGCTTTTTGAAGGTCGACAAAGGTTTCGCTGAAAGAAGGTGAAAGGATGGAGATCAAAGAGAGGAGGGAGTGGGCGTGGTGATTCTTGGGTGCAGGCCTGGGAAAGGGATCAAACTTGTTGCTAGAAGACTTGTTTACATAGAAACCGGAAACAGCGGCGGTGACATGGAACTGCTCTCCCTCATTTGTGGTGAGCTGAAGATAGAGGAGATGGCCGCGTTGGCGCAAGTGGTACGGTGGAGGATTCCATTGAGAAACAGACAGAGATTTGATGGTTTTGGGGAGATTGTGTGGCTGCGATGACAGGATGGCATCGAGTGAAGGAGGGGCTTGGACGTCGTATCTCGCGAGAGGATTGTCGTCAGACTTGGGCGCGGGGGCTAGGACGGAGCCAAACTTTTCATCGTGAAGAGAAAGGCCAGCGGCAAGGCCATGGAGCTGGTCGGAACGGTCGCCGGTGGCACCGATGAGCTCTCGGATCCTCACCACATGCAATCTTGCTTCTTTCTCAGTGTATGGGTCTTCGACGAGGACGAGTTCGTCGTCGGCCTTGAGATCTTTGACTTCGGAGAGCTCGACAAAATCGTTTATCCTCTGGTCGTTGTGCTCGAGGTGGAAACAAGTATACTGAAAGGTATCGGGAGTCTCGACTATGGACTGTCGTACATCCTGGACCTGCTCCTGGCTCGTGACCGTTATTTGCATGGAATAAGGGTGGTGAGGCAGCTTGACGGAGACCTGGAACAGTCCTCCAGCGTTGTCATCGTGATTGTGCTCATGATTGTGGGAATGCTCGTGTGGGTGACCGTTGGTCCCGTTGGTACCGTTGGGTAGGTCTGGGCCCGACTCTTGGGCAGTGACGTCTGTCGTTGAGTTAGATCTTGTGATATTTGAGTGTGTCAGAGAATGAGTTACCAGCTGGGGCAGTCACAACACCAGTGGAGTCCGCCATTGAGAAAGTAGTCAAGCCCAGGACCAGTTGTTCTAAAATTCACTATGCGAGTGACAGCAGTGGGAAAAGGAGTGACCGAGGAATGGGAGATAATGTACAAAGTTAGAAGAGGTCCCAAGTACTATACAGTGTTTGAAGGAACAAGAAAGAAGGTTGAAAACCAGACACAAGATGCAAGACGCAGGAAGATTGAATCGAGACAGAATCGGATTTCGACGTGGACTGGAGGTGAGCATGGAGAAGGAATTATTTTCTGGAGCTGGGTCTGGATGGGGTTTAGCTTCATGATATTAGTGATGCTAGTGATGCTAGTGGGAGGTGAGAGCGGGTCTAGAGCGGCGTGCTCAGTGTAGAGGAAGTGTTTTAGACGAGAATTGAGGGCGCTAGTCGAGTCAAGACTCGAGGACACAAGGAAGGACCCGTTGTGCCGACCAAATACTAGGCAGTTGATTGGCGGATGGTGGGCGGATGGGCGGGCACTCGTCAACGACTTTCTCCAAATCTACTTTATGGACGAGTGTAACAAGAGAATTTCACGGAGCAAAAAGTGTGAAGCCCTGGCAGATTTCCAAACCCAAGCCAGCCGGGAACTGGGGCATCTGCCGGCAAAGGCTCCGGCCAAGGCCTAGACTGAAACTCCTCCCGAATACGCCCCGAAATAGAGATGAAAATAAATTATTTCCCTCATCATACATCAGTTTGATGAGATTTGTAGCTGTCCAGCGGTGGTCGTTGACGGTGGTATGGGTCACGTGGCGATATCATTCCTCTTCAATGACGGGTGTCATCCTCGGGAGTCTGGGGTAAGATGTTCAGTTTCCCACGTTGCATGCATTCATGGACGCCTCTTGATTGACATGCGTGAATAAGGTATGAATTGGGGGGATAATGATTTTCATTGAAAAAGCACTGGACTTTGGGTCCAGCAGTGCCCGGAAATTATTTCTTCTAGCCTAATCGCAGATTCCAGAGGCTCTGCGCATGCATGGAAGCCCACGTGTCCAGTCGCTCCCACGTGATTTCCACTCTCCTCGGCAGATACATACCTAGGTAGGTATGTACCTTTTAGGTACTAGCTCCAGGCATTTGCACCAGCGAAGTACCTAATAGGTCAGACTAGGGGCCCTCAGGCTTCATTAAGTAGAGACTTGGGGCCGAGGGGCGCCCATGACGGGCTAACAATACCTAAACTGATAAAGTTACTGGTCGTCTGTAGGTGCAGAGATGCCCCCAAACGCCCTTCCAAATCTTATTCAATGCTTGGCCACTTGGCTCCAGTGGCTCATCCTTCACCTCATCCCTTTCCTTGCACAATGTCAACGACGACAGTCAGATCATCAGAGCTTCTTTCGCGTCACGATATTCTCTAACGTTGTAGACGCCGTCCAACTGCATGTCGTTCGTTTCATCACCAGCTCTTTGACTCCTTGGCTACCTACAGACTTCATGACTTCAACTGCTTGCCCCCGACTCTTGTCTAGTTGGTGCAACCAATAGCAAAGCCAGCTAGATCAAGACCCCCTAAAGTGTTTTGTCGCCAATCGAAAGCCGGACTATGCGCATGCGATTGATCATGAAGGCTGTACAAGGATGGATGGTCACGAGAGCAAGGGCTGGCCCTGTGTTGCTCAGAGGCCGAATCGCCGGTAGAACTCCTGGCAGGCCCACGAGACACGCATCATCTCAATTTGGACCAAATGGTACTTTTCAAGGCCAAGAACCTGACGAAGAGGAGCCACAATCCAATGGCCGAGATAAACAAGACACGTCTTCCAACGTACGTCCGACTCTGTTCAAGATCTTTGAGGCTGCCGCGACGACCTTTGCTACCATTGCAGTCCTAGGCTTGGCTGGATACTCTTACCACGTATTTTACAAGTCAATGGTCTTGCGCAAAATGACCAAAGCCTTTGCGCCTGGCGATCCAATGTTGGAACTTGCCTCTCCTCCGGGGCCGCATGAGCCCCCAGACGATACGACCGACGACGAAGATACCTGGGTCGTTCGACCGGAACAGCTTAGGATTGACGGCATCGTTAACGGCGAGTCCAAGGGTCGCTATTACTTGCTCGTCGGCGAAAAAGGAACGGGCAAGTCTTCCATGATTCTCGAAGCAATGCGCAAGATTCAAGGCGAAGGTGTCTCCATGTTTGAAGCGCATGCCGACCTGGAGATCTTCCGCATCCGCTTGGGAAAAGCACTCAACTATGACTTTCACGAGGACTATATCGGGTCCTTGTTTTCCATCCGCGGTCCTCGAGATACCACGGCGCTCCTCGACATCGAGCGCGCCTTTAACAAACTCGAAAAGATCGCACTGCTCCACCGCAACGCTGCACGCAAACCCTTGGCTCGCCGCAAAGGGCCGCTGGTCCTCATTGTCAATTGTACACACCTGATCCGTGATGACGAAGACGGCAACGACTTGATCGAACTAATGCAACAGCGTGCTGAGCAGTGGGCGGCTGCCAATCTCATCACCATGATCTTCAATTCTGACGACTATTGGGTTTACGAGCGCCTCAAGCGATACGCGACTAGAATGGAGGTGATCCCCATTCTCGACCTTCCCAAGGATAAAGCCATCGACGCTCTGACCAGATATCGATCCAAATACTTTCCTGAGCAAGTCAACGACCCCGAAATACTGAAACAGGTGTACGATTCCGTGGGCGGGCGGTTAAACTTCCTTGGTCGAGTGGCCAAGAGCACCGACATGCTCAAAATGTGCAAGCAAATCAACGAATCCGAAAAGACGTGGTTTCTCAACAAATGTGGCATTCTCGGGGAAGAGATGGACGACGATGTCATGGATCAACAGAAATACGCCAGTGCCGCCATGGTCCTGGCCCGGGAACTGGTAAGACGTAGCAAGGAAATGGACACACAGTACGATGAAGAAAAGGGTCACATTCTGCCAAACATCCCACTCTACATTTCACGCCAGGTTATGACCAGAGCCGACTTTATCCAAAGCTACGACCACGACAATATCTTTACCATTGACAGCTCTGCCATGGTGCGTGCCGACTCGGTGCCCATGATGAATGCTTTCAAAGAGATCTGTGCAGAAGAAGGCTTTGATGAATACCTCGAAGCAACTCTCGATCGCATTTCGGCCATCGAAAGCCTCAACCGTACCAAGGAATTGACGTTCAAGGATCTGTGGACGATCCAGACCGGGGAGCAGAGAGGCAAGTATGCTTTCACCACCAAAGACCATAAGGGCCGCAATACGGGTATTTTTGAGATGAGAGTGGTCCCGGACGAACAACCTGAAGACGAGGACGATGAATAATCAAGTTCGGACAATGTCATAAATTCTGCAGATCGCAAGTGATGATCAGGGAAGTGCATTCTCTTCTGGGACACAATCCTCAACACTTCTCATTATTCTATTTTCCGATCTCCAACGAACTTGCCAAGAAGTTCAGGTACGATATTTCTACAACCCCTATCAAGCTGCTCGTGCCAAATCACAGCAATCCTTCCAGTTCTAAGCCGTGTAACTCGGCGAGATCTGCCAGCAAGAATAGTAGCATGTCTAGGATCTTGATGATTTCCAGAACCGGCCAGACTGGGTTCAGATATTCAAGAGGAAATCCTAAAACCCGTGTTGCGTGGGATGTGTTGATCAACGCAGCTTTGATGGCTTGTTGCACCCAGCGCACTGTCTTAAGCGTGAGCAAATCGAGATACAAGCAGCAACCGAGGAAGGAGGAAAATAGAACAAGAGTCGCATATTCGACTTGGAGGTCATTCTGAAGCATTAGACAGCTTGGGATCAAGGAGGTGGTGCTCAGCATCTTTGTGGACGGCTTGGGAGATTCTTTGCGAATTTTATTGTCGCGTTGCCGATTTTTTCGAATGCAATTCAGCTGGTTAGGGCAGCGATAATCTGGTGGTCTGCGGGTATTGTTATTGAGCATGTATGCTCAGTGGAATGAAAACTATCTTGAAAGCGGCCAGACCTGGCCTCCGTTCCCAACGTCGCCAACATTGTCGAACAACCATGTCCGCTGAAAGAAAGTAGTCTTTCATCATTGTCGCCTTTGTCCATGATGATGGAAAGGTTCTGGAGAACCATGCTTCCTTTGTGACCCTCTCGAGGTGGAATAAAGTGTTCTTTCTTGCTTTTATATTGCTCGATCTCGAGGCTTTGTTCATACGGCCTGCTCGACTGTGGGTTCGAGTAGGTTGGGAGTATCGGTGCGAGCTTGAAATATCGGCGATGCCCCCCGGGGTGACAAGAGGGCAGTTCCAAGCTCTGCAGTTCCATCGACACTTCTCAAGTATTGCCCCAGATATCAGTATCCACCTAACGGACAACATATTTGTTCTTGTCAGGAAGATCAACCAGAAGATTCACCAAAAATACTTGAGGAGAGAAACTCGTCGTGCAAAAGACCATCACCCTTTACCCTAGCATTATCCTTCCCCACAATCGGCCCGCTCTAAATTTCTTGTCCTTGTTCACCTCCGTCACTGACTTCCGTGACAGACTTCGCTTGTGCAGAGGACTGGATCAATACGACTATACAGGATTCAAAATGTCGTGCAAGACCACCGCGGAAGGCTCGCGCCCATTGGCTATTGACCCAACCTGCGAGGTCTGCCCTTCAGCGGACTACTTATCTGGGTTGGAAGCAACACAATGCACTGGACCCGACTGTGTTAGGACCTCGCGCACTACTGCCATCCGAGAGTGTCAAGGTAAGTACGATCCTACCATCATGTGCCGCCAGCTTGTGTGTTTGCACTGCGTCCATAAATCACAGCGACACTTTGACGAGGATTGTACCAATGCGAGGGAAATTCATTACTGCTGGCCATGTAGTCGGCGAGAGAAGAAGAAGGGGGTTGGTCTATGCCACTGCGGCATCAAGTCCAAGGATGACGTTTTCAAGCAGGATCCCTCTCAATGGAAATGTGTTTCTTGTCAGGCCATTCAAGCTCGAAGACTGCATGTTGCGGCACACGGGAATCTGGAGCGATTGGAAGAAGAGGGTAAGGTGAAGCCTAGAGGAAAGAGATGGGGAAAGGACACCTTCAAGATGCAGCGATGGATCGATGAAAATTCCGAGGATAGAAACCTCTGTCCTGGATGTGGACGACACTATTGGTCTTTGTTGAGGTCCTTTGGGCGAAGCCAGCGGGAGCATCATGGTGCGAGGCTGGACTCTAGGATGTACAAGCAGTGCATGGCTTGTCTGGGACGACGACTATAGGTAAGTAAAAGCTGAGGTGGTAAGTAATTGGGAAAAAGGGAGGTAGTAGACAGTAATCCCTAATGGTAGGGGTAGCACGAATGAGGAATAAAAAGCTGTAACTCGTATAATCAGGTCTGTGCGTCCCTTCTCCTACCTGTTGAGTCTATGATGTCGTTGCCATTATGCTAGTGAGACAAAGAATCTTCGGACGTCGTTTCGATTTTAGAAATGATATCACGTGTAGGACCTCCAGTCATGTGACGTCATCTATACTGTACTGTCATTGGGTGGAATCTGGAAATGACGTCGTGTTTCAAGTCGACTTAGTGACACCATCCTGACCAATGACAGCCTGATCGCGAAGGTAGCCTTACGGAGTATCCGTACTTCCTCTTCCAGCCACTTGCATTTCCGCGATCTCTAGACTCTCGTCGTCACCTTCACCAAAGTCTCCTCGAGACACGCTGTGTACCATCCTCTCGACTTTTAACCGCTCCTTACCGCTCTCCTCAGGCTTGCATTAATCTAACGACAACTCTCACTCTCTATCTGTTGCGCCGAGTTGAGGAACCGTTGTTGAGACTACCTACCTCTTCCTCTCTGTCGATCACGTCCACGCCCCGTACACGTGGCTCTGCCACTGTTCAGAAATACTTTAACAACCATCACCACCATGCCTCCAAGAAGTCGCCATTCCAAGTCTGCCAGCGTCGGGTCCAGCACTGGCGGCAGCACCGCCGTGGCCAGCACCACTAATGGCGAGCCGCTGGCGCCTGGTCGCAGTGACAAGTCCTCCTCCCCCGCCTCAACCCGCAAACCTCGCTCGCGACCAACTACATCTTCCGAAAACCCCATTGTGGTTATCCCTAGCTCCAAGTCAAAAATTGAGCCTGTCGTGTCCCCCGCGCAGGACTATAGCTTCTGGAAATTTGTCTCGACCCTCGTGTTGAGCACGACCTTGGAAATTGGGCTGCAGACCATCGCTGGTCAACTAGGCACAGGAGATTTGGCCGCCATATCCAGAAAGTCCGACTCGTGGGTGGAAATCTCTGGTCTACTGGGTTGGAAGGTTGTTCAGTTGGCCATATACTGGTATGGTGGGTTTGACGGTATGTGCCATTCGATCAGCAATATTGAGAAACGCCATGACTGACCATGCACTTTTACAGCTTACGATGTCGCCTCGCTATCTCTGCTACAGTCTACACCCACCACTCTTCTCCTGGGTCTTTTCTATAAGATCTCACCTACTACGCTCCTCTCGACAACATTATCCTCGCTCGTTTCGCTAACCCTGCCGTACTATCTCCTCCGCCCTCTATCACCAGCGCATTCGCCCGCTTCTTCTCCCAAATCGCTCCTCCGCAATCGCTCTATTCTCACAGACCCTTATACGACCATTGCCACATCGCTTCTTTCGGCGGCCATCTTTGCCGTTCTTCTGGAAGCGGCATTGGCCACTGCACTTCCAACCTGGCTTGTGACCCACTTCCGAGGCCTGAAAACTCTCGAAGCTGCCCACCTTGGCCCCGCTGGACTACCGACCTTGCTTCTTGCACTCCTCCCAGCCGGACTTGCGAGTCAAGAATTCATCTTTGCTCCATCGACAGCGTCACCGGCGCCGCTAGTCACTGCGATTGAATTTGATCCCGCCACGGCTACACTGGCCAGCCATGTCAAGTACAACGCGTGGGGTTGGTACTCTGTACGGCAAAAAACGCTGATTTCACGCACGATCTTGTTGACGGTGCTTGTTGTCATCGAGACGTTGGTGCATGCGTGGGGTACGATTGAGGGCGTTGAGCTGGAAGGGGCGTTGGGATATGCAGGAATTTGGGGGTTTGGAACCACACTTGTTGGCCTGGTATTGAACTGGGTAGGAGGGCCCAGTGATTGATGTTTCAGTCTCCTGGTCTCCTGGGGAGTCACTTGGGGGAGGACTTGTTTGTGACTTGGATTCATCATGAACGGGGAACTGTACTTGGTCAAAGAGCGCACGATGGATTGGAATTCTTGTACGACATTAGGGTGGGTTGGAACATATGGTCATCATCAGAGATGACAGAGGGTCTTGCTGTAAGTGTGCGTGTGTTTTAGGTACAGGCATAACAGCCTAGAGACTGAGGAAAGGACAAGTTTTGAGACTACTTAGATGCCCGTGACACTGCTCCATTCGAAGAGGATGGGGTCGGGGTGTAAGTGTGTTGATTGATTGATTGATCGAGTCATAGGCAGCAATCTACAATGCAAAACCACAAATGGCTCATCCAGGCAATGCCACTTTCAAAACCGCAGCCCTCTCGCTACCCAACCTCACCCATATATAGACTATCATCATGAAGGAGATCGCCAACGCCGAAGGTTCTGCAGCACTTTCCCGCAAATCTCTCCAACACGTTCCTGCCTCCAGTCTCGGTATCCCACAGCGGTGCCTTCCTCTTGCAACATTTCCCACACGCTTTTGAGCCCGTTCTTGCCTGCAGACTTCAAGTCTCAAGACAGCGCTTTCCTCTTGCTCTAACAAATTCGAAAAGACTTTTCTTCTCCATTACAAGATGCTCTCTCATTCTTCTTCATCCTTTCGACTTATAGCAATAGTAGAAATGCGTCTTGATTTATACAAACACCGATATGTTTGGAATCTAGATGAAGGAGACTTGCGACAAGATTTGTAGGGTTAAGGAAGAAACCTGGAACATGAGGCCGTTCGACGAGTTGACGGATTAGAGGATAAATGGGCTCTTCATTAACTATATCTAGGGCAGTCACTTGTCAAACACACCAAACTCGGTCAAGATATGCAAGTCAAGATATCAGACTTTGACGCTGGTAAGCACTGTCTCCCTCCGTGGTTTTCTTCTCATTCTTGAGTCCTTCGAAATGTTGATTCGTGTGTAGCATTTTGGGCGCAAGAGCCTCCAGATTCAACCGTGAACCCCACCGTACTCAGATGTCCAGAATTGATTTTGCGTGGAAAGATAGATTCAAGCATTGACATTTGGAGTTTGATTTCCCGTCATAGTGCTCTTTGAAGACGACCGAAAACGACCGACGATGAACACCTTCTCTAGATGAACGACATCCTAGAACCCCTTCCAGATGTCTGGCTTCAGGAAAAGTGGCCGCGAACCAAGACATATTTCGGCCCCGGACGGGAAAGGCTGGCCCATGCCCTGACGATCGAGACGTACCCCATATCGATGACCCTCTGGAGAAGCAATCCAAGGAGCATAAACCGGATAATATTGATGATGTCGAATCTGGAGTCATCACGTCACTCATTCGAGGTATTCTCAAGTATGAGCCAGCGCAAAGGCCGACTGCAGAGGGTCTGTTGAAGCACCCTTGGTTTCAAGAGTGATACTATGCACAATTCGTCGACTCACAAAACCGTAACGAAGACCTTCTACTCTACTATAGTGCGCTGTGCTTGAGAGTCGTGCTTGCAGATCTGTCTTGTCTATATCATTCGGGTTTCGGGATGTCTAATCTATCCTCCTCTTTCTCTTGCCACGATGATGTCTTTGGCATGTCAAGGAAGGCTTGATGGGAGCAGAGCACCATGATGACATCTGTTTGAAGGTGATTCAATTCCACCGCTCTCACTAAAAAGCGGCCTCCTAGGTTGCAAGCCACATCAATAGATCCTTTGACGCCCACCATTTGCTTCTTTCCAAGAACGCCGGAATGCTGCCGTTGCCGTTTTCCCATCATCATTTCGGTCCTGTGGCCAGTCCAACGCGCCGGGGTCGGGGTCCTTCTTGTTTCGTGTCATCAAGTCGTGTGGTTGCCAGCGGCATGCAAACGTAGCACATCCCTCGGTCCGTTCTGACGCGTATCATTCTGCGCGTCAGCGGGTTCCGTCATCTCGTCCAGTCAAACGCCTCAAATTCAATCCCAGTTTCGCCGTGGCCAAGCTCCGCCACTACGATGTCTCAGTGTTGCGCCGCTCTCGAGTCCTGCTCCGACCCTTCATGCTCTTCATGCGGTTGAGGAATCCTCCCGCGACTCCTTTCGGTTCTTCCACGGTCGCGCTCTCTCCTGTGTTCTTCCTCTCCAGCCCAGGGGCACGTTTCGGGCTGCTCGGGGCTCGTGGGCGTCCGGCTTTATCCTGTTCATCGGCAAAGGCAATCTGAGCGCCCTTTCGGTCGTATTCTTTGTCGTAGTCCTTGAAAAATGGGTTGGCGCCGGTTTGGTCAGGTTTTCCCGAGCCCAAGGGGCTCGTGGGGGTGTTGATTGGCCCAGGCGAGGTTACACGACTTCCATCGTTGACCTTGTTTGGGCGGACAGATTTGATCCGCTGGGCCAGACTTTTGGTGCGGGACAATCCAGTGGCCTCCTCCCTTTGAGAGGCCTCTGCTTCAACTTCGCGTCGTTGGATGGCAACTCTGCTTGCCGGTGTTCCTTCGAGGAACGTGCTAGTTCCTAGGCCAGCAGAGGGGTCTCCATGCACAGGGTCGACACGAGAGGTTGGGTTGAAGGCAGGGTTTTGTTCTTGTTGTGGGCGGCGCAGGTATTCTGCGTCGGCGTCCACCACAACCGCCTCGTTGTAATCGTCATGAGCTTCCATACCCCGACCGTGGTATTGGTCCAGGTTGAGGTTTGAATTGACGGGGCCAGAGCCTCCCAAGGCCATGTTTGCGGAACCCTTGGGGAAGGCTTGCATGGGAGCTTGACGAGCACCCTTGCGGTTTCGGTGGGGGTTACAGGCGTCAAAAGGGCCGTCGTGGTGAAAGACTGGCAAAAGTCAGGGGGGGTTATAGAGACAGACATGCAACGACTTACGTCCTGTTCCGTAGATACTTGTAACGTCCAACTTGTCAATGACATCAAGTCGCCTGTTTGGTTTCTTAGACCGATGCGAGGAACGACCGTCCTTTTCGTCCCTGAGCTTTCTTTCACGTCGCCTCTTTTCGGCTTCGGGGTCGAGGTCTCGCGGTTTGTCGCGGACCGAGGACTCGGAATTTCGTCGAGGGCGGCGGTCCCGAGAACGGGTCTTTTCCAGCGACAAGGGATCAGCAAAAATGTCCAGCTCCTTGGGCGGTGCCCGACTTCGACTGGGACGGCGTCGGGGTTCTTCATCCGAGGCATGAGGGGCCTGACGATGGCCTGGGCCACGAGTGTTGGGGACAACATTTTCCCTACGTGAGTCACTGCCGACAGGAGAGTGCTGATTGCGGAGAGGAAGCGGGGCGGACGAGTTTTGTAGATTTAAAGATGCCTGTGGTGGGCGAGGTTAGTGGGGACGACGAGCAAGAGTTGAGAGCCTTACAAAGATGTCAATAGTGTGATCAGCGGGGGATGTGTTGGACAAGGAGCCTTGTCGATTGGGAGGGGCGGTCTTTGGTACAGCCGCCATCTCAGAGGCGTCGAGGAAGGGATTCGTGCTCGTCGGCCTGATGGGACCAGCAGGGGGGCTCAGGGCGGTTGGGGATACTCGAGTGCGAAAGGGATTGTTTGAGGCGAGAACGGTTGGGCCGCGATCTATGGAGAGATGAGTAGGTCAGTGTCTGCAATGTGTGGTCTGAAGCAAGGGATCATAGGCCGTGGTGGTTGAGGCACAGCGCGGTGCGAGTAGATGAGCAGATCATGTTGGGTAGACTCACCAGCTGCGGGGGCAGCTTGTGCCATGGTTAGGGTATTTGAATGTAACGACTTTGTTGCGAGGATACGTGAGATCGCGACAGTGGTTGTCAGAGTAAATGAGATGGGAAGAAGGACAGATGGTAGACAGTCGAGGATCAACAGGACAAGTCAAGGGTGGGTCGTAAAGGTGTGGTTCTGGGAGAGTGGCAGTGATTTTGAACCAGTCTCCAAGACCCCCTTTTCAGGACGACTGGCTCCAACGTTTGGAAGAACTAATAGGGTGGAGGGTGGACAGACAGACGATCAGAGGGTCCAGATCAGGTATTGGGGATGCAGCTTGTATGAGTGCTAAGGAGAAGAGGATGCGATGTTACAAGATGCAATTCTGATGAAGGGCTGAACGTGGGATTGTGGTAAGTAGTTGGTGAATAAAGAGAAACAGACAATGGCAACGATGAATTGAACAGGATTTGGGAATTGTAGTTTGTAAGGGTGGCGTAGCAGCTGCTGGGGAGACTTGGACGTGGGCGGGGGAAGAGGTGCGAGGAGGTGGCGCGACGCCCTTGCAGCTCACTCACTCCGGTTAGGATTATTATTGTGATTCAGGGTCTCTCGGGTGTCTTGTCAAGCCTAAATGCCCGGAGGGTCACCCCTATTGCTTGTTATTACTGTTTGGCTGTTGGATTTACAATCAAGTCTCCCAAACGTGGACTCCTTAGGTGTCACTTCCCCCTAGAGTGGTCTTTATAGGTATAGAAGGCGTCCACTAATTTACTGCCTACCTACCTAGGTACTTACTAACGCAAGCCATGCTTGAGCATCGGATGGCGGATGGCTGGGATATTCGCCTCAGAACCTGGGGTTGGAGTCTAAGTAGATCCCTCGTTATGAATACAGCCTTCGTTCTTGAGGCTTGGTGGATATCATCATGCATGCCTAGGAACAATATTGGAGCAGATGATGGAATTATGAGTTGAAACTTGATCTTCATGAATTGAACCGACGTTGAAGATCGAGACGTGTCTTGGGGTTCTGATCTGGGCTGCCCTTTCGATCCGTCTTTGCTTGAGTCCAAGGGCAATTTAGCCAGGAAAATCTCGTCGATCTCTCTAGCGAGGCTCTTGGTTGCTTGGTTGTTGTCACACAGCCACGACAGCCTCCACTGACTGAAACACGCCAGCTTTCTCCAGGATGTGTCCAACTTGACCTTGAGTAATTGAGTAATTGTGAGTGTCTCTGTCATCGTTCACGTCAACCGAAAGAATGCGTTGAATCACGAACCTGGATCATGTTTTGCTATCACCAATCCAGACCTAATCCCTGCCTCGAACTCAAAAGGCACGCGCTCTCAGCCATCTGCGGATAGACAAACGGCAACGTGTCGATCCCCACAAAACCCAAGTTTGTTCCTTGAGTCGCTGGCCACCCAGCCCAACAGGATTCTGGAACATTATTATTGTGGTGCTTATCAAACACTCATCTCTCGCTCAATTCTAATGACTTGCATTACGACCGCATTGTGTAGTACCAATTAGGTCTCCATCATTTCTGTCACGCAGCAGCGAACGTCACTGCATCTGGCCTGATCTGTTGCTCATTTCACCCAACACATTCCTGACTGGTCAGTCGTGACAGCTTTTCAAGGCCGGGCAATTTTTGGCAGCTCGCACTGACACTATTGTGCCGTGCTGTTGTATGCGTATCTACTTTGCCATGCACGTTATTGCATCATTTCAATTTCCCTAACCTCCGATTGACAGCCGTAACTCGGGCCAAAAGAAATCATTCATTCATTCATCGTCCCTCACCATCATCTTGCCATCGATATGACCACGATGGAGAGCACGACGCCACCCGCGCCGCTGTCACAACGGTTTACCCTGGAATTGGAATTCGTCCTCTGCCTTTCCAACCCACAATACCTCCAATTCCTGGCTGTCAACTATCCGCATTTGTTGAACAAGCCTTCGACGTCTGCAGACGATGCAGACGATTCGGACGCGGCACGGTTTGCACGATATCTCGAATATTTGTATGCCTACTGGAAGACTCCGCAATACGTCCAGTACCTCACTCATCCTGGCGCAACCCTGAGAAATCTGGAGCTCCTCCAACACAAACAATTCCGACAGGATATCATTCGGCCAGATGTCATTGCTCAGTTGTTTCAAGGAGAGACGGTGAATGAGGGTACCCAAGCAGACCAGGATTGAACATCACCGTTGATGGACCTCATTTCATATCCATGGTCACCTGATCCCCCCATTCCTTGGCTGAATTCTGGTCACGTGTCGGAATCTCGGCACTGCAGGTACGATCGCAGGAAGCGGGAAGAATCACGAGAAAACACGAAACCATTTGTCCGCACAGTGGCTGGAAAGGACAATCTTCCATTCCATGCGCTCATTCCTCGCTCGTTGCCAATCTCCAATCTGGTCCATCAGCATCATATCCAATGACATCGACACGAATGTAGTGTGTTGCTGACACCTTTGACCCTTGCTCGAGGAGGCGACAATTATTACAGATTCCTTAATAGCAAGTGATTGGATGGCATGACAAGCGAGGAGAAGTTGGTGGTCGGGAGGCGAGATGCCGAGGAGGTTTGTCCAATACGAGGGGCTCATAGTGGGCTGATTTGACTTTGGCGTCTCGCGTGGCCCCTTGGCCGCTGTTTTCCGTTTTCCGGGGTAGGATTTCCACACTCTTTGACTCCCAGACTCGCAGATTCTCGCCTAGAGGGTTTCTTTTGCAAGTCGCACTGCCCCGAGGGTCTCGAACTATGACTATTTGTAACCCGCCGGACCAGTAAACCTGTCAGCCTGGCTTCATGTCGTTCTTCTTCCACTCTGTCGCCCACACGGTGTGATCCTCATCGCTGTATACGGTATTTCTTGTCTGCCCATGTCGTGTCAACCCTCGTTCTTCTCGAGCAAATAGCACTCCACGCCCCATCGACCACCCTACCATACAGTCCACCGCCGCGGATAGAGCACCTGGCGCAGTTCCATCATCCCACCATGGTTTCCACCAGACATCACCCACGACCGTTTCCAGAGCCCACTACACCCACCCCCAATCGCGCGACCAACGGCACTGCATTGCCCAACTCGTCCTTGACCAAGACGAATGGCACGACTGATCCTCGAAAGGGGCTGGCGGACAAGACATCTTCAGTGGTTGAGGGAACAGGGTTCATCCACACCATAACACCTCTGACGATGATCTGGCTGTCGGTATCGGTACCTCTGGTGATATGGGACACCTTTTATATCTTCCTGCGGCCTCACACGATGCCGGGTGGTCGCTTGCATTATCCTGTGTGGAAACCATATGCCCTGTACGGCACAGTTGATTATATCTATGGCTGGCCCGCGTGGAACAGCCACAATGGCTTCACCGCCGCTCAAGGTGCCCTGAACGCCGTCGAAACGTCCATGTATATCTATTATCTCGTCGTCATCTTCCAGACGTCAGCCAAAGGTCTGTACACTTTTAGTGATTTTCATACCTTGGTACATGGGAGTCGCCACACCCGCCTCAGAGCGCCTGGGGTGGCCAAGGCCGTTATCATCTTGTTTTCCGCCACCATCATGACCTTGAGTAAGACGGTTCTATACTGTAAGTCCCCGTCTGGTTTGCGGCACGTGAATGCTTTGCTGAGAAACATCAAGGGCTGAATGAATACTACTCTGGATTTGCTAACATAGGACACAACTCGGCCTGGAATCTAGGCTGGCTGTGGATTCTGCCCAACGGCCTCTGGCTCGTGTTTCCAACCGTGTTGATCTACTTACTGGGTTGTGAGATCATCAATGGACTTGACGGATCACCGCATGAGAAGCAGGATTAATGATCAGGATGGAGATATGGCTCGGCCGTGGTAGTGCTGGCCTGTTGAGGATGATTGAGCAGGGACTCTGACGTTTAGGTGTAACCTTGCCCGACATGTTAGCGTCTCGACATGGCGTTTGGCCTGGAGTGGTCAGGCAGGCGAGCGCGGAAGACCGGACCACATGAATATATTATTAATGCATGAGAGTGCATCTGCATGCAATGACCATTTGACGCTGTTGCATGACTTAGCCACAGGACGAAAAGTCATTCAGAGGCCCTCGGCAGCTTGACAGGAAGTGGTGCAACGACGAGTGGCATGTTTACCGTCGTCAAACACAGCTTTCAGTTTCCAAGACCGAGGAGTCGACGGGTGACGCTGGGCTCTGCTTTGTGCACAAACCAGATTCCCTGCAAGGTTACATAGCCTGCAAACAGGTCGTTTGAATAATTGCCGATGGAAGAGGGGTACTACAGAGAACGACAAAACTTCAAGGGCCATTCGAGCGTACTGGGGCACATCAACAGCAGTCGAGGATGTCATGAAAAGCCGACAAATGCCCTAAAGGGAGCGGCCGCCTGCGGAGTTCCGGGCATCTGGTCTGATGGTCGTTGGGTCCTGGGAGCTTGGTAGCTGAAGAGCCCCTCGGCCTGGTAGCCTGTGGCAAGCTAGTGTAACTTTGCCTTCCCTAACTCCGCTATTAATACTAGTACTTAGTTACCCAGGTACTTTAGTATCTATAGGTACCTACCTCAACTAGGTGTGTATGACGTTAGCAATCGATGCCCTGATAGTGCAGCCTGTAGGTACCCATGCAGTAGCCTGTAGGTAGAAAAATCAAGTAGTCAGCAGGCACAAAGGTGGGTGTCGTGTCCACAGACTCCAGAATAATAAGTTCCAATGCTGACTCCCAGGGACCCAGCGCCATTCGCATCGGTGGCGTCCATCGACATGCGGGGAAACCAGGGACCCTGTAGCCAAGTTCGGGAGTTCCTTGGGCGCCTCGGGCTTACTCAACCTTGGGTTGGACTAGTAAGAGCTTCTACTCAGTGAAGTGAACTTGCGCATATTTTTACCCTCACTACAGTCAGTTGACCATGAAAAGGCCCGTGCCTGGTCTGGACATCAGTCCTGTCCGTCGTCAGATATATATTCGAGAAACTGTATGTACCGCAGATATTGACCAGCTCTTTGTCTCATCTGCACCTGATCTGACCCATCATACTTGAACTGCTACAACCCCACCATGGCATTCCCACAGAAACCTGTGGATGACAATGACGCCTTGATATGAGTGTTGGGTCACATCAGATTTATCCAGTAGCCATATAGGAATGTGCCCCGTTTAAGCGACATGTAGTGGTACCTATAGCCAGGTATCTTGCGGGGTACATGAATCTGAGAACACTCCATCCTCCGCAAATCCAGCAGCTGAAAAGGTTGGATCGACAGACCCCAGATTACTACCACCTTGGACAAATGTAACATCGCTGCCGTTGTCCATTCTAGTCCAGTACTTTGAGCATGACTGCGCACTGGACAGACACTGACGCCGGCACTTTGCACAATTCTGCTTCAGTCCAACCCTCAGAGTCAAATTACACTCTCCGCCCTCTTCCGGCTCATCGACATGATCCCAGCCGGAAATCATAGTCTCTCTCGTCAAACCTTGTGAGCTGTAACCCCAAGTCCCTGGATGGACATTCTCCAGGATCGCTGCCACAAGGTCCACTTCAGCATAGATCTATTGAAGGGGCCCCGATGGCGTTTTCTAACATGACGATATCCAGTCGAGCTCCAGGTCCTTTCGATGGTGCAACATAAATAACATCTTCACTTTCCACATGTTCTATGTTGCTCTGGAGTCTCTCCTCCTCCTCTGTCATCGTCATCGTAACTTCCCCAGAACCAAACGTCACATAGTCGCACCTGCCTTGATTAGCTACTTAGTACTGGGAACTGTTACTGTTTCTTGCGCTGCACTGACAACCTCGCATTACGTTCCTCGCTCCATCATTCCGCGTCACTCTTTTTTTAGGATTCGCCAGAGACTCTGGTCTGAACGCCTCATTATCTCATTAGCCATACCATTTATGTTGCGGCTTATCTCTGTCCCACATCTATCTTAGGCCTGTGAAGGCGTCCAAAGGCGACCAATCTCTTAGCTTGAATATCAGAGCCACAACTCCGGCACCATCATGTGGCGGAAAACGACATTGGCCACGGCGTTGGCTCTGGCACCCTACCTTCAGCTTCATGTGAGAGCAAGTGTAAGTTGCCCGGGAATCATTACTCAAGTTTTGCTTTATTACATACGCCGTCCGCCATGGTGATGGTGTCAGATTCTGGCTGCGGCAACAACCACAGCTGGTCATCAATAAATCCCCGACCAACCCCTGGAGATGAAAGCCTTGCAGGGCCAAGTCCATCAGATCCAAGCCCTTCGGCCCCAAGCAAGCCCCTTGCCCCCTCCCCATCCCTCTCCCCGGCCCAAGATGCAGCTTGCTTTCTCCATCTTTTACCTCTTCAACACAACATTGACCAATTCCCTATACTTACCATCCTATCTCAAATTACAGCCCGTCGAACCCTACGACACTCTTTATCGAAGACAAGCCGCCCAGCCCTTCAACAACGACTACGATGGCCCCTTGTGGACCTCTCCTCCGAGCTACCCTTCGCCTTGGGGCTCAGGCTCTGGCGACTGGGGGAGCGCTTATGAAAAAGCCACCGCATTTGTCAGTCAGTTGACCTTGTTGGAAAAGGTCAATCTCACCACAGGCGTGGGGTAAGATATCGGCCCTCTTGTTATTCATCAGACGCTGACCATCACCCTCTCTAGCTGGGAGTCTGATCGTTGTGTGGGCAATATTGGCGCCATCCCACGCATGGGCCTTCCCAGTCTCTGTCTACAGGATTCACCTCTGGGTATCAGATTCGGTAAGCAGGCCTCCCCTCGACCATGGTCTGCAACGCTCACTGACCCCTCCAGCCGACCATGTTTCGGCATTTCCAGCGGGTGTCAACGTCGCCGCCACGTGGGACCGAAATCTAGCATATCTTCGGGGTCATGCTATGGGCGAAGAGTTCCGGGGTAAGGGTATCGATATCGCACTCGGTCCCGTCTGCGGTCCTCTGGGTCGCTCTCCAGAAGGTGGCAGAAATTGGGAAGGCTTTAGCCCAGACCCATATTTGACCGGCGCCTTGATCGCTCCCACCATCGAAGGAATTCAGGATGCTGGCGTCATTGCCACCACCAAACACTTTATCGCCAACGAGCAAGAGCATTTCCGCCAGGTTGGAGAATCTATTGGTTATGGCTACAACATCACCGCCACCCTCAGCTCCAACATCGACGACAAGACCATGCACGAGATTTATCTCTGGCCGTTCGCCGATGCAGTTCATGCCGGCACGGGCGCCATCATGTGTTCCTACCAACAGATCAACAATTCCTACGGCTGTGCCAACTCATACACCCTCAATCACTTGCTCAAGAACGAGCTCGGCTTCCAAGGTTTCATCATGTCCGATTGGCAAGCCCAGCATTCTGGCGTTGGGACCGCCTTGGCCGGCTTGGACATGACCATGCCAGGTGATACCCTCTTCAACACGGGCTACACCTACTGGGGGACAAATTTGACCGTTGCCGTCTTGAACGGCACAGTGCCCGAGTGGCGTGTCGACGACATGGCCGTCAGAATCATGGCAGCTTACTACTACGTCGGCCGTGATCAGTATTCTGTCCCCACCAACTTTGACTCGTGGAGTCGGGACACATATGCCCCTATCCACCCGGCCGACCCGAATTCTCCCCTCGGATTGAGGAATGAGCACGTCAATGTACAGGATGAGCATCGAGACATTATCCACCAAGTCGCAGCCAAATCCAATGTCCTGCTGAAAAACAATGGTGGATTGCCGCTCACCGGAAGCGAGAAAACAGTGGGCATTTTTGGATACGACGCAGGCAGCAACCCCTGGGGCCCCAACGGATGTCCCAATCGCAATTGTAACAATGGCACTCTGGCCATGGGATATGGCAGTGGCACGGCCGAATTCCCCTACCTCGTGACCCCTGAGCAAGCCCTGCAGCAATATATCCTGACCCAAACAAACGGAGAGGTCTCTGCCATCCTCGACAACTATGCCGACGCTCAGATCAAATCCCTCGCCAGCCAGGTTGATGTTGCCATTGTGTTTGCCAACGCTCAATCCGGCGAAGGATTCATCACCATCGACGGCAACACGGGCGATCGCAACAACCTGTCCCTCTGGGAGGGCGCTGAACGCTTGATTGAGAATGTCACGACCTTTAACCCCAATACAGTCGTTGTACTCCACACCGTCGGTCCTGTCAATGTATCAGCGTGGTATGACAACGAAAACGTCACCGCAATCGTTTGGGCGGGTTTGCCGGGACAGGAAAGTGGCAACGCCATAGTCGATGTTCTCTATGGACTTGTCAACCCCGGAGGCAAACTGCCATTCACCATTGCCCGCAACAGGGAGGATTTTGGGACGGACGTCATCTATGAACCCAACAATGGCCAGTTTGACGCTCCCCAGGACTACTTTTCCGAAGGTGTCTTTATCGACTATCGCCACCTCGACGCAAATGGCATTGAGCCCATTTACGAGTTTGGCTTTGGGCTCAGTTATACGACCTTTGAGTACTCCAACTTGGTCATCGCACCCGGAAATCCCGCTCCATACGTCCCTGGAAGTGGGCAGACGGGCCCGGCTCCAGTCCTCGGGTCGTCGAGCACCGATCCGTCGCTGTACTTGTTCCCCAACGAGACCATAACGTACCGTCCATACCTCTTCATCTACCCCTACTTGAATTCTACCGACCTCGAATCGTCTGCCGCTGATCCCGATTATGGTCTCCCCGCGGAGCAGTACATTCCTGACGGTGCAACAGATTCTTCTCCTCAGCCGATCCTACCTGCTGGTGGCGGTCCAGGCGGCAACCCCGGGCTGTGGGAGGTTGTGGCTACCGTATCTGCCACCATCACAAACACGGGAGATGTCGAAGGTGACGAGGTTGTTCAATTATATCTTAATCTTGGAGAAGATGAACCACCCAAAATTCTTCGTGGCTTTGGCCGATTGACCATTGCCCCTGGTGCGTCGTCTGTCTTTACTGCAGAGCTGACCCGGCGCGACGTTTCGACCTGGGATACTGCCACACAGAATTGGGTACAGGCGGCCAATCCCGTGGTGTATGTCGGTGCTTCCAGCAGAAACTTGCCTCTCAGTGGCAGTTTGAATGGTGGAAGTGGTGGGTCGCCTCCTCCACAATCAAGCATTGGCTATCACAGTCACGCAGAACCAAGCGTGACTGCTAGTGCGAGCGTGCCTGGCTCTTCGTTCACTCATCCAGGTCCTCCGCCCCAGTATTCGACTGGGAAGCCAGAGGAGAATACTTGGTCAGGTTGGCATGGAGGGAAGCCCCAGCCCACCAACAGTTGGCCATGAGAAGGCGGAGATGAGAGGCGCCCCAAAGTGGACAAAATTACGAATTATGTACAGGGGAATGAATGAGCGGTGTATCCCATCTGCATCGTTGCAAATAATCATGTCTGTTGAGGTTTGGCATGAGCATGTTGGAGCGTGCCTGGCGTCTAATGGATTCATTCATTTCATTGGCTTGCTCAAACAGATCTGGATCATTCATTCACGGGAGATGGTAGATAAGAATAGGTTTAATCATGATGATATTCTTGTTGAAACTCAGGAAGAACATTTCTGAGTTTTTAAGGTTGGTGCCTTGCGGGAAGAGAAGTTTATTCTCTCTGGCTCGTATTAAGATCTGCCGCTTTGGATCGAGGAATCTCAACAGGAATCGTGATGTCATGATTGATCAAATCGGTCTTCGCTGAAAAGACATGGCACTGGATGACTTTGGCTGGTGCATGGCCTTTGCGTTCAGTAATTGATACAATCTGAGCGCCAACTCCAGACTACGGTCAGTACTATTCATACATCCTGATTGTCAACTCCAGACCACGGTCACCGTACGTAGAGGTACCTCTCACAAGCATTGTCCACAGCGTGTTATAATCTCCCTTCAATCCCATGATTCAAGAAGAAGACATACCACCGTATCCTCAGGAATAAAATCTACGTGTTGGCATCCATCCACCAAGACCAAACACACACTTCATTGCTGAGGTGCAAATGCCAGGCAAATTCAAGAAACCGGCGGGAGGGGCCAATAGCAGTGGACCTCGCGTGGTATACTGGTTCCGGACAGACTTGCGACTACACGACTCACCGGCTTTTGATCACGCGCTTTCACTCAAGCCGTCAGTTCTGATCCCGCTGTGGTGCTGGGATCCTCACTATGTCTACCGACAGAGGGGGGCAGCGAATCGATGGAAGTTCCTGGTCGCCTGCATGCAAGACGTGTCGTCATCGCTGACCAAGTTGAACCCCAAGCAGAAACTACATGTTGTCAGACGTGCACCAACGCAGGTGATGCGACAATTGTTGACCAAATGGAAGATTGACGTGCTGGTGTTTGAGCGCGACACCGACGCCTACGGCCGCATGAGAGATGACAGCATCACAGAGATTGCCTCCAGCTTGGGCGTCAAGGTCGTCTCCATGTCTGGCAGGACCTTGTTCGACAGTGATTTGGTCGTTGAGAAGAATGGCGGAAAACCAACCATGAGCATGAAGCAGTTGGTCGAAGCAAGTTCCAAGATCGACGACGGCAAGCCCAAGAGACCTGTGGCCACGCCGTCGAGTTTGCCAGACCCTCTGGGAGACGAAGACATGGATTTGTCGTACCTGGACGACGGAGACGAGTTGGTCAAGGACGGTGGCTCGACCGAATCCATGGACTTTAACCTACCGCAGAGGACGTTGGGCGAGAAGAGCAACACCCAGTATGAGACGGGGATTATGGGTCCTAAAAAGGACTTTGCAGTCCCTACCCTGGAAGAAATGGGAATCGATCCCGCCATGGCGACCAGTCCCCACCAAGGTGGAGAGACGGCGGGACTGGCGTTGCTGCAAAAGTACATTGACGACGAGGAGTATATTGGTACGTTCGAGAAGCCCAAGACAGCACCATCCGACTTTGAGCCACAAGCCACCACCCTCTTGTCGCCTCACATGCACTTTGGCAGCGTGTCGGTGCGAAAGTTCTGGTGGGATGTACAAAACGTCTTAGAGAAGCGTCGCAAGCAAAAGAAACACAATAGTGATGAACCAGTCAATCTACCAGGGCAATTGCTGTTCAGAGACATGTATTTCGCCGCTCATGCTGCAGTTGGCTTCCAATTCGGACAGACGGTGGGAAACCCAGTGGCCAGATTCATCCCGTGGCATTTACAATCGAATTATGTCAAGGGTGAAAAGGACGGCAAACCTATCAGTGACGGCACATACATAGTGGACGATCCTGAAGCAGAAGCGTACTTCCAAAGGTGGAAACACGGTCGAACAGGGTTCCCGTGGATCGATGCTTTGATGCGACAGCTCAAAACTGAAGGATGGATCCATCACCTTGGAAGACACTCTGTCGCCTGTTTCCTGACTCGAGGAGGCTGTTATGTCAGCTGGGAACGAGGCGCCGAGGTGTTTGAAGAGTGGCTGATTGACCACGAAGTGGCGTGCAATGCCGGTAATTGGATGTGGTTGAGCTGTACCGCCTTCTTCAGCATGTTCTACCGCTGCTATTCACCTGTTGCGTTTGGAAAGAAGTGGGATCCTGAAGGTAATTTTGTCCGTCGATACGTGCCGGAGCTGGCCAAGTTTGATCAGAAGTACATCTATGAGCCGCACAAGGCGCCCATTGCGGACCAGAAAGCCTGGGGTTGTATGATCAAGGGTGATGGGACGGACCAGGGGACCAAGGAGATGAAGATCTATCCCAAACCAATGTTCGACTTTAATCAACGAAGACAGTTTTGTATCGACAAGATCAAAGAGGCATACGATGTGGGATTGTATGGCGATGACAAGAGAGTCGTCAACGGCGAGTGGAAGAAGATGTTTGATTTTGACGATAAGGGTGGCCAGCGCAAGGAACAAGGTATCGGGGAGCTGTCACAAGGGACCAAACGATCACGAAACCGCACAGACAACAACGATAACCACCGTCATGATGGTGAAGACGACACAGGAGAGAACGCTGACTTGGGTGATGAGTCAGGACATGACGATGAAAAAGAGCCAACGAGGAAAAAGGCGGCGAAGAAAGAGCAGCCAAAAAAGGGAAGTCAAAAGACTCTTGATGGACTGGTGAGCAGGTCGTCACGAATTTCATCTTAGTCCAATTCTCGTGGATTTCTCTGGGGTAATACGATCCACAAGGGCTTCGTGGCTTCTGAGAACAATGCCCTAAAACTCCCGACCTCAACTCCAACCAATAAAACACCATCAATCCAAGGTTGCAAATTCCTGGGCGGTCAGTGGGCCGAACGGGAGGATGAGCGGATGAAAGAGACACGAAGAGTGGAGCGGACTTCCGCCCCACAGGATTATATTTCCCTAAAGGGTTTAGCGTGTATATATCCCATCGATATCTAACCTGAACTGATACTGTGTGAATGCTTGTCGAGTCCAGACGCCCTTTGTCATTATCGTTGTTGTTTGTTAGATTCCTCCCATGTATTTCTTTCCAAGCTTGAGCTCGATCTATCTTGGACTGCAATCGTGCTGAGAGTAGATCCCGTTTGTGAGTCTCCCCACACCAGATCTTGCAATGGCCCATCATGCACATGCAAGAGCTTCTGCGTTGTTGGCGTGTAGACTCGCGAGACCTGCTCGTCGGCCGATTTGTGGTCAAACATGTCGGTCTATTGGAGGGTTTGGCGGGGTTGGCGCGAGTATGAATGGGAGATTACGCAATAGGTCTGCTCGACCGGTTGCGGGGGTGCCTGTCTATTCTCCTCAGAGTCTACGTGGGATGATGACAGCTGCACAACAACAATCATCAGATGAAGATGGAGATGGAAACAGTCAACGCGAAACCGACGAATCTTCAGAAGGCGACCAGGAACATGCCATCATCTCGGCATTCGATCTGTTCTCCGTCGGCATTGGACCGTCTTCATCACACACGGTGGGACCCATGCGGGCAGGAAATATCTTTGTCACCGATCTGATCGACGCCAACATTCTACCCAATGTCACACGGATCCGAATCTCTATCTACGGCAGTCTGGCTCTTACAGGGGAAGGCCACATGACGCCAAGCGCACTGCTTCTGGGTCTCGAAGGAGCAAATGTCGAGACCGTGGATACGGCATATGTGCCGGCGCGGTTTGAGGAGATCAAGAAAAGCAAGAAACTCATCCTGGCTGGATCAGGGTCCAGCGTCACCCGCGAGATTGATTTCGATTACAACCGTGATTTCATCTGGGAATGGGCCCGTAAACTGCCCATGCACAGCAACGGCATGCGGCTGCGAGTCTTTGACAAGAACGGTGACATGCTGGCCACAAATGATCTCTTTAGCGTCGGAGGTGGTTTTGTCATCAATGGCAAAATGTCCACCGCACCATCTCCAGAAGATGCATCCTCACAGGACAAATCTGGAGCGTCACCCGATTCAGCCTCCACGAATCGTGAGAATCACCCTGCCGACCTGACAGAGAACCTCTTTTACAAGGAGATCAATCGCTCAAACGCCAGTGGCGAGAGGAGGACGGGACTTGACCACGACTTGAGATCTCAAACACCCTCAACTGACCAAACCCAAGACCTTGTCACGACCCAACCTGGTTCCAAAGCGCTTGATGTCGAAAACGCAGACCAAGTCAAAAGCCCACCGCGACATGCTCCATATCTGTTTCGCAACGCCGCCGATCTCCTGGCACTATGTCGGCAGCACAACTTGACCATAGCCCAGTTGATGTACGAGAACGAAAAGGGGTTGGGTCTGCAAGACATGGAAATTTTTGACAAACTCTTCAATCTCTGGGATGTCATGGACAATTGTATTCGAGAAGGTGTGCAAGCACCGTCACACGCGGCATTGCCGGGAGCCCTCAAACTTCGACGTCGGGCCCCGGCTCTGTATCAACAGCTTACTCGAGGCCTGTACCCAGAGCATCACCAGGTACGGTCTCCATCTTCCGGCAGCTCCCCACAGCTGCAAGATTCTTCATCCACAGGAACGGACGCGGCGGCAATCGTGTCCCAAACAGGGGCGTCGAGTCAAGCCCCGACTACCAGACGCACCGCATCCTTTCCCCCACGTCGCCGTCAACCACGACTTCAAGGATCCCTAAATCATCCCATCTCCGTCTCCCCAGTAAGGAGCGCGACATTACCAGCCATGGACTATCTGACCGTCTATGCGATTGCCGTCAACGAGACCAACGCCGCCGGGGGTCGGGTGGTAACGGCACCCACCAACGGAGCGGCGGGCATCATTCCCGCCGTGCTAAAGTATGTGGTGGAATTTGTCAGTGACGATCCAGAGCGCGACATCCCCATTTTTCTGCTGACGGCAGCGGCGATCGCTTCACTTTTCAAACGCGGCGCCACAATTTCAGCTGCTGAAGGTGGATGTATGGCCGAGGTGGGCGTGGCATGTTCAATGGCCGCCGGTGCGTATGCCGCCTGCATGGGTGCCGGACCCGAGACCATCGAACAAGCTGCGGAAATCGGCATCGAGCACAACCTTGGTTTGACCTGTGACCCTGTCGCCGGGCTCGTCCAGGCTCCTTGTATTGAACGCAATGCCCTTGGCGCCGTCAAGGCCGTCGCCAGCGCCAACCTTGCCTTGAACAGCGTTGCCGGTCTTCAAAAGGTCTCGCTTGACGATGCCATCCGTGCCATGCGCCTCACTGCCAAAGGCATGAAAGACGAGTTCAAAGAGACCAGCCTCAGTGGCTTGGCCACCAGTGTCCCATTGAATATTCCTGTCAGTGTTCCGGATTGTTGATGGATTGCCAAATCTCAGGGAGCGGGAGGTGGAAATCTGAAAGCGTATATTTCCGCGTGTATTCACCTTGCGGGACAGGCTAGAATTGAAGCAAGGATGATGGTGACGGTGTCAATCTAGTGGGTTTCGAATTCCTAGGCTGTGACGACATGTCTTGACGTTCTGTTGTGGCGCACAACTGGCTGGAAGGTAATTGTTGGATAGAAAAAGGCTGTAGCTTATCGAGGATAATGAAAGTCCAATGGATCAGGACGCTGCGGGCTCGTCCTTGCAGCTTTGGATTGTGTGATCGAGAACGATTCCACAACGTCATGACCTTCTGACCAGATTCCAAGCTCATTCGCCCACGAATGCCATGCTCTTCCTCAATTCTCTCTCGCGTTGTTTGCTCTGTAACTCGAGCCTGTCAATGGCATATTGCAGTCTCTCTTTCTTCTGTTGTAAACGCTTCATCTCGAGTGATTTGGTGTCGGACAGACCAGTCCCGGAGGAGGCGGTGGATTTGAGACTTCGAAAGGGCAGAGTGTTGCCACCAAGGCTTGAGTTCCTCCGATCATTGTTTAGTCTACCTTCCAGTAGTTCTGATCTCGCCTGTAGACTAGCCTCTTTTCTCTCAAGTTGGTGAACATGTCTCTCGGCAGTGGACACTAACTGGTGAATCGCAGGAACTATTTCATCAACCAGGGATTGTTGTGCCTCTTTCAGGGTAGGCTCGGCCAGGAGTTCAAAATGTTGTTGAGTCTGGAGAACCTTGCATAGACGAGGAAAGTCAGATACGCCTTGATCGAGGATGGAGATGCTGGAATCTAGCAGAGACAGCGAGGATTTCAATGAGGTAACGGCGGACCCTAAAGATGCCATGATGAGGAGGAATATAGGGACGGTGCTGAAATGATCTGTGATCGTTCGTTCTTTATCAGGTCCCTCAGTAAACAACTTTTGCATGCGTCAGTCCCCCGCGACGCGTCCGGCCACCGGCAGAACTGATTTTCCGAGTCCTTATGACAAACTCAACCAACCTGCCAAGATCATATCCAAATCCGGTTAGATTCTTCAAAGCTTCAGGAACATGAACGTGAGAGCTCAACCTGACCGATGAACGTTGATTGAAGGCAAACCCGTCACCGTCCACCATCGCTCCTTCAAAATGGTTCGCTTTCTCCCCAAGAAGTTCCCCGGCAAAGTTGGTGAGCTGCTCCCTTTTCCTGGACCGCCCGAACGTTGAAATTGACTCTATGACAGCCGAGCCCATGATCCCCTTCTACGCAGCAGGTCTCATTGTCCTGTGGGCAGTCAACTCGGGCGCCAATGCCATGATGGCCTGTAAGTCGTTTCTATCAATCTTAGGGTTTATGGCAGTGTTGCTAATCCTGGGTCAACAGCGGACGAGTTCAAGAACGACCCCCGAAACCCTAATGCCAAAGCCGATTCAAAGCCAGCACAACATTAAACCTTTGATCCAAACATTATACGCATGGAAAAGACCAAGGTCGGATGAGCGTCTATCAGCGAGCTCAGTCGCGGGCTATTGTACATACATCAGGCATAGACATGTTTTGAGAAAATGGAAAAACCGCAAAGAACAAGTGTCTTTGGTCAAATTGGCCGTGATTCACTCTGAAAGCCCTGTCTTTCGCGACTTTTTTTCTTACGTGAGGGATGAATCGTGGAGATATACGCACTTTGTGAATCAATCGATCTCTGGACCATCGTTTCAAGCAGGTGGACAAGGTCACTGTTCGATCAAACTACCATTCTGATACAAGTTCGCCGAGTACCCAATGGTGCCAGTTCCCTTGGATTGAGTCCTATTACCGTTGCTTCTAACACTATCTCGTGATAAAATGGCCGATATTGAGGGAGTCGCACCACATGAACTTGCGTGAAAGTCTTCGAACACAGATGGAATCACATCACCCTATATCACGTGACCGGCTTCAATATATACCGTGTTTGTTGGCCATGGATCACAATTCGTGATATTAATTCATTATACAATCAGGCTAGCTCTGATAGCAAGATAGTAGATGCCCTTGTCAGAAATGACCACCGTTAGAATACGCTTCAAGGTTTCTGACATGCCGTGGCTGATCCAGTTTGGTTAATTCGGACCTCGGCAATAGACGTACTCTATCGGGAGGTTGAATACTTCAGATTGATCTTTCTTCTCTTGTTTTCTATAATGTTTCGCCTATGAAAGCAAAATATTCCTGTAGGTCTTCTACATGTAGACATACAGCAATACTCTAGACATTGACCCTTTGTCGACTTCCCGAGGTTGAGTGAACGACGGCTCAAGATCAGCACCGTGCAAAATCAACACTTCAGAACCCAAAATGAAGGCGATTCACCTTCGAGAATTTGTGAAATCCAATTCGGACCTTGCCGTCATAGACATTCCAGATCCAATTCCGTCGTCCACAGATGCAGTTGTGACCATTACCCACAGTGCACTCAATCACGTCGATCTGCTATATGCACGCGGGTTGCATCAAAACAACCATATCGGTCTGGTCAAACCACCTTTTACACTCGGCCTCGAGTTCGCAGGCATTGTGAAGTCTGCCCCTCCACAGTCCGGGTTCAAAGCAGGGGATAAAGTCTGGGGATCGTCAGTTGGTTGTTTCGCGGAGCAGATCGCCGTGCCTGCCAAAAATCTCCAGCGCCTACCGGCGGGCTGGTCGCTGCGCGATGCTGCCGGACTCGGGGCTGGAACGGTGCCAGTCAGTTACGGTGCACTGGTACGTGTGGGAGGTCTCAAGAAGGGCCAAGTGGTTCTGGTCCATGCTGCGGCCGGCGGACTCGGTGTCGCGGCCGTGCAAATCGCAAAAGCTATCGGGGCCAAGGTGATTGGTACCGTGGGAAGTGAGGAAAAGGCTGTGCCGATAAGAAAGTTGGGTATTCTAGGTGTGGTCAGGTACGATCAAGAAGGGTGGGAGAAGGAAGTGCTGAAATTGACCGACGGCGTGGGCGTCGATTCCATCTACGATACTGTGGGCCTCGTGAGCAAGAGTCTCAGGTGTCTCAAGTTTGGAGGAAATATTGTGATTGCAGGGTTTGCAGGCTTGGGCGGTAAGATGGAAACGCTGGCCATGAATCGCGTGTTGTTGCGAGGGGCCAAATTGTTGGGCTACGTGAGTCTGCACCTCCCAGGTGCTATGGGTGATTGCTGACATGAAGCAGAGATACGGCGAGACGGGAAGACGACATCCAGAGGAGAATGAACTCATCTGGAGAGAACTCAACGAGCTGCTAGCCACAGGCAACATCCAACCCGTCATATATGGATCATATTCTGGACTAGAGAGCATCCCAGCGGCTCTAGATGATCTGGCAGCGAGGAAAGTCTACGGCAAAGCTGTGATTGAAATCCAACCCGAACCTCAGGTTGCCAAATTATAATGAAATTTGGTGAAATATCCTGCCTGGTGCCATCAGTTCATCACGAGTCCACCATCTACCACGAGCTGCTGTCCGGTGATGCCACTTGCCCATGGACTGGCAAAAAAACAGGACAGCACCAGCCAGATCATCCGGAGTCGTCACCTTTCTCAATGGCGTCACGCCCTTGATATGGTCAAACACCTCCCTGGGCGTAGAGGCTGAAGCATCAGTGATATCCAGCAGTCCTCCGGCGACGAGATTGACCGTTACACCCTTGGGCCCAAGATCAGCGGCCGAAGTCCTGGTAAACGCCAGTAGAGCCCCCTTGGCCGCCGTGTAATCATGATAGGGCACCACGGGGTTCTGAAACAGGTTCGTGCCGATGTTGATGATGCGACCGAAACCAGAGAGTTCGAACCCCGGAATCGCCGCTTGTGTGGTGTTTAGTGTACCCTTGAGGAAGCCTTGCAACTGCGTGTCGAAATGAGACCATGACAGATCTGCAATCTTGGGTCTCGCGTCGCCGTTGAACGCAAAGTTCCCCACGATTGCGTTGTTGACCACCGTAGTAATGGGTCTACCGTAGTGATTCTCCGCGGCGGCAAAGAGAGCTTTGACTTGTGTAGGGTCAGTGACGTCTGCTCGCACAGCCACCGCATCCAGATCTTTGGCGAGTAGTTCGATGGTCTCTGGGTCAGATCTAAAATAGTTGAGCACCACATAAGATCCTTCACGACGGAACGCGCGTGCAATGGCCAAACCAAGACCTCGAGAAGAACCTGGGGGTTCACGGAAGAATTAGTGTTTCATGTCAAAGTGGCCAATGGCCTGTTGTTGGCTTGTCCATCGAGAAACGATGAATTGGCGGTTTACCTGTAACCAGCACGACTTGATCTTTGAGTTCCATCTCTTTGTATTTGTTCCCTCTAAGCTGGGAAAGGGTAAAGTCAATTAGCAATGCTAATCATCGCAACAGGGAGTAACATGATATGCTTGGCACATCTGCTTGGTAGTGTCTCCGCACGGATCACCCCGCACAAAAACGCATTTTCATGATTTAAATTCACGAAAAATTCTACTAAAATTGCGCACGACATTGATACGTTAGGGTTCAAATTCTACGGTCACGTGGGCTACGTGGGCTCCGCTAGCTCAATGGTAGGGCGTCAGACTTCTATTTATGGTAATCTGAAGGCTGTGGGTTCGAGTCCCACGCGGAGTGCTCAAGCGCATCGTTTTTGCAGATTTTTGACATTCTTTTTGCATCTTTTTAGATTTTGAGATGCCAAGAGCTACAGTATAGTCCGTGACCCTGAACAACCCTCTATATCTATCCGAGTGAAGTTGGAGTGCCACGTGAGTGCCCTAGAGAGAAGTGCTCATGGGGAGGCTGCCCCGGAGAGAGTGTCCTGGAGAGAGTGTATAGGAGTGATTTCTAGAGCTCTGCAGGCGACTTAGCGTTAGTTGCAGCTGCTACTCGCTACGTATATTTTATAAGGACTAGTGAGATGATTTCATACATAGATCGGATTTAGCGTGTAGTCATGGCTTATTGGAGTATAGGGAACATGGATGTCGACTCATAAACAAATCTGATTAAGCACATAATATCAAGGCTACTAGTTTTGACAAACGTGACATGACCTGAATTCTCATCCTCTCATTCATTCCATGCCTCGTGCACAGTTTCAAGATCAACTGTACCTACCTCTCTGAGGTACTTTAGAATCTCTTTGCCATTCTTTTCTCTCTCAGTGTGTCCACTGCCAAAATACTCATAACGGTTTCGGTTCCCTTGCTCAGTCCTTTCAAACACGAAATCCTCCCACCGTGGATCGCGGGTGATGCCGAATCGGTGGTGACCACTACCGGGCCACGAGAGGAGCGGGCGTGATTTGCCGAATCCAGCTTTCCACCAGCCGTCACAATCATCAGTGATGGCCTTGTCTTCAAAGTGACGGACGATGATCTCGTCAAAGTCGTCGGTGGCTTCTTCTGATGGGTAGATGGCGAGATATCCTTGGCCTTGGACCTTGCGAATGACTTTGGCAATATAGGTTGCAGATATCTCGGTGTTGAGAGGGAATGTGCCACCTAGCCCGTTACTGTTGGCCTTGATATGGTTAGTGGAGCTGTAACATTGGACAGGTTATGCGTACTCACCTGCACCACGGCAAACCAGTTGGGGCAAACCAGTTGGATATCTTTGGTGCCATGATCCCAAAGTAAGTCTTGGGATATCCAATCGGACCGTCGGTCGCCCAATACTTGCTCAAAGCTCGTCCATCCTTGCCGATGGTTGGGAACAGTGGTAGGAAGTCATTCTTAAAGCCCGTCGCGGTGACAATGATGTCAACTCTTCTTTCTTTGCCATCTTCTGTCACCAAGCCATCGGCCGTCGCAAGAGAGATCCCCACATCATCAACATAATCCACTTTTGAACTTTGAATCGCTTCAATGTTTTTTTGCGTGGGGGCATTCTAGGACTTGGATTTGAGAATGTATTTGTTTCTCTGGCACGCTACTGATAAGAGGCGGGGTTGCGAAATGGTGACACCAAGGTCGTACGAAGGATACATCAATGTATAACGCAAACAATCAACATAAAGTTCTCCTACATATATCGGAAGAATGGCGTCTTAATGATAGATCGTAACTGCATACAATTGGTTGGTTCATTTGGACAGTATCTGGCTTTATATCAGACGAGCAGCAGTCGCGCAAACGAGACTCATTGAGCCGGGTTCGAGGAACAAAGAGGACCAACTCACCAGTAGCAAAAGCGGAAGCAAACATGATCAGTAGTGGGGTGCAGCCATTGCGAATTGCACGATATTTGGCTGTGATTACGAAATCTCGATTTGGAGGGGAATAAACTAGGTATTGGGAATGAATAACTAGGAATGATCATGTATCGAACGACACGAATGGATTTGAAGATGGCCTCTCGTCACAATAGCTGCCTAAAGGCTTGTAGTAGATCCAATGCTGTCACTCTGATGGATTATAGCGACAATAGCAAAAGAAACAGTAGTGAAGGGGACGAAGATGCCTCCTTGGTGCACTTCCGGTTGGAGGAAAACGCGAGCTGCGCCTCTTTTTATTCTTCTCATGTACTTCGTAATCAACCAGCCATCAGATTGGTTTGCCATCATCAGCCACAAGCGAGATATCCTAACCACAAGTGTGTTGGTGTTCTCAGTGTATGGAGTATTGTCCACGCAATGACGATACTCCTTCCCTTTTGGGATGTATTACGCCCCAATTGGGTCGAATCAACATTGGAATCCAAATCATCAAAGTCGAGATAGAAAATCAATTCTCTCATGCGGCCGCAGTTCAGAAACATAAATACCGAGTCAGAGACCCGTAGTCTCTCAGATTCAACATGCACAGCAATCTTCTTCAAGATAACTCCCATCATCAATCACACACAGTCTACGAATCACCGCCATGACATCCTCATGTAAGTCCCATCAAATCCGCGATTGATCATATGCACAGAGCTAAACAGATAACACAGTCCAAACTTCGATACCTTTGCCTGTAACGGCCAGTTTTGCCCCAGGTACGCCAGTGTCCATGACTCTAACGCATCATGACAGATTGCTAACTCCCTTTAGCATTCGCGGCCTATTTCATCCTCTTAAACCTCCGCACCAGCAAGGCTCGGGTTGAATCAAACACTTACATGGGCAATGATGTCGCCGCAACCAAACCCGACAATACCAAACAACCACTTCTTCCATCGCCTGCAGGCCACAGTCTGCAGATTGAGTCGAGGAGTCACAGCAATTACGTGGAAAATGTCCCCTTTGCCCTGCTATTGACGGCATTTGTCGAGGCCAATGGAGGGAATCCCAAAGCCTTGACCGTTTCCCTACTTGGTCTTTTATTCTTCCGAGTGGTTCACGTCGAATTTGGTCTTCGAGCCAAGAATGCACTTGGTTGGGGCAGACCAGTTGGATACTTTGGCACCTTGGCCTATGTTGCAGCGTTATCTGGCTATGGCGCATGGCTCGTTCGATCATTCTGGATTAATTGAGCTGCAAAGACGTCTATATCGTTGATGGCATCCGTTCCACCAGGATGGGATCAAAGTTGGAAAGAACCTTGAATATACAGGATAGAAATGGGAAAGGGCGTCCGTGTTTGATCTATTTTCACCTTTTCTGGACGGCAGGAGCATGTTTTCATATTCTATTTGCCTCTGCTCAACTGCGCCCACCACAATCTTAATCACTCACATCCCTATTTGTTGCCCATGCCTTTTGCTTCATGGCATATCCTCAACATGTATTTTCTCCTAGTCTGCGTCCCTATTCACAATCTCCGTCCTCTCTGACCTCACGAAACCAAAACTCCTCCCCTTTGTCTAATGCCGCCAAAGAATCCGATCCAGAACATGTTTTCACCTGCACAGTTTGCTGGACTGAACATGAATTTCCCCCGTATGTCTTTGGCCACAAGACTCGAATCGTGTGCCTCGATTGCTGGAGATGGATCTACGCTGTCAGTGTCTGCTGGCATTGTGGCGAGGTGGTCTTTAGACGCACAGATGCGATACGCTTTGGGTGGTGTTGGTGGCATTGGGCCTGTTTCTCATGCCTCATCTGTGCCGTGAATAGTCATTGATTCGCCACCGCCTTCACCGTCTGCTGACACATGACAGTCGCCTCTGACTCCCCCTTCCTACTTGGACTACAGAGGGCGACCTCACAAACGCGGAATGACTGTTATTGAACCTCCGGTGTGTACAAGGTGCAGTGACGAGTCTGACTCTGTCACCAAACTTGAACAGCACGTCCGAGCCTCTAAGACACCGCCTTCCGAGATCAAGACACCCATTCCGCTAGTGACAAGTCCGTCATTCATGGTATCCTTGAGTCATCCCCTAGACGCATGTCCACCCAGTCACCGTAATCGTTCTTCACTGTCACGACCACAGCCCGCATGGATGTCACTGCTTCCATCCCAGAGGCGACCGAGTACGGCGGCCAAATAACAAAGCTCAAATGACACGGCTAAAACACAAACAGTTGAGGCCCCGAGATCAACTACAAATTCTATCCCACTAGCGAATGTGTCAATGATAGACCTCACAAATCCCTCGTCAGAAATGCGCCCTAACCACACACCACTGAGAACATCTACCTCATCTTCAACCACTTCATTGAACCCTCCACCGAATGGAAGACACAGTGGATCCGGACTTGGAGGAGTCGATCGACGAGACGATATTCGAGGTCCTCCCAGGCACGATCGACGACTTGTGCGAAATGCTGGAGGCAATAGAGGATGGGGACTTGCCGATGCTCAGTTTCTACCTTCTGACGACGAGATGAAAAGCACTGGTCCCACGGTCGTGGAGAATCTTCAACAGATGAACCCCTCAAAGGCTCCACGATTGTCGGTAGAAGGTGAAGCACTGCCCCAGAAACCCCGATTCTCGCGTCGTAAACAATCACCAGGAGTCATGGAAGGAGGGAGGTGCCAGGTGGAAGCATCACATACTCGGCTACCGTCTCAGGATACTGCGGCTGCGCGAAATCCCATTTTGAAAGAACTCTCTGGGTTTCTCGTCAGTCGCACGGGGAGATGGATTCTACCTAGCCGGGTGACGGCGGTCAAAAGGTCAAGCAAAGCGGTTCCACAGAATATTTCTCAAAGTGGTCTGAGTGTGGCTTCAGAAAAGGACACGAGTTGTGATCGGTGCGGAGCGGATATGACAGATTGGTGGGTGAGGAGGGAGAGTCAAATCGAAGCAAAGACAAGGGCTGGTGGGACGGACAAACGCCAGGCGTGCCAAAGTTGTCTGGACGATCCTGATGTTCCTAGTGCGTGCCCGTGAATCGCGATAGATGAAATAAGCTGTGACCTGAATAGCAAAAGACCGACAACTCTTGACCTTTGTTCTATGCTACTGTGCTTGACGCGTTCAAAATAGCGATTCCATTAGCCGGACTAGAATGCCATGTTATGGACACAAAAGACAACAGGACAAATGTCGTTGCATATATCTAAGTAGTGAATATATCGTCTATGCTGAAATTAGTCAAACATGAAGAAACATAATTTGTACAGTCTAGGCATACAATGCGCCTGGCGAATGAACCAGCATTGGCATGAAGCGGCGGAACAGGAGGGTGGATGTAGCTAGTATCGACTCATGAGCCACACTCTACGCTTCTCATCCCCAAATTCTCTCAATTTCTCCGCCAGACTCTCAGCAACGGCCAGGTAGTCGTCGACCAGGGCATAGCCGAGCCCTCTCCGGAGCACCTTGTCCCTATCAAGAGCCTTGAGACTGAGTTCGAGCGAGACTGGCAGTTTCGTGGTGATGCCCAATTCCGCTCTGGCCTCTGGTCCCATTTGCGTGGGATCGCCCAGGCAGTCCTTGTAGGCGAGCGGGAGCTCGCTGCGCAGGCCATGAATACCCGCCGCGAGGAGGGCCGCCATGCCGAGATACGAGTTGCCGATGCCATCGATGGTCTTGAGCTCGTAGTGACCTGGGCCGCATTTCCGGAGCGGAACCTCCTTGTTCTGGCTCCCCCAGCACACATATTCGCCTCCAGCCCAGATGCCGGCTCCAATCCGGGCGTAGGATTCTTCTATGGGGAGGGTAAATGCCAAAATGGAGGGCAGATGTTCGAGGACGCCAGCCAGGAACGAGTCTTCAAAGCGTGACAGTGTTTCCGGTGGACCGTTGATGCTGAAGTGGGCGTGACAGGCACTGCCACAGGTGGCGGCAAAGGGGCGTGGGTAGAGGGTGGCTTTGAGACCGTGCTTCTTGGCGATGTTGCGTATGACATCTTTGGCCTTGAAGAGGTCGTCAACGGCCTTGACAGGTTCAACAGGAGGCAGGGCAAATTCCCACTGTCCTGGAGCAGATTCGGCATGGAAGACGGGGAGGTGGATGTCGAGCTCACCCAGACTCTCGACAATCTCCTCGACCATGGGAAGAGCATCGAGTTGTTGAAAAGAGAGATTTGTCCACGAATGGTTCAAATGCAAGGGTTTAAAGTCGACAAAGTCAGAGCCATCCTCATTGTAGACAGGGCGCATGAATACAACTTCGATCTCGAAGCCCATCAAAATGTTGATGGAAAAGTCGGCGCGCAGGATGTCGGCCTGGTACTGCAAGGTGGAACGCGGACATCGGTCGTAGGGTTCTGTGGCAGGAGGGTGATTCGTATCTGCCAGCCACCAGGTTTGTACGGTGGCGGATGGGGAGGAGAGGCCTTTGTTGAGGCGCAAGGTGGACAAGTCAGGCTGTAGGAAGAATTGACCGGTGCTCGAGCAACCGGTCGCGGCTTGATCGTCTTGCAACAACCTGGTCAGAGCCGTGGTGACGTAGGAATGGTTGTTGGCGGCGAGTTGTTTGCGGAATTGAGGGACGGTCACCATCCGATTCCGGAGCGTGCCGGTGTAGTCGAGAAATTGAAGCCAGACGTACTTGAGGGAGGGATTGGCCTGCATAAAGGCATCGAAGACGGAGACGGACTGGGCAGAGAGAGTATGGGTCGAGTATGCTGTGGGGCCAGTGATGATGCCAGGTCGGAGGGCCAAGGTGGAAGACGTGCCTTGGAGGGGCAACAGCGAGGCGGAGGGCCTTAATTCAGAGGGACCGGCGACAGTGACGGCGGTGCTGACATTGGAACGGAATGAAGGAGTCTTTGAACCGCCGTTGACGAGGGTCCTCAGACTTTCGTCCGAGGCTCGTCCACAGGCGTGTAACAACTCGGGAAAGCGACGTTCTTCGTCGAGTTTGTACAAGGAATTGGAGTTCCAAAAGAGAATGTCGACGGCGAGGTCAATGGCTTGGGCGACGGTCATGTCGTTGGCCGCGACGTAGACGGTCAACAGTCTCTCGAGCGCCTCACGGAATTGTTTGTTGGCCAGCCAATATGTCTCGGGGTAGAAGTGGCCATCGGTACTCCAGAGGATTTTGGAGCTCGGGGTGAGTTCGAGAGCCTGTCTCAAGACGGATTCTTCTCCGTCTCTGGACAGCATGGGAAAGACTTCGCCAATGTCAAGCCAGGCGTTGGAGTAGGATGTTGCTAGGTAGCCAGCCTCTCGAGTGTAGGGATAGGCAGAGTGGAGAAGGATGAAGTCAACGTTGGGGAAAGCCTCGATGAGGGGCTGCATCAAAGCAGGGTTGGACTTGACCAGGTTGATGTCGGTATCGCCCAGACCGGTGTGGAATTGAAAGGGGACGTTCTCGCCGTCGGTGTCGATGAGCTTTTCGAGGACATCGCAAACGGCGACGACGAGATAATCGTTGACTTCTTTCTGCTCGATGCGGTATTTGTGATCGCCAACTGCACGCTGGAGAAAGTCGTGGAAGGACTTGAGAAGGACAGACTCGGTCAGAGATTGTTGAGGGCGAAAGTTGTTGCGGCTGTCGAGCGAGACGTCGAGGCCGGTTCGATAGCAAACGACGGACTTGAAGCCTCTGACATCGGGGTCGTTGGCCAAGGTCCTGATCTGGTTGCGGAAGACGGTGTTGAAGCGAACGAGGAAGCTTTCTGTCTGGCTGATGTGCCAGTCAGCGTCAAGACCGACTCTCATAAAGCCGGCGGCGTGCGCGAGATGCTCAAGCAGGTCGGCGGCGATGGCTTCGATCCTCACGATGCGTGAGACGGTGGGGACAAACTGACGATGCCATTTGTAGGAGTGGATGATGTCAGGGGACAGTCCATCGTCCATGAGGATGGCATGTGTTCCTTGGAGAGATCGCTTGATCAGGGCGGTATAGTCTCTGCGGATCCACTCGTAGCGTGCAGATTTGACATCTTGTAGAGTTTCTGGGCATTGATAGAATTGGGCGAGCTGTTTGACACCGCGAATATGAGGTAGTGCGGTATGGACATGGTCCAACAAGGCATGGCCCTGGGCTTCCGAGGTAATGGATTCAAATGGGTATTCTGATCCGCCCAAAGCATTGTCTTCGGTCAACAAGTTATGAGCGTGGTTATCAATGATGGGAAAGGTTTGGATGATAAGTTGGAGGTCTTGGATGGTGGCACTGTCGAGGTCGGAAACATGATGGAGATTGGGATAGTGGACAGGGTACGAGGCCATTGATGTGAGGGAGCGGGGGGAGAATGGCAGATCTGAGGATCGACTTCGTAGAGCATGCGACAAGGAGGGATGAGCTGCAAGACGGGGTAGTGTGGGCGGGAGTTCTTTGTGGGAGGATGGTAGGATCAAGTGCGAAGATGACAGGCGCAGCTTGATGCTAAGGTGAGGTGGAGGAGGAGATGGATCGACAGTGCATAAGGATGTATTGGGGCTCGCAACCAGCCGAGAGAGATGGATGGGTGAGAGCGAGAAGAGAAGCAAGTACAGAGATAGATAGGGAAGAGAAGAGACGAGGGATATGGGAGGGGATGTGATGGGAGGAGTTGTCCGTCTCGTGGGTGGTTGTGATTGTGAGATGGTCACGACAATCTTTCCATTCTTTCCGTACTCTGTAGGAAAATCCCCGTCCCCAGATTTTGGGGAAACTGCGTTGGTGACTGGGTGAGTGCCTGACGCGTTGGTAAGTAAATGCACGGTTGGTCAAGGCTCAAGAGGCTTTGGTACCTCCGTAAGCATTGCAGGGCATAGCATACGAGAACTCGTACCCCTTCCTTACCTAGAGGTTACAGGTAGGTAGGTAGGTAGGTACCAAGACACCAGGGCTGCACGGCACCACGGGTACCTTAGTTAAGGTAGGTTTAGGGGCCCTTGGTCCTGATGCAAACGTTATCGACGATGCTGCGGGTCGTGTTTCACGATGCTGGTCAATGTGGAGAAGATGACGGTGTGAAATAGTGGCAGTAGTGCCCGTAGTTAAGAAAGCACCCACGCCCATGAGACAGATTTGATAATTCCATACCTAGGTCCTTACTCGTACGTAGGTGGCCCAGAGCCAAGTCTCGCCTAGCTTAGGTACAGTCGGAGCAGTTGTGATCGACACCACCAAACAAACGGCCTAAGAAAATGCTGGTAACCGAGCACGCCGGGGCGGTTGGTTGGCCAAATACAGCCTGCAACAATATACGGATAGATTCAGAGTGCAAGGTAACGAGGCAACCCATAAGGAATTTCCTTGTAGTCTCATTACTTTTTCCATTATTCTTTAGGGACACCTCAATCATTGTGCGACAGACAGGTTGTGTGCCTTCCCTACAAACTGGATGACGCTTAAGGAAGTCGCGTCCTTGACCGTGTCAAACTCGGGTAATTACGCAATCATCTCAATCAACGACTGTCACTTCACTGACCACGAGTGCATTTCCATTGCAATGGTGATGAGATTCAATGTTGACCAACGCTCATTCGCAACAACACCCCCATATCCAACTCATGTCCAACTCAAAGTACTTGACGTCAGCGATGCCAACTCTCCCACTACATCCCTCAACATGACCTGTATCCTCTCTCGACAGCCTGCGTTTACCCTGACGCACCTGGTCTCACCCAGCAGGGCTGTCCCGTCACACAATGTCCACGCCTTTGAACCCGTTGAAACGTGCCACTGACAGTGCCGACCGCTCGTGCCGCTCCATCAGCCCTCCCCCGATCCGCAGAAAGTTCCGCCCTGACCCTGACTCTGACACACACCACGTGGACTCCCACACCGCACAACCACGCCCCCAGCCGCAGTCAATCTGTATCTTCAGTTGGAATGTCAATGGCATCGGACCTTTGCTTCAACGGCATTTGTCATTCCATCCATCAACCTCACAAGCCCTCTCTCCATTAAGGCTCTTTCTTCAACGTCACCAATGGCCCCAGTTTCTCTGTCTCCAAGAAGTCAAGATTGCCAACAATGACATTCCTACTCAGCGGAGTCTTCAATCCGCTGCGAATTATGGTGCCCTGTCCAACGAACATACTTACACAACCTTCTTTTCCCTCCCGACGGACAAGTACAACGCAACAGGGTTCGGCGGCAAGGTATATGGCGTTGCAACCCTCGTACGAGATGACAGCGTCCCTAACGTGAACATGACCTGGACGCCGGCGTGGAGCCTCGAAGGTCGGTTGCTCATTCACGAGATGACCGATGGAATGGTCGTCATCAACGGCTATTGGGTCAACGGCACCTCCAACCCCTACCGAAACCCCACTAGCGGGGCCATCCAAGGCACTCGCCATGACTACAAACGAGAATTCCACCGACGTCTCCTTGAACACGTTGTCCGATTCCAAACACACAACAAGCATGTTGTCTTGGTCGGCGACATGAACATTGCCAGATCACGCCTCGATGGCTATCCGAACCTCCGCACCACCCCCATTCAGCACGTCAAGAACCGGGCCGACTTTAACGACAAGTTCTTCAACTCCGAGGTCGGTATGCGCGGTGTTGATGTTTTCAGACACGTCAAAGGCGACCAACCCAAGTACACGTATCATCCGCGCGGTAATAAAAGTTGGGGCCACAGCTGTGACCGAGTTGACCTGATCATCGTCAGTGAATCCATGATAGATGCAGTCGTCGACACGGATATTTGTGACAGTGCGACTGAGCGTGGACACAGTGATCATGTTCCGCTATGGGTCTCTATTGATCCCTCTAGGATTAGAACCTGCAGGCCTCCGACGACGGCAACAGTAATGGAGCAAATTGAACAACAAGTAACGGCGCGTTGACCCGCTCTGGTGGAGTCGATTCTCGGGTGGTCACGTGCATCAGATCTACCGAGATCGGCCGTCGACGCTTTGTAGCGGCAGATTCTCATCTAATGTCGTTGTATGTTTGTACAAATATTCCATCGTCCCACATTGAACCTGCAACATCTCCACCCATGTCCATCCAAGTCCTGTCGACCTTGGAGGGTGCTCTTTTGGGTGTAGACCAAGTGAGTCTGCACGAGTCTCCCCTCGAGGTCACGGACATCCACCAACGACCGGCGCCATGCTCTCTCTTAAGTCGATGCCGGTGGCCGCCTTCAGCAATGAGCCCAAGACAACTATCCAACAGTTGCCAGTGGAGATTCTTGATGACATTGCCCAACAAGTCTTCGACGATGGACTGAGACAGATTGACACCCTCACTCCCTTCGCTTCTACATGTCGCCGCTTCCGTGAATCCGCCCTCCCTCTTCTCTTCCGTCGAGTCTCACACGCCGTCCACCACTACAACGACGACTGTGCTGGTGGCAATCTGCGTCGCCTTGTGGCACATCCACATCTGTTGACCTCCGTCCAGACCCTCCACATTACCATGCCCTTTGACCGTCCTAGCACTGTCCCGCAAGCCCTCGCCCACGCCGTTGTGCCTTTGGTGGCCCGGCAAGACGACCTTGAGCTGGAGCCGTTGCGCAAGGCTCTACCTATGATGCATCTACTTCGTGGTGTTCGGTATGAGAAGAAACTCCACCTTCTACCCCTCCCATTCCCCACCTCGTGACCAATGCAGACGTTCACTCGGCCGCTAGATGGCCAGATTGTTGACCCCCAGACTAGTTTTGAATGTCCCGCGGACGCAGCCTACCGAATTCTTCTCATGTTGCCAACAGACCGCACGTACGAGATCATCTTGGATCGTATATACCCAAGTCAAACATGGCCCGACCCTCGATTGCTCGTGGCCAAGTTGCCTGTGATCGTGTCGTGTCACAAACTGAGTGTTGGCATGGTTGGGGATTGTGCGACGGCAGACGACGTGACGACTCCTTTGCTCCATCAGGCCTTACTGAGGGCCTCTGCGGTCCATCTCCCTGCAGAATGGGTAATCGGAGATGGGATCGACAACACCATGCACTCCACGTCGCCGTCGATGTTTGGTAAGGATGACGCTCTAGAGGAATTGTTTCTCCAACCGAGACGCTGCCCACGATATCGACCCATCGAGTTGCACGAGTTGCACGTGACACCATCAGATTTCCCATGGCAGAGACTACGGCGACTGTCACTGGACCTGGGAGGGTTTCTGGCCGAGTTTTGGCGCTATATTGGCCCTCGATTGACCATGCTAGAAGCACTCCGGATTCACGGACCCATTGGACCAAGTTACTCCTTGGCACATGGCGATGCTCGACACTATACTCGGCGACTGGCGAACGGCAATGGCGAATATGTCGACGGACTAGCTCACGGGTTCGACTTGACCAATCTGCAGAACCTCCGCGAGCTGGAGATCAACGGCAGGAATTTCTCAATGCCCATGTCCAAATTGGTCGGTCCAGGATTGAGGCGGCTAAGACTGCACTCGGAGAATGTGCAGTTGTACGCGTTCCAGTCGCGAGATCAGAGGAGTCCAGGGGAGATTATGGAAGCAGCACGACGGGCGCCAGATCTGGAACATCTGGAGCTAGACATTGGATATATCGACAATCTGTGGCACCCCACGGCGATTCCTGGGGTGGACGTGGACGTGGAGCAATACTCATTCTTGGACGCCATCACTCGGTTTCGACGGCTGCGCTTCCTTCGGCTGTTTCCACCGTTTGTGGCCAGAGGCGAAACCTTTGACTATAACCGGGCGCGTCTGTGCGTGCCGGTGAGTGACGACCAAGCCATCCGACTGTTTGAACACGTACGCAAGAAATGTCCACGCTTACAGATGCTGTCGATCGCTGCGGTGCCGTATGCGGTCAGAACCCACACCATGAGCTGGGAGGTCAAAAGGCACGGTTCCCAGACTGTCCTGACGACACGACACCGGGATAAGAATTATCAGCACCGACAGGTCTGGGTCGGCCAACGTCGACTCAGCAGCGAGATCCAGCGGTTCACCAAGAGGACACCTTACCTGCCAGAGTCGGAGTCATGGACATTGTCCGATCTCGAGTGGGAAGACCGCATGAGAGTGGCGTAGGGTAGTGAATGTCTATTCATAGCCCTCGATTCGATCTACCGAGTACTTGTCGAATGTAATTAAAAGAACATCAAGTGGAGTAGACGCGGGCATGTCCGTCCGAGAAGTACTCAGCTTGTCATTCAAGACCAGTTGTGTTGACAGATCAATTTCAGCTGTTGCTGGAGTGGACCTGTAGACTTGTTATAACGTAACTTTGACGAATATGAGATGTCACGGCATTGTGAGTTGCTACGAACAACGGTTCTGAAGGACCACTCGGACCGAGAGGCTATGTAAGGAGTCTTGAGGTCTTCAAGACCACGCAGCCATTCAAGAGGCCGAGGGGGTGGCTTGTGAATCTCTTATTGTAATAGTGCGTTCGACGATCTCGGTGGAAGAAGGATCGCGTACACTTGTCAGAATACGGAGCCAATGATCTCTACTCAATGATCTCTACTCCCTACTGTAGATAATACAGATAACTCATGAGCTAGGGTGTAAATCCCACCAATACCCTTTCACTTTATAGGATAGCCTATTCGTAGACATGGTGACATGCCGAACCACGAAATATGCCGACTTGAATCATCCGGACACGGCGTCCGGCACTTGGCGTCAACGAGAGCCGCTCCGGAGCGCACGGTGTAAAGTCAGGGATGATGATTGGAGCAGTCTAGACTTTTCACTCCATAGACTTCTCTCTGGAAGAAGAATCAACTTTTACTCGGTAGATTCCCCAGATATCCACACTCACAAAATCTTCCAAAACAAGCTCTTGTGGCTCTTTGCCAGGGGGAGGGGCGCTTGGTTGTCACTGGCATCTTCACGATGTCTTCCTCGCCCTTTCAATTGGTCAATTTCCCCTTGAACCAAATCCAGTTCTCAGTCCCCTTATGCCACCAAAACTACAAGAATGAGGTGTGTTCCTCGCCTCTCACATGAAACATTTTGTCTGTAATGTGAATCACTATCAGAGCGACCTTTTCTACTGTGCCTCGAAATTCTTTGTCTGCGTTTGCATTTGCATTTGCATTTGCATCCATCGCAATCTTGAGCATCATCCATTTTCTCGATACACTCAGTCGCCTCCACAATGGCGTCAACCACACAGGCGATTTCGTTATGGAGCATTTTCACGTTATTGTTGTTCCTCACCACATCGGCATTTTCCCTGCCCACCAGTTTACAGATTTCGCTTCGAATGCACGACAAACATCTCCTGCCCGCCTGGGCCCAGGGTCTCATCCCACCACCGATAGATCATAATGTCCAGGACAATGACGACATTCCTGTTCGAATCGACTATCCAACAATCACACCTGTTGACGCCGATGGAATGCCAACTGGAGCACCGTCGACCCCTACGAATTTGTTGATCCGGCTGGACCAGGATCGTAGGTGATGACACGTCAATCATGTCCCTGGAAGACTATCACTATATTCACGAAGCATTGTTCCTCCACGACAACTTTTGGACGCCATTCTAAGAAACCAGTCGAGATTGTGTTGAATACCTGACCAAGTCACGTTGGCACAGCAATTCTTAGGTATACCATGTCCAATCCAAGCAGAATATCCATGATCTTCTTCATCATCTGCTTGGCAAACACGGCGATATGCCATCGAACGTCACCAGTCCTGACCATATCTGCCAAAGATGTAGATTAGGGACCTACCTCCTCATGTCGGGTTCGTTTTCTGACCGTGCACACATGCAATGGAACGTTCTTTGACTTCCACTGCACTGCTTGCACACTACGGAGCACAGCTGGCGCCCTTCAGCCGCCGGCAGTGACAAAGTTGACAAGCTGGTCGAGTTGAGCTTAAGCAGAATAGACTTCGATTCTCGGAACAAGCATCATCATTGGTCCGATGTCCGTTCCGCACGGTGGCTTGCATCTTGCATCTCCATCGAGTGTCCGACACTGTCAATATGGGTAAATATCGAATGAGACGTGGTCGATTAAAGAGTGACACTGACAGTGGTGGTCACTGATGATGTGTCCGATGTGTCCGACCTAGCTAGATTCTTCAGCCTTGTCGTATGCAGACCAGGTTTGTCTTCTACCTTGTACATACTACATGTCTGCCACACGTGTCTGCCTACATGTACATAAATAGATAGACAACATCGAAAGGCTGAATGGGCACTGTCTGGCGCAAATTGGCGTACGGAGAATGTCCAAGCTATGACCATCGACATCGCATCCACTTGGTCAACTGCCAAGTACTACGGCGATGACGACGACGACGAGGCCGATGCCGATGGCGGGCACGGTCACCTCGCATCGTACCAGGCCGGGCCCCGATGAACCAACCAATCGACCTACAAAGTCTATATTTTAAACACTTCGATGGTCCCCCTCCCAAACGACCCATTCTTGAATGATATCGGAGAAGAGATCTATCAGAATACATGTCAAAAGTCTGAAGAAGGTATTAATAGATGCTGACGTACCTGCATACGTATGTACTTGGGCACTATGACTATGACTATGACTATGCCTTGTATAGTAGTATAGGCTAAGAATCCTTCTATGAGAATCATTACGGGTCATTCATCGACGAGATTTGATGGAAAGAGAGGAAGGAGACCGGAGTGAGTCATTGGTCTCCCCTCATTGAGCAGCAATAGTACGGAGTAGTGTTAGGACTGTTTGTCACCAAACATAGAATATCGTTCAAGACATCCCCACAGTTGGCAGAAACTTTATGGGTTTGTGTTACAGCCGAACGACCTGAAAACACTACGGAGTACCTGAAAACACTCTTCTCCCCGCCCCCAAGCGACAGGGGTTTTCTAGACTCTGGGTGACTGGGCTCTATTATTGTATTTACTTCCCCAGAGTGCATACGTAAGTTAGTATAGTACACTTCATCACTGGATCATGTCGACCGAGTCCTGACCGGAGATTAAATAAAAAATCAAAGATAATAGTATGTTGGAGTCTGATTCATTCAATACACGTCTGTTGTTTGATTCATTGACTAGGTATTTCGACCGTCAGTCTGCTACAATCTGCCTCCATATACCTCCATATGTCTATAAACTATTGTCAAGATCCCTCAGTCCGACGCATTAACCCTCAGTACTGCCCGTCAATGGTCAAGGTGCCAGTCTTGGAAATCAGGTATTCATTCACAGCAACATCCTTTCCGGATTCCTTGCCATAGCCAGACTCCTTGATGCCACCAAACGGCGATTCCGCTGCTGATTGATTGCCGGTGTTCTGTAGAGGACAAGGTCCAGGTGGTTAGCTTGAATTCTTGCATTCTCATTGTTTTGCATTCTCGCCAGCCTTTCAAAGGAAATCTTACCAAACCAATCATGCCAGCTTCCAGGTTCTCCAACATTCGCCATATCCGGTCCACATTTTTGGTGAATGCATAACTGGCGAGGCCCATACTGGTGTCGTTGGCCCACCGCACCGCCTCTTCCTCTTTTTCAAACTTGAAGATTCCACAAATAGGTGCAAATGACTCTTCTTTGAAAATGAGCATGTCGCTCGACATGTCGGTCAGAATGGTGGGATCCATGAAATATCCGCCCACTCCGTTACCGCGCCCACTGCCTTCACCTTCAGTCGAGTTCTTGTATGCTTTACCTGTGCCTAGGACGACCTTGGCTCCGCGTTTGATCGCGTCGGCTGCCTGCTCTTCGGCTTTGGCCAGACCGCGCGGGGTGGTGACCGGTCCCATGGTGGTACCCTCGGTGGCACCGTGACCGACCTTGAGAGTCTTGGTCTTTTCCACCAACATCTGGGTAAACTTTTCATAAACTCCGGCCTGCACGTACAGACGGTTGGCGGTGATGCAGGCTTGACCAGCATGGCGCCACTTCAAGGCCATAAATTGCGCAAGTGCCTGGTCGAGGTCGGCGTCGTCAAACACGATAAACGGGCAATTGCCGCCGAGTTCGAGCGTGCATTTCTTCAACCCCTTGGCACAGAGACCTGCGACAATCTTTCCAACACGGGTCGATCCGGTAAAGGTGACCTTTTTGGTGAGTGGGTGGACGATCAAAGCCTCAGAGAGGGATGGAGTGTTTTCCAGAGAGGTGGTGAGGACGTTGAAGACGCCCGGTGCGAAGCCTGCTTTGGAGGCAAGATAGGCCAGGCTGAGGCAGGTCAGTGGGGTCTCTGGACTGGGTTTCACGATCATGGTACAGCCGGCGGCAAAGGCGGCGCCGGCCTTGCGCAGGATCATGGCAATGGGGAAATTCCACGGCACCAAGGCGACGGCGACACCGATCGGCTGCTTGATGACAAAGGTCCGTCGGTTCGGCGCACTCGGGACCGACACTGTTCCTTGAATGCGTTCGGCCTCACCTGCAAACCACCAGGTGAAGCCTAGTGAGTAGTCAAGTTCGGCGTATGCCTCTGGCAGGGGCTTTCCCGTTTCATAAGTCAGGATCTTGGCCAGGTCATCTTTGGCGGCGGTGATGAGTTCGTGCCATTTTAACAGCATCTGTGCCCGCTTGCGAGGGTTGACGATTGAGTATTCTTTAAAGGCCTTGTAGGACGACTGGACGGCAGCGTCGACATCTTCTACGGCGTTGTCAGGACACGAAGCCCATTTCTTGTCGGAACCAGGGTCAATGATGTCAAATCGTTTGCCAGATTTGGACTGCACCCATTTTCCATCAACATACGAGTCTTGATGCAACAAGTCCTTGTCTTTCAACTCGAAAGGCAATTGTGGCTGGGGCATTTTGGCGGCGGGAAGAATATCTAGAAGAATGGGTTTGGATTGGAACTTGACAAAGGAGAATAAAAAGCGAAAGAGAGAAAAGGTGTATTGACCTAGAGGGTGTCAACACAGAATATTGAAGAATCAATGGAACAAGGGGAGAATCGGAGATGTCAGCTGCGGAGTCAAGCAGATCAACACAATCATTGAATAAAATATGGTCTGGGCATGTAGAAGGGAGTGATGACGGTTTGGGGTCACCGATCGTCGGTTCTCGGGATGGTATGGTATGACACCACACGGTTGTTAGGTCCGCGGGTAAATAGAAGAGCGACACAAGAGAGGATGAGTGGTTGTGGTTGTGTGAGTGGGAGGGAGAGAGGAGAGGGACGCAGGGACAAGAGGGAGAAAGAAACCCCGCAGCCAGAGTTGGCAGTTGTGGCATTTTTCTTCGGCAGGTGCGCAGACAGGCAGAAGAACTGCCACAACCAACGGCAGTCGGCAAAACAACTTCCTCGAATCTCTGAATTCTCTGAACACTCTGAATCCTTGAATCCCGGAATCCCCTCTACTCTAACAACCTCGTGAACCCCTCCTTAGCCTCGTCTTAGTCCCTATCTCTGGACCAATCGATGTATATTATCATGTTTCTATCGGCGCATTCTCCGAGGTGGCCCACCTCTTCTTCCGAGACGCGGGCTGTGAATTTCGAGATGAGGCTAAGCATGAACAATATGTACTCCATATGTGGGTATGTAAGCCATGTCCTGTGCATATGCCATTGTACTGAGCGGATCTATAGATCTATCTCCAATTGGACAGTCACCGCCGCGATCGGACCACATACCATGTCTCCTACATCTCTACCTCTGAATCCATCCTGGCTCATCTGCTCAAACCTCTAATCTCAATCGGTCCCTGTTCGACTTCTTCCGTACCCTCCCCCCGCGAGCACTGGCTTGGCCGGATCCCAGGGCCCAATGACCACATTTTTGTATCGTTGCAATCCAATCAACCACCACGAACATCCTCCCATGACAAACGCCGTACTGAACCCACCTATAGATAAACCTATCGTGCTCCGTAAAATGACATGCCAAATCCACCCGAGGCAATACCCGCAGTCTCCGTAGGTGTGAGTATATGACTGTGAGAGAATCAGACCCAAACCGCACGTCGACATGACGACCAGGCCGACCGTCAGTAACAAATGTGAGTTGAATGACTTGTGCCTGAGATGCCGCCGAAACACGGGGAACAGCCCAAAAACTTGGATGGAGAACAAGGACAGACTAAACACAGCGGTGGTGGTCACAAGACGCGAAGCCAACACCGTACTGGCCATCAAAGCCGCGTTTGTGGAAAGTGACGATGGAAATGGAGGAGCCCGTGTCGAAGTGTGCAGGGAACCACTCGCGTTGGATGAAAGCGCATTGGATGCTCCCGGCGACACGGGGACGGCTTGCGCTTTGGCAGGGACATAAAGACTCCCATAGTCGAACAAGAAAATGTTGATGATCAAGAGCCACGTGGCCAGAGCCCAGATGGAGTCTGAAGACGTCGATTGTGTCAAGGATTTTAGGATTGGCGACAGTCCGAGCAGGGCAAAGTAGATCAGACATGCAGATTTGAACGTTTTCCGACGTGCCTGAGACCGAGGGGAGAGGTTGGTCGGCGATGGTGTGCTGGTGGGTGACTGTGGGAGTTGCGGTAGGGACACGGATGGCGCGAGGTTGGGAAATGCCTCGATTGCATTATCATTCAGACCGTCAATTGGAGAGATGGACTGAAAAGATGATTTGGAAAGTGACTGCGTGTGCTTGCTGGCGACTTTATGTTGATGGTTTTTGACCGCCAGATTCTTGGTCGACAATCTCAGTCCACTACCACGCCCATTCAGTGACGCGGCTGAATATCCATTAGCATGCCCATTGGCGTATCCATTGACATGGCCATTGCCGTTCAACACCGGCTTGGCCAAGTCTCCAGAACTTGTGCTTGATCGGTCATCCACGTCGAGGGACTGCCTTTTGGCCTTGAAACTCTGCGCCAATTCCTCCCGCTCTTCCTGTCCCATCCAACCGTCCCACAGCACCCATCCCACAATTGTTGCGATCGAGCCGCACGTCACCACGGCGACCGGAGAAAGTCGATCTTGGTAGATGCCGGCATAGGCACAAATATAAATCGCGACGGATGCGACATGTTGGACAATGACCGTCGAGTCTGCCACGAGCGGCCAAAAGTCATATGGCCTCAACCTTGGATTCCTCTGCAAATGGTCCAGAAAAGTTTCCGTGTCGGTGTAATTATCCGGGAAACCATGTTGTTTGATCCAAAGTAACTTCTTCCACACATGAGGTTGTTTCCTCCGCCGACTGGCCGCCCTCCTCTTTTCCTCCGCTAGCCTGGCTGCAACCGGTGGTATAGCAGGAGGCGCCCGTAATGAGGCGACCGCTGGTCGTAGCGCCGCAGCAGCTAACGATGCCGCCGCCGAACCGCTGATCTCATGAACAGGTCGTAACCGTGGCGGGGAGAAAGGCTTGTATGCATCTTCGGGCGCGAGTCGACTCGGATCAGAGAGGCCTCTGACAACCTGGGGTTTGCCGCGATTTGGATGTGTCTCGACGGGAACCGGAGGGGGGATGAGAGATGGGGCGGGAGATGGGATTCGAGAGGGACTGCTCGCGCTTGCCGTGGTGGTTTCACTCGTGGTTTCACTCGTGGTCGAGGTCGTGGCAGACGAGGTAAGAGATGATGCTGACGGCGCCATGCTGCGCCTCTCACTGTTACCTCGACACCATTGCCGAGTATGTGAGTCCGCAACACGTCAGGACTTGTTCGAGATAGGCACAGGGTGGTTTGCCTTGTTGATGGTGGTGGAAATTCATTATGGGGCAAAGGACGGAAGCAACGTGGAGAGATGAGGAGGAGTGCACGTGATTTCATTCGAGGGGCCGTAGTCAACGCTTCCGGGGTTTACCTGTTGCGACACCTTTGCAGCTGGGAGGGTGGATTGGTTGGGCTGAAGGTTTAGGTTCCACGTGGGTACCTGCCTGGCAGCCTGGCGTGGCTGGGTACCTAGGTAGCTAGGTACCTTACTTTAGGTTGCTTTAGGTGTTGCCACCAGCACAGAGTTCCTGTTCGTATCGCCCCTACACTTGTGGCGAGCTCCCTGTACACACCTGCTTTTCTCCGCTGTAGGGGTGTTTGAATCTGTCCTGAGTTTGCACTTGATTTAATCAGGCACGCCAGGTCAAAGAGAAGAGAGCATGCATTAATCTCGACAATAGGACCATAGGCCACATGTCAATGTCATTGCTTTCAAACTGGTCTGCTCCAGTCGAGAGGTCCATTATTATCTTGCTCACCACCTATCGCTCTCTGCTGCCACCAGAACAAGACCCAAATGGCGGAGACTAGACTTTGACAACTACAAAATCCGGGCCCAAAAATCAAGTTCGGTACGAAGGATGGAGCCTATCCAAGACCACTGGTCGACAGTCTGGAGCTCGCTTCCATGAATGTTCTGTCGCTTAGAGGTCGCTTCGTAGCCGATCCTGTGACATGAAAACTCGACAAGATTTCTACTTTGGGAACTCTGATGCCCTCTCCTGGGAAATCTTCTCGTCCCGCGGCGCACATACTTCGGAACAAGGGTGTTGAAGTATCAATGACAGCGAGAGGCCCTGGTTTGACTTCAGGAGATGCAGAATCTCCTCAAACACAGACTCGATCCTTTGTATCCGCCAAGTTATCCTGACCTCAAATTTGCAGAGGCACGTGAGAGACACTCGTGGCTAAGCACTTTTAGCTTCAGGGTATGAAATGATCCTTTAAGCCGAACTGGCATTTGAGGCTGAGAAGTTGGGGTTGATGATTACGACCGAGGGCTTCTGGAGGCTGTCGGTCCTTCAAGTTACCCCCCAACCATTGAATGAGGACTGGTGGCATGAGGGCAATTCCAATAGTACGGAGTACTGCTGCCCTTTGAGACCAACGACAACTGAAAAACAGATATGCTGCATACTGTAGGCCCGCAATTCATTCAATTCAAGGCAAGACATGTGACCAGGGCATTGCAACGTTGAGAAAGTCCAACAAGTAACTGCCCCCTCATAATCACGTTGGTTACAGTCCTATATTCTCTGCTTTGGCTCCCAGAAGAAAACCCCAGGGCAGGTCACTTATCAAAATGTCATTGATGATCCAATATAGAACGAACAACATGCTGCGCTGGAGCCTCTCTTCAGCACCTAGAGAATCTCCAACACTTGGCCTGTGGACCATCTGGACCATCCCCCACTCCCATTTACATGTATCTCCCTAGCCGTGTCCCTCGCTTCTCCCACGTCCAGACCATCCATCATCCTCATCTAGCCATTCCACTTCTCGCCAGCTTATTCTTGCTGAATTGACACACAGACACAATCCACCGGGCCGATTCGCTTGAACCTCCAAGGAGATTCACATCGCCAATCTAGATTGGCTCTCTCCAACGCTCTCTCAATCTTGCGATTCATGATAGCTCGAGTCATAAACTCTAACTCCTCTTCATTTCGAGCCCGGACTTTTACGCAGGACCAATCAGAGACTGAGCTGCACACCATAGGCGTGGAAACAATCAAAGGAATGAAGGTCTAGCCCTTTTGGCATATTGGCCGAGGGATTCAACTTCCAAGGTCTAGGTCAAGCATTTCCCACAACATGCAAGAATTTGGAACGAAGCCAAGTTGGAGAAAGATCCCTTATTCATTGCTTGAGTGGAGGACAAGCCCCCCCGCAATTTTCGAGCTACTCCCCTCGTTACCCCGGAATTTGGGATTCTGAGGGCCAGAACGATGGTGGCATCTCGAACCTCAGCCCCCCCCCCAAAGCGTGACCTTTCAAGTGCTCAGAGATGTTAGCATGTAAATGCAACGTGTTGCAAGCATGACACCGCTCAAGATCGTTGATATGGAATACATAGACCAGTGAGTCCAGGTAGTTTCGACTGCAATGTCAGCTTTGCCCTGATCCTGGCGTCTTCCCGGGGAGACTCCCAGCTCAACAACCCTTCAATAGTGATCAATGTGCGGAGTCAATCTGGACGAGTCGGTAGTGACAATAGTACTAGCCAATATGATGAAGCCATCGAACCTTGCTCCTCGTGGAAACGTTCACAGTATCAATTAGGATAACCGCGGTCCTCCGAAAGGCTTGTCTTGCTATGGCCCTTCAATGCGCCGCTCGTCCTGCTCCCTTTCTTATGTATAAAGGAGATTGATCTCCCCCAGAAGAACAGAGCTCGGTTGTCCTATGCACAAACCTGTCATCTTTACTTTCTTTAGGGGCATCTCAGTATATTATCCAATATGGCTTTTGGGTCGAAACGTCAGTGGAATGGGTGGAACTTCTTCATATGTTTCATGGTCTCTCTGGGGCAGATTGCCTTTGGCTATCCAGCTTCCATCATTGGTGTCACTTTGGCCCAACCGTCTTTCCTGATATACATGGGGCTTCTGGACGTCACTACAGATCCTCCCACGCTTTCACACAATGCTGACCAGCTCATCGGCGCCATGTCAGGTGTTAGTCTGCTCCAGAAATCCTCCCAGCCATCTCATAGCGCCTCTAACCGAAGCAGGTCTTTCAAGCCGGAGCCGCCATCAATGTCTTCCTCGCAGGCTATGTTGCTGACCGATGGGGTCGCAAGTGGGCTTTCCATTACTGCTCTGCCCTTTCCTTGTTTGGCGGTGCTCTCGAGTGTGGAGCTGTCAACCCAGCAATGTTCATCGTTGCACGTCTCTTTGCAGGAGGCGGCAGCTGGGGGTTCCTCGCCATCAGTAAGTCCGTTCTTGATCATGTTCAGTCCTGTGCTGACGTAGCTAGCTCCAATCTACAGCGCAGAACTCGCCCCTCCCGACCTGCGAGGCCTCATGGTAGGAATGAACGGTGTAAATATTGCATTGGGCTACGGTCTAGCTTCATACATGGGACTGGCGTTCTACTTCGCCCCGTACGGGGCTGCACAATGGCGGGCTCCACTTGGTATTGCTCTTATTTGGCCGATCATGATGATCTTGGTTTGCTTCATCATCCCCGAGAGCCCACGGTTCCTCCTTATGAAGGGAAGGGTTGAGGAAGCACGGGAGGTTGTCTTTAAGCTGCACTCAGTCAAGGGTGACCCAGACCAAGAGTTTGCGCGAGGTGAATTCTACCAGATGACCAAACAAGCCGAGCTTGATCGAACTATGGAACCTGGATGGGTATGTAACACGACCAGTCGTTGTACCTTTGCTGAGCTGACTTGCAACAGATGGAGATGATTCGTCGCCCCAGTTATAGACGGCGTACCATCATGGCCATGGGTTTTGCTTTTATTGGGCAGTCCACAGGTGTATTGGTCCTGAACAACTATGGTGAGTTGCTGTTCTCACGTGGAATAGAAGTTCCGTTGTATAGAAGGCTAACACGAGAAACAGGTCCTACCATCTATGCTGCGCTCGGCTATGATACATTGTATCAGCTCATCTTTCAAAGTGGTTGGATCACAGTCGGCATCATTGGCAACCTGATTGGAGCGTTGATTATGGACTGGACGGGCCGGAAGCCCCTCCTCTTCGCCGGTGTTGCTGGATGCTGCATCTGCTTGATTCTTGAAGCTGCAATGGTGGCCTCGTTCGCAGAAGAAGCCACCAACAAAGCAGGATTGCGCATGGGCGTGGCAGCTGCGTACATGTTCCTCCTCATCTACAGCATCGGAATCGACGTTGCGGGAGTGGTCTTTTATTCTGAGCTCTTCCCCAACCACCTCAGGTACGCTGTCTCGATCCGGGTGCATGGTCACACTGACGCGTTCTATCTAGAGCCAAGGGCATCGCTTTATCCATCGGCGTCATTGCTGTCACAGATCTTGTATATCTCCAAGTTGCAGCTCTCGTAAGTGGTCGACATACTTCAAAACATGTCTCGCTTGCTAACGAACGACATAGGCCTTCAGAACCATTGGCTGGAAGTTCTACCTTGTCTTCATCATCATCTCCGGCCTGGGCGCTATTTTTGTTTTGGTCTATCTTCCAGAAACGAAGAACATTCCATTGGAGGAAATGTCCAAGCTGTTTGGCGACGAGGTTGCAGTGTACGAGGCCGACTTGCATGTCGATCACACCACTCATGAGCTTGTGGTTGAAGAACACAACACCCACATGCATCGCATTGCCACAGAAGCTGGAGTTTCTGGCGATGCCGAAAAAGGACAAACTGCGCATGTCAGTGCTCCAGAGTCAGAAAAGGCCTAAGAGATAATTGGCAAAAAGGACAAAAGAGTGATGTGCTGGAGATGGCTGGTAGAGTAATCTAGTGGTGGCATTGTCAATCAGGTCCCGGGGGCAGTCGTTACATTGACTCGGAGGGCACTACCTACAAGCTACCAGTTGAAGTCGACTGGGGTATTGAGAAACGAATTAAGGAGAAGCACAGCACACCTCAAGGCCTTCCTTCTTTCCTGTCTGTCAGTAAAAAGAAAAAATGAATTCGCGTGTCAAAGGCTGGTATATGACGGTATATGACAATGCGCCATACGTTTATTAAATGATGTGACACTCCCACTTAAATATGTGCTATCATGTGTAGTCGACTGGCTCACATGTGGATCCATCAGTTCGAACTCTCAGGGATGACGACTTTTTGCAAGTTCTGACATCTTCGTGCATCTTCACGTGCACGGTACTGGCCAATCGGGGTGTTTTTCCCGATGGCGGTGGAGGTCTTGTGAACTCAGCGAATGCTCGAGTGATAAATTTTTCCACTGGCCATAGCTCATAACCCGTCAAACGAACACTTTGCTGCAAAATTCTGGTACTGAATTCCGTACATGACAGTATATAACCGTTCGCAGTTTGATCTTTTGACACACCTTATCCTTGTCTTTCATCAATCAACCTCCCCCAACACGTGCCTGTACGTAGTAAATATTCCGCATTTAGGGGACCAACCCTTCGCTGTAATCCTTGTCGCGGAGCTTTAGATGTTCCGCGTGCGATGTTGTTTCCCGCTCATCGAAGAATTTAATTCAAGCATCAGATTCAATTCTCTCACATACCAGAGGCAACTCTTTCAAGGTCTCTTCCTTGAGCATTATGTCGTGGCTAACGTCGTGGTTCTCTTCCCCTAAAGTTGGGCCCACGTCTTCCGACACTGGACCTACGACAAATGTGCCGCAGTCTCGCCTGCTTGAAGAACCTCCTGCCAAAGCTCTCGAAGCACGTCCTGCGTCTGGAACCGAACAGAAATTAGAAGATGCTCCAGTCTCAAATAACCTTCGATCCCCCTCCTCCACCTCCCAAGTCATCAACCCCAATCGAAACAAGATCATCTTCGGCGCCGGCCTCGCCTTTTTCGGTTTCTCCCTGCTCATCACCAAACGTGCATTTGCCCGCAAAAGGCTAGCAAATCCCGCATTTTACGCCAACGGACCCGAAGTCCAGGCAGAACAAGCAAAGAAGGTCAGCGGACCCATGGAGGCGCTGGAGGCGCTCAACATTGCAACCATCAACGTGTTGAGTGTGGCTATGATGGCCACCGGTGGAATGATGTGGGCATTCGACATCAACTCCATGTCTGACGCTCGAAGAGTGTTGAGGGGCGGTCTCGGCGTGGATGGCACTGGCAAGTCTGAGAAAGACGCCGAGGAAGATTTCGAGGAGTGGATGGCGACAGTTCTGGCCAGAAAGGAGGCCAAGGGCGAGAAGCCTGTACAAGTCAACGAGAGGGGTCGGGAGAGGTAGCACCGGGGCGTTGACTGCCTCACGATCGCCCGCTCTGCATGTTTGTCCGTCTAGGGCATGGGGTAGTATATCTCGACTGAGGGCCGGTCCAGATGTCTAACCAGCTGCAATTGCTGCATATGAGAATGTTGGAGCTTGGACATGTTCAATATACTTGCACTCGCCAAGTAAGACATGGCTAGGTTACAGTTGTCGTGGGTGACTGGCCAGCATGGGGACCCTCGCGTGGTAACCACTGTCCATTCTCAGGCAACCTCGAATTGCATAGTGCAGCGACAATATCAAAGCGAGGAGACAAATTTCTGCTTTGATGCCTCGCGAAACACTCTCTGAAAGGGAGAAGCCTTTGCAGAGGCGTTACTGTGTATTACACGTACCAAAGGTGTGAGTCATTGTCGTCTACGCACTATGGAGTTGGCTTGTGCGATGGCCATCACATGGCCATCTCGTCTTAGCTGGCAGGAGCTCGAGGCTTCAATTCAACTGTCTTTTGGCGACAAGATATACACTTGATAGCCTTGAATCATCTTGAAAAAGAGCAAGGCAAGGAGTGATTAACAATAACAAGAGGTCTGTGATGTTTATGGTTTGGGCGTTTTCGAGTTGGGCTACACTGTGGCTATAGGAATCTCCCAACACGATATTGAGCCTGAGGACATTGCACCCAGGCACGGTTGTTTCTAGCCTCACAGAAACGATCAATTGTATATTATTAGAGGCCAACTCAGTGTGGCATTCACATTAAAATCCGAAAGGCAATGGGGTTTGAGGATCACATGACGAGAAAGTCAAAACCCGGAGCACAAGTCCGTTATTCCTCAACAGCAATTCATGGTCGTCATTGATTTGGCTCTGGGCGGGCCACTTCAGCCGTTTGCTGTATATTGTGATTCACCAAGAACTGTGGTTCAACCATGGACAATTGGACGTCTTTCTTCGGCGTCTCTATTTTGGCATCACAGACTCTCCTTGATAGATCAACCACATGTCTCGTCCTGTTCAAGATGAAGAGACACCTCTTCTTCGGGAGTCAGAATCCTCGCGCTCGACCTCGATGACTGGTGTAGGCGACCATGCACATACCGAAGAATCCAGAAATGTGCGACCCCAAAGCACCCGGCACGTCAGTTTCTCGTCAACAGATGACAGTACCACTGACCCACGCGCGTGGCCTGCGAACAAGAAAATGCTCAATGTCGCCATCATCGCACTCATGTCGATTCTCAGCCCGCTGGCAAGTTCCATGTTTACGCCGGGCATCTCGCAGATTGCCGAGGACCTGAACACAGACGAACAAGCTGTCATTGCAACGACGACGGGGTTTGTGATTTGCCTCGGTCTGGGTCCGCTATTGTTGGCGCCGCTGTCCGAGACGTTTGGCCGGCGGGCGCTGTACATTGGATGTTTCACTGTTTTCACGATATTGCAGGCGGCGAGCGCGCTGGCGCCGGGGATTGGACCCTTGATTGCGGTCAGGGCGGTCTCGGGTTTATTTGGGAGTGAGTCATTGAATCGCTTGATGGTGAGATATGCTTGAATTTTGCTAACCCACCTTCCCTTTAGGTGTTGGCATTGCCAACGGTGGCGGCACTATCAACGACATGTATGAGCCGTATCAGCGGGCGGGGATATTTGGCTGGTATCTCCTAGGACCATTGCTAGGACCAACACTGGGACCTTTGCTCGGCGGTGTCATTGTGAGTAGACTGGGATGGAGATGGATTTACTGGGTTGGTCGACACCTGTGTATCTTGGCTGAGGGATCAAGAGGGTGGCTGACTCGTTCTAGGTGTTGACCATTGTCTGCGCACTCAACACCGGGGTCGGCTACATCTTTCTGCGAGAGACGTACGCCCCGGTGATCCTGCAGCGGCGCAAACAACAGCTCCAACAAGAAGCCGGGGACGGTATTAAATTCCACTTTCAAGGCGAAGACTCTCGTCCACTGAGCGCCAAACTGCGTCAAAGCCTCAAACGACCGTTTGTCATATTTGTGCAGCCGATTGTCCTAATCATGAGTTTGTACCAAGCGTTGATCTTTGGGACGACATATAGCATCTACACCAACATGCAGAGCATTTATTCAGAAGCGCCATACAAGTTCAACTCGGAGCAGATTGGTTTGCTGTACCTGGGACCAGGATTGGGGTTTTTGACTTCTGTGCGGTTTATCGTCCCGCGTATCGACACCGTGTTCAACGTCCTGAGTGAGAGAAACGAGGGGAAATCAGTGCCCGAGTTTCGCCTACCTCTGGCCAATATAGGGAGTGTCTTGATCCCTGTGTCATTGTTCTGGTTTGCGTGGACGGTGGAATACAAAGTGCATTGGACGGCAAGCATTGCAGCGACCTTTTTCTACGGCGTGGGTCAAGTGGTGATTTTCAATACGGTGCAAAATTATTATATTGATTCTTTCTCGCAGTATGCCGCCTCGGCGATTGCGGGGGGATCTGTGTTTCGCAGTCTGTTGGGAGGCGTGGTGCCATTGTTTGCGCCCATGCTGTTTGAAAAGATCGGCTACGGGTGGGGAATCAGTTGCTTTGGATTTCTGGCCGTTTTGATTGCTCCTAGCCCCTTGTTGTTCTATTACTATGGTGCGAGGATCAGAGAGAGATTTCAGTTGAAATTCTAGCGTTGGTTACACAGTTGCATGAATAAGACCTTATATTTGAATGTATGACAGAAGCCGTGGCAGATGGCATCCGAGACCCAAATGGACAGATAGTCATGCCACACATATTCGAGCCCAGAACTGCGGCTCCTCGTGGTGGTTGTGGTGTTATTGTGATGGGGCGTTGAAGAAGTACAATTTATACAGTCCTCCATAGGCTCTGTTAAACACCAACTGCATTCTGTGAAACATGACACGTCGTCTGGAGTGGTAGTGATATGCGCGTGGATATCACAGTCGTGTCGAGGACTCCGTACTGCAAGATAGGAACATAGCCTACAATGAGAGCCTGAAATGAAAGAGAAGAGTGTGCATACTGTGACCTCATTGTGCAGCGGCGCGGGCCTTGAAAGCTGCACCGTGCCCACAAGTGCCACACTCACTAAAAGATTGAGTTCTGGAAGTTGGGCGCATGGGGAATTTGGGGGGTGATGAACTGGGCGTTCAATCATGGTCAAGGCCAGGGATAGACCTGGTTGGGCGCTTAGAGATGGGATTGGAAGCTGTTAAGCCCCAGTTAGAGCCAGGCGCCGGTCCCTACTCCGTACATGGTAAAAGTGCTCTTCCACTGTCAGTCTGCGTCTCGCCCGTACAACAATCGAACTGGAACGACACAACGGTTGATGATTATTGACTGGGCAGAGTGCCATGCCATGCCTGCAGCCTCCACTCATGTAGGCACCCACAGCACCCACCCACCCACCCTAATCCTGGTCCCTGGGTTCCTCGCTTTCGGGGCTTGAATTCCAAGTTCCCTAGTCGCCCTGCAAGCATCATCCTCGCCTGTGTTACCCGGCAACACGCCCATCCATCGCGTTGTTTACCCCCCAATACAGGGAACAACAAGTCGCCTGGTCTCACCAATTCTCTGCTAAACGTCCAACAATCCAGTACAATCCCTGGGTTCGAACCAACGCATCATCACACCGTCCACTCACCGCCTACTTGAATGCCTGATCAGCGACATCGTGTCTTTTTTCTCATGCGTGATGAACAGGAGACAAGATGTAGCGTATTCTCACCGTTGATATTCTAACTCCATTGTCCTATCAGCAACAGCGATCTTTGCATCGGCAACAACTATTCGCCCAATCTTCTCATTCTCAGCGACCGTATCGTGGCAAGATACAGCTCCATCCACCAACTCATTGGCTTCTACCTGCATTGTTTTGCAGCTCGTCTGCATGGCTAGGAGCCTACGTCTCGCATCCAACGGTCGCGTAGAATATTCTCGGATGTCAGGGTGTTATTTGTATCATTGTTATATCTCTTTGAAAATTCAAAATTGAACCAGTAACTTTCATTAATTAACTTGTCCCTTTTCACGTCTTGTCTCAGCCCTGGTTTTCAACCTCCAGGTCCGTTCCATGTGCTCCAGAAAAACCAAAGTGTAATTGTTGGGCCCAAAGCAACACAGGCACCAGATCTTCACCCAAATCCAAGCAACCGGCCAGCCTGCAGCCGTAGCCGCAGCCGTCAGTTACGATTGTCCAACCTTTTTGATCTTCACCTCATCCTCCACAAAGTCCACAGGACAGTAGTCACCGTCTTCAATCGTTACTACATAGATTGCTTGACTTACTTCACCCACGCTACCACGCCGCGCCCTTTACTTTTGCCATCACCCTGGCCAGACACCGGAACCTGGCCCTGATTCCGCCAATTGGCCAACCTTGACATCGTCCAAGTTGGCTTCGCTTCTAGCGCCAGCCCAAACAATCGCGACCCCAGCACTATCACCTCGCAATCCCTTTGATTCACAATTTTCGTCCAGGTTGCTCCTGGGTCATCCTTCCATAGCTTTTTTGCTGGTCAATCCTAGACCCAAGGCAGCCTCTTTTCAACCTAGCCTCCCGCAATCTCTCACTTTCCATCACATCAAACCACCGATTTTCCTTGCACTCACACCTCCTGCCCTCACCACCTTTCCTCATCCCATTCACATCTTTATCCTCCCGATACCTGCCGCGAGCCTTCTTGTGGGCCAACATCCGACGCACTGGTGCCGATCACGTCAGAGCTTGGACCCTCTGCACAGCACACCAACGGGCCCCAGGGCACTTGAACAGACAGCGTCGAACATGAAAAAGAGAGCCCTGCGGCATACGCGACATCCAACATCTGTGGACCGGGCTGATTAACTACAAATACACGCTCTAAAGGGCCTCTGCGCCTATGGAGCGACCGCCTCCGCCGCCGCCTCATGGGACGCATCCAGGCGGCGGGAGGACGGGTGGGAGGACAGGTGGTCTTCCTGATGGCAGATATGACATATTTGTTGTTCCACCACACTCCTCCGGCTCTGGCTTCCTCTACCTGCCATCACTACAGACCCAACGCAACTCTTTCCTGGCCGGCTGCTTCTGCACCGCCGCTTCCTTCTTTGTCTACACCACCGCCGTCCCTGTCGTCAAAGAATGGCTGATCAGCACGGTCAATGGCGGAGGTGCAGGTGTCTTTATGCTCATTTGCTTCGTCGCCGTCGGCGCCTGGGCTTTTGGCAAGACTCAGAGCGAGTGGTCCCACAATGATTCGGATTCTGGCTTTAGGGCAGGTCAAGGCCCTGGAGGCCAATCCGGTCCACGTCCATCGGGCTATGCCAACACCGGTCACACTTCTGGTCACACCGCAGGCCCCCCTCCGCCAAACCACGAGAGCAGCGCCCCTCCACCAAACCCAGGAACATCGGCACCTCCTCCACAGCCGTCCTGGCAAAGATCACCCCCGCAGGCCAACACCAAAGCCAACACCACAAATCAGAAATCCAGCTGGGACAAGGCTCGAGAAGAGACCCGAAAGAGAGAAGAAGAACGCAAGCGAGCCGAAGAGTTGAAGAAACGCAAAGAAGAATTGGACAAAGAGCGACAGAAGCAAAGAGAAAAGGACGCCCTTGAACGCTTCGAACGAGAACGGAGGGAGAAAAAGGAGAAAGAAGACAAGGCCAATATGACGGCTAAGTTGGAGAAGGAGAAGTTGCGACAGGCAGCTGAACTAGCACGCGCAAAGGCAGAGGCCGATGCCGCAGCCCGCGAGAGGACAGAAGGCCCGACGCCCCGGCGACCGCCCATGCCCAGCGCAGCCACTGAACGAGAGGATGATGCCTACTCATTTCGACCGTATGATCGACCGAGACGTGCTCACAAGGCCAACTCGGCGGCTTCAATGTATTCCGAGTCAACATATGCGCCTTCAGTCAGCACGGCCCGGACAACTCCTCCCCCAACTGCACGTGGGCCTTATTCGACCACGGACCCTGACAAGATCATCATCAAGGGCGTGTTCTCCTTTAACAATGCATTTACACGCACACCAATCTCCCAGTTGGTGTCCAACCAGGGCCAGGTTAGCGATGGTCTAATCCTGCGCATCACCACCGAAGGTCTGTTCATCGACGACGACGTTCGTGGGGTTCCACAGCGAGAATGGGATGTCAAGGCATGGACAATGAAGTCGGCAGAGGTATGGTGTCCCTATTATTCCCCCGGAAAGAAAAGTCAAGGCAAGAGCAAGTTCACCCTTGGACGAGGCGGCGAGTCGTTGCCGAGCGAGACAGATGCCTTTATCCCCGAACTCTTGAGTCATTGCCTGAATGAGTGCAGGGTGTCGGGCACGAGGGGCTCTTTCTTTTCAGCCCGTTCTACGTCACAGAATAATACTGACAATGTTGAACCACAGAGCTGCGAGATTGGCGGCATGCACATCCTTCGAGCCAGCATCCGAGACCTGGAAGGCCGGAAATTTGTCTTTATTCTGTCACAGAGTGAAGGGTGGAAGGTGGCCGTGGGCCTGCAGCGACTGAGACGAGGCAAACAAGTCCAGGCTTTTGGTGTCGCTGGGCTCCCGCAAAACGAAGCCAAGGCCATTCTTCACAACCTCGGATTTGGATAGAGAGATGCGAACACACTGCGGATAATGGTTGTGGAACCGCAACGGCATTGCACAGTCGTGGAGCGATGCACAGTCGTGGAGCGAGATGTTTGATTTGAGCGATTGAGAATTGACAAGTCAGTTAGCGAAGCATCAGCGAAGGAGTTGTCGTGTGGGTCTTGTACATTGATTCGCAGTCTCAGATGGCACACACGCCAGCAGCGCAGTACGATGCTGCCATTGGAGTTGATCATGAAAGAATGATTGAGTCAGTAATGAGCCAGTCGCGAATACCCTCAACGTGATTGTGGACGCAATGGGGAGGAGCGTTCAAGAACTTTTAAGAGGGGCAGCCTTAGAACGACCGCCTAGAAGCCAATTACTAAGAAACTCATAACATCTGACCCTCAGACCATGTTCCTCCTCTGTTTTGTCTCCGATGTCCAAAGAGTTGGTCGCCTTATCTCTCTCCCAAACACTATCACCTCCAATGGGAATTTGTATCCGGTGAATACGGATACGCCATGCATCAGATTGAGAGTTGCCTGTGCTAGCCAACCTCACTACTATCACCCCCATCACCCCATCTCCATGTCCATCTCCATTTCCATCTCCATCAATCTCTTGTCCATCGAGTAGTGGTTCCATCTCTCAATCCACTCGTCCCCAGCTTGAGTCTCGATTTCTTCTGCCTTGTAATCGACAGGTACTCCCTCTTCGTCTGAGGTCATTTTCGAAGCTGCCTGGCGTGTGTTGCATTCACACACACAAAACTAAGCCATTAACCCCGCACTTGCACCACTTCTTCGATCATTCCTGCCCGTTGACCTTTAGTTCTTACCATTGTCACCTTCAATTTCATCCACTTTTCCCTCCCCCGAAAAATATTTGCCACTGGGCGCAGGACATCTTCGTCTTGATAAATACCCTCAACCCTTAGAGCTTGTGCTATCTCGCTTCTCACCATGACCAAACGCAAGCCACTTCCCTCTCGCGCTTATGATACCTTCCCCTCTGACTCTGCTTCTCAACCCCCCGGCCCAGACACTGAAACCCCATCCACAACCTCATACCACGGAGCAGACTCCGACAAGTCTAGGTCAGCAGCCGCAGAAGCCCGAAGACTTGGTTCAATGGGATCCTGGGGTGATCGATTTAGCGGAGGCACTCCCTCGACCGACCCAACTCCAGATGTATCCACCATCGACGAAGAGGACAACGGCCTGCAGTCGGACGTCCGCTACCCACTCCCCCCCAAAGATCAGGATCAGGACCAGGATCCTTCTGATCCACCACCCATGTACACTCCCGCCGCCACATCCTCCACTGTACCTTCTCCGGAGATCACCAGGGCGACCCTCGTGAACCACGATCGAGTAAGACATGTCCCAACCAGCACTTCCCCTTTGATCCCACCACCTACACGCCATTCTTCAGAGTACCTGTCCCCGGGCTCGACTGTAAGCGAAGACCGAGATGACTATCCCATTGATGAGCTTGACGATCCTTATGCCACATCATTGCCTGAGCCGGTCCAGCACGGCCACCGAGAGACCTCAACTGGAAGACCCAAGAGACATGGCTCCTGGTGTGGGTCACGTCGTCGACGTCGCCAGGACTCCCCGTGCTCAACCATGGATCGCAAAGCCCGAGTGCGAAGATTCAAGCGTTCTTGCTGCTTCGTTTTGACAGTTCTCGTGTGCCTGTGGCTGATGATACCAGGCTTGTGCAAGTCTTATGCTGATGTAATCCCACCTGCACATGCAATATGTAAAGTATATTCGTCCATCGTTTAGACCTGCTGACGCCTTCTTCAAAACAGAAATCCGGTGACACTGAAGTCCCCACTGTCGGCAACGCCGGACCAGGGCCTTCTACCAACGACACCTGGGGCCCTACCCGAGAAATCGTCCACCGAGAGACCTCTCACTCCATCACCGGCAGTTTCAAACTATACGACCTGCTTGACCTCTCGACCAAATCCGGCAGTATCTCCATCACGGTCGAAGTTCAACCAGGCGAGAAACCTGCCCATATGCGTCTCTCCACCAGCTCAGGCTCCATCAACGTTCGAGTGGTGCAATTTGAAGGCGCCGGACGCTGGCTTTCATGGGCCAGTTCAAAAATCGCCAAACCCGTGGAAGGATTAAACAGCCTAGATCGCATGTTTGTTACCGAAATATCGACCAACTCGGGGAGTGTCAATGGCAACGTGCTTCACGGTAACGGGGGCACCACATCCATCTCCACATCTTCTGGCAGCATCAATCTTAGTTTCTATGTCGTGGGGGTGTCGAGTGGGGATCCCACGTCCAAAATCACGACAAACTCGAAGAGCGGGTCTCAAAACATAAAGGTTATTCCGTATGCCCGCTTCGCAGACTCTTACTCGGAGCAGGCCTCGACCTCGGCGATCCGAGCCATGCAAAACCTTCATCGCATATCGGGCTCAGGCAGCATCACTGTGAAATACCCCAGCGAATGGGAAGGCCGTCTTCACATTGAACAGACGGGATCCGGCAGCATGATGGCAGGCGGTGCTGGTTTGAACGTAGACAGGCGAGAGCCTAAAGAGTTGTGGGCTTGGAAGGGTGAAAGTCCATCTGATGCTCCCGTCGTAGAGATCCGGGAGCTGGGGAGCGGGAGTATTCACTTCCAGGTTTGACGAGGTCTCGAAGGCGGGAGGTTAACGATATTAATGGCGTGGACGACTTGGATAGTACTACAAATGGTGTAAAGGTTTGGGTTTGATATCGGGAATAATTGAGGACTTGGGTGTCCACTAAGATGTAATATACACGTGGACGCTGGTAGATGACTATCATGAAAAGATATTTGATGAGTCTGGAATGCAACATCTGCTGGCTGTTTCTCCACCAGAGTTTGGCAAACTCCCTAGAACAACATCCATATCACCATCACAATGACCTTGGGGGCGACAAGGCAATTCGTGGGCTAACCAAGTCGAGAATCTGGATGCCCAATCGTGACCATCTGACCTGCATGCGCGATGCCCAAAGGCCTCCACTCTTGCAACTCGATACAATCTTGTCTCATCGATGTCGCATGCCATGGTGTTGACTTGTCATTCAACCAACAACTTCAACCACGAGAATGGCCCCTGTATCGCCATATCAATCTTTAGGGGAGAATGAGATCAGGATACTGAGGATCCACCCCGGCGCCGACGGTGATCGACTGTCAGCATCACTGGAGCACCACGATCTCAACTCGACCGACCATCTCTACACGACCATCAGCTACGCATGGGGTCCACCCGAAGATCCGCATTTTCCATGCGATGTCCATGGAGTCACCTTTGGTCTTCGCAAGAATGCAACCCAGATCCTCAAGATTCTTCGTTCACCAGATCGCCCGGTCCGGGTCTGGCTGGACCGGCTGTGCATCAATCAAACCGACAAGGCCGAGAAAAGTGCCCAGATCAGGCTCATGTACCGAATTTACAACCTGGCAGAGACAACTGTCATTTGGCTCGGTGAGGCTGATAAGTCGACGCAGTTGGTGGCCAACTATGCTCGCGGCCTCGACATCGACTCCATCCTCGCCGAATATCGAGCCTCGACTCGCTTCAACGCCGGCCAGAAGAAATTCATTCTCGACGAGCTCGCGGGGCATCCGGATATGGTCGCTATTGTCAATGGGATCGCCACACTTTTTGAAGCCGTCTGGTTCTCTCGCGTGTGGATCCGCTCAGAGGGTTCTGTCAGTCGGCACGTCTATGCCTTACGAGGATCGTTTCACTTCACCTGGGACCAGTTGACCGCCATGGCATATCTGTATCAACCTCGAGCGACGATGAACTGGCCAGAGTGGACCACAACAGGCTTCAACAAGATCGAGCCTACCTTGAACACCATCTTGGCCATCAACCTCTACCGTGTCCGGGAGTTACAGATGCGCAATCAGGAGGCTACCTACACGGCGAACCCGCTCTTCACCCACATCGTCCAGGCCAGGTCGAGTCTGACGGAAAAGCCGCACGACAAGGTGTATGCGATGAGCAGTATGGCGTCCGATGTGCAGAGACACAGGAACGAGGTGTTCCTGCGGCCAAATTACGCCCTCTCCTGGCAGGAGATTTACATCAACGCGGCCATATTCTTCTTCGCCCAACATGAGATTGCGTACCAGCTCCTGGAGCAGGCAGGAGTCATTTACCAAGGTGTCAATTCGGACCTGCCAAGTTGGGTGCCTGATTGGAGATATCCCGCTCTTACACAAATCCCGGCACTCAATGAATGGATGGCCGGAGGAGACCGTTCCAAGGTTAGGACTCGAGTGAGTTCTTTGAACAAGAAGGAACGTCAACGTCTGCTGACGTACAGAGGTCCGTTGAGCATCGCACCACTTCTTATCCCACTTGATCGGGACAAGAAGCAGTTTGCAAAGGATCGGGCGCGATTTGAGGAGGAGAGGTCAGGGTATGATTTTGACAAGCTGCAGGCCGAAGAGAGCAAGCTCGCCATCCAGGCCAAGTGGTTAAGCTATAGAGAGTCGGCGTCGAAAGCTGCAATTGTGCTCGAGATCATGTTGTCCATGCAGGACAGAATCGTCTATCTGTCCCCGCGATCGACGTGGATGGATGACTTGTCGTTCAATGACCATCGAGATGAAGTTCGTGCCATCGATGCTGGCAACCTGGCATATCTCAGTTCGACGGACAAAGATCAGTACATCACCTCGGAATCACTCCGTCAAGCGTACAATGCAACCCTGATATTCATGCAGAACAAGGACGGTGAAGGGGCGTCAGAAGACTTGATTGCGTCGGCGGAGGAATGGCGATCTTGGCTCCAAACGGGCGACAAAGAAAAGACCTTGGCTGGTGCCATGTACCACTCTTGCATTGAAAATGCATTTACCTTTCGCGACTATACCTTTGCATATAGCGAAGCCGGATACATGGCACTGGTACCTGCAATCAGCAATGTCGACGATCACATTGTCATCATCCCTGGTTACCAGATGCCATTTGTGCTTCGACCAGTGTTGGGCGAGTGGTATCAATTGATCGGAACGTGCTATGTTCACGGGATGATGAGGATGGATGCCGGTATATTGATCGAGGAGTTTGACATCAGGGTCACTGATGACGGCAGGTGTCTGATCAAGAGACCGCAAGGAGACGTGAGGGCCAACGGTCTCAAGTTGGATGCTGGTCGATATGTAGACATCGTAGGCACCTTGGGAAATCGTTGGGTCAAGTTGGTATAAGAGGGAAAGGAAGTGGCAGCGTGGTTGGTGGCCTAGTGTGGGCATGCCGACACAATGCAGGACGTAGAAATGAGGTTGTAGACAACCTTCTGTCGTGGTGTTCACAAGGTTTGCTATACCTACGTAGACATGAGCAACTTGGGATGGAGAGGGTCGCAGCGTGACGGCGACATCTCAAAAGACGGAGATTATAGGATATTGGACGTCGTAGGCAGGCACGGCAGGCTAAAAGAGAAATCTCTGGTAGCTTGGCACTACTAATCACATTTGTGGTACCTTTAGTGCTTTATTATCCAACATACGGAGTAGGATTATAGGCAGTCGCGTGTTTTTCTTGTACGTGTACCTGCCGTGTCTGTTCTTTCTGATCTCATCGTTGGGTCGATAGGGAAGGCAGACACCGGGGATTGGAAATTAAACAGTCAGACCAAATTAAACCCCCTCAACCAGGGCCGTAATAAGACAGGCATCGAATCAAAAAGACGTCAGACAAAAGAGTCTTAACCCCGAAGCCGAAATGGTCTGTGCCAATGTCAGCAGGTTGCATGACGCAGGAACCCTGACCCAAGCCGAGACGAAAGTCTGGACCACTCTTCACTAGGTACTCATCCAAATTTATCTCTCATTGCGTCGAGTTCCAACACGCCAACTCAAGATTCTACTTTCTGAGGATGCTCTCCGTCTGTATCTCTTCTCTCCCACAGTCATCAATACCAATAAACCCGGAACTTTGACCTCTCCTCAGATCCACAGAGCCAGATGTCCGGTGTAATCTCAAACGTCGACATTCCAACAGTCCAGATCGCCGCCGAGTTCAGGCTCCATCCGAACATCCATTCCATCAACGAAGAATGGTCAGGCATCACCGATCCAGTGCTCCGTCGAAAGCTACAGAATCGACTCAATCAAAGAGCCGCCCGTACGTCTCCAATACTCCATGAGAAAGCAACCTGCTGACAGGACTAATAGGAAGACGCAAGGCTAAGAGTGCCTTGGCCACTGGCGGAGCATCAACCAGATTTCACGCTTCAGACCCTCCATTAAGCGAAGCCAGAGAACTTTCAGGCACTGATCTCCAAGTCTTTCGAGCTCGCGACTGGGTCGCGACTAGCGACCTCTTGGATAAAACCAACGACTCGGCCTTCACCTCTCTGCGCGACCGTTGGCGTCATCATTGGTTCGAGAGCGAGGATAGAACTGGGCCATCCGTCGTATTCGATGCCGCTTTAGGGGCTGGAGGCAATGGAGTTGACTGCTCCTGGGGTTACACGCTGCCAGCGGACCACCTCCTCACCCTCGTGTACTACAACGTCTATAGAGCGCTGGTCGCCAACATTGCAGTCTTGGGTCTGGATCTGAATCTAATGTACACTGAGGACTATCCAACCCCCTTCACTCCGATGTCGCCGACTGCAACATCTTCCATTCGTCGGCTGCCGGCTTGTCTCCAGCCCACGCCGCTACAGAAATCCATCGACCATCACCCACAATGGGACCTTTTACCCGACTGTGTAATCCGTGACAATCTTCTATTATACCCCATGGACGAACTGGACGATGATGAACTCTGTTTTGACATGCTGGGCGGAGATACGCCTGAAGGATTGGAGGAAAGGCCCGAGGGCCCGTCCGGCTTCATCGTCTGGGGAGAACCATGGGATGCTAATTCCTGGGAAGTCACCGAGTACTTTGCGCGCAAATGGCCCAAGTTGCTGAAAAATGCCGTTGACACCCTCCAGAGCACCAACCGGTGGCGGCTCAGTAGAGGAGAAGCTGCTTTGGACTTTGATCGGATCTTGGATTTAGATTAAAGGATCACTCTCCATGGGGAGAGCACGGCGCAAGTTACTAACGCGCTCTGTTGTGCTCATGCGAATGCCTGTGCACAAATGTCAACTAAGTTCTTGTTGGCCAGGCAAGACTGTCCTTGATGATACGACACTAATCTGTCGTACGAACCACAACTAATCCAGAGCTGAGTCTATGTAGCAGTTGTGAGATGTAGCATGTACGACAGCTATAATCGACTAAACAAATTTCCTGGAGAGCCGCGGCACAATGTGGAGAAATACAAAATGAAGACTAATCATTTCGTACGAACAACGAACGAACGAATACTTAAGGCACTTTGCACTGGCGGAGGAGTAATTTGGGAACCATTTGTGTTTAAAGAAATTACTTCTGCAGTATTTCATGGTCACGGGCTCTGATCATGGCGAAACACCAAACTTCGCGGATTTTCGTTGTCGGTGGCACGGGAGCCCAGGGGATACCTGTTGTTCGAGGTCTGGTCAAAGACGGAAAGTACAAAGTCCGTGTCTTGACCCGGGACGCAAATTCACGGCGAGCCAAAGAGTTGGTTGCGCTCGGCAACGTTGAGCTGGTCGAGGGTACTTTCGCCAGTGAGGCAGATCTTCGGAATGGACTCCGGGGCTGTGATGGCGCCTTTGTCAACATCGACGGTTTCAACTCTGGTGAAAAGACGGAAATATATTGGGCTATACGTAGCTATGAGCTTGCCATCGAAGAAGGAATCAAGTTCTTTGTCTATGGCAATCTCGACTACGTGTACAAGAAGAGTGGCTACGACCCCAAGTTCAGGACGGGGCACTATGACGGCAAGGGACGGATCGCGGAATGGATCTTGCTCCAGAACAAAGACAACGACAAACGTATGGGCGCTGCCATCTTCACCACGGGCCCGTATATCGAGATGTCGATCGCAAAGGCGACCATCTTCACCCCGTCGATCGAGAACGGCGTGGTCACGTGGAGAGTTCCTGTTGGGGACGGCGCAGTGGTTCATGTTGCACTGGATGACTGTGAGCATTATGTGCGCTGGCTGTTTGACCACCCAGAACGCTCCAACGGCATGGATCTCGAAGTGGCAATCGATCACATCCATTATGCCGACCTGGCAGCAGCGTTTGAAAAAGTGACTGGACACCAGGCTCGCTACATCGACACGGACCTCGACACCTACTGGAAAACGGGCAATACCGCTGGCGCCGCAGACACAGGAAGTGCATACAACTCGGATCCCAAGGATCCTGCGTTCATGACATTCCGCCAGAACTTTTCTGGCTTCTTCAACATGTGGAAGTATTCGGGTGGAAATACTGGCGTGATTCAAAGAGACTACAAGCTGTTGGACGAGATCCATCCAGGCAGAATCAGAAGTGCAGAGGAGTTTTTCCGACGAGAAGACGCGAGGGGGAGGGCATTGGGATTGGGATCACTTTGGGAACGTGTTCAGCCCAAGAACTTGAAGCCAGTGCTGAAGCTTGGAGAGGACAGGAGACAAGGAAGACTATAGCAATCTCGAGGTTGGAATATATGTCCGCTGTGCGACGGACACGTTGATTGATGAACATGACTTGTAGCCCCCGCCGTTTTTATTTGACAGGTGACTGTTGTGTCAAAAGTGCACGGTTATAAAGCACTTACCTCATTTCTCCGTTGTGGAAGACGGCGACAACGACGGGTGGTGACGCGGTGGCTGTCCCCCAAATGCCTCCTCAAACAACGCCCTGGGCCTTGTTGCTTTCCCACCGGGTATCTGGCATGTACTCCGTATAGTAAGAGGCTCACGAGGCTGAGTAACTTTAGCTCGTGTGTCTCCCTCATGAATTTGAACATGGCACCCTTACTCCGTAGATGGCTGTTGACGAGGCTTGACCATTGGATAGAATGTCACGTGATCTAATCATCCGGTGATCCTTTGGCGCTGGACTGCGACTGCCACTGTTAGAAACTTGTTTGGTCTTTCGGCAGGCGCGGTAGGTGAAGCCCCAGGGAAGGTGCAGGTCACAACTGTGGCTGAGCCCGCGATTACGCATACGACCAACGCTGCGGAGAGGCGTCCGCACCTGCCACTCGTCAATCCATGCTTTAGCATTGTGGCGCCTGGTGGATCTCACAATCCTCGACCCTTGATCTGCCCGCGCTGCGACACCCTCACACCCTCACACCCTTGACCTCATTCATTTCTTGATCGACACTTCAAGCCTGACGAGACGAGCTGGTGAGAAAGACCATCAGCCTGTGCCTGCCTCCCTTACCTCCCTGCGCAACAAGAACACAACATCCAACTCATCCTCCTCTCATCCATGTTCCCATCTGCCTAAGACGGGCGCTGCGATGCCAACCTCTGCATTTCCTTGTGTACCCTCTACCTCTCACTCTTTTCTAGTGTCACCAATCCCAAACCCTTGAGTCTTCTCCTTCCCTTGGCCTCTCCCACCTCAGGACCTTCGAGGCAAACCCTCTCCCTGACCACTCCTTCCATCGCGCAACCATGGCCGCTGTTGCCGACTCCAGCTTTGGTGCACACGACCCCAAAAGCCCACGCTCGCCTGTCTTGAATCGAGACAACGACCTCCCACCAGTCCCAGCCCCTGCCGCCTCGAACGGCGACTCTGATCCCACCCAGCGGCAGAATATTCGACAGGTCCTCTCGTCTGATGTAAGCAGATCGACTCCTTCTTGAGCATTCGACAAGTTGACTAGGTGCGCAGATTGGCATCAATACCCTTCTCACGCGCTTGAAACAGAGCATTAGCTCCACGCGGGTATGTCTCCTTCGACCTCAGCCCATTGACCCCTCGACCTCAAACAAACGCTGACCACGGCCAGGACTATGCCCTCTTTCTCAAAGACCGTTCCGTCCTCGAAGAAAAGCACGCTACCGGCCTCAAGAGGTTGGCTCAAAATGCTCAACACAATATCACTAGGCCCGAGAGCAGGCAGGGTTCATACGCAACCGTCTATCAGGAAATCGCACGCATGAACGAACGTCTGGCAGAACAAGGCCTTGTGTTTTCCAGCACTCTTCACGCCATGTCGGAGGAATTGTACGACTTGGCCAGCAATTCCGAAAAGGGCCGCAAGCATTGGAAACAATTTGGCCTCAACGCCGAGAGGCGCGTACAAGATGCCGAACTCGCCATGGACAAGGCCAAGGGCAAATATTATTCACTAGCCGAGCAATTCGACAAGGTCAAAACCGGCGAACGAACATCTGGCAAATTCGGCATCAAGAAGAACGCCGCTCAACACGAGGAGGAACTTCAACGCAAGGTCGAGACCGCCGACAGCGATTATGCCTCCAAGACCCAGTACGCCCAAACCCAACAGCACGAGTTGCTGTCCACCTTGAGACCCCAAACCATCAATGCACTGCAAGACCTCATCTACGAGACCGACGCCGCCCTCGCTTCTCACGTTCAAAAGTTTGCCGTCCAGAGTGAGAAATTGTTGTTGGGCTATGGACTCAACATCACCCCACTCAAAGCCCAGTCGTCCTCTGGCATGCCCGTCCAGAAAAGTCTCCGAGAGTTGGCGGCGAGTATTGACAACGAACACGACTTTGCGGATTATGTCCTCGCCTTCACCAACCAGGCCGAGGCTCGCCCCAACGAGATCAAGTACGAGAAGCATCCCTCCTTTGCGACTAGACAGCAACAGCAATCCCAGTTCGGAGGCTATGGTCCCGGTGCCGAGCCTCATCCTTCAAACCCTCCGCAGTATGGCGGCTATCACTCAAGCCCTCCACCTCAGAGCCAAGGCCAATTCGGGTCCTATCAAGAGACCTCCTACGACAACCACGGTGGTCAGCAACAATACCCGCCCCAACAGCCTCATCACCCAGCTGGTTTTGGCTACGGATCCGGTTCACAGTCACGGCCTGCCCCCGAAGATCAATTGCCTTTCCAGAGCCAAGCACCAGCTCGACCACCGCAGCAGGCCCGTCAACAATCCTTTGGCCCTCCACAACTGCCTCAAATCGACGGTCTCGGCTCGGGACAATTTTCCGGACAGAGTACTGGCGTTGTGAGCGCAGATTCACCATCTAGTCATAATCGCAATGTCTCTCTTCCCTTTGGTTCACAAGTCGGTGGAGCAGTACACCCTGCACGGGGGGCCTCTCTTGGGCCGCAGGGTGAATCTGGAGATGCAGCCGGTCCCCCACAGGACCGATCAGATAGCCCAGGCCCGAACTCTATATCGGACCCTCGTCACCAAGCGTCTTCTTCTGCTTTCGGTCCAGGCCCTTGGTCCACCCCGCCGCCTCACCTCGCAAGTGAGATACGACCTGCCGGGACAGGGTATCCACCCCAGCAGCAAGGTATCACGAACTCTGCTCGAGGAGGCGCCCCACCTGTGGCCCCCGAGAGCGCGGGACAGACTGGCCCCCAGGCAGGTCCTCCCGCAGGCACTGCCGGCCCCGGCGCGTACGGCAACACCGGACTCGGCCGGGAGGTGCAAGATTCGTCTCGAACACAGGCGCCACCAGGGGCTCGTGGACCAAACGGATCAACCGAGAGCCACACGAGGATGCCCGAGCCTTTCCCCGTAGCCACTCCGCCGGCGAAACCTCCCGGAGGCCAAAGGACCACTGGGCCACCCACCAACCCGATCTTTGGCGTGTCCCTGGACGAGCTGTTTCGACGAGACGAGTCTGCTGTCCCGACGATAGTGTACCAGTGTATCCAAGCGGTGGACCTGTATGGACTGGATACAGAAGGCATATATCGTATTTCGGGCTCGGCCAATCACATTATGGAAATCCGACAAAAGTTCGACCAGGGTAAGCATCAACATGGTCGATCAGAGAGATGTACTGACAGATTACAGATGCCACACAGGTGGATTTTCGGAGTGCAGCATCTTTCTACAACGACATTGCTTCGGTGACGACACTGCTCAAGCACTTCCTCAGAGACCTGCCTGACCCACTGCTCACCAATGCACAGTACTCGGCGTATATTCAAGCTGCCAAAATTGAGGACGAGATTGTTCGACGGGACTCGATCCACGCACTCGTTAATGCATTGCCAGACCCCAATTATGCAACATTGAGGGTTCTTGCTCTTCACCTCAATCGGGTGGCCAACCACAGCGATAGGAACAAGATGACTCATGGCAACCTGGCTATTGTGTTTGCGCCTACCTTGATGGGACAGGGCAAGTCGGGGCCCAATAGCACGCCAACCTCGCCCAACACCGACATTGCTGATGCCGGGTGGCAGGCCAAAGTGGTGGAAACTATATTGGTCAACACACTTCAGATCTTTGACGACGATGAATGAGGGGATTGGGACCCAGGGGGTTGTTAAAATGGAGGTTGGGGTTACTCTGGTTTATGCGACGTCTCTGCAATGTTGGTGTACAACAAGGATGAAGAGATCTCTGGACAGTTTCCGCCTCGGGTGGAGACGAACAGGGCGTTTGAGCCGGTGCTGAAGCTGGAAGATCTTGGACCAATCTAATTTATTATCTATACATCTATTCTTTGGTAGACGTGACCAGCAGAAGCTGAAGCAATCATATCATTGCTGTCTTTGCGTACATGGTGGAAGGAGCTGCTGTGGCTGTTGTTGTCATCGTAATTGCCACTTTCCTTCCCAGATAAAATGCGACGAGGGAAGGAACGTAGCTCACGTGACTTTCCAATGCCAAGCCTACCACCAATATCTTTTCGCTGACGTCTCCCTATCCACGCCGACCAATCTCCCACGTGTTGCCACCAAGCAAACTTTGACAAGATACCACCATTTTTCAAGGTGGCCATTTCTTCATGACGATGCGCAGGAGGTTGCTATTCAGCTGCCTGGGACCATCTTCATGCCTCTCTCATGTCTCCTCAAGCGAGCCCTAACTTGCAAAGATGAAATGGCCACTGCTCATTCAAATCTCTCGAGGTGCAATCCCTATCTATTTCGCCTAGATCACCAGAGATAGAACTCCCAATCCTGGCTTGACTTGGAACGCATGCCTAGATGGCTATGTCCGCAGCAGAGCAGGAGCACCTCAATGGCCACAGTGGCTTAATCCTGGCGGTCTTCTGTATCGTCTCCATCTTGGTCATCTGGCCTGTCAGGATCCCTCTTCCACATGCTGTGCAACAACCATTACGTCGAATCTTGCACCAAGCCCGCATCATCGACGATGCCGACTACGAATACCTTTCGAAACGGCCCTTGCACATCTCCCTTTCTCTCACCACCGCCCCGGTCATTGCAGTCATTCTTCTCCTTGCCACCACCACTATCAACGGGAGTACCATCAGGTTGGGCATCGTCGGGGACGAAAATGTCAAACCCTACGATGTTCTGGTCCTCTTCATCTCCTTGGCTTATATTGCCATTGCACTCGACGGCACGGGCGCCTTGGAAGCAGTTGCATTCTACGTTTCCAAAAGGGGAGGGAGCTCCGGTCGACTGTTGTTCACCTATCTTTATCTCTTCTTCCTCATGACAGCTTGCATTGTAGGCAACGATCCTCTCATCCTCTCAGGAACTCCCTTTCTGGCTTATCTGACTCAACACACCGGCCTCGAACCTACAGCCTGGGTGTTTAGCGAGTTCATGGCTGCCAACACCGCCTCGGCTGTTCTGGTCTCCTCAAACCCGACTAATATCCTCATCACTGGCAGCTTCGGTCTGAATTTCCTCACAGGCTTCACCAAGTGGACTATCCTCCCAGCTTTGATTCCAGCCGCCTTGAACTATCCCATCATTTTGGCCATGTTTTGGAAACGAATACCCAAGAACATCACCCCTCTCACGGAGGATCCCTGGTCTAAGTTGAGAGATCGTGCTGGTGCCATTTTCCTCAGCGTGCTTCTTGTGGTGACGGTCGCAGTCTTGGTCGGAACGAGTTTTGTCCCAGAGCATGCGGTTGAGGTGTGGATGGTCACGGCCCCAGCAGGCATACTGGGGTTTCTGTGGGATCTCAGCAGCGACTGGTTCCGGCCTCAGAAACAGCGTGAAGTCATCCGCCGGCAATCCACCGACCAAGCCGCCGAAATGCAATCTCTCGATCGTACCCGTTCTAGATCTAGCCAGCGAAGACAACAGTCTCTCCATCCTCCCGGCCAGAAAGAGACAATCCAATCCGAGAACCAGCCAGAAATCTCGGCCACACAATCGCCCATGTCCCTCAACGACAAAGCAACACGACCCAAGAACGAAAGGTTCACAGTCAGCAAGATGATCCGCCTGTTCGCGCAACACTTCCCAGCCACGACACGCACGATTCGACGTCTCCCTATCCCACTCCTCCCATTCGCCATGGCCGAGTTCGTGCTAGTACGGGGACTGGCGCAGCGTGGGTGGATCAGCGTGTTTGCACGAGGGTTTGCCAACGCATGCACAACCCCGGCGCGGGCCGTCTTCTTCATGTCGTACGTGTCGGCGGCGTTCCTGTGTCCGCTGGCAGGGACCAACATTGGAGCCACCATCATCTTGGTCGAGATCATGCGCAACCCTGCATTCCTACAGAGCGAGGCGGTGCTGCGCGACGAGCGCGTCTTGCTCGGTGCCATCTACGCCGTCGCCCTGGGCAGCAACATTGGTGCCTTTAGCTACACGTTTGCCGGCAGTCTGGCCGGCTTGTTGTGGAGAGGCTTGTTGGACGACAAGGGCATCGTCATATCTCAGGCCAGATTTGCTCTGGTCAATGCCTTGCCCCTCATAATGCAGAGCACTGTCAGTGGTGCAGTGATTCTGGGCCAGTTGTATTGGTTCGTTTAAGGCCAAATCGCCTCATGTGCAAATCAAGTACAGTTAGTATATCGTATATAGAGCGTGTTTTGTGTTTTGACATCATGTCTGTACTGTAAGAACCATAAACTATGAAGTCTAGAAACCATCTTCTCATTTCACAAGGACAGTCTAAACAAGTATAGTCTAAACAAGTACAGTCTAATTGTCTATCTCCATTCACGTGGAACACGGCCCTGGGTTCGGTAAGCTCTCGCAGGACGGGAATGTGTTACAGAAACAGTTCTTTGTAGTCAGGCACCCAGGACGCTCAGGCATGACTGTGACTGCAACTGTGCCACAGACGTCGACTCTAAGACCTAAGAGGCAGATCATCATCCCGTCATCTACCGGGAGAAAGGAATAGTGCGCCGTGGGGAACAGACTGGCACTTTTGCAAAATGTGGCTTGAACTTTGCAGTGAAGCAACACTCGAAGAAGGCTAGAGGCGTCTTGCCCTAAACCTCTTGAGGGTTGGTGCTGTCAATCTAAACTTTGTCCGTCCAATGCTTAGCAGAGCTTGATGAGTCAATCTGCTGGGGTTCGACGTATGCGTATACATACGTAGAATCCCGTTTGTTGGTTGTCCTGGAGCCTAGAGCCTGTACCAAATAGCATGGAGCATGTGGAACTGTTGCTTGTAGCCTGAACCATCCGACTGTCGGACTTTTGTATCGTTGCAGACCGAATACGAGGTTCATGTCTCCAGTGTCGATGCAGCCTCGGGCAGTGCGACATCCGAAATCATTTTCACCATCATCCTACCCATAGGATATAAACCTATATACCATGCCCAAGCATTTCTTCGTCTCTCATTTTGCACACGTCAATCTATATTCGCCAAGTCTATCGTGCTCTACTAGACCGCCGTTTTGGCAACAAGGACAGATAACCATGGTTGAAACCTATGAGGCACTCATTGTGGGTGCGGGTCCTGTGGGCCTGATGTTGGCCTGTGAATTGGGATTGGCAGGTGTTTCCGTGCTCGTTCTCGAAAGCAGCCCCTCACCAGAGTCGCCATGGAAAGTCTGGCCACTGGGGATGCGTGGTCTGAATGTTGTTGCAGTTGAAGCTCTTTACCGAAGAGGACTCCTCCAGAAGTTGACCGCTGCGGGACAAAAAGCCTCAGTTGACACGACGATTCCAAAAACCTTGAATGGCAAACCCCTCGGTCGCTCAGGCGCTCGCTTCGGAGGCCACTTTGCAGGTATCATGCTGGACGCCAACAAGATTGAGTATGATCGGTGGAAATACCGCATCCCTGGTCCATCTCTCAAACCTCAGCCTACGACGCTTGTCCATGTCGAGGCAGTTTTGGCCGAACGTGCAGAAAGCCTTGGGGTCAAGATTCTCCGCGGTGTTGGCGTCAGCAAAATAGTCTCAGAAGATGACGGTGGTGTGACGGTAGAAGCAGGCAGCAACCAGACATTTCGCGGAAGGTGGTTGGTAGGTTGTGATGGAGGTCGCAGTGTAATTCGAAAGGCGGCTGGGATTGGGTTCATTGGCACCGAGCCAAAGTATTCGGGCTATTCGGCCAAGTGTGAATGGAAGCCCGTTGACAAACTCGACACTGGGTTCACAGCCACCAACAAAGGGTTATACATTGCCTTGCCGGGCTGTCTGCATGTGCTGGACTTCGACAGTGCTGGATTTGACCGGACACAAGAGGTCACCAAGGAGCACCTTCAAGAGGTCCTGAATCGTGTGAGTGGAAAGACCGACGTGGAGATTACCAAGGTCGACCTAGCGTCTTCCTCGACCGATCGATGCAAGCAAGCCATCACCTACCGAAAAGACAGGATCATTCTTGCAGGAGACGCGGCACATATTCACTCTCCTATGGGAGCTCAAGGAATGAACCTAGGACTGGGAGACTCGATGAATCTGGGGTGGAAGCTGGCGGCAACGATACGCCAAGAGCGGTCCGCGGCTGGAAGGCCCCTCGACTTGACGCTGTTGGACACGTATGAAAGCGAGCGTCGACCGATTGCAGCGTGGGTGCTTGAGTGGACGCGCGCACAGGTATCAACCCTTTTACCAGACTTGTACGGGTCGGCTGTTCGTACACTGATCAAGGACCTTCTGGACACGGTCGACGGGACTAACCTAGTGGTGGAACGAGTTTGGGGGCTATCGCAGCGTTATGTACTTGGAGAGGACGAGGCTCACCGCCAGCCGCTGGTGGGAAGCAGTGCTCCAGACCTGGAGTTGCAAGATGAGTCGCGACTTGGGCCCAAGCTGGAGAGCGGCAGGGGATTGTTGGTGGATCTCGAGCGTGGGCAAAAGTTGCAGAATCTGGCAGCGGATAGGCAATATGGTGGTCGGGTGGACTACCTGGGGATGGATGTCAAGGACACTCGAGGGTTGCGTGCATTCCTGGTCCGACCTGATGGGATTGTTGCGTGGGTGGCAGAAGAGAATGAGGAGCCGGACTTGGAGGCACTGGATCGCGCCCTTGAGCGCTGGTTCAAATTCTAGTCGACGATACATGAAGGAGGGCATGTGGATTGGAAGGGAAGGGCCTGTAGAGCATCGACATACCTCTCGATTAAGATTAAACTGTACAATAGACGACGCCACTCAAAGTATGAGGAAAGCTGATCACCCTGACCCAGTGAAAATGTCGGCCGCGTTCAGTGAAAAGGAGTGTCAAAATGGTTGAATTAGTAGATGTGAGGATGAGAAGATGTGAGAATGTGAGGAATTGTCAAACGTCATGACTAATTTAGGTTGGTCGCTGGTCGATTAGGAAGGCGCGACCCAGCGTGTTTAGATTCCTGTGTTTGGGAAGGTGCCAAAAAGGTGCAAATGGGAAGGAACGAAGGAGTTCGGGGATCTGAAAGGCTCGGCCGAACATCAACCAGAATCCCACCAATCACAACTCCAGCTTGACCTCCCCTTCTTCCTTGCCTCAACTCTCATCATGACCTCAATGCTTTCTGGTCTGATGGAAACCGTGAAAGACATCCATCATGTGCTTTTGACCTCATCTGAGACCCAAGATCCCTGTGCTGGCCGATGTTCAATCTCCTCAACTGGGTGGACCATCCATCTTGGTACATCTAGCCCGTTCATTCCCACCCATGGCATCGACCTCGTTCAAGTAAGAAACAGTGAGTATGACTTCGCCCTTCTCTCCTTCTGCACAGTCGCCATCCAAAAGTCCCTTCGCCTGCCTCCGATGCGCAGTGCGGAAAGTCAAGTGCAATAAAGAATTCCCCTGCAATACCTGCGTCCGTCACAATGAGCAGTGCGTTTTCCGCCCACCCAAACCTTCCCAAAGGAGGCAGAAACACCAACGAGAACAGCTTTTGTCCGCCCGTCTCAAGCGCTATGAATCACTGTTGCACGCCAATGGCATCGACCTCGCTCAGATAGCAGATCCCTCCAGCCCTGACCCAAGCGAAGCCGTCACCAAGCCAGATGCCATCGAATGTATCGAACCCCGATGCCAATTGCACACCCCCGTGTCACCCTCAAACGCGCCGACCGAATCAACTGAACCTCAGACCACTGTTTTTCAACCCCAGCTGCTATTTGGCCAAAACGGCGCCAAGTTGGTGGACAAGTAAGTTGTCTTCCATACCAATTCCATTGGTCCAATGCTCAATGCCGCCCAGTAATCTGTGGTCGAGAGTCGCAGAAGAGGTTCGTCCCCACCAGTCCTGTTCTTCTCATTTTGGCTTGGTCTGACACAACTCCCAGATCCAAGACGATGTTGACGACATTCAAGACGACTCTAGCGACGCTGCAAGCGATGCAGAGACTTCCAATAGCAATTCTGCCTATGTCCTCGGAGCTGAACCTCTTCAGCCAGCCTTCTCTCACCCCCCAAATCAACATAGTCTCTATCTCTGGCACGCTTTCCTCCGCAATGTCAACCCTCTGACCAAATTGGTCCATGTCCCAACCCTCCAACCGGCCTTTGACAAGGCTCGGGCCAACATCAACCACATCCCGAGTGGCTTCGAGGCCTTGATGTATGCCATCTACAGCATCTCCGTGCTCTCTCTGTCAGACCAGGAATGCGACGATGTTCTGGGACAGCCCCGCAAGACAATACATCGTTATTATGTCTCCGCTACCAAGGCTGCGCTGGCCCGTGCCAAGTTTATGAGCAGCACAAGTATCGTCGTTCTACAGGCCTTGATCCTGCATATCCTATCCATCCGAGACTCATACCACTTTCGCGCCCTTTGGACCCTCACTGGTCTTGCAATCCGTATCGCCCAGGTCGCCGGCCTGCACGTTGACGGCACCCTGTTAGGATTATCCCCATTCGAGTCGGAGATTCGTCGACGGATATGGTGGCAGCTCACGCTAAATGACTTTCGTGCGGCCGAACTATGTGGCCAGGCCAAGTTTCGCAACCTGGAATTGGACGAAACGTCACCCAGGAAACCGGCCAACGTTGATGACAGTGATCTGTTTCCCTCCATGACCGAACTACCCCAAGAGTCTGCTAAACCCACAGAAATGCTCTGGTGTGTTATCAGAGCAGACATGATAAGGTTTGCCGCAGGTCCGATCTTCAAATCACAGAGACAACCAAACCCTGCATTCACGTCGGAAGAATACACTGCTCTGGACGACCTGAAAAGCAAAGATGAGTTTAGTCGCCAGCTTGAAGATCGTCTCGAGACAAAGTACCTGCGCTTTTGCGACCCATCACAGCCACTGCATCTTTTGGCTTTGATTGTGGGTCGTGTCGCTACAAACATCATCCGCTTCATTTCTCATCATCCCCGGAGATGGTCAACGCAAAAGGAAGTGCCCCAGTCCGAAAGGCAACTGCTATGGGATATTGTCACTCGATTGTTGGAGCAGTATAACATGGCACAATCAACCCCACAACTCCGACGCTTCGCCTGGAATGCCCCCTACTTTATTCAATGGCAAGCTGTGATCCATCTCATTGATACGCTGCGGGCTGAGCCTTTGCACGCGGATGCCGAGAAAGCTTGGAAACTCATCGACGTTCTGTATGAGAACAACTCTGAAATGCTGCTGGGCAATAAAGAGACTATTTATGTGGCAGTCGGCAACTTGTGTCTGAAAGCATACAATGCCAGACTGTCTGCCTTGCAAGAGCAGGGCCATGCCCAGTCTGACGTACCTGGGTATATCGTGACGCTGAGGAAACAGCGTGAAGAGGCTAGACTGAGACGGCAGTTCTCAGTTGCCAAACGCCAGGCGAGTGTCAACCCGTCAGAACAAGTGGCAGGCTCGAAAATGTCGCCAAGCACAATCAGCAACGTTGGAGATGTGCATACTGGCCATCGATCAAAACCAGACGGAAGAGACGGAAAATCAGACGTCTGGCCCCAAGAAGGTGATCTCAGAACAGGGGACGACGCGTTCTGGCTCAGCAGCCACACTGGTGGCAATGTCGTCTCCAACAACGGAGCCCACGACATTGAGACGATCCTCGCCCAAGAGCTCGCGACCGACAACTTGAACAATGACATTATCAATTGGGAGCAATGGGATGTCTGGCTCGGTAGCGGATCAAGCATGGCGATGGGCCTTGTTGAGCAACGCCATGGCTTCGCAGACAGAACAGCCACCTCTGAACTCACGAATTAACTAGAATCAAGGTGTGACTGCGAAACAATCGTGTATGAAGAAGAAAAATGAGTTAGGTGGCCAATAGTGTATGCATTATAATTCCGCTAGCTATGCGCAATAAGTATCATCCAATGTACTCCAAATCCCACAAAGCACAAAATACGTTCTAAACCCCCTCACAGCCACCAGCCACCGGGTATGTGTAGTGAAATATGCGACTCAAGCCAGCCTGACTTTTGCGTACAGTCGGCGAGTTCGATCCTTTTGTCATGGTTCCATTTTCCCGTTTGCTCCAAGTAGCCATCAACCTTCCCGTCATAACCTTTGCACATGGACCCATCAAGGACATCAAAAGCCTCCTCTAGTAGGGGATATGGCATCTGATCAGGCACTCTTCCACACCTTGGGCGAGAGGAGCGGGGATGTTGGCCTTGAAGGTCTTGAAGTTGTCGGCGTTGATCTCATTGGGGAAGCCCAGGGTGGCATCGACGACCTGAGGGTCAATGTTGACGAGGAAACGTTGAGCGAGGGAGCTGGCACCGGGATCCTCGCTGTTGAGACCCGCGAGGGCCACGGCGGGCTTGCAGTCGAGGTTCTGTTGGAAGTGGATGGAGCCTTGAGGGAAGACGGTGCCTTGATATTGAGTCAATGTAGTGTTGAACTCGGTGGTCAATGGATTCTCCAACACGAAGCCTGACAGGATGTTGCTGTCGGTAGCAACAGTCAAGAACTCGGTGGCTCGCGGGTGGATGTGGGGGGTGTTGAGGCCGCAGGGCTGGAAGAAGATTCCGGCAAACGAAATGCCAGTGCCGGTCAAGAGAGGGAAGTTGACTCGGTTGGCGAGGTCGACCTGGCCACCAGCCCCGGGGGTGATGGCAGGGTTGGCCGCCGGGTTGAAGTCAAACTTGAGATCGATCACGCCAGCATCAAGGTTCTTTTGGATCGCCTCGAACCGCTTGAGGGTCGACGGGGCGTTGAGCAGCTCCGACACCAGAGTCGAGTCGCTGGGGAGGGCCTTGTTGGGTTGGGCATTGGGGTTGCCCAAGATGCCACCGGTCGCGGTCGGAGTGCCTGCGCTTTTGACGCTGGTGACGAAGCCAGTGGACTCTGGACCGGGAATGGGAACTCCGGTTTGGGTCAGGGCATCTGGAACTCCAGTGCTGGTCAACGCGTCGGGGACACCGACGCTGGCGAGGGGAGATGCCGTGACGGCAGCGGTGAGGGCAGCGATGAGGATGGTCTTGGTGAGCATTTTGAATGTTGGTTCTGTAAGAGTACTGTCGTTGTAGAGAAGGGTGAGTGAGTATGAGCTGGGACAAGGTGGTCGGCTATTAAACAGTCTTCTCGAGCTGGGGCTAGGGTCAAAGAATGTGCGAAAACGGTAAGAAAGGAAAAAAGCTATTAGTGCTGATTGAATTGGTTTGATTGTTCTGGGTGAGCTGAACACATAGACTCTCGCTTCACGACGGGTAGAGGGTTCCTTATGTATACGCCAGAGAAGAGGTGAGCAGGGTGGAATGCCTCAAGGATCCATATTGGCTGGCAGTGCGTTAGGATCGAGGGCTGGGCCCGGCATGGCAGCCTCCAAACCAAATTGCCCAAAGTCATGGAACTCCGTGATTACTGGACCTGGGATGCCGTGGCTCACGACCGCCGGGCTATTCAAGGGCGATGAGGGCGATGAGGGCAATTTTGGCTCCAACTCAGGCCAAATGGTCGACTCCAGATCTGTCAGCGTCAGATTCGGTAGCCCTAAAATGCCACGCCTGCTGCGCGTTATTCCTATCGAGGCGAAGGCGAGAGGCCGACAGGTCCAACAACCGAGTCTTAACTTCATCGAGGCTAGTGCTCACAAAACTGGGGAACAGACTAGTGCCAGCAACAGTTGACCATGGCCCCACTTGGGATAGCCTCCAGCCTACTCGGCCCTTGCCGTGGGAGTCGCATTTGAGATAGATTAAAGGGTCAACGCAGAAGAGATACCGAGGAGATTCATACTAGTTACCTTACGAATACCCGAAACTATTGATGGTCCGAACAAGGGTAATGATCTGGGTACTGTTCACAGTGCTGTGTCTAGCGTGTTGTAGTATATATTTACGTAGGCTTGTCAGCAACCGCTATTTTTACGCTGCATTCCTATTTCCGATGAGATGTGTCGTGGCTAACGGCAATTGACTTGGAGAAAGATGGGGTCAATGTGAACCAGTACTGAAATGGGGAATTTCAAGGACGCGGCTCTGGGCAGCTGCACCTCTATCCCAAGCATACTCGCACATATGCACATGCGGACTACCCATACGCATATTTCTAGAGGGGGAGACGTGCAGAGCTGTAGGCGGTCACGGTGGTCTATTTTTAAGACGGGAATTTATCAGCATTGGCAAATGTAACTTGGGAACGACCCCTCCGGCGCAGATTTACTAGTCTATACTGGGTATAGTGGTGGCACAATCCGTGTATAGCGATTGGTCAATCATGACTTCAGGCCTCTCAACACAGACGCATTACAGCGGTCAAGAATAATCGCCCCTGCAACATTGGCATGGTTGGCTATGCTGACCGCAGCAACCCTGGTCATTGAACCTGCTCACAATTGGAAGCTGATCGATTCTCACCACTCGCCCCCGAGCCTTCTCACACCCTGCGCCGGGCCAAAAATGCTTGATTCAACTCTTAGCAAGTTTCAAGAGACCCCTTCGCAGTTCGTTCCCTAAGTAGTATGCGATGTGGGTGGCTGATATGAGGCCGCTCATCCTCCTATTGTGGTAATTGGCTTTGAATCTCACCTTCTGGGAGATGACACCCTCTCTGAACTTCTTCACTATGTATCACCAATGGTGACGCGCTACATTCCAGTCCCACGGAGTAGTTACTGTTCTGTTCTGTCCAACATTATTCTGTTCTGTCCAACATTATTGACTGACGCCTCTGGCACAGGAGAAAAAGCACGACGACAGCTGGCGCACTTTTACCCACAATTACCAGGCATATTGATCATGTGACAAGACTCGGCCTTGGAAGCCCTTACAGAAATGCCTACAAACAGCTTATGTAAGTGAATACCCGATAGGGCTTAGTCCATATCTTATTTTGGTTTAGGCCGAAGATATACGGAGTATGTTACGGAGCTATATGCACACGCTCGAGAGAAGCTACCATTTGCCCGTCACCAGCACACACTACCTTGCTGGTCCATCTATATATGCGTAGCGAGGGCGTAAACTCAATCAGACATTATCCTTGCCACAGAGCTATGCTAATCCAGTGGCTGGTGCCATTGAGGCCCCAGGCATTCAGTGCCTTGTCAGGGTATCCGCCAGTTGCGCTTTGGAATGACCTCGATGACTCCGACATTGTCCATTTCCGTGCTCAATTTGATTCTGCCCTAGCACAGACCCGTGTGTATGGCAAAACTGCACTGCCAGTTTTTCAGTCTACCTGAGAAATAGAACATGGACAAGTATTTCCCACACCAGATCAATCTCCACTCCCTTTCATCCGTCTAGCCTTCCGACTTCTAGCCACTTACAAAGTTATACCCATTCGGGTCCTGGTCTTACTTCAATTCCTGTGAGATCCCGAGTGCCAAGATTTGGTTCGGCACGTTTGAGATCCTGGGACTTGATTGTTGGCGGCGCGAGAGTGCCTGTATGGAGGTCCCAATTGTCGATCTTGGACCTTACCAACTCCATACAGATGACCTTGGGCTCGACTGTAGTGTGGAGATTCTCGATCACTTGGGTTACTCCACGCACGGGACTGTCAGAGAAATCCAAAGCCGTGGCATCTCGACTGTAAGTGCTACTTGCTTGAACACTGTTGGCTCCTTTCACTGTAGAGATTAGCTGCTTGGGCGTTGTTGCGAGTGACGAAGCTGAGTGACGACGACCGCCAATATTGGCAGCTCGGAAATTGCTGAGAACCGACAGACTGAGGCGCGCTGGTCTCGAACCATGTCTTGTCCCGTGGTTCGGAACAGATCCCTTATTTCTCCAGTTCTCTCGATTTCCAGAGGTTTGGGGCCGTAAGGGTGCTACACTGTCCGAACGGCTGCAAAACATCTCAACCAAACTTTTCTTGCCATCACTCCAGACGGCGGGTGGCGTGTATTGCACAATGCCGTGGCCATGTGATGAGTCTCTCGATATAGGCATGCGTTCATCATTGACTGACAATGGCGAGGTTGGTGGCGTTGAGAACACGATTGATTTCGAAAACAACTGGACCGACGGTGTCTGCTGGATTTGATTCGACATGTCCTCCGTTTTGGAAGCGGATGAACTTTTGTCAAAGACGTCCCTCATTTCCGCTACGGGTGTTTGGGGCCTTGTCACAGTTCCTGCTCGAAGAAGCCCTCTCCATCTCCTCGGCCGAGGCTCGTTGAGCGCGGCACTCACTGGTAGAGAGTGTGACTTGTTCCTACTTGTTTGGGATTTGGGCAAAACGAAAGGGTCATAGAGAATGTCGTCAAGGTTTTGAGACGCATCAGGAATTTTTTTCATGCGCTGCTGTATCCTTGTCATTTTCGTTGTTGTTCCTGATGCTGGAGATGCTGATGGCTCAGTCAGATTCTGTTCATTGCGAGGGCAATCTGCAAGATCTGCCCTCAGGATGACAGCACTAGTTGCACAGGCAGGAGAGCGTGGGCCGAAGTGCAATCTCGGTTTTCTGGAACGCGAGATGTCGAGTGGCATCGGAAACCTCTCAAGCTGCCTGGTCAAGGGCGGTGGCCTCCCGGCGGGCCTGGGCTTCAGCACTAATGGTTCTGGAACTGGGAGGATGTCGTCTGTCTCAGGGCCAAACAATAGCATCTCTATGTCATTTTTTTCTGCACCATGCCTGTGAGTGCAACCCGTCTGATTCAAAGGTCTGTTTCGGTCGGTGGGTGGGAATCCTTCTCTTGAAGGGAGAAACAAGTCATGGCTGCTAGTCGTAGGACTTGTGTTGGAAACAGGAGGGACGAGAGGCTTCTGTGCTGAGCCTAGAAAAACACGGGGGAAGGGCGACTCTGTTCGAGGATTGTAGCGCCGCACGCCAGGACTCAGTCTACCCTGAGAGCTGTGAAAAACCGGTGGGTGGTTGAGATAGTGTGGTTCATCATGGTAATCATCCTGATACGACTGAGTTGCAGTGCTTCGAAAAGATCGATGTCGTTGTGACTTTCGACGAAGTCTCGGCAAGACAAAGCCCCAAAAGGCACACACAAGGATGATGAGAAGCGCAATGGCTGCGAAAATGACAGAGAATGCTTGACTCGATGCTTCACTTCGAGCATGCAAGGGAGATTTGGGCGTAATCACCGCCATTTCCCTAGCCTGACAAGAAAAGGAAAGGTCCAGCCCACGAGATGAGGTGTGTGTACTGGCTTGAAGAACTGGTAAAAGGTGTGTGGTGCCTTGTAAAAATGGATAAACGTTCGCCCTCAAGACGCGACGCGGTCGTTTCTGGGGAGGAAAGTACAGACAACAGTCATAGTTGGAAGGTGCGACTGTGCATCATTCATCCTTCACACAAAAAGTCCCTCGTTCCACTATCGTCTTTACGTCCTCTCCCTCTACACTTCCAACAGAAGCTATTTCAATGTCGGACAAGACCCACCAACTGCACGGACATACCAACTTCATGGCCCTAACCTTTAGATATGGACGTCGGACCGTCGTTGTCACTGGAGCAGGTGTATATCGGAGGAAAGAAGAGCAAAAGGTCCTGTTTCCTACCCTTCCATCGCTAAGCTAACCGCCACGCCACGCCTGGTCAGGGATTGAGATCTATTCTTTTATAGTCGAGACACATGTTTGTCAGAAGCCTGTCACTTCCCGCCCATCCCAATCCAATGTCGAGTACAACTGCTGACCCGTCCCATAATGGTACATACCGTGCTCTATGTCGCAGCCGTCGCCTGCTACTTTTGTAGGTTCTGGACGAAAGAGTCCAAGTTGAACTCTTCCTGGTATTGCCTCTCGTCCCAGAGGTCGCCCACATCGTCCAACCAACCCTTCTCGCCTTTCTTCCTCACTTCACCCGTCTCAATATCGACCATGTCTTCTTCCCTGCCCCCACTGCCACTCTCTCCGGTCGTCTCCGATGTCTCTGCCAGATTAAAAAGATCTAATATCTGATCCGTCTCCATACTTCCCAGTCCAGCATTCTGCTGATTGACCACCGTTGATGCAACATCAATCTTGAATCTTTGCAGACTGAGAATTTTCTCCTCCAGTGTACCCCGAGTGATCAGTCGGTAGACATTCACAACCTTCTTCTGTCCAATCCGATGTGCCCGATCCATAGCTTGAATGTCTTTTTGTGGGTTCCAGTCATGTTCAACAAAGATGACCGTGTCTGCTCCCGTCAGGTTGAGCCCAAGCCCGCCCACGCTCGTCGTAAGGAGGAGACAATCGTAGCTAGGATCATTGTTGAATTGATTGACAATATTCTGTCGCTTGGTCGCTTCGACACTGCCATCTAGCCGTAGGTATTGCACCCCAGGCAGCAGTTTGCCCAATACCTCGGTCTGCACCATGTCAAGCATCTCCTTCATCTGACAGAAGATGAGCGCCCGATGCTGTGACACATAGTTGGTTGCCGATATGTCGTTCGACTCGTTGCTGACTCCAATACCACAATCCACAAGGAGATCACGAAGCGCTCCAAGCTTGGGAGCATGCGCGATGTCTCGAAGGTTAGATTTTGATTGAGCCAGTTGCTTCTGAATAGCATCGTACTGCTTATTACCCTCTTTGACGACAAGAGCAGGTGAATTGCACAGCTTCCTCATGTACTGCAGCGCCTGGAAAATGTGCTGCTTCGCGCCTTTGTCCGTTGACCCAACGCTGTTCTCCACTGTGGTTCGTTCTTTCTTGAAAAAGTCCTCAAACAGACGTCGTTGGAGCTCGCTTAGATCACAGTAGTAGTTTTGCAAAATCTTAGGAGGCAGGTCATTCAGGACCTCTTCTTTGAGACGCCGTAACAAAAATGGCAGTACTTGTTTGTGCAAACTCTCGATTGCGAGCGCGCCAGCCTCTTGCTCTTTTGACGACGACTTGGCATTGCGGCTTGCTGCAATTGGTTTCGCAAATCGATCTTGAAACACCCTCTCGGTCCCTAAGAATCCCGGCATGAGGAAATCAAATAACGACCATAGTTCGAGCACGTTGTTCTGAATTGGAGTGCCCGAGAGGATGAGCCGGTGGTTACTCATCAGCTTTTTGACTGCCTGCGAGATTTTGGCCTTTGGATTCTTGATCAAATGTCCCTCGTCGAGCACACAGTAGTTCCATGTGATCGGCTGGAGAACATCATTATCGTTTCGACATACATCGTACGAGGTGATCACAATGTCGGCAGTTTCGAGCAGCCGACGCCGGCTTCCTCTCTCCGCGGGAGAGCCAACGTAAGCGACGCAACTCAAGAACGGTGCGTACTGCTTGATCTCTTGTTGCCAATGGCCCGACAGTGTTGGCGGACAGACGATTAGAGACGGGAGACGCCGCATGTCAGGCGCCTGAGACTTGGCATACTCCTCAGCCCTCAGATGATGATCACTGGCAACAATGCAGAGTGTCTGCAACGTCTTGCCGAGGCCCATGTCGTCGCACAGTACTCCATGGAGATTGTACTTGTTCAAGAAGGCTAACCAATTGACGCCGTCCTGTTGATATGATCGCAACTCGGCCTTTATTGCCACGGGGATGGTGAAAGGCTCAACCTTTTTGGGATCCAGCATTTGCGCCATAAACTTTCGTTCTCTTTCGCGACCCAATAACAGTTCCTCCGGCATCCCTGGAGGGTCTGGAATGCCTGCCTCGAGGGGAACTAGCTTGACTAGGGTCGCAAACGAGGTTGTCGCCAGTAGACGAACGTCACTGTTCGCATCACTCATCCGGCCAAGGACAGGCACAATTAAGAAGATGACATATGGGAGTATTCTGTCGCCCATAACTTGAATGAGATGATAGACACATTCAGTTATGCCTTGCCTGTCTCTGAGATCAAGAGGATTGCTGATGTTCGGGAGAACCTCTTTGACAAGCATGGTCATCGCCTCCACAGGAATGACACTGCACAAGGTAGCAAAACATTTGGCAGCACTGTAGCGTATGACAGAGAGGCGACTGCGCATGGCCTTCCCAATCAAAGGGGTCAATGTCAGGACCCATGGGTGCAGAGACAGATGCAGGGAGGGTGCCATGGTTCGCAGGATTGAAAAGGCATCGACAAGTGTCTGGCCTTGCTCGCCATCGACTTCAAATGTTGCTGGATCTGTAGGGCCGATGAGCTGTTCAATCGGACCATCAATCAGTCCCTTGAGCACAGGGAGTCGTTGCAAAAGATCTGCGCCGTAGGCAACGGCGAGGTCATCCAATGCACGCTTTGCGCCACGCCTCATTATCCTCGCTTCTTTAGCTTCTTGCTCGAACCGAGCAGCATCAGGATGATCTTTTCTGTCCTCTTCCTTCCTCAGAGATAAAACTACATCATCAAACGAGGCATTGGGGATAAATTCTGGGGTCTCTGCCGTGTCGACACAAGTAAACTTGACCAAGTTTGAGACCAACTTGTCCACAGGACCTCGTTTGGGGCTGTGCGTATAAAAGTCGATCAGAGCAGCAACGGCTGAAGCAGACCTTGCCTGCAGTTCCTCATTCTCCTCTCCCTTGATGCTGTCCATGATGCTCTTAATCAACTGGCCAGGCTTCTTGGGTACCTCTCCAAGACGGACAAGGATCGAGGCAACAGAGGCTTTGATCGCTTGGTCACGCCCATTCTTCACCCGCTTCGCCTCTTCAACAGCCGTCATCGCATTTGCGCGGGCGTCATTCAGGTACTGTACTCCGGAGATTCGTTGAGAAGCAGTCAATCCCTTCAAAAGCCGATCAAAATCGGTGGTGACAATTCGCTCTGCGTCGGCAAGCGAGAAGGCTTTCGGCCCTGCGCCGTTCTCTCCTTGGCATACCACTGCAATCGCGGGCAGTTTGTCCCGGGGGACATGAGCGTTTGTCTGGAATGCTCCGACCAGAGAGACGCATTGTCCACGAGCAGCTTGAAGAGACGCAACTATGTCAGAATACCAATGATTGCCATCGTCATCGAGAACAGCCTGGAAAGAGGCCAGAATTCTTGGCAAGTCGTCGGGGGCGACCTGGCGATTTCGAGCCAGTTCTTCGAATACAAGACCGGTAAAGAGGCGTGAACTGGAGTTCGGTGAATTGACATCGGGCAACAGGCTGGTCCAGTAAGAACTGAATCGGGGTGCGGCTTGCTTGCCGAGGAGCAGGCCTAGAGCTTTCGCACAAGCGATTCGACTGCGGATCATAACCTCAGTGCCCACGAGGTCAACCTCGCCGTGTAGCATGTGGCCGTCAGTGTTGTGCGACAACTGCTGTTTCGATTCGGGCTTGTCAAGTTTGCGCTTTTTCTTGGGCTGATGGTCTGGTTCTTGGCTATGAGCGTGTTTGCTGGTGATGACAGTCATGGGAGCTCCCGACGGCTTGATCAAAAGACTCGTGTCCATGGGAATTGGACTTCGCTCCTGGCCGATAGGTTGGATCGTAGCTTTGAGCATGAACGGTATATGCGGTTCGATGCTGGAAAGAAAGTTGTGCTGGGGAGATCGCTCCACGGAGGCCAACAAGGCTTGCCAGACATCGAAGGAGGTCCAGAGTACGGCTTCGTTTCGCTCCAGAAGCATGTTCTGGAAAACCAACCGGGTCAAACGTCCATCAATCCAATCCATGTGACTCCCGTTGGATACGTTCATGAAAGTTGCTAGAGCCTTCAAAACAGCCATGCGCACGCTGGTAATGGTGTGTCGGAGAAAGGGATAAAGTCGGGGAACGAGCCGGTCAAAGGACTGCTCTGGATCATGGACTGCATTTGCTCGCATGGCCTCGAGAGTTTCGTCGTATGAGCAGAGAGTTGCCAACAGATCCATCACAGCCCCAGTACTGGCACTCAGATCGTCCTGCATGTCAAGCATACAGTCCCACACGACGCAGATGAGTCGTCCCAGTGCATCAGATCTCATCTTTGTGAGTTCGCCAGCGATTGGAATGATGGTCGCAGCACTGACAGACTTGACATCATCATCCATGTGTCCTAAACCACGAATAGCGGCGGAGACAACCCCATCGATGATTGTGTTGTGCTGGAGGAGCAGATCTTTTCGAACCGCCACGAAATATCTTAAGCCGATCATACCGCCATGACAGACTTCCCAAATAGGGCTTTGGCCAATGTCCTTTTGGTCTATCATCTGCTGAAGGATTTCGTACGTCAACATTGCACTTTCATCGGGTAGTTGAGAGAGGAGAGCGCCTAGAGTTTGACCAATGGACTCGCGTATGGGAGCGACGACTGTATCGCTGACGTAGTCTCCGAACCTGTCTAGCATCAAAACACAAAGGAGTCGATACGACAGATCGCCGAGATATCGTTTGTTGTCCAAGTCATTCTGCGCTCTGGATTTGCCAAAATGTCGACCGGCACCACGTCCATGCGCCCGCATGACTTCTCTCAGACCCATGGCGGCTCCATGTCGGACTTCCCAATTGGGGTCAAATAGGTCGACTGATAAAAAGTCGCACATGACATCAAAGGGCCAATCTTGCGCGCTGTCATCATCTGGTTGAATCAATGGTTTCTCGGGAACGACATCTCCTTTGAACTCAGACACGAGGGCAGTGTCATCATCGGGGCCTTCACGTTTGATGTTGAAGAAGTCTGTCTTAATATCACCATTAGCACCCTCATGGCCGTTCAGTTTGACAGGGTAGGGTCCAGCGGCCATGGGTGACTGGGCTGCCTCTGTTGGCCGTCGGCCTGAAAGATCGACAACCCTCATTTTACTGGCCCCAGCCTTTGCAGCAGTCTTGTTTTTGCGCTTTAGCTGGTTGAGCTGACGCTTGCTGAGGCCGGTTTCATCGACTGGGGTGCCATCTGGTGACTTTACGGTGAGGGGAGAGCCGTTGCTCTGGCTGGTTGATCGGTCTAGGGAGGTCTTAGTGTCGACTTGAATAGTGCCAGAGGGCGAGCTGGGTTTGTTCTGCGAGCTAGCCGCAAAGTCATTCTCGGTAACGAGGTCATGCTCAATATATTCTCCAGCGAGGCCTAGACGGCTGTTCAGGCTCTGTTTTTGGTGGGCAAGCCGCTGAGCAGGGGTCATCCCCGCCATGGAGAAATCATATTCTTTTCCAGCACTACCGAGCAATAACTTGCCTCTCAGGATCTTTCTCATATCAAGATGGTCAAGCTCAAACAGGTCATCCGGGGGATGGTCTGGTTCCTCCTTGAGAGGCGGATCCTGAGCCTTAATCGGATCCGACTCGGCGTCTGGGTCATCTGCATTAGGATCAAATTTTGGGGCGTTGTCAATGATGGCTCCCAGGGCCTTTGCAGCGGCTGTTCTGGTATCCCATGACTTGGACTGGAGATATGGGAGAACACGGCCGAGAAGCGCAAACAGATTTTCCGGGTTCTGTTTCTGCACATCAGCAAGTTGAGAGGCGGCGGTGTTCCGGATGAGCTGCGTGCTGCCCTTGTCGAGTAGCCTAAAGGTGCTTGTCAGTGGGTTGTGGTCATGTCAGGGAGAGCCTGGGTGTTGACTCGTGGCCCTTGGGTGTGGGGCGGTTGAATAACTCACGTGACAAGACGATCGAGTCTGGATGGACATGGGTTAGCTCAGTCCAGTGGAACTCAGTAGCACAATTCATACCTTGACGATGCCATTTTAGCAATAGCGAATCACAGCTATGCCAAAGCGGTCCTGCAACCAGATCTGCCTCAGGGAAAAGATCGGGCGGAGAGCTGGCGCCATCAATTTGTCGCCGACACGAAAGAAGCTAAACACTCTGCCGCAGAATTGAAGCCTGGATCTGATTGGGCGAGTATCAAGATGTTTGATGAAATGGAGATGCGTCTGGGATGAGATGCGTGGCGGTTGGGAAAAATTAATCCTGAGTTGGGTGGAAATGGAAAAAGGCAACACGTGAGAGTGAGGATGAGAATGAGAAGGAGTGGGTGAATGGGCGACTGTTGCAAGGAAAGTGCCACTCCAGAGGCTGGTGTACACCTGTGGCTGCAGGCAGGCGCGGCCGGTGGACTGGAGGGGGATTGGGAGGTTTGGGAGGTGGAGGTGGAGGTGGTCAGTGAAAGGTTGAAAATCTGGTCAGAAGGCGCTCTGAGGGTTATTTGAGGCACTGAGGGTCTGGAACCCATTTAAATCTTTAAATGCTCGCTTGTCAGTGCAGGCTGTAATGCGCCAGGCGTGCCCCTGCCTCTGGCGTCCCATCCAACCCGCGACTCGACTTCAAGTGCGCCGTCGGTCTGCACTAGCATCTTTCAAGCTTTCATTGGGCCTTGGCATTGATGGACGCCTCCAAAGCAACTTTGCGCGCCTTTCATACTCACGAAGAGTACCATGATTTCTCTTAACATGATACTCTAGCACAACTCATTGACAAACACACTTGCCTTTATGACTTCTGTTCCTCGCAATCTCTGTATGTCTTCTCGTCAATAGCTCATGGACCCCCAGCGCAAAGGTTTCTGATGACTACGTACAACCACCACCAAAGATTCGCTCAAACGCCATGCCTAGCCGTACCAGCCTAGGCATTGTAGAGCGACATCGTTTGCAGCGTCTCTTCTTCTTTCCAGAAGTGTCAATGATGTGATGATACGTAGACACCTAATTCGGGGGAACATGTCGGCCTATTCTCGTCTTTCTTTTATAGTCTGGGTGTGGAAATTTGCGTTTGATGGCAGCCTCCGCTGTTCATTCATGTATCTTCTGCTACGGCGGTAGTGATGGTCAAGTCATCTCAAGGTCCCGTTTGCTATCTATTTATCGTGGGAGATAGCTCCTTTGAAAGTTGAGCAACGGTGTATCGCAGCCCATAGGTCGACACCCAAACGATGTCGAACTGCTTTCTGCGCCTCGCCAACAATTGTCGCCGATAGTGATTTTAAGGCCATCCATTTCTCGATTCTTCAATCGCAAGAAAAGTGCCTTCTTCCCATTGAGCCAGCACGATTTTGAAAAGGCCTCCCCAGAAAACCCTTACTCTCAAAGAATTGATCTGAGGAGGCTCGTCTTGAATGCAATATTTTGCTTCTACTCTGCCTGACGCATCCATCTCATGTGTACAATCCAGACCGCCTAGGATTTTTGCTTTCATTTTCTCTGTTATGAAGTCCCCAGTATGGCCTTTGTATCTTCTTCTTTGCCTAATAGTCCTAAGCTCCGGATCTGCCCAAGTTTTGGCGCGTTTTCACGGGGATGGGCGGCTTCAGCTTTTCTCAGAGCATCTTGGATAGCTAGTGTTCGAGCATACTGTGGTGAACACCCGTAATCAGTGATGTAAGCATACAGAGAGCCATGTGACCCTAACCTCTTTCTTGTGATGGAGACATTCGTAGTAGTCCTCTAGTCTGGGAGCGCAAACCGCCCGTTGTCTCGCGTCGGGGTCATTCTGGTTGATAACGTAGCAAGCCATATACTCCTGCCAGAATGAGTAGCATCGAGAGATGCCTGTAAGGCAAGGTCAGCATTGAACAAGTCCAACTGACATGGTGAGGACAAGATAGCTGGTTTGACATAGCTCCCTAACTCCGAGTGCCCCAAAACATACCTCCATTGATACCGTAGCCCGAGGCCATAGTGCCGCTTTATATGTATGGCGCGTTGAAGATCATGCAATTGTAGTCTGAGAGTTCGAGGTTTGTAAATCAGAAGCCCTGGGTAGCTGTTGTAAAGTCCTGAGGAGCAGGCGGCGTTGGCTTATTGGAGCTGCAGGTGTGGTTAGGCTTGACAGTGCGGGCAAGTAGCAGCTACCTGGGAGGATTAGTGCCTGCTAATGTGAGTGATAGCTGGGCATTGGGGCTAAGAATGTTTTATCTAAAAGTTGCTAGCAACGAGGAAGCGTTGTGGTCTAACTAGATGAGGTTAGACTGGTCTTGCGCAGTAGTGGCGTTAAAGTGACATCTGCGACATATCATCAACGTGACTTATGTGAAGACTACAGGGAATCACAAAACGTGTCATTCCCTAGAATACTTTACCCTCATGGCTTGCATCACTACCCTCCAGATTCCTCGACCTTACGCTCTACAGTTGACGCAGTCATAATGATCTGCTAACCCTTTGGCTTCTTCAAGCCTCGTGACCGCACTCTTACGCGTCATGTCTACGGTTTGGACATTATGTCGGATCTCAACAAGTTGTCGGATGCGCATATCCTATTACTAGCAGCGCAGCTGGCCTCTGCTGCCGAACTCGAGGACCTGCTTCTTTTGCAGCACCAGCACACTGAAATTTTGCCAATCACCCTTATCTACCGACTTGTTCTCTCATTTTATCCGACAAATGACTCCGTACAAGCTAGGCTCGCGAGCTTCTTGAAGCGCCTGCATAGTCATGACCTTCCTCCTTCCAAACATGGCAAAGCCATCTCCATCGACCCATTCATTTCAGCAACCTCAGACCACGAGGCCGTACGCCGCTGTCGAATCCTGAAACTCGTTCCACTTCCTCAAGAACCGATCCTTGCCACCGACAATAATCTTGCGAACTTTGTCGTAACTTGGTCACACCATCTGGCTTCAATCGGGAGTACTCCAGCCGTTCTGAACTTCGTCGAATGCTTTCTCGACCTAGACCCTGTATTGACATCCTGGTATCAATCATGTCTAACCCCCCATGCTCGTCTTGAATATGAGCTGTATCCTGAATCCACCGACATGCTCCTTCTCTCAGATGTTGAAACCCTTTCAGGGCGAGATGGCATTAGCCAACTATTGAAATTCGCTCGAAATGCGCACTCCTCTCCATTGCTCAAAAGAGATCTCGACGAAGTTGTGACCCCTTGGGTTCAAGGCTCTGGAAACTGGAAGAGAAGGAAGATTGAACAACCATCGGCCAATTCAGAATATGCTTCATGGAACAATGTCAACGATTGGTTTGTGTCCGCGAGTGTTGACGATTTTGCCACCGTCGCGAGTGCCTTTGTGGAATGGGATGGTCCTCCAGCCAACCTGACTGGAGCAGACAGCAATCCCAAATCCCTGCCCCAGGTCGTGCTCCGGCTCCTGCAGACTGGAATTGCAATGGTATATGCGAGCTCCAAAATCTCTCCTGAAGTCACCGCGGGTGCTCGAAACGTCCTCCGCAAGGTGGCAACAAAGTGCGACTTTCAGATCTTCGATATTGCTTCTCCCGACTCAAATAGTAGGTTGCCGGCGACATTTACAGAGTCACTCAAAGAGTCGCATCTCCTTCTCACGGCCCTCTTGACCCCGGGCAATCCTTTGACCACGCCGAGTATATCTTCCCTGCAACTACTGCAGCACCTGCTCGATACGGCAGACCTAATGCTAGATTTTGAGCTACCTGTTACGATCACGGACCTGTCCCGACTTTGCGTGTTCGGCACAGAAAGACAGCAGAGAGAAAAGTTTCGCCAGATGATGCAGCGAATCGCTCTCAAGCAACCAACTGACTGGGCCACTGCAAAAGCCAGACTATTAAAAGCGCACGATTGGCGCATGTCATCTCAAACAGAGCAAGGTCACAATCCTTTGGGCATCTTCTCCCATCTGTCACCCAGGTTTATGGACATGCAGCTACTTGTGGCCGCTTTGGAGCACGGGCGATATGATGTGGTCAAAGAACTTTACATCGACAATTCGATGCCCTACCTAACTGTTGAAGATGTCGAAAGCACGATTGCAGCCGCCATCTTGAAGTCATACGACAATGCTAGCGACGGGAACCGTGACAGTGGCGGTCTCCGTAGCGCATATGACATGCTACGAACATTCCGACCACATTTTCCCAAAAGTGCAACGCTTCAAGACATTGATCAACTCATCAAAGCAACACATCGCTTGTCATTTTATCGCCTTGATCTGCTGCACGGCGTTCCTTTCCGGCCTGTCGCTATTCGAGTCCAAAAGAACCCCTTGAATTTGATCGCAAAGGTTTTGGAACAGGATCATAGAGCATATACCAAGTTAGACGATCTTTTGGAGATTGGACGAAGTCTCGTGCACGCACACCTACCCAGCCGGGCTTCCCTTCAGGACTCCTTAGAACCTGTTCAGATTCGGCTGATTGAGGCTGAACACGAGATCACGCGACTGGCGATTGAAGCGGCATTGTCAGCGGATGACTTCAACACGGCTTACTCTTATATCACAACCCGTTTCTCAAACAGCACGCTTCCTGAATACTCAGACGACACGTCTTGGAGGGCGGCCTTCGCAGCAGGAAAATATAGGCCATCGACGTCGCCAAAGAATCTGGAGGCTCGCATTGAGAACCTGGCACAGCGGATGGAACTTTTGTCTCGCGCGTTGATTTTAGCGCCCGTTGGAGAATGTCTGGCGGAGATTCTTGGTACTTGGCGACGACACGAGGAGGAGATGATTGCGCTGAGAGAAGAGGGAGTTTTGGAAGAACGTGCAGCTGATGCCCGTGCCGACGGGGAAATACCAGGGTCTTTTGGCCTCGATGACCGGGAACTTGATGCAGCGGAATCGAAGCAAACTATGGCACGCCGTGGCTGGCCGGGCGCGGCTCCGGGAATCTCATACGAAGAGCATGCCCCAATGGGCTTGTTCGACGTTGCAAAGGGCGCAGCTACCGCACTCCGGAAGAGCTCCTTCTTCCCTATTGGCACAGGGGGTTTGCAGAACCTCAATATCCGAGACAACAGTGCTCCTCTGCCACAGCCCTATGGATTAGATCAGCAGGGAGATCACACGGCTATAGGTGAACGGGTTCGCAAGCGCGACACTGTGACGAATGCATTTGTGTCGGGTATGGGTTGGGTTCTAGGAGCCCAGCCGCAGGACCGTACTGACACGCGGGCAAGTAACGGATAATCCACCCTACCAATGTGGTTGAAATGAAACTTGGAAGTTGATACATGATCTCTGGGGATCTGGGCCTCGGGTCTGCTACCCATTGCTATACCAGTGACATTGCAAACAGGCTGGTAGGATGGAGAGACAGTCCATCTAATTGTACCCATCTGATTATACTCTCGACGACGAGAAGGGATAGGCCGGACATGTAGTGGACAAGGAATACAAGAGTGGTTGTGCTCCGAAATTCGAGACAAGATGTTGTCTTGAGGGAGAGGCAGTTGCAGGAAGGGCTCCAACCAAGAAGCCAAGACCATCACGTCAACATTCATCATGGCGCCTTCCTTCCCGGAGTTAACGGCGCGTGCGGCGCTCCTTCCCTCCAAACCTCCACATAAACTCTCCGCAAGTGCCGTCGCTAGACTACCTCGGCCCAATCATGAGCCGTCATGAGCGATGATGATAACCTTCAATTCTTAAATCACCCACTCACCCTCTCACCCCACTATCGACACTATCTGCCTGCACGACTCTACACCTCTGGGCGATCTCTGCTTACATTTAGTTCACTTCTACCTCCATGCATCCTCACCGTACCCTCTCTCGCCCGCTCGAGTGAACCATGTCCAATCCCAATGATCCCCGTGAAGGATTGAGTCCCTCGCCACCCAACATCCTCGACCTTTTCGATGAAGACGGGGACAGTGACGTCGACTTTGCCCCTGCCACCGACGAAGACCACAGTACGCAAGCAAGCGACAGTAATACTGAGTATACAGGTAGGTGCAGTTCTTTCATGACAATCTCTCTCTCCGCAGTCAAACTCACCAGGTACTAGATGCGCCCGAAGATTTGGCCGGCATCCAGATCATCTTTCAAGATGCCGCCGATGGAGACACGGACCAGGATGAACAAGATGGCAATACTACCGAAACTGAGCAAACCACATGTATGTCTGTCATCTTGATATGTGGCTGCAATCAACATTTCCGCATCTCCCACTGACCCCTTCTCCTTCTAGTGACATATGCCGACTTGCAGACGCTCTTTGGCACCAACAATCCCCTCCGACAGCTCCTCCAAGGCTACCGTGCCATCGCCCGCCCCTCTGCCCGCTATGCTCGCGATGACGACTCTGACGAGTGGCTCGGCAACCCCCGCCGCAACCCCCGCCGTCGCAGGACCATCCCTGGCCCCGACCGCTGGCCCAAAGTCCCTAATGAACATGGTCAGCACCTCATGAAGACAGGCATCTACGGCTCCAAGGACCATCATGTTGACATCCACCGCAAGCGACGAAAGAATGTAAGCGAAAGGCTCATGTGGCGCAGACTCGGGGTAGATGCCCGCTCCAGCTTCCGTCGGCAGAACAACCTGATTGCCCAAGACATGGTTCCCAACAATACAACGGCCGATAAGATCATCCATTACGACTCACGTGCCTACTGTGGCCAGTACTCGGACGATGGCAATTTCTTCTTTAGCTGTACTCAAAACTTCAAAGTGAGAATGTACGATACCAGCAACCCGTACGAATGGCAATACTACAAGACGGTGGATTATCCTTTTGGTCAATGGACCATTACCGATGCCACCCTCTCCCCCGACAACAGGTTCCTCGCATATTCGTCGATTCGTCACGCCGTCTGCCTCGCGACCACCGATCCCAACGATGACAATGACCACACAATCCTCGACTTTACCAATTTCGCTCCTGGTTCGGCTATGGGCTCTCAGAACTATGGCTATATGGGTCGACACGGCTTCGGAATTTGGAGCCTTCGCTTTTCCGGTGATGGCCGGGAGATTGTGGCCGGAACCAGCGACCATAGCGTTGTCGTCTACGATCTCGATCGCCGCCAATCCATCGTTCGTCTATCCAACCATGATGACGACGTCAACGCCGTGTGCTTTGGCGATAAGCTATCCCCACATATTCTGTATTCCGGCTCAGACGACCAAACGCTGCGAGTTTGGGACCGAAGGTCCATGGCTGATGGTCGCCCGGCAGGGATATTCGTCGGTCATACCGAAGGATTGACATATGTCGATTCCAAAGGCGATGGCCGTTATGTCTTGTCCAACGGCAAGGACCAGACCATGAAACTCTGGGATCTTCGCAAAATGCTGTCCCCCAACGAGGTGGAATCGATCAACCTCCACAAATACACGACCAACTTTGACTATCGCTTCTCGCAGTACCACGATGACGACTTTGTGCCCAACCCGCACGACTGCTCCGTGGTGACTTTCCGAGGCCATTCTGTCCTCCGAACACTAATTCGCTGTCACTTTTCGCCCCCAGGGTCATCCAATTCGAGATACGTGTATTCTGGGAGCGAGGACGGCAGAGTGTGGATATGGAACATGGATGGAACGGTTAAGGGTAAGATCGATGTGGCCAAGTCCACGGAAAATTCAAGGCCAATGACGGGGGCGCAGAACGATGTGTATGGTTATGAAATGACGGGTCGGTCGAGTTCTTCATGGAGCACTTGTGTGAGGGATGCGAGCTGGAGCCCCAGTGCGCCAATCATGGCTGGTGAGTTGTGAAATCCATGTCCTACGCGCTATCGGGGTATCATTACTGACGGAAGAGCAGCGACTTCGTGGAACGGCTACGGCTCATCGACTGGAACGGTGTCTCTGCACAGCTGGACAGATGGTGCTGCCGATGACGACGGCGACCCGCCCATGGGCTTGTCCTACAATGCACGCCTGGACCGCCGAGAGGACTCCAAATCAGGACGACGGCCTACTCACGACACGAGACTACAACGCATGGGTCAAGGGTCGCTGCGGGCACGTGGCGCCAGGGATGACGGTGTGGGCCGATTGAGGTCCCGAGTTGTTCGGCCAAATCGATTTGGAGAGGCCAATGTCCAGAGTGACGATGATGACGACACGCCTGGACTTCCGGGGCAATGGTGACGCCTATGGACCAGGGAAGGGCTGCTAGGATTATTGATCTGGCTCATGACCCTAGCGAGCTGGTGGACCCCTGGGTGGTTTGGCTATTTGAGTCGGTGGGCTCGACGAACAGCGTGGCCAAGAGGAGTAGAGGGTGATGATGGCGCTTTACGGTTTGAGTGAGCAGACTGGGCGCGGGTCGATTGGGCACACAGCTTGATCGGGTCTCAGTGAAGAGGAGGGTATTTTCGAATGCAGTTGTCCAAAAGATGAGCATCACGAGTTTGGAGTTGGGTAATGGACCTAATTTTGGGTTGGCAGGTAAAATTGGACACACGCGTAATATACATGACGAGCCATAGTTATGATCGAGGACATGCGGTTCCCACTGGCGCAATTGAACCTTGTGCGGTGGATTCTTCTGGCAGTTTTGGTCGCATGGAGCAATATGGAGAGTCGAGATAAGCAGTATGTCACGCCAAATCCAAAGCGGGACGAGGCACATGAAAGGGACGAGCAGGCGCGTCACTAGGTCGGGATTCGAGGATAGAATTGGAAGAGCAAAAAACAGACAGGGACAGGATTCGATTCCTCCCGACTTGGACGAAGCCGGCTGAGAATCGTGTTCATACAATCTTCTCCTTGCACAAGCACACTTTGTGTTGTCCCTCGGCCCCGATCGTATCGATTGTTGTGACACGCTATCCTACCAGAACATTGTTGACCGGTATGTGTACTGTTGTAGTAGAGAGAAACATTAACAATGATGGACGGCCAGATTTGGGGAATGGCTTGAGGTATTGCGAGACCGCGGGTGGTAGGAGGAACATACTCAGCTTGATGATGTAGCCGATGGCGCCCATGATGAGGAACCCCATTCCGACAGCTTGTGAGATTTTGATGAATTCCCTTCGATCGGCTGTAAACGGAGAGAGATAAAGAGTTAGTGCGAGGAAGGGAGCGACGAAGAGTGCAGCAAGGATTTCACGTCGGTGACCATGGTGACAAGCATGGTCACCACTGCAGAAGATGCAGGTGGTCGGCCACTGTCGCGATGATATGAGAAGAGAGGGTGGTCGACGTACGTTTTGTGCATCTGTTGATGAACTGTGTGCCATCTTTGAAAAACTCCTTGGGCACGTCTGCGATTTCTTGAAGTAGATCAGACATGTTGGAATGTGTTGCGCGTCTGGATGCGCAATTAGAGGACAAGGTCGTTCCGGGACTGGCTTTGGCGGAGAACAAGCAAACGGTCGCTAGGATATGTCAGGAGAGGGTGGGTGTGATGTAGAGTCGAGAGAGTGATTAATGTTGAAGCGGACAAGCTTGTTGGAATACCTGATGTTAGACAAATTCTCGAGTGAAGTGTAGATAGGTGGCATTTACAGGACACAGCGCAGCTACCTTACTTTTGGGTCTAAGTAGAAGACGGGGTTTGTGACCATTATTGGTCGCCTGGACTTCCCTCCCCTGATTGAAGACTCATGGGGTACATCAGGGCGAGCCTCAGCCTATTTCCTACTGTGCTATGGGCACACTCAGGCACTATGTCCAGCCTTGGGTAGGCCAAGGGGGCTGTCAGAGGACATTATTTGCCTTGGCGTGGAGGCGGCTCCGGCATTGTGCCTTAACCTAAGACGGGTATGATTATGGAAAAGTATACTCGTACCACCTACAGACATCATAAACTGCGCCTCCAGGTCTCCATCTTCAGTTCCCAATTGCCAACCACCACATCTTATCCTTTCGTAGATACTACGCTGTTTTTCACATCCCTTCATTTCAATTCCATTCTCCACAAGGCCCGCCTTTTCATCTTTCTCCTTCGAATCCGCACTCGATCTCGACCCCCGAACCCTTTGATCTCGCGCAGCCTTCCCTCTATCCCATTTCTAGCCTGAAGTTCGAGTGAGACTTCCAGGCTCTGCCGACAAACACGCAGCAGCCTACACTGAATGCGGAGGCTTTGATAGTCTCTTCCTTCAGACAGACCGCTTCCATATCTTGTACTTTACTATCGTGTTTCACAAAGAAACAGCTGGTCTGCTTCCCAGGTCATGTCTCATCGGAGTTGATGATTGGATCGTGTATTTCGGATTTCTCCTACAGTCATGTACGTCCTTCTTTGTCGGTACGGTTAGGGAGACAAGGCGCCATAGGTTGCAACATCTCATTTACATGTCTGACTTGGACACGACGGATTCAAGGTCATCACCCTTTCTGTGGTCATGTATGCTAATTCAGCACATTCGCGTTTAGAACCTTTCACATGTGGAGGCAGTCGACCTCGTCTTCAAGTTGCTCGTAACCCATCAAACGAGTAACGACTTTTTTTCTCGCATCTCCCTTGACCGTGTCCCAACATGACAACTGAAGAGGACAATTTTGACATTGACATTTACGGTGACGGAGAAGGCGATGGAGAAGGTGGCGGAGAGACGGGAGGCGCCGATAATACTGATTACAGAGACGACAACGAAGATGAGGTGGTATTTGATCTTGGCCAGGATGATACAAACCTAGTAGAAGACTCAAACCTGTCATCAGCGTCGCAACCACAGCCTGGCCCTGAAGGGGACGCTGTCACCACCGAGTCGGCGTCTCTGCCCGTCAAAGCTGAGCATGAAGCAACAAGTAACCCTCACCAGATCCCTCCCAAGCCTTCAGCTCCACAAGGTGTCAAAAGAAAGGAATCGTCGGATGAACGACAAGTCGACCATGGTGCAACAAATGCGCTCATGATTTCCGACCTGCATTGGTGGACCACAGAAGATGATATCCGGGGCTGGCTATATGACGCAGGGGCCGAAGGTGAACTCAAAGACATTACTTTCAGTGAGCACAAAGTCAATGGCAAGAGTAAAGGGTGAGTCGGCTCGGTTTCCCTGGCCAAGTTTGGGCCTGGCACGAAGCTGACGTTGTGGATTTACAGTCAAGCATATGTCGACTTTTCATCACTTCAAGCAGCAACTGCGGCCAAACACAAGATCGAAGCGATCGCTACTAGCCTACCCAGCACGCGCAAACACAGCGTGACCTTCTCCAACGCCTCGATCAACCCGTTCAAGACACTCCCTAAAGATGCCCCTGCTCGAGCAAGAGATGAGCGACCGGCACGAGGAGGCTCAACAGCGTACAATTCCAGTCCACATGGACCAAGCAGTTATGGGGGAAGCCACACAGGATTCCGTGGCAACCGTGGTGGGTTCAACCGAGGAAACTACCAAGGCCACGGTGGATCTCACAACCAATACAACAACCGCAGCTACACTCAGACTGCAGGTGGATACAACGGTGGAGGAGGTTTCCCAGGTGGCGTAGGTATGAACAATACCTTTGGATCATTCAACCGAGGGGCCATGATGAACAATTCGATGCGCGGTGGAAACATGGGTGGCATGCGCGGTGGCCGCGGGGGGATGAACAACATGATGGGAATGGGCGGTGGAATGGGCATGGGTATGGGCATGGGCAATATGGGTATGAATCCCATGATGGCTGGAATGGGTATGGGAGGTAAGTTGTTGCGATGCCAGTCCCTATCAATCAGTAACTGACCTTGGTCCTTGTGATTCCCAGCAGGATTTCAGGGTAACTCCTTTAATCCCGGCATGTTCAATCAGGGTGGCGGCCCCAACTTTGGAGGAAGTGACTGGAACCAACACAGCGCCAAGCGACAGAGACAGGAATAAGGTCTTTATGTGTGTGACATGCCAACTGACGGCAGGATTCGACTCTAGACTTTCCGCATGGTTAAGGAGATTGACTGTGGTTTGAGGACGGAGTTTCCGAGTGACATCAAAGCGTCACATGTGTGTCTGTCCGTCAACAGCAGTCATCCAGTTTGAGATGAGGACTGACTCGGATGATCACCCATTGCTCTACAAACAGCAAGTTTGGGACAATGGGCGTTGAGATGACGCATGCTGGGGCAAAAAGTCTAGTGCTCAATTGCATTTGCGTAAGAAAGAAGCTGTAGGTACAAAGATACCTTGGGGATACGCCTGTTTATGCGTACCTACGTCAGTAATTGTTGGTAGAGGTAGGCTTCTAGGTACCAACCTACCTAGATACTGAAGGTAGCTAAGCATGCCCTCCCTCACTTTGAGGTTTCTTCCACATTCCATGTCTAGCCTGTCATACAGGGAATGTATCAAGGGCATCTACATAGGTATGCATGCTACTCCGTAGCATATCTACAACCTTAAACATATTAGAACATACAGTGGGGCGTCAAAAGTTTGCACCCGCGTCACGCGTTTTTTGTACTTACACCTCTAAATATATTTCACTACTATAACTAGATTTCCTCAATGCCTACGCCACGACGCGTTTTAGGCTCTCTTGACCCTAATACCATCTCAAATAGAGAGTTAACTCCCTATAAACGCGGTCAAATCGTGGGTGCGCATGCCGTTAGGGTATCAACTCGCAAAATTGCATCAGTATTCAAAACTCCGCGAGAAACTGTCCGTACGACTATTTCGAGGGCCCATTTACGAACGAATGGAACTTCACAACCACGAATCGGACGACCTTATATTTATACTTATCGTGATGAGCGTGCAATTCTCCGTATTATACGATAAAATCCAAAGATTACCTACACGTAGCTTATTGAGCAATCTAGCCTAAAGTTTAGTAGGTTAACTTTTCGGCGATTACTCAAAGAACACGGTATATCTCACTAGATAGCTAAAAAGAGGCCCTTTCTTTCACCTTAGGCTGTAAAGTCGCGCCTTGAATTTGCTCGGTAACACGCGGAATGGACCTATAATGACTGGAAAAGGGTGATATTTAGCGATGAGTGCTCTCTCGAAAGAGGTAAAGGAAAGTAAAGAGTTTGGGTCTTTCGTACACTAGAATAGAAGTGGAATAAAGAGATAATTGAGCCATATACTAAAGGAAAGGATATCTCAGTCATGATTTGGGCCTCAATCTAGGCAAATGAAGCCTCGGATTGCGTGATTCTACACGGTGATCTAAAGAGTCCTCGAGGAGGTGTAACTGCGTAAGTCTACTGCGATTTACTCCGCGAATAAATTCCTGCAGTCTATGAACCTAGGCGGATATTTATATAGGATAACACGCCTATTCACACTACCTATATCGTTAAGGAATATTTAGAGGAGGAGTTGGTAGAGACTCTAAAGTGGCCGCCATTCTCGCTAGATTTGAACCCGATCGAGAATCTCTGGGCGATCCTTAAACAGCGCATTACTACGCGATATCCTGACTTCAGGGATATCAGTAGGTCTCAAGAGGCTCTCGATGAATTCGCGGATATCATTTGCAAGGAGTGGCACCTCATTGAACCTGAGATAATCGAGAATTGCATTCGGTCAATGCCAGGAAGGATCTAGGAGGTGATTCATGCAAAGGGTTGGTATACACGCCACTAGGCGACTTGAACCACGCGCAAAACTGGATATTTACGTTCTAGCAGTAATTGGCTATATTTAGCATATCTTTAATACCAATTTAACTAAATAATGGCTGTGTAGTACAAAAATGAGTGCGAGGTGCATCATTTCTTAGTTGCGGTAATTTTGGTGGGGGGTGCAAACTTTTGACTTAGTACTGTATGTAGATGCCCCGATACTTTCCCGTCATTCGTGGTCGTGGATGTAAATTCCGGGGCTCGGATGGCCATCCCCATACTTCTACGGTTCGACCTGCAGGTTCCTTTTTACGTTGACTGCCTTAGACATGCTGCTCGAGAGCACTTCCATGTGGCTCGTACCTTGTCACACTTGTATGCTGGCACTAATAACTTCCAGTTCGTACTTACTGGACGTCAAATGTGGGGTGGTCAAGTCCCACGCACAAGGCGGAAGTGCTTCTCCATCCTAGGCAGAGGCAACTCGCTACCTACTTATTCATTATTACTTAGTCCCGTAGTACTACATCATACTCGTCCTGGAGAAGCCTGAAAAAAAAGTGTCCAAGGTGGGGTTGTCCTGGCCACGACGCCGCCGCCGCCGCCGCCGAACATGTCCAGGACCTGAATTGACCCCACTGACCACCACCGACCATCACACCCTCGCTGTTTGTCGCAGCTGGACGCCACTCCCATCTTTACTCTCTTTCGATGGAATTTAAGTCTACCGAGTTCATCAAACCAAGTCTTTCCTGTCGTCCCCCCAAACCTCACCGTCGCCTCGCCCCCCACACACTCACCAGGCCGAGGGCAACCAGGAATACGAGTTACTGCGAATCGCCACTGCAACACATATGTTAAACCCATAGACAATCATCATCTCAATCTCAATCTCAGTCTCAATATCCCTTGCACCCAAACCTCATACTCATAATCATCCATCATCCACCCCCACACGCTCCTCCATGTCCGACCATGTCAGGAAAACCCTCTAACGACACCAGTTCGGTGCCCACACCGTCCGATTCCACAAGTTCAAAAACTAGCACTCAGCCACCTATTCCTTCGATCGAGACTCCCGATCCCACTTCCCAGCAAGAGCAAGCCTCTTCCTCCACCAGACTTCCACCTCGTACCGCAACTCAGAATCCCGTCTTTCGAATACCCCAATCCCCTCGATCTGCTCCCGGTCCCGAAGCCTCGTCACATCAAAAGCAAGGCAAGATTGCCATTCCAAGATTAAAACGCCCCGTCGATCCATCTGGCGACGATGCTGCAAGACCAGGAGGAAAACATCGAGTCACCCATGCCTGCGAACCTTGCCGTCACAGAAAAACAAAATGCAGTGGCGAACGTCCAGCCTGCAGACACTGTGTCGATTTCAAGATTGCATGCTATTACGCCGATGGGAAACGAGACAGAGTCAAAAAGTATGCACCTACACCTCACCCTCGCCCCTCTCCGCTCGAAGTATGCTGACTTCTCCCAGACAATTTGGTACAATGACCGAAAAGGTCGCCGAGTATGAAAAACTACTCAAAACCCTGATGCCACGAGTCAGTGATGCAGATGCGTCTCTCATTCGCCTTGCTCTAGAACGGGTACCACTCCCCAACCTGATCCATTCGCCCCTGAAGCTGATCACTACCCACTAGGACGCTTTGGACAACGAAACATCGTCGACGGTGGATGCCCTCACTGAATCTGAATCTACCGCCCTGCACACCCTTGATTCCGGTGGCGAGAGTGGTGCTGAGTCTGAGGCTTCGGCCGGTGCCGGTTCCACCGGTGCCCTCGATAGAACCGATGAGGATTTCACGCGTGAGAAGGTCAGAAATACTGGTTACATGGGCAAGAACTCGGAAGTCACATGGCTGCAACGATTGCGGGAACAGAATCAATCCGGCGATGTTCCACATACTGCCCGCGACAGTTCTTCGTCCAGAGCCGCATACCCCAGAGCAAGTGGTGACGACAACGGCTCTGAAGATGCCGACACCTTCACCACCGCCGATTCCAATTATCATCTGGACGATCTCGCCATCTCGACGTTTGAGCATGTCGATCCCTACGAAATGCCACCGCCCGAAACCGCACAACATCTCTTCAACTCTTACATCACAAGAGTCCATCCCACATTTCCGGTAGTTGGCAAAACCAATCTCACCAACCAATTCCAACGCTTCTTCTCCGGCGCCATTGCAACTCGACCACCGGAAAAGTGGCTAGCGATTCTAAACCTGATATTTGCCATAGCAGCCCAGTACTCTCACCTTATCAAGGCCGAATGGGAAGCCGACGAGCGCGACCATCTCATCTACTTCACCAGAGCTCGCCTTCTCAGCATCAACTCGGAAACCATGTTCCAACACCCCGACTTGCAGCATATTCAAATCCTCGCCTTGATGTCATTCTACCTCATGTGCATTAGTCAGATCAACCGAGCCTGGGTCATCAATGGATCCGCCATCCGTGCCGCCTGTGCAATCGGCATGAACATTCGCAACGACAGCCCCGAACTCAAAGACTCGCTCAAGGAGATCCGATATCGAGTTTGGTGGGCCATCTACACGCTCGAACACCGTCTGTGTGGCATGACGGGCAGGGTCAATTGCATCCTCGATGATCATTGCACCACACCTCTCCCTGTGCCGGTGGAAGAAGAACTCTTTGAGACGGAAGAAGCAAAAGCTTTGCTGAGCAAGGAACGGCAGCAGGGTGACCGGGCCCCGGGATCCAATAGTAATACACCAAGCGTGTCCGCGTCGACGCCATCGACCGAAAGCCGATCCCGCTCTCAGACCAAGATCGACTCGCGGTCTCCCTCTGCGACAAATCGCGTGGGAGACCTGGATTGGGCGAAAGACGTACCACCCAACCCTGCTCTCTATTTTCTACACCTCGTTCAATTGGCCCGGTTGACACAGAACATCTTTCACCGGCTGTACAATCCAAACTCTGTGCGCGGGACCTGGTCGCAGACGCAAGAGAAAATCAAAGAGCTCGATATTCAGTTGGAAAGTTGGTATCAAAAGCTCCCCCCTGCGTACGCATTTCGAAGAAAACAACGCGATCGGGCCGCGTATGAGTATCGACTGGGCCTCGGCTTCTTCTTCTATGGTACCAAGATGACAGTGCACCGCCCTTGCCTCTGCAGGCTTGATCGCAAGATCCCGAACCAGTCTCAAAAGTCGCTCGAGTTTAACCGGAACTCGGCACTAGCATGCGTGGAAGCGGCGATTGAGACCTTAAACATGATTCCCGACGAGCCAAATGCGATTGGCCTCATGCGTATTGGACCATGGTGGGACATTCTTCAGCGACTGGTCCAGGCCAGCTCGGTGCTGATGCTCGAGTTGTCTTTTCGGGTCAACCACATGCCTGAAGAAGCGGATGTGGTTCTGGAGTCGGGCAAGAAAGCGGTCAGATGGCTTCACGCTTTGGGGGATGAGAATATTTCGGCGGCGCGAGCGTGGAAGCTGTGTGCACCGCTATTTCAAGTGGCAGCAAGGAAAATCGGACGCGACGTTTCGGATCTTCCTCGAAATCCGCCTGGCAAGATGGCGGAACAAGATGCAGACATGTCCGAGGTGGGATATCCGCCAACGGCGTTTCCGCAGGGGCCTGCCCTGACGAGTGCCATTTATCAAAGCATCCCAACGTCGCAACCCTTCTCGCTCTACGATCCAATGATGCAGTACGACCAATATATCCCTGGAGACTTTGCCATGGATCAGAACATGATGTTTCAAGCGGGTCCAGACAGCGGTTTCCAACAATATCAGACAGACACGCCGGCAGACATGGACTTGCTCCACACCGGATATCACGACGAGCAGGCCCAGCCGCCCCAAGGCCACACGAATCCAGCGAGAAGTCGACCATTTGAATAAAAAGTGGCCGAGAAGGCAAGCAACTGTGGTTCGCTCCAGCCAGGACACACCTGAGGTAACGGTGAAATTGCGTTGAGCATACTGGGTACCTAGCTGTCATAGTACGTCCCTAGGGAGACCTGTCTCTTTTACAACTTGGTGCTTGATAATAACAGGAAAGCGATGGGCGATGGCTGCAGCCAGACACATTATCTGATTGTGAGGCAGACAGATTGGCCTGTAGTAATACATAATAAATCCAATAAGCTCATCCGTCTTTGTAAAAGTTGTGACGTGCGTGACAAATTGCAAGGTGAGTGGACCATGTGCTTTGGCAGGCGTTTTCGTAGGCATTGTGGCATCTCATCAATACTAAATAAGTACTTGTGAGGAAATTCAATGAAGCGGCCGATATGTCCGATAGGACGGCAACCCTATGCCCAGGAACAAGTACAAGTATACGTCAGACGTAGATGTTGGGCCCAGAGGCTGAATAATCATACCTTAGGTACCTATTACCCTCCATATCATGCCCCTCGGTCCTTTGTCATTGGCTTCCTCGAGTCGCCCACAAACCCTGGCGGGCTCTTCGGCCGCCCCCCGGACCTTTAACCCCGTAGGCGTTGGCACTGTAGACACCATGCCCATGTGGTACCCAAGGTATACACAGCAAAGTATACCCAGTTCCTGGTTGACCATCATTCACAGATTCATTATTTCAAGCATGAACTACGAGTGTGTCAACACTATCATCATCATCATCATCATCATCATCATCATCATCATCATCATCATCATCATCATCATCTCCAACCTTGAGCCAAAATGTCGCTCTGTCGGAGACGGGCAGACCAGTCTCGTCTATCTGGTATTCTCTGGGGCATCTACTCCGTAACTAAGAAATGCAAATCTGCGTCCATCATGTTTGATTGCTGCCCGGACTTTACACTCGGCAAAAACCAACAAATGCCACCATCAATTTTCGTTCCCGTATTATCAATCAGCATCAGATCAGGTTGATGACGATGGGCTAAGGCCCTTCGCCGAGCCAATTTCAATCAATATAAACCAAGACATTCTTTCCAATTACCAAGTCTGTCTCTTGTGCAGAACACTTGAACCACCTCAGACCAAGACTCCTCCAACACCACCCACCACATCAACATGTCATCAAAGTACGGCTTCGAAACCACCGCCGAGGAGGTGGTGAGCGACCTCCAGAGCCACATCGAAGGCAAGGTTGTCTTGACCACTGGCGTCTCTCCTGGCGGCCTTGGTGCCTCCTTCGCGGAACAAATCGCAGCAGCCAATCCAAAGTTGTTGATTCTCGCAGGCCGCAATGTCTCCAAAGTCCAAGAAACGGCACAAAAGATCCTCAACTCGACCAAAGGCGCCGTGCAGACTCGCGTTCTCGAACTTGATTTGGGTTCCTTGGCCAAAGTCCGTGAGGCCGCGGCAGTGGTCAATGCCTACTCCGAACCCATTGACGTCCTAGTCAACAATGCTGGCATCATGGCAGTCCCTTACTCCACCACTCCAGATGGCTTTGAATCTCAGTTTGGCACCAACCATCTTGGTCCCTGGCTTTTTACCAATCTCATCCTCGACAAGGTTCTCACCGCCAACAAGCCCAGGATCGTCTTTGTGTCCAGCGACGGATACAGACTCAGTGGCATTCGCCATCATGATCCTGGCTTCCATCAGGGCCAAGTCTACCACAGCTTCCGCGCCTACGGACAATCCAAGACGGCCAACATCTTGTCCGCCGTTTCCCTGGCCGACAAGTATGCCGACAGAGGCCTCGTCGCCCTCAGCCTGCACCCTGGAGTCATCCTCACCAACCTAGCCAACCATTTAGACGTGCAAAAAGACTTTGCGGAACTCTCTGCCTTTGACCGGGAAATCGGTGCTCCTCAAGGTGACTGGACAGATTTCCCTTTCAAGACTCCCAGTCAAGGAGTCGCCACCCACATCTTTGCCGCCTTTGACCCGAATCTGTCAGAATTCAACGGGAGATACCTTGAAGATGTCCACGTCCAGGATCTCGACGATATGTATCCCCATGCAATTGGCATTCGGGAAGCCACCAAACTGTGGAAGCTGAGTGAAAAGATGGTCGGCCAAACCTTTGACTGATAATGAATGTATTACAGGGCTTGAGAGCCTCGCACAGGGCTTGAGAGCCTCGCTGTTCGGGTCATCAGATGCCACCTTTGGCCCCTTTCGTTTAGATCAACAATCTAGAATTTGACGGGCCTTTTTCTCAACAATACTATTTAAAGCCCAACCATACTTCCAGTTGCTCCCCTAATGTAGACAAGATCGTCCATAGACCCCGCGACACGTGATATTTCACGTGACCGGATTCTGAAGCTCCTCCACGCGGACGACGATCATGACTCTGGAATCTTGGATCTTGAATCTTGCTGATTATTATTGATTATTCAGTATTAAGATACGAGTATGCATATCAGACCCATACCCATGCCCATGCCCATGCCCACACCCATACCTATATCTATATCCATACACAGACACCGCCCTTCCCCGTCCCAAGCAAGTCACCCTCACCGTCCATCGTACAGCTTTCCTCCGGTCTCCATCGAGCTTAATGTTCCTTCCGATCCATCCATGCCAGGTCTGACGTTCCAGTTCCCAGTCCCCTCGCCCTGAAACAAGGGTCTGACTTGGAATCCTCACCGGTTAACCCCGATTCTCTCACCTCTCAGAGGCTCAACCACTCAAATCAACCAGCAACTTGTTTCTGACACGTGCTAAGATCCATGTCCACCAAATGCCCAACTCTCTACTTGAAGAAACTCAAACTTCCCATCTCCGCCCTTGAGCACCTAACTCGGTCCACAGCCTCCTGAGTATCTCAATGTTGTGACTTTTGTCTTCGCCTTCAATCGAGCTTCCTGGGGAATCCTCACCTTGCACGAATCGTTCCCGCATGGGCAATGGCGTCAGAGAAACCCGCAGTTTCTTCCAAAGACCCTAAATGCAGTGACAGTGACGCAAGCTTGTCACGAGTTCCCACTCCCACCAGCCCCATCGCCTTTGAACAGGACGGCATCAACACTCGAATCGCCGTGACTGGTAAATGATACATTTCATTTGACCCGTTGGCCTCGTCCGCACCACTGACACTTTTACAGAGGATGGTCGTGTTGATATCGACATCAGCAAGACCGACCAGAGGCTTGCTCAACAGATTGAGAGGATCAGACTCCAGACCCGCCAACACGAACCCCGGCCCCCCACACCTCCGCCATCCTACGACAAAGCTGCCCAGTCACAACCTCCTCCGCCTCTTAATATTGTCATTCAGATTGTCGGCTCCCGTGGTGATGTTCAACCCTTTGTCGCCTTAGGACAGGTCCTCCGACAAGACTATGGCCATCGCGTCCGCCTCGCAACCCATGGCGTTTTCAAATCCTTTGTCGAGGAGAATGGCCTCGAGTTCTTTGATATTGGTGGCGATCCGGCCGAGCTCATGGCATATGTATGTCACCAGTCACGCTTGAAAACCTTTTCCTTCCCAATGATCCCTGATCACTATCGTGGACCTGGCCCCACACACTGACAGTCTGCCTTCCCAGATGGTCAAAAACCCCGGCCTCATCCCCGGCATCAAGTCCATCAAGGCTGGCGACATTGCCAAACGTCAAAAGGGCATGGCTGAGATCATGGAAGCCTGTTGGAGATCCTGCGCCGACTTGACTGAGATCGAAGACGAGCAGCCGTCGAAACGAAAAACAAGAGCCTTTGTTGCACACGCCATCATTGCCAACCCTCCGAGCTTTGCTCACATTCACTGTGCCGAAAAGCTCGGCATTCCTCTTCATCTCATGTTCACGTACGTGACTTGGCCTCGTCTTCGACTGTGTGAGAGTTTGCTGACCGCCTTTCACTGAATTCAGGATGCCATGGTCCCCGACCCAAGAATTTCCTCAACCCATTGCAAATATCAAGTCGACCGCACAGGGGCCAAGCGCCAACAATGAGAGTAGCTACTCCATTGTTGAAATGTTAACCTGGCAGGGTCTCGCCAGTGTCACCAACAAATTCAGGCGAGAGACCCTGGGCCTGCCTGAACTGTCTACGTCAGCGGCCACCACCATGATCGAACGGCTTCGTGTCCCCTATACCTATTGCTGGTTGGTATGTTCGATCCTGAGCCATGTTGCACACTAACCCCACCATAGGTCCCCAGCACTCATCCCCAAACCCAAAGACTGGGGTTCACACATTGACGTTGCCGGATTCTACTTCCTTCCTCTTGGCTCCCAATATCAGCCACCAGAGGATCTAGCCGAGTTCCTCGCTGCCGGCGAGCCCCCCGTGTACATTGGGTTTGGTTCAATCGTAGTTGACGACCCCGATGCCATGACGACGTTAATATTCGATGCTGTCAAAAAGACCGGTCAGCGCGCCCTAGTATCGAAAGGCTGGGGCGGCATCGGAGGCGACAAGCTCGAGAAGCCTGACGGTGTCTTTATGTTGGGTAATTGCCCACATGACTGGCTCTTCCAGCATGTCTCTGCGGTCGTGCATCATGGAGGTGCTGGGACAACTGCTGCCGGCATCGCACTTGGAAGACCTACCGTTATAGTCCCCTTCTTTGGCGACCAGCCATTCTGGGGATCCATGGTTGCTCGTGCTGGAGCTGGCCCAGCGCCGATCCATCATAAGCAGCTCACCGCCGACAACCTCGCACAGGCCATCCTCGAGGCACTCAAGCCCGAAACACTCGAGCGAGCCAAGGAACTGGGAAACAGGATTCACGAGGAGCGAGGAGCCGAAACCGGAGCCGCATGCTTTCATCAGCAGCTAGGCGTGGACAGGCTCCGATGTGCCCTGGCTCCAGGCCGACCAGCCGTTTGGCGCGTCAAGACGAATGATTCGAAGCAAGGGATTCGAATGAGTGCCTTTGCCGCAACCGTGTTAGAGCACGAGGGGATTTTGGACATGAACCTTATGCGCGTATATCGACCACATGAATGGAGACCTGAAGAAATGATTACGGGCAAGAACATCAGCACGGCTAACCCTGTTGTCAGCAAAGCCGGTGCATTTGCATCAGGCCTGATCAATTACCCAGTCAATTTAGCCAAGGCCTGGGGCGGACTAGCAACAGAACCGTACAAAGGGGCCAAAAAGGCTGGCTGGCGGGGATTTGGCAAGGGCCTCAAGACTGGGGTCGGCGGAGTTTTGTTCCCTCGCCGAAGCCTTATTGGTGGGCGAAGCTACAGCATCCGGGCCATCTATGAATCGATGAAGGAGCGCATGGACTCGGAAACCTTGAGCTTCATCCTAGCCACGAGGTTCGCCGAGGGCTTCGAGGACCTTCGAAGCTCCACTGAGGAGGAACGAGCTGACGTGATCAAGCAATGGCACCAGTTAGACCCTGACCTCAAGGTCTCGAAGAAGAAGAACAAGGCTCACCCCTGGTCCAAGGCGGTTTCGAGCGACGAAACCGTCAAAGAGCATGAGACTCGTGTTGAGGAACCAAAGTAGAGGATGCATCCAACCGACGACACGTGGAAGATCAACAAAGTAACCCAGTATTTTGTTGTGTCGAGGACATTCTCACCATCAATATTTATGTCCTCCTGTTGATCGTATGCTGCTCCCTCTCTCCTCGACCCGAGTAAGCATGTCCCCAATCGGGCGTATATAAATGACTGAAGCATGACTGGGCGGCCCTAGTCCAGACCAAGAAGGAAACGAGTACTCCGTACAAACTTGGAGCCCTTGAGTGGAGACGGTGTTGACAATCATTCAAGTTCTCGTTGGTCACTACTAGAAGCCGGGAATACCGACGGATCCTGTTAGCCCTGGAGATCGTCTCGCGTGCCTAACCATTTCAAGCAATGCAGTGCGCTGGCGAGTACGACATGACGATCTGACCGTGTTCCTGGACGATACTTGGCTTGCATGGTGAAAAGACCTGATGTAGGGTGGGAGGCCTGAGAGACTTGCTACGAATAGAAAGACCGAGGTTTATTAAGGTACGGCTGAAGCAACAAACTTTGACCGTGGCGCTGAGCAAGATCTGAACGAGTTGCACAGGTAGAGGGATAATAAATACCTATAGTAATAATAAATCTGCTGCTCGGTCCGAAAGAACATCAGTGACAAGGAGACAGCAACACCTCCCGCAATGTCTCTCAAAAGCAAAGCTGACGAACTCATCTCCCAGGCCGTCGAGGCCAGACGAGTGCCTGCTTTTGGTGCCGTTTCCCTTGACAAGTCAGGTGAAGTTCTATACGAAGGTGCATTTGGAACCACTGGTGACATGAATGACGGCGAGTCGCACCCACCATTCACAACCACGACTCAAATCAACATCTGGTCGATGACCAAATTGGTAACAAGTGTCGCCGTTCTCCAATTGCTCGAGACCGGTCAGCTGGGCAGCCTCGACGACGACGCGGCGAAATATGTCCCCGACATTGGCAAGCTCCCCGTTTTGCAAGGTTGGACCAGCGACGACGAGGCCACCGGCGACCCTATCACCCGTCCTGCCACCAAAACCATCACCATCCGCCACCTTTTGACACATACCTCAGGCATTGCCTACGACTTTTCCAACCAAGATACCTGCCGCTGGTTTGCCTGGCGACAGCGTACCCAAGGCATCCCTCGCACCAGCCGCAAGCAATCTGACATCTCACCACCGTTGGTCTTCGAACCCGGCACCTCGTGGGCCTACGGCTACAATACGGACTGGTTGGGCTTGGTGGTTGAGGCCATCACAGGTATCGATCTTGAGACCTATTTCCAGCAACACATTTTGGGCCCGCTGGGCTTGAATCAGACAGGGCAAGCGACACGGATCAAGGTTCAGTCGTTGGCTCACATGCGAAGTGCCACAGATCGATCGTTGGCGTTGCCGCCCATGCAAGTCGACCTCACCGCCTCGTACGGCGAGAAAGATGAGAAGGAGAACCAGACCTGGGGCGGAGCCTTTCTCGTCTCAACCCTGCGTGACTATGCCACCTTTCTGCTCACCATTCTCAACCACGGCACTCACCCGACCAAGCATGTCCAGATCCTCAAGGCCGAAACCGTTCGAGACTACCTCTTCACCGATCAGCTGCCTTTGATCCTCGGTCCTCAAGCCTCAAAGGACGCCGGTGTTGGAGCGTGGGACACCTCTATCGCATGGATGTGTGCCAACGGCGTCTTCATGCCTGAAACCCCCAAGGGCTTTTCTACTGGCTTGATGCTCAACCTCGCCGATCGCCCCGGGGCTCGCAGGACACATAGTGGCGCGTGGGCAGGCATCTCCAACCAGTATTATTGGGTCGATCCACAAAGTGGAAAATTGGGTGTCGTGGCTGCGAACATCTTTCCCTTTATGGACGCCGAGACTCTGGATCTGTTGGACCGCTTCGAAAAGTTGGTATATCAACATTGAAACTCAAGATACACATCTTCCCGATGAATGCACGCGATTGTCGCTCAGATCATGATATAGACAAGGAATGCTCGCCACATGGAATATCACTTGAATTCTTCCTTTGTGGAATGACACTTAAATGCCCAACCCCCAATCGCCATCGTACATTGTGTGTCATCGTCTTAAGAATGCACGCACATGGCTAGTGGCCTCCGCTGGAAGAGAGATCTTGATCTCTATTGACTTCGAGATATGCCATCAATATAACGCCCATATTCTCATGCCTCATAACCTCAACGCCGTATATTCCCCCCTCACATAGCATAACATGGCACCCAGATATCGTTTCCCCAACTCCACAACGCAGCAGGTCAACTGGGTTCATCATTCCAACAATCAAACAATCAGTCAGTGGCAGATTTCAACTGCCTCGACCACACATCTTGTCGTGGGTGTAGCATTTCCCTGTTACAATCCACTCGAATCGTCCTGGGGAGCAGGAGCACGCGCGGAATGCGAAAGAGAGTGCCGCGTCACATGACCAGACATCCACCACTGCGAGCTCGTCGTCGGCCGGCGCGAGGGTTCCTCCCTGTCGCAAACTCCGCACCGCTACCCTCGTCGTCACCGGTACCAGTGTCTTGAGCGGTCCCATCCTCGTCATCTCGGACTCTGTTTTCGGCTTCACGGGCCCTTCTTCGCCGTCGTCTCGAGCTCCAACCGTGGCCGACAACTCCAACTTCCTCGCTGGCCACCATCCACTCGGCCCATTTCTCTTCGAGACGGGCGGCGGCACCCCATCTGCCGGTTGTGCAACGTTTATAGTGCTCGTCCACGGTCTGCCGCCAGCCATAAAATGCCTTGAGGTGAATCACCTCGGTCGGGTACAACAGGGTTTGGATCTCAATCACCCGCCGGCTTTCCTCCTTTTCTCCATTCTCTCCAACAAAATTCTGAGTCTGGTAGACGGATCTTTTGCGTCCTTGCATCACCCGGCCATTTCCTTGCAGGATCTCCCGGACTCCGGCCCAGGTCACGTTGGCACAGTCAAACGCCACCAGCTCGAGCCCTTTTCTCGGGATTTGATTCTTCTTGGTCGTGCTGCCGCGGTTCCTCACCTGCTCCGACGCTTCCATGAGTACCAGATCGGAGATTCTCGTGTTGTCGAGGCACAATGATTGAATATTTGGGCAGGCTTTCAGCAGAGGAAGAACGCCAACGTCTCCAATGAGCTCACAGTAAGACACACTGAGGTGCTCGAGCGTCTTGGCGGCTTTGGACTTGGACAGCGTGATCAAAGTCTCATTGGTCAAGTGTTCGAGCTCCTCCACCTCGAGATGGGTGAGTCGGTCGGTGGTTTGTAGCAAATGCTCCAACGCGTCGTCGGTCAGTGCCGTGTTTTGGCACAGGCGGAGGCCTTCCAGGTACGGGACATTATGAGCCATGGCTTGAATACCTCTATCAGTCAAACTTCTGCAGCGGGAAATGTCAAGATGGCGAAGTCTGCGTGGTGGGACGATGGGTCTGTCGGTGAGCAGGTCCAGTTCGGGCTCCACGCCTTGGACCATGATCCGTAGGGCTTCGTCCGTTAGACTGTCGCAGTGCTGGAGGATGAGTCTCTCAAGGTTGTTACGCTGGAAGACTTCCAACATGAAGCCATTGTCGTCCAGTCCTCTGACCTCGGATGCACGGAGATCGGACAACTTGGAACATCCTTGCAAGACTTTCTTCAAGCCCTTGGAATCAATCTGCGAACACCAGTCGATATTGAGAAGTTCGAGCTGAGGACAATGTGTTGCGATGATCTTCATGGTGGCATTGTTGATGTTTTGCATGCTGGGCATGTTGATATGGATCAATCGTGGGTTTCGCAGGAGGAAAAAGTGGATAGAAGAACGCTCGATGGAACAGCCTTCGATACTAAAGGTTTCCAAATTCCTGCACTCTTGGTTTGTCATTCTGGTTCCTAGGCTCAACCATTGGTCCCGCAATTGCACGCATCCTCTGAGATTGAGATTCTTGACAAAAGCGCCTGCATTGAGCATGATTTTAATCAATGCGTCAGAGGTGATTTGTTGATAATATGTCTGACAGTCCAAGCTCGTCCAGAGCTGACCGTCAAAGCATATATCGTGCCATTCGGACGAAACAGCGGAGACCTTGATGATGTCTTTGGGGGAGAGGAAGGAAAGGATGTGAACTCGAAGTTCATAGGGCATATCTTTCCAAAAGTTGAAGTTCTGCCGCCTTGGGAAGGGCTTTTCCGAGATTTCGGGCAGCGGGGTGGACAGGGGCTTGGAAGATCTCAGATCTACGGGAATAGGAATCGAGGTGACATCGGTAGGGTCGAGAGGGCGCAGGCGGGCGTTTGTTTCGAAGTAGGACTGTTGGCTTACCGGCGTTCCAGGAGTGGTGGGAGCGGTGGAAAAGCCATTGGATAGTTGTGAGTTGTATGACAGGGGCGAGGATAATGGATACCCGACGGTGGGGGAATTCAGAGAGACACAAGAGATGGAGGCTTTTTGACCAGACTTGTAGACCTTTTCGCTGGAGCGGTTCCGGCCTAACTTTGCGAGTGAAGGAGAGGATGAGATGCGGTGCAGACCAGCAAGCAGTCTATGGCGTCCTTTGAGTTTGGCTGGTTGGTCAAAGGCAGTGGTGGCTTCGATGAGAGGACTAGTGGGAGTCATGGGGCGAGGAGAGTCTGACTGGTGAGGTTGAGAGGTCGAGGGCGTTGTGGCCACGGTCATGGTCATGGTGGTAGAGATGGAGTCCATTGTGTCAACTGGACTCTGTTGGGGCGTGATGGCAACTCACGTCAACGGTGACACAGCCGAGGGCAAGTACGATAGGTGTCCTTCATTCCTCCCAGGGCGAGGCCTCTGAGGGACAAGTATTATGTGGAAGGATGTTTGCAACAATGATTTGAGGATGGCGATAGAACGCCGGTTCACGGCCAGAGCCACAAGTCAGACTTAGATGTGATGACGAGGTCAGGCGACGAGGTCAAGAAACTAGACTGGCGAGAGGGAGGAGACGAGCGCTGGATGGGCGACGGATACACGGTGGAAGGGTCGAGGCTAAGTAGAGCGGTTGTTTGTCGACCAACAGCAGGACAAGGACACGGGCACGGATGCGGACAGTCGAAGGACACCCGAGGCCTCGACAAGACCCTGAACACGCAAGAACGGTGGTTTGACGGGGGACGCAGATGATTGACTAGGAAAGCTGAAGCCACAAAAACGGAGGGGTGTACAATCAGGTTAGTATTGTGGATGAAGGATGGTGGATGGTGGACGGTGGATGGTGGGACGGGCAATGGATCCGGTGCGGACTAGGGTTGATGTTTAGTAGGAAGAATAATGATGGCCAGGCGAATCGGTGGCCAATAATGGGAGTGGCCCGTACAGACCTGGAGCTGATCGGTGTTGGCGTGGGCGTTGGCGTTGGGAGTTGGAGTTGACGTGCTCTCGTGCCGTGCGTGTTCAAAGAGATCCAACTAGCATGTCCCTAGCAAAATGCAAGCACTTTGGCGTGGTGTAGTGGGAGCAGGCCCGTTATTCCCTCTATATGCATACGGAGTACGTAGGTACAAGAGACACGAGGAAGCACCTACATACCTACCTACCTACTAGGTAACAAGAACACCACAGTACGACGGTAAGGCCCATGATGAGACTCTATCCTCGAGCCTCGAGGGCAGGTGGCGTACAGGGCCAGTAGTGCCCGTACCATCCCCCATACGCACCTCTGTGTGCATCTACCACGTTGGGCCCACATGCCCCTCGAGGCGTGGTCGCTCAACTCTGTCACCACTAGGCCACCCGGGAATACGCCTTTGCCGCCGCCGCCGCCAAACCCGCCTGCCTCACCGTACCTACAGTCTACCTCGAGGGAATTGTCCGTGCCTTGGGTGACAGGATACCTAAGGTACCTACCGTAGGTACTTGGGGTAGTTTACGCATCCTGTACCGTACTCTGGGTCAGGGTGGTAGAAGCACCTAATCACCCGCCTCCGAGGCCAATCAGAGGCACGAGAGTAACCTTGAAGCCCCGCGTTGTCTCCTCGAAAGCGTCCACGGGCCTTATCGGCCGTTTATCGCCGTATCGATAGCAGATAAAAGTGGATGGCAAATGGATACCAATTCATGCACGTCTATCGCATCCACTTGGGCCAAGTCACTCGACAAGGATGCTGTCTGGGGTGCCTAGCCTCTCGGCGCCCACGCTCTCGCGACTGGCAATCATCACTGGGCTGCCGACTGGCGTTGTGATGCAACCCTACCACTACCTATGTCACACTAACATCCCTTTGAGCATCTACTTCACCTTTGGGAGAACAAAGGGTCAGCGAAATGAGGCTCTTTGACGGAGATGGGTTCAAGTCTAACTTTACAAATCTGTGATCTTGACGACATAGAAGTTGACTGTAGAGCAGACTAGAGCAGATTCCGCCTTCATGACGTGGTTGTGGTTGTAGTTGTGGTAGAAACAGACCAAAACCTGGTCATGAGCCGAGATGTCTGCTGATCTCTTCTCTCTCCGATAAGACTGCCACACTGCCCAAGAATGGGGAAGAGCGGTCGCACTACCAAGTAGGTACTTGCTACATACTGTCATAAGGTCCGATTGTGGGTGTTCTCGCTGGATGACATGTGCACCAAACAAGACTGATTTTGCTACTCTCACATTCATACGCTTATCGATCACCTTGTCCTCTCTCGCACTATGCTGCTGGGTGTTGTTTCTCAAGGGACCATGCTCGCCGAAATAATGTTCTAGAAGTGGAATCCCCTTTTCCCGCTGCCAGGTCTCCTTGTGCCAATCGACCATTTCGGCAACAGAGCCGGATTTGTTCAAGTCAAGTCCAGGTCCAGATCCAGGTCCAGGCCGGTTGCAACATGCAAGATGTCGGGTGTTGGATGTTGCGTGCCGCGTGCCGCGTTTCGTTACCACCGACTACCACCTGGCGAGCATCGTCCAGGGTCCATGCTGCCACGCTGCCTCCCTTGTATGGATAGTAGACCTCTGCTTTTGTAATTCGACCTGCGTCGTGCTCTTCTGGAAGTCTCGCGTCATGCCATCGTATCTTTAATCAAGCCTCACCAGAGAGCCTCGTCGACTTCGCCTGTATGGCTGGGTTCTTTCAAGTTCTTTCTCCTGGCCTAAATAAAGGCCGAGGTCCATAGCCCTGGCATTCGTCTGATGCTTGCTCTCCATTTCCCCGTCATCCTCAATGAGAATTCCCCGATTTAAGTAACCCCGGGAGATGTAGTAAACCCCCCAAAATCAACCTCCTTGCCCGATCTCCATGTCCGTCCACGCTCGCTAACTCTACGGTCCGGTCCAAAAACAAACCCAACTCTTGCCGTTGCTTACGTAGCCGAACCTATTGCAAGGTCCCTTAAGCCCAGGACAAGCACTGTGACACTTTTCGGTTCAGAGGGCCCCGCTAACCCTACCCTTCGCTAAGGCGCGACTCAACAGGTACGAGTACTGGTAGGTGTTTTGCTGAAGCTTTCTGCCCCACTCGGCTGTGTCGACGAGAATGCCAATGCCCATAGACCTCCGCCAAGGTTGGCAAGTTCGCTAACTTACTGGTGGCCATAGTCTAACTTACCGTCGACCATTCTCTTTGTCTCCATTCAACGGGCTACGTTCTTTGGCCCTTTGGCTGGTCCACATCCTAAAGTCCTCAAATTCACCCACAAGGAGAATCAGAATTACTCTTACCCCGGGTTTTTGCCTTTCGATTGACAACAACCCCGTCTCGTGGTTCAATCCCCTTGTAGCCGAGGTGAGAAGCATGCATGCACCACGCGACGAGAACCCTGTCATGATCCACAAAGGCTTTCCTGTAGCTCGCTCAATCCTTTCATACTTCTCCTACGTGTTCAGGGACCACAGTACAAATATACAGGAGACGAGCTCATTATTGGAAAAACTGCCAAAGAACTAGTTCACTGGTCGTGAATGCCTGAGCTGAAGATGGATGTGCGCCAGTATCAAATGGTGCACGGTCATTCATTTGATGATTCTATTTCTAGCACTGGCGGTCTCCCTCCTATCCATCCTATCCACTCGCACCACCTCAGAGCCCACAGTCATTCTCCCATCCAGCTCTTTTGTATCTGTTTCAGTCGTGTCTCATTTCATCAGATCCATATACACAATGTTCAAAACGCCACCCCATTCCTGTCGTAACCCATATCCAGGTCCAGCCGAGACCATACTCAAAGGTCGCGAGTTCCCAGTATCCCAACAGCTATTCCCCTCCAGATGTCCTCCTTGTCCTCCACCTTAGACCTCCGCCACAGCTAATCGCATTGTGCTTTACATCGACTTCCAGCCTCCTATCATCAGTCTTGTGTAAGCCACGTATCCTTCTGCACCTCTTCAATCGTGATACGTTTATCAACGTCCCGATCCAGCATCTTCCGGATAAGATCGAGACATTCTTCCGAGAAAGGAAGGAATGGAACCCGCAGTGGATGATCAAGGATCTCATCTATGAACAGTGTTAGCCCTCCGACTCCTCGCCTCGAGACCCTGCCTGTTCCTGAGGCCTACTCACCCAAGTTATAGAAGGGATCTGAAAAGAAAACGTGTCAGTCCCTAGATTCCAAGCTTCAATTCGCGATGCACAACTTACTCTCCTTGTATGCGATAGTGTATAGAAGAATCCCCAACGCCCAAACATCTTGAGGCTTGCCACCATAAGGCTTGCCCTGCAGCACCTCTGGAGCCGCGTAGTCTGGCCATCATGTCAGTCAAGTCAGCCATCCCAAGCGCCTAGTTCGTCACTTACCTATCGTCCCCACAAAAACGTCAAATGGGCCATTTTTGATATATGTCGCACTCCCAAAGTCAATGAGTTTGATTCTGCCCTCTCCGTCCAGAACGACATTCTCGTCCTTGATGTCTCGATGCACCACCAGTGCTTTTGTGTGGAGATGGTGGATTGCATCAACAACCTGTTGAAAGATGTTTTGGCATTCTGCCTCGGTCATGTTGGTCCTCAACTCGATGTAGTCAAACAGGTCCATGCCCGGAATTCCGTGAGGGAGCATTTCGATGTAATAATTGATATCGTCTTCGAAAAAGTCAATCATTTCCACAATATTCGGGTGTCTCATTCCGTCGCGGCGGAGATAATCGAGAACGTGGATTTCGAGCGGCACCGTGCCCAACTTGCGATCACGTGTCCACGTATCGACCAAGATGCGTTTCTTGGTCACATACTTGAGCACCATGCGGCGGGCGGGCCCCTTCTTATATCGAACCAGCTTCACTTGTCCGTACGCACCAGAACCCATCTCTTCCAGAATCGAAAAATCGTCAATGGTCTTCTTCTCATGAGGAATGTATGGAGTATTCGGAGGAGGATGATCCAACGGCTCCTCCGTCGTGAAGCCTGGATCATTGGTCGCTTGCAGAGACAAATCGATACTATCCGTCGTTCTGCCGTCACTTCCACCTGAAGTCGGCGGTGGGGATGGCAGGTCGGTTGGAGGAGGTTGTTGCGGTGGTGACATTGGCTGTCGAGACGCATTATCCTCTGAATCGACCGCCGCCAGACCAGTGGAATGGATATTGCGCGAGTAGATGATCCACAGTGCATAGACGAGCTCTGACACTGCAACCCCTGATGTAGTTTGGCCATCGTCTGCTTCTTCCAGGATGGCCTGGTCCGACATGGGGAAAACCGTCTCACTGCGAACCACCCTCATCTGGATGTCGACCATGATATCCGAGCCATCCTTATGAGTGGCGGGCACGCCACAAGGCCGGAGAAATATGTTGGCAGGGCTTTCTTTGCCGACACGCAAGGCCAGCAAAGCGCGTGCCTGTCGAAAGCTATGCTCGGGCACAACAATTCCGTCGCTCAAGTCTATATCCTCCTCTTGACACAAAACAGAGAGCAAGTCTGGAAACAGAGGAATCAGCTTACTGATGGGCAACCCTTCCGGATGTTCGTAGCCAAATAGTGCGGCAGAGAATATATTGTTGGAGCTGATGATGTTGAGGCTCACAGGGTCGAGGACCATAACCCCGGCAATGTGAGGGAGGCTCGAAACTCGGAGCTCCCTTTGTGTCGGTGACCGTTCTACCACTGTGGGCACGTGGACGTACTCATTGGTGATGGCAGTCAAGTGTCCCAAGTGTTGCTTCACGAAAGGATCGATCACATCAAGGGATAGCTTTGGAATGAGACTGGTCAATGGGGTTCCGGGAGCGATGTCCTGACCCCAGATAGCAGCCACGGCTCCCTGTGTGGTGGTGACGCGGCCCAAAACGTCAAAGTCGAGGTACGCAACGTCTTCGGTGATTTCTTCCACGACCCAGATCAGACCTCCTCGTTTTTCCATGACCCAAAAACTGGCTGCACCTTTTGTGCCATCACGTCTCTGGATGGGAACAATGTCACCGCAAAGCAGGACTCCACGCGACTTGCTGGACGGGTGATTCGGATTTTGTGACGTAGAGGGGTTGTAGCCAACAGAGCCGTCCTCGGTCTTTGCTCTTTCTGGAGGTTTGTTAGCTCGAGAAGGAGCTTTGCTAAGCAATCGAGCAGTAATACCACTTCTGGAGCCCACCAACGACAAGCTGTTGCTGCTGGCATGGCTTGCGGTTGCAGGGTGTGACTTCCTTTCTTCCGACACCAGCTCGGGACGAGCAAGTCTAGACTCCAACCACTGTCTTCTCTCTTGCTGGATGATGCCGAGAATACTAAGTGATCTGACCTCGGCACGTGTTACCCCAAAGATGAGACATGCCAGGTCATTGGCAGCCAGGATGGTCCAAGGGGCGTCTGCTTCTGTGCGGAAGACGGCTTGATGAGTGGGAGACCATTTGCTACTATGAGTGTGAACAGCAGAAGCAGGAGCGGAGGGAGTGACACTGCCATGAATTGTCGTGCCCACTGGGTTTGTGGTAGGGGCAGTGGCATGATCTTCGGCTGAGTAGGGCTGTGCCAGTGCTTCGATGAGCTTTTGCTGCAGTGTAAGCGAACTGAGATCAGTGTATGTTCTCCTCAAGCCCGTCCGACGTGGGGCGCTCATTGAACCAGCTCTTGTTGGTGGGATGCGCATTTCCGGATCTGTCTCTTTGTCTGTGGGTGCCTCGTCGTCAACAAATGAATATTTGCGGCTTGAGGCGGAGCCATCGAGGTACGATTCCCTGGCCTCCTGTTGAGCAATCTCCAGTTGCTCCTTGAAGCTAGTATCAAAAATGTTCCTCCCATCGTGGTGAGCAGGGCCCGTCAAAGGAGCCGCTGCAATTGGCCGGCTTTGAGCATCCGCTGTGTCGATGGGAAGGAGGTTGGCCTTTTTCAGGAGGCTCATGACTCCTTGGAGTTCAGCATTTCCACTAACACGGGCCTCGGCATCGATCAAGGCGGGGCTGGCTGTCCTGACACCCCGATCGCGTACAAAATCAACGGTTTTCTTAAGGATGTTGGATCTGCTGTGTAAGAAATCCTCCGACTGTTTAGCGAAGGAGAATGAATGGAGCGACTCGGACGGGAAACGATGTAGGTCCTCCAAGACTGGCGAGGCTGGGCCACTGGTGAGGTAGCCACCAGCGGAAACGGATCTTGAGGATGATCCGGATATCGGGGCGGTCTTTGCGTGTTGAAGAACAGGTGGGAACCATTCGCCATCTTCGAGAACCAGCGTCGGAGGGCGGACCAACGACGGTCCCTGACGTCGAATGCGCCGAAGGCCAGACCTCCCGAGACCATGGTCGTGATCGGCGCGTGTAACCCTTTGGTGCGACGTTCAGAACAGTGTCAAGCACAAGGAGTTGGGTCAAGCCTACCTCTTCAATCCGTTAATCTCCTGCATAGATCCTGCATCAAAAGAGAACCTTGTCCTCTGGCCATAGTCATTCTTTGTGGGCGATAGCAGGTTGCCAGTGCTCTTGTTCTTGGGGATCGAGAGAGGTTGACCTTCTAGGACTGGCGATACGTGGTGTACAGGGACTGTGAGGAGAGGGGATTTGGGTGGGGTGGTTTGTCCTGTTGGGAGAGTAACATGATCAGCGATGAGTAGGTGGTCATGCCGCGCTTCGGCTTTGTCGAAGGCAGAGGATTCCATGCTCTGTCGAAGCTTATGAGTGTCACATACCATGACTGCCACCGTCATCTCGTGTCATGCTGGGAGAAAAGTCGTGTCTTTACCACCTCCAACAACAGGCCACCAGGTGGGCCAATGCAAACCTCTTGTCACGACAGGTGATAAGTGGGTAGAGACATTGTCCAGTATATGCGGAAGTTCGTGGCCAAGTGAGCACCGAGAACCGAAGAGGGAGGCAAAAAGGATACGCTATCCTGGATTGTGTCAGCACCAAATGACAAGTGTGGATGGCAAGAATGATTAGACAAAGTCCGCACTCACGCAGAGAGAGCAGATGTAGCTTTGTTAGATGCAAACTGGGTGGTTAGCGTTCAAATTCGGAGATGAGGATGAGGGACGCTTTGGGGTTTGCAGAAAGTCGTGGCGACCAAAGTCAATTTTTGGCAGCATACAAGAACGTCTTATGTAATCCGGGCGTCTCTGGGTTGAGGGGACACACCCGTGGGCCAGTGAACGCGCAACTGTTGAGAAATCGAGAGGGCAAAAAACCCATTGGGGCACAGGCCAGTGGTTGTGATAAGTTGGAGTTTAAAGAGATCAGTTCCGGGGCCCGAGAGTCTCCCATAAGCCCAACCAGAGTTGTGAGAATTATGCCCTGCGACGTTCCTCAAAGGTTGGCATGTGCCCCGGGCCCCTCGGCCGAGGGGCCGAGGGGGCCCTATGATTGACAATTGGCATCACCAGGCGCCTAATATCTCGCAGATGTCTCTGAGACAGCTGCGATTGTGCGACACGGATTATCCTTCTATTGAGTGTGAGATGAGGCTTCCTTCGATTTCTGCTGGACGATAATGATGTATCAACAAAGGTCTGTCATGCTCGTGACTGACAATACAGCATGGTGATATTTGCTCTAAGCGGAAATGCCCTGACTCGAGGCAAACGGGCCGCTGGGGCAATCCCATATCGGCCACGTGCTGGGCCTTCGGGCCTTTAACGTGACCTTCAAATGGCCAGGGACGTCGGTCCTATTGGATCTTAGGTATGTACATGACACAATCACCTCTGGTCAAGCACGTGTTTGTACGTATACCAAATCTCGCTGCAGTCTTGGTGGCCCCAGTGCTCGATCCAAAATTCATCAAATAAATCCTGCATGTCAACATCAACATCTGTGATCCTCTCGCTCCGCTTTAATCCACACAACGCGCACTGTTTCGACCGGTCCTGTCCAGAGATCACATGAAGAGTCGGAGCTGCATTCAGCTTCAGCCTGTTGGCACTCTTGTGGGCTTGCGCAATCACGCTCTGGAATTCATGGGTATATTTCGACCACTGCGACGTCAATTCCGCGACTTCCCTCTGCTCCCGCACACTCTCACCTTTATTGACGGTTGCTAGCTTCATGCCGCCACTCTTTCCCGCCTGGCCGATTCTCATATTCTGAGCAAGGATCGTATCTCGCTTCCATCGATGTGTTCGCCCAGCGATGATGCGGTTTGCAACGCGCACGGCTGTAAGGATCCTACAAGCGACTGTCTCCTTGGACTCTGACCCATTCATATGGATCGAATGAATGTGGTCAAATGTAGAGCACAACATTTGTAGAAGCATGACTGGTGGAGGGATATTTGTGGGCCGTTCTGTATTGCTGGGCCGGGCAGTCCGTTGGTGAGTGGCCTGAGCTTGGGTTGATTCTTGTTCGCCGATTCCCTTGATCGAGGAAGAGACTCCCGGTGCTATAGCCGATGCAGCACTAGGTGTGCCATCCTCAAAGACATCCCAGTCGTCTGCGGACTCGTCATAATCCTTCTGTGTGGCATTGTAAGTCGTCTCCAAGTTGTTGGAGGAACCGCAGGATGCACCAACTTGGGCCGGATTAACAGTCAAGCTCCTCTGATCACGTTGAATCGCCTTGCGAGCTCCTTGAATATCTGCCCCTGACAATTGCGATGATTCCGCTTGTGCTTGAACATTTTCAAACTCACCCCAGTCCTCCTCTTCAGTGGTCACAGGCTTGACGCCCGGCCATGTACGCGGGCATTCCGTATCATGAGTTGCGTTTGCATCCTTCCATTGTGCCTCGCCTTGTTCGTCTGCAAGGCTCAAGAGGTCTAGATTAGCTAGTGGACCATTTAGTGAGTGCCTTTCGACTGTATGATTCGCATCCGGGAGTGCACAGACAGCCGCAGGAGAGTGCCCCTGCGGGACCACCGCGACGCTTGTAACGTCTTCAAACTCTCCAAAGTCATCCTCGTGCTGGGCGTCTTCAGCATCAAAAAGGACATCACTCCCGTGAGTGTCCTTCTTCCATAGTGGCGATGCGATGGCGGATATCTGTCGTTCTTCTGGGAGGAATCCCTGCTCCTCTAGCCTTAATTTCGCAGGCGAGGTGGATGCTGAAGCCTGGGTTTCTCCTTGAACAGGCACATCAGCAGACTTCGTAGTGATTTGGTCTGCAAACGCGGCAAAGAGATCGGCCGACATGACAGGAATCGAGCATGGCCGTGTGATCTTTGGATTCGCCTTACAGACTGATTCAAGCGTCGAATATCATGACCTCCACTGAAAGAACTTGAGTATCAAGTCTGACGAGAGGGATTGATGGCAAGAATGAGATGAAGCAATCGACATGCAAGGTTGAGACGTTGGCTGACTCTGTCAAGGCTTGACACCCCTAGATATCTGGCGTACCACGCGTACCTAGGTACAGTCACGTGTCTCAACACGTGACCAGACGCATCATACAAGGACAGGACGCATGAAAAGGTGGTTGGCACGTGCCCAGCCACACAGCACGCCTCTCTCTCTCTCTCTCATCTGTTCAGGAATGGCATCGATGGGCCTTGGCATCAGGCTGATATCCCACGCGTGAGTGGTTCAAAAGTCCTTGAAGTTACTTCAACAGCGGCCATGCAATGATGGATTGTCGAATAGTGCATGGCCGAAGACTTTGGATGCTCCATAATGGCGAGTGACCCTGGCCTCTGACTCAACGTCTCTCTTCACGACCGAATAGCATTTGCACCAAAACCAAGCACCACCCCTCCGTCCCATCCACTTTTCAGATCACACGTGCATTACGCGCTTTGTCCCACGCGGATGGGAGTCTAATCGCATGCCAGTCATGCGTACTTTTGATGACATCCAGTAAGCCACCATCATGGGCCAGTTTACAGGACGACTAAACATGTCAGGCGCCGGTGGGCTTTGCTCTTCAGCACCTCCATTGGAGTTGACTTGCGACAGTCCGTACGAGACGGCGAGGGATTCGATCCCTGTGAAGATGGCCTTCGTTCTGTCTGCTGGAAGGTCAGTTGCTCTTTCCGTCGCCTTCGATTTCAGTAGCCAGTCTTCGACCATACCAACCTCTTCCAGGCCTTTCTTCTTTATGGACCCCTCAGTCAAGGATCATGGCCCAAGAAATTGATCGAGTCCCGCTCCACATATACATCACTGCGAGATCACTTTCTGCGTTTTATCGACCATCCCAATGATCTTCATTCCTCCGCAGACCCTCTCGCGGACGATGATAATGTTCGTAGTGATCCCTAACCCCCTCTACGACCCCCTCTCTAACCAGTCAAAGTCACCTTGGTCGACCCTCAGACAGGACGAACTCAATCGAGAGGAGATCTTCCAAGACGTCACGAGATGCATGCAAGACAACTACTTTTTCCGCGAACCTGACACGCAAAAGAAGCTCCTTGATATTCTCTTCATCTATGCCAAACTTAACCCTGACATAGGATACCGCCAGGGCATGCACGAGCTGCTCGCCCCCATCTTGTGGATAATCCAACAAGACGCAGTTGATCTTGACTCTTTCCCCAATGCAGACACGCAGACCGAGGGCACGCATTTCATGCTAGAGGCCTTGAACAGCAAATATGTCGAGCATGACACTTTTAGTTTGTTTTGCGCTGTCATGCAAACTGCAAAGGCCTTTTATGAGATCGGAGACAATCAGGACTCATCTCCCATTATTACCAGAAGCAGGAGAATTCACGATGAGATATTGGCAGTCATCGACCCCGAACTAGCCACCCACCTCACAGTTGTAGGCATCCTGCCACAGATATACTCAATGTAATGCGGCTACACTAGATCGTTGACCCTGTCGCTGACTTTTCACAGTCGCTGGATCAGACTCCTTTTCGGAAGAGAATTTGAGTTCAAGCAAGTTCTTCGTATTTGGGACCTCTTGTTCGCCGAGAACCTGAAGCCGGATATCGTTGACCTAACATGCGTCTCAATGCTTCTCAGGACTCGATGGATGCTGGTAGAAGCGGATTACACGACCGCCATTACGGCCTTGACACACTACCAGATGCCGGACTCGGCTGACGGCCCCCAGCAGCTCGTCAGGGATGCAATCTTCCTGGACAGGAATCGTAACGAGGAAGCTGGAGCTACGCTTATTCAACGTTATACTGGTAGACGTCCCAAGATTAGCCCGGCAGTGAACAAAAGCAGTCTACCCAATACACAAACCAATCGAACATTACCACAACGAAATCCACCCAGTCGGTCTCCGGGAAGGTTTGCTTCACCACAGCGGCAACTAGAGGGCTTCTTTTCTGAAGTCACGGGGAATCTGCAGAAACGAACCGAAGGCTGGAACGTCTCCAAAGCGGTTCGGAGCGCGGTGGGTGAAGTTCGACGTAATATGAACAATTATCAGACGACGACGCACCTGCGACAGCACAGTACTGATGTTCCATACTTGGGGCGCCGCTCCAACGACCCAAGGCTAGGGGATGCCAGACAAGTTTCTGGGGGGGAGATCAGGGAAATGGAACAGAGAAACAAAGCGCTCGCTAGAATGCTTGATGACTCGCTCGAGTCCCTTCGCTCCAGCAGGCTCGTCAATCCTGAATCTTCAGGAGAAGCAGAGCAGGATTTCAACCTGACCTTGGCCAAGATACAACTTGTGTCTGTCTATCTCATGAATCCAGATCTGCCAATATTAACCGAGGACCACGCCGATACCACTAACAGTCCCGTAAAGCTGAGCATGGATGACACAACGAGTAGTTCGAATAGCCATCCTGCGACACCCTCAGAAGTTAATGATGCCTCTGCAACGCAAAAGACTCTTGCACCGCCCGCCGAGATCAAAGTCCGGCCATCCGAAACGACCTACCAAAAGCCAACGACAAGGGAGAACAAGGGCAGCCAACCCAAGACACAGGGTTCGCTCAGGCCATCCCTACAAGACGCTTCATTCTCGTTTATGTTGGGGGAAGACCGTCATCGCTCAAGTTTTGTCAGCTCGGTCGCACAACTTCCAGAGCAGAGACGGGACAGTCAGTCAAAAGGGAGGACGAAGCAAATACTGACCGAGGAGTCGCAGCCAGGCCGGAGGGAGTCAGACGGTGAGGGCGACGGATTTACCTTGACCAAGATTCGTGGTGGACGTGACTAGGGGGCTCATGCAGCGAGTATGTGACGGCCTTGTGGTGAAGAACCTACAGGCTGAAATGGTCAGGTGAACTTTTCATGTACGGTATCATACAAGCCCACACAAGGTGCAAGATACCAGTGCTCCAACTCCTCATGGCGGGTATGGATGCAGGCCACGTGACCATCTTTCAGTCCAGGACACCTACGGCAGACGGTAGTAAGGTATTGCGAGGATTGAACGAGGGTCTGATGTACTATCTTCGGACGTCTACCTAGCATAATGGGTAAGTAGTATTTGAAGTCATGAAATCTCTCTGGTTTTACAGGATACCAAACAGCTACATGAGATTGAGTGCAGACCAGTTGCCACGGCTCAGGGCCATTAGCACAGAGAGAATGACTTGATGCCCCTCGGCCCCCGCGTCCAGGCGCCCTCATTTGACCATCGCCATTACTGGAGGATGATGGGGCAAGGCCCCTCGGGCCACCCTGGGTTATCGGCAGGCGTCACTGTGGTGAGATCCAGCCCCACCTCCCCCCAACCCTCGCTCCAGTCAGATTGTATGTCTTAAGTACCTACTTAGTCACCAGCAAGTTACCGTTCCTCACCCTCACCCTCACCCGTCCACCCTCATCACTCTTGACTTCATCTCTCGGCTCCCTGGATTTCATCCTCACTCTTGATCCGATTATACTCCTGGCGTCGAACCTCCGGAAATTCAATAGACTGTCATCTGAAATCGAGAGCCTCGGTCCCCATCCTGAGCACAACAAATCCTGCATCAAACTCCCTCGGCCTGCCCTAAGCTAAACTTCCGCGACGTCGCAGACAACTGCTACGTACCTAATTTGACCGTGTCTCACGTTTTCGGTTGCAACAGGCACTGCTCGTCTGGCCATACAATTGACCGTCTACTCTCGATCATCTCAAACCTCAACTACGACGCGACTCGGCGGAATTCAGGACGATACCAACCCTGACGTCTGACCGGCTCTTCACTCCCTCCTCTCCTGCCCTCGAAGACCTCACGGTCCAGAGAAAAAGAAGGCAGGATGGGCCTTTCGTATAATACATACCTCAACTCGGCCAAAATCTATGCTTGTAAGGTACGTGCATTTGTTCAATCTGCTGCCCTCCTTATCACTGACGGCTGGTGCTTAGAATTGCAAGACCCATCTCGCCGATTTTGACGACATTATATCACGCAACTTTCGTGGACAACATGGCAAAGCCTTCCTATTCGGAACAGTGGTCAACATCAAGCAAGCAGATGCTATGGAGAGAAACATGACAACGGGTCGGCACATTGTTCGTGATATCAAATGCAAGCAATGCGACGAGACGGTAGGCTGGAAATACGACAAGGCCTATGAGGCAAGCGAGAAATACAAGGAGGGCAAGTTCATACTCGAATCTGAACTGCTTTGTCACGTTACTTGACGTGAGCATGAACAGGCGGTGCCATCATCACAGAGCCGGCTTCCGCTCTTGTCGACTCTTCCTTGGCATCTCATGGTTCTTTGCTGGATGTTTGAACAGAAATGGAAGTCCATTGTCTCTTTCGATTAACAGCCGGACGACGAGCTGCTGACTGGAGGGTGTGGCCTGGCGTCAACTTGCTTCATAGGTGCACCAGCCACCGCAGCGAAATGGGTTTTTCGGGGGGCAAGCTAGGATTTCTCTAGTCAGTCGAGATCGCTCACGGATTGCATATGTCTCGTCAGGAGTTGGCAGGTTTATTGGTGGGGTCGAAATGGCTCACGGAATCAACGGACTATTTAAGCATCAAGGATCGACAATATCGAAATTTCGCCACAATCTCTCAGTGTGGTCGCCAAAGACACGAGGACAACCTCCTGTAAGACACCGCCACACCCGCAATCGCACTCGTGTTTGTGTCGGCAATCAGATTACTTTTGCCGATTCTCCATCTCCTCGACTTGGAGAGTGATGTCGCGATGGGGATGGTGAAGGAGAGCATGACAACTAATCTGCAGCGCCGATTAAAGGGCCAAGTATTCAGAGCGTGGATTTATCCGAAGGGAAGGTGCTCTGTTTGCTGGGTCACGGTTCAAGACATGTTTACAGATTACTCTATGCATACAAGCAAGGTCAATAGGCTTCGAGATCGACTTTGGTTGTGTCCAGTCATGGCTGCTTTTACACGATTAGAATCATAGCAATTTCCCTCCACATCTGGTCGCGGCCAAAAAATGACTCTCTATCAGACATCGGGGACCTGTTCCAGTAGTGCAGTACACATGCAGAGCCCATAGTGGCCGATGCGCCCTGGAAGCTTCTACTAGCAGAAGTAGCTCAAGGGTCCAAGGCCTAGCTGCTCGAGCCTCCGGGGCAAATGAGGGGCTCATGGGCGTTAGGCTATAGCCTAGCCTTGCTAGCTCCTCGGCAACTCGTTGACTGGAAGGACCTGTAGTACCTATACCTAAATACCATTGGCATTCGTCCACAAACGTAAACAAAATTTCACGTTCCCGCACCGCCACGCCACAAAGGCTGGTTCCTGCACACACTTGCGCGCGCCGATACCTCCGCCAGACCAGTCCCTACACATACGCATACATACGCATACGCACCTTCCGCCCACACCCACGCCCACAGTGTGTAAATGGTGCTCCACCTGTAAGTTGCTCCTGCCACCACCCACCATGGCCATTCACTAACCTACACCCAGTCCAAATCTTAACACGAACAAAGGCTTCCAAAAACCTCATCACCTTTCTATCTCTTCACCTCCTTCCTCTACCTTCATCTGATCCAAAACATCATCCCTCAGCAACACTCTTCTCCTCACTCCACCCACCCTTCTCTTCTTCACCCTTCTCCCAGCTCACCTCCAGTTATCGTCTACCCGATCTCGCCTTTTCTCTCCCCCTTCTCTCGTGCGAATCCGCCTTCTTCGCACTCCCCAATTTCCCCTCCCCACAACCCACACAGATCATCTTTGCCTCCAGCCCAATCTCGGTCCCATCGCCACCGGATTGACTCGTTCATCTCCTGACTCTCTCCATCCTTCCTCCAAGACCTCGCCTTCCTCTCGACAGCAATGGCCTCCCCAGGATCTCCCGTCGATGCCAACCACATTGACGACGCCACTCTAGCCGAGTCCATGAATCAGATCGGTCTCAACGATCGTGACAGCGAGCAACCCAAGACGGAGGAAGAATACGCACAGTCACAATTGACTCTTCGCGCCATTGTCTCCACCAAGGAAGCTGGTGTCATCATTGGCAAGGCCGGCAAAAATGTGGCTGATCTGCGCGAGGAGACTGGCGTCAAAGCTGGCGTTAGCAAAGTGGTCCAGGGCGTTCATGATCGCGTTCTGACAGTCACTGGCCCTCTTTCTGGCATCTCAAAGGCCTACGCTCTGGTGGCCAAAGGCTTACTTGAAGGCGCACCCCAAGTTGGCATGGGAGGAGTTCTTCAAAACAACGGAACTCACCGTAAGTTCATCTCGTCTCCGTTGTCCATGCGTCAAGACTAACTTGCTCCAGCCATCCGCCTCTTGATCTCCCACAATCAAATGGGCACAATCATTGGTCGCCAGGGTCTCAAAATCAAGCATATTCAAGACGCTTCTGGCGTCCGCATGGTCGCTCAGAAGGAAATGCTCCCACAATCAACTGAGCGAATCGTCGAAGTCCAGGGTACCCCAGAGGGCATCGACAAAGCTATCTGGGAAATCGGCAAGTGTTTGGTCGACGACTGGCAGCGTGGCACTGGAACCGTCCTCTACAACCCTGCAGTTCGAGTCCAAGTCGGATCTGGCCCTCTCCCTCCTGCCGTTGGCGGTGCCGCCCCAGTGGCAAGCGGCGGCTACAGTGGAGGGAGTGGTGCCCGTTCTTTCAATCGCACTGGCAATGGAGCCGACTTTAGCGAATCTCGAAGCTACAATCGCAGCAATGACGCCCCTCGCGGCGGTGGTATCCCCACGGTCACTGAAGACGGCGAAGAGGTGCAAACCCAGAACATCAGCATCCCTGCCGATATGGTCGGCTGCATCATCGGCAGAGGTGGCTCCAAGATCAGCGAGATTCGCAAGAGTTCCGGTGCTAGGATCTCGATTGCCAAGGCTCCTCATGACGATACTGGCGAGAGGATGTTCACCATCATGGGAAGTGCAAGCGCGAATGAGAGGGCGTTGTACCTATTGTACGAGAACTTGGAAGCCGAGAAGGGTCGCCGTCAACAGGTGTCATCCGAGTAAATGCTCGCAACAAAACTCGAATACCTCCCGCCCACTGGCCTAGTGTGGTTGCGCAAACCCTCATACCCTACGGCGCCTTCTGAGGTCCACACTCTCCTTGACACAGATTGACTTTTTTCTTTTCTTGATTGCCCGATAACACACACCGGTGAAAAGCACATGGCATTGTTTCTCCTTTGGCGTCGAATAGATGGTGTCTTGCGCAAAGCGGCATGATGGAGCTTATGATACCACTTTAACCTTCTCGCCCTGGCCCGCGAGTTGACGAATGACGACACGAGCTTGTATTCAACAACCACACAATCTCTCCCTCTATCTCACTCTCACGCACGCACGCACGCGCACGCGCACCCCTTTTTTCTCTCTTAATGAACCTGGCCCCTCTCGCCGGCGGTTGAAAGCCCCTCGAGTTTCCGAATTTCCTGGTATCAACCGATACCGCGCCATGAAAATTGGAAGTATGACATCACCCATGAGCGTCAATCCCGGCGGTATGGGCCTTGAGATGCGCATTGTATCAAGCACCGACAGTCACCTTACCTCTCCCATTCCTTCCGTCTCTCCCGGCTTAAGGCTGGGCCTTTGCAGAGAGCCGGGGCTGTACCTATGCAGAATGACTGCCGGCCAAGTTGATCGGGGTGGAACGAATATCTGTGGAGCGATGGATTCTGCAGAGGGGACCAATGTCATCAGAAGATAGTTCAGGTAGCTCTCGACTGGCTCTGGGTGGCTGAATCTGCGCAGAGCATGGTCGGGTCTCGTTAGTCAAATGATGACACTTTGCAACATTGACCATAGGGCAAGCAGTCTTATTAGAAAATATGAGTCTGGTGATCCGTTGTATGCGTTTTGCGTTAGTAGAAGTCCTGGGTGGTCGTTTCGCGGCAAAGGAAACATGATCGCCCAAGACCTACGTCCGGTACCTATCTCGGACTCATGGTGCCTCCACCGTTCGTCTGTACATCTCTCACATGCATTCGGGTCAGTTCGAGGCAGGCTGCCTTTGTGGCCTACGTGCTAATGGCGAGGGGCTGTGATGGTGGACCAGGGAACTGGCCTGTCACCGCATTTTGCTGTTGGTCTGTGGCTTCTGATTGGGCAATGGGGAGCCAACGAAGAACTTCAAGCGGTGATCCCCTGCGTCTACTCGTACCTTGTTCGACTTGTGGTCTACGGAGTAAGATGTGTCAAATCATGATGTATGGATGTCATCTCATCTGAAAAAGCCGGGTCGTGGAAGCCCAGCAGACACCACCTCTGGAGCAAAGATTGGTGTACCTACCTAGGTGAGAATCTACAGGTAGCAGAATAAATGCAATTTTAATTACATCATGGTTCATGAGATCACGATACCTGTTTGTCTAGTCAGGGCGAGTATCTTGTGTATCAACAAAGAATGGATTACGCCATCCATCGATCATAAGCAAGCACACAAGTTAGGACGATTTTGCCCAAGTACTCTGATGCTTTGAGCATCTGTATCACCATCTTGGATGCATAGGCAAGGATGACAGGATGGTCCAAGAGACTATTGGACCGACGCCAGTGATTTCTAACCCATGTTTGACAATAGTCACGGTTTCGCAAGAATGTCATTTGTCACACGATTCACTTCTTCCTGGCTGGTCTCACTGTTGTGAATGTGGATCTGTTATTGTCGAATGCATATGCGTCAGTAGTGATTTGACGGCGCCTCCGGAGTCTGGGGCTAGAACTTCCAGCCGCTTTCGTCTTGCCCTTGCTGCCTCGTTGGCCGTGGCAGCAGCCGCCGCGAGCCATGTTGAGAGGCGAGGTTGAGACAGGGACGTCCTCACTGCTAAAACAGTCTTACCTTAACACGTGAGGTGTTCCTTCGGTTCGGCGTGAGCTTGCGTGGCTTGCCACAGAAGGAAGCTCATGACCCGAGCGGACGGTGCATTCGCTGTTATGCTTGTTATTTTGATAGGAAGTTGTTTCATCTTGTCGCCCCTTGAGCATTTCTGCCTTGGTGGAATGGATCATCTCACGAAGATACTTTCAACATCCAGCTCGCGACAGAGTGAACGATGATTCAGGCTTTGCAAGGAGACGTGGACTCTTGGCCACCGATTGTAATGTTGTATCATGGCTGCTTGATTTGCTCCAATTTCGTGGCATGGGTGTAGATGCAGACCCCTCAAATTTTATGTACGCATATGCGTCCGCACCTGTGATGGTTGGTTGGTTTGGTAGACGACTTGGGTTTTTGCTTACTCCGGCCAACTGGGAACCCATTCACGGACATTTACTAGGTGCCACACCGTTCAAAGGCAAGCTTATAAGTTTGGGGCTGACGGCGGGCGGCCCGGCCGCCTTTCATTCCATAAGCACGAGGCGATGAGGCGCCGAGGGGCCGAGGGGCTGCTGGACCCTACGAAGTAGTGGTCCTGGGGATTACGGGCTTTTGACTGGGCAGTTCTTGGTCAACCGTTCCAGTGGACCAGGACGAGTATGCATGCGGCCGACGGGAGCGAGGGGGCCCCTTCGGCCCTCGCCCTCGGGGGTGGTTTATTGCCTTATGGGCTGCCACAGCTACCCAATGACCCAAGGTCCCTGGCATTCCTTAGGTAAATAAGGTACCTAAGGAGAGTTGAGATCCCTGTTACATACGTGCGGACAGTCCCAAGTGGCAGCCTGAAGGGAGACACTGTGCACGACTGGCAAACGTCAGACCCAAGAACCACAGTAGCAGGCTAACTCGCCATCCGCCCACTTGGTATACACAGAACCCATCCACCCATCCTCCTGCTACTTGCGGTTTCACTGAGAGACTCTATCGTTTCTTTGTCTCCTCAACTCCATCTCAACACCATTACTGCCAGCATCACTCCAGTCGATCCTCCTTCTCATACACGACTTGTCAACTTCCAAGTTACCAAGGACCATTCGCCCCCTCTTGCAGTGTTCCGTACACTCACCACTCATCTGCCCGCGACTCTCTGCACTGCACTTTCGTGCAACCGCCTCAGCTCAAACCCATCCCAGACGACCTCCATCTTCGTTCAACCCTCTAACCACCGACGCCGTCCTTCCTCCTCCCTCCTTCCCCTCTCCCCCGCCATCGCTATCTGAGATTCAATCTATCACCACGCCCGATATATCTCTTCTCATTCCTTGGTCTCTCGACCAGAGGGAACCCTTTCCAGGGTTTGGTTGACAGCACCAGTAAATCGTGACATCTGACGCAGTCTCCCCATCTGCGTCCTTCACCCTCCTCACCATGACCTCCCCAGTGCCGCTTCTTCGGCCACCAGTGCCAGGTGGTCGAAGCCAAAGCGGCAACCGGACACCTCGCCTCACCCTGGGCATTCCTCCTTCGCCAAATGCCAAACCAGTCAACCCAGATCTTTCACAGCCTACAGAGATTCCTCGTTTCAGCCTCGCTGCCAAAGCTACTCCTAAACTATCACTTGCAACGCCCATGGGAAGTCACGCCTCCGTACAAGAATCTGGCCCATCACATTTTAAGCCTACCGTACAGCCACTAAACATTGCTGCCGTGCACGGCGCCGATTCCACCAGTCGACCGCGAGGGGATAGTTTCCACAATGCCAGCGTACCGGGCTCGGCGTCAAGCTCCACATACTCTGCTCTCTCATTCGCTATGCAGGGAGGTCGTCAAGGTGGAACCCCAGATCCATCCTCAGCCATAAGCTCAATCTACTCTGAGGCGAGTATAGGAGGGGCTTCGATGGAACGAGAAGGTAGTATGGGTGGCCTGTCAATTGACTTCGATAAGTTGAGCCTTGAGAAGGGCAGACCTCTCGACGTCGAAGATCTAGATGATGAAGGATGGGGTGCGGCTAGCGAACAGAAGAAGATTATTGAACTCGGTTCTTTGGGAGAAGGTGCTGGTGGTGCGGTCACAAGGTGCATGTTGGAAGGGGGCAAGACGATTTTTGCGCTCAAGGTGGGTTATCTTAACACACCACATGTCGTCCAGCTCGACCAAGGATACTAACTTTGCATAGATCATCACAACTAGTCCTGACCCAGACGTCAAGAAACAGATTCTGCGAGAGCTCAAGTTCAACAAGAACTGCACCTCGGAATACATCTGCCAGTACTATGGCGCCTTCATGGACAAGTCGTCCTCAACGATTTCTATTGCCATGGAATTCTGCGAAGGCGGCTCGTTGGATAGTGTGTACAAAGAGGTCAAAAAGCTCGGGGGCCGTACGGGCGAGAAAGTACTTGGAAAGATTGCCGAGGGAGTTTTGCATGGCTTAACTTATCTCAACGGCCGGAAAATCATCCATCGAGGTGCGTGAAATTGGCAGCTTCTGGTCATCTGGTCCCTGGTGTCACGCTAACAATTCTCTCTCGCTAGACATCAAGCCTTCAAATATCCTACTCTGTCGCAACGGCCAAGTCAAGCTCTGTGATTTTGGTGTCTCGGGCGAGTTTGGTACCAAAGGAGATGCCAACACCTTTATCGGGACCTCGTACTACATGGCCCCTGAGCGAATACAGGGTCAATCGTACACCATCACCTCGGACGTCTGGTCACTTGGTGTAACTCTTCTCGAAGTGGCCCAACACCGTTTCCCCTTCCCTGCAGACGGCACGGAAATGCAACCTCGGGCGGGACTGATTGATCTCCTTACCTATATTGTTGCCCAACCCATTCCAAAGCTAAAAGATGAGCCTGACAATGGCATCAAATGGAGCGACATGTTCAAGTATTTTATCGAATGCTGTCTGGAAAAGGAGCCTCCTCGACGGGCAACCCCTTGGCGCATGCTCGAGCACCCATGGATGACAGAAATGAAGGCCAAAAAGGTCAGCATGAGTTCCTTTTTAACGCAGGTCTGGGACTGGAAGGATTGAGGCCTGATTTTCGTGGCTGCGGGCTGGGATTGAAGGTCGATATGGGCGGATGGATTTCTCCACACCTTCAATGGCACAGATGTACTGAGCTGCCGTGACGCAAGAATGTCTGTCAAATGAAGACGGTTGGATATTCCGAAGACATTGTTCGAGCCCAAGAGTCTTGTTGACTTCAGCGCAGAAGAATTTCCTTTGGATGGAAAGCACGCAACAAGTGGCTAGGCTTGATACGAAACGTCTCAAGTATTAGTCCGGCTCGAGCTGTGTTTTTGTACGAAACTGCTTGACTACTACTGCCTGTCTACCTGGAGGCGACCTGCACCAGTTGACTTGGTTTACTGGTGCCCATTCATGGAGCCAAGAACAAGCGAGAAGATGCATGTTGCTACATGTCTTCATCCCCAAACTTGGCCTGTCCAAGGCGACGGATGATGGGCTGCAGGTTGGCTTATCCAGGAATATCCAAGCCTCCGTCATCACACGATCTTGCATCTTCAAATCAGGATAGGAGATAGTCTTGCATACTAGAACCCAGTAGATTTAGGCTCTATTATTATCCACGGGTCAAGGCCTGTGGCCGTTGACCTCCCAAAGTCAATGCATATCAACAGTCTACGCCGTCATTTCCCTTTTCAGTCATACATCACATATGTCATCGTCAGTAAACCTAGAAACAGAGGCCAGGGATTTGGCGCTTGAAGCAATGGAATCATGTCGCTTTTGTACTTGCATCCAGAAGTCCAATCCGACATCGAAGTAGACATGGTCCCACCACAGGTAGGTCTCCAGAATGTCTTTGACATCCTTCCACTCATTTAGGTACCACCACAGGCGAGCATGAGATATTGAGACGAACCAGTCCCGATGTGTGGTTGCCCTAGCCGCGACGCCGCCAATCATGAGGATCCAGCTCATGAGTTCCCGATGTAAAGACCACAAGTCTGGGGAAATAATCTCGAGCCTCTTGCGCAGAGTGCTCACCAGCCGTGCCTTGACTCCGGAGACACGGGGCACGGGAAAGATGGTCATGTCGCTGAAGATCAAAAGGGCAATGCGACAGATCTCTCTTATCTGATGAGTGATTGCCGTCGGGGTTTCAACAGAGGCGAGATAATCGGAGATTGGAGGCAAGGCTGTCAACTGGTGCTGGGCGATGGTCCTGGCGGCGATGAGTGATGGAAGTGACGGGGCCCAGGGGGTCCTTCGCTGATATTGGTCAAGGCCAACTACAAGGATACAGCAATCTTCCACAGCTTGAATTGATTCGCAGTCCAGCTCTTGCAGCGAGAAAAAAGACTTGCCTAGACGCGACAGCATTCGCTGTGCGACGTCATCCGGAATGCATTGAATATCTGGAACCAAGGGAGTCATGGGCCGATTGCAAGGTATCTTGGGCGGCACGCCAAATCGAGTTGCAAAAAGAAGATCGTAGCTATGACCCTGTTCAGCTAAGCTTTCCAAATGACAGAGGGGCCGATCTGCTTACAATTCGAGGGTCTCTCGAAGTCCAAACAACGTCACTGCCTCTATCCCACCAAGTTGATCGAGGATCGCGAATATAGCCTGGCGATGCTGCGGTACCATCCTCATTAAGCCATAGATATGAAGATTCTGCGTCCTTGCAAGCGGCGATTCAGCAAACCCCGAGGGCTCTAAGATACCGTTGTCAAGAAGATCCCCATGCGCGGCCAGAGTGATGATAGCAAGGAGAAGGTTTTGGTGAGGTCTCGTGTTTCCTAGTTGTTGCAAGTCTCGCTGCAGCAGCATCAATGCGCAGTTCTGGTGTTTTAATGTCAGGTAGCCAAGTGCGCTCGCCCGGTCTCCGTGGGTCGATTCAAGAGATCTGAGCATCCCATACACCATGGCGTGGAGGACGGTAGGAGATTCTACGTTGGCACGCAGCCATGCCGTCTTCAATTGATCGACCTGCTCAACTGACAAGGAAGGTTTGAGGTTTCCCCATTTGGTTTCGGCCGCTGTTCATCAGTTTTGACGTTAGCATGGGAATCATCCAACAGGACAAGATCTTGGACAATAGGCACGTGTTTTCTCGCTGCGCACTCAACAGCGTGATCCAAGACGACTTACCAAAGTAAAGCACTTTGTACACATAGTCTGGAAGGCCTTTGGCTGCAAAACTGTTGAAAGGATCAATGGGGTTTTGTGCCAACCTGTGCAAGGAATGTGGTAGGTCGTATAACAGCAGAGGGGCGTATTGACCGGTGCCGGCCACGAGCCGGTCATTATGTCTCGTGATTTGGTTTGACGGATTCTGTTTCACTTTCGGCGGACATTCGGCGCCTTGTACGCTGGGTTCTGACAGAACAGAAGAGTAACTGGCAGTGTTCGAGCCTGGAATGACCTCATCTCGTTGTCGTTGGCGAGAAGCTGCATGGGATTTGCGTGCAGCATGAGCTCGCCGTTGCGAATCTTGGAGAACCTGATCGGTCCGAGTGGCATTCGGTGCATAGGATAGAAAAACAAAATTTGCATGTGCAGCGTTTTTACGTTTTGGGGCCATGGTATTGATTCAAGAGAGGCGATTTAGACCTCGAGGCCTGTCGCGGCCCTCGAACTCGATCTCGACGATCAAAGCTGACAGGTGTTGTCGTTGGCCAGTGATTCAATTCATCACATTCTGTACAACGTCCTGACGATAATGAAGTTGATGTGTATTGCAGACAGGATCTGGAGATCGCTAGTTTTCTCAAAGCCTCCGTAGGTCGTCGGCTCCCTAACCGTCACGGTGTGGTGTCCAAAGAATAGATCCACGTTAGCTTCCACGGTTCCAGAGGGCTGAATAGGAGTGGATCCTTCGCTTGAGATCAGATATTATCTAAGCCAAACCAAAGACAAAAGACGTCTACGAATACCAGACGAGTCGCTAGTATGTACGCCTTCTCCAATACAGAACCAATCTGTGCAAGCAAGGCAGCGAAGGCACCCTTGGCTGGAAGCAATCGATAGGTCAGGACGTCCATGCCCCCGTGGTTCACGAGTCCCATGGGATGTTACACTCTGTGTCTCCTTTGGCCATTCGTGAATCGGGAGGCTAAAGGTGTTTTGTCCTATTAGGGAGTGTGAACTAGACGGATTTGTATAAGTTCCACAATGCAATAATTCACCTGACTTAGTTAAGCCCGCAATGGCCGTTTCTGATCCTCCAATGAGACTGTTAATCTATTTGACTGACCAATGGGAAAGCTAATTTCCCTGCTCCGTATGCATGTCGAATCCTTCTCTACGGAGTAGTCTACGGAGTAACGGGCGTTGTAGGAGCTTGTTTCTCCTGAGGGATTCACACAGTCGAGGCTGACATTGCCATAATTCATGTGATGATAGATGTCAGCAATCTAACCAATCATAATGCATGTGGACACGAAGGCGATATGCCGCTTTTGGGCCCACCGCATGTCTTGATACGGGTATTTTGTTCAACTTCATGACACAGCAGTAGTCCGTCTGACACCTTGGCAGTGGCCCCAATCAGCCAATCACCAGCCCCACCACGTGATTTACCGACCTGGAATCAATTTGCAAGCTTGGGGGATCTGTTTAGTTTCTAATGCCCTGGTCACAGACTTTGCTGACACGATCCAACTGATCCAACGGCAATGTGCACAATTACCTGACGGATGTGCGGCCTCAACAAACTGCCATCTCTTGGTGCTCGTCCCCCACAGCATTTGGGGATGACGCCTTAAGAGATGCGGGGCAGAGACCGACACAGTCGGGGTACCCCGTTCCCCGTGAGCAGCTCGATGGATATGTATATCACTGCTTGTGCCGATTCTCGCTCAAAACGTTCGTTGCCAGTGATATTCTACTACGACGATGGCTCCGAACAAGCGCACCTTCACCATCATCCAGGCCGATGGACTTTACCCGGTACGCATATCCATCTCGGTGTCCCAGCTCTTCTCATATCTCTTCTAACTAAACACTGGATTATGCAGGACGACTCTATCGAACAACAAATATTCACGCCTACAGAGTCTCAGAACTATCAAGTCAAATATGTCCAGACCGATCTGTGGGTTCCTGGAACCCCGACACCCAAGCCATGGACGGCCATTGACAAGGTCTTGCGAGATGAGGTTGACGGCATAATGGTGCTCAAGATGGGCTTCACCAAACAAGATCTGGACCTCTTCCCCAGACTCAAAGTCATTGTGCGCATGGGAGTTGGCTATGATCGACTTGACAGGGTCTGCCTTGCTGAACGAGGTGTGACGGTATGTAATGTACCAGGTAAGTCATGGATTGGCACGATTCGATACATATTGTATATCACCCCCATTCCCCCAATCCCCAGGCCGAGAGGACTCGGTCGGGGACTATCGGCCCCCACGCTTGAGGAGATGTCCCTGAGCCCCAAGATACCCCCCACCGATCATTATTCTTTTATGTACTCCGTACAACATGTTTTGACAGTCCTGGGTGTACCTAGACTACGGCACCTGTGAAGTCGCCGATCATGCCTTGGCACTGGCACTCTCTCTTCGACGAGGCGTTCTACTCCATCATGAAACCCAGCGTGCCGACCCACCCGCCCACTGGGCGTACATTGAATCCCCGCTGGTGGCCCGTCTACAAAACACCACATTTGGAATCTTGGGCATCGGCCGAATTGGCACCGCAGCAGCTTTACGGGCCAAAGCATTCGGGTGGAATGTGCTCTTCTATGATCCATATGTGGCCAACGGCTACGACAAAAGTCTTGGCGTTGAGCGGACGCGAGATATCAAGGAGCTGTTTCGAAGGAGTACGACGCTCAGTCTGCACTGTCCCTGCACGCGCGAAACGAGGGCGATGGTTGGCTATGAATTGCTGAAGCTGCTTCCAAGAGGAGCCATCATCGTCAACACGGCACGAGGCGAGATTGTCGATCTTGATGGCGTCGAGAGATGTCTGAAGGAAGGCATCATCAGCGGTGCAGGGTTGGACGTGTTGGACGAAGAACCCATCCCTGAAGATCGAGTGCATCCTCTCTTGCAGGCTTATAGAAGAAAGGAGACATGGCTGCAAGGCCGGATGGCCGTCACATGCCATACGGCATACTACAGCCCGGAGAGCTTTGTGGACATCCGCGTCAAAAGTTCCCAGACAATGCGCGATGTTTTAATTGATGGTCTGAGCAGCAACGTTATCACTCCAGACATGGAATAGTGGAATCTCTACGCAGTCGTCTGATCGCATGGAAAGACAAACTTGCACCCAGGATCAACTTGGCGGATTTAAGTACAGCTCGGAACTCGTTGTTGATGATCATTTCGGAAGGCCCGACACTGATTCAGTCCCTCGAATCAGTCTATAAGTACGTGGTACACTGTACAGTTTCCGTCCACATGAGGTACGACTTTTGGGTGATTATAGATGATCTGGGGCTGGCCAACAAGGCCATATCCCGTGACTACTTAGATGGCTTGGCGCCGAATTGTTCACACAAGGTCAGTATATAATATGAGCTGTGACAAATGTACATACCTGGTTTAGATATGCGTGTTTTCATGATTACCTAAATACACATATCATAGTTGGAATGACTCAGCAGAGCCTCCGGGAAGTGTTCGTATGAGGGATGCATGCAAGGTGCCAGGCACGCTGCCCCAAGGTCAGGCAGGGACAAACCGGGGTGCCACGGGTGCGTGCTGCTTATGAAAAACCCGGATCTCTCGGTGCGGGGTTTCGCTCGATCGGCTAAAAGCCAAAATCTTACCTGGTAGCACGGGCGGCCGAGGTGTACTCGGCCACTACGGAGTAAGTAAAACAGGTGTGGAAAGGCCACTGTAACTGAGAGTACCACCTAGGTATTCGAATTTCTTCGACCCGACCAGACTAAAGAATTTCTAGTACCACCGTCCTATAACACCGTATCATTAATATTTGCATGTCAAGGTGAAGTTGGGGTAGCACTGCACCACGACCATAACCACAACCACAACCACGTTGACCTGCTCAATCTGCACTCTCTAATCTCCATCTACTATCTGTCTGTATCGGCCGGACGACAACAGACGACAGACTACACACAGCAGCCCCATCCCCATCCCCAATTCCAGTCTGCTTCGATCATGGGGTACACATGATCCAGTTGCAGCCTCATTCCTTCAGGTGTGCCTCGTCGCTCGCCAACAAACTCCTGCGCATGGCCATTCGGTTGCTTCCCCCTGCTTTTGACCATGACCACCCTCGACAGAACCCGCGACCTCAACGACTTTGAAGACACTGCCATAATTGACGGGGATCCAGCCGAGCGGCCACCTCGCCAGCCTCCCATCCCAGCTTCGGTCAAGATCAATGTGGAGGGTGCCTTTATTGTCGATGACGAGGTCAGGGCCCCCAACGGCACGGCCAATGAACATGTTCATTGGGAACACAAAGACATCCGCCTGCCTCATCACACCGACGTCGTGAGCCATGTTGCTGTCGACATTGGCGGTTCTCTCGCCAAACTCGTCTACTTCTCCCGCGAACCGGGCTCCTTTGGTGGAGGCCGGTTAAATTTCCTCAACTTTGAGACCGATCGTATTGACCTATGCATCGACTTCATTCACGAGTTGAAATTGACACAATCCAAGCTCAACGGTTCCACCCCACAACAGCTGTGTGTCATGGCCACTGGTGGCGGCGCCTTCAAGTTTTACAACCGAATGAAGGAGGTTCTCCACGTCGATGTAGTGCAAGAAGACGAAATGGAATGCTTGATTATCGGTCGGTGCATGCATGCCTTTTTGATCTAGCCCGTCAACTAACATAACCACTCACAGGTCTCGATTTCTTCATCACCGAAATCCCCTGCGAAGTCTTCACCTACAGTGAAGAAGAACCTATGCAGTTTGCCGAAGCCCGTGCCGATGTCTATCCTTATCTACTTGTCAACATCGGATCAGGGGTCTCCATGGTCAAGGTCTCGGGACCGAGAAATTTTCAAAGAGTTGGAGGCACATCACTTGGGGGAGGAACGTTTTGGGGCATCTTGTCCCTGCTCACGGGTGCACGAACCTTTGATGAGATGTTAACCTTGGCCGAAAAAGGTGACAACAGCGGAGTGGATATGTTGGTCGGGGATATTTACGGCACGGGCTATTCCAAGATTGGGCTCAAGAGCACAACGATTGCCAGTACCTTTGGCAAGGTTTTCCGCATGAAGCGCATGGCGGAGCGCAATGCAGAGGATGGCGAGGGGCTCTTCAGCCGCGACCCGCGGGATGATGACGATGACCAAGACGGAGGTTTCAAGACGGAGGACATGGCACGCAGCCTGCTGTACGCCATCTCCAACAACATCGGCCAGATTGCCTATCTCCAGTCGGAAAAGCATAACCTCAAACACATCTACTTTGGTGGCTCGTTTATCCGAGGCCATACGCAGACAATGAACACCCTCTCGTACGCCATCAAGTTCTGGTCCAAGGGTGAGAAACAGGCATATTTTCTTCGACATGAAGGATATTTGGGCGCCGTTGGCGCCTTCCTCAAGAGACAGCCCAAGAACTGGGGCCGGCGCAACAGCCTTGAAGATGGGCCGGCCAAGGTTGGGAGAGTTATAGGTCGGGAGTAGGCCAGAGAATGGTCCCGATCCATGCATACCTACCTACCTACCTTGTGCAGGCATCCGTTGGTCCCGCGTCACGTTTAAGCCGAGACCGCAAGACCATCAGTACTGAATACGGAGTATTGGAAGATACGATGATGCAAGGCCCATTTGCGACCCAGAACGAATTGGGCAGAATTTTCTGCCGTCAAGAGCTCTAGGACGAAGCATGAAACAATTCCCAGATTGGAAGGAATGGTTGATGTGATCCAATGTCACATATAGGTACATGAATGATTCACAGCGGTCCGTTGCTACCCTGGTGACAGTATGTTGATCGGATATGTCAGCCGCCTGTGCCATATAAAACATTCACGAGTCGAAGGAGACAGGGGATCGGTCGTCAGTACTTATCTACAGAGTACTTACTCGTACAATAGTACTTATGCCAGACAATTCCACCAGTGACATGAAAGCGGATGCGTTGGCCGTGTCAATGCAACTACCAGTGCCAGCCAGCGGGGAGGCCTGACGTCAAACCACCCACTTAAAAAACATACGGAGTATACGAGTACTCCAAGTATTCACGCATAAGCGTATCGCCCCTCAAGGCCCTGCACCATGGCAACGCATGATGCACTCTGGCATCATTGGACCACTCAGTCGTACCTAGGTGGGTTATGGATCCATGGCAGCCTAACGTCTGAACCCCTCGGCTCCTTCAGGCGCATGTTTGGCCTAAGGACAACAAGCCCCCTCACCCAACCAAATATCCTATCCCTCTGCATTTCCGGCGGCGATGACCACCTAAAACTCTACTTAGGTCAGGTGGCTTGTTCGGCCTCTCTCTCAAGTTAGTTTGGTTAGGTACCTAAAAGTCAGCATGCGTGGTAAGGTACCCAAGGAAACATACCATCTTGCATGTTCGCAGCCATTTGACGGACCTCGCACTTCCTCTCATCATTAGACTCATCCAGTTAGTCGACACTGACACCCTTGGTACATAGAGGGCGCAAACGACGCAATTGTCATGTCGTCGTGTGCGATCGGATGATTTGGCCTCCTCACTCTTCTCTGCCTCTATTACCCCCTCGCCGCGGCTCGTCATCTAGCCGTTCATACGTCCAAACGTTTCTCCCAAAGCGGCCTCCCTCCGCAATCCCCATCCCTGGATGGGCATCGCTTGCGCCTGACGGCTGCATCCAGTTCCGCCCTGCGCAGAACCATTCATCTTTATTCATCAATACTGTCGCAGTCGCTGCCAAAAAGCTGACCGACCCTCAACTTTCAACGGCATCCTGCCGTCTGCAATGGTATGCACCCGTCCGAACCGTCCTCGAGGACAGTGGGACCAGGTCCATAAGTACTGAAATCTCTCCAGGCTCCTCGAGCAGGCACGGCCACAGTCTCCTCTCTCATCACCCCTGTAATTGTTGCGCGGCAAGCGACAACGACCATCGTTCAACCGTCTGGTCCAACTTGCTCAGGACAATACTCAGGGGGAACTCTTGCGGGCGCAATCCTGGGCACTTTCTTCGGAACACTGCTCATCATCTACCTTTTCAACACCATTCTAAACAATCCGCACCGCGTCCGACGTGAAGAGGTCATCACTGAACGGAAAGTCCGAAGTAATGGCAGTCGCCGCCGCCGCAGCCGTAGTGGCAGTCTGTCCAGTGTCAGGCGGCCCAGTCGGGTGTATTCGACAAGAGATTGACGGGACGCTCAAAATCATAAGAGGATATGCGCCATGAGACCAAGTCGCTGGAAGAGCTTGGTGTTGACGAGGGCACGAATGGTTTGGGTCATACGGAAGATACTAGGAGGGTGTGTTTGTTTGCGCGTGGCGCACGGAGCATGAGATGCTCTCGGCTCATCTGTGCGACGATGCCGCCAGAGACCGTCATGATGATTACGGATGCTGGACGCCCTTTTCATTTTTGCTTGAAGATGCCATGAGCGATTTCTGTTACTCATTTTGTATATATCCCATGTATCAAGAGCACGGGTCTAGTTGGGCGACGAGAGTGATGATTCCTTGGAGATTCCTGATGCCTCTGAGATGGCCTGACACTGGATCAAAACATTGACTAGCATTCCATTTCCTCTTCAGATATCTCTACTCTGTTTGCTCGAATTGACGCGATATCTGATAGTCATTTTCTGCGATGCCTGTGGCCTCACACGGTGAAACTCTAATCTTGCCATGCAAGTCATGCCAAGGTAGCGCCATGGGCAACAATGAGGGAGAGTTGCAGCATCTACGGAGTACGGTAGCACTGGCTGTGCCTAAATTATTAAGTAGTAGGAGTACACCGACGCTTAACGCCGCAGCAGCACAGAGCTCGCTCGGCCTTGAAACCCTTGCTATGTCTGCACCTCACATCTCTCACATCTCCGTCTTTCCCATCTCCTACCTACCACCAACCGCCCATCTGCCCATCTGCTTTGCCAGCACCATTAACTACTCAATCTTGTCCTCATCCATAACTTTCTCCCAGAAGACTCGTGATCGATGTTGCGAAATTGATCAACCTCATCAGGGACGAAAAGCCCCCGCAGCAAACTCCCTCGTCCTCCTCGTCCTCGTCTGCCCTTTCCACCTGCAACACCTCCCCACCCTTGTCCAGTCTCGTACCATCTATGCACCATGGCAGTGTCAGGCATCATTCCCTTCCTGGTCGGCATGATGTTGCTAACCGGCTGTGCCAATACAATCCTCACAAAATATCAAGACCAACAATGCATCAGGAATTGTGACGACCTCGACCCCACCAAGCACCACGCCTTTGAACAACCCGTGATACAAACGTGAGACCTACTTAGTTGGCGTGAGAACCACAATATCTAATTCCGATCATAGTGTTCAGATGTTCATTGGAGAATCCGGCTGCTGGCTGGTCATTTTCGGTTTCTACATCTATCGACGAGTGGTGGCTCGCGCCCACGATCAGCCCCTCCTTTATCAACCCGTCAACACCGAAGAAGACGAAGAAGACGAAGAAGAAGCCATACATCGGTCTCCCACGAGCCCTGCCCTTAAGCCGCTGATTCCAAATGCCGATGACAGAGCCCCTTTGCAAGGCTGGAAGATCGCCCTTCTCGCCTTACCGTCAACCTGCGACCTGACTGGCACCACTCTGATGAATGTCGGCCTGCTCTTCGTCGCTGCATCCATCTACCAAATGACTCGAGGCGCCTTGGTTCTTTTTGTCGGCCTCTTTAGTGTTTTGTTCCTTGGCAGAAAACTATATCTCTATCACTGGCTCTCCCTGGTGATCGTCGTCCTTGGTGTTGCCGTCGTCGGTCTCGCGGGTGCCGTTTATTCTGGCGACAAGGATTCTTCTTCGTCCGGCGCCACTCTACCAGTCGTCATGCACTCGAGCCTGCATGCTGTGAGAGATCTGCTCGTCTACACCACTGAACCCACCGTCCTCAGGACCATCTTGGGTATTTTTCTGATCGCCTTCGCTCAGGTCTTCACTGCCACTCAATTCTGTCTCGAGGAGTGGATTCTCGAAAAGTACGCCCTTGAACCGTTGAAGGTGGTCGCGTGGGAGGGTTTGTTTGGCTTCGCCGTCACCGTTATCCTTCAGATCATCCTGCATTTCACTGTCGGCGTTTCACCAAAGGGCAGGTTTGGCTATTTTGATGCCCAGGAAGGGTATCGTCAAATGCTGACTAATCGTGTAATCGGCCTGACTAGCATCGCCATCATGTTTTCAATCGGCGGCTTCAATTTCTTCGGTCTTTCAGTGACTAGGAGCATCTCAGCAACCTCAAGGTCCATCATCGACACCTGCAGGACGCTTTTCATCTGGCTCGTCTCTCTTGGCCTAGGATGGGAATCCTTCAAGTGGCTTCAAGTTGTCGGATTTGCCCTCGTACGTGGCCCTCTTTTCCCCATCTATTGTTCATTAGACCTTCGCTAACAAGTCTAATAGTTGGTCTACGGAACATTCATGTTCAATGACCTTGTCCGGCCACCCATCAAGGCCCTTCTTCCAAGAAACCGAGCGGACCAGCATGAACATGAAGAACTGCTTCCCGAAGGCCCCATCGACCACTTGTGATTGCTGTACGCTAAACTTTGATAAACATGGCTTGTCTGTACATAACCATATATTGCGCTCCCTAGATAGAAAACATTCCTGGTTTTCCTGACAACTATGCTCCAGAGCCACAGCATTTCCTCACTCTACAGAGATTGTGTATTCCACTGCCACTGGAACCAGTTGCAAAGCCTTGTGCATGATCCTCTCAGCCGTCTACGCCTCATCGTCATGCTGGTCGTCCTTTTTGCTAGACCCTCCATCACGACGTGCTTAAGCTGTTGTTCCGCATCCGAGCGCATGACACTGTTCCGTGCTTAGTATCGCATGTCCCGTGAGACAGACCTTTGTCTAAGGTCGGGACTTCTGAGGTATGAAACTCAAGTGCTAATGTGCTATCATCTCTCCCTGACTAATCTCCTTCTCAGCGCAGACAGTGCATTACCGATACCCCTCTTTGGTCGGCGTACTCGTTCAGGCAAGGAATGGACCTTCATAGTGTAGAGGAGGATATACACGTTTTCGGCGCGCGGGAACAACGCCAAACCAAAAAACCAAAACAAGAGAGAATCGATGAAGTTTTCGTCGCTAGGCGTGGCTATTGAGATAGATTCTCTCGCTCTTGATTTGCTCGGCTCGTTTTGCTCGCTGAACTCACTGAAGGTACTGACTGAACTAGATGAATGACTCAACTAGGTCTTGACTGAATGAATGACTATTGTTGAACTGTCTGATGGATGACTCGCTGGATGACTCGCTGGATGTCTCTCACTCCTCGATATCCTCCTGTTGAAGGGGTATGTGCTTGGATAATGACTCAGCATCGCCAGTCTTGCCTAGTCTAGAACGAAAGCAAACTAACTAACCAATCCTCCTATCGCTTCACTACAATATACATAGATAAATAATCCTCAGCCCGGTGGCAGGCCTACGGGCTAGTTGACCCTCAGGACAGCCCGCCCTCGTCTAGTTGACCCCCTCGAGAGGTCCCCTGAGTGGGCTAGTTGACCCTGCGGGTGATCCCTCTCCGTCTAGTTGACCCCCCTAAAGGTCCCCTTTCAGGC